TAATAGTTCTAGACGCGATTTAGGTAAATAAGGCGCTATAATCCGAGGCTAACCCTTTCTATTTTAACGCCTCTAGCTAGTTCTTAGCTAGGCGTTCTTCGTCGATAGTCCCGAAGGTCGCTTTTAATATTTCTTTAAAGTTATTATAGTACGCGAAGATATCTTTCGTCTCTTATTTTCGGTATTAATAAGTATTAGTTACGAAGTCCCTAAGAGTAAGTTCGAATTATATAAGAGCGGCTCTTAATAAATATCCTACTATATAGCATACTTTATCTTCTTCCGTACGAAGGATAGATAGGAAGTATTATTAATAGGCTCTAACCTAAGTTAGGAACCCTTAAAGGTCCTTAGTCGTACTATCGAATAATCCTAATTAGCGTAGCTTTATAATCTCTCTTAGGTCCTTACCGGTAGCCTATCGAATAATATTATTACTTACGCTATTTATCTTATTTCTTAGCTAGGCGGCCTATTACTATTATAAGGTTATTCCTTCGTAGAAGGAATAATAAGCTTCGTTATATTACTACTTATCGTAGGCCTATATATCGAGGACTTACTATAGCTACCCTTATAACTCTTAGATCTACCCCTTAAGGATCTTTATATCCTTATCGTCGGACTCGTCTAAGTTTAAGTCTATAAACTAAGCTATCTAAGAGGTCTTAGTATACTTAGCTATAGCCTTACCCTTATCGGTAGACTTAGGGGTTATCTTAGAGGATTCGCTAACTATAATATCGTATTACTTAAGTACCTTAATACGGTAGTATACTAAATAAGAGCTATTAATATATAACATTCGGGTTAGACTAGCTATAGGGTAAGTAGATCTAAAGTCAGTTTATAAACTAAGTATATTAAGATATCGTTAACTTAAGCGGTCGGGTTATAGTCTATATACGAGATAATAGATCTTACGTAGATAATTATATTAATAGCTAAGGAGCTAGTAAAGACTAACTATAATAAAGCTAGGCTTCCTATATATTAAGTAAATATTATATAGTCGACGATAGTCGACTATCGTCTACGAGCGCCTTTATAGTATAGTCGACTATAATCGCTAGTCGCCTATAGTCGTCTATTCTACGTAGTATACGGGTAATATATAATAAGAGGAAAAAAGCAAGGGGCACGTAAGAGGCGTATACGGTCGTATATCGGGTCGTAATAATACGCCTCTTATATACCCCTTGCTTTTTTCCTCTTATTATATGTTACCCGTATACTATATAGAATAAACGATTATAAGCGACTAGCGACTATAGTCGACTATATTATAAAGGCGCTCGTAGACGATAGTCGACTATTATCGATTATATAATATTTACTTAGTATATAGGAAGCCTAGCTTTACTATAGTTAGTCTCTACTAGCTCCTTAGCTATTAATATAATTATTTACGTAAGATCTACTATCTCGTATATAGACTATAACCCGACCGCTTAAGTTAACGATATCTTAGTATACTTAGTTTATAAACCGACTTTAGATCTACCTACCCTATAGCTAGTCTAACCCGAACGTTATACCTAGTGCCTCGCGTATCGCGATAATATAAAATTTTAGCGTTATAACCACGGCCTAAGTATAGATATTATTACTTATCTAGTCTATCGCTAATTATCCGCTACCGATATTTCTATAATTAATAACCTTATAAGATCTAGAGTATAGCCGAGGGATATCCGGACCTACCTCCGCATGTATTCTAATATATTAGTAACTTAGTAAGATATCTATAATTATATTACGTAAGGTAAGCGAGACCTTTAAGAAGGGTAGAGTATAATATACGCGCTTGCTAACGTACTTAAGATAGAGGGCTTCTAGAACCGTATCCGGTTCGATAATACTAGCCGAGTTATAGCTATATTATTTATATATCTAGAGTCGTTAGGGTACCTTAGCCTATACCTAGATACCTTTATTCTTAATTATATATATAAGACTAATAAATATTAGATATTATTTCTCGATATAGTCGGCGTTAATACTTATTAGCGATCGTTCTATATCGCCTTTGCCTTCTTAAGCGGAGAAGAGGAAGTAGACTATATTTAGGCGTTAGACCGGCTACGCTCGATATACTAGACTTACGGCGTAAGGCTACCGATTATTATCCTTACTAATCGCTACCTTACCTATATAAATACTATATCTTCTTACTTTCTAGACGCGGTATCTCTTTTATACCTTTAGTATACGAATAAGGTAGTCCTTAGCTATTACTTGCCGAGCTTTAAAGAAGGAGATATTATAGGGACCGAGGGCTAACTTATATAGAAGGATTTCTATAGGAGGTAGTATAAGCTAATTGCCTCTATATCTAACGAAACCTTTAAGTAAAGGCTCTAGGCCCTTAAGTCCCGTTATACTATATTATATACCCGAGAAGTTAGCTATATTATAGAAGTCTAGCTCGACCTATATAAGGAGAGGCTTATAAAGGCCTAGGTCGATAAATACGCGTATTTCGATAATATAGTTATATCCCGTACCGAGGGGATTTACTAACTAATTAAGATCTATCTCGAGATAAGTTAGCTAGATCTCTTTAACGCCTAGAAGGTAATTAAACGCGTAATTACTAACTAAATAGCCTCGCTACGGGATAATTAAGCGGAGTAACGACTTCGTATACCTATCGAATTAAATAATAAGCTATATAATATTATACGCGGCTAGGTATTATATAAAGCGTTATAAAAGGTCGAGGGCTAGAGGAAGTTACTTATATAAGGTAAGGAACTTCCTATCTATATAAGTAGATTTATATTATTACTCGGCCTCCCTTGCGCTTATATACTCGAGCCCCTTATATAATAATAATAGCCCCTCTAACTAGGCTAATTTCACGTATACTAGCGCCTTTAGTAAGAAAAGAGTCCGTAATTCCTTATCGAGCTAAGGAGATAATTTAATTAAGCCACGGCTCGATCGACGCTACTAGAGATAAGCACTCGCCGCGAGCTAAGCGTATTTAAGGCTATCGAGAGACTATCTAGGGCTTAGCCTAGGTGCTTAGCGTATAATAAGGTTAGCTATATAAGGATATCGAAGTTATATAACCTACGCTATATGTATATTATATCTTTATTAGTATTAGGGCTAGCGTTAGCGCCGACTTAAGGCGTCGTAACTTTAGCGTTAGCTTTAGCGTTAGCGCCGATATAAGGTATCGCGGATTTATTGTTAACGCTAACTTAAGGTATCGCGGCTTTATCGTTAACGCTGACTTAAGGCGTTGTAACTTTAGCGTTAGCTTTAGCGTTAGCGCCGATATAAGGTATCGCGGCTTTATCGTTAACGCCGCCGCTAGTATAGAGCCCGATCGCCCTATTACGTATATTTCGAGCCCTTATTATATAATATTACTAACCTTTTTAATAGAGTTCGAACTATAGCTAGAATTAGGGCTTAAACTTACGTTAGAAGTATAGCTAGAGCTTACGCTAGAACTATAGCTAGAGCCCGCGCTAGAACCGGAGCTATAACTCCGTTATAATTATCTATATACTATATATAAACGATATATTACTAATCGAGAGGCCTAGTATAAAACGCTACCGCGAGATAGCTTAAAGACTAACTAGTAATATCGGAAGGCGATAGGCCTACTATTACGCTATAGTAAGAAGGTATATAAATATTATCTTAATTATAAGCGGATAGGTAAGTAATATAATATAAGAAAGCTACGTAAGGATTAGACTAAGGAGGAATAAATAGCCTATCTAGATTAAGAAGAGAAAGAGGATAAGCGAGTTAAGGCTTAGGTTACTATTACTATAGCCGAGGAAGTAGCTAACGGTAGATCTATTTATAGACAAGGGATATAGGATTTATAGGATATAGCGGAGAGGGATATAGAGGAATAATAAGCGTTATATAAGGTATTACGCTTAAATTAAGTAAAAGGCACGCTTATTAATAGCTTCGCTAATAGTATCTTTAATAGTATTATCTTTAATAGCGTTATCTTTAATAATAACGCTAGTAGTATCTTTAATAATATATTTAATTATATCGCTAGTAGCCTTATATATTAAATTAATTCCTCGCGCTTTAGACCTTTGCCTTAGCCTATGCTTATTAATTTACCGCTTAATTGCCTATTACTTAATTACTTATTGCCTAATTACCTATCTCCCCTCCTTATTTACCTCCGAGATAATACCCTTATATATTAAGATTACGATTAATTTAATAACTCGGTCTAATAATTAAAAAACGAGATCTCTTTAGTATAGTAGTTATAGGCTAGTATATCCTCTACGCCGAAGCTAAGTAGCTAGCCCCGCTTACGTTTATCGGATTCCTAAAGTTATTAGAGATATAACTATTAGTAGTTACTAATCTAGCCCGGGTTAATTAATTCTTAGGAGTCTTTTCTAAACTTATACCTACGATAGTTCTTAGTATTAGCTTTAATCTATCTCTCTATCGTAAGACGCGCTAGCTAGGTTTAGTAGATCTAGGTTCGTATCGGAGTAAAGTAATAAGTTAATATAAAGAGCGAGGATTCGTACTTTTTTTTAGTTCGGCTATAACTTATACGTATGCCGTGTTATAATATTATAAGCGAGGGGGCCGTGATAATAATACACGCTTCTTTATATAGTTATTACGAACGATAACGATATGCGATTAAGCCTGAATAGGAAATTCGTAGAATAAGAGGTTAATAGTTCAAATTAACTAAGGAATTGTTTTCTATTAATAATTGCCTAAACGAGGGGAGTTATTAATATTATAAAGTCGTTAATAATGTTGGCCGGTAGTAATGCCGCGGCTTATATAAGGAATCTTGTATGCGCACCCCGGGTGCGCAGCACGTGATACTTATTTGCGCACCTGGGTGCGCACCTATTGCTCGCCTATCCTAATCGCAACGTCGAACACGCTTTCATTCCCATTGCGCACTGCATCATTACCATCACACCTTGTCGCAAGCCATTTATAAAAGGCCTCTTCAGTGGACGTCAATCATCATGGCTGTCTCAGCCCCCGTCAGCACGTGCGTGTCATTGCACTCCGACACGCCGCGCATTTACTGACATGCATCATAGTGTTTATGTGCAGAACCTCGAAGAACGCGTCAAGCCCGACACGCTGGTTGAGTCTCTCCGCGCACTCTTCTCCGAGTTTGGAAATGTAGTAGACGTTGTGGCAAAGCAAAACCTCAAGGCCAAGGGCCAGGCTTTCGTGGTCTTTGACAACGCGCAAAGCGCACAGGATGCCGTCGAGGAGATTCAGGGCTTCGATTTGTTTGACAAACCCATGAAAGTAGCCATGGCCCGGACGCGGAGTGACAAGACTGTAGAGCTCAATGGCAGCGCAGAGGAAGTGGAGTCACACAAGCGCCATCGTCAAGCTGAGAAAGGTATGTTCGCCATCTGCAAGTTGAGTATCTCTAACGTTCCGCAGATAAGAAGAAGGCAGCTGAGGCCGCAGAGGAGAAGGGGAATCTCAAACGTGGCGCTGGCGCCTCGGTGGACAACAGGCCCGCGAAAGCCGCCAAGGGCTCCGGACTCAAGTCAACCAGCGTCGCTACCTCAGCAGTGGTTCCCGACGAGTACCTCCCGCCCAACAAGATTCTGTTCTTGCAAAATCTACCGGAGGAGTACGATGTCGAGGCGCTCTCCACTATTTTTGGTCGTTTCGATGGATTCCGCGAGGTTCGCCTGGTTCCAAGCCGTCGTGGTATTGCCTTTGTCGAATATGACGCTGAGCAAGGGGCTATCAATGCCAAGGAGAACACTGCTGGCATGACACTGGGCGACAAGACTATCAAGGTCACATACCAGCGACAGTAGGCCTTTACGGAGAAGATTGTAAGCTGGCAGCGAAAGGGCGTTCTGGTCATTTGAATCTGGCAACATGTAATTATACGGCAGGCTAAAAAGGGCTCGTGTGCCCAAATCTTGGTAACATTTAGAAGATGACATCCTCATCCTCACCGGCTCCGAGGACATCTCCAGGAGCAGCATTCTCCTTCCCCTGGTCTCGCCCGTCCTCCTTGGCTGCCTGTGCTTCGCGTTTGGCCTTCATTTCCGCATCCGCGGCAGCAACGTCTCGCTGCTTCTTGTTGGCGACCTTCTTCAATCTGTAAAACTCCTCACGGTCGAGCTCATCCAGCTCGGAGTTGATGTATTTGATGGTGTTCTCCGTCCGGGGGATGATGACATGCTCAATGGCATTCACTAGCCTTTGTCAGTATCCTTCTGGTTCATAGCCTTGCCGTACGAACCTCGCCTGTTGACAACCTTGATCACCTCGTCCAGGATCACAAAGGCGGTCTGTAAACTGGCCAGCTCCACGAGAGCCTCGACAGCGCGCGCATATGTTTCTCGCGCCCTCTGTACTTGTTGACCTCCCTTTCCGAGACCTGTCAGCCCAAAGTCGTTGTTACCCTCGGTAAGATAACTCTCGAAAGCCGGGAGAAAGACACCCGAGACGTTCTCTTGCTTCGTGCGCACACGGAAACGAGCTGATTTGGCCGACTCTTGCACTTGATACCCAATATCCCCGCCCACAGCGTATGTCACCTCGGCCAGGGAGAAGGCGGCGATCTGCATGACACGCCCCATCTTTCGCTTCGCTTCGTCGATTCGGCGGGTGATCTCTGATCGATATATGTCAGTGTGCTCCTCCCAATCTCTTGGCCAATCTTCACCAACCTCGGAAACGTCTGTGGTCTTTTGTTAGCGATTGCAACATGCTTGCGTTGGAACTACCCACTTGGTGAGGGCTTCGCTTTTCCTCTTCAGTAGACTGTGACCAGTCTCTGCGCCCTTCAGCTTCGCCTTCATGATTCCGAGCGACTGCCGGGTCGGGAAGACGGCCTCGCGATCCTGCCATCGTCAGCTTGCCAGCAGACTCGCTGATAGGGTGATAGTACCGCAGCTCCAGACATCTTGTTGGATTCGGACGAACAAGTGCTATAGATCAGAAATAAAGAAGAGTCGAGTTTCCAACGGAGCTGAGTACACCGTATTGAGCTGTCGTTCCTCCAACTGCAACTACGAAGCTGGCCAGAGGTCAGGTACGTACATGAACCACGACATGACGGAATTGGCCCAGCCGCCGCGCCAGCCACGAAGTGGGGCAAGCAGGCGCATCAGGTGCCCCCACAATGGGCGACTCGGATCCCGGAAATTCCAGACGCCGACTCCAGCCTCAATCTTCAAACAATAAGGTGACAACGTCGCGCACGGCTTGACCTATTGTTCCGTGGGGATCCGCGAGCAACGAGGCCGAACGAGGCCACCAGACGACCGCTTGATTGCTCACTGAATCAAGCCTCCTTCATTGGAGACGATTGAGCCCATCCGCCACCACCGAGTCACAGCCACAGATTCGGTTTCGAGAACGGTCGAGCAGCACATCAGGCGAGGACAATGCGCTGCTTCGCGTAGCGAAATTCTTGTGCTCGCGCATGCACGTCAATTATTCGTCCTACTTGGATATTCCGGGCAGCTTACGCCCTTTCCATCCCAAGCCGCGCAAAGCCCACCATGGAGATCACCAACGCGACGCGGACGTTGGAAAGGAAGCCGGACCTGAGCCTCGTGGTGAGTCAGACGCACGCGTGCCCCAGTACAAAGACTGACCGTTGCTTCTGTAGACCAACGAAGACTCCGTATACGAGCAGGACATCCTCAGGGAACCTGCTAGCATCAAGCCATGGCTCGCTTACATTGACTTCAAACTTCGCCATGGGACAATACTGGAGCAGGCTTTCGTCATGGAGCGTGCATGCGCCCAACTTCCTCGATCATACAAGTTATGGAAGCAGTATCTTCAGTTTCGGACCCGCCATGTCTCGTCCCTCAATGCGGCCGTTTTCGCCGCAGAATACCGCAAGGTCAATGCCCTGTTCGAGAAGGCCCTCATTCTTCTCAACAAGATGCCGCGGATATGGGAGATGTACCTCAAGTTCTTGACGCGCCAGCCCTCTGTCACGTTGGTCCGACGGACGTTTGATCGCGCGCTGCGTGCGCTGCCCATCACGCAACACAACAGGATTTGGGCACTGTACCGGCCTTTCGCGAACTCTGCCGCGGGTCCCACGGCTGTCAAAATCTGGCGGCGCTACATGCAGGTACATCCAGAGGATGCCGAAGACTTTGTGGAGCTCCTGGTGCACACCAAGCGCTACACAGAGGCCGTCCAGAAGTGCATAGACATTCTGAACAACATACAGTTCACCAGCAAGCATGGCAAGGGTCATTACGAGCTTTGGAGCGATATGGTTGATCTGTTGGTGGAGCACGCATCGGAGGTGCAGACGGGCTACGACACGGGCATTGATGCCGATCGCATCATTCAAAGTGGTATTCATCGCTTCGCCGACCAACGTGGCAAGCTCTGGGTCGGACTGGCCACGTATTGGATTCGCAGAGGCAACTTTGAACGAGCTCGCGACATCCTTGAGGAGGGCTTGACGACGGTCATGACTGTGAGAGACTTCACCCTCATCTTCGATTCATACACCGAGTTCGAGGAATCCATCATCGGTGCTTTGATGGAGAGCGCATCGACGCGTGCCGAGAAAGGCGTTGAGGACGACGATGCAGACTTTGAGCTGGATATCAGAATGATGCGATTCGAGCATCTAATGGACCGCCGGCCATTCCTCCTCAACGATGTCCTCCTTCGTCAAAATCCCCACAACATCTCGGAATGGGAGAAACGAGTTGCCCTATGGGGTGACAACATGAAGGAAGCTGTCCAGACGTACACCGATGCCATTGCCGCCATCAATCCCAAGAAGGCTGCCGGTGCGTTCCACCAGCTGTGGGCCAATTTCGCCAAGCTCTACGAGAAAGCGGGCGATCTTCGCAACGCTCGCGTCATCATGGAGAAGGCGGTCAAGGTAGCCTTCAAGTCCGTCAACGAGCTCGCGGACATGTGGATTGAGTGGGCGGAGATGGAGCTGCGCAACGACAATTTCGATGATGCTATGCGCATCATGGCCAAGGCTGTGCAAGCGCCGAAACGGTCCAACGTGGACTACTTTGACGAGACCTTGTCGCCGCAGCAGAGAGTACACAAGAGCTGGAAGCTGTGGAGTTTCTACGTCGACCTAGTCGAGAGTGTGTCCACTCTGGATGAGACGCGCAAGGTCTACGAGCGCATCTTTGAGCTGCGCATTGCTACTCCGCAGACTGTGGTCAACTATGCGAACTTGCTGGAGGAGCACAAGTACTACGAAGAGTCATTCAAGATCTACGAACGCGGTCTTGACCTCTTCAGCTACCCCGTGGCATTCGAACTATGGAATCTCTACCTCACCAAAGCGGTGGACCGTAAGATCGGCATTGAGCGGTTGCGCGACCTCTTTGAGCAGGCAGTGGAGGACTGCCCGCCAAAGTTTGCGAAGACAATCTATCTGATGTACGGTAACCTGGAGGAAGAAAGAGGTCTCGCGCGGCATGCCATGCGCATCTACGAGCGGGCAACGCGAGCCGTCGCCGACGAGGACCGGGCCGACATGTTTAACTTTTACATCACAAAGTCAGCTTCCAACTTTGGGCTCCCATCTACGAGACCAATCTACGAGAGAGCAATTGGTGTTCTACCCGACAACGAGGCCAAGGAGATGTGTCTCAAATTCGCCGAAATGGAGAAGAGGCTGGGCGAGATTGACCGTGCGCGCGCCATCTTTGGCCACGCCTCGCAATTCTGCGATCCTCGTACCAGCCCCGAGTTCTGGACAAAGTGGGAGCAGTTCGAGGTTCAGCACGGCAACGAGGACACGTACAAGGAAATGCTGCGCATCAAGCGAAGTGTGCAAGCGCAGTACAACACAGATGTCAATTTCATTGCATCGCAGGCGTTGGCACGGGGCCAGCGCGCACAAGAAGGAGCCGGGGCTACCGACGAGTCCGATCCCATGGGCGCGTTGGAGAAGCAGCTTCGAGCGCCCCAGGGCTTCGTCGCTGCAAGCACATCGGTGCACGACAAGGCCAGTGCTGCCCCTGTCGCAGCACCGTCAAATCCGGACGCAATTGACATTGACGGGATGGACGAATGATACGACTACAATGCCAGGGGTTTTGGCGGGACATCTACTACAAGATTACTATTTTCCTTTCATGTTTACTGGTCATCACCGGATTTCCTTCAAAACGGTACAAAATAACGGCTGAATTCCACTACTATGTCAAGCAAGATGTTCTTGCTCAGCTTCTACTCCCGCGTCTGTTCATCTCGGCAAACTTTGCATGGAATTTCTCGGCGTAGTTCCTGTCCACGTGCCCATCGCGTGAGCTAGGCGTGGCATAAATCGAGCCCTTGCGCTTCTGGAACCGACTCGGGGGCACTTTTGATGCATCTGGGGACAGTCTTGGTTAACGGATCGTCAGGGCACTATGATTGTTATGTACTCACCCCACTCGTCACTCATTCTCCGGTCCTGCTGGAGTCCCTCCACGGGTGACTCGTTCATGACAATGGGAGTGAACTCGGTAGGTTGGTTCTGTGTTGCTGATTCCGAATTCATAGCTATTGGGGGACTCCTATAACAGAAGTTGGTAGCGGATGATACTGATTTATTGATACTGGGAGCGTTGCTTTCGTAGGATATATAAGGTGATGGGAACTGGGAGACCACAGGGGAAGACACCACTATATATGCCTTTTCCCTCCGAGCAAGTCCAGCTGACGAGTTACCAAAGAGGAGAAAGGAACCGATCGTCCAAGCGGCAAACGTTCTCGATTCCCCCATCACTCTCCAGGGGCGGACAAGTACATGCCGAACGTTAGGGGGACCCAATGATGCTGCTAGGTGCGTACCGCTAACCAATGATTCTGGGGTATGACGATCATCCAAGCGTGTGGGGATGGTTCGCTGCTACATACGTATTTGACGCCAACATCGGGTGGGTTAAAGTATAACTGCTCTCGAGTACACTGGGCTGTGCAACAGATTTGCCCCCCTCTCATTCCAAGAGGCCTCATGCACGTACTTACTTACGTACATGCGCGTGACGGGCAGTGGGCTGCGGGCATCGCCAGCCAGCGATAGGACGAGGAACTCGCCCACCTCTTGATCTGGTAATGATGCGTGTGCTACTGAGGAAGACTGCGATCCTCCCGCCCGTCGAGCTGCAGCTGAGTGGAACTTGGGGTTCTTGTTGCTGTTACAGTGCAGGCGGCGAGTCATCGTCCGTTGCGTTGCCCCTTGCCCCCCAGGTCGACGACCCCCTCTCTCAAGAGGCTATTTGAGCTGCGCCGCCAGCCCTCGCAAGCCAAGCATCTAGACTAGAAATTCTCATCGCGTGCCTCTGGTCCCCATGCTTGGCAAGGTTGGGGATTCCCGTGCCGAGAAGTTCGTCGCGTTCACGGTTCAAGATGCAGCCCGTCAGCTGGGCATGCATGCTATTCGGCGCTAGATGAGGCGTTGCACGAACCTTAACTGAAGCATGTTGCGACCACCCCGTGGCTACGATCGTCGGTCCCATTGACGTAATGGACCAGTACCGATCGTAGAGCTTGAACACCCTTCATGCGGTTGCAATCTATTGCTCGACGGTGATAGGGGTCCAATGCCGATCAATGTGGTCAATCCATGCTCGCGCTACCAACTGACGTACAGATGGTGCAGTACAGGGTGTCTGGATTGCGATGATGACCACAATGTGCCAACATGTTGATGGTGAGTGATCCCACCTGCAGTAATTTTCACTCGGTAATATTCCTTCCACGATCATAATATGAACATCAGTTCATGGCATATGCACAGCGTAGGTAGTCGATGGAATCTTGGCATCTCGAGGAAGATAGTCAGGCCAAGCGTCTAGGGTAGCCACGATGTGAGGTTGCCACAGGCAGGCGAAACGGGAATCCATTTGATGACAGTGTGACGAGCATTTGAAAATTCAAGAAAACGCATATGCAACATCCGGAAACCGCCAAGGCCCAGCCAAAAGCAGGCGAGCATGAGTACGATTGAGAACTCGTGAAATGACATCTATTACAGACAGATTGCGCCAAAAACGAACCGATCTGGGCTGATTGACGTCCGGCAAAGACTCATCCGCAACAGTCAAGACTCAGAGTCAGAGTCACACATGCTGCTCGGCAAAACAGTATCGCGCCAGCTCTTACACCGCATACAACCCAGAAGGCCGATCTCACTATTGCAAGTCTGGGTGATGAAACGAGACTTGGCCACTGCAACTGAACGATCTCCATCTCCCGGGCCTCGCACAGCGAAGAGGACAAAGACCGCCGCCGTCATGGCCCACGTCAAGCTGAACGAGGATGAGCAGCGCCTACGGAGACTTCTCTTGGGCGCAGCAGAATTCATCGACAGGGCAGGAAAGGAGCCAGTCATCCTGCGATGGGCCGGTGGGTGGGTTCGCGACAAACTCCTGGGCACTGAAAGCAACGACATTGACGTGGCCATCAACGTGATGACGGGCGCCGACTTTATCACGCACCTCAAGGAGTATCTCAGCGACGCCAGGGTCATTGAGCACCACCAGCTCAAGGAGGACGAGGTGGGCAAGGTCTACAATGTGGCGGCCAACCCCGAAAAGTCGAAGCACCTGGAAACTGCCTCCGTTAAAATATTCGGCCTGGACCTCGATTTTGTGAACCTGCGAAAGGAGGTGTACAGCGACATCAGTCGCAACCCGACCATGGAGTTTGGCACGATCGAGGAAGACGCGGAACGACGCGACGCCACCATCAACGCACTGTTCTACAATCTCGGCACCGACCTGGTGGAGGACTATGTCGGCGGGCTGGCGGATCTGCGAAATGGCATCATTCGAACACCCACTGAGCCCCTCCAGACGTTCACGGATGACCCTCTGCGTGTCCTTCGCCTTGTCCGGTTCGCGAGCCGCCTGCAATTCGAGATTGCAGAGGAAACCATGCTTTTCATGGGCAACGCAGGTGTGCTCGAGTCCTTGCGCGTGAAGATTAGTCGTGAGCGGGTGGGCATCGAACTAGAGAAGATGCTTCGAGGTTTGTGGTATTCTGACAACCAGCAGACGCGAGCTAACCGTGCTGGCAGGCCAGTTCCCGCGCAGGGCGCTCTCCTTGATCGACGACCTTGGCCTTTATGAGGCCGTGTTCACAGACCCGAGCCAGAGTGCGGCCGTTCCTCCGTTGCGGCGGAAATGGTCCGTGGCATACAAGTGTCTTTACGACGTGATGCAGAATCACTCGCCCATGTCAATTTACGATTTACTCATCACCAAGAAGGAAGCCGAGTACATGGCATGGAATCTCGCCGCACTATCGCCCTGGATGACGGCAGACCCAGGCTCCGAAGTCGAACGCAAAAAGAAGAGGTATCTACCACCGCCTGCCAAGATGGCCTGGGAGGGTTATCGGGCATCCAACAAGGTCAGCGATGTCATTGCTGCATCCTTCAACAACCGGGCGGAGATCATGGAGCTCAAAGAGGATATCCTCGCCAAGGCACCCCGAGCCAGCGACAATGGTATCGTGGGCATGGCCCTTCGACGCTGGGAGCTGTCTGGCAGCTCATGGAAGCTACAAGTTCTGAATGCCATTCTCGTGGATGCCGCTGAAAAGCTGGCTGTGTGGGACCTAGATAAGAACCACGATGAAGAGGCGGCAGAGCTGCAGAGGAACTTTCTCAAGGACTGGCAAGCCGTGCTCGACTGGCTGGTGGACCTCGATGCCCTAGGGGCCGTCAACGTGAGGCCCTTGCTGACCGGTTTGGAGCTGAGCAAGGCTTTGGGAGTGAAACCTGGGCGGTGGACGGGGGCGGCGCTGAATGAGTGTGTTCGTTGGCAGCTGCGTCACCCGGGCGTGACGGATCCGTCCGGTGCGGTCGAAGAGATCCGAGCGCAGGCAGAGCGGTTAGATATCCCGCTGAACCCATGAAGAAGCGAAGAGTAGAGATGCCCCTTGTGATGACCAGGCCTTGCAGTCAGCCTGTCACGAGATGCGGCAAACACAACCATAGATACCATAAAAGTAGACGACGCTCTATTAAATGAACGTACACATAATTAATTTTCATTTACCTATAAGTGATGGCGTGGTGGGCTGCTGACAAAATTGTCGGCGCCCTGGTGGTGATGGGGACAGAACTCACTCCAGTCATCACCCAGACTTCAATTTCTCCCTTTGCAGCGCACCTCTCCCATCGGATAAAGAACAGCTTCCTTGACCCTTGTCGAGATGAACGACACTGCTCACCTCAGCGAGAGCAACCTCGCTCGTCAAGGAGAATTATCCACAGGTGAGTCCGCGATGCCCACGTCTTTTGGCAAAGTCTCTGTCCTGGGCCTCAGCCTTACGCAGTCCCGCAGCACAGCAGCCAACGACGCTCCACGAGACTGCCACGACACTCGAGGACAGCGCGAAGAACAGCGAGGTATGCAAAATAATAGAATGTCTTTAATTCATACGCTACATACTGACAAACATCTTGTCGCCGAAGTCTGTCCGTGACGCACTCCTCACGTGTCTCGGCACGCTGTCTCACACGCCAGCCACGGCCGCGGACGACGATGCGCGGGCCGCGACACTCGGGAGGCTGAAAAAAAGTGTGACCACAGGCCTGGGAGGCACGGCGATCGCGGAAGATGGTACGTTCTTCTCGGAACTCCGTGTCCGCCGGAAAATACGTGACGATGGCTGACACTGTCTCAACAGTCGAGGGACAAGCCTTGACGGCCGAGGCAGCGCTGGCCTGTCTCGTCGAGCTGCAGACCAAGTGGCAGGTCGAAATGGACGACGAGTCTCTCAGACAAGTTCTCGCGTACACGGATGCCGGGGATGGCTGGACCACGGAGGAGGCTGCTGCCATGGCCGGCCAGCTGGTCGACGCTGCTCTCCCCGAGCACAAGGTGCCGAGCTTCATTGTGGAGAGCATCCTACAGCAGCATCTGCGACCGCTGTTCTCACAGTCTACTACAAAGGTCACTGCATCGGGTCGCCCGGTACTCTTCGAGCAAGGCGAGCCGAGGGCCTACAGAGGCCTGGAGACGCCATCATGGAAGCGTGGTGGACTACAGATCATGTCGTTGTTCAGGTGGGCTGTGCAGCACGCGGATGTGAGTACTGAGCATCGTGATACGAACGACCCATGTTTTGACGTTGTATACAGGACATTGTGATACGTGACCATTGGCCACTATTTACGCCTGTCCTCCTTACTCTCATCGAAGATGAAGACACCGCCGTTCGGGTACATGGCCTCGGCACACTCGGTGCCTTTGTTGACAAATGCCCTTTGCGCATCCTGGCCACTACCGGCATCGCAAAGGTCTTTGAGGAATCTATGTTCCCGTCCTTGTTGTTTCTGCCTACTTTGACGCCCGAGGACCAGTCTGTCGAGATCATCAAGGCCGCCTACAAGGTTCTCCTGATCCTCGCGAAGAAGGACCCAGATACCAAGAGCTCTGCCCGACGTCACCTACTGGACAAAATGCTCCGCAACGGCGTATTCGCTGCGCATGATCATGCCTCCCAATACATGCGTATAGTCGAGACTCTCATGACCACGCTGATCTCCGTGGTCGATGCGCTGGAGATCTTCGCGGTCAAGCATCTACAGGTGAGATCGCACAGTCGCAACTCGCAACCGTGGCTGACGCTACCAGAACCTCCTTTCCTTGCTGTCTGCCGTCATGACCGACCCCTTCGCCCCGTCGCGACCAGCGACATTGCTCGCAGCGGCCCAAGCAATGAATGCTGTTTTCGCCAATTGCTGGCCCAGAATCTCCGAGGGTGGGTACGACGACGAGGTTATCCGGATAGCGAGCACCTGTTGGACGAATCTGCGCGACCACGACGCAGCCGCGCTCGACTCCAGCCCATTGGAACGAGAGCTCCGGTGCACCATCTCCGCTATCCTCGCGGTCCAGAGATCTCAGAACCTCCGTGCGGGCCGCGCCGTTTCTCTCGAGGACGTCGAAAAGGCCGAGCCAGAGCTCAAGACACTCTGGCAATGATCAAACGCTCAGTCCAGCGGCTGCTGCTTGAAGAACGACTTGCCCCGGAGCCACTTTCGATAGGCCTTGTACCGCTTCTTGGGCCCGTCCTCTTCCGTCACGGTGAGGGGGTTCTCGCCGACTTTGAGCATCTCCGCGTACAGCGCAATCTCTTCCTCGTCGCCCGTCACCATGAGCCCCTCGGCCTGCCAGTCTCCCGATACGTACTCCTGGTATTCAGAAGCGTCGACGTCGACTGGTGTGTCTGTGGACGTGACGAGTGGCATTTGCTGCGGGTGCTGGATGTACTGGACATAGTCTGCCTCCTCATGCTCCTCCACGGTGGGGTTCAGCGACTCGATGACAGCCTTCTGGAAGGTCCACTGTGCGCTTTTGGACTTTTCGCTCTTCTCTGGCATGGTCGAGTTCTTCCTCTCTGGCGCCGCCTCTTCAATCTGCGTCGGAGGGAACGCTGCTCTGTGGAATGGATGAGGGGCTCTGCCCTGCGGAGCGGGCATCTGCAGCCAGCGCTGGATACCTCTTGATGCGGTCTGGCCGGACGCAATGGAGGCGGTGTCATCGTCGACTCCTTCCTGCTGATACAGCGGCGAGCCTGCCTGCGAGATCAGCGAGACACCTCTGCGGTGCTTTTTGCTTTCAGCGTGCGTATCGGCATCGGTGCGGACTCGGAAAGGGCTGAGATCGTATCGACCGTCCTGCGTCGATTTGAATGGGATGTACTTGATGGTCGAGTTCATCTTGTACGCAAACATCTTGGGGAAGGACGATAGGGTGGATGGGCGATAGTATTCGAGCCAGTAGTCGTCAAAGAACTCGACTGGACGCGCACGTATTGACCGACTGAGCGGGACCAGTGGCGGCAGCTTTCTTTCCGCGAGGAACTCGGGCGTGTACCAGTTTATATACCCTTTACCTGCCTTGTTGGACCAGTCCCTCGGGTTGGCATGATGGAGGTAGTAGTCCGTGGCGAGATCCCACAGCATTGGCTGTCCGTGGGCAAAGATGTAGTTGCCGAGGAACAGGTTGTACGCCTCTTGGCGCTGGCTATCCAAGAAGGAGTTGTTGTAATATCGCTTGAAGCTCTCAATCATGTCGCGTGAATGGCTTGTCCACTGGTTGATCTTCCGATACGTCTCCATCGTGTTCACGAGCTGTGAGCCACCGTACTGGACGGCGATGGTGTCGCCATGATCGTGCCACATGTGCGTGAATAGGTTGACGGCGTCGGTGTCGTACTCGACCGTGACGTCTTCGATGATGCCCAGGGCATGAAGCTGGTGGCCTAGCGCGCGCTTGCCTATGACAAACTGGGCGGCATTCGTGCGGTCGAGACAGTCGATACAATTTGTTCGTGCGACGCCGTTCTGGGCGCTCATGGGGCTCGTCTCGCCATCACCGTTCTGGAAGAAGCCGGTCGTTTTGAGAACGGATTCCGCAATGACCTCAAGGTTCCCGATGACGTCCCCGCCCCGAACCTTGGATGCCCGACTCATGTCCCAAGCCTTGTGTATGATCTTCTTGTCTACAGGAAGGAACTGATTCAGATAGTTGATGGCGTCCGTGTACTCGTCCAGAAGCTTCGACTCGCGAGGCTGCCTTTCCTTGGACTTGATGAGATTAACGACATAGACAGGAGCGCCATAGCGCTCAAAGAGGTTGTCAAAGTGCAGTGCCGCCGCAGAATAGAAAGGGTCGACCAGGTTGACTTCGATTGGAGGTCTCGGAGTGACACCAGTGTTGTCTTGCGTCCAGTACAATGGTATGCTCCCTCGATGTTGTACGTACGAAGTATACTGCGGGCTACAGTACAGCCGAGGCCCGGGCGCGTGGAAGGATGTTGTGAGCGATTCAGCTACGATTTGCTCCGTCTCGACATCGTTGGCAACGTAGCCCAGGTCATTCGCTCCACGCTTGAGGAACCGCGCACCAGCAAAGTAGCGGGATCTTCTGGCAATCACGGTGATATGAGCGGTCCGGCCATAGATGGAGAGGGCTGCCTGATCAATGTAGCCATGGATAATGGGACGACACCAGTCAAAGGGATCACGCAAAGCTTTGACCGCCGGCTGCAAGAGGTAGTCATTCCACACGAACATGGAGTTGAGGTCGTCCTCTGAGGCGGTGAACTGACCTTTGGCAAGGTTCTCACGCTCGCGCGTGACATTATGCTGCAGGGTCCCGGTGACATCGTAGGAGTAACTGTAGTAGAAGGACCTCGTGAGGTCGAGGTTGTTGAGAATGCCCAAGAACCTCTGCTCTTCCGTATTTCGCGAGTCCGTCTTGAAGCGAGAAGGGACGAGGGGTACCAGCTCGGTGCCTTCAATCTGGTAGATGTAGTGGCCACCGATCATGGCCACCGTGCTTTTCTTGGTGATCAGGAGCATGTAGTAGGGTCCGGTGAACTTGATGAATCCCAGCAAGCCCCATGTGGTGCACCGCAACTTGATACCACCCGTGCCCCTGTTCCCGTGATCGATGGTGTCCAAAAGCTGGTTCATTTGCTTGAGGCTGTACACAATCTTGTCGTCCGTCATGCTCAGTTCGGATCCGTCGCCCGTACAGTCGATCTTGAGAATGCGATACCACTTCTCGCTCACGTCCACGCCCACTATGTAGTATCGGCTCGCTGTCTCGTACAGATTGAATTTGTGCATTTTGTAGGCAAGTCGATCTGGCGTTTTGTCGTCCTTGTCGGGCATCGCAGTATGGGCCCTGGGTGCACCGGAATCTGGGCTGGCGGTTCGCACAAAGGGCTTCGCTACAGTAGCCTCATCATCATTGTCTGCCTCTCCGAGACGTGTCGACACGAGAGGCGCCTCGGATGAAGCGCGGCTCGACTGGTCATTGTGTTGGAGAGAAGGGAAGACTGGCGCCTCTGGAGGTCTTTGGGCTGGTTCGGGCTCGGCGGGCAACGGCAAGTCCTCTGGGAAAACCTGGCTGGCAACAGAAGCAGGAATGGGCTCCGCCATGACTGGACCGTGACTCTTTACGGCTGACTTTGGGAACGCAGATGGGCCGGCATGGCGAGATATTCGATAGGCGTTGATGCTGCGCGGTGGAAGCGACGTCGCGTGGGTTGGTGCGTCCTCCTCGCGTTGGACTCGGCGTCGGGTATTCGATGCGGGACACGAACTACATGCCTTCTACATGAGCGTTTCGGTGCTGTGGTTCGGGCATTCGATTTTTTCGTCGTGAGAGTCTGCCTTGACGACCTGCGCAAGCTGTAGCAGAGCTCCCTCGATGAGGCAAGCTCCCACCAGCAGCTGATGGTCATGTCACGTGGATCCCGGGCGACAACCAAGGACATCATTTGATGTTTCACGAGTATTTTCTCTCTGCATTTGACATGTAGAGAGAACGCTACGCTGAATTTGACCAGAAGTTGTCCTTGTGAGGTATTCATTGAATTACTTTCGAGCCTGCGCCGTCCAAACATGCGGCAGAATCATTGCGCCTGGTACATGTATCCTAGTCTAAGTAAGTATGCTATGTATTGTAAAGTCTATATCGTGCTCAAAATCATTTTCTGTCTTGCATTTCCTCCACCCTGTCATGGACATTGGCTCCATTCCATTTCTCCTTTCCATTGTCCTCGGCGTCGGTTTCTAGCTTGGGGACCCCGACCTGCTCGATAGCAAAGCTAGCAGCAACCGAGCCCCATACGGCCGCCTCGTCGATCGAGTGCCCCCGCGCTAGAGCAACGGCGAGACCGCCCAGAAACGTGTTACCGCCTCCCGTTGGGTCAACAACCTTGCTCGCGTCCTGGTGGTAGGCGGGCACCCAGCGCTCGATGCCTGGGTCGACTTCGATCTCTTCCCGGGCTACCAAGCCATCTGCATCTTGAAGCAGGCCTGCAAAGAGCGCTTCCATGTCGGTATCCGGCCGTAGACCACCCCGAGGGTAGTGCTTCTTTCGTTGCTGTGTGTTCGAGCTCTGGTTGCGCTGACGCTTCCTGCCTCCGTTCTTTGCGATGTAACATCCCTTGTCACCCGCCCTCACCACGAGTGAAAACGACTGCAGCGGCATGCTGGCCAGGAGCTGCTCACATGCCCGCTCCACGGCCTTTTTCGAGATCTCGCCGGTATCTGGGTCAAGCCCGTCATCGCCCATGAAGCCAGCCAGCTCCGAGTGATTGGGACTACACACGTCGATTACGGGCAATGTGTTTGTGCAGTTGAGTAGCTCGTCTGGCGTGCAAAGATCCGGGACTGGTTCCCAGATGAAGACCGGTCGGAAGTAGGTGTCCTGCATAACGGCCTTGCGACGAGACGTAATGTCGGCAACAAGCTCCTGGCACCGGAGCGGTGAGCATATGAGGTGGATCGACCGTGCCTGGAGCAGCTCGGGGGTCAGGTCGTCGGCGACTAGGCGCTTCTTGGGCGTCATGTATTTGAACAGCCTCTTCTCGTCGGTTCCTTCGTACCCGTTCCAACCCCTTGTTGTCAGGCGTTCTGGATCATCGCGATATAAGACGGATGTCCCCCAGTCGTCAATCTGCTCCGTGAGTGCCGCTGGAAAATCAGAGCCTCGATCCACGATCCAACCGACACTTTTTGACAGAGGCGGAGGGGAGAAGAGCCGGGCGCCTAATGCCGACCAAGAGCCAGCGCCTCCCAAAACATCCTTGACTGATGGTATTGGTGGAATGAAGTCAATGTCGTCTACAAGTGTGAGCAGCCATATCACCTCTTCTTAGCAGTCAATTGGGTATACCTATTATGAACATGCCCAAGGTGACAAAGTCAATCTGAGTCGGGGCACTATCAGTTCGTTGGCGGATGCTCAGCTCTGCAGTTTGCTCTGGTTGTGGCTTGTCGGACTCGGTAGCCTCTTCCTCCTGTCCAGGCTTGTGGTTCGCGTCCTCGACCGCGACCTGCTCATCTTCACTCTCGCGCGACCCAGAGTTTTCTATACTCTTGGATGCACCCATGTCATTGTTCGGCTCCTTGTCCATACGCCGTGGTGGGTTTTCTTGAGCCTTGGCTTGGCTTAGAAAGACTGATGCTGACACGCGGCTCGAAGATGCCCACTGTGCTGAAGATAGTCGGACTCTGCCAAGCGAGACCGCTCTCTTGGACAATCTTGAACAATAGATAACGAATAATCAAGCGAAACTCAGTCAACAAAAAGGGAGACGGGCTGAATGATGACACGGCCAGAAGTCAGCGCACAAGAAGAAACGGTGTAGGCTGGGCCATCAAGCTGCGCAGCATGATAGTGTTGTGTGGGCACAATTCCTCCCTCAGGTACCCGACGTGGGCTTGAGCTTACAGACACCAGCGGGACACATGTCTCGATAGCGCAGCTCGGCTTGGCTGCATCGTCCCGTGCAAGCTTCGACGCGCACTAACAGCCGACCGGGATTGAGGCGCAAACGGACTCCCAGGAGGAATCCAGGACGGGATTGAGCCTGGCACCGTTCGTAACGGCCAAGACGGACCATGACGCGACAGCTGTTTCCCAGAGTTGCTCAGGGGACGCCCCATCGTGATTGGCTTGCCTTGGGGGTTGTAGACGCAACAGATCCATCCAGGCGTGGACTGGATATCCGATGCCATGTTGGTGCTTCCTTGCCAATAATCGTACTGCCTACCTCTCAAACCATTGACAATAGACGACACAGAACATTGCGTGGCCAAGGCATCAATCGACGCCTCTGTCCGCACAGTTGTCGAGCTCTGCCTCCCCGCGCCTTGTTTAGCCGGTGGTTGCCTGGTGTTGGATTTGGTCGGTTACCCCCTTCGCAGGACACATTTGGCTTGACAGACCGTCGATCGTCTTGTTCGGTTTCGAACCTGGACAAGGAGCTACTCCTGTTCTCCTCGAATTGATCCGTCCGCCTCGACGTCCACAGCAGACCGTACCTTACCTTGCTTGAGTCAACTGTGGAAGGAAGGAGCGACGCCCCCTGCGTCACAACCACACCACAATGGCCGCTGCTAACAACATGCACAACCTCACCACTCTCATCAAGCGGTACGAACGCCACAAACCCCATCTCTTCATCTTCATGGGCCATGCAGAACATTAGCGCTAATCTTGCCAACCTGTACACCAGGCTCGAAGCTGCCACCTCCCGTCTCGAAGACATTGCGACATCCACCGAACTCCCCAAGAATGGCGCAACACCGGTGACCAGCATCGACGCCAGCTCGTCCCCGGCGCAGCTCCCACCACCGCCCACCGAAGCTCCCAAGGCTGCCGACGAGCCCCTGCCCGCCGCCGTCGAGGACTACGATGCGTTCCTCGAGACGACGATTGGCAAATACGTCCAGAGCAGCGACGAGCTGGGTGGGCTCGTGGCCAAGCAGGCCGCCTTGGTCGCCAAGGCGTTCCACGAGCAGCGCAAGCTCCTCCTCATCGCCAGCAAGGCCAAGAAGCCCGACGACGCCACCCTCGGAAAGCTGGTCGAGCCGATGAACGGCCCCGCCATGGAAGCCATGAACATCAAGGAGGAGAATAGAGGGAGCGACCAGGCGAACCACCTGAGCACTGTCGCGGACGGCATCATGCTCCTGGGCTGGGTCTTCGTCCCGAACCGACCCTTCAAGCACGTGGATGAGTTCTTGGGATCCGCCCAGTTTTGGGGGAACAAGGTCCTGAAGCAGTACAAGGAAACGTGAGGAGCCAGATATTTCCAACCATTTGCCAATCGAAAGAGGCTGACACTATGACACAGGGACCCGAAGCACGTGGAATGGGTGCAGTCGTTCTACGGCATCTTTAAAAACCTCTCGGAATTGATCAAGGATCGATACCCGAACGGACTCACGTGGAATGCCAACGGAGAGTCTGCCGTCGAGGTTGCCAAGTCGCTGGACTCCAAGGCCACACCAGCAGCGCCTGCTCCGGCTGCTGGTGGTGCGCCGCCGCCGCCTCCTCCTCCCCCGCCCCCTGGCCCTCCCCCAACCCTCGATGTCAAGACTGAGCCTGCAGCCCCTGCCGCCCCGTCGGGTGGCTCTGGGTTCGGGGCCGTCTTCTCGGAGCTCAACAAGGGCGAGTCCGTGACCAAGGGCCTGCGCAAGGTCGACAAGTCCGAGATGACCCACAAAAACCCATCGCTCCGTACCTCGTCAACGGTCGGGGATGGCAGCTCGGCGTCGCGCGCTAAGAGCCCGGCGCCTGGAAAGAAGCCCAAACCCCAGAGCATGAGGGTGAAGAAGCCCGCCAAGAAGGAGCTTGAGGGCAACAAGTGGACGATTGTGAGTGGACATGATGCGGATGTGCATGCAGGTGGAAGACTAACACGGGGCTAGGAAAACTACGAAAAGGAGGCTGAGCCCGTTACCATTGACGCCGCCTTGTCCCATTCCGTCCTGATCAGCCGTTGTAACAACACGACGATTATTGTCAAGGGCAAGGCCAACCAGGTTACCGTCGAGAACTCGTCGAGGCTCTCCCTGGTGGTGGACACTCTCGTCTCCACAGTCGACGTGGTCAAGGCCCCCAACTTTGCCCTGCAAGTCCTGGGCACCATCCCCACGGTGATGCTGGATCAAGTTGACGGTGCGTCTGTCTACCTGAGCAAGGAAAGCATCGCCACCAAGATCTTCTCCAGCAAGTCGGACAGCATCAACCTGAATATCATTGAGGGCGAGGATGACTACAAGGAAGTGCCACTGCCTTCGCAGTTGTGCTCGTACTACGACGAGTCCAAGGGCCAGCTGGTCAACGAGATTGTGGACCACGCCGGTTAGACAACGTGTGGCTGGTATGACGGGTGTACGATGGAGTGTTTCTTCTAGGTAGTAAAGTTATGAAACATGTGGTGTCGTCTTGAAGACTGCGTGGAACGCGAAATTGTACAAGTTGTGAGAGTGTATTGTCTCGACATGTAGAGCGCCTGGTGATCCTACAACCTTGCTGCAAAGGACTTCTTTCTAACCGACCAACCATGCTTGAAGGAATCGCTACCAAGTATGTGTATCCAGATCTCTATAGTTTCGCCTTGGGCGCCTCGACAGTGGGCATCAGCAGGTCGCGCATCTCGCCCGCGGCTTCGTTCAGGTAGTAGCTCATGCGGTCGCTGCCGAGCCCCTTTGACACAATGTTCATGTTCAAGCTGCGAGAAATGTTAGCCGCACTGTCTTTTTGTCACAAAAGTAGAAATACACACCTGTTCTCGTTGATCATGTACGCAATGCCGAAACCGTCATCAATGACCTGGCTCCATCCGTAGCCGTTGAAGAACTCGGAGCTGAGCTGTGAGGTGGACAGGTACCACGAGCTCGAGTAGGCGTAGGCCGGGTCTTGGTAGATGGCGGGCACCTCCTGGCCGGGCTCGAGGAGCTTCTTGAGGCCGAACAGATGCCTGTCGACGCCCTTGCCCTCGGAGGCCGAGGCAATGTACTCAATGTGGGCGTTGACGGCCTTGCGGAAGAGGTCGACGCGGGCCTTGTCGTCGGTGTTGGGGTCGTGCATCGAGCGGCACCAGGCGGTCGACTCGTCCGAGACGCTGCGGCAGGTCTCGGTGCGGCCGAGCTGGAAGCGGCGGGTGGCGGCGGACTCGTACGTGGGACGGTTCTGGCCGTACATCTTGTAGTAGGCCAGCTGGATCAGCATCTGGACGTAGGCGTCCGGGGAGCACTTGAACTTCTTGATGAGGCCCTTGCCGTAGCCCTGGTAGGCCTGGACGGCGAGCTGGTGCTGGCCGATGAGGTCGACAAAGTCCCGCTGCGCGCGCTCAATCTCGGCCTGGACCTTGGGGGTGATCTCGAAGCGAATGACCTCGGGGGCGGCGAGGTTGGAGCGGACCGAGGGGTCGTCAAAGTCGAGCTTGTTGCCAAAGATGAGGTCGTTGACGTAGTCGTTGAGACGGTGCGTTGGCGTGCCGTCCATCATGGAGTGCTCGCCCATGAAGCCCGAGGTGCCGTTCTCGTTGATGATGAACTGCAGGGGCTTGTCGAACCAGCGGTTGGCGCCATCGCCGTGCCAGTACTGGTGGGCGCGCTCTTCGAGGGTCACGGGCGACGCGTCGTCGAGGCACACGACAAAGGAGGAGGACTCAATGGCCTCGAGGGCCGCCTTGTTCTTGGGGCTGGCGTCGAGGAGGATCTGGCGCGCGTCGGCCCAGACGTCGCGGTTCTCGGACGTCAGGGCGCCGACGGGGGCGACGGGGTCGGCGCGCTCGTAGATGCGCCTGAACTGGGTCTCAAGCTCGGTGGTGTTGAGCTGCTTGCCGTCGACCTCTGTGGGCAGCTTGAAGAACTGGTTCTTGCGGATGACGACAATGTGCTTGTTCTGGTCCGGGCTGAACTTGACGGGGTAGTCCTTGGGGTGGGCGGCGACGCGGCTGGCGTTGAACATCCACTGGTAGCTGTCCATGCAGATGGGCAGCTTCTTCATGTACTCGGGCTCGAGGGTGCCGGCGTCGACCTGGCTCTTGAAGTCGAGGATGGCGGTGGTGAGGGCGGCGGCGCGCTTGGCGGGCTCGCGTCGCTTGCGGTCGTCGCGGTGGGAGTAGAAGTAGCTGACGTAGGGCACGACGGGGTCGCGGTAGGCCAGGTAGGCGGCGTCGTTCCACCACTCGTAGATCCAGTTCTTGGTGTTGGGGTCCTCGCGCTTGGCCACGAGCTTCTCCTGCAGCGTCTGGCCCACGCCGCCGGGCTTGACGAACTCCTGGACGGCCTTTTGGCTCTTCTCAAACTCGGACTGGGAGAGCAGGGGGTGCAGCGTCTTGAGGTAGCGCTTGGCCGTCTCCTCGAGCGTGGGGACCGGCAGCTTGGGGAGCGACTCCTGGTACCGCAGCATGGGGCCCTTTGACTTGTCCTCGGCATAGGGCTTGGGCAGGGAGCTGCTGCTGCGCTTTGTCTGGGCCATGATGGCAGTGCGGGCGCCGGTCGTCGCGGCGGTTGTCCTGCTGGCTCGTTGCAAGGTGCTGGTGACTGCGCGTGAAGAGGAGGCGTAGGAGGAGCGGGAGGAGGCGAGGGCAAACATGACAATTGGAAGGGAAGGGTATCAAGAGATGTGAAGTAATACAAGCAGATCGAGAAGGAGGCCCTTGCGACCGAGGCTGAAGCGTTCCGGGTGGTTTTGTATGATGTTGGTGTGGGCCGGCTTGGAGAAGCCTGTCACTATTGCTCGAAGTCTACTAGCCGAGCATGTGAGGCGGGCTACCAGCGCCTATTACCACGCACTGGCGGCGCCCAGCGTGCCAACGTCACCTTCTGAGCCTCTTGGAGGGCCATAAATTGGAGATGGACCCCCAGAGTCTTCCCACTCCTCCGCTCTTTAGGCCATTTCCCCGTCGCTGCCCCATCTCGGCCCCCGTTTGCCTGGTCCGTTCACCCGGTGGGGCGTCATTCAGCCGAGGTAATTCACCACCAGGAGGTTTGGAACGAGGCACAAACTACAGCGGCTATAATAGTCAATCTTGGCTGTAAAATGCCTAATTAGTGTACCTGGTAGTTATCACGTCGTGTCTCACAAACAACACGAGCACAAGAGCGATTCCCCCAGTCTAAACAGGCCTCGTAGATCTAGTGCATTAATACAAGCATGCCTGACTACCTGGTTATCGCCGGAACTCCGAATGAATAGTACACCAAATCGTCGCAAACTCGCGCCAGACGGTAGCGTACTTGTAGTCACGCGCCGTCCATCCATCCCTTCTCGCCAACTGTAGAGGCACTCCCCGCCACGACATACATTCTGCGCCTCATAGTGAGGGCGCGTTTTGAAAATACCCAAACACCTCGTGCGTCGTTCGTAATACCATGCTGCCAACCCCTCATAGCTCAAAGCTCTTGGTCTGGCCGTCACTGCTCGGGGGCTGGATCCCATTCGCATCAGCTACCGGCTGGAAGCTCAGTCGCTCGCCCTCCGTCATCGCCTCGTTCGCCATGCGCAGGCCCTGATCACCGCCGGTGGCCGCGGCCGCCTTGAGACCATCCTGCACCGTGCGCACGCGACGCTTGAACGCGAGCCTGTCCAGGAACAGTTGTTGTCTGCCGCGCTCCAGGTCGCGGCGCTCGGCGCGCATGATCGACTCCATCTCGTTGAAGTACTTGAGCTTCAGCTCCAGCTTCTGCAGCGTCACGTTGGCAGCGGCAGATACTAGGCGTGTCATCTCGCGCTCTTCGTGCGAGGCGAACCCAGCCGCGCGGGCGCCCATGGAGGCTAGAGGAACAGAGGCCAGGCTTGTTGTCTTGGTCGTTGTCGTCGTTGTCGTGGTGGTGGTCTCTTGCCGCACGTCAATGTCCATCGACTCGTCCTTCTCCTTTTCCTTTTTCTTTTCCGCCACTTTGTCGTCGCTGTCGGCGGTGGGGACGTTCTCGAGCTGCTTTCGCAACTGGCGCTTGAGCTCGGCAGCCGACTTGTTCGCCGCCGCCGCTGTGCTGGCAGGGTCGGCGAGACTCGCCAGGAACCCAACCACAGACATGACGGGGTTGTCAGCCTGGCTGAAGGGCAGCTGGCCGTGTTGGCTGCCCAGCATGGCCAGTCCAGTGGGAGGGTTGAGGGGCACCTCGGAATCCAGGTACTTCTCCTCAATGTCCAGCTGCAAGAATTGGAGGACGCACTCTTCGCGCGTTCGGGTGCCAACATGGTCGGCAATCTCGCTCCAGTCCTCGTCGAACCTCTCGAGACCCTCCAAAAGACGCAGGATCTCGGCGTCAGTCCAAGGAGCGTCGCGGTCGAGGACTGCGGTGTACTGAGGGTTCTCCTCCTTTGTGTACATCTGAGATGTGTGGTTGGATGGCAGGCGACCCTCCACAAAGCAGCTGGGGCAGACATCGTACCTCGTCTTGGAGGCTGTCTCGCCCTGCTGCGCGCCGTTGTGATAGTAAACACGCGTGCAGTCCACGCTGCACATGTGGCAGTGCACTGCGGCAATAGGCGTCTTGGTGCCCGGCTCGCCTCCCGACACGCCGTTAACGGCCGAGGCGTCTCCATTGGTCTTGTTCTCTGTCTTGCTGATGGGCGTTCCCTTTGCGCTGGCTTCGTAGATGTTGCGCCCGATTTCCAGGTTCAGGTCACCCTTGTTCGCCGTCGATGCGGCAGCCTTGTTGTCGGTGTCCTGATTCTTCTTACCCTCCAAGAGGGTGGGGTCAGCGGCAGGCTGCCACGGCTGAAGACCGCGAGGGGTATCACAGATGATCTTGAAGTGGCCGGTAAAGGGAGGCCCGACGTGGGAAGGGCGTTGCTCGGCATCGACCTGAGGCGCGTCAGTGGCTATCAGAATAGAGAAGGCAGCTTGGGTTTCTTACCTGGTAGTTGATCAGTCCCCATTGCTCGAGGAAAGCGTGCACGCGCATAATGGCGCAGACGTCGCCCGCCAGGTTCCTGCGGCAAGCCGTGACGGTCAGATACTCAACCGGGTTAAGGCGGTACGTGTTGATCATGAAATCCCTGTAGTCCTTGTAGATGGCGGGGGTCTTGCTGCGATTCCGCTGGTTGAAGAACTCGGCCATGGCTTTGCGCTCAATCTCGTGAATCGCATTCATGTCGAACCAGGTGCTGTAACTGGGCAGGACGATGGCGTGCGTCTGGCTGATGAGATGATCACGCGCGGCGGACGTGATGCTTTCCTTCGTCTTGGTCTCCTGCACCGTACCGGTGGCCGCGTCGTTCTTTGCGTCCCCTGGGGCATCGCCCATGTCTTCATCCCCCGTTTGCGTCGTTTCGGCTTGGGGCGCGTTGGGGGCATCGAGAGGGTTGTCTGAAGCGGCGCCTGGCGCGGGCGTGCTGTTGTCTTGCTTGATGGGTGTCCCCGTCGCAGCATTGTCAGACATTTGGACATCTGGGGGCGACGGTCAGCAAGCACATCCTCAGAAGCGATCAATGACGCCCATGTCCTTACCATCACCGTTGCTGTCGTCCAAAGGAGGCTGTGCGAGGATGTCGTTGTCACCCGGTGACCCGTTGCCAGGCGAGCCGTAGTTCGCAGAGTCGTCCATGCTGAATGTGGGATGCGCTCTTGATAGGTCGATGGGTAAGTGGCAGGGCGCGTCCGGATGGATTGGCGTTCAGCGCGGCGACTTGTGACGGATCAATCAAACTACGCGCTTGGACGTGGTGCAATTGGGTCGTATCGCAGGGTGGACGTCAAAGGCGGCGTCTCGAGATAAGTGGCCCTTGTCGATGCGATGGATTTCGCGATAGCAAGTGCTGCAGCAGGAGGCGCGTTGAAATTCGCGACGAACCAGCCTCGATCGATCAATCCCTGCGGAGCCTGAGCCTGAGCCTGGAAGCTGACAGGCGTCGCTAGCCTCAAACTTAGCCACTCCAGCCACAATCAGGGAGCATCAACGATCACGTGACAAAGTTCACGTGCCTCTGCCGGTCTCGGCTGCCATCACCGACCACAGCGGCGGGCAGAATCGGCACTCTGCCACCAGTCGATCGGCATCGTTGACCTCGGGCCGCCAGTATCCATACCCCGTCAGTCGACGACCGACGCACGACGTGCCTCTCATTCTCTCTCATTCGCCCGACCACGAAGGACCTCGCCAACATATAAATCAATCTCGCGTTGATCGAAGTCGGCCATTATGTTTCCCGCCGCTCGACGAGCTGTGGCCAGGCACGCCAGCAGAGTGATTGGCGCAGCGCCCTCTCTGGCGTCCCGCGCCTACGCCCGAAGCCGACTCCTCTCTACACTCGCCGTCTTGGAGCAGCGCGACGGTCAGCTCAGCCATGGCTCGCTGAGTGCCTTTACGGCGGCCAAGAAACTCGGCGGAACGGTGCATGGCTTCATTGCGGGCAACAGCGTCGCTTCGGCTGCGCAGGAGGCGGCCAAGGTGGAGGGTGTCGAGAAGATCATCAGCGTGGATAACTTGTCCTATGAAAAGGTTGGTTCGACTTTGCGAGCAGCTGCGGCAGCAGCAGCAGTAGTGGCAGCATCTCCTCTAACGAGCATCTGTGCAGGGCCTCCCAGAGAACTACGCGCCACTGCTGATCGAGAACATTAAGAAGGGCGGGTACACACATGTCATTGCCGGTCACACTGCCTTTGGCAAGTCCGTCCTGCCCCGCGTGGCCGCCATGCTCGACTCGCAACAAATCTCAGACATCACCGCCATCGAGAACGAGGCGACCTTTGTCCGCCCCATCTACGCCGGCAACGCCATTGCGACTGTCGAGTCGTCCGACACGATCAAGTTCATCACCATCCGAGGCACGGCCTTCGCTGCCGAGACCCCCGGCTCCGGCTCGGCTGCCATTGAGGCTGGTGTCGACCCCAAGTCGGAGCCCATCTCGGAGTGGGTTTCGGAGGACCTGGCCAAGTCAGACCGTCCCGACCTGGCGACGGCTGGCAAGGTCGTGTCGGGTGGACGCGGTCTCAAGTCCAAGGAGGAGTTCGACAAGGTGATGCTTCCATTGGCGGACGCCCTCGGCGCTGCTGTGGGTGCTTCGCGCGCTGCGGTGGACAGTGGCTACGCGGACAACAGTCTGCAAGTCGGCCAGACTGGAAAGGTTGTGGCGCCTCAGCTGTACATGGCTGTCGGTATCTCGGGTGCGATCCAGCACTTGGCTGGTATGAAGGATAGCAAGGTCATTGCCGCCATCAACAAGGATGCGGACGCCCCCATCTTCCAAGTGGCGGATGTTGGTCTGGTGGGCGATCTGTTTGAGAAGGTGCCTGAGTTGACAGAGAAGGTGAAGGGTTCATAGCGTGCTGTACATATACTACAATGGGACATCATTCTAGACTAGTCTAAGACGGCGAGCATGTCAGAGGTGTTGGTAAATTTCTCCCTCTCTTTACCGTTTGCTCGGCCCCGGGCCTTCTCCGCCGCATCGATCAGGCGCCACTGATCCCACGTTACGACACGCCCAGCACGGGCACCAAGCTCCCGTCTCACGCCCTCCCATCCATCGGACGCCGAGGGAGAGGCCGACTTGAGGAAGTCTTTGCCAGAGAGCCAGTCGTCAGCAATCGCGTCGCCCGTGGTGAAGGCGTCAGACATGGTGGAGGCGATGACGCCCGTAGGGCCTCTCTTGAGCCACCCTGCACAGTACAGCCCGGGCATTTGTCTCGACGCAACGTCTTGAGCGTTCTCATCGGACACTAGACGTGTGACTCTCCCAAGCCCGTCGTTGCTGACAATGCCCCGTTGCTCATCGAACTGGATGCCGACTTGATCAAACCCGGGCAGGGCGACGGAGCGATAGCCCACAGAGCGGAAGACAATGTCGGACGGCAGGATGGCGGTTTCACCGGTAGGCTCGACGCGGGACTGCGGATCATATGGATCGGCCAACTTTGTCACGTCAAACGCCGTGCTGGCAACGTTCGCTGGCGAGTTCTCATGACCCAAAAAGTGCTTTGGCGATAGGCAATTGTCCAAGGACCAGGTTTTACTCGTGGAGCCGAGGGCCTTGTCAGGGGTGCCCTTGAGGATGACCTCCATCAAGCGCCTCGTTGCTCTGGGCAAGGCCTTGGGATCGTCTGGTATCAACGCGCGGTTGATGGGGTGAAAGGCCACATCACGCAGCTTCATGAGCTCGCGGACCTCCTTGATTGTGAACGCAGCCTGCATGGGCCCCCTTCTGCCCACGACGTGCACGCGCTTGATGCGGCTCTCGGCAAGCAATGCGAGGGCATGCTCCGTAATGTCGGTCTTTCGAAGCACGTCAATGTCCTCGAGCAACATTCTCGCAACATCCAACGCGACATTGCCCTGCCCGATGATGACGGCCTCGTCTCCCCGCGTCAGGTCCGGCTCAAGGGACGCAAAGTCGGGTAGTCCATTGTACCAGCCCACGAATCCGCGTGCCGAGTAGATGCCTGACAAGGTAGACTCGCCAGGGATGCCGAGTTTCTTGTCCTCGGAGGCGCCGCAGGCGAAGAGCACCGAGTCGTAGTGGCGCATGAGCGTTTGGAGCTCTACAGTGCCGTGCTCAGCAGAATGGCCTGGGTGGCCTATCGACATGTTCCCAATAAAAGTGAAATTCTCAGACGAGGCAATCTCGTCGAACTTGTCTTGGCAGTTCTTATGACAACGTCAGCTCAGCTGTCATATACCTTGTCAATGCTGGTGGGAGCTGCTCACCTTCACCTCTGGATGGTCTGGTGCGACGCCATGACGCACAAGGCCAAACGGCACGGGAAGAGCCTCATACATGTCGACCTTGACGTTGGGCACCTTGTTCATGACTCTGTAGGCAGTATAAAAGCCGGCAGGTCCAGAGCCGACAACGGCCAAGCGCAGAGGCGCATCGCTGGGTCGTGATGAGCTGGAAGCATATCGTTTCGAGAGTTTTGTCAAGGGGTGCCGCGACACATGAGGCCTGAGAGCCCGATTCATCCACATGCTTGGTAGTGCAGATAAATGATCATTTCCAGCCCAGGTCTGGTCAATCCAAATTGCGTTGGGTTTCGTGACTGATATAATAATCGACAGTTGGAAGTAGCGCCGTATCGGCTCCGAGAACAAGTCGGACGTGAAATTTAAGTTACCCTAGACAGATGCCGGGATTCGGGCCTGTCAAGATTCCGTTGCTGTGGTGATGGACTCTTTCGTGCCCGAGTAAATAATGCCCGGGTATCTCACCCTGATCCCACGCGCCCACGTACCTTATGATGCTCAGCCCCACGTCCGCTGACGTCTCCATCCATGTCGCAAAGCAAGGCGCTTAGTTGATAAGCGTGTATTTCTGCATTCCTTTCCTCTTCACTGTCCCTTCAATTCAAGACAATTCTTGGACAGCTTGCAGCATCACGCCCGGCTTGCTCCCAGTCGGCGCGATGGCTATCCAACCGCCCTACCTCTACTCTGACCAGCGCGACGACTCTCGCTTCCCGGCGACATCTTTCGATCCAAAGGCTGTCACTCGAGCAAGCTGGCAGAAGCCCGAGCCAAAGCCAAAGCGAGATGGCCCGCTCATATCCTTCAATCGTCACCCAGAGTCAGTGTCCATCCGTCGTGTCGCTCATGCCCACTATATACATTAACCCGCATTCCAGCGCACACATGGTCTTGACACATCGAACGAACCCGTATGCGCCAATGGGCTCGCGCACAAAGAAGGCGATCAAGTGGCTACGCAGGGTTCAACTATGCATCCGAATTGTGCAGATCAACGTGGCGCTTGGGCTGCTGGCGTGCATGGTGATACTCACAAACATGGACGCGGTGAAAGGATGGATCATGCGCATCGTGGTATGTCTTGTTGATCGCGCCCGCAATGAAAGCTCTCTAACATCTCGCAGCCAGGCATCGTTGCCGGACATTGTCTATACTCCATCTACCATCTTTCGCGCGATGCCACAGGGCGCACACCAGGCTCTTCGGCCGCCTATCAGATCTTCTCGGTCCTTGCAGATATGATTACCATGGGCTTCTATGCCTTCACTGCACTGACAATTCACAACGACTCGGGTAAATGGTCCACACGTCTCTCCCAGGGCACCGAACTACTCGGCCCTTTGGTTATGGCCGCCTACTATGGGCTCGTCGGCTCGGGAAGTCTCCACGGTGCTTCGCTGTTCATGTCTCTGTGGCTGGCCTGGGCTTTCCGCAAGATAAGCTTGATGCCTCCGGACATGAACCCCCTGGAGGACAACCTCACAGCTCGACCAAAACACAAGCGCAACCAGTCCTCTATGACGACCTTGACAAACAACGAAAGCGAATATGAGAAGCGCTTGTCTACACCAGGGAGTGGTCGGCCCTGGTCGCAAATGTCATACGGAGAAGAATCACCTCGCCGTTCTGTGCCCTTCATGCACACTCGCCAGGGATCGAGCATCTCCTTTGGCTCAGGCAGTCCTACCAGGGCCAATTTGCCGGACCGTCAGTACCAGGTTGTCCCAGGCAACATGTCCCCTCGCAACTCCGCCATGTCGCCCCAGTCCAGCAGGCTATCTCGTCCAGTTTCTGCCCAAAACAGCGCCTATGCGGAGCTTCCCATGCAGGACTCCTCGGAGCAGGACAGTCGGGTTGGCAAGTTCAGGGAAGCCTGGGCGCCAACCGAGTCTCTGGTATCGCGGACCAACCGGCGCAACAGGGAGGCTGCGGCGGCCATGCGTCAAAGCAACAGGAACAGCGCCGCCTATGCTGCATTGACCGACGAACGATACGACGTGGAGGATTCCGACTCGGAGTATGGGAACGAGAACGATCTGAACGATGGAGATCTTGCGCAAGGCCTCCACCCCAACCCATTGAGATCCAACCCACATGAAGCCGCGCAGAGGCTGGCGGACCGCGCCAAGACCCCTTTCGACCCTGTGATCAAGCACCAGTCGGCCGACATGGCCGTCTTCGGCCGGTCCGCCAAGGTGGAGGAGATGAAGCACTACTCTGCGGATGCCAGCACACTATCCGAGACGAGCCACAACCGGAGACGCGTCTCTGACAAGGACATTGCCGACGAGGCGGACCCGGTACCAGCAGCAGTACGGACCAAGCGCTGGTCGCAGCGTCTCATGAAGAAGAGGGACTCTTCGATCCAGCCAGACTCGGCTTTCCTCGCCAAGCCGTATGGGGAGCTCAAGAGCGCCACGCCCCCCATCATAATTGGCAACGATCGCAAGATCTCGTCTGGAAACGACTATGGTTCCAAGTACATCGGGTCCATGCACGGACGTCGCAACGTGAGCGGCAAGGTTGCCGAGGAGGGCAGAGCTACACCTGCGAAGAAGCCCGTCAACACGGGTATTGGATTTTACGCACACAAGGGGTATTAGACCCCCAAGGTGGTAATTTGTTGGATTGTGAATTTGAGCAACGTATGCGGGAAGGAGAAAATGGTAGCCGGCGTTTTTTGGTTTCTTTGATCAGGAAGGATTTGATGAAACACAGAGATGGCATGTATTTATGGAGCACAATGTCTGTCTGCTTCTCGCGGTGGTCAGCACGTACAGAGAGAATTGACGATTTATACCCCCCACATTAATCCAAACATGAGGCAGGGTGTCATGCTGCTGCCCATGAAGCTAAAGAAGAACACGCCTGCGCATCGTGATCCCAACTCTTCTCGTCCCACATTTGCATCCTACACAAGTGGCGCATGGTTGGTCGACCGTGAGGGCAGTTCCAGGGTTTGTCAAGTTCGCCCATGTGACCTACAACGTTGCTCATCTGGCTCCGCGTCAGAGCCTTGCCGATCATGATACTACTCCGACACGCGCGCATAGCAAACATCTTTCTGACCTTGGCCGGCCGAGGGATATGCTTCGACTCGGAAGATTCCTCGCCCAACAGCGCAATGAGCTCTTCCAAGTCCGACACGTTAAAGGTTGTCTCGCGACTGAGTGGCAGGGCCATGAGTTGGCAGCGGGACCCGACAGGGGTGTCACCGCTCGTGTCGATACTAACCTTGAATCCGTTCGCCTCGATGGCCTCGGGATTCTGCATGACGATCTCCTCCTCAAGCGCCGTGAGCTCGAGGCGCTTCGGATGCACCAGGCGCTGGGACTGGACGATGGTGATATCCTGCAGCCGCTCAAAGTTGTACTTTTCGTCCGAGGCGTGCTGGTCGATGATGAAGAGCTCGTCTGCGCTGGGCTGGTTGGACTGGGGGTCGCCCGGGCGGATAGCGATGATGAAGCCCATGTTGAACTGCCCAATGATGCGCATCGCGCCAAAGTCGGATTTCTGGATGATGAGGGACAGCTTGGACTCGGCGTCTGCCGAGGTGATGTCCTCCATTTCATTCGTTGACGCCGCTTGAGACGAAGTCGTGTGGCGCAGTGAGGTGGTCCATGTTGTCATCATGGACTGAATCGCCCTCTCGCCGGTCGTGATATTCTGGATGGTCTGCAGGGTTGCGTCTTTACGGCGTGAGCTCGCTTGAAGAGAGTTGCCCCTGGTCTTGGCGAAAGCAGCCGCGTCCTCGCCGTCTTCAGCGTCCGCGGCTCTGGTACTTGTTGCATGATTCTGCTCGCCGGCTTCGATGACAGAGTCTTCTTCTGGTCTGTCGTCAGAGTGGTGAGACGACACGGATGCAACACTCGACTCTGCTTGTGAGCTGGCTTGACGATGGGTGGTCCTGACGTTTTCCTTATCTTCCTCCGCCGCTTTAGGGTCTGGCGCATCTATAGGAAGTTGTACCGTGACAGTAGCTTGCCGGTCGTTGACCCCCGAGTCCTCAGAGCGACCCCTGAGACCTGCTGTGAACTTTTGACTTAGAATGCCACCGAATGATGGTTTGGTCGGCAACTCCTCGTCGGACGACGATCCTTCTTCGATATCTTCCGTCCCGTCGACATGCGCGTCATACAAGACCCTACGACGCTTGTGCGAACTGGATGGGACCTCTGGATCGCCGATTGTGATGCTGATAGGCTCTGAGGCTGGTTTGCTAGGACTTCGATGCGCTAGCGGGCTTGATTTGGGGATTTCCTGCCTCACATGCTGCACCTTGGGAATGGGCATTTGTGGAGGACCGACATCCGGAGGCACTGGCGCCTCTGGGACGAAGAGCTCTGGTTCGTTGCTGTACTGGTGGACGTGAGGATTTCGTGGTTCGGTTTCAGCCATGGTTGCGTCCTCGTCCTCGGGAACATCCTCTTCGTCAGACACTGATCTCTCTTCGACATCAATCTCTTTGGTACTTGTCGAAACAGGCTCCTGTCTGTCTGGAAGGGGTGGCGTAGCATCCTGCGTACGCGCTCCGTCAGAGTCTTCCGTAGTATCACGCCGTTGAATCCAGCGGTCGATCAGGTTGTCGGCTCTGTTGGCACTAGCCTTGACGGAGGGAGTTCGCGAGTGGCTGCTCCTTAACAAATGTGCCCTAGACGCACTGCTACGGGGTGCTTCTGCCGACTCCGAATCAGAGTCAGAGTCAACTGGCGCCGGCGCCGGCGCAGGTGTGACATCTTGACCGCGCCAGGTCTGGGTTCGGGCGGGCGTTGCAGAATCCCGCTGACCAAAGGGACTCTGCTTTGTCCTAGCAAGCTGAGAAGTTGGTACCGAGTAGTCTTGAGAGTCGAATAGGTCGTTCAATGCAGAGCGTAGTGAGTCGAGAAGCTGATTCTGTTCATGGAGGAGAATCGTGCGCTTGTCCGGACTCACATTCACATCATACATGTGGGTGTCCAATTGAATGTCGGCCATGATGAATGGAGACTGCGTCGAGTTGTATGACTTGTAGACCTCGTTGAAAGTCTTGGCAAATTGAGGCAAGCCGCATGGCCGTCCATTGATGAAGAACATTTGACGATCGGGTGTCTGACGACCTTCGCCCTGGGCTGGTCGAGACACATGCCCAACAATCCGGACTTGGGTGGAGACTGATCCAGTGTCGACCGTGGGTTGGAGCACAGAGCTGACAGACGACGGCTGCATTTCGAGCGTCAAATCCAGGGGCACGAGGCCCGTCATGGTCTTGGCGCCAAATATGTTGATAATGTTGTCCTTTGTCGTGGCATTGCCCTTGGTTGAAAACAGGACGATCCGCTTGCCCTTGGTAGGCTGCTGCGACACCGAGAACTTGAGATTCGTTTGAATGCAAGCGTACTGATTGAGCAGGGCAATGACCTTGTTCCACTCCCGCTTGATGTTCCTCTCAAGCTCTTTCCTGCGCACAGGGAGGTTGTGGAACAGCTTCTCCACGGACACAGTTGTCCCCTTTTGCGCAGCCACCACATTCGTCCCCTTTAACTTGCCAGAAGGCTCAAAGCTGAGCTTAGTAGCCTTGGGAGCATCCTCTGGCAAGCAAGTGGTGACCGTCATTGTGGAGAGAGCGCATAGCGAGGCGAGGGCTTCACCACGGAAGCCAAAAGTGTCTAGCGACCCTATGTCGGCATACGTTGACAGCTTTGAGGTGTGATGCTTCAAAGCGACAGACTCATAATTTGCTGGCGCAATTCCACCACCATTATCTTGCACCTCGATCAAGTCGAGTCCTTGATTCTTGAAGCGGACGTCTGGCGGGTATTAGTGAGTACAGTGATCTGGTACGTGTCTTGGTCACGGGGTATCCGCACCAATGTTGTTAGCACCTGCGTCTATGCTGTTTTCCACGAGCTCCTTGACGACGGAACAGAGGTCGACGATGACCTGACCAGACTGGATCTGATGGATCTGATGTTGTTAGTTCTCTCGAGTGATCACGACTACGTAGCTGGAGTCTTACGGTGCGCCCATCAATCTGCTTGATAGTGGCCATGAAGCATTGCGAAGGATAGGATGCATTAACGGCGATGCAGGGCAGCGCGCTTTGATGTCACAACAATCACTATCATCAGTTGTGCCTGAATCCTGATGTACTTGCGTAGATGTGGTTGAAACGCGTAACGACGTTGAAGACGCGTTAAGTGGTCCACTAGCGGACTTTGCTACGTCCGAATTCCCGAATGCCGGCACTGGCCATTGCGTGCAGATGAGGGACATGCATTGACGTCATCGCAGGGTGCAGATCCCGCACCACGTCTTCGACTGCTTGAAGTGTCCCTCAAGACGAGGGCTGCGCTGATTATAGTCGGGCTTCAGCTTCAGTGGTCACACTGGGAAAAAAGGTTTACGAATTGGTATTCATATCACATAAACTATGCCCGCTGAACGTCGACCTTACCGTCAGCCGTGCCAAAGTAGGCCGCAACCGGCTTCTGTGCCTGCCCCTCCCTACCCAGGCCAACTGCTTGGGTCCCGTTGAAGCCATGGAAAAGACCAATCTCGACGATGCCGGGTGTGCGGAGCAACTCGTCGGCAAGTTTGCTTACCTCCCAAACACCGCCCTTACCGAGACCATCGACCTCGGGGGTCAGGTCGCTGGGCAGCAGCAGCGGTGGGAAAGGCGCATCAATGATCCACATGCCATTGTCCGTGACGCACTCACCAGCCTTGCTGGGGAGACCCGAGCGGACAGCGGGTGCTGGAGAGCCCAACGCCTGGAGACGAAGAAGGACATCTGGTGCAGAGAGAGGAAGAACCTCGATAGGAATGTTCTTCCATGTAGTGCAGAGTCGTGGTGACTGCTTGCGGTAGTCTGGGCACTCTTAGCACTGCACGATCAAAATTCCAACCACCGAGCATGAGTCACTCACCGGCCACGGCGACAAAAGTCTTGGCCGCAATGGCAACCAGCTTCTCCTGGAAGAGGCAGGCGCCGCCACCCTTGATCAGGTTGAGCTCAGCGTCAACCTCATCCGCGCCGTCAAAGCAAACATCAAGCTGCACAGGCCTGCCATTGACAACGGGCCTCTCATCGAGGTTTGCCAGGGTGAGCCCAGCAGTGCGGATCAGACCCTTGGACTGGCTGCCTGTGGGAATGAAGACCATGTTCTTGTAAAAGTCGACTCCCTTGGCCACGATGGCTTCCACCACGTAGACGACGGTACTGCCGGAGCCAATGCCAATGTAGCGATGGCTCGGGAGCAGGTGTTCATCGACGGCCTGGATGGCAGCGGCTTTCTTGGCCGACTCGACCAAGGCAGCTGGGGAGGGGGCTGCGGCAGACATGGTGATGGTGGTGATGTGCAAGCACTGCTGAAGATTATGGTACGTAGCTTGACGAGCCTTTGCTTCAAGATGTTGCGCAAACGGCCAAGGTTTTGTTAGCGGGTGTACGTTGTAATAGCACCTGGTAGGGGTCAAGACACATGCAAGACGAATAGGGTTAGCCCACTTGGTACACTTGCTGCTCTGCCAGTGGCCTATGCCGCCTACATACTAGGCTCCAGTTGGCTAGGGTCTGTGCTTAGAAAGTGCGCAGGATGTATCCGTACCATGATACTCGTCGGGGAGATTAACAGCATAATACTAAATATCAAGTATGCATTCATGCAAAGATGTCAAGGAATTCCCGGTCAAGACTCAAAAGACTGTGAGGAGGGTTCAGCTCAGGCAGCGCCGAGTATACTTTAATCTCCAGGACCCCGAATCTCATCGCCATGATACCGCGCCAGGCGATGCTAAAGTCAAATCTGCCACCATTCTAGGGTACGCAGAATGACTATCAGACTCGAGGCCTTGGCAGCCAAGACGTCGACTGGCGCCCAGACGGCGTGCGGCAAAGTTCAAGCTGGTGGGAGGCGAATGGACGCCGGCTCTCCGGAAGAAAGTAACTTGGCAAGAGGCAAGAGGCTTGACCGGGCAGCAGACTGCTCGACTCCAGTCCCTCAGACACCGAACGAGACGGAAATGGATGAGGTGCTGCGAGACATGAGTTTTGCACCTGCACGGCGATCGACAGGGCACTTACGTACTGGCTAACGCACTGCCCGGTCCAGTCCAGTCCATGTCCAGTCCCGTCCCTGCCCTGGTAGAATGTAGCAGATTGGACCAGCGAACAGGTGCCGCGTTCTGCATCCACTACCTTACCATCGACAATCGACTATCGATCACCGTAGGATATATCGCATACGTACGCACCCCATCGACCAGACCCTGGCCGACCCCCTTACACACTTGTCGCTCCTCGAATTTCCACTCGCTCTTCCATATCGTGCGATATCGTCTTTAACGACATGCGGCGTCGCTTGCATCTGCGCGACTCCTCCTTCAATACCGGATTCAGCTTCCACTAGTGAGTCTCGGCGCCTCGCGAGCCCCCTCGACCCTTGCCCTCAAGTTTAACTTGGTTCCAGCGCCAGTCGCTTTGCGCTATTTAGACATTGAGCTCCCTCCAGTCCTCGCTACGCGCACGACAATTCGATGAAGCCGCGACCGCCGGCAACGGCCGCCGGCACTGCTGCGACGCCCTCGCCAAACACCACGGACGGCAAAGGTGTTCGGGTATCACGATCCTCCTCGACGGCAGAGAGCAACGGCAGCGTCAAAGCAAGCGGCAAGCAGAGCAATGGCAGCACGGAAACGCTACCAGCCCTCCTGGACCGGCCATCTTCATCCCACAACAAGGCTACCAAGGCTATCCACAATGACCGCAGAAGTTCATGGTCAATATCGCTCTTGTCGCTGGCACTGGCCAGTCTCGGCATTGGGCTCCTGCTAGCCATTGTGAACTCGCTCGTCACTCGTCAGTTCGATCCGAAAGGATGCCGCATGTCCTACATGAGACCGTCGTACATACCCTTCCCCGACTTCGACACCGAACACACGAGGTTCGCAACCAAGTACTCCTTGTACCTGTACCGTGAGCAAGGGGTCGACGACTCGGACAAGCTACGAGGCGCTCCCGTCTTGTTCATCCCCGGCAACGCTGGGAGCTACAAGCAGGTCCGGCCCATTGCCGCAGAGGCAGCCAACTACTTTAAACAGTACGTCGTGACCGACGGCCTCTCGATCGACGCCGGCGTGCGCAACTTGGACTTCTTCACGGTCGACTTCAACGAGGACATTACTGCCTTTCACGGGCAGACGCTGTGGGACCAAGCCGAATATCTCAACGAAGCAGTGCGATACATTCTGGCGCTCTACTCGGACCCTCAACGGGTTGTCCGTGACGCACACCAGCCCGAACCATCCTCAGTCATCATTCTGGGGCACTCGATGGGAGGCATCGTGGCACGGACAATGCTTGTGCAGCCGAACTACCAGCCCGACTCTATCAATACCATCATCACAATGTCTGCACCTCATGCACGAGCCCCTGTCAGCTTTGACGGTCAAATCGTGCAAATTTACGACCAGATCAACGGCTTTTGGAGGAATGCGTTCACACAAAAGTCTATTGGTCAGAATCCCCTCAAGGATGTTACACTACTTTCCATTGCGGGAGGCAACCTCGACACTATCGTGCCATCCGACTATGCTAGTGTTGACTCGCTGGTCCCAGAGACACACGGCTTTACTGTGTTCACGACCGGCATTCCTACTGTCTGGACCAGTATGGATCACCAAGCCATCTTGTGGTGCGATCAGTTCAGAAAAGTGGTGGCTCACTCGCTCCTCGATATCGTTGACGTCCGCCGCGGGTCCCAGACCAAGCCCAGAGAAGAGCGCATGAAGGTCTTTAGGAAACGTTTCCTGACGGGCCTGGAATCACCCAATACGGCGACACCCCAAACGCGAGAGCCTACGACGCTTCTCAGATTCAATGACGACTCCACGGAGGTGCTGTCTCCCGGCCACCGACTCGTGTTGTCCAAGCTCGGAGGCCACACCAAAGGCAAAGCCCATGTCATCCCGGTTCCCCCACAAGGGTCGCCCCAATCGAAACGATTCACGCTCCTCACAGACCAGATGCTCAACGGAGGCACCGTCGACGAGCTCGACGTATTATTGTGTAGAGTTTCAGATTACATGCCCGGGTCACTGCCGATGATTGACCTTGCCAAGGGCACTTCTCGCGCAACGACTCTGGCTTGTAGGCCGACTGCAGGCGATGTATCACTTCTCCCACCCTCCACCTCGTCCAGCCGTCATCCGTTCACCAGGGACGGAGAGGCAAAGAAAGACCCATTCTCCTATGTTCAATATGACATTGAAAACCTTGTGGATGATCAATTCATCGCAGTGGTGGACAGAAAAACATCGACCGCCAACAACTTCCTGATTGCTGAATTGAGCGATTACTCGGACTTTCATCAGAAGCACGAGATCGATCTCATGCAGCTCTTGCGACAAGGCATTATGGCCGTCCTCCCTGCCAACCGACCCATGGTGACAGAGGTGGAGATACCCAGCATGACATCGAGTCTCTTGGCCTATCGACTTCATCTGAAGCAGGACGCGTGTCTTGGGAAGCCAGCACTGTTCGCCCCCTTGGTCCGACAGTACATTGAGCAACCTTACGAGTCACGATTCTTCGTCAATGCTCAAGATGTGGACGTCAGCCTGCACGGCGTCGCACCGTATCTGCCCCCTTCCTTGAAGCCTCGTGAGGGCAAGGGGGTGACGTTCCAGTTCTGGACAGATCCATCGTGCAAAACAAGTCTGCAAATCACGCTCGCCGTGGACCCTTTTGCAAGCCTCGGCAAGCTCTACATGCGATACCGCACAGTCTTTGCGGCATTCCCCTTGCTGATTGTGACGCTCGTACTGCGGAAGCAGTTCAGGGTGTACGACCTCACCGGGACCTTTGTCTCCTTTGCCGAAAGCCTGGACTTGTCGCTCCGTCGTTCAATCCCGCTGCTCGTACTCTCCATGACCATGCTGTCTGTCTCCGTGGGGACAGCTGTCGGCGCCGGAAGGTTCTTGTCACTCAAAGACCTGCTGTCGAGGACACCTGTACCGATCGACTTTCAGAAGAACGATCTTCTGATTGGCACAAGCGATCCATTCTACTGGTTTCTGGTGCCACTTATCGGCATCGTCTGCCTGGGAGTGTGTGTGATACTGCACTACGCTGCCCTGGGACTGACGCATACTCTAGCTGGGATATGGTACCTGGTCGGTCTGGTCCCAGCATTTGGTCCGACGCCTGCCGCTCAGTCGTCATATGCGCCCACAACGCCGCGAAGACGCATGATCACGACGATTGCGCTGCTGTTGCTGGTCTCCTTTCTCATCCCCTACCAGTTTGCCTATCTCGTGGCATGCCTGGTCCAGTTGTGCGCAGTGGTTCGCGCACTGCGCACCACTCGTCACTGCCCGTCCACCGCAAACACCAACTACTACAACTATGCGCACTCTGTTCTCCTCTTGATGCTGTGGGTCCTCCCGATCAACCTGCCCATCCTGGCAGTCTGGATCCGGAATCTGGCGGTGCACTGGCTCACGCCCTTCTCCTCCCACCACAACATCCTGTCCATTGCGCCCTTCATCCTGCTGGTGGAGAACCTCACCTCGGGGAAAATGGTCCCTCAGCTCAAGGGCGGACTGCGCCATGTGACCAGCATATTACTGTTTGCCACGGCGGTGGCAGCGGCCATCTACGGAGTCTCACACGCCTACATGCTTCACCACCTTGTCAACATCATTGCGCTGTGGCTTGTCATCGTCCACGCGACTGGCGACTCATGGTCACTGACAGGCGTCGGCGCCATCTTCGACGGTAACGCCAGTGAAGGTCGGCAAGTCAAGAAGACACCTTGAGAGCCCGGACCACACTATATACGATTTGACGACCTCTATTTACATAGACTAACTATACTTAATCACCAAAGACGCGGAGTTTCCGACTTACGATTCGTGTCTCGTCATTGCTCCGCGTCTTTACACCGGGCACGCCGGTTATATACATTGCCTCGGCGTTGGGTTGGACTTTTGACGCTCTTTTCTTTTCTCAGAGCATAGCGTGTATCATTGGAAGGCCGGAGGTCTTGGATCATTGTTTGTAACCATGACAGCGTCAGGTTCTGGGAGCCCGGGCAAGGGCAGCTTGATCAGACCCGGCGTCAGGAATTACAGTACTGGGTCAAGCATATATACAAATAATCACATAACATTCGACATTTCAAACGCCGGCAGCCGTGTGATCTGCGGTGCCCTAAAGCCCTTCTATGCTCTGCTCTAGCGCTCTTGAAATAACCTGAGATCTAATGTATTTCTTCCAATGGTACGGTCATCAAACCTCTAGTCCTCCTCATCGCCCTTGGAGAGTTCCTTCTTGTGCCTGACATGCTGATGGCGAATGGTCCACAGGGACGCACCCAGCCCTACAACGCAGGAGCAAAAGGTCATCCAGTACGCGCTCTTGTAGCACTCCAGCCCATCCATGCACATCATCTCGCCACTGGGGCGCTTGACAGTGTGTGCGTCGTACGTCTGCCCGTAGAAGATGTTGAACACGTTGGAGGAGACGACGGGGGCGAGCGTGATGAAACCCCAGTTCTGGCTCAAGCCACGGATACCAAAGGTTTCGGCAATGATGGACGGGAAGACGCCAAACAGGAAGCCATACCCCAGGCCCGAGAGGCTGGAGACGAAGCCCAGCAGGTGCGGATTCTCAATGTTGAGAGCGCAGACCTGGGCGCAGAAGAAGATGACGGTGGCAAGCACCAGGCACCAGACGCGACTAGCGTGCAGGCGCTTGACGAGAAAATCGGAACCGACGCCTGGAGAGTTGTGTGAGTGAGATAGGCCAGCGCTGCCAGAGCAGGGGAGGGAAAGGAGACGCACCACTGGACAATCGTCCCAGGAAGCTGCAGACCGACAGGATGGAGACATGCATCTGCTGACGCGACACCAGGAACTCTGAGCTGACGGAATCGTCGTACTTCTTCCAGAGGGCCTTGGCGTTATTGCCAATGTTGCTGTCGGCGGGTCAGCATGGCATCCGGATCACGGTGGTGGGAAGGTGGTCAGGCGACTTACTTGATGGTCATGAGACCGACGCCCGCCAAGATGGCCATGATCAGGAACAGTTGCCAGAATTCAAAGTTTGTGAGGAGCTTGAGTCCGCGAATATCTACTCGGTGCGAACGATCCAAATCAATAATGCTGTCCGCCACCAAATCCTCAGAGGAATCACGGGGACTGGGAAAGATGGGCGTGGTCTCGTCGGGATCTTCACGACGGGACGCCGCGGCTTCGCCAACAGATGCTGGCGTATAAGGATTGGGGGAGGCAGTGGTGCTGATGGTAGTAGTAGCAGCAGTACTGGCAGTAGTGTCTGTGCTTGTGATGGTGGTGGTGTGTGAAGCTGATTCCGACGTACCGGGTTCAATATCATTACCGTTGGCTCGACGAGCCTTGAGTTCCTTGGAGGAGGTTCGCCGAAGGCGGGCTGGACGATCGGGCACAAGATCCTCCGCGTCGTCCTCCTCGCCATCGCCAGACTGCAGCGCATGGTAGCTGGAGTGCTGGTGCGGGTAGACCTTGAGGAAGAAGAAGCCCACCAAGGTCATTCCGCATGTCCCGACCCCCAGCAGCAGCAGGAAGCTGCTGGGGTCGCCTGGGAAGAGCATGCCGCCCAGCAGCGAGAAGAAGAAGGCGCTGAGACCAAAGGCCGCGAGGGGAAATGCGGTGGCAGTGCCTCGGTCTTGAGGCCAGTTGAGGGCAGATGTCTTGACCGCGGCGGCAAAGGCCATGCACCCGCCGAGACCACTCAGATACGAAAAGAAACAGAGCAGCGGGACCGGCCCTGATGCGCTGTCGTACGCACGATGGAGAGGAAAGTAGCCGACGGCGAGCAGGACGGAGCCTGCTAGAACGGCTGGTCTTGGGCCTCCATTGTCGATGAACATGCCTATGGGCACGCCCATTGTGTACATGCCCAAGTTGCCAAAGAGCCCGATGAGGTTGCTCTCTGTCGCTGAGAGCCCGAGTCGCTCTGCAAACTGCGGCGCCCACGCGGAGTAGACATACTGGGCTGATCAGTATTGACGTGACAGAAGCGCTCGAGAGGCGATGATCGCGAGCACTCACGTTGGATCCACAGGCCAGCGCTATCGCGGTGGCAGCGACGCTCGCAACGATGCGGCCTCGCTTGTCCGCCATCGCGTCGGGAGACATTGCAGGAGGGAAGTTGCACGTTATCTGACAGCCATGGAGGAGTCTACGGAGAAACAAGGGAAAAGGGAAACGGTAAAAGGAGTGAAGCACCGAAATGGGCACGAGATAATGCAACGTGGATTCCTCCTCGTGCTCTCATCGTGGTTATCTAGGCGGTTGTATGTACCGTGCAGCGGAAAGCTTGTGCACGGCCTTTGGCACTGTATTAGAGCCGGTTCTCGGCGCTGCTGACGCGGCTTAGTAACTTCCAAAGCAACAAAGGAACCCGAGGTACGTACCTGAGGCCTGCAGCGCGTGCCACTAAATCCTGATGCCTCCGCTGACCTCATGAGCCACCGTTGATGCGCCCACGTCGAATCCTCCAGCTACACACGTACCACGACTCTTGACCGACCCGCGGGTTTCTGCCGACACGACCACCGCGCCCGGACGCTCGAACAAACACCAATAGAGGCCACAGCGCCGCCGCGAATCTTCAAAGCGTCAAGCCATCATGGGTGCCCTACTGTCGCTGCCACTGCTGGCGATCCCCAGCGTGGGAACGGTATGACGACCTCATACAGCCCTGTCCTGTCAGTGACGCTTGCTGACGCTCAAGTATAGCTGGTGTCGTTCGGAGCCAGCTGCTGTGGTGCAGCGACTTGCTCAATGGTCTGTAGCGCATGTGGAAAATGCGGCAACAGGTATGGAACACACACGGGCGCGCGCTTCTTGACGCCTGCCATGATCGCGTGTAGTTAGCCAGCTAACGATTACGCCTCCAGTGTCGCAACCCGTATCGCATACGCTCTCATGCTCCTCGTCAACTCGATCCTGGCGTGGATCATGCTCACGCCCTGGGCGATCGAAAAGCTCCAGCATCTGATGCTCGACTACGTCAAGATTAACTGTCCGACTGGTCAATGCTATGGCTGGCTTGCTGTCCACCGCATCAACTTCTCCCTCGGTCTCTTCCATCTCCTCTTCGCTGGCCTCCTCTTTGGAATCAAGACCTCGAGAAGTCCTCGCGCTGCCATCCAGAATGGCTACTGGGGTCCCAAGATCATTCTGTGGCTGGCGTTCATTGTGCTCTCGTTCCTCATCCCGGACGAGTTCTTCATGTTCTGGGGCAACTACATCTCCATGATTGGTGCTACTCTGTTCCTCCTGCTCGGCTTGATCTTGCTGGTTGATCTGGCGCACACATGGGCAGAGTACTGCTTGGCCCAGATCGAGGATACCGACTCGAGGTTCTGGCGATTCGTCCTGATCGGTTCGACACTGAGCATGTACATTGGCTCCATCGCCATGACGGTCGTGCAGTACATCTTCTTCGCCGACTCGGGCTGCTCGATGAACCAGGCTGCCATCACCGTCAACCTTATCCTGTGGATCGCCATCTCAATCATCTCAGTCAACCCCACCGTCCAGGAACATAACCCCAAAGCTGGTCTTGCGCAAGCGGCCATGGTCGCTGTGTACTGCACCTACCTCACAATGTCCGCTGTGTCCATGGAGCCGGATGACAAGCAATGCAACCCCCTGATCCGAGCTCGAGGCACGCGGACGACCTCTGTTGTTATCGGTGCCATCGTTACCATGTTGACGGTGGCGTACACCACTACCCGTGCAGCCACCCAGAGCCTCGGTATGGGCAACTCGACCGGTGGAGTGCGTCTTCCAGACGATGACGAGCACGATCTAGTCACCCAGCAGCCTGGCAGCCGCCGCGAGATGCGAGCCGAGGCCCTCCGACGCGCCGTAGAGGAAGGCAGCCTCCCAGCCGATGCTCTGCTCGAGGATGACGATGAGGACAGCGAGACGGGCGCCAACACGGCCCACGACGACGAGCGCACGAGCACGCAGTACAACTACAGCATGTTCCACATCATCTTCTTCCTGGCGACGTGCTGGGTTTCGACACTCTTGGTCCTGCAGCACGAGGATTCCACCAAGGACGGCAACTTTGCTACCGTCGGACGCACGTACGCCGCCAGTTGGGTCAAGATCATCAGCGCCTGGGCTTGTCACGCCATGTACATCTGGACGCTTGTCGCACCCATTGTACTGCCTGAGCGATTTGACTTTGACTAAACTGCATGAATTATACTTTGAGCATTGGAGCGTCGGAATGTTGGGCGCAAAGGAGTCTTTATCGTACACTGTCATATCCGTAGCAGCCAAGCATTATTCGTTGAAAATGTTTTTTTTTTTTTTTTTAGATTTTAACAGGTATACCGTCACTTATCCTGCCTCTCTGATGGGGAGCGAGGAGTACATCGGCACAAGCGGTGACCCGTGTGATATCCTGTCCAAGCCCATGGCTGCCATTATATGAGGGTCCGCGTTGCTTTCCAGCGTCGTGTATACGTCCATCGCCTTTTGTGCCTCCTCCTTTTCAGCTGCCCTTCTCTCTTCCACTAAATTCGCCTGCGCCGTTGGCAGGACGGGTTCCACCAAGTCAGAAATGTATAGAGACGCCGTGGCATAGAGTTGAAAGAAGATGCCACGCCGTTTGTATGGCTCATCCTTGGTAAGCTCCCGTAGTCGATGTTGGATATCCTCGACGGCTCTCAAGGTTTTTATCCGGAGATCGTCCTTCATCTCCAAGTGGCGCTCCTCGCGAGCACTCTCCAGGTCGTCTATTGCCTCACCCTCCAGTTTCATGTCCTCCTCCCACTGCGCGAGGTGATCGTACAGGGCCTCGAGACCAAGGACGTGTTCGGCGTGCACATTATAGATTTCGCAGCTCAGCATGGCCGCATAAAAGTCCACGGCGCAGATCGCTTGGGGTCGTATGCGCATCCAGGGATACTGCTGAATGAGAGACTCAAAGTAAGCCTTCACCTTGGGCATGTTCCTTGCTGAGCCCCATCTACGTTGCCTGCGCGGTCTTTGAACTGTGCCTTCGTCTTCTGTCTCGACTTGGACGGGTGTCTCGCCCTCGCGCATGAGGATTTCCGCACCGATGGCCCAGAGGTCGTTGTGGCGCACATCGATCGGTGTGCCATGAGGCTGCAGTTGTAGTACGATCCCGTACGCTCTCGAGGCTCGTTCGACGTTTCCTTGATCTAGGAAATGATGGATACTCTGGATGAGCAGGTGGACTTGTTTCTCTCTCTGGCCGATGGTTCTAGGCTTGCCGAGCGGGCCATCTTCAATGTTTGACTCTGCCGCCCGAGAAGACCGCGCAATCCGCTGGGAAATCTGGCTCCGATGTGGGAAGTTCGGTATGTTGAGTGAAGGGTCCTGGTCCGTATCTTTGAGGCCGGCGAGAGAGAATTGGACAATCTCAGCCGGCGAACGACTGTAGGGGTTGATGGCATCTGAAGGGAGTTGACTGGACGGCGCCGAAGACTGATGTGCTACTGCGGTAGGCGTCCGTTTGCGCTTTGCTGGTGAGTGCTGGGACCTTGAGGCCATTTTCTACGCGCCATTCGGCCAGCGATTGGGGTCTGGGTGGAAGTAGGTCAATGGTGACGAAGATGCAAAAATCGTCTTGATAAAAGTGAGAGGGCGACAGTGGTCGCTAAGAAAGCGATGAAAGCAGCACCACGACCCATGTGATACAGCCATGGGTATTTTTCGAAAGAACGACACCATTATGCTTGATCTATATGCTGCAATCGCATTTTGGGAATTAGGCGCCAAAGGGATGACATAGAAACCTGTTGCACATCACCACAGCATACACTCACGCAACACAGTGGCAGAAGCCTCGTTGTTCACCGTCTATGGTTATCCAGGCCTCCAAGAACATATACAGCCGTTGTGCGTCTACTACTTTACATGCCATTTGCCGACCCAAGCCTTACGCCCGGCGCTCAAAGTATGTCCACTGGCCCTCGGGGACAGGGTCTTCGAGGTCCTCCCAGCTATCGACAAGTTAGCATTCGTCGCCAAGGCATTGCCACCATTATAGCATCCTGCTGCACTTACACCTTGCTCTTCTCCATGGTATCAATCAGCTCGAGCTCGCCCTCGGCAACCTGGATGACCTCTTCGATAAGGCCAGCGCCAATCTTGTGCTCCAGCTCGTGGACCCTGAATACCAAAGTCAGAAACACGCCTCACTCCGCCTTGTTACGGCATGTGCTCTTCAAAAACTCACTGTTCAGCCGTCAACTGCGGCTCGTCCTCCCACTGGACCTTCTCGTGCTCGGCCAGGGGCTTGCGGTCGCCCAAGAAAGCCTGGTCCGCCCTCTCGGCGGGCGTCCGGGCGCCCTCGAGCGCTGGGCCCTCGTTTTCCTCGCCGTCCCATTCCTCCTCGCGGGTGTCCTTGCCCTCGTGCCTGTGGCCGACCACAAAGACACGGTCACCGAGCTTGACTGTGCGGGCCTCGCTGCCGTCGATGCGGCCGCTGTTGACGCGGAACTTCTCCTTGTCCTGGCCGACGAGCTCCTTGGCCCTCTTGGCCCACTCGTCGTAGCCGGGGGGGATCGCGGCCTCGACGATGCTCATGCGGTGCTTGGTCGTGGCCTCGACGGACTGGCGGTAGAGCGACGACTCGGGGATCTTGGACAGACGGTCGAGCGTCGAACTGTAGAGGTAGAGGAGGGTCGATCGGGGCGTCGCGTGCGTCCACAGGCCGGTCAGGCCGGTCGGCTGGCCCGCCTCGAGGTATTTGGCAAGCAGACGGGTGGTTTGCCGCATGCTGGCGAGTACAATGGATGTGTTGGTTGGGTGGGTGGGTGTTGCAGACGGATTTCCTCGGATTGACCTCATGACAATCCAGATTCAAGCTCCTGGGATTGGCCCATTCAGCGTCACGTGACTCCACTTTTGGGGGACCTTTCATCAACCATGCGAACATTGGTGATACAGGAACCCGGTCGTGTTGATTACACGTACGGATGGAGATGATAGATATTCTAGATTCTAGACTTCACCAAAGAAGCGGCTTTCAGAGTCTCTTGGTCTTTGGCTCACTGCACATACCCTACATTAAGACAAACAAATCGACCCGGCACCATTGCGCTGGCCTGCAAACCAGACACCACCCAATTAGTGCCGCGGCGCAATCCCCCTAGGTAACATTGCTTTCTTCTCGTTTAGGAACCTTCCTCGCGGCTCTTGCGGTAGCTGGCCTAGGGTGACAGTCAGCTCCTGGTTTCTCAAGGCGCATAAGCAGCAGCATGTCCTACTTCTTGCTCAGTCTGCAAGCTCTCAATGACAGGAGCGAGCTCTTGGAGAACCTCAGCAGCCTTCTTGTGGTACTCGATCTGGGCAGCGATGAGCTCTGAGAGGTTGCGAAGAGGCTCGGGGGAGTCGAGGACCTGCACTTGATTAGCCTTGCCGTGAACTAAGGCATTATTCACGCCTGACTCACGTTCTTCATGACGCCCACGGCCTCCTCGGTCTGAGTGACGAACTCGTCCTCGGCCTTCTCAATCTCCTCCTGAGCCTCGGGGCTAAGCTCCTGCTCCTCGTGGGGCTGGGCTCCCTGAGCGCCTTGCCCCAGCTTGAAGGTGGTGCCCTTGGCGTGCGCCTTGACAGCATCCAGCGACAGCCTCGAGTTCTCCACATTCTTGCGAGCGCGGGTCGCAAAGTTCAAGTTGGTGTTGAGGGTGGTGTTCCAGCCCGCGAGGAAGCGGCTCTGGATCTGCGAGTCCTGCGCGAGGCGGGCCTCGCCAACGCGCTCCGAGGCCAGAGCGTACTTCTCGAGCGCGGTGGCCAGGGGATCCTCGCCGGCACCCGTGTGGTTCTGGTGCAGCATCTGGCTGCTCGACAAGCTGGCGCGGGCAATGGCATGGCTGAAGGTCTTGGGCTGGGGCTTGGCGCTCGGGGGCGCGACAAGGGCAGCCTGCGCCTCGCCAGGGGAGGTCGCAGATGACAGCAGGTGGACCTTCTCGCTGACGGTGCGGCCCAGGTCCTGGAAGGTCTCCTTGATGTTGGCTGGGTAATCGTAGGTCTCGTTCGAGTAGGTCGAGCTGTTGTCCAGCATAGTTAGCTACCGGTCGCGCGACCGCATTGGTCCATCTGTCGACTACTCACGTCACGGAGAGCATCTTCTGGTGAGCCTGCTTGAGGGCATCGACGCGCTTCTCGAGGTCAATGTAGTCGGGAGGCAGCTGGGTCTGTGCGGAATGTTAGTGCCAGGCTTGGGATAGCTGCTGAGAAACCGGTGATGCAGGCAAAGGGGTTTGGGCAAGGCAGACCACCTTATCGTCGGTTTGACCCAACTGCTCCTTGGTGTACTGGAAGGTACGCGATGCGAAAGGCGTAATCTGAGCTCCGAGATCGCTGTGCAATGGCATCAGTATGGGCATGCGCGAGAATGCGTGACGATGCGAGCTAGCTATGATGCGCGCGCCGTAGCTGCTGCCATCGAGATGGAGGGGTGCTCACGAGAGATTCTTGCCGAAGCTCTTGAAGTCGACGTTGAAATCCATGATGGCGAGCGAGTGTGGACAGCTGCGTGTCGCCTGTCGTTGAGAAATGAGACAAAAGGAGCTCGGGATCGATTGTGTGATGTAGGTCGAAGGTTGGATGGACCCTGTGCCTGTGTCTTGGAGGGTCCGTCTTTAGGGGTTGGATGCAGCAGCAGCAGCAGCAGTCTCGGTCAGCCGCTGATAACGTTCAGGGCCAGGCAGGCACCTGCTGTGTTACAGGCCTAGTGGCAGCTGTTGTGGGGCCCGGTTCTCATGCTGCAGCCTGACTGCACACCTCATTTGACACCAATAACTTCATGTTATTGGTGATTACCAGGTACTTAGTTATGAACGCCGCTTCAAACTGTCACAGGGAATATTCTTCTCGTTTCTTCCATTCTTTCAGGCGCTTGCGGGGGTGGAACGAGACCTCGAGGACTCGAGCCCCTCGCCCTCGAAAGGGGGGTATAATATACAGTCTTCACTGTGCGTACATCATCTGAGGTATACATGCAAAATCGTCCATTCTACCTTCATCGAGATATTTCAAAACAATCGCTTATGCAGGGTATCTCCTCCGCCTCCTGTAAGTATCTTTCAGTCCAAAATATGCTTGTTGTCAGCCCAAGAAGGCTCAACACCACGGCAGACCTTCTCATAGTCCCTGACCGTCGCATGGCGCGGGTCCAGGCCTGGGGTCGTCCAGAACATCGTCCAGTTGCTGTCCTGCAGCTGCGTGACACCAGTCGACCGCTCAAAGTACCATTTGTTGACGGGGTTGTCTTTGCGACTGCGCCAGCAAACGCCACCCGGGAAGCAGTCTCCTGTCATCGCGTTGAACACAATGTCGGCGACGCCACCGCTTCCTTGCCGACTCTTAAGAACGGCAAACTTGTCGAGATACGGCACGAGGCGTCCCTCTTTGTAGGCGGTCTCCTTGTCAACGCCCTCGGGGACCTCCCAGGTCAGGATAGCACCGCCTTCGTACTCTCCTGCGATGATTACGCCAGCCAGATTCTCATTGACTCTGCGGAGATAATCGTCGACGTCGAGCTTGCGGTTGAATGAATCCTCGATGAGATAGACGAGCCGGGGCAGGTCGATACAGTTGTCCGTGAGCCGCAGTCGGTCTGCACCGGGCTGTGGTGGACGCCACGGACTCAGCCGCGGATTCGGGAAGATGGTCAATGGCATGCCGCGCTTGACAAGCGTTGCTGCTGCTGACGGTCCAGTGTCGAGTCCGTTGAAGCCGCCATCCCGGATTCGCTGGTACGGCAGTGATGCTGAGTACACTGGTTTGTCTGTGACGAGATTATGCAATAGCGGATTCCGCCTGATCCTTGTCGTAACCATGCCATCAAAGCCAAACGTAGGTGCATTCATCGACTGCTCGTTTAAAGAAGAATAATCGTTGCTGGCAGTGGCTGCTGCTGAAGGCGTCGTAATCAGGGCTGACGACGTTGGCGGCAGGACCGAAAGGGCTTCCTTGACCATGTTGAGATTTGATCCATGCACAGTCGCTGAGGCTTTGCAGAACTCTCTTCGGGCTACGGGCGATCCTTCTGGGCCCATGAGCTGCTGTAACAGTGTGTCGTACTCCTGGTCCAGGTTGACGAAGCGATGGGCGGCGCCAGGTCGCCCAGGTACGGGTGTGCCTCCTAGGGGGTCCAGTACAAAGATTCGTTCGACCGACGCAATCTTGACAGGTTTCTCAAAGTGTCCGCCTTCCTGTCCAGCTTCCAGATGCTGCGCCCCAAATTGCATGCCGGTCAGGTACCGGGTCAATGTCAGGACAACCTGGTGGGCATCGGCTGGGCAAGTCGACGACAGATCATCTTTGCGCGACAGTGATGGCACGACTGGGATGAGGCCATGTTGCAGGCAGAGCTTCAGCCGACCGAGGTCGTCCACTTCAGACCTGGTTTGCAGTATCGAAGGGGATTCGCCGTCACTCACACCAGGGCCTTTGATGACTTCTGAGAGGATTTTGGATCCAGGCTTCGAGAATGAGTCAATCGCCTCACAAAATCGCAACGCCTGCGTATCGTATGTCTCGCGAGATTCGTCCGGCCCGCAATCGACGACGACAATGCTCAGCAAGCCCAGTGTCCGAAGTTGTGTCAAGGTTTTGGCCACACCTTCCAGGATGTCATCGTCAACAAACTGCGGCGCGCGGATCTTCACAATGGCAACATTCCTGGGCTCCTGAGAGACTTCCAGTGTCTCTGCAAGGGCCGTGTTCTGTTGTTGTGCGACATGTGTATCCTGAGCTGTCTGCGTGGCCGCCTTAATTTTTGGCTTTTGCTTGTTGGAGGTGTATTTTTGCAGATAGCCCTTGGCATCTCTTTTGGTCGCTGAGACCTCGAGGACTGAGACCAGTGTATCCTTTTTAATGTCAGCACGACCATTGTCGAGAGTCGATCAACGTACCAGGTCATTGCGATGTTTCACGCGGGCTTCTGATGGCGACGACAAACTTCTTGTGGACGCCGATCCCGGCCACTGGTTGGACTTTGTAGAAACTCGCGAAGCTGTTGGGTTACCAAGCCCACTCTTACGGGCGAGAGTACAGAATTGACTTCCGCAACGATTCATGGTTCTCTTTGTATGAGATTGACTTCCTAATCTTTTGTTGCTGTGTGTCGGCCTCACTGCGTGTGGGAAGCGGTGACTGATTGAAGTGGATGTGATGTATGCCTTGGCAGACCGCGCACCAGATGCTGGATTTTTTTTGTTGTGCTGCGGTCGCAAATCAATATTATTTGGAAATCATAGTCACAGCCTCTAGGCGCGGTCTTCCCTTGAATCAAAAAGAAAAGCTCGAGGCAGACGCAAGCTACATGTAGGTAAGGTAAAGAAAACACACTCCATCGTGAGTCAAGAACAAACCCAATGCAGTGCGACTGCGACACAAGGCCGGCTCGGGCACTAGCACCGGCCCCATGGGTGCGATAACGCCTGCCAGGTACGATAAGACTCGCTGCCCGCCAATAACAGGCGCCAATCCGACAAATCCGTCGACAGCTCCGTCGCTCCAATTCAGTCCGGGTCGATCATCCGTGGTGCTCACCTGAGCTTACCCTATAACTCAGGTCAACGAGACCAATGCTAACCGCTTCCCAGAATGATCATAGTTCTTTCATCCATTGATTCAGGTTCACTGGCCCTTCTCAGGGGGGTATTTTCCTGGTCAAACGATGTCTCGCCATTATAGATCTCTTGCATCCTCCGGCGTCGTCAACTTCCTTCCCACTTTGATACACTATGGGGTCTGCAGCGTACTCGGAAGAACGGCAATGCTATTGGAGTCAGCGTCATCCAGTGTCCCGCGCGTCCTTTAACTCATGAGGTCACCAACACTCCCTGGCAACATTGCACACTAGATACAACATTGAAACCGCTCATCTACTGCCAGGAACCAAACCTTGATACTACTTCTCTAAGCTATGGCGCCCACGTTGTTATGGATTGGCCTCGGCAACATGGGCCGAGTGAGTACACTGGAATAGCCCTTGAGAATGAACGACGCCTGACAAAGAGTCCAACAGGGCATGTGTAAAAACATTGTGGAAAAAGCAGATCTCTCGTCACCACTACTCTTGCACAACCGCTCGGTGCAACGTGCCGTCGACCTCAGCAACAAGCTCAGTTCCGACAAGACGGAAGTGGTGGAAGATCTGGCGGCTGGCGTGAGCAAGGCTGACATCATCTTCACGTGCGTGTCCAACGACGAGGCGATCAATGCGACCTTTGAAACGATGCTACAGGGCCATGTCAAGAACAAGGTCTTTGTTGAATGCTCGACGGTGCACCCCGAGACCACAGAGGCTCTGGCAAAGGCCGCCACGGCTGCAGGCGCCGAGTTCGTAGCCGCCCCTGTCTTTGGAGCACCGGCAGCGGCCGAGGCAGGCCAGCTCATTGGGGTGCTCGCGGGCCCACGAGCGAGTGTCGACAAGGCCAAGCCGTACTTCAAGGGCGTCATGGCCAAGGCTGAAATCGACATGACCGACAAGCCCTACGGCCAGGCGTTGAAGCTCAAGGTTCTGGGCAACACGTTCGTCCTCGCCATGGTGGAGCAGCTAGCTGAGGCGCACACTGTAGCCGAGAAGTCGGGGCTGGGCACAGAGTATGTCAATGATTTTGTGCAGGCCCTCTTTGGCGGGCCGTACGCTGCCTACAGCTCGCGCATGCTGGGTGGTGCGTATCACAAGATGAAGGAGCCGCTCTTTGGTGTCGATCTCGCGAGGAAGGACGCTCGGCACGCCAAGAGTCTGGCAACCGACGCTGGAGTCCAGATGAAGATTGTTGAAACTGCCGATCAGCATCTAGCCCAAGTTCAGGAGCATGCTGGAAGCTTGGGGGACATTGCTGGCATATACGGTGCTGTGAGAAAGGAGTCTGGCCTAAAGTTCGAGAATGATGCCTAAAGACGCGGGGCTATGTAGCCTCGCCCGTTGCAATGCAGAATTTCAGTGTAGATAATCGCCGACGAGCTCAATCTAGCTTGCAACTGATTATCCCCAGAAAAGTGTCTGGTGAATTATCTGAGATGGTTCACAGACGCGAAAAGGAGCTATCACGGCCATCAGACCCCTGTCGTGGATGACTAATCTCGACGTCAGCTCCTTTGCCAGCGGCGGTTGCACGTGGTAGCCAACATCACCTACGACAGTCGACGCATCGCACCGGCATCGACGACATCCACCCTAATTCCGACCGTCCTCCCCGAACGACAAACGAGTTTCTTTTTGTCGAAACTCGCAGAGAACAACAACCGCCGCCATGGCTCAAGGGTCAGCTCACTAGCCCGCGTCTCCCAGAATCGTCCACTGACGCTCCTATAGCTACTCCATCTGGATCGGCCTCGCCGTCATCGTCGCGCTGTGCGTCGCGTCGTGGTTCCTTTCGCCAAAGGGCGAGAATCAAGTGTATGTGATCATGGACCCTGTTCTTCGCAAGATATCCAGACTGACTCGCCTCGTCCCACCCAGCCTCTGGCGATCCTCCCTCATGCTCGCCATCATCAGCTGCTACCTCATGTGGCTCATCACCTTCCTTGCTCAGCTACACCCACTCATTGCGCCACGCCGAAGCGATCTCCGGGAGGCATACCTCGAATAGACGATTTGCGAACGGAAGCGGCACAGGAGGGTGGAAAAGAGGATCTAAGAACATGCGATACGGGTCAGGGGATGGCAATGCCCCCGATAACCTGTACGAATACATTCACGCTGCAATTTCTGCATGCGTATTTGATCGGCGTTTCTGGAGCGGCTGCTATATCATGTTTTTCTATCTGGGGGAGTGTTTTTACGAGAAGACAGGCATTGACACCCTGCACGAATGGCAGAGTCATCATAGACAGGGCTAGTAGATGCCCGCCGCATGAGGTGGCCCGTTCCATAATGCTCAATATCGCTCCCTCAGCCAATGATGCAGTTTTCTACTTTTCACCCTGCCGCTAGTCTTCCTGCCCACTGGATCGCATACATGAGATACCCCCAGAATGCCTTGCCGTCCGCCGCAATGTCACTCTCGGTGATCGAGTTCCAGTCGCCCAGACGCACGGACGCGAGGATCAGCCAGCCGGTCATCCATCGTGCCGCAGCGCCCAGAATCGCCAGGATGGCAGCCGTGTAGTACCTGCAGTCGAGGAGGATCCGCAGCGCCTCGACATTGTTGGCCACCACCGCCCAGCCCAGCGAGCGCGCCGCGGCGGGCACGTCGTATTCCCAGATCACCATAAGAATCGGAAACAGCTTCGTGGACGAGGACACGAGCAGGGCGGTGGACACGGAGTTGGGACGAGAGAAGCGAGGGAGCAGACCGGCGAGGACGAGCGGCGAGTAGCGGGACGAGGTGAGAAAGCGGATGCTGGCATGGAAGGCGAACGTGGACACGGCGCAGAGGATGACTGTGGTGGATATGTCAGCCGGCGCACTATGACAAGGGCAAGGCAGACGGGGGAGGCGGGCTAGCTTACGGAAAAATAGATACTGGAAGACAATGGGCTGCTGCGCCAACTGTCCCAGCGTGCTCTGACCTGTTTCCGACTCGGGCAGGCTTTTCTTCTCGATCCGCGCCCAGGTCAAGTAGACGTCAAAGAGCAGTAGCAAGACACCCAATCGCACAATGGATGGCTACGGCGCGTCAGTGAACAGCCATGCAGAGAGAGAGAGGTGCGCCCGCCGGGCCACTTACATCAAAACGATCCCCATCGCGCATCAGAGTATTGTGCAGGAGGTGCCGGTAGACTTGTGGCTTGATAAGCACGAGGTCTATGAAGAGCACGACAAAGTCATGCTCCACGTACTTGTCGCAGAAGCGGCCGCAGTTGCGACAGACGGTCAGACGGATGCTGTGGCCGCTGGACTTGTCTCCGGCCCCAGAGCGCCAGAGGGTGCTAACCGGCGTGCGACATTCGATGCAGATGGGCATCGTCGGTAATCATTGTGGGGTGGCGATGCTGGGAAGACGTCCCCAAGGGCGCGTTCTGTGGTTGATAGTAGTTTGAGGTGGCAGGCGCATGAGGTTGTCGTCACTCACGATAAGAGCTCCGATAAGCCGCCCTTAGTCGAGGGGCAGACTGTCACCTACAGGCAGTACCAAGTATTATTTCCTCTCCAGTTGGTCAGCGGAAGAATCAATGTTCAATACTACGGTATGCTGGCTTCTATATGTGTGCGCGATTGACTGTACCACCTAATGAATAACGCCGCCATCCAGAAGAAAGAAAAAAGAAGAAGATGCAGCCGGAAGGCTATGCGAATAATCCACCGCTCAACGCACCGCCGTGATGAGTATTTCCCTGATTAATGTACCGGGGATAATCAATCCGCCTTGCTCCCTTTCTGTGCCTCTCCCACTGTCCTCCCACGGATACCCCCAGCTGCGTCGTTGCGTGCGCTGGACCCCAGTGACAAGCCATCCACATTCAGCGCGTTGTCAACGAACCCGCCCCGGCCGTCGTCACTCATCGTGTCCGTGAGCTCAATGAGATCGTTGGGATGATCACTGCGGCCGGCACGCGCCTTGCCCAGTGGCGTGCCCGGTCCCTTTGCGAGCGCGCCGCGAAGCCAGGTCTCGACGGCGGCCGCTGCACGGTCAATACCTGTTCCTTGGCGGGTGGGCGCGATAGCTTCGCGGCCTTCCTCGTACGAGCTCTCGGCAATACCAGCGTCCTTGCCGAAACCAAACTTGGCCGTCTCGGAACCCATAATAGACATGGACGGCCCATCAATGTTCAATCCGGGTATATGCTTCTTGGTCCATGAATTGATAACGTCCTTGTCAGGCCCAGGCGCCCTCACGTTCCTGCCCATGGAGCCCACACCACCAGGTCGCTTCATCCATGCAGGCCTCTCGTCTGCTGGGTCGCTCCCCATACGGCTGCGGTTCGAAGGTGGTGTCCCCGGGAACGCGGGGCGGCTACTGAGAGAACTAGGGCGGCGGGAAGATGGTCCCTCGGCGGAGCCAGGAGGTCCTGAGGCGATCTCAAAGCTCTGTCGCGGCGTAGAAAGGGAGGATATGGTCCTAATGCTCTTCTTTCTCCTGGGCGGGAAGTACCCCATGGCGCCCCTGGCAACGCGGCCGATCTCGACGGGTTCTGGTATCGAGTCAACCTTTACCCAGCGAACGTGCTGCCACGGTTTCTCCTCCTCTTCGGCCTGCGCCTCGTCGGCGCCGGATCCGTTTGCCTTGCTGAAGTAGTCATCGTGGGTCGCCTTGGATGCCGATGCGTCTTCGATGGCGGGTGTGGGTGCAAGCAAATCAACGCCCTGCGCGTTGCGCCATGACGGCGCCTCACAGGGTCGCCCGCGCACGTCGCAGGCATCCACCGGTATGGTCACCCATTTTCGGGTCTGAATGCTGTCCCTCGACCAGAGCCCGTTGGCCCGTCGAAAGACATCTTCCCTGCACCTGTACTTGAGCACGATGCCGGCAAAGGTGTCGCTCGCCTGCACCCAGTGCACATAGACCAGGTAGTCGTCAGGCCCCGGGTTGCCCGTGGCGGCCTCGTCCGAGTTCCGGCGCTTGTGCTTGCCCGACACGTCCAGCCCGCCATTCACCCCCGTGTGGCTCTCTAGCACGCTGGCTGTACGGGCAGCTTTGAGGGCAGCCTGCCTCTGCGCCAACGATCCCGAGGCCACGTCATCCAAGCTCGGTGCCGACGTGGGCGGTGCCGGACCCCACGAGGCATTGGCTTTTCGCCCTCCACTGGTAGACATTCGGCGTCCGCGAGGGAAAGCCTTGAGACCACCATCGCCGTTCAGCAGCCCCTTGCCCAGGGACGATGGCCCGTTGCTGCTGTTGAAGAGGGAGCTTGTCAAGTCTTGCACCGAGGACCAGCTCTGGTTCCAAGAATCGCTGAAGAATTGTCCGAGGTCGCCCGTGGACGAGTTGGTAGGTCGGCTGGGGCTGACGCCCAGCGATCTCGTTCGTGGTAGCGGGCTGACCGAGCGGCTTGTCGCCGGGCTCAGGGCGGACAGGAGGCCCGACGTTTGGTTCGAGGGCCCATTGCCGTCCGTGCTGATCAATAGTCTGTTACGTGGTCGTACTGAGCCGCTGGGCGAGTCGGTACCGGCCGCAGCGATGTGGGAGGATGATCGGGCGAGGTTGCGGTCCCTCACTCGGTCGGTCATGGTGACCAGCGGCGCCGTACGCCACGTGTAGTACCCTCGCTGGAACTACGTCGCGCGTAGCGGGCAATCGACCATAGAGGTGTGTCGCGCGTAGAGGAGGCTCGTCGTAGCGGTCTTTGGGCGGATGTTGTCCGTTCTCGACCGGAGTAATTAAGTCAATGTCGGCAACCGGGCGATAAGGGGCGTGGTTGGCTTGCGGGTATTAGCGATGACGGAAAAGACTTGTGGTCGTACTCTAATGGACATTATTGATGGGAGACAAAAACATAGAGCAAGTGTAGTGATTCAGCCAAGGGAGTCCATTGCGGGTTTGCTGCGTTCGCGTGAAGCTCTGGTAGTGGTGGGATGGCAAGATGTTGAACTAGGAGGGTAAGTTACGATAGTGCCGCCACGGTGGTTCATTGAATTGCCTGTCCAAGGCTGCCGGGTAGGCGGATCAGGCAGAGCCAAACGAGCTGTCCAGCACACTCACTACCAGATACCATATTTCACCATGAATAGTACCAGATAACTGATAGACACATGGGAATAGTATTTACCACGCTTAATGCTCATATTGCGAACTTGTACAAGTAGAATTCACACGGCTGTGCATAGCCTCGTCCCCAGAGGAGACCTTCCTCCTCCCGCTCGACCAGTCTCCCCATCTGCCGCTGGCCGTTCGAAATGCAAGACTCGCTACCCACTGTCCAACATGATTGTTGGCGGTGTTTCTGGTACATCCCCCAGATGAGCTCTGGATCATCAGGAGGGCCAAACCTCACCCGCGGCACCATAATCTCCCGCCTTCCCCTGTCCGTCTCTACGCATTGCCGGCTGCAGCAGGCGGCTCTTGCGGTTCGGGCGGCGTCGGTTGCGGGACGCCTGGTGGGAGAGGATCTTGTTTGGGCACTGGCATGAGCATGGGACCAGGGGGAATCTGCGTCCGACTAGGAAGCGACTCGCCCTTGATCACCCTCATGACCTCCTCCTTGTCCAGCGTCTCGTACCTGACTAACGCTTGCGCCAGTAGGTCGAGCTCCTTGCGGCGGTCCGTCAACAGTTGCCGCACATCCTCGTACGACTTCTTGAGCGTCTTCTGGACCTCGCTCTCAATCTTGGCACGTGTGTCGGAGCTAAGATACTCGTATCGCTTGCCATACTCGACAGGACCGAGCTCATGCGACATGCCGTATTTGGACACCATGCTGAAGCACAAATCAGTGGCGCTTTCAAGGTCCTAAGTAGAATACGTTAGCTTCGTCCCCTTGTGAGCTGCGCGTTACTCACCTGTGACACTCCGCTGGTGACCTTGTCGTCGCCGAACCGAAGCTCCTCAGCCATCTTGCCGCCCAAGGAAACACGAATACTCGACAAGTACTCCGCAGCTGTGTGCGAGTACTTGTCCATCTGCGGTAGGAAGGCCGTGTGGCCCAGCGACATGCCCTTGGGCAAGATGGTGACCTTGTAGAGATTGCTGGAGGATTCGCTGTCGAAGAGCTGGACCAGTGCGTGTCCAGCCTCGTGGTATGCAGTCATCTCCTTCTCCTTCTCGGTGATGACCATTGACTTCCTTTCGGATCCCATGGTGACGCGGTCGAATGCCCACTCCATGTCTTGCCTGGAGATCATGGTGGCCTTGGCCCTGCTTGCTTTCAAGGCAGCCACGTTGAGCATGTTCTCGAGCTCCGCACCCGACCGCCCCGGGGAGCGAGCCGCGATGGCTTCGAGGTCGACGTTGGGCGCAAGCTTGACCTTGTGGGCGTGGTGCTTGAGGATCTCGATTCGGCCACGCACGTCGGGCAAGTCAACGCTCACATGACGGTCGAAACGGCCAGGGCGCGTCAGGGCCTTGTCGAGCATGTTGGGCGTGTTGGTGGCGGCAATAATGATGATTCTCGCGTCCTGGTCGAACCCGTCCAACTCGGTGAGGAGCTGGTTCAGTGTCTGCTTCGAGTGGGCCTGATCGCGGGGGTTGCGTTTGCCGCCGATGGCGTCCAGCTCGTCAATGAAGACAATGGCCGGAGACTTTGCCTTTGCGCTGCTAAACAGTTCGCGAACACGCTTGGCGCCGACGCCGACGTAGATCTCGTCGAACTCACTGCCAGACATGTAGAAGAAGGGGACCCCAGCCTCGCCCGCAACTGCGCGAGCGAGGAGCGTCTTGCCTGTACCAGGAGGGCCGACGAGCAGGACACCCTTGGGCAGCTTGGCACCGAGGTCCGAGAACTTGTCGGGATGCTTCAGAAACTCAACAACTTCCTCGAGCTCTTCCTTGGCCTCGTTGCACCCGTGTACATCGGTAAAGCGGGCTGTCTGCTTCTCCGAAGTCACCTCCGAATCGACCTTCTTCGGTGTACCACCGGGACGACGGTACGAGTTGAGCACCTCGATGACGATAGTCATAAGCGAGAAGGAGATCCAAAGGGCAAGCATGTACGAAAAAATGAACTTGGTCCAGCGGAACAACTTGGATCCGGCAGACTCATGTACGAGAACGTGCATGGGCTTGCCCTTAATACCACGCTCGGTTTCCGCAGCAGATCCTGTCATGTTACCAATGCCGCCCATGCCCAAGTGTTGATTTTGTGCCGCGGCGCCACCATAGCCCGCGTTGAAGACAGGCTGGTGTCCCCCGGTGCCGAGCGTGCTGGACATGGCACCGCCCCCTTGGACGGCACCGAGAGCCCGGCTGTAGAGTTCTTCAGTGGCCGCATTGGCGCCGTAGCGGCCAGACTGGTGGCGGGTGACGACGATGCCAGGCATGTTGGCGCGAAGCAGGAGGTCGTAAAAGGCATTCTGGAGGTTGGCGTTGTTGGGGTCCCGGTTCGCGTTTGCCTCACTGTTGGCGAGCTGATTCCTAGGCACCCCGTTGACAGTGCCGAAAGACCGATGACTATGCGATGATGACGATGATGATAGTGATGTGCTGGGGATGTATCTCGCTCCGCTGGATAGCATACGCAAGGAGCCCATAGGGGTAGCTAGGTTATGCGCCATCGGTCGAAGCGATCGTAGTACCGAGGTCGACTCGAAGACAGGCTGCGCGAGAATCCTCTGCGAGCCCATCAGGCCTGTACGGGCCATTCGAGGGACAGGCGTCATTGCCTGGGGAATTGTCAGCGTGTCACCGGGTAACGAAGGGCAGAGTATCCACGCACTGACAGCCTGAGACCTAGAGAGGCCATGCTTGAAGCCCAGTCTTGTTCACCAGTCTGCCTCGAGATAATAAACAACGAGCGGACGTCAGGAGACCGAGGAGTGCTAGTCGACTAGCCGAACTTTGGAGCCACGAGGAGTGTAGGGATGGCGCTTCATGAAAGTATGCCTGGACGAAGATAACTGGATGGGACAAGAAAAATCGTAGGGTGAGCAATCAGCTCATTGTGCGACAGGCGCGCGGATGGTTTTCGCTCAGACCGCGAGTCGTGCTGTAATGATGAACCGCAGGCTTTGGTGGTTTTCCGTGGGGGGGGAGAACTTGCCACTGTTTGAGAAGCTAAAGTTAATTATGACCCCAACAGGCACGCGCGCGAAGACGAAGGTGCGGCTCAGCGGTCGGTCCAGGCCAATTGACGTACGTCGGGCGTGGATTTGCTTAGTCATCGGGGTGGAGCCGGGTCGATGCGCTGCCGGCGCCGACATCGCAGAGAATCCCTCAACTTGGTGACTTCACATTCTTACAAGTACGGATACTTCACTTCACAATGCTCTCTCCAACGGTTCGCGTAACTTGTCTCAAAATTGGGGAACTATTCAAAAAAGAGTTTCGGCTGCGCCTGACCAGCCTCCCAAGCTTTCCATCATCCATTTGATTTTCGTTTTCTCGTCAAAAGTCGAATCATGCAATCATCATCAATATTTCCGTTTTCCGTGTTCTTCGTAAAACATGACATAAGAGAAAAACAAACCGAAAGAGTGGTGCAAAAGCGAGTCAAATAGCAAGTAGGAGGTAGTAGAGTCACGACTCGTGAGGTCGTTCGTGCCCTGATGAAACAACTCGAATGACAAAAGGGGTAGTGAGAATCGAACAGCAATAACAAACAATGACTTCAGTATAATGGCATCTCCTGCCATGCCTCGCCGAAGTTGAAATTTTCGCATCAGTGGTATCCTGGTGAAAGACAAGTTGGCCGCCCATTTGTGTTTGTTGGTTTGTGTGTGTGTTTGGTTGTGTCGTAAGTACAGATATGTCTTTCCAGACAAGCATCAGAAGTCGAAAAGCTCATTTCTCTTCTTGCGTTGTCCGGGAAGCAGGGAAGCCACCTCGTGCGCCACGTAGTTGTAGGCGGCGGCCTCCTGTTTGGCCTTCTCTTCCCTGTAGGACAAGGAATGGCCAAAGGTGGGATAGGGATGAAGCCCCTGAATCGACAGAATCGACAAGTGATCCATGAGTCTTCCGGGCAGTTCGTGGGGTTGCTGCCATATTTGGGGTACCTGGAGACCGAGTGCATCTCCTTGTACAACTGGGGACAGAGCCTCCATAGCAACGTGGTTGAACTGCTGGCCTACGGGGAGACCATACTCCAGCGATGGCTGAGGTGCCTCTTCATCGAACGTCGGTGACCCATCGAAGGATGTTGCTGTTGACTTGACATGGTAGACAGAGGAATCGTCGCTTGACATGTTCGAGGTAAAGCTTGAGCCTACGGAGACGTCATCAAGGCTGTGATGCTCATCGAAGGCAGTGCCGTGAGCGAAGTCGGGGCCGTCAAGTGGAGGGCAGTCGTCAATATCGTCCTCAAAGTCATAGTCGTGATTGTACGGTTCGGTCATCATGATGGGCATTCCAGAATGGCTGTGTTCGGGCACATAGCTCTGAACGCTGGTGGCGTGGTATGCCTGAGGCTCGTTGCCACAGTCGATCACCTCGGGATTGGTAGTGTCGTGTATTTGTGAGTCGACGAAATGCTGAGCCATATCCATCGACGATGGCTGTGAATCAGACCACAGACTCATCTCAGGAGACTTCGACAGTGTGTCCTGACTAACTTCAGCCGGTTCAGCCTCGATATCGACGCCATGTGCATCGTATCTCGTGTGACGCATCGGGTGATGCCTCATGTGCTTGATCAAGGTCTTTTTACGAGCGAACCTGGTTGCGTTAGCTAGACTCAGATGCCGTGATTTGGTGAACCCACCTCTTTGTGCATCCCGGTACTCCACAAGCAAAGGGCAAGTTACCGGTGTGGACTCGACGATGCCGGGAAAGGCTAGACGACTAAACCAGTCAGGAGACGTGCAGAAGTCTGAATAGTATTGCACTTACGTCCGCAAAGCTGCGGCCACAATCATCGTGCTGGCATTGATAAGGCTTTTCCCCCGTATGGGTTCGATGGTGTTGCTTGCGGGCACTTTGTTGAACAAAGCTCTTGCCACAGTGTGGAAACTCACAGGCGTAGGGACGCTCGCCTGTGTGGATGCGGTAGTGCCTCTCCAGGTCCGACTTTCGCGTGAAGCCCTGCTTTCATCAGCAACCATGCCAGCACTTGATCGATCCTACTCACCTTGCCACATGACTGAGAGGGACAAGGAAATCGAGGGGTGACGTGACGCTCTTGTGAAAAGCTGATTGGTTCCATCTCTTTGGCTAAGCGAGGTTCCCTGCTATACGGAAAACTCAAGCATCCGCCCTTTGCATACAGATGGCTTGATCAAAGGGACGATATCCCTGGCCGGTTACTTGCCGCTGGTCGAGGTTCGAGCCCTGATTGTCGTTGAGATTCCTGATGGCCTGGAGCTGAGAGATGTCTTCAATTTTCGTTTTTCGTTGGAAGCGTTCGTAATTACATATGAGAAGCTGTCGTATCATTGCCTGGACGGTGCATAAAGTCGTCCTCGTCACATTGATGAGGTACGGACCCTGGGGAAGATCAGTCAGTGGTGTGTTATAACACATATGAGAAGTGACCAGTACCTGGGGTAAGAGACAGTGTGCATGGGAGTCTCAAGCACGAAAGAAAGGAGGTGACCGAAGCGACCAGGAACCAGGTCAAGGATGTGCAACGGGAGCCGGCCTAATCTTGAGAGTTTATAACACAAGAGGCAGAAGCAACAAGGGACGATCCACAGTGCTTTGGCGAGTGCCAGTGCTCCTCGACGTTGTTCTCAGGGTTGGAAGAGTGCCGGTTGGCTATCCCCCAAACCCTTTCGACTTGCGAGACATGAGATGGCCCGCCTCTGTCCGCACATGGAGCTACGCCCACTAGCAGGTAAGGGGAGCGACGATGGGGCCTTTCAGGTGAGGAACCGTAGACGTACGCAAGGCTCGCAACACCCCCAGGCCGCACATACAGCGGACATCACTCGATGGGCCGCAGCCGCGATAGCTGCCGCAAAGCCCCCGGCAGTATGGGGAACGGGAACGGGAACGATGAGTCTAGGAACAGCTTGCATTGCTAGCTAGGCTCAGAGGGGTGAGCACCTGAACACCCAGCTCTCAACGTGCGACGGCCCTCTTTCGTGTGGCTATGGCTCAGATCACTCATATCATGCCGCTCTGTGGCAAAGACATGATGGACCACCAGGACACTCGGTGCGTTCCACGATGCTTGACTGGCGATACTCCGAGCCTTGTCTGCGCCGGGAAGACGAAACGGCGCATCAGCAGCAACTCCGCGGAGGAGCCAACAGTGCTGCTGCTTGCCAGGCAATGCTGGACGCCACAACTGGTGCCTCCCCGATCTCAACGGAGAGATGGAGAGACTGGCATCTAATTAGTCTAGACCATCATCCTGTGGTGTGTGTGTATGTACTGAGACGTGAGCCGCAGACCCATCCCCGCGAAGGCCTTTGTTTGGCAACCAGGACGTGGTCTTGCAGTTAGCGAGTGCCATGGTAGCTGAACTGCTGCGGCACGACCCAGACGACCCACGGCCCATAGTGACGGGCTTGGGTGAGAGCAGGCTGCGATTGGCCGCGGCAGAGCAGGATATCGGGAGCGGCGTATGCGGGAAGAGCACAGTGCCAGATACGTACGTATGCCAGGCAGGCCAAGAGAAGTGATCAGGGGGGGGCCTCTTCCGGTCTGCTAGGGGGACCGTTGTCCGCTTTCGGTGCCGGCCAGGGGTACGTAGGCAGGCAGGCAGGCAGGCAGTGGTGCATTCATTGCTTGTGCGTGTATGTGCACGCAACAGATTACTTCGTAGAGTAGCAACATGAAGGTCGCCAGGTCGCCGAGTCGCCGACGTTGCTGGCTGTTGCAGCAGTCCACTGCAAAGCGAATGCAGGCGGGATGTTCGTGGGCAAGCAAAGTGTCTTAGGACATGCTTAGAGTCGCCAATGGGGCCATGATGCCTGATTGCGTCGGGGTGCAATTGATTGCTCGTCTGGTCTGCTCTCGTTGTAAGCATCTCGTCAGCATTGAGAGCTTGAGCATATGAAATGGACGTGTACGTGTCGATCCACATGTGCGAGCCTTATGATTGACTGGGGAGGGGGCCGTTGGAGCTCAGCTCGACTAGACTATCAGGTACTAAATACTGCATTTTACTCAAATCCTCAATTGCCTGTACGTGGTATGGAGAACTTGAGAATTGAGAAGCTGAGAAGCTCCGCTCGATGCATGGTTCAGTCAGCATCCCGATCGACATCAAGGTGCGTCACCACAGAACGCACCCTCAGCATCCGCCCTTGGTATACAAGGCTTGGTATACAAGGACTCTCTACAGGTGCCTGGGCAGGTTCCAGAACGTACTAGTAATGACATGGAGTGGACGTACGTAGTGGCTGGATCGACAGAGGACGCGCTGCCCGCAGAAGCAATGAAGTTGCTCCGGTCTATGAATCAGCACGAGCATGTTAATCAGCGGGAGGGGCCTGTGTCTGGCTCTGAGCAAAAGGTCGTCCTGCCTCTAATCGTCCTTTAATTGTTGATACGTATTTAAGCTCTCTTCGAGACGATTATTCCCGTGATATTGTCCCTAAGCTCTTTGTGGCGCTATTGAATTACTGGTATCCAAAAACACCCCCCTCCTCGTGGGTGTTTTGCACTTCCGTACTCCGTATTCAGGCCAATGAGCTGAGTTGACGAGGCAGCAATGCCAACAACGTGACTGATGACTAACCTATCCCACTAGCGCACTGATAGTACGGACAATTGATTGGGACTAGACCCCTTCCGTTCCGTCTAATGAGGAAACGGCAGCGGCCGAGAGTGATCAGACAGGAAAGGCAGGCTCGACTCACGGCGGACAGATATCTTGCCGGTGCGGTACCTCACGTCTAACTTACTAGTAGTTGTCGAGATCTGTCTGTTGGCAACTGAACTTGACGTTAACATGAATCTCGTACAGATCATGTGAGCACCGACCATTTCGTCCTTGGCCCGGAAGGGGCCCCGTCCGTCATGGAGTCACCAAGTTCACGATACCGTCACCCTGATCACTCCGTGAGGTACCTGAGCTTTAGCGCCACCATGCACTTGCTTGCAACCACTTGCGGCGCCACGACGCCACATTCAATGTTATTTGCAAACATTCATATTCGTTTACAGGTAAGTTGGCGTCTGGCTCGCCGCTCGGCTTTAGTCCCCTTGGACGACCCCTTGGACGGGGCCATTTAAAGTTTGGCACAGCAGTTCTTCATCCGTTCCAATCTCGACCTGAGCTGGAATCCATGTCCCCATCAGACTAGCGATCGACGCACCCCTTCCACCAAAGACCATCACTTGGCGCCCTGGGCCCTGCAAGGAACCCCTAGCCTCCAGGTAGGTCCCCGCGTAGGTAATCGCCTGGTTCGTATCAGTCAAGCTGATAAAGACACAGTGTGGAGAGCTTCTTGATACGAATCGTACGATGATGCTCGTGGCGTTGCCAAGCGTACACTACTATTGGCTTGAGAGTGGATGCAGATCATGTCAAAGTCAGTGCGCAATCTCTTCATGTTGACAGACCAGGGCCAATTTCTGCTCCAAGCAATATCCCTTGGCTGCTCAAAGCCTACGTCTGCTGCCTCGTTGTCATGGGAAGCGCGCCGGCCCTAGCGCACAGCGCCGCCGGTTTATGGATCCTTTGAACAAAGAGGCGTCCTTTCAGTTCCAATATCGCCGAGTTTGTTTCGTACATATGTACTACGTAGGTATCACTGGCCGTGCGTGATTTGGAAAATCGTATACGTAACGCCCAGTATGTGTTCGACCTCTCGAAATCTCAGCATGTGCGGTTGAGTTGATCGGTAAGTAAGTATACGATGATGTATTGCCAGAACGCGGCAAGGTCAAACTGACGCAGACCCAAGCTTTATTTACTATAGTGAATACCCCTGGGGCCCTGAGCCGTCGGAGTTTTAATGACCCGCATCTTTTCCGCATCGCCTTGGCCGCGCGCTTCGTGTCAACGATTACCGATACGTACTGAGGTTCTCGGGCCCAAGCGGGCTGCGTCAACCTTGCACCAGCAGATCTTCAAGGCAAAGCGCGAGTCTAATAATTCCCGCAGTGGCCGTCAACGCGGCCCGCAGTGCAATTGTCTGCAGAGGCCTCTTCCCCCCACGGCTGTCTGTAGCCGGCCGGTCCGCTACTAGGCGCAGGGCCCAGCAGGTCACAAGCCCAGGGGCCGCAGGCTTCGGCATACTATCACATGGACCGTACTACATACGCAAGCGCTTGACGGAGAGGCGGGGTCACGATGAGCCCCGAAAGTGCTCCTTGCCCAGACAATGGATTACGGCGAGGCTGGGCGAGGCAAGGACTGGGAGAGAAAAGAGACAACGAACCCAAGCTTATCCACCAGCTGTGCGCGAACGCAATACAGAACGTACACTCTGCTCTGGAGCGACCCGTGTGCAGTAGCGGATATGCACGGCATCTCTTTCGGAAAACGAGGCTTGCAAGCGTCCCCTTCCCTCGGATTTTGCGTGACGCTCGCGCAATCACGTACGTATCTTGTAATTATGGAGCAATGCGGAGTGTCCGCGGAGCATGCCGTTATCTCGGTCAAGCATCGAGCTGAGCAAGCAGGGACAATAGGTACGGATGCGGATAAAATACGCGAGCTGTCAACCAGGACGGCTTGAAGGTTAAACTATCTGAGGGCGTGCAAAGGAGTGCACACACGAACACACACCTCTGTACTATGGAGCTCTTTCGAGTCCACTCACCAGCAGCTACGTGCGGGATCTTGCCTACAGGCAACGTCAACGTACATGTTCGTGCCTGAGACCGCACAAGGCGTTCTGCTGCTGCAGACCTGATGGGCCTGCAGTCGACACGTCGCCGGCAGGCAAACGACTGAGGCGGGGCCCAGCCTCCGGGGACTGTCTGTCCCGGAGAGACTTGCTGCTTAGTCGCTCGCTCTGCCGCAGACAGGACGGGCCATCTAGACTAGACAGCACCATTACACCATGACTAATTAGGGGCCAATTGTTCAAACGATGAGATCCTGTCGTTCTCATCCCCAGCCGGCTAACTATGGGGGTCTTGCAGGGAAGAAGGAGGAGGGGATCGAGGGAGCCGCGACTCGATCTGCGATCACAACACCACAAGACAACACCTTGGGTCATCTCTCGATGATAAGGCGCGTGGGAGATCAGACAAGTTGACGATACGCAATGGCTTGCAAATCACGAGCGGGTATGCGATGCTACGGTCGAAAAGGGAGGCTCCCTACGGTCTAGGACGGTTGTTGTTGATCACCACGTCTTCCACCAGCGCCCGTTGCTGCACACCATGCGGGCATAGTCCGGGCACTGTTTACAAGCGGCACGTCCCAAGTAGGCCACTAGCTACTACTGAGTACTACGTACAACGTACCGCACTTTGCTGTCGGACTATGCAAGCCAATACTACGTGTACACGAGCTAGAAACAGACGTGGCAGGGTGGGTGGTGCCTCTTTCTGTCGGTCTCGCAATCGAGGAAAGGGAGGCACAGCAGCAGCAGCAGCAGCACACCAATGAGCGGAAAATCGATTCGTTCAGCTATCATGTCGCCGTCGCCGTTCTCCATACACTCACAAGCGGCCAGGAACGTCTGAGACATACGTTGGTCGTCCAAGCTGTTGGACCATGAACGACTTCCCATTCGTCGTCTTCTGACTGCTCCACCAGTGCCAATGAGAGAGAGAGAGAGAGTGCTGCCCTACTCAGACATTGGCCCTTGCGGGCTGCTCACCAACTTTGGTCGCATAGACAGATGCACACTCCATTGAACCTATTGGCCGCGGCTCTGGATGACACTACCCCGTGGTGGCGATGGCGAGGAAGGCACATGTACGTACAGACAGGAGAGTGAGACGGGACTTCTGTCAACCTCACCCATGGTGCCTGTCACACATTGCCATGGCGAACTATGCAATAGTCCAGCGTCCCCGCAAGCGTGGCCTCGCTACATGTAGTGATGGCAGCCAACGGATCCGAGCCTGTGCACGTGTGACCTCGTGTGGACGATGGAGTTTGGCCACCCCAGGGCATTCTAGGTCGGTCCATGTCTGTTCGTGTTGACTCGGCCTCATCACCGCATCGGACACAATGTTCCGCATAGCGTGCAAGATCAGAACGCATATGTGGAAAGTGAGCACTTATGCATTCGAGCTCTTTCGGCTTTCGTGGCGTTCAACAACCTCCCGTTCAACAACCTCTCGTCTCCACCGTGATCGAGGGCCCCATGCACGCTTCTTTCTTTTCCCTGTCCGCCTTTTCTACACGTAGATCGCGGCATCGCCCATGGCCCCCTCAAGCGGTAATGTCGAGCCTCATCTCTGATTCGAGCTTGATATCGGCGCCAAGGCCCGGATCGGCGCCCACCTTCGGGGTCTCGCCTGCCGTCTCGCCGGTGGTGAGGCCCTTCCGGATGGCTAGGACGCTATCAACAATCACTGCATCGATGCCCTCCTTGACTTGACGCTGTCGGATCTGTTAGTCCCCGGGACCACGCCGAGAAAGGGTTTGCACTCAAAGACTTACCTGGACCAGCAAAGGATCATTATTGGCCGCGCCGTAACTCACGCAGACCAGGCCGTTCTCCTTGACCACCTTGACCAACCGCGGGCTGTTGATCAGCGGCTCGGCTGCGGAGACGATGCCGAGCAGGTTCCAGCGACTTGCAAATCGGATGGCCTCCTGCAGCGATGAGGCCCTGATGTCGCCGACCTGGCAGCATCCTGCGTCTGTCAGGAACAGGATGGGAATCGACGGCTGCTTGTAACTGAGACACAGGCAGATATCAGGACTGAAGGAACTGAAAATGATGTGCCGCTCCCCGGCCAAGTCGTACACCTTGGACAGCACCGTGTCGCAGAACGAGTTGAGCTCGACGGCATACGTGTCCATCTCGTGCTCCTCGCTCTCGTGTAGCATGGGATACTTCATCTCGATGTTAAAGCCAATGTTCTCCGGCAGCTTCCGGAACAGGTCCTCCAGCGTCGCAAAGGGGGCCTGGATGAACTTGCCGCGCGAGTTGGCCTTGAAGCCCTTTTCCTTGAAGTCGCGAGTGTGCTTCATCCGCTCGTCAAGCTCCTCCGATAGCCCGCGGCCGGCGATACCCATGGACTGGGAACGGGTCGGCGTGAAGCTGTTACTGCGGCTTCTCCTAGTGCCGTCGCCCTGCAGCCTCTCCATCGGTCCGCCGCTGGTCCCATTCTTTCGGTTCACGCTGTGGCTGCGGCTGCTATCCGGGTTGATGTGAAGGAACTGCTCCAGGGTAAGAGTGTGTACGGGAGCGTCGATGCCAGTCTCGCTGACCAAAAAGTCGTGATACACAACAGGGACGTGATCCTTGGTCAGCTGCACGTCAAACTCGACGTACTGCGCACCCAGGTTGGCTGCCGCGATGAAGGATGGCAATGTGTTCTCCCCAAGCTGAAGGGAGCGATTAGACGTGATGTTCTTGCCCAGGCCACGGTGACCGATGAGCATGGTCGACGACAGCTTTTTCCAGTACGTGTGCCGCGACGTGACCTCCATGTTGGGATGGTAAAATGGAGTGATGACAAGAAAGTTGAAGTTGACGGTACCGATCACCTCGAGGCTGCTCGACATGATGGGTACACAGACATCGCCTTGTAGATTGACACGTCCGCCGCCAAGGGTAGGCTTGATGGAGGAGAGGAGAGCGACGGCGCGACCGATCTTGTGCTTCTCGTTGCCCGAGTAGGTGGGCACAATGTCGAAGAAGAGCTTGACTTTGGTGGCCTCCTGCGTCGTGAACACGATGGGCTCTGTCGAGACATTGTCGTGCACTGGCAAGTCTATGATCGTCGGCTCGCCAGTCGCGCCACTTGCAGACACCACCACGGACAAGGCTGTGTCCAACTGAGTGTTGTGTGCCTCGTTGAGCGGGATCCGGTCAAGGTTGATAGCCTCAATGCGCTTTCGAAGATCCATGGAACCCAGGCTAACATGCACGAGGCTCTCGTTGGTCAGGTATCTGTGACCAAAAGTCTTGACAGGCTCGGCAGGTCGTATATTGCTGCCACTGCCGTTCGATGTACGCTCATCAATGGAGCTGATCTCGCCTGGCGTGGACGAGGCGGAGCCACCCGCCTTCGCCGGAACCTGCTCCTCGCTGGTGTGCTGAGCAAGAAGTTTGGCAATAGAAATGTGCCCACGTAGCGCAGCGTGCTCTTTTGCTGTCCAGCCAGACGAGTCGAGCTTGGAAACGTCGGCGCCAGCGTCGATCAGCAGTTTCGCCACAGACAAGTGTCCGTCGACAGCCGCCACATGCAAAGGCGTCCAAGCGTACGTGTTTTCCACGATGCTGAGATCAGCCTTTATGCTCTCGCTTCCCTTGAGGATGACTGCAGCGCATTCATCGTGGCCGAATCTAGCAGCCACGTGCAGCGCCGTCTCGCCCGTCGCATCACGCCAGTTGATGTCGACGCCAGCCTGCACGAGCATCTCCACAATCACTGTATAGTTGGCCTTGGTGGCTATGGCCAGGACGGCACCTGACTGGGGGACACCTTTGCGAATGTCGGCCTTGGCATCACTGCTGGGTCGCCAGTTCTCCCCTTGAAGTAAGGCCTTGGTCGTCAGGGGGTGGCCACCAATGACTGCGAGATGCAATGGGGCCCGTCCGTCGTTGTCCTGCCATTCAGGAGCGTCCAGCCCATTCTTGACATCGAATTGTTCCCACTCCTGCATTTTCCGCATGACAATTTGGCAAACAATGACGAACCCAAATTGTGCGGCATAATGCAGAGGTAGGCGCCCGAACGAGTCCCGACTTTTGAGCGCCGTCCGCTGCTCTGGCTTTAAGTTGTCCAACAAGAAAACAAGGGTCTTTACCGCCTCGTCATCACTGGCGAGCTTCTGCGCCTCCCCCGTGTTCAGCTCCTTGACGGGAGCGGACATGGAGACAGCGGGTTGGATGTGTCTGTTGAACTGCGTGCCTGCAGGAACGGGATACGTATTGGAGTCCTGCTCCAAAGGCGTGATCTTGGTGCGGCCAATGTGGATGACGAGGCGATGAATACAGTTGCGACCATTGATGTCATCCGGCTCTTCGAGGTCCTTAACCTGATCAAGCAGAAACAGCATGGCGTTCCTCGAGCGTGAAGAGATGGAGCGTTGAAGAAGATTCAACAGAACCGTCTTGGAGCCAGCCACGGTGCTCAAGTTAGCCTCTGCCAGTCCTGACCGCAGTGCCTCGACGTTATCTGTGCGCACAGCTTGGTCCAGCGAGTCAAGCTGGGCCTGGGGCAACTGAACCATGGCCTTGTTTGACACGCGGCCGAGGGAGCGACTGGATCGGTCAGATAGGGAGTCGTCCATGTTCTGCGCTTCGCCCAGCACACCGAGCCAGCGATTGATGTCGGCGAGAAGGCGGCTGATGTTGCCATCCTTTGCAAAGGGCTTGGGATCAACCTTTGTCGAAATGTACCGATGCTGCGTCGCAATCTGGGGCACCTTCTTGTCCAGCTTCTTGGTGATCTTGACGAAACCGCGTCGGTTGATCTCGCCAAACCACTGCAAGTTTCTCAGCTGTGTGCGCAGGTCCAGCAGCGCACCCATGACCTCCTCAATCTCATCCTGATCCAAGCTCTCTACCACATCCGGCACGCGGCCATAGCGGTTTTGCAGCACGTTTAGACGTCGACACGCGTCAGCAAACTTCTTGTTGTAAAATGCATCAACATCCTCGAGATTGCGGTCCAGGGCGAAGAAGAATTCTGCAAACACCCCAGGTTAGGAACACGGGGTCTCATATCACACAAGAACGCGGTAGCTGGTCAAGGCCCACCTGCTGGATCGACGGTTTCGCCGTTCTTGGCCTTTTGAGAAGCAGCCTTAATCAGCTTCTTGAGACCTTTGTAATTGATGTAGGAGGCTGCCCATTCAGGGACCTGGTTGCGTGGGAGGCTGCCACCTAGGTCAGCATTACTGTCATATCGACAGGAGTCGCCAACGTCCGCGAGAACACTTACTTGCGACCAAATTTCATGATGAATCCTAGCAATTTGGCCAATCACCGGCCGGGACAGGCGTGTCTGGTATCGTGAAATCAGTTCACTGGCCTGAATGCTTGACTTGTCGACAACGTGGCGCGAGCCCAGCTGCAGCCTGCCTCAACTCAACCCGTGTGATCGGAGCCACTTGTGTGAAGGATAAGTCTGATTGAGGAGCGAGGCGAATTGAAATCAGAACAGGAACGCGATATGACCTGAGGCAGGACACCGCCCTTCGGCGTCGCTGGGGTCAACGCAGGGTGTATCCGTACGGGGTGAGGGCTGCAGGATAGGTCCACCAGGGGCGCCGCAGCAGGGGCCGCAGATACGCGATGCTATAGTAGTAATGCAATATATCAGGGTGCAAGAAAATGAAGGTGATGTCTAGTAGATTAGACTGCGACGATAGGTATTTGAAATCAGGGCAATGGGATGTGGAGGCGGAGAAATTCGAGGTTTAGAACTTCAGGGACCTGAATCGCAACAAAGCCCCATTTCTTTCGTTCTGGCTGAAAACACGTACTAAGAGTGCCTGAACTTAGGACATATTAGCTTAAGTGGTGTCAAACTTTCGCGTGTGATCGAGACCCCTGACTCCAGCCCTTCGTCCTCAGAAAGTGTGCACGCAAGACGGCTTATGAACTGGCAAGTTCGACCGGTGGCTGTTTCTGATTCTACGATAGTAGCACGTATCAAGGGAACAAAGCGGCAGAGCAGTGACACCAGAGGCAGTCACGGCGGAATGGTGGTGGGGCGTCGGGTCCACAGCCTGTTGCACGACAGATAGATTGCGGTAAGAGTACACAAATTATACGCAAATTTGCGCGGAATTAAAAGTACTTCTGTCCCACTTAATTTATCACCTGCGTCACGCTCCCGCCCAAAGCGAGGCTCAACACCAACTCCCTATCCGCTGAGCCAACCACATATCGTCTCCTGACCTCCGTGCCAGCCTCGACGACAGTGACTGGGCAACTAGCATAACACCGCTCTTTTCTTCACATGCCGCTGACCACTCCAGTCAATTTGCACGTGGGATTGGAGTTTGATGATGAATTGAACTCTCTGTATTGCACTGTGTACTCCGTACAAAGCGGCTTTTCGCTTACTGAGTTATACAAGATATGGACGTTGGTCTGTCCGTCTATCTACCACGTAGTGCTCTTCTGTTGCACCCCTGTTGCTCCTCGTCTCGATGCAATCAATGCCCAAGGAAAGCTATCCTCGTAATGTGCCGCTGCTACTCCTTTCCGTGGAAGCCCCCGGTAGCCCTCACCGAGCGCGCGTCCATCCACCGGGGGTGTCTTGACCTTGTGAACCACGCTCAGGGGCTTGTCCGCCTCGACATCGGCCACCGTTCCGAGACGTAACGAACCAAACTGCTCGAGCGCCTCCTCGACCTGCTTTTGCCAGAATTGTGCCTCACGCATCAAATCTTCGCCGCGATGTAGAACGAGTCTCCTGCGATACGACACGGATATCTTGGACATTTGCGTATTCTTGGATCGCCTGCCAATCAGCGCATTGTTGATGCGTGTGACCTCTGCGTCCGCGCTGAGGAACTGCAGGCGACGTGTGCGTCTTGCAACGCGTGTTTTCCCATTGGCAGTCCCAAGACGGGGCAGTTGTGCAGGGTTCGGCAGACTTGCATTAGTCTTCGACAGTTGCCTCCATAGCCTGGCAAGTTGCGATCGGCTGAGCCCAATCTGCCCCAGTTCCGAATCGGCCAGTGTGACTCCGCGCGTGCCTGCGCCCACCACAGCCATGAGAGAAACCACGCGGTCGATGATGTAGGCCGCCGTCTCCTGGTCCCGATCAGTCATAAGAAAGGGCCACATCCTCTCATGTCTGGCTAGCTGGTGCGTGAGCTCCCAGCCGGCCCGCCAATCCAACGCTTCAAGGCACTCATCGAGAGTCTGCTTGACGATCCTCGACGCGATCCGTACGCCGGCTTGCAGAGCAACAGTCAGGATTTCCATCGCCTTGTCAAATGACCCCAGTCGTAGTAGCCCGCTGAGCATCTCTTCAATGACAATCATGTTCAAGGATGCGTGCTGCCACACGTAGCCGCTGTGCATGGAGCGTTTCTGTTCATCCGCCGCCCATGCTTGGAGCTCACGACTCTTCCTGAGATCCTTGACCTTGCGCCGCATCAATTTGGCGCCCGTGGTAGCGTCAGATCCGCAGATACAAGCCATGGTGCGGAAGAACTGTTCATGCTGTCCCGTAACACTGTAGTGGTGCAGAATAGCCGCGAATGTGCAAGGCGTCGGTTTGAGGAGTGATTTGGTGAAGAAAAAGTCCACCATCTGTCCGGACAGCTTTCGTGTCGCGGGGTGCTTGTCAAAGCCCGCAATCAGCGTGTTGAAGATGTTCATGTCGGGAGGAAAGACCGACACGAGCAAGTTGTAGCACACCCTGCCGACCTTCTCTTTGATGCCAGCATTGCTATCATTGATTGCCGTTTGGTTGGCCTTGTTCAATGCCTTCAGGTTGGCAGCGGCCGCCGCCGGGTTGGAGCTGCGATAGCCATATCGATGATGGCTCGTCCGAAGCACGCTCGTCGCCTCGTCGAAAGATGGACTAGGAGCGTCCTCAGATTCCACCTGGCGCAGAAGCCGCTCGACCAGAAAACCAATGGACTCGCCGAACTTTTGCATGTGTACAGGCTCTTCCGGGTCTCTCGCTGACGAGGCGTGCTCCGATTCCTCCGCGAGCAGTGCTAGCTCGAGTCGCTCCGACGTATTTGCGCTCCTTGAAGCGATGGGAAGCCCCCGTCCGTTGAGGTACACATGCACCAAATGCCGGTGCCGCTGTGCCTCAGCCGGCTGCAAGTGGCTAGCGGACGCTCCAGTCTTCCAGATACCCTTCATAGCCTGCCAAATGGCATGCATCTGCTCGTCCGTCAACAGCGAGATGCTCGACTGGGCGCTCATATTGTCCGCGTCCTCTGCTCCTCTGCCGCTACCCTGCTCCCTCAAGGCTGCTAAGTCGCGCCGCGCTTCCTCGAGCTGGCGATCGAGGTCTCTCCGGCGCTCATCCTTCCGAATCGAGTCGACAATGGCAGCCGAGGCAAAGACCGAGCTATAGGCGGCGGTGAAGATCTCGACAAATGTTGCTTTTCGACGGGGTGTCGTGACTCGTTTGCTGGCGCCCCGGGCGACGGTGCTGCACGCCCGACAGCCGCAGCTGTGGGCCTGCTTGGCCCTTTGCCAAAGGGTTTTCATGAGAAAAATTGAATGACGGATGCGCCACTCATGATATTGAGGTTCGCCGCCGTCGTGGGGAATCAATTGGACTGCGTCGAAAGTTGTATTGTAGTGGTCTGATGGACCTCGCGGAATTGGGATTCGGGAGTGGATGGGTTGGTTTTCAGGTCACGTGGTTCCCCGTCCCCCTCTCACTTGAAGCTTTCACTCGACGCTTTCGACTAACACAAACAAGCCGACAACAGCATAGCTATTGTGAAGTGTGGTAAAGAATCTTGTCAGAATGTTCACTCTCACACTCAAGGCCGAGCTCGAGGGGTTAGTATCGCCTTTCAGACGTTGACCCTGAGCTAACATCGTCTCAGCGTCACCAACCTACGCCCCGATGACTCCGAAGACAACCCTTTTTGGTACATGTTCAAGGTCCAGTGTACCTCCTGTAGAGAGACGCACAACAACTACATTGGTGTCAACCGCTTCGTACGTCCAACGTGGGCGGTGCCTCCAAGTCTCGCGCTGACATTGTACATGTAGGAAATGAATGAGATGAGCGGAAGCCGTGGCGAGGCCAACTTTGTCTGGCGATGCAAGAACTGCAAGGTAAGCATTATGCTTCTATACATGCATGCTTGGTCGAATGCTGACATTAAGAAGCGCGAGTCGACCGCATCGATCAAGGAGGCACCCAAAGCGTATGAGCAGAGTGAGCCCCCCAAGGCCCAGAAGATCATTGAATTTGACTGTCGGGGTCTCGAATTCGTCGAATTCAAGCCAGAGGTGAGCAAGGATCTGGCGTGTCATTCTCTGATATTAATGATCATAGGGCGACTGGCTCGCCGAGGGCATCGACTCGTCGACCAAGTTCACCGGGATCGACTTGACTGAGGGAGAGTGGTTCGACTATGACGAGAAGGCTGGTGAAGAGGTCAGCATCAAGGAGCTTACCTGGGAGATCAAGCGTTCTTGAGAAGTTCATAATTTTCTTAACGATGAAGGCAATGGAAGAGAGAGATTGAGCCAGAGAGACGACCGTGATGCTTGTACTTTAATTACAGGGTAGCATGCTGCGAACCTTGTTGATCGTGTCTGTGCAAGGCGCGGACCCACTCAAATTTATCTCATGGCATCGAAGCCTTGCCTTCATTCACACTTCAACCTCCACGATTCGCACGAGCTGTTGTCGCAGTGCACACGCCATGGCGACGGAATTCAAGCCCACACTGGATTTCCTAACAGATGCGGCACATCTTCTGAGAACAGCTGCACCCGAGACCTCAGCACACCTCATGAGCCATCGCGGTCAGCTCATGGGTCAACACGATCTAGCTCCTTCAGAGGTTCAGCGGCAACACGTCTGCAACGCATGCGGCAACATCATGCTGTCGGCTCATAATATCAGTCTGATAAACGCGAGGGGCGTTTCTAAACGCCAACGCAACCCAACCAAGACACCGCGAACAAAGCAGTCGACGCCCAAAGACACGGCCAAAGTCATCACTTGCGAACTATGCTCCAGGAATACCAGAGTTCCGTTACCGACACCGCCCAAGGCTATCAGAGCCAAGTCTGCGACAGGCAAAACAAAACCGACGCCCGCATCCAGCACCGTGGGCACACCAGACACAGCCAAAACCTCCAATGCGACCAGCAAAAAGCGAGCCAAGAGCCGCAAGGCAGGGCTCCAGGCGCTTCTTGCTGGGCAGCAAAACAAGGGTGCAAGCCCACTGAGTCTCGCGAGCTTCCGCCAAACCTGAGGTGACATGAGCCTCGAACAATCGAGAAGCATTGCTCAGGTAATGTGCATCGAACAGGGACCCACACAACGTCACTCGGCGGCTGCCCCTCCAAAATTTTCGAGACGCAGTCATTCATAGGGGACCCCTCCATCATCATCAACATCCCACCCCTCCGATCTCTGCGACGGCTGACAATATTGCAACACAAGCCAAATCGCTGTCATATCAGATTACCATGTCGTCCGAGGATATCCCCGCGCAGGTCACAAAGACCGAACAGCCCCAGGAGTTTTTCCAGGCCATCGGCGACAAGGTCAAGAACTTCTCCGAAACCAAAGATGCGACTGCGACAGAGACACAAGACCGCAACGACGACGACGATGAGCGGCCTCCAGTGGAAGAGATCGAGTCGCTGTGCATGAACTGCGGCAAGAATGTGAGTCTGTCAAGAAAACGGGGCGAAATGCACGAATACTCATGCTCTGTCTCTAGGGCACAACGCGCCTGCTCCTCACAATGATCCCCTACTTCCGCGAGGTAGTCATCATGTCTTTCCACTGCGAGCACTGCAACACCCAGAACAACGAGATCCAAGCGGCCGGCACCATCCAGCCCAAGGGCACCCACTACGAGCTCCGACCGACCTCGATCGACGACATGCAGCGCCAGGTGGTCAAGTCCGACACAGCCACCGTCAAGTTCATTGAGCTCGATCTTGAGATCCCCGCCGGGCGTGGCCAGCTCACAAATGTGGAGGGTCTCTTGTCGTCGGTCGTGGACGACCTAGAGATGGGGCAGGAGGCGCGCAAGGAGCAGATGCCAGAGATCTATCCCAAGGTCGCGCAGATCATCGTCAAGGGCCGTCAGATGCTCCTTGGTGACGCATTCCCCTTCCGGCTCTACGTCGACGATCCGGCGGGTAACTCTTTTATTGCGCCTGACCTGAAAGATGGCGTTGGCAAGTGGGAAAAGAGGGAGTACATCCGCACATCAGAGCAGAACGCCGAGCTCGGCATCGGCGACTCGTCTGGGAACGACTCGGCCGCCGCCGCCGCCATGAACGCGGCTGCCGAGGGCGACGTCAACCCAGACGAGGTGTACAGCTTCCCCGCGTCCTGCCCGGGCTGCATGCACCCCTGCACGACGCACATGAAGATGGTGGACATTCCGCACTTCAAGCAGGTGGTCATCATGTCCACCGTCTGCCATGACTGCGGGTACCGCTCCAACGACGTCAAGACCGGCGGCGAGATCCCCGAGCAGGGCGAGAAGATCACGCTACGCGTGGACGGCGACACGGATCTAGCGCGAGACATCCTCAAGAGCGAGACGTGCGCCCTAGCGTGCCCGGAGCTCCACCTCGAGGTGAACCCCGGCACGCTGGGCGGGCGCTTCACCACGGTCGAGGGTCTGCTCACCCAGGTCCGGAACGACCTGCACTCGCAGATCTTCGAGACGGGCCAGGGCGGCGACTCGCTGGCGCCGGAACAGAAGACGCAGTGGGATTCGTTCTTTGAGGGGCTAGATTCAGCCATCAAGGGCGACAAGCCGTTTACCGTGATCTTGACAGACCCCTTGGCGAGCAGCTTCGTGCAGCCGCTCGTGGACCCGCCCGCGCCGGATCCCAAGATGACCAAGGAGAAGTACTCGAGGACAGAGGAAGAGGAAGAAGAGCTAGGTCTCAAGGACATGAAGCTAGAGGGCTACGAGAACGACGCCAAGGCGCAGGAATCATAGCAGTCGGTCACTTGAGGGTGAGCAAAGGAAAGAAGAAAAAGATGAACATTTACGGCTACAATGGCCCGCTTGCAATGTGATGGCGAGTAATGCAACGTTCCAGACACAAGTGAACTAAACCAACAAATGAACCGAGCACCCAAAGCTCTTAATCCAAGAAAGGACACATGAACGATGATACATATCTCCACGTACGGCGCGCACTACTAGTAGAATGAGGGCTTGGTCAAGACCCGGTACTCCACGTAGTCTTCCCCGTCAATGTTGATCAAATTGCCAGGGGACACGAGCTTCCCAAAGAAGGGCCCGTGGTGCTTGCGCTCATACTTGATATTGTCGTACACCTTGACGTCCTCGGCCCCCGCGCGGGCACGCATCGATTCCTGACGGGCCCAGACGCTGTTAAGGCGCTGGACCTCGCTGTTCTGCTGAAAGGTGCTGCTAGCTCGGCTCCCAGGACTCGAGGAGGCGGCGGCGGCGGCGGCGGCAGCAGCAGCAGCCGATGCGGCCTCGTCGGCGGCCACCTGTGCGCGTTGGCGGTGCGTCACCTGGGCATCTGCCCGACCCTGCGTGGCCTCGGCACGCGCGACCTCACGCTGCGCGAGGGTGGTGGCTCTCTGGAGGGGACCAAAGTGGCCGCTGGGGGGCAGCGCGAGACCAGAGGGGAGACTTTGACGCCCGTGACCAGCGGGGAGACTTTGACGCGCGCTCACCGTCTCCCTGCGCTGTGGCTGGTGCTGCTGCGCTACCGCCAGAGCTTGCCGCGCCATGTGCTCGGACGCGCGTTGCTGACCGAAAGCCTGCTGCTGCTCCGACTGTTGCTGCTCCAGGGCCTCCGACTGTTGCTGCTCCAAGACCTTGCGCTGCTGCTCCTGCTCCTGTTGCTGCTGGTGTCGAGCTTCCACTCTACGGGAGGTGCGTACCCCTTCAGCGCCCGAGTGGACTTCGGTGGAGGACGTAGCCCCGTTGGTTGGGGTCCCCGTGCCCGCGGTGGCGTCTGCGGCCGTTGTCTGGCCGACATCCTCCACGGGATGGTTCTGCACGGAGCGGAGCGCCATGACGCGCGCCTGTGCTCTATACACCGCCTGCGTCTCATGGTCGATGCGCTCCTCCTCCGTCTCGCCATGGTCAATCTGATACTGGCGGATGCGGACGTACTCCTTGACCTCGTTGCGCGTGAGGCTCTTGAGATGCGGTTCAAAATCCACCTCCTCGTACGGAATCCACAAAGCGCCCGCGCCCTGGGGGAAGTTGCCGTTCCTGTACTCGCCCGTGCGCGTCTCTCGTACTAGCTTGACCCGGAACATGTCGTTGCCGCCCAGGATGCCGTAGACGGCATGCCGATCCTCTGGCCTCTCCGCGTCGGACTTTGACCAGCAGCCCAGGAAGATGCGGGTCGGACGCGTGCCCTCGAGGGGGTCGAGACCTGCGCGCGTGTGTGCAGGAGGCTCGGGGGCACTCGTTGTAGGATTGAGGTCCGTGTTTGTCCTTCGGCGTTTTGTGTCGGGGGGGTTGGCCCCGTACGCAATGAGTGGCGGCGGGTATGGATACGTGGGAGGCTCTGTGCTCGACGCCTCCTTCATCTTCACAACCTGAATCGCCTCCTTCTTGGCAGCCAGCTCAGCCGCCTTCCTTTCCTCCTCAGTGTCCTCGTGGGCGTCTATGCGTAGGCGAACATACTCCTTGACCTGCAGTTGATCCATGCCGACCAGATGCGGCAAGAACCAGATGCCCTCAAAGATCACCCAGCTGCCTCCTGTCTTGTGAGGGAGCGGCCAGATGTTAGCTACAGCCTCGCCTTTCAAGTTGTACGACTGGATCCTGGTCCGCAGTCTGTCTCTCACGTCGATGAAGCCAATAACCGCATGCTTCCGATCTTCGTCGGGTACTCCAGAGTCTCTCCAATGCCCAAGCACGACACCCTTGTTGCTGTTAGAGTGGGCGCGGTACGACTTTCCCAGTGATGGTCTGCCGGTCCGGGACTTGGGCCTGGTGGTCATCCTGGTAGGCGTCAGGGTCTGCGCAGTGTCGTCCGATGCTTTCAGCGTCGCCTCGCCATTAGTCGAAGCGCGCTTGCGTTTGGCGACCCTGCTGGGGCTCTTGACAACGGACGCCTCCTCATCCTCGTCCTCATCCATGTCATCCTTGAGAATGTAGGAGCTGTGAGCGTTTCGTCTCCTGTTGTGCCTGGCCAGATTCAAGGGCGGCGAGTTCTCAATACTGCCTGGCTCGCTGAGCTCGCTCTCATCGCCGACATCCTCATGCACGCTGGACGACATTGGGCGATTCTCCTTCTGTGCGTCTTGGTCAAGTCTACAAGAGTCGATGAGATTAGTTGAAAGATCTTTTGATGATGATGATGATGATGATGATGATGATGATGATGATGATGTGGGTCGAGCATGATGGATGCGGTTTGCCTGCACGACTGATCCCTCAACATTCGACGCGTCGTGCGCGTTGGGGCGTTCAGACAGTTGGGTGCTGTGAGGCATGGTGCGGGTGTTTGTGGTGGAGAAAAGGACAGGATTGCGCGTACAGGAGCTGGAACGGTGTTACAGTGTTCACTCTATTCTGTGAACAAACATGCGGCGGTCGCGCGATTGCGTTGTTGGTTTGGCGACTTTGAAAAGTGTCGCAGGGGGGGAGGATTTATTGATGAGATGAAGAGAGAGTGGGACGCGGTCTCAAGTTGTCCAGGTAAAGGTTGTGCAAAGTCAAGTCAATCAGGAAAAAAATGGACCAAGTTCGCATTGGTCCCTCGATGCAGTGAGAGCAAGGGACGGTAGATGAAAAGTGGCGACTAGGAAATGCTGGGTTGATGAAGAGACTTGTGGTGGCAAGTAACCATGGGGTCTACCTTGGGACAGTCAAGGATTGAATAAACACGTTGCGGCAGATGACTCGAAGAGTGCTGTATGTGTGGTGTGTCCGTGTGCGTGCGTACCTTGCCTATGTGCGCGCGTAAGACTGGCGACGAAGAGGGAGGGGGCGGTCAGGAAGGTTCGGAAGAGAATGTGATTTGAAAGGCGAAGATAGAGGGGCGATGGCGGCGCGCTTGGGGATTGTTATTATTATATCTCGTCAATTGCAACGCTGGCTCTAATCTGGGTCTCTGATTGACTGTGCAGCAGCCCATCAAACACTCGCTCGCTCGCTGGGGTTGCCCTATTGGCTTCAAGTTCCATCCCAGGTGGGCTTCCGCAACTCTCTCGATACTGATAGCGACCACGACTCGCGCAGGCCATGATCAAGGCTTGTGGATAGCAAAGGCTGTTCTATCCAACTACTAACCTACCTGGTAGTCTACCTTGGCTAGTGGTCTGGACCAGCCGACCACCTAATCTGTGGAAGCCACCGAGCCAACTCACTATCGATCAACTTGAGTATGTACCACCTCGTGCAATTCTCCCGTGCACCCCTGTCTCGGCTCCTCTGTGTCTTGCTTGTTCTATTCAGAAACCAGGCGGCCGCGCTTGTAGTGAACCATACTCCAATTGATTCCATAGTACAGGGAAAGAAACGCAGAGATAACAGACGAGCGGTGCAGCTGGAGAGACATGACCCTTGCTTCTCCACCAATGCATGCTCATCAGGTTGCGATTTCGTTGGCATTTCCGTGGACATGATGGTACATATACGGTTTGCAAAGTCTTCAGGCTGACCAACATTCTCCATGAGCCTACTGCAACTTGGAATTCATGAGGACTCGATGCCAAGACTGAATTGCACTCCTACCCATGATCACCAACATCACGACATTCGCAGGACGTACTCATAGCTGTGAATGTCTCGAATCTATTTGTTGATGATTGCTCGCTACTCATCATAGGTCTCCCATTGGCAGTTTCACATGTCTGGCTCAGGCAGTTGGTCGTCACCTTGGAAGCCAGTCATGACCACAGACACTATAGGAGTCGCTCTTTGGGTCGCCCTCTGTTGCCGTCGACCAAAATCATCCTTGGGCCGACATCGTCCCTGGCAGAAGCATGTGCCTGCGCAGAGGCTGCACGTAAAAGCCTCCGACCTAAGCCTCTCGATCTGGCCAGCTGCATGGTTACGCCAATACCCTGTGGTCCGTCACGAGGACATGGACCAGGTGCGACAAACCCGCATCCACCTTGTCCGACGCCTGTGCACCCATCTCCCAAAAGCAAGCAGGCTAGCCCAGCTGGTGGCACCCACGTGAAGACAAACTTGTCGTCGTATGCGAGCAGGGCCAGGTGACGAAGCACGTCTATTCGGACACTTGGTCTTCCCTGGATTCGAGTGCAGCCACGCCAGCTGAAGACCCTGAATCCGTCGGCATGCCTCCAATCATCTGCACCTGGCCGTCACACCCAATGGAACGCTGGCGCCCCGCCACTAATCGGTCGTAGTCAAACATCATGTTATAGCCATGACATGCTACTCTGTCCACAGCCAAGTCAGTCGGCCCGTGTGTCGCTTGATACGGTAATCTTGGGAGCACATAGGTGGTGATTGCGCATCCGTGGCGAAATCTTCAGCCTCAGTCAACACTCAACTTCACCTGCGTCCTCGGCCTCGGCCTCGGCCACGACCACCGCGACCACCTCGTCCGCCGCCGCCTCCTTTCCTGCCACCCCTCATCGGCGCATCGAATCGCGTGACCAGCGGCTCCTCACCAAAGGCACCCTCGCCAAACCGGATAAAGTTGACCAGGCCTCTGTCCACAACCGCCACGAGAATGTTCCTGTGGCCCTGTCGCAGACGCTGGTACATCCGCCCCGGCCCCTCGAGCGTACTCGGGTCGTAGGGCGCCGACGACAGCCAGAGCGCATCGAGCTCCTCAAGCGTAGGCACAAAGGAGGATGAAGTATCGGACACGGCGATCCTAAAGTCCGGCAATGGGGGCGTCTTCTTGGAGAAGGGAGCGCCGCCTGACTTCCACACGTGGAAGAATACCTTGAAAGGATCGTGGGGTTCCGGGGGCGAAGTAGGTCTTACGACAGGTTTGTGTCGAGGGATGATGTTGAGCTGCTGGTAGATTGGTTTGTAGGCGCGATACAGTCCCGGCCGGACGAGAGGTCCCCAGCCTGCGGGTTCGGGCGTTCTAGTCGGCAGCAAAGAGACGAGCCACTGCCAAAGTGTGGGAGCGGCTGGCGTGCGCAGCGGCTCCGGCGGGGACAGGTCGGTGGGCGCCCGGAGGATGTGGAAGCCGCCTCGCTTCAAGTGACTGTAGACCTGGAACTTGGCCATGGACACCTTGCCCCGGTCCCCTTCCTCGCCGAGGAGCATGGCGTACGCTGCCTCGAGGCTCAAGGGCAAGCCGACGTCGTAGTCATCCGGTCCGTAGCCTTCCGCCTTTTCAATCGTCTTGGTCATAATCTCCTCAAACGGCTGGTCCGGCCACCAGAGGTCAAGCGTCCCGCGCTCCACCAGGTACAGCGCCTCCTCGGGCAGCAGCCACAGCCGCGCAAAGTCGCCGGCGTCCTTGTGCACCTTGCCAATGTCCCGCACCCAACTGCCCTTCTCATGCTCGACCGCGACGACCCGTTGCTCCTCGACGCTGCCTGCCAGCCGTTCGGGGAAAAACCAGCCACGTACCCAGGTGTCGCGGCGATGCACACGCGCGTAGCTGAGCACCTCCTCCATGGCTGAGCGGCTGGCCTCAAGCGCCGAGTCCTGCGCCCGTGTGCCGTGTGACTCAAAATCCTTCTCGCCCTTGCGAATCGCCTTGCTCGAGACGCCCTTTTTGCTCGCAAACATGGCAGCAAAGTGCTTGAAGTCGGGTACATCTTCGTCTTCGAGAGCTTCTTCGGCCGTTGCAGGCTGGGCGTCGGGCCGCGTGCTGAACGGGCTGTCGTCGTCGTCGAACGCCATGGCTGCTCAATTGGCGCGATCGCTCTCGGTGTAGGTGAAAGTGAGGTGTGTGGTGTGTTGGCTTGGGAGAACCCCACGAGGCTGGCAGCCTCGTAACTTTTTCGAGCATGTGGTACACGCTAGCGCGATAGAAAGACGTCAGGGTCTATACGACTCAATTTCAGCCGATTTATCGTACCCTTACTAGGGAGTTTGGCCGAGTGGTTAAGGCGTTGTGTTTAGGCTACCCTACAATAGTCATCCGCAATGTGCATCGCACGCGCAGGTTCGATCCCTGCAGCTCCCATGTTTTGGTTTTTTTTTGTCTTTTTTGTGTCGATTCTTGTAGAGGTGAGCAAATCCAAACAAATTCAGTAGACACGGTGTGGGCATTTAATATCGTGATGTGGACGTTTTCTTACACGGTGTGACTGGTCGTATATATAGGCTTGGGTGGTGGCCACGAGGAATTACAAGCATCCCCTTGGAAGGGGGATCACTTTCCTGTTTACCTTCTTCCCACGTACACTCTAGACAATGTTTTGGGTATCAACAAAAGAGAGGCTTCATATTTACTACATAAAGTCATGTCGCGTTTCTTGCCGCGTGGTACATCCCAACCCCTTAGAACATGTGGCCGCCCAACCGCATGTGGACGGTCTTGAGCTCTGTGTAGTTGGCGAGCGCCGCCTCGCCGAGCTCTCGCCCGATGCCGGAGGACTTGTAGCCACCGAACGAAGCCTGGGGCGTCAACAAGTTGTCTATTGCGATAGTCAGTACACAGATCACCGGCAGCACAGCACGAAAACCTACAGGAGTTGACCCAGACGGTACCGGCCTTGAGCGCGTTGGCCACGCGGATGGAGGTGTTCAAGTCCTTGGTGTGGATGCCGGCCGCGAGACCGTACGAGGTGGCGTTGCCGAGCTTGATGGCCTCGGCCTCGTCCTTGAACTTGGCAATGGCGCAGACGGGGCCAAAGATCTCCTCTTGCATAATCTTCATGTCGGGGGTGACATTGCTGAAGATGGTAGGCTTGATGAAATAGCCCTTGTCGCCGTGGCGCTCACCACCGGTCTCGACGGTGGCACCCTCCTTCTTGCCGGTCTCAATGTAGCCCATGATGCGGTCGTACTGCAGCTGCGAGACCTGGGGGCCCTGGAATGTGTCCGACTCAAATGGGTCGCCGACCTTGTTCTGGAGGGAGCGCTTCTTGAAGGCCTCGAGGAACTTGTCGTAGATGCCCTCCTGAACAAAGATGCGGGTACCAGCGCAGCAGCACTGGCCGTGGTTGAAGTAGATGCCAAAGTTGACCCAGGAGATGGCCTGCTCAATGTCGGCGTCGTTGAAGACAATGTTGGGGGACTTGCCGCCGAGCTCGAGGGTGACCTTCTTCAGGTTGGAGTCGGCCGCCGCCTTCATGATGGTGCGGCCAACGACGGTGGATCCGGTAAAGGCCACCTTGTCAATGTCCATGTGCGAGGAGATGGCGGCACCGGCGACCTTGCCGAAGCCGTTGAGCAGGTTGAAGACACCGGCGGGGAAGCCAGCCTCCTTGATGAACTGCGTGAAGACCAGAGCAGACAGGGGCGTCTGCTCAGCGGTCTTCATGACAACAGTGTTACCGGTGGCCAGGGCAGGGCCAATCTTCCACGACAGCATCAGCAGGGGGAAGTTCCAGGGGATGATCCTATGCGAGTTAGCACGAGGACAAACACAATCGTAACTTGACTAGGGTACGCACTGTCCGCAAACACCAATCTGCAGCAACTGTTAGCATATGATGCTTCCTCTCAAGGCCAAAAGCAAAACGTACCGGCTCGTGACGGCTGTAGTGGAACGTATCGGGGTTGATGTCCATGGTCTGGCCGGTGATCTTGTCGGCCCAGCCGGCATAGTAGCGCAGGGTCTGGATGACGGCACCAACATCACCCTGGGCCATGGCAAACGACTTTCCGTTGTCGAGCGCCTCGACGGCGGCGAGGAGCTCAATGTTCTTCTCGGTCAGGTCGGCGAGCTTGTTGAGGAGCTGCCCGCGGACAGCAGGGGTGGTCTGGCGCCACTCGCCCTCGAACGCCGCACGGGCAGCCTTGACGGCCAGGTCGACATCCTTCTCGGTGGCCTCGCAGACAGAGGTGATGACCTCCTCGGTGGCGGGGTTGATGGTCTCGAACTTCTTCTTATCGACACCCTCGACCCATTCGTTGTTGATGAAGCTGCGGGGGGGCTTGTCAGCAGTTGGTCTCGACGGCTTGACGAAGCACAAGGCTGCGCGCGCGCGAGGGCAACTTACAGACCAATGGGCTGCTTGTAGGCGCCCGAGGCCGGGGTCTTGAGATCGACGGTCAAGCTCATAATGTCGATTTGTAGGGTATCTTGGAACACGGGAACAGGAGAATTCGAAAGATGAGAAGGAGAGTATGTGGGAGAGGAGAGGCGACTAGCTGTGGGAGGGGGGAGGGAGGAAGCTTTTAAACCAGCAACTGGAGGGAAGAAGCAGACCACCACCGTACATGTCCTTACCTACTCATTACTTAGCTCTTACTTAGCACAACACAACGGACTGCAGTAGTCGATGCCACAATAGTGGACCGTCGGTGCCGACTCCATCGCCAACCCCCGCTTGCTTGCCTGCTTGCCAGTGAGTGCTCGCTCGCCCGCACCGGCTGCGACACCAACATGACGCCTCCGTGTGGGTGTCTGTCTTGAAAGCAAGCCGTCTCGGCATAGAGGACCCCCGGGCTGACGGAGTCGCGGAGGGGATTGTTGGAGTTGCTCCTGGACCTGCGCGACGTGCTGCGTACCGTGCATGTTGGTTTGGAGCTTCCCCGCAACCCACAGGGCCAATGAAGCGTGCCGCGTCGGGGGGTTGTGGTCCACGGCTCCACGCGCCTCGATGCAGTGGTGCAGCGAGTGTGAGGCGTCCTGTATGTCCCTTTGGAACAAGTCTCCCGACTCTAGGCGAACCTTGTGATGGCCGAGGCTTGTGATCTTAAGCAGCTTGAAAGATGTTTCATTTTGACGATGTAGCAACTTGGACACACCCACTGCCAGCAGCTAGTACCGCAATAGTAAGGTATCATGCAATTGCCTTTCACCGTGTCCTGGCGTGCTAGCGCACAACCCCACCATGTTCAAAGTTGGCTGCATTCTTTCGTAAACACCCCACCAAAAGGGGACTAGAATGACGTTCAGAATCAAGGGATCACAAGCCCCCAAGGCCTAAACCCCAGGATGTAGTGTTTGGAATTACTCTCGATGCAGCGGCGTCCGTGGCGAAAATGGAACAACCCTCTTTACACCTCTACATCAGCATCTTCTCGGATGATACAATAGCGCCAGATCTGATCGTAACAAATGCCAGACGCCAGGCGTGACAACCCCTCCTCGGCCCAAAGCACAGCGAGCTGCGACCTGGTGGGTTTGACAGGGTCTCGTCCTGAGCTGCCCCGGGTCGCGAGACTAGACACGTCGGTATAGTGGATGGTTTCACAACCATGAAAAAAATAGAATAACCCCTCTCATTCTTCCAAGCTTCGTTCTGAGGTCTTATATCCCGAGGAGCCGATCCTCCGCAACATGTGCTGATGAGGTCGAGGAGTGCGAGTGCGAGTCTTCTGTCTGGTGGGGCGCATCCGCCTAATAAAAGTTAGCCTCCAACAAGTCCAGCACTGGCAGCTCACACCCCGCACTTTCCTCAGCGCGCCACGTCTGGGAGAAGCGGTTCGGGTCTGGGGATCTGCTGAAGCCTCACAGTCCGGTTGTCCTAGCTCGTCGCCAGCACGCTTCCGCCTGTCCATACTTGCCAATCATCGGAAGTGACCGGGTCATGGGATACGACGCTGTTGAATCGACGACTGCTATCCAGCTTGGAAATCAATTGCTTGCACTGACATACAGGCAAGGTGCGCACATACAAGGTCGTCGACAGAATCACAGTCAACCTGAACACAAGAGGGAGCCGGTGGCGGCCATCTATTTACTCCGAGACCTGATGCCAAAAGCCCTAGCAACTGTGAACTCCTCGCGCGACTTGTACCGTGGGCCTCTGTTCCTTTGGATGTGATATTCACAGCTGCTATCCATCTATTCAGGATGATGATATCTGTGGTATCGTATGGCCGCTTACTTACGTACACGCTTCCGTTCCGATGTCCGCGCAACAAGGTAGAGGTGATTAGGCTACCCTACGTTCAATTGCAACCCGCAACAACTACGGTCAGAACAAGATGTCTTGATCGCTCGATAGTCTGCTGGGTTGATCTACATACGCAAAGCCCTAAGAAAGCTCTAGGATTTATTTAGAAAAAATAGCAAAGTAGAAGTTAATGAACAATGCTTTCTTTATGAAACTGGCAACAAATCACACATGAGGATACCCTGGGTTGTACGGAGCAGCTGGCCTCCAATGTCACGGTAAAGCGAAACACGTGCTCTGCAATAGGCCTCACGCGGCAGTACAAGAGACAATGTGATACAGAACGCGACAGAGTGCAAGGTCATAGGAGAAGAGGACATGGGAATAAAGAAACTGACTGGAACCTCGGGCGAGACTCGCAGCGTGCGGCTGTACCTGCAGGCAGGTACTGCCTGTTCCGGGCGGAGCCTCGCCAAGCACATCAGCATCCAACAAGCGTGCGCCGTCCCCCTTTTAGATTGGCACCCAGGCTAGGTACTCCGTACCTACTGTAGGCTCATGACGTTGCCCGGGGAGCTCCTTGTCCATCAACTTCATCCTTAACCCGACCATTCTCGACGCGAAAGCCACGCCCGGGCGATGCAGCATCACTCTGCTGCTTCGACGCCCTTGACATTGACGCTCTGCGCCGTGGGCGCCCTCGTGGTCCGATATGGCGCCGCTCGAGGAACCCAGCAACATCCGTGTATTCGTCCACTGGCATGAACAAACCGTCTTCGCCGGCGAGGAGGTCAAATGCAAGATCACCTTTAAGAATGTTGCGACTGGTGCCGACAACAATAAATCACAACCCTCCGTCCCGTCGGATCGCACGCGCAAAGCCTCGTCGCTACATTCGCGCGCCAAAGCGGCCTCGAGCAGCACACCACCACTGTCTTCCACAGGGCGAGGCCACAAGAGGTCAGCCCTCTCCCTCAGCGTTCCGTCGTCGAGCTCGCACAAAAGACAAGGGTCTCTACAATGGCCTTCGAACGGCAATAGCTCCGAGGCCAGGACTGGCCAGGCTCACAAACGCTCCGTCTCCATCGTTTCGATAGGATCCGCGAGCACGGTCGATGATCACACGCCATCGCGTCAGGAAGCGCCCCCAGTGCCTTCACAACCACCACGCCCAATGCGTGGTTATGGCCATGGCAGGGCTTCGAGCTTGCAGATCCTCCCGCGCGGGCAACCTGCGCCCTCCAGCCCCCAGTCAGGTGTGTGCCTCTTCTATGACTTCCGCCCGCATCCTAACGCGTGTCGTAGCAACGCTTCAAAGACAGTCTAGCTCCCCCCTCACGACGGCCTCGTACCCCCCCGATCGATTTGGCCGCATGCGAAATGGCTACAACCGTCCCAGCGCGCCGGCAAGTGCGGGTGGGCCACGACGTTCGCCTCTATCCTCGCCAAATCCCATGCCCGAGTTCAGATTCCCTGCGGCGCCACCACCGCCATCCGATGAGAATACGAACAAAGTCAACAAAGTTCAGGACGAGGGATACCTGAGCCCGAAAGTCACAGCAGCAGACAGCAAAAGCGCACCCGCACCTGGCAAAGAACGAGCCTTCCCAACTACCGAGCGCCCTTTGCCCGCGGCACGTATACTATCCAGCACGAGCATGGCCGGTGGTGGTACACCGCGGAGTAGCGGCGAGTTCTACGCTATGAGCAACCAGTCGACGGAGACCCTGGCATCAGACTACCCAATCCAACCCAATCGAGGGGTCGCTCGGCCTTCGCACTTGAGGCGGAACTCCAGTATGAGCGGCCAACAGCCATCGCGGCAGCCAGAATCCCTGATTATGGGGTACGCACAGATTCAAGGGTCATTCACTCTGGACGGCTCCTTGGTCAGCCTCAGCCCTTTCGAGCAAGTCAAGAAGAAGGCTGTTGTGGGCGGTCGAGGCGGCGGCGTCATAGGCCTTGAGCCAACCAAGCAGCGGGAAAGCGGGCTTCTCAAAAGTTTCGGCTGGGGAAATCTGAGCACATCTATAGGCGACCTGTGGGGCGGCAGTGAGCTCAGCACGATCAAGGAGATGCGAGGGGTAGCAGCCTCCAAGTCTGTGCCATTGTTGACAACACCCCAGTCGATCCTGTTTGTTGACCTCCAGCTTGCGCCGGGGCAAAGTCAAGTGTTTGAATACACATTCAGGCTCCCCAAGGGGCTACCGCCCACACACAAGGGCAAGGCAGTCAAGATCTCGTACAGTCTCGTGATTGGCACACAGAGAGCGGGCGGTGTGAAGGAGCAGCAAGTCCGTTCGGTGGAGGCCTCATTCCGAGTTTTGGGAGGCGTCAACAGCATTGGTGAGATCTTGGGCCACGATCTCTTCAACCCGTACATTCTGCTCCGGGACGAAGCTCAAGTGAGAGGTGGTGCACAATCAGGGAGGTTTCACAAGCCCAAAGCTTCGAGAGCGCCTGCCACGGTGAACGAGTTTTTGAATTATGTGGACGAGCTCGTCCACCGACCACGGTACGAAGGGGACGGAGGTCTATTGTCACCATCTGCGGTTGGTGGGTCTAGGCGACCATCCGCCGTGGAAGAGCGAACGGCGTCGGTCAGAGACGCCATTCACTTTGCGATTATGCGCAGCAACATGGCTGGCGAGGGGCAGCAGAGCCCAAACCGCTTTGAGATTGCCCGCAACGGTCTGCGCGTGGGCGTCGTTATGCTGACACGGCCTTCGTATCGGCTGGGCGAAACGATCACCCTGGCCATCGATCTGAGCGACGCGGATATCCCATGCTATGCCGTCCACACTACACTAGAGACATGTGAAAAGGTGGATCCCTCACTGGCTGTCCGCTCAGAGTCCAGTATACAGCGAGTGACGAGGAAAGTCTATGTCACAGCGTCGGATACAACGCTTTATTCGAGGCGCGTCGTCTTCACGCCTACAATTCCGATCACCGCGACGCCCGAATTCATCACGAGTGGCGTCAGCTTGGAGTGGAAGATCCGCGTCGAGTTCGTCGTCCCATCTCACGGGGAATCCACAGGAACCGAGGACGGTCCAGCCACGCCCCATCCGCTGCTGGAGCAGATATCGCAAGACGAGCGCGGAGGACTTGTTCTCGCGGCGGCGGAGAACCTGACATGCGAGAGCTTCGATGTGCTGGTACCGCTGCGCGTGTATGGCGCCGTCGGATCTGGACTGGAGCGACTAGAACGCGACGAGGCTTCTGACGAAGGACTCGTGGTTTAATTAATAAATGGGAATGGAACAGGCGTTATGTTGGATAGATACAACGGGTAGGGATGTTTTTGCTGTCGGTGGTAGACAGGGATACACATTTAGAGAAGTCAATCCATTGGGCCACGGTTGCGATTGAATATGTCGTTGGCAGCCTTATGTACAAGGACGCTTGCACGTTTTGTTAGCATCTGCGAGGATTGCGAAAGTCTTTGTGAGGCAATGCAGTAAAGAGCGTGGTGGAGGAGAGACACATAAACCATCTATCATCACGTGGTACCGGGTCTTATCGCAATTTTCAGGGCGGGTCGCGGGCGGCTGTCAGTCGCTGTCAGTGTCGTCAGTGCGTGTCGTCAGTTTGGCGTCTGTCATTCAATTGAACGGCTCAAACTCAAACTCCACCTGGCCGGCCATGTCATCGCGATGCTCCTAGATACGTAGTAATTCTTCCTCTCTTCTGCCCGTACTAGTGAGCTGCAATTGAATCACCGTTTACACCTCCAGTGTCCCAAGCACACGATTGATTGACTGGAGGCACGCTGCTACTCGCTCCAGCCCAGTGCTATCCACCACCAACCCAAACCAGACCAGACCAGCGGTGTCATCAGCGTCTCTCGATCCCACTTCGAAAAAAAGCTACCTGCCTACAGGCAACGACGGTCACTACAACTATACATTCACACAACAAGCAGCGATTTCCAAGCTGTGACAAGGACCTGGTGCATATCCCGGAGGATTGCTCTGATTATTGTTCCTACACGGGCATTGTTGGAGAGCAAGCAGAACCATACCTTACGGTGAGGTAAGGCAGGTTGCGTACCCGACTGGGTTGCTGCTATAGCGGCGTGGCTCAGTGGCGCAAAGGGCTTCAGCTGCATTTTATTCTGCGCCACCTCGACTCTGCGACAACCATCTACGACTCACAGGCGCCACGTAGCCGGCGCGACGGACACCTTTCGACGCGATCGCAACAGCGCGCCTCCGCGGCGGACAACCCGGCCTCGACGGTAGAGTTGCGATTCGGCGGACTTTGGTAGGAAACCTCCTCCGCCGCCACTATACACCACTGCGCATTCATCCGAGTCGACTGTCGTCTCCGACACGCCAGTCGCGACACGTACCAACTCCAGACGCAAGAATACCATCGCCATGTCCAACCCGCGAAAGCGTGCAGCGCCAGGTGCGGTCCCCATGGTGCCAGCGCAGCAACAGTTCCCGCAGCCGTTCCCCCAAACGAACATGTCGAATGACCAGATGGTGCGATGGGATGGCGGAAATGATGGCGGGAACTTTGGTGCCGGAAACCTGAACAGTGGGAATGGCATGGGCTTCGTGCAGAATGGACAGGCACAGTACACCGACTCTCTCCAGCCGGCACCGAGCAATTCCCTTGCGCGAAGACCGATGAACAGCAGAGCGCTGGTCCAAACAAATCCAGGAGGTTACGATCCATCTCAGGCCTGGGGCAGCCTGCCCATGGACAGCGGCGCTTTGACTCAGCAGCAGCACGACGATCAGGGCAACGAAGATAGCATCGAGGTGTTGGAGGAGAAGGCTCAACAGGCCAAGCGCGAAGCACAGGCGAAAAGGAAACAAATTCCCCCCTTTGTTCAGAAACTTAGCAGGTAACGTCGCTTTCGATCTATGCAAGCAACCAGAACTGACCACTCTGTAGCTTTTTGGAAGAAGGGAAGAACGATGACCTCATTCGCTGGTCCTCCAAGGGGGACTCATTCATCGTCCTGGACGAGGACGAGTTCGCCAACACGCTGATACCGGAGCTGTTCAAGCACCGCAACTATGCCTCCTTTGTGCGGCAACTCAACATGTATGGGTTCCACAAGCTCGTGGGCCTGTCGGACAACTCCATGCGGGCCAGCGAGCGGAAGAACAAGAGCCCAAGCGAGTATGCGAATCCGTATTTTCGGCGCGGCCATCCCAACCTGCTCTGGCTGATCAACAAGCCCAAGCCCGGCAAAGGCAAGAACAAGACTGCCGTCAAGAGCGAGGAGCCAGATAGCGAGGAGGAGATTGGACATGATGAGCTTCACGGTCAAGTGGCTGGACTGTCGTCCGCTCACGCTCCGAAACCACTGCCCGCGGCTCCTGGCGACCAACCTCCGCCTGCCAAGTCAAAGGAGTTGTCTCTGGTTCGAGATGAGCTCCGGAAAGTGAGAGAACAGCAGTCGCTCATTCAGCAGACCCTTCAGCACCTCCAACAGAATAACCGGGATCTGTACAACCAGGCGCTACTGTTCCAGAATCAACATGATCGTCACCAAAACTCTATCAATGCTATTTTGCATTTCCTGGCGAATCTCTTCCGCAAGAGTCTGGAGGAGCAAGGCAGTGCGCCGAACGTGGGCGACATCATCTCTAGCATGCTCGCCAACCAAGGCCAACAACAATCCCACGGCGGAAACGTGGTGGAACTGGGAGACTTGCAAGAAATGTTTCAGAACAACAACACCAACTCGCCTGGCTTCAGCGGCACGCCTCATAGAAGAGCGCGTGGGCTGCTGCCGCCGATTCCTGATGCGAACGACAGCGCGCGCTCGAGCAGGTCCCCAAGCTCTGCGCGTGGCAACTATCGACATAGTGGCGAGGTGGGACAGGTGACCGAGCTCATGGACGGTGCATCAGAAACGCCGCCCAGCCTGCGACAGGAACTTGAGAACAACCCCCAGGAGCAGATGATGCGCATCATCAACGATCACAACGCCACCAACTCATCGGGTATGGACCTTCCGGAGGCCGCTGACTTTGTGGCCAATGCCTCCAATTCCATGAACAATGACCAGCGCAGCCAACTGGCCAACTTTATGAGCAGGCAATCGCCAACGGGAACAGGACGGAGCTCTGCCACGCCGCCGGTCAACATGAACACACAAGCGCCGCCTCAACAACGACAACCACAACAACCGAGCAGGCGAACAGCAGCACCGACGCCGTCAGACACCTCCGCGCCCCCGCCGCCTCAACAGGCTAATGCTGGCACCAATTCGAACGGCGCCCCATCGCTGTCCCCTATAATGCGCTCTCCGGCCATGCCTCCTCTGTCCATCAACCAGATCTCATCAAACCAGTCGGAACTGGAGCAGCTCCAGCACCTCAATGCACAACAAGAAGCGACGCTGAACAACATCACTGATCTTCTTGGTCCGCTGAGCCCCTCAGGTCGCATCCCGGAGCTCGACGAGAGTGCCAACGGAGCGTACTTTGATCCGAACAGTCTGGACATTGACCAGTACCTGAACAGCGAGGCCTTCACCGAGGAGCCCTTTGGTACAGGCGACGAGGGGCTGAATCTCAATTTCGACGGCACAGATGACCCCTTTAGCGCACAAAATCTCAACCAGCAGCCCCAGCAACAGAGATACAACCCCGGCAATTTGAGCGCGGCACCGACACCTGTCAATCATCAGACGCCAAGCGATACAGGCACGGAGGAAATACAAAGGGAAGACTTTCACGCGGGGGACAGGACAAAGAGGCAGCGCGTGGCGTAGAGCAGCCGGCTTTCTTGAGGTCGTCACGGCGCGATGGGCATGCATGGGGGGGCGCCCGAGGCGTTCAGGGGCAAGGCGGCAACGGGCCGATAATTTTTGGGACTTGTAGTTAGCATATGGTTGTGTGGCGGTTTGAAATAGGTTGTTATTTCATGGGTAGAGAGAGCTTAGACCGCTACAGGGCCGATCGCGCGCACGTCATTGCTGCGCGTCAAAGAGATGTTTGTAGATGGACGGCCGCACACATGTCGGTTTTTTCACAGGTGCATGCACATTATTCTTGACTGTTCTCCATTGTATTTTGCATGTTGTACAATGTTCTTGTGCACATGTGGGAAGGGTCAGGTTGTTCACGGCAGTGCCACTGGTCGGGAGACGCGAACAGTCTCCAAGTCTTCGCGACAAGAACAGCGACCTTGACATGGTGAAGACGATAAAGAGGGCATGTTGGCACATTGATGTTCATGTTTGGGCTCCTAATCTACAGCATTCACAGCTTGACTACTGACTCTGGAAGTCGGTTTCGGAGCTGCCTAACCAGTGAGTATCTGTACCCCATCGTCTCGGCTAACCATCGTCTTCTCGTCCCAGATGTCTGACTTTCCCGTCCGTCTCCGCATCAGTTTCCCGGTTGTCCGTGGATATGCTTACGAGCGCACAGAGATCGCACTCGCCTTCCGCGAGCGGGGGATGGTCGACCAGCTCATGGCCGCCGTCGCGGCAAGGACCGAACAGGCCTTTTACGAAGCACCAAAGAAGCCCACCAAAACGATGACCATTGAGCGGAAGCGAAATGGGGAAACAGAGGCGCAGCACGTCGGTCGGAACAGACAGGAGACGCTGGAGATCCTGGAAGGGTTGCGCATCGCGGAGCGGGATTTCGAATTCGGCAATCTGCTCGACATGTATGTCCCCGGCTTCCTGTATCTGATGCAGAGAGACTACTACACGGAAGACGTCTGCGACGAGCTCGGGATGCAGCCCGCGCGGCACTTTCCCGACATGCCCAGGAAAAAGGGCCAGTGCGAGCGCAGCTTTGAGCTGCGGCACCTGTTTGACGTGATCGTGTCGCGGCTGCCCTTCCGCGAGGCCATGGAGTTCCCGGACTACGACCCCGGCATGAAGCCCATGCTGCTGTCGCTGGGTCGGGCGGACGAGACGGGGGCGAGGAGGATCACCCACAAGTACCCGATGGAGATGCGGACGGTCGTCGAGGTGCAGGCCATGTTCATGGACTGGTCGGTGCGAGACGAGGAGAGGACGTTGCTGTGGATAGGGTATGACGGCGACGGGTCGCTGCCGCGCTCTCTTCGTTTGGGATCGGCGCTGGAAGTCGAGTGGGGATCTGACATGTTTTGAGGGTTCTTGAACAGGTACGTCGAGATAATTGATGGTGAGTTTCTGCTTCTTGACGTTGTGTCCGTGTTGATGTCGAGGCTGGACCTCGTTCGCTCCTCGATGAAAACAGCCTGCCCCTTGTTCAATCGTTTCTCATGCCGTGTCATTGTGTCGCTTTGAAGTGCTCAGCCAGCCAGCGGATTGGCATGGATCGTGACTGAGTCAATACGGACCGTCTCCTTGGGTCGATTCTTCTTGTCGACCTCTACAGCCTCCATCTTGGCGAGTGTCGCCAGCCCCTCGTCCCCAATCACCTTGCCAAAGACGGTATTGAGGCCATCCAGATGGGGCGCCTTGTCGAAGAGGATGAAGAACTGCGAGCCGTTTGTCGACGGGCCCTTGTTCGCCATGGACACGACGCCACGACCGCCGTGCTTCAGGGCTGGGCGGATCTCGTCCTCGAACGCGCCGCCCCAGATGGACCGGCCGCCCTTGGGGTTCTCGGGGGTTGGTGTCGCGGGGGCGCCGGTCTGTGCCATGAACTTGGGGATCAGGCGGTGAAAGGGGGAGGCATCGTAGTAGCCCGACGCACAGAGCGCGAGGAAATTCTGCAGAGACGGTGAGTACGCACACGGTTTAGGAGCACGCTGGCTATGAGCTTTACCTCTGCTGTCTTGGGCACGCTTTCGCAAAACACCTCGATCTTGATGTCGCCGTGGGTGGTGTGGAGAGTGACGGACATGATTGTGCGCGTCGTCGTCGTCGTCGTGGGGGTTGTCCGAGAGAGTGTAAGCTGTTGCTGTCGCGACGAAACAAAGTTTTGCTGTGAGAGAGTGCCAAGTGAAATAAGAAGGGATTCGCGGTGCTTGATGGCCCGAGCACGCGACCCCGCATACGGGTAACCTACCGTCGTCACGCATTAGCCTGGGCATTCTCGCTTACACTCCCAGAACATCTTGAAGACCCTGCCAGCTCAAAGAGCCCGATATATCCCAGGCGACATGGACTTGAGCTGTGCATGGGGCTTGCTGACATGTTCATTTCGGGCACAGGAAGGGCGTCTGTACGGACTCATGAACCCGGAACCCAAGAACAGCGTCCTCGACCTGTTGTTCTGGGACTCGTTCACTGTCTCACCACAGCACAGACATTTGAGCCACCCACTCAGCGGCAGCACGTGCGTCGAGGAGTGTGTAGACACAAATAAGCATAGCTGAGCTAATTGTTGCCGCAGGCATGGCGAATCCTGGGAATACGTACATGCACGCATTGTCAGCCCTGTGTGCCCAATCGGTGCCAGCAGGCTAGCACCATGACTGCATCTCTTTGCTGACGCCCCTTGCCCAATCCCAATGTAATCAGACGGTCTAATGTTGGGCGACAAGAGGATAGCGGGTGCATCTGGGGCAGTAATCAACTTTAGCAGGGCAACAAGGCACCATTGACTGTGTAAAAAGGTAGGGCTTGTGTTAATGGATGGATACTGTCTGTGTAAGGTACCTGACCTTTGGCTCAAGTCGTCACTGACGACTCCAGTCGAGAAGCACTGCAAAAAGACGAAAACCACAGTGATTAATAAATTAAACCAATGTTTTGCGGAAATCGCATAGATCCTCCGCCCTGTCTCAGCCATCCCTCCACTCAGCTTAGCACTGCCTTACTGTAGAGCTGGAACAAGCATACCTTAAGGTAACATTAGGTAGTCATCATAGAAACGCTAAGCCGAGTCGTCATGACACAATTCCATTGCGCAGACCACTCCGTGACAATGTGACCCTGTCCCCGACCAGACCTCTGCGCGCGCATTCAACGTTGGCTTGACCACGAGCCCTGCCGTCCGTCAGCACGTCCCGTTTCCTCTTCAGGGTCCAGTCTTTCGTCTGCACTCTGCAAGCACACGGACGGGCGCCTGGTCTGGGCGCACCTGGACATCATCTCCGTCCCATACTCCAACAACCTCCAGTCGTCGCTCCAGTCCCTTCTCACCCGCAAGCCGCTGACTTGTGCGACGACGATGCACTGGATTTCCTGCAACGCCTAAAGCTCGACCTATAGACAGACATTCGCTCCTCTTTGCTGCCGGTCCCAGGCACCCCGTCCACGCCACCCTCCTTCTTTGCGACGCCCAGTCCTCGAGCCTCCAGTCCGACGACGATTCCAAGTCCCAACCCCGCCTATCTCTAGTAGTGCATCGCACGCGCTGACCGCGATCGATCGACCACGACGACCGTTCAAAGGGTCCAGACACCTCGAGCACAGCAATTATCGAGTCCTCTAGCCCTGGGTCTACTCGCACGCCAATTCCACCACTTGCACCCCCAATCCCGGCCCGCATCGCGGCGCTCCCGCTCCTCCACCCAGCACCTCCAAGGTCGCGTGTGGCTTTGTCACCAACTCGAGTCAGCTGCCCGGCTGGGCGAGCGACATTACAATCATGGCTGCTGTCCTCGCGCCGGCCAGCGTGAGGGTCTCGGGGCCGCCCAACAGCAGCTTTCTCGTGGGCTACCCAGGCATCTCGGCCACCTTGGTACGACACCCTGCCCGCCCCAATCGCTCTGCTTCACCACTAACACTCCTGTGTAGCCGCGCATCGAGGGAAAGGTCGAGATCCGCCCAGGCGTAGGGTACTCCATGCCAGTGCCGGTGTCTCTAGTTCGAATATGTCTTCTACGGAAAGAAACGATCCACCCCGACGCCGACAACCTTGCCAAACGACACCTGGGAACACCGAGACGCGAAACAATGGACGTTGTGGGGAAGGAAGTGCTGCTGTTCCGCTGCTCGACCGGCAAGGAGGCGGAGAGCGTCATAGCCATGGACCTACCCTTCGTCCTCTTCATACCCTTTGGTCGTGGCGGCGAGGAGACTAACCGTCGCATACCTCCCGCTTCACTACAGCTGCCGAACCGGACGGCGGAAACACTCTACGAACTCGTGGTCACCGTGCAGCAGGGCCACAGCAGTCAATTCAAGTACAACTTTCCCATGCCGCTTCGGCGCTACGATACCTTGTCCACCTTTGGCATGTACAACAAGCCCGAGACGAAGCTCGTCACCAACGACAGCGTTGTTCACCTGGGAATCAACCTGCCGCGATGGAGCTACGGGCCTAGTGATCCCATCACCGTCTACATCAAGCTATCGCCAAACCCAGATTGGCTCAGCAAAGCCAAGCGCGTCACCATTGACAAGATCACACTCACAATCGAAGAGGAGATCACATTCAATCCCGAGGGGGACGAGCCGACTAAGAAGATCAACAAGATATCAAAGCAGGTTCAGCAGGTCAAAACCAAGCTTCCCGAGGCGGGCTATGCCACGAACATGGGCCTCTGCTTCCCTTCAAAAGATTTACGCGACCCCGATGGAGTGGTCAAGCGAGGGAAACCGGGCTTCCCCATGTACGAGGTCCAGTCATTCACCACCACATCGACACTGTACAAGATTGAGTTTTATCTCAATATCAAGGTAAGCACAGACTCTGTTGTCCGGGAATGATCCGCTAATCCCTTGCGGGTGAACCTGAGTAGCGCTCGCGATGTGAGCATACGACAGCCGATCGTCATCTGCCCCCTCGACCAACAGGGCTGCAAGGAGGAAATGGACGCCATCGAACAGGCCGCAAAGGATGCCTCCCACGTCGACCCAAACAACCCCATGCTGCCCGCTCATTCCATCATTTTAGCAAGCGACCGCGATTCATTACGAGCACTGGGGCTGTGCATGGTTGGAGGTCAGAAGAAGCCGCTCATTGAATGAGAGGATTGGTGCAGGTTGCAGATTCATCTTCCACGACATGACTGCATTCTACGTTACTATATTCCAGCACGCCAACAGCAGCGCCAAGGCGACCGCGCACGAGGGGGGCAGCAGCCCCGCGCAACCGACACAAGTGCTCATAGCACCGCCGCCACCGACACTCATGGTCGATTCTTGCAGGTTGAGCGAGAACTGCACGGCGCGGGTTGATGATTTGTACGAGGAGTTCTACGGACGGTCTCTATACCCCCCGGAAAGACCAGTCACGGCGTCCCGAGCATCGTTACCGGGGTATCACACAGAGACGGAGCGTTTCGTGATAGCATGGCGTACATTGGCTACACGCCGGATTTTGCTTTCGATATATCGGCTTTAGGAGAGCCAGATGTCACGGTTCAAGAGCACTTGATCGAGATGTTGTGTTCAGGGGTACACATGCGTCAACCTGTCAACCTGTCAACCTGTGCTGGCGACATGAGGACGCCTCCTGACGAGTTCAAGTTGATACCTCCGATATCCCTGAGTTGGCTTGAGAGCTAATGTACATACAGTTGAGCTTTCCGTAGCCCCAGATCCTCAAAGCTAGTAGGCCAGTGTATGAAAGAAGCTCGAGCATTTCATTCTCCTGCGTGAGTGCGTGCAGTAGTCGCGTCAGATAGCTGAATTCTGGGCGCGTGCTGTTTCTCAAAGATCACCCCGGGAGCTACTTCCCAGCTGAAGTGCTTCCAAAGTGAGCCCCTGTCTCGCAATGAATCCAGGCCCTCACCGCCGACGGTCACGTTCACGTTCACACTCACGCTCACGTCAGGTGTGTACCAGGTATGAGATGAGACGAACCTAAAGGGTGTGACTCCTCGGTTGCCTAAGGCAAGCCCCCTCTCTGCTATATCTTCAGCTTCACACTGCCCTGCCCTCCCTCCTTTCTTCATCATCATCTTCTTCATTTCCAGTGTGATTCTGTTGTGTCCCAAGAGCTCCAACTTGCCTAGCACATTAGCACACCGCCCACCAAAAGCATCCTAGGCTGACTTACAAAGTATCTGAGCCCAAATGGCCCCCGGCCTGGGAGAAATTGTGTCCTTGTACACGCAAAATGGGCCTTGCTATGACTGGCAGCCAAATCGAGACGCCGCATTACTGGAGAGATATGGCAACAACAAGATGCTACCCCCACATCATAAATTCGACACATGCGAACAAGCCCTAGTTATTCTGGGCCAGAGCATTAAGCATAGCGCCCACGTCGAAATCAAAGCAGCGAATAAGCTCCGGGGACTCGCCCTTCAGGCACAATTTGTCAGAAAGGCCGATTCAAAACCCGGCGCCACGACCAGATACATGGCGTTCATCCGTGTCCCCACCGACTTCGTAAGTCTTACGTCGCTTGACAAGTGGAATGACTCTTTGCTGATTCAATAGGTACACAGTATACACAGTTTCCGTTCCTCAAAGCGAGGGCTGAAGTACCCGAGTCTTCTGCCAAGCACAATGGTTTGGTCACAGGGCGAGCGTCCATCGACGTCTGCTTTGAGCCTTTCAAGGCCCATGGTCCAGAGCAAGAGGACAGCCGTATTTTTTGGCCAGGAGTCGTCTACCGGCACCGCGACGTCCGTTCTGAGGGCCCAACTGGGATTGGCTACCTGGTATTACAGGTTGACCGGGCTACTTCTCACAAGGCAGCGAGCACGGAGTCGAAAGTGTCACCATCAAATACCTACACTGTGTACAAAGCACAAGGACAGGCTTTCGAGACCATCTATCTTCGCAAACACCCGGTTCCACATACTGCGAAGACGATAGTGATGGGTTTACACCAGCTCTTTAGCCCAGCTGTCAGGGCAGAGCTTGAAGGTCTTGTGCCAGACGAACAGCCTCCACTGTTCCCCCATAGCGGAGTTTATGGTCACAAGTACAAAATAGGGGCTTGGAAGTTACCCCCGTCTCCCCCAGGAGGTCCTGCACAACAGTACCCGGCTATTCTTGTAAGTCAGATTCTAATCGGAGATGCATCGAGCTAACATAATGTCCAGGGACTGCAGGTCGGACAATCCCCGACAGCAGACCATGTTCGATCTGCCATGCTGCGAGCCTACATCATGGGCCAAGATCCGGCGAAGATTCTCTCCTGCGTGATAGGATACCTCAGCGAATCCGAAGTGACTCGTCTCCAAGAAGCGTTTGGAGCAGTCGATAAGCAGGCTTTACAGAGCTTCAACATCTTCAGCGCATGCAGACATCCAGAACTACGGGACACCATTCTCCGCTCAACGCCTCACGACCAGAGCTCAGCCAGCCTTCCACCTCTCCCACCCTCATACATGGGCATGATTACTTTTGTTGGCAGTAGATCACAAAAACATGTCACTGCAACCACTTTGCTCATGCTAGCATCTTTGGGTCCGGTATTCGCGACGGCTTCGAGCAATTTCGTAGCTAATCGGTTCGCCGAGGGCTTACAACACGAGTCAGGAAAGGTCATGGAGCAATTAAACAGCCTACAAGGGGGCAGCAGGCCCAAAGTCCGGTCTCCTCTAGTCGTCAGAGGGTTTGCTGTTGAGCTTGAGCTTCTTGAATTCATGGAGCTTGTCAAGGCGAGATGGAGACGGAAGACCGGCATATCCCCCCATGTCGCTGCCGGCGCGTGGCAGAAGTCGCTGTCACTCTGCGAGTGGCTCTTCAAAGTCACCAAGATCCTGAATGATGATCTCAAGGACACGGATCACGCGGCGCTTTTCACACTACGCGAGGCCATTCAAAAGACGGACTTCTATCGACCGCTCAGAACTTTCCTCGTACGTCATCACGCCTGGCCCGCCGAACAGGCCGCAACACGTTCGTCAACGTCGACCCCACTGAGTAGTCCTGGAAATGTCGGCTTGGATGACGACGTCTCCAAGGTTCTGAAAGAGGCATGTGTCTTTCTAGTGAACCACTGCTCCAGCCTATGCACAACGCCAACAAAGTCTCACAAGCCGCTGTACCGCGACTTCAAGGCATCTGCCAAAGCCATCGCGATTGTGGACGCAGACAACGTGACGCGTCCCGAGGCGGTGTTGGTGATCGGCGACAAGATGCGGCCCTGTGTGATGGGTGGATTCACGCCTGACATGTACCCGAGGCCGAACATGGCATTTCCTCCGCCGCAGAACCCTCTGTATGCGGACATGAACCTGTCCCTGCTGGCCGCGCACCAAGAAAATGGCTTCTTTTACATAAGCTGCTGAGTCAAGAGCTTGTGTCTCTCAAATGCGTGGTGCAGTTGTCTCGGGCAGTGACGATACAAGGTGGTGTCCAAGTCGAACGATGATTTTGCTTTACTAGAGTCGCTAGCAGGAATTATGGTTTCAGTCATTTCGAGAAGCTCTTTCTATCCATTCAAGATATAGATGAGGGCGAGAGGCGGGCACTCCGAGAGTTTGGCATGCAGTGGATAAGCTCCCTATCATGTGTACAGTGGTCAGAACGGCAGGGTTCGGAATCTCAAGGGCCTGTAGTTTGCCATGATGAGAATAATTGAATGTGGCTATTATCGAAAGTGCTGATGCATGAGTGCTTATTTTTGACATGTTATGTCTGAACGACCCCAACATTGGCATTCAGAACTCCCCCCAAGCATCACGTCCTCAATGTTATTGTTGCCCCTTTTTGAGCACCCAGCTGGTAAATGCTTCCACTCATTGAGATTCTGGTTGCTTGGACGCTGGAACAAGGTTTCCTTCTTTTCGTATGGATTAAGTGTATGGACCCCTCGCATTAGAAGGATACATCACTCGTGACCACGATGTTGCATTAATGGATTATTCTGACCGCTGCGTAACCGTCAGGGTGTATCATATCGCTAATAATAATAATAAGACAGCCAACTAACTACGTCCTACGTCCTAGCCCTGCCATGGCACGACGCGTGCCGATCTATGGCTTCACGCGTCGTCTCTTGGTGGTGCCAGAAGTCATGTCTCCGTCGGCGGCGAGCTCGTCCTCCTCCTCCGCCGTGTCGTCCGCCGGCGTCGCGACGCTGCCCGGTCGAGGTGTCGACGAGGGCGCCGGGCCGGACCTGTCCTTCTCTGCGGCGCGCAGATCGCCCATTTGCTTCTCCACCTCGATGAACATGGCCTGCGTATTGCTCACGACGGCATTCTCGTCGAGATGATAGCCCAGAACGTCGTCGTCCTCCTCCTGCGTGCGTCGCATGAAGGCCTGCCCCGGCCCACGGTTGGGATCGGGGTTGTACATGATGGCATTGCAGAACATGTGGCATAGCTCTCGCTCAAGCTGGGCACTGTTGATGATGCCCTTGGGCGGGCGCAAGTCATCCGAGATGGGGAGCCAAACACCAGGAGTGCCCGGGTCACCGTTGGGCAGATTGGCAGCCGCCTGGGTGGCCGCTTGGTTGCCCCCCTTCACGGCTGCGCGGATGGCTGTCATGTCCTGAGGCTGCAGAACGATCTGACGATAGTTAGGCGCGTCCCGTTCGCGCACAGGTTTGAGAAACATGTTGCCGTCACGGTGGGAGGCAATCTGGTCCAGCGCTTGGTAGCTAACCTTGTGGAATCCTCGAGTCCAGAGCACCTGCGTGGGTGGGCCAGGCGGCTCCAGTGGCGTCTCTTGCCTCTTGCGCTTCAAGATCCGCGACACACTACCGGGAGTTGCAAAGTTTCGATGAGCCACGCTCTCGTCAGCCGTGGTATCACCTCCCTCTTCATGGCCTGATGTTTCGTCCTTGACCTTTGGCATGGTGTCAGGATGATCCAACGCAAGCTCGTCGGTCCCCGACACAACAGAGTCGCTGCGCCTGCGTCCCTCGCCCAACGGCGTGCCCGTCGCTTCGCGTAGCTTTCTAGTGCTTGTTCTCTTAGTTCTCCGCCCCGATTGGGCAGGCAAAGGTAGCTTGTTTGAAGGCGCTGTTGGTGTTTGCAGGGGCGGTGGCGCGCCTAGATGAGACTGGGTTGTCCAGCCTGGCGCCTTACGCGGCACTGGCAGTGTGGTAGACTGCGGTTTCGGTGGGCTCAGCGGCTCCCATGCGGGGCTCTCTACTTCACCCTGTAAATCAGTAGGCTTCGGCGTGGAAGGCGTGGGTGATCTTGTCCAGCTCGTAATTAAACCGCCTTTGGTGGCCGGGAGCCCAAGCTGCAGGGGCGTAGTGGGTAATGATGCTGCTGCGGCACTGACCCGCCTAGGGACAGGTGTCGCAGCTTGACGTAGCACATGGTCCGGGATAGCTGGTCGGGGTTGCTGGGGGCCGTGCGCGGGCGCCATAGGCTTTTGATCCTTTGGTGCCTGTTGGGGAGTTGGTGTACCGGCGCCTGTGGGGGGCGAAATACGTTGCCCAGGAGGTAGTTGACCTGGTGGCCATCGTTGGGGAGGTGCAGCCAATCCATTATGAGACTGCGGTAAGGGGGATGCCGCCGCAATAGGTCGAGGTTGCGGTGCCAACTGTGGTTGTTGCGGTTGTATGGGTCGATGAGGAGGAGGCACGGGAGTTTTGGTCCGCGGCCGGGGCTGAGGTGACGCTGCCGATCCAGCGTCGGCGGCTCGAGCTGTCGCTGCTGGGATCTGAGGCACTACTTGACCTGCATTCTGAGGAGCTACCAACACTGAACTCGGCTGAGATGGTTGATGAGGTGGAGGTTGGGACTGAGGTTGATTCTGTTGCGCGAGAGGCGGCTGTGATTGTGGTTGCTGAGACCCAGGGGCAAAGGCCTGGCTCTTTTGTTGATACTGGCCTTGCTGCTGCTGCTGCCACTGCTGTTGATGCTGCGCGTACTGTTGAGGCGTGGCAGCTCTGGGCGCAGCCGGTGATGGTACTGGACGCGGTGGATGCTGTGGATGCGGCACCGCGCCAGGCGGCTGATACGGCTTCTCCCACTTGAGGCCACCCTGACCGGGGACATTTGCTACACCTGCGGGTTGAGGCGCTATGCTACCCTCCGCAGAAGCTGGCACCGGTGTGGTGGCGTTAGGTCGCGGTGATATCGGAATTTTGGCCGGATGCTGCTGCTGGGGCGCTTGTAGCACTCGTTGCGGCTGTTGGTGGGCGCTGTTAGGCGCTTGAAGAACCGGGCTGGCAGTGCCTGCTGGCTGCCCTTGCAACGAAGAGGGCGTACGGACGGGGCCAGAAGGGATGGCTGGAGAAGGTTGCGCAGGGTGTTGCGCAGGGAGAGCGATTGGGGGGTTCGGCGTGGGAGGCTTTGGCTGGACAGCCGGACTGCTAACCGCTTGACCTCGAGCTGGCGCAGTCTGCGCGGATGGAACCGGTGGCGGATGGGCTGGCGTGGCTGTCGGCGGAGGCACAGGCGTATTGTGTGGGAGCTTGGGCGTCGCTGGCTTGATCTCCTTGGGCGACAATGCCGCTTGCGCCTGTCCATTCTCCCTCGCCAGCCTCTTAGACCGCTCCGCTTGGTTCTTCTCCAACACGTAAATCTCCCTCTGCGTTTGGTCGTAGTCGTCCTCCTTTTGCCGAATCTCCTTGACCTTTTGCGTCTTGTATCGCTCCCATAGCCGATCGATGATTCTGGGGACTTTCTCGAGGTTTTCCGCTAGATCCTTCAGCGTAGCCGGTGGCGAGCTCCCATCCAGTTTCCTCTTCCTGGTGCCACCCGGTGACGTTGCGCCATCCCCATTCAGGATGCCATGGTCCTCAATCAACAGTTCCTGATGCAGCGTTGTAAAGAACCATTTCTCGAGCGCGTCCGAATGCAGCCGCTTCACGTCAAAGCTCTCCCCCGTTTTGATAAACTCATTTTTCAGAAGTCGGTCCGAGATGCGCGGCCATGCTGCTGGCTCGACGCCCTCTTGGAGGACCGACTCCCACAGTACCAGCGACTCGAGGTGGGTATATGTCGACAGTTGATTCATGCCCTTGCTCTGAATGGGTCCGCCTCGCCAGCGATCGAGATGCTTCGGTAGGAGATGGATTGGCGCCACGATCTACGCAGACGTAACAAACGTGTCAGCGATTCAAACTTTGAGGCTGCGGATTGGCGCGACGTGGCATCGCTGCAAGGCTGTTCTGGGGCAGAAAGACGTACAGGCAGAGTGGCCTGAACACCCCAAGTCGCAAATGTGTGGCTTTGGCGCCTATCATCGGTTATGGCGCGTTATTGAGCTCCCAGTCACGGTCGCGCTCGTCTTGTTGATGGTCGTGATGATTTTTGCGATAATCACGTGATTGGTTCGCGACGATCGGGATGCGATAAGGATGAAATGGGAAAAGTGGAAATGAGGAAGAGAAGACGTTCATCAACGCCGACGGGCTTGGGATCGATCGCCTGCTCACCAGCGCTAGCATGTCACGTGCTCTCATCGTGAGCTACCGAACGAGTCGGACAATCAGAACCCCAAGGTAAATGTAGGACAAGACGTTGCAAAAAATCTCCCACTGGAGATCCTGAAGCAGGATTCAATGTGTGGACAGTTGCAAGCATGCGGCTATTATTGATGGATTAGGTCACAACAGCCATTGATGTAAACAGCGTTTCGAACCCCTGACACACACACACAGGGGTAGCTGAAGTGAACGAGAGCAGTAGGTCACCAAGTAGGTATACATGAGGGATTGGCTTGGAATTGGCTCGTAGCCAAGAATGTATCAATTTCGCCGATACCAATGACTCCCCCCTCAGGGTATCATGCCTAATCGCTTGTGCAGCGCTTGTCTTTCCGTTGCCCGACTGCCAGGATGACCATTTATTCCCCAAGTTAATCCCCAAAAGAACATCCCCGAACGCCAGACTAAAACGTCAAATCGCTCAAACAAAACAAAATATCAGGGTGATGATGATCCAGAATCTTCTGGTGTACCTTCTGCCCGACATTCGTCTGGGCTTTCGCTCCCCTTCTCCTGAGCTCGAGGCTGATAGGTAAGCCTCATCTTCTCGTCCAACAACGTCACGAGCCTCTCCGAGTACTGATCAAGGAGCCCGCTGAGGACCGTCTCATTCATCGCCTTGCTCCGGATGGCTCTATCCCCCAAAGCAGCTGCGGTCAAGCGTAGCTCTCTGTCCAACTCCGCCAGCACCTCGGGGCTCAGAGGCTCCGCAGACTCTAGCTTCTTTCTGTACACGCGAAGCGTGCGGCAGGTTTGCTCGGTCGCCATGTTGAGGGTGCCAAAAGCGCTCCGCAGATTTCCGCCAGATGTCTTGCGCGCTGCTGGACCTAGTGCGGGCAAAGAAGGCCGACGCGTGACAGTCTTACCCCTTGGGCTGGTCGGAGGGCTGTACTGCCTGCTGTCCCCAGTAGGACGTTTCGATGGCGTGTCCTCGGCGATCGTGCTGCTACTCGGGCTGGCCTGCAATGGGCCGGTCGGCGTCTTTGCGCTGCTGTTCACCGCCAGGTTCATGCGCGATCTTCGCCGTCGCAGTGTCCTCGGTGGCGACGAAGGCCGATTTCCTGGGCTTGGCTTCTGGAACTCGGCTAGTTCAGCCTTGGAAAGGACCCGTCGCAGCGTTGGTCGAGCTGAAGTGGCTTCCTTCACAGGCGAGGGATCCCTACTTATCGACGACCTGGGTGAAGAATCGTTCAAGTCGAGGGCCCAAATCATGATAGTTGCATCAGACCCAACGCTAACAACTTTCTTTGTCCCGTCATCCCCTTCGATAAGGCATAATCCATTGATGGCCTCGGTGTGGCCCCATTCCCGATCAATAAAAGCGCCCGAGTTGGCGTCATATAAGCGGATGGACTTGTCCGTGTTCGACACGCCGAGCAAGAAGTCCAATTCCTTCGGTGGCCATTGGCCAAAATTAAGACAATCCAGCACGGCAGACTCGGCTCCCCCTTCATCCACACACTTGAAGTTGTGAACTTGCCGCCCGTTGTTCAGATCAAACTGGGAAACTGAACGATCCAGAAAAGACACGAAAGCGGTGGATCCATCCCGGCTCATCTCCATGGATGTTGGAGAGGCCTTTAATGATATGACCTTATGGGGCACGGCTGCCATCACGTCAGGCTCATCCTCCCTCGATAATATCTCATGAACCTGCATAGTTCTCTCCATGGAGCACGTGAACACCATGTGTGGCGAGGGAATTGCCACGGCGACGACTTTGGAGTTGAAGTCAAGCGTCTGGAAATGCTCAATCTGGCCCTTGGAGTTCCGATGGAAAAGCTGCGTCGTGCGGTCTCGTCCACAGGTGGCCATCATAAACTTTGTGTCATCTTCATATAGGCTGATGCAGACGCAGTCGGAGGTATGGGCTTTGGTGTCCAGAATGCATTCGTCAGTCGCTATATCGGTGACCTTGAGGATACCCTGTCGATCTGCGGTGACCAGGAGTTTGCCGTATTTTGAAACCCGGGCGCAAGTCAACTGGTTTATTATGCCCAGCTCGGCATCCTGCTCGGGTGTGTCCACGGCAACACGAACAAGCGATCTGACGCGGCCCTCTAGGTCCCAGAATGCCACGATCCCAGATGCTGACCAGGTGTAAAAGGCAGCGTCCATTCGATTAGGAGTTGGCAGGGTCTGGCAGCCGACGATGGCCTCGCCGTGGCCAGGTAGGGTTATGTGCGGAAACTCGTTGGCATTCCTTCCAGGGGTATCGTCGGGGTTCCAAATATCGATCGAGTGATTGGCATCAATGGTGACAAGTTTGTGTGTGAGAAACCCCATTGCCACGACCCCACGCGAGCTTCTGGAGCTGCTCAATATACTCGACTCGACACCTTCCATGACGCCTTGCACGTCCAACGTCGCGAACTGACCATCCTCGCCGCCCACATACGCGACGTCTCCTCGGATGATGATTGACGTAATGGCAAAGCCGACATTGAGGACACGGACCAGCTTGACCTGTTTCACTTCATCGTCAAAGATGCATACGTCGCCTGCTTCTGTGCACACAACGAGTTTCTTACCGTCCACACTGGCGCAAGTAAAAGTGGCTTCGAGCATGCTGCCCAACAGGACATTGCGTCCAGGCAAAGCTCTGCGCGAAGACGGCGTGGAGGATCCGGATTCGGCCAAGAAGCGCTGCTTCGTTGGTGACGTGACTTTGAATTCCTCCACCTTCCAGACCTTCACATGACGCACGCCCATTGTGATGAGTGAGTTGCCCAGCCATAACATACTCTTCACGTATGATGTGCAGCGGTTTTGCTGGAACAACCTGGCAGAGCCATTGCGTGGGTCAATCTTCCACACGTAGAGAAAACCGTCATTCGCCTCTCCTAGCGAGGCCAACCACCGGGAGTCCGCTGACCACGCGACGGCGCGTACGCCAAATGCGTGTTCGCTGATCGACACCAACGGCGTGTCGGAAGACGAGTCTTGGAGGTTGAAGATGAGAACCCTTGGGGCGTATCCAGTCTCGCCGACCGCCAAATACCTCCCATCTCGGCTCAACGCAAGGCATGTCGCGGCCTTGATTCTCTCCCGACTCGTCCATGTCTTAGACCCTGAAGAATCTGACCAGTCAGCCCCACCATAGATCGAGTCGCGAGGCGCTGCCCTCCCTCTGCTGTCGTTCGCTTTCGGTGTCCCATTTGGCGTCGAGGGCGCGTTGTGGAAGGTTGTCGCTGGGTATGTGGGAATAGCTGATGGTCGCGCGCGGAAGAAGCGCTGCGTGTATTGATCCCCGTCAATGTCCACCACGACCACAGCAGCCCCCGCGCAGTACGCGAACGAGGACTGGACAGTATCGAACCCGCCGGGGCACGAGCATGTTGTTCCAACCACTCGCTTCAGCGAAAGGCGCGAGTCGGGCGCAGACCGGCCGCGCATCGGAGATCTAGAGGGGCGAGGTAGAAAGGGAGAGTTTGACGGCGTCAACCTCAGGCGATTGGAGGGAGTCGACGCCATTGCTGCGCCATTGACTCATGAACACAGCTGTGATATGTATGTAGTGTCTCGAGGACGTGTTGCTGCAGTTCGCGAATTGTCATGAGAATTTCCAAGCTGAGGATGGCAGATTCTGTTATTTGTGTAAAATCCCAAGAGATGAAATGCTGTGGGCGCCATGTTAGGTCTGGCACGAGCGACGGGAGATAGCACACAACTTACAGTGACTATAAATAAAGTGTGAAAGAATGTAGAGCTGTTAAAAGAAGGACAGATTTCTCAATGGAATGAATCTTGGACATCAGAATGCGCAGAAGCGCTTGTGAGAGAAGAACAACAAGAGGCGGGTACGAAATACTGAACTTGTCGAGGCTGCACCTGCCCGCCTCTTGTTTTCGCTACGGTGACGGTTGTCTGGGGGCAGGCACGGCCCACCCCATGTCGCGACCCAGGATCTCATTGGCTACCTGAGATCCCCAGGCCATGGGGGAGCTTCAGGGGCCACTCAGCCATTCACCACGCTAAGGCAGGCCGGCAATCACTGGCTCGTGCTCCAGTCTCTATCACTGTCTTGAGATTCTGATCGTCGTAAGACCAACTGACCAAGGGGCCTCCACGATGCGGAATCATCATCGATACGTAGTGAAGAGATATTCTGCGGTCATTAGGGACACCACGCATCGTTCGTAAGTGGGCAGCAGCTGGGCTCCCTCGTGAGTAGCTTCGTGAACGGCACATTTGGTGATCAATTGAGTATCATCATCCACCATTGACGCGACTTGGGAGCGGGCGTAATGAATCCACGGTTCCACCATGACATTGACAGACGCGCTGCTCGGCAAGGCGCCGTTCCTAGCTCCCCCCTGTTAGCGCCGTGACCGTTCGTTGGTAAATGAGGACAAGCCCCTGACCCTGGTCTCGTCACACGGCCCCCACGAGCTTGGAGTCTTGGACAGGAGATGAGCAAGACCTGAACATCCGCGAGCAGCCATGGCGCGCACAAAGGGTTGTCGAACGCATCAATGCCATTGTACGGAGTAATAACCGTCCCACCAAAGGACAATTATGTATTCAAAGTTCAAACTCAGAACGGGGACCTCCCAGAGATGCAAGTCCATGAAGCTCCCCAAGCTGGTGTTTCCCTAGTGTCCAGAGAAGTGCGTGCGTTGAATCATTTAGCACCTCTACCGGCCAGAGACGCTGCTTTTGCCAGCTTCGCATTCTTCGCCTGGTCTCTCCGCTGATCCCATTGCTTGCCCTCTCCACGATCTCGTTGAGGCCGCGTGTCGTCCTTCATGGCCTTGGCCTTCTCCCGAGGATCAATGACGACAAGTTCCTCCTCAGCCTTGCGACGGTTGGTAAGGTCCTTGCCAAGCCGATCTGCCGCAAACGAAAGCGAGTGAGACATCCAACCTTCGTCGTCGCTGTCCTCCTTGACGTCCTTGTCCCATGCTCGGCAACTCTGGCAGTTGGCAATGAAGTGAAGATCGCATAGCTCCGCTTCCTCGTCGCCAGCGGCTGCTTCCGCATCCTCAGTGCCGTCGTTGACATTGACAGCAGTGTCTAGCTCTTTGCTTGCTGGGAGCTTCTCCAGTCTCGACTGGAAGGCTTTGAGCATCTGGAGCGTCTTGGGGTCTTCCGGCGCAGTCTGTCCTGGTCGTCTTTTCCGGCCTCCTTTGATCGACGATTCCGGTATTAACGAGTCCAGTGCAGACTTCTTCTCATGTGGGACTGTATCTTCCGTCTGTACGGTGCGCTTCATCGACGCTTTCAGGGCGGCAATCTCCTCGTCCGCCTTTTCGGCTGCACTCTTCTTCGGTGGCGGTGTCAGTTCCGGCTCGGGTGATACATCCCGGATCTGAACCTCCTTCTTCTTGGAGTTTGGCTTGGGTATCGACTCAGCCTCCTCCTCCTCCTCCTCATCAGGCCCAGACAGTTGTCGCTTTGGTGACACTTTGCGCTTCTTCGGTTTCGGTTTGACTGCAGGAGCGTCGTCCACCGTCTCGTCGGCAGCGATAAGCCGGGTATCAAACTTGGGCTTCTTCAGCACGGGCATCTCCTCCTCGCCCTCATCGTCCCCAAAACTCAGCAACTGCTTTCCTCCTTTGCGCTTCTTCTTCTTCTCCTTTTCGGCAGGCGGTTTACTAGGCGCTTGAACCGCAACGCGTGACCGCTTCTGCATGTCCTCAAAGGGGTTCACTATGATCTCCACCCGCTGTACCTTGACGGGGTACATGGGCCGATCAGTCCCCTCTGCGACCTCTGATTCTCCAATCTTCGCCATGTTGTAGATGGTGCCATCTTGTGCGACGCGGCCGAACAGCGTGTTCTTCCCATTGAGCTCCTCTGCCTTGTCGAGCGTAAAGAACCATTGGCTGCCATTCGTGTCCGGTCGCCCATCGTTCGCCATGCCAAGCAACCCGCGCCTGTTGAATTTCAACCTTGAATGGAACTCATCCTTAAAGTTGATGCCCTGCGGTCCTGCGTTCTTCCCTTGGCGCATATCCATGGGCCAGGGATCCAGGTCGCCGCTGAATGCGCCACCGTCGTAGATGGATTCGCCGCCATTGCCAGTGCCGGTCGGGTCACCTCCTTGCAAGATGAAACCTGGCACAAGGCGGTGGAATATGGTATCGTCGTAGTAGCCGTCGAGGGCTAGCTGCAGAAAGTTCCGGCAGGCAAGTGGCGTTTGCTTCGCGAACAGCTCGACAGTGATTTCGCCTAGGGTCGTGTGTATGATGGCCTTGCCGGTGGGCTGGGGTTCGAGATTATAAATTGCCGACATGGTCGCGGCGAGCTGAAGGCGAAGGTGGCCGGACCTAATGTCTTTGTGAGCAGATAGCAGACACGCAAGAGGTTGGTCGCGATCGAATGTTTGGGTGACGGAATTTGGAGGGCGAAGGTTTATCGATAAGCTTCTACCCGCGACCCATGTCACGACGCGCCGATGTGCTTGTCGCTACTCGAGCAAGTTGTTGAATGTTCATATTTCCGGTAATGAGATGACTATGGCGTCTGATAAATATTAATTTCCGTGAATTCGAAACTTCTATACCCTAGACTAAGGTCGCTTCGCATCCGCGTCTACAGAACTGGTTCGCTCGTCTGCGGAAGGCTTCCTCGGCCAGTCAGGGCAGGTGTCTATATTCTCCCTTGGGAACCACCACTCCAGAAACAGGAAGAATAGGTAGTCAATGGCCACGCAGAGGCAGAACAGTTTACCTGCCCAAATACCACAGCCATAATACCTCTTCAATCGGTCGATGAGAGTGAAATCCCGTATGCGACTTCCGTTGTAGCCCCCAGTATCGCATCCGTAAAAGTCCTCCTCAGAAATCGTGCCCGTGATGCCATCGTACACACGCTCCGTGCGCAGCGCGACGTTCGACCAAGAGTACATCTTCTTCACTTGGTCATGGAACTTTTCCGTGCGGACCTGGCCTGCTCGCATGGCAGTGATAGCTTTCCCCGTAGCCGCCACAACATCGTCCTCCTCGGGTTTGGCAAATGTGGTCATGTGGCTGGGGAGAACCTCTGGAATCCCGCCCACCTGAGTGCAAACAACGTAAAGCCCACATGATGCCGCTTCGACAATGACCGTGCCAAAGGCCTCGGTGAGGGATGGATGAAGGTAGATGTGCCCCCTGGTCATGACATCGCGCACTTCCTCGTGGCGAATGGAGCCGAGCATCTGGACCCTGTCCTGCAGGACATTGGTCTCAATCATCTGTTCTAGGTCGATGGCATTCGGCCCGGAGCCAGCAATCAGGAAGCGTGTGTTGGGATGCTCCTCGAGGATACGAGGTATAGCAGCCGTGAGCAAATCGGTGCCCTTGTTGTAAAAGAGACGAGAGATGACTACAATGGTGATCATCTCATGGGGGGCTAGTGGTCGAGCAGGAGGAGGATCAGTTTGAAACCCGTTGGCGCCAGCGCGAGATGATGATCGGTAGTTGCGCGGACGGAAAGACTCTGCAACAATGGCATTGGGAATTACAGACACCATTAAAGGGTCAAGGGATGCTCTGAGGACGGTGTTCTCCTTACTACCAAAAGGTCAGGACTCGTCCATCTCTAGAAGACGGGCGCACTTACCAAGTGTGGCTCACGCAGATGCTGTGATCGACGTCGCTGAGGATGAACTTGAGGAGTTTGTTCGTCAAGATACTCGCAGCGTCTGCGAAGCCGAATAAAGAATGATCTGTAAACACCGTCCTCAAGCCCATGGTTCGCGCATGCAGAATCGCCTCGTGGCACAGACTGCTCAGGCTGCCATGGCCATGTACAATCTCTATCCTTTCGCGAATGCAAATGTTGCGGAACACGGGGAAGAATGAGAACACGGTTGGGAAGGTTGTATTTCGGTAGATAACGAAGAACGGTACGTGGTAGACCTTGACGCCATTTGTGAGGTAGCGCACGCCCTTGCGGTCGTCGTAGGCGTGAGTGATGATGATGACTTTGTGACCTCGATCGATCAGCTTGCTTGACAGCTGGTATATGTGCGATTCGACGCCGCCTGGCTGTGGGAAGAAGTAGTCGCTGACCATGGCGACGGTATACGTCCGGCGACGCGCCATCTTGACAGCGATGCGGACGCGAACCTCCGATTCGTAGGGCGGGTTGTTTTGACTTGCGGAGACATGTTCAAGCTTCAAACGCTTCGCAAGGCTATGCCATGGGTTGGGCGCCTCATCGAATCGTGGATTCTTCTAATTGCCTCTCGAGGGGAAACGCGGGCGGGATGGTAGGGAGTAACACGCGGCTAAAGGGTAAGTAAGGTACGTAGTAGTCGCGATAAGGACCGGCGGTGGCCTGTGGCAGAATCAGCGATAAGCCGCGACCGCCAAATTTTTGGCGGATGATGGACATCCATCTGCGACCACCCACCCCATCCACCATTCGAGTGCGACACAGCCATTCTCAATTGTCACGCATAGGGGGCATTGGGGCGATTCCAAAATGTACGCGAGGTACATTCCACCTGCGAAGCCTGCGGGCGCGCCGAAAGCGACAACATCTTCGCAGCCCCCGGCACCAAGCCCAACACCTGCCGCCACGCCGCAAGCTGTGGGCGCCCCAGGCTTCAGCTATGCTCGGTACGTGCCTGGAGCCAATGCCAGTCCGAAGCCGCCTGTGACGCCAGCCGTGCATTACTTCGACGACGAGGAGCCGACGCCGTCCAGCGTCAAGCGAAAGCGCATTGTTAATGAGGAGGGGGAGACAGACTCCTCCGCCAAGAAACCCAAGAAGACGCAAAAGGGCGAGAAGTCGCCGGGACGCGAGACCAATGGCGTTAGCAGTTCAAAGAACGACGACGCAGAAGGCACGGAATCGCGCGAGGTGGCCAAGAGTGGAAAGGAACGAAAAGGGAAGAAAGAGAAGAAGCAGAAGAAGCAGAAGGAGCCCGATAACGACATGGAAGTCGAGGATCAGCAATCGACATTGAATGGCGACACCATGGACGCAGAGCGAATCACCGAGTCCAAGGCAGAGCGCAAGGCGAAGAAAGGGAAGAAGTCGGACGACAGCAAGAGCGATAAGCAACCAGACCGGGACGAGGTCGTGGAGGATCCATCCGAGCCGGTTGTACAAGAGGACCAACCAATGGTCGACGCTCCGAATGACACTACAGAGCCTGCCTCGGGAAAGAAGGAGAAGCGGAAAAAGGAGAAGAAGAAGGCGGAGTTGGAGAACGGATACACGACAGAGGAAACCGACAAACGACACAAGACAGTCCTGGAGCGCAAGACCAAATCGCTCAAGCTGGCTGACAAGGCGGCCGCTGAGGCGGTGTCAGAGTCGGAAGAGGAGCCAGAAGAGGTGCACGACCTCGAGCCGTTGCCTCAACCGAAGCTGGTATCCGCGGAGACACCCAACCCAACATACGAGACGTTGCCCGGATGGCTGGCCGATCCTATCCGCGTGGCTCAGGATACAAGGACTCCTTTCTCGGAACTCGGTCTCCTCCCCAAAGCTGCGCGCGTGCTGGAGGAGAAGGGGTTCCCGGATGCCTTTGCCGTCCAGACAAAGGCGATCCCTCTGTTACTACCGACCAGCAAGCAACGACCCGGGGACCTGCTAATTTCTGCGGCCACCGGATCTGGAAAGACACTGGCGTACGCTTTGCCGATTGTCAGGGATATCAGTCAGGGCCTCGTCACCAGGCTCAGAGCGCTCGTTGTGCTTCCCACGCGAGAGCTGGTCAAGCAGGCGCAGGATGTCTTTGAGCTCTGTGCCAAGGCTTACGAAGGTGGCGACCGCAAGCGAGTCCGCATCGGCGTCGCAATTGGCAGTCAGACCCTCAAGTCAGAGCAAGCGCATCTGATGGAGCAACAATCACGATATGACCCGGAGGCCTACAAGCGCATACAGCAAGAAAGACAAGGAGATCTGTCCGATGTTACTCATCTATCAAATCTCGACCCTGATGAGACAGATCCACGGCTGGGTCCTTGGGAAGGGGAGGTCGTCGACTTCTTTTCCAAAGTGGACGTACTTATTTGCACCCCTGGACGTTTAGTCGAGCACCTGGAGCAGACACCAGGCTTCGATCTTGATTATGTCCGCTGGCTCGTCGTCGATGAGGCTGATAAGTTGCTAGCCCAGAGCTTCCAGGGGTGGCTGGACGTGGTCCTGGAAAAGTTCAAGACCTCCAAGTTCACTGCGCGCGAGTTCCCGGACATGGATCTGGAAGGCGTGCGCAAGGTCATTCTCAGCGCCACATTGACCCGCGATCTCAGCCTGCTCAACCAGCTGGCGCTGCGGCGACCACAGTTGATTGTGCTGGAGAGCGAGAGCGACGCGCCGATTGCGGAACACGCGCTACCCGCCTTGCTGGAGGAGTTTGCCATCCGTGTGCACAATACCAACCTGAAACCGCTGTACCTGCTGGAGCTGCTCAAAGCTGGTCACATGAAGAGCGCTGGCGCTGCGCCGAGCAACAATGATGCCACCGCAGATGAAGGCTCGGACACATCGTCCGACGAGTCGGATGACAGCTCCTCAGAAGACGACACAAGCTCTGATGACGACTCGGATTCCGACTCGGACGCAGAACCAAAGCCGTCCAAGTACCAGCTCAAAAAGTCGACGCTCCCCGTATCTCTCATCTTCACAAAGTCCAACGAGGCAGCGCTCCGTCTCTCACGACTCCTCACTCTACTCGACCCATCACTATCATCGCACATCAGCACTCTCACGTCCACAACGCCGACCAACGTTCGACGCAAGACGCTACGCGCGTTCACGACGCCCTCGTCACCGATCCGCATCGTCATCGCCTCCGACCTGGTCGCCCGTGGTATCGATCTACCCAAGCTCGAACACGTCATCAACTACGATCTGCCCCCGAGCGCGGCAGGCTACGTGCATCGTGTCGGACGTACCGCCCGTGCGGGCCGCACCGGTCGGGCGTGGACACTCGTCGGCGACGACGAGAGTGGTTGGTTCTGGGGCAAGATCGCCAAGGGGGCGGGTATCAGGCGTACGCAAAAGGTTGGCCGCGTCCGGATTGAGGAGATGGGCGAGGAGAGGGTGGCGAATTACGAGGCTGCGTTGGAGAAACTTGGACAGGAAGCGATGGATGCGCGAAAGCGATGATCTGATGACTATATTAATCGACCAAATCTTCGCCATGGAATGGTATCAAGACCCTGATTCTGCGCGGTCCCCCCCAATTCGGTCAGTGCTCGTTCCAGGCGTTGCGTTCGTGAATGGGTGACGGTTCGACTCGGGGGCCCGACTGCTCCTCGTCGGTGCCACCATAGGCTCGTCTCTCGCTCTGCTCAGGCCGGTCATCTTCTTGCGTGTCGGGACCCGTCAGAAGAGGTCGGCTGCTCCCCCGACCGCCTATGACATGTCGCCAGCCTCCTGTTCGCCATGCTGTCCACCAATCGTTCCCTTCTCGCATCATAAGCAAGCCTAATATCTAGCCGATTGTCAGCGAATGCACCTCGTCCAGCGTCGGGGGAACCCCTACCTGCAGTAAACCAACAGCCAGCACGACGCCAAGGTCGACACCCGCGCTGACTCTCACAGCCCTCTCCAGGGGCACTCTGCATGCCACTGTCCTCCCGTAGGTGTCCGCGCAGGTACTTGGCGCCCCTCTAGGAAAGGGGTACGCCCGATCCTTGACGCTGTTGAACCCGCAGCACTCGAGCATATCCTGTACGCGTCGGATGGTGTTGGCGTCGTGCGCGCGGAAGCGCGCCATCCATTCGTTCCCGAGGATGCAGCTCATGGCCTGTGACGGCACGGAGGCTTCGAACAGCAGAGTCGCCAGGATGGTTGTGACGAGAGCCTGGACGACCTGCGGGATGGTGGGCGCGAGGCGGGCAAACTGCGAGTCGCGATGACGCGTGTTGGCGAGCAAGGATGGGTAGGTGTAGGCGTTGAAGAACGATACCAGTGGGAGGATGGCGGTGAGGATCGTGACGACGGGTGTGATGGGCAGGGACAGCGACGAGCTGTGGAAGTGGACGACACTGTGAAATGTCAGCTAGCTTGGTCTGGCTATTTCATGGTCTCGAGAAGCATTAGGTGGACGAACACTGCCACTGCGAACAAGGCCGCGCTCAACTGCGACGCGTCAGTGAATCTGAGCTACCGTACTTTTGTCAAAGCGTGCACGCTCACCAGAAGGAAGAAGATGCCAGGAGCGAGCATGATGAATATCACCGACAGAGTGTACGAAATTCGCAACGAGGCTGACGATTGTTCAATCAATAGGCCCGTTTGAGCATGTGCAGAGTCGAAAACTGGGAGTGTCGAGAAACTTCCCCTCTCTCCATTAGATGAGATCACATCGCCTTCATGCATTTATCAATGTTGGTTGTGTGACAGCCATTGAGGCTCGGATATGCGGGAGGCCGGTCAGTGGCCACACTTTCAACATTTCCCCTCTCCAGCGTCTCATTTCAGTTTGCGCATCATTTGCCCGTCCTTTGAGGAGGTTGGTCCTAATGGATCATGATTCATGCTATAGTCTAATGGATGTCCCAACCCTAGGTGCGTACTTACCTCAACTAACTGACATATGAAGCTTTGTGCATCTGCTAGTACTGACTTACCTTTGCAGGCCTTCATATCACAAAAGAGCCCATTGCTCACCCGTGCTCCATCGTGGCTGATGGTCAAGAGAGTGCTGTACTGCTCTCAAGCTGTCTCCGCCAGGCCGCCCTCCTACAACTCCTCTTCATCTTCATCTTCATCTTCATCGTCATTGCCATCGTTCATGTCCACGTCCTCGTTCATGTCTGAGTCTGAGTCTGAGTCTGAGTCTATGTCCACGACAGGAGGCAGAGGGACAGGAGGCATATCAGGCAGAGCAGGCTGAGCTGGCTGCGCTGGCTGAGCAGGCTGAGGCACGGTCAAGGGCACAGGCCCTGCGGGCAGAAGCCCAGCATTATTCGAAAAGGTGGTCGCGAACGTCAACAGGAGGTGGATCGTCGGCCTCCAACCGCAAGCCACCATGTCCTCCCTGCAAAAGGGGCACGTCGGCCTCATCCTCTTGTCCTGGGCTTGAAAGTGCTTCTTCGCGCAAACGACGTGGGCGGCCTGTTGGCAGCAGGGCAATCTCATCAGGGGCCATTGCCAGCTCCACGGCTCACTGCAGATGGGGCAGACCATGTTCTCCTGCTGAGCGACGGCGCCCTCAATGGCAAAACACGGCTGGCGCACAAAGTTGTCGAATGCAATCTCCCGCATCACAGCCTCGCTCATTCGCCTCCGTCGGTTTGCCATACAGTCCTCCCACAGAATCCTTCGGTTTGGCTCCCGCATTGCGAGGAGAGTGGCAAGTATGTTGGGCATTCCATCAATGGTCTTGACAAAGCTCTTGAGTGTGCTGTGAATGAAGACACCGCGTCCGCATCTGTACGTTGGCCCTTGCACGGGGCCGTCGGGATCGAGGAGGCAGGGCAGCATCTGTCGGAGCATGGCGGCTACTCCGCTGCTCAGGCCTGGGTCGTTGGCCATCGTTTTGAACATAAAATAGCCGTGCCTGAAGCGTTTGGCCCAGGTAGCGTATTGCCGATCCTCGTGATTTGGCAGGCGGTTTAGCTTGTGCCAGAGTAAGGCATGCCAATCCTCATCCCGGACGCTACAGATGGGGTTATCGGCATACCAGTCCTGCGTAGCATTTTCCCTCTGGTCAATCTCGCGCTGTAGATTGTTACGGTACCATTCGATCTGGGGCAGCGGAAGTGGTCGGCCATCCTTGCGCACCCTACGACCCTCTGCGTCACGGACCCAGAGATTCCTGCCGTACTGCGCAGGCCCATGGCTTTCCGCACGGTCAGCCTCTGCTATCCTAAAGCTCCTTAGTACATTGTGTGCTTCGGGCGCCTCAAAGCACGGACAAGGAACACGGCAAGAGCGGGCCACATATCTATGCTCGCAGACATGGCTAGGGTCAATAGTGCAGGCTTGGGAGATGAAGAGCTGGGATTCCCATTCTTTACAGATCGGGCCAAGGCCGAGCGCTACCATCAAGTCGGACCACACGGCGGTCTCGTGGGATATTGCTTGTGTGAGAAACCTCTCGGCGATATAGGCGAGCTGCCCTCTTTCAAAGATCTTCAGCTTATCGTGGCCATCTACCGCCACCAGCGTGGGCGGCTGCAGGGACACGCATCGATCTGACCCGGTGCAGTCTGGGCAGGATCGGTTGGCGTAGACCTCGGTGCGGACTTCACGAGGCCCGGTGGTGCACATACGGGCGTTAAGGCAGGCGCATCGAACCCTGCTTTTGAGGACATGCCATGCCGTTTGGGCAGCTGCGTTAATCACTTGGCCATGCTCGTATGACCTCCACGGCTTCAGGGGGTCGGCAATCGGGGTAGGTTGGCGGTTGGAATTTACGGCGGCTTCGACGGCCTCTGGGTCGTGGCAGACATACTTGCGCTCGACAAAGATACACATTGGGTCTGGGTCTTGGGTGACGGATCTTGGAAGCCTGATATTCGGTATAGGAGACTGGAGGTGGTAGTCGATAGTAGTTTTGGGAATGTGAGTAATTACGAAAGTGGTATCGACTGGATCTCGCAGAATCACAGACCCCTTAAGTATTGCGCCTCAGTACCCTGAGAGTATATTCTCGTGGGTCAATGCTCTGGGAGGCAGGACATGGCGCAAGAGGTCGTGCTGGCTTTGGCATTGTCTCGACGCAGCACAGAGCCAGTTGAACATTGAACAAGAAGCTAGATCCCGGGGAACAATTAGACAGAACTCAACTTCTTTGTCTGATAGGGAGGAAATTCGTTATTTGTGCGCGAATCAGACCTCTCTTGAAGTACACTTAGGACAAGGAGCCAGTTGTCCGAGGACCATGTCGCATTGTTCGAACAAAAAAAGGGGGTCGCACAAACAAAGAGGCTTTGGAGAAGGCGGGGGACGGTGCCCTCGAAAGCTGGTCAATAAACTCTTGCCCAGGCCAAATTCCGAGTTCTTCTTCTCGAGAACAGCCACATGGAATACATTTGTTTTGTCGTCCTATAGACACACAGGTTAAGTAAGTAGGTTGAACCGAGGCTTGGCGGCCATGTCAGCACCGCGCACTCCCCAATCTCGCAAGAGTAGCCGTCCTAGCGCACTACAATGACGGGCTAGAGAAATATTGAGACACATTCTCTTGATGCAATCCAAGTTTGCCTCTTTCAACACCAGCTAAGAAGGCCTTCGGCGGCTCCGCGAGCTTTGATCCAAGCTCCAAATTACATCGCGGCATAAATGGACCAGCCCAATTTGATAGCTCGTTCTCCAACACTCTTATAGTATTTTACTTGTTCATTAATTACTCTAAATAAGTTGGACACATGTAGATGTACTCCTTCGACCAGAAAGCCGAAATCAAGTTGACCCCTGTCCCAACAGCCTGTATCAGCTGCGGAGTGATGCTATAAATAGGTGGCCCAGCCGCAGCCGTGTGCGATTCCGCAACGACGAGCGAAAATCGCATTTGCACTGGCAAGACTTGAGCGATGGCTCGATGGGAATATAAATGCTCACATAGGACCATGAAGATGTCCAGTACTGCCGCTCCACCGACACAAAGGACTACTTCCAGTCTCGTACGTGTCACGACCATCGACCTAGTCTCTACCCCTTCGTCATGGGCCATCATCACGAAGCCGCCACTACTCATGGCCAGACCCAGTCACTACCCATCACTCTATACGCCACGCCGATAGGAACTCAGTCCAAAATTCTCGGCGTCCGCAAGCCCTTCAAGCCGCTCGGACACTGGGCTGTCTGCATTCAGGGCTACTGCTACGAGCTGACCAGGAAGTCGAGGAATGCACCCAAGAAGGACCCTGCGTACAGGGTGAACTGCGAGCCCGAGGAGAGCTGGTTGGCCAGGAAGGTCGAGCAGCAGCGAGAGTGCGTGCCGAGTCACGTAGGCTCGACCGCTGGGTACCTCTCGCCCGAGACGATCTCTTATATCGGTACGCCTATCTATCCTACTCTCCTCCTCGGAATTCACTCACTCACGCAATCCCAGGCGAGCTCATCTGGGTCAGGGCGCTCCAGCAGAAATACGTGTACGACGAGAACAACTGCCAGGTCTTCCTTCGTCTGCTGGTCGACCTCATCGGGGACCACGCCACGCGCGCCGCGTTCCCAGCATTCCTGGACCAGTTTGTCAAGTGGGCGGGCATCGGCCGCGACGCTGCCTTTTACACGTTTGCCGCGGGCGCCTCGGTCTTTGCGGCCGCGGTGTCGCTCACGGTCGCCCCCGTCGATACCTCAGGGACAGCCGCCGTGGCGTTCGCCGCGTCCACGCAAATGGTGCTGCAGAACAGCACGGCTTTGCTGAAACTGCGGCACGGCAAGGAAAAGTTCATAAAGAAGGCGCAGGAGGATATTAGAAAGGAGCTCGTGGCAGATGAAATCCTGACCGCCTGACGAGAGTAAACCACAAGTACCAGGTATGGTACATGTATTGATGAGCGTGCATAGCGTTGGCGTTTAGAAACATTGCATGGTGCTCTTATACCTTTGGATCTGGTTGAGAGCTAGGACCACTTGACGAACAATAAGCATTGACTAATTAAATGACATAAAGGTGAACCTGGTACAAACCCGTAATAAATCGTGACACACTTACAGTTAGAACACTGCCAGCAATGGCGCTCCTCCCACAAAGGACTTGCCTCTTTACAAGCCTTGCAACCAGACCTTCTCAATACTTGTACCCTGCCACATTGCCCTGCAGTCCGTACCCGGTCCCTTGCGGATATGCCTGTGTGTAATCATGGGGCGCGTCGCCAGACTTATAAGTCTGTTGCAAAAGGTATTGATCTTCCAGCGACGTGTTGGAGGTAGCGGAGGAGCTGCCAGTGCCTCCCGAAGCGTCTGTCGGGTACGAAGAGTCAGACAGGGCTTCACTGTACTGCGGCTGTACCGACGCGTCAAGCTCCTCAAAGGGGAATCCGTCCTGAGACGAGAAATCGATCAGGCTGAGATCCTGCCAGGGGCTGAATTCGAACGATTCTGGGACGGCGCCGGACATGCCGTGCACGTACTCGAGACCGGTCAAGGGGTCCACGACATGTTGGGACTGATTGCTTTCCCACATTCGTTGCACGGATCGCAAGATGGGTTGTAATTGCGCTATGGTCTGGTTCCAGGCATCGGGCATAGCATCTTGGACGATCCGGCCCGCGGCATCTTCCATCACCAGTCGCACACGGGGTGTCACTTCCTGGCGCACATAGTCAAGATAAGGGGCATGCTTTGAGCGACCAGTGTGACCGTTCCTCCAGTCGGGGGAGTCGTCATCCTGGTCTACCGATTTGGTCAGCACCCACGCAGTGGCAATGAATCCCATGACACTTACAGGGCGAAGGAACGTCTTGGACCGATACCTTGAACAGCACACAGTACAGGTTGATCCATTTCTCGTGGTCGGGCGAGTTTCGCGTGGACCTCTTCTTGATCATCTTCAGCTGCTCTTCATCGAAGCCATCCTCCAGCTTTCGTGGCTTGGGCGACAGCTGACGAACGGTGCAAGCCTTGGCGGCGCGCGAATGGGCGTCGAGCTCGGCTTCGCTTTTGAAAGTTTCATAGCAGCGTCTACAGTGGAACAACGGGAGGCCGTGTCTTCTCTGCACGTGCTCCCTTCGAGATGTTAGCCTGCAGTAACTTCACGCACCCAGCGGAAGCACTTACTTGAGCCTGTGGAACTCGGAGAACCCTGGACCACAGCACACATGCTCCTGCTTGTATCGATCAGGTGCGTATTTTCGGTACGGACAGGCCAGGAGGCGATTTTGCTTCTTTATGCGCTTGTTCTTGCTGGGTCGTCTTCCTCCATCCTCCGCATTGTCGTCCTCTCCGCCACTGTTGTCATCCCGCTGAAGCTGTCTCTTCTTGCCACGAGTCTGCTTGCTGGTATCAGTCGTCGACTTGCCACACGGTCGGTGCGAAGACCCATGCGATGACTGGCCCGAGCAGCCCTCGCCATCGCATGGGCCTTCGTACGACTCGAGTTGCTTGTCAAGACATGCTTCGAACACAGCCATTAATGTCTCAACAATTTCGGCTTTACTGGAGTGCAGCTTCCCCTGAAACTGTACTTTCAGCTTTGATGTTGCCAGGGGCGCGGTACTCCGCGCTTTTTCCGCTGTCTTTGTGCCTTTCTTCTTGTCCGAAGTAGTGGTCTAGATGTGTGAGCGAGTCATGAAGTGTGCAAGTAGCTGTGGTGATTTACTGACCTTTGCTGAGCCGCGAGAAGGCTTGGATCTGTCCTCTTGAGACTCTGACGATGGCTTTGCTCGTGTGTTCCGAGGTCCTCCAGGCATATCCGTTTCCTGGTTTCCCAGATGGGCCACGAATCGGTTGATGACGTTCCTAAAGTGCGAGGTCCTGTCGAATCGTGAGAGGTGACGGTATCTGTAACTGCGTATTGTTCTGTTTGCAAGCAGCGATGACCGTTGAAGCACTTCCACCACGGCTGGCATGTTCTTTCGGGAGTAGGGGATTCACATTCGGCCGCGATACATATGCTTGGTGGATTGGGGAGTGGATGAGCCAAAGGGCTCTGTTGTCAAGGGATTAGAACGGATGGGTTGGAGACTGCATTGCTGCCCATCTCAAACGTCTGAAGGCGGGTCCAGCAGGGCCACTATATAGGCCACGAGTGGTCTCCCAGTTCCTTCCGTTACGTATATCACGTCAAAATGCGCAACATCGAGTTCCTATGCGAGGATTCCTTGTGACGTAAGGCGGATTCGTTCGCCTCACGGCGATACCATCGAAAGCGAACCACAACGTGCCACTCGTCAATTGCGGAGAGGCCAATCAGAAGGAACCGATCAAGAGCTCCCAGGTAGTCACGAAATGCATGTCATCACGCGCAAAGGCGTTCAATGTGCTGGCAAAGGCATGCGGAGCATCCAGAGATAACACGCAGGTGCGTAAAACGTGCCGCCGCGGAATCCCCAAACCGCCCGCAGGGTCGAGATCGCGGCATATCCCGCCCGAGGGGACCGTCGTACGCAGTCTCTCCCCTCCCCCCTTCTTTGCAGCTTCTTCGGTAAGTTTTTGCAAGACTTGCGGTGCTTGGACGCGTCGCAATTGGACAGTGTCCGCATCGTCTGAGGGCGGGAGACTCGTTCTAACCCTCGCGAAGGCCTCTGCTCAGCGAATTGATAGTCGTGGAGGGTGACAGACTGGCTGCTTGGACGAGGAAGTGCCATGCTGTGTGCGGATAAGCATACTTTTGCTGCACGTCGGCTACATCGGTGCTGTATTCCCCATTGGCGGATCACGAACGCGCTGGCGCAGAGGTGAGCTGAAAGTGTCACTTGACGGTTAGCTGCAGCAAGGTGGCGAGCAACGGACACCACAGGTCTGACCGAAGTGAGACGTAGCTCAGCGTCGGCGTGGAATTGACGCTGACCTGTCCGAGGTATGGGAGGATGATTGACAACGCCTTACGATTCGCGACTGCGTGGTAACTGATCTGAGGAGAATGTGCTGACTAAGCATAAATATCCCGCTCTTCCCCTTTTCTCTCGTGGTGTTTTCTTTGAGCTGAATACCCTACACCTTGACATTGTCACGTACCATTGCTGGCCACGTCGTTAAGCCCCAGGCCTTGGATTGTCTACCACTCCAATTGGGCTGCCACAAGACCTCGTTTTAGTTAACTGCCGATGTTCCCTTGAACTTGGTCTTTGCGATCGCTCAATGCGACGGCTCCAAGAGCGCCCATACGGACATGACGGCAATGTCGCTCCAATCGTTTCTTCTCATCGTCACCCATGCTGCGCTTTCTTTCTTTCGCATGCCTTTCCTTACAATCCCGGCCGCCGCAAGGGCTGTTGGTGTTGTCGTAGTCACGCATGGGATGGATTCTGCGAGCGATGTGATCGGGTTTCTCGTCCCACGCGTCAGCAGCGTTGAGCTGCGGTATGAACTCGTCCAGACCTGGGACCCCGATGACGGAGGGAACGGGCAATGATGGCCCTATAAAGTCCTCCGCGTTGTCGTTGAGGAGCTCTTCCCAAATAAGCCGTACCTGTCTCGGGGTCGTGTGAACACCTGCGAATTCCTGAAGAATGTCTCCGTCATCTCTCGCCCTTTGCGCGTGGGCATACGCCGCACGGATGGGGAGCACGGCGGCTGTGTAGTCGGACAGTGTCTCCTTGAAAAACTCACGCTTCGACCAGAGCTGACAGTACCTCTCGATCAAGGGCGCAACCTGGTGCGGCTCGATTTCTCTGCATTTGTGATCTGTGCCGTCGAACAGCCTCCAGGCACGGTGCAGGGCGATCATGACTTCGTCCGTGGGAAGTTTAGCCAGACCTTCTTCAGTGGGTATGACGCAGTTTGGAAACTCTTGCTATGATGAGCACACAGTTGTCAGCTGATGCTGTGAATAGTCTGCGTGCCTGGGGCAAACCTACGTGGAAGATCTCGGCGAGTTGCTTGGCTTGCCAATGGGGAAGGGTTCTTTGGCGGAACATGATGACCAGCTCTGCCAAACCGTCGAGCCTGTCAATCCCTTCGCAGTTCCAATAATTGAATTTTGAAGGTTGATCCGGCTCACTTGGGATCTCGCTCGATGTCTGGCCCATGGCGTCCTGCATTGGAGAGTAATGTACTCGAGTTTCCAGGGAAGCGCAGAAGTATCCGAGTGGCCTGAAAAAGTAAAGAGCACATGTTCTGAAGGATCAGTGGTTAGGAGAAAGCACCGTCGCTGAGATCGTAGTCAGGATGAAATGGCTGGGCGCGGGCGCGGCAAGTTGCTGGGTTAGACAAACAAAGGCAAACGCAAGCGAGGTCATCGCTAGGTGAGGTGCTTTCTCTATATCCGAGACGAATTCACATCTCATGGATCAGATATCGACTTGACTGGGGACGAGGGAGCTTGACGCTCCAGCCGTCGATTGACCGTACGGCTACTGCGACGAGCCACAGCCTCTTTAGGATTGGACATAATGATGCCACTGAAGTAAAAAATTTAAGTTGGCAAGTCTTCTTGCGTATGTGGATGGACATACGTGTAGCACTGCACCTGACGTCGAGCAAGGATAGGTGGTCGCGTGACCCATCCAGCAATTTTGTGAAGCTCCACATTGAAAACCCACGATGCCCTCACTTGCATAGTTGAGATAAAGTAGCTACTGCGGGCCAACAAACATATCAAGACTGCACAGGGGCAAGCAAAATACTATTTTCACGGGCCTGCAAAAGGTGGAGCGTCTCACAAGACCGATGGGGAGCCCCAACAGTCAATAGACTATTAGCAGTGCCCTGCCTCGAACTGCAAAAAAAGCGCAAAAAGAAATGATAGATAGCAACACCTAGTCTCGATCCAGGGACCTACGGGTTATGAGCCCGTCGCTCTTCCACTGAGCTATGTTGCTGATTACCAAGCTGGTTTGTTGAAGACGCTCGTCGTTATTGTGTCTTATGTAGGGCTTCCATCCGGTCTGAGCTTGTGGCCCACACGAGGGCTTGTGACTCATGTGGGTATGGGTATTTGCGGCATCGCAGACTTTTTTTTCTCTTCCTTGCCAGGGCTGGCTGGTTTGTGAAGGATGAAATTGAATCGATCCTAGCCCTTCCAAGGCAAACTTCATCAGTAATGCGCGCGAGATTCATCGTGTCTCTGGTATCAACAAATCGAATAGCAGGCGCGCGCAATGCCGCCGACTCCAAAACGCCCTCCGCAACACTCCACAATTCCCAATCGCTCTTCTTTTCTTTCTTATCCCATCAAATCAACCCAGTTCCCATGAATCGCCCCAGAGTTCGTTGAGATTCAAGCCCAACAGCTCCAGACTGGGGTCCATGTTGAACGGTTGCGCTTGTTGGTCGTTTGGCATCAACCAGGGCATATTGCCGGTATCCAATGTTGCAGCGCTCATCGTGGGGGTAAATGGAAATGGTGTAATAGGCTAGCAATGATTAGCGAGAGTGGTGCGAGACTGGCAGCAGAGCGCTCGACTTACCTTGTCCAAATTGGCCGGGCCGCCCAGCTGCCCGGGAACATCGAGCGGCGGCCCCATGGCCCCTGGCATCTCCTCGGACAGCGTTGGCTCTTGGTTGGCGAGCAGCTTCTGGTGCAGCGTGACGAATCGCTCGGCGGATGTGGATTTTGCGACTTCCGAGGTCTTTGTCCCCAGATGAGCCTCCAGCAAGCCGAGAGCGGCACACATGATGCAGTATCCCCAAGGCTCGTTGTTGCCGCAGCGCAGGAGCCGGTCTTCCTTCATGGCGAGACACTTCTCAATGAGCTTGACGGTGTGCTGCGAGTTGATCATGATCATGTTCGTCGATCCGCGGGGCTGTAGCATTGTGACGCTGCACAGGTTGATGGCTGTGGTCAACGCGTCCTCTCGCAGAAAGTTGAGCGCCCGAATCCCCTGCTCGTAAAGCTTGTCGTGCAAAAGTACAATGTCTCGTGCTGCGTTATAGTAGATTATCTCAGAGTACTGATACTTGGAGTTCTGCTTGCGAAGCTTGAGATACGGCTGATGGAGTGGAATGATGTACTGTCGGAGCTGGACGTGAAGCAGCGTGTACGCAGTCATGGGGTTCTTCTTGCACTTGGTGTTGTCCACATTCATGTCCCATGACGGCAGGGCGTCGATTTCGTGCGTGAGGTCGTTCGTGTACCGGATAACCTGGTCATAGTCGATCACCGAAGCGGGTCCGGTGAGTAGACGACTGAGCTCGAGCCGTAGCTGTAAACTTTGGCGAGCCAAGTGTTGGAATGACGAATATGTGTACTCTGTGTCCGGCTTCGACGGCGGCAGGGTTGTCGTCGTATCGTCAAAGTCCTCGTCGTCGAGGTTCTGTGGGGGGTTGGTGTCGTAATGCAATTGGCTGAGGAGTGTCGGCAGGCCATGGTCAAAGGAAGCCTGCATGTCAAACTCCTGGATCGTGGCCCAGATGCGACGGCGCATTTCCTGATTGTACGCGTCGATCTTGCCGCCCATGTGGCTGGGCTCGCGGTGGAGGCCAACCGCAACACCATCCTGTATCAGAGCCCCCGAGCCCGTCCAGAAGCGCTTCTTCTTGATGGTGTTGACACGCTTGCCCAGATACAGAAGGCAGGCCACCTGGTAGTGGATCAGTCTGCGATGCTTCTGGCTCTGCTTGGATTGCCAAGCGTCAATAGCCCAAATCCATTTCTCGGCCCAATGACGTGCACTAGACTTCATGCCGATGAACTTAAGATCAGGGTGAGTATGGACGCAACTCGCGACAGCCATCATGGACAAAATGAGAGCGGTAAAGGCAGCGTGGCGCTGCCCCGAACCTGGCACCCAGAACTGTGCGTACTCCTTCTTGAACGTCGGTATGTGGACAATCCGATGGACCTGCTCAAACTGGTCAAGGTAGACGTGGATGAGAGCGTCGGCCTCTTCCTGCGCGGGGAGCAACGATTCCAATTCCGCGTCGGGTTGGGCGAACATGTGTTCACGCCCTTCCTGCCGACGCTTACGGTCCTTGCGGTCGTGAATGATCACAGGACGTAGCCATTCATCTGCGGTCTCCCTCATAAAGGGCGACAATCCTTTCAGCTCGACAAAGGCCATACTGGCATTGTGCGGACCAAAGTAGCGGGTGCGGAAGTTCTTGCCTCGGAAGAAGCGCAGCTCACCCGTGTCGCCTGCTGCATTGATCTTGCTGGCCTCGATGCATTCCTGGACCTCTGGCCTGGTGGAAGGGTCCGCGCCGTTGACGTCGTCCTTCTGCGTGCCGGGCGAGCTGGCTGCGGCGATGGTGCTTCCATCGAGCGAGGCGGAGCCCACCTGGCGCTGCAGGAGGTTCTTGAGCTGGGACAGCTCCAGCTCCAGCTTGCGAATGCGGTCGTGATCCTGTCGGATGACATCGGACTCGCGAGGGGAGACGGAGTCGCCCAGGCCGTACCTCCGATGATCGAGCTGCGCGAACGGGGGAGGGACGCCGGAGGCTGCACTGACGACCTCGCCATTGCGCGCCTCGTAGCTGCAGCGATCCGGCGTGCCGCTCTTAATGCAGCGCTCGCACGGGAAGCCACGGTCGCACGAGAGCTTTCGCCGACGGCATTCGAGGCAGCTCAGCCGCACGCGCTGCCGCTTGCGTGATGGCTGGCCATCCGTGGTCGAACCATTGACGCTGTTTTCACCATGGCCAGCGTCAGAATCCGGCGTTTCACTGCGAGGATGTTCGGCCATAGATGGGCGAACAGGGGAATAGGTCAAGAGGTGAGGCTGCCTGGGGACGCGGGGGACGACCTGGGGGGACTGGTCTCGGGCACTTGTGTCGGAAACCGAAGATGTGGGCGCCGGTGCTGGCTGCTCTGCTTGATGAGAGGTGGCACCTGGCAATCTTTGCGCTTGGAGCCTTGGAGGTTGTGGTTGGTCTCGTGCAGTGCGGGAGCAGCTGCAATGGAATAATAAGAGTTCAGCGAGCGTCTGCCAGGCTTTTGCAATTCCGCGTTGCCTGCCTTTGCCAGTTGTCACGATTTAATCATTAATCTCATCAGCGACTTGGACTGGAGTGTCGTGAAAAGCGAGCAGCGAAGTCGCTCGGCGATGCTCGGAGTTAAGTCGAATGCTGGCTCTCTTCCAGAGCAGGAGCTGCTGAGTCATCACAGTTCATCAAGCTTCCTCCGTCCCTGCCTGCTAATATTCAACAAGGGCTGGCAATAGTAGGTGCCTGATCAATTGTCTTCATCGCTCGTGAACGATAAAGCCACATTCACGTTCTTCTGCATTGCTCATATATCTTCCTTCCGGGTTCAGCTGTCATCATCTTTCGGGCGCCTCCTCTCATACGCTGCACTGCCGTGACTACATCGGCGACACCTCGGAATCCGAGCACTGCGCGCAGCAAGCAAGTGACTCTGCTTACCAACCGCCCGATATCGTCGTCCAAGGGCGAGTGTACCGCTCGTCAACCTTTGCTGAGGGTGTAATACGTATAGCAGAAAGCGCCTCGATCCTTTTGGATTGGATGCGACGATTGTTTCGGTGGTCGTATGTGCAATGATCAGTCCAGACAATAGTAGATCCCTGCCTGCACTTGACCGTTATGGTGCGTCTTGCGAGACTGCCAGGATCACCAGTCAACGCGTACACGAACGCAGCCGTTCGACTGGTCTCAGAATTGTTTGAGAGAGAGAGAACGATTACCTAGGCCTTTGGGGAGCAAGACCAGATTTTATTATAACCATGATTATCTGTGCGCAAAGCCAGCCACGGAAAGTTTCGGGGAAGAGGGACGAGCCGACTCGCTGCGAGCACAATACTTACCCGAAACGACGTCGGGACAATGGACATCACAGTCCCGACTCCAACAGATTTCGTGCCGCCCACTGATAATACTTGCAGACTCAGTAATCAATGGCTACCTGTTTACTACCGCAACCAGCGGACCGCAGATTGCCGCTATCTGTCGCTGGTCAACATGTACCATCAGACTATCAGTTCTCATCTCATAGGCGGGTGATGCCATGACCGTGGGTCGATCGCACCCGAATCGTCAATTATTATGCCTAGCGTCACTCGACAAATTTTCCGAATGGCTGATCATAAACTCATGATCGTAGCTCCCGGCTCCGGTTCTCCTTACGAGTCGTGCGTCTAAACAGCCAAACAAACAAATATGCCGTGCATGACTCTCGAGCCTGCCAAATTCGGTTCAACATACAGCAATACCCCACACACAAAGATGATGACTCGGGTTAGGGCATCTATTAGACTGTGGAATGCCTTCGGTTCTTGAGTTTCCTTGTTGGGGTAGCCATCCCCTTGGACGGAGACTCGGAACAACCATCGCTGGCCGCGCGCAATCCACAAGGCTCGATTCATGCCTCAAAGCTGCGCAGCAGAGCTCTTCCAATAGATGCTAGACTAGTCCCCGAGACTAGTCTGTGCCCGAGACGTCGTGCGACTCCTCCTTGAGTTATGCCGACACAGATCTTCAGCGCTCATCACCTCAAGATTCAAGACTTCAAACAACGGAGAGTCAAAGGAGAATGGGAGCTAGTCTTATACATCCGCGGCCTCAGATTCGCGCCTGGGGCCCTCCTTGCGCTTCTAATTTCTCCCGGGATTTCGGGGCCGCGTTGACAAACTTGGGTCTCACAGCATGTCCCTCCTCAAGGGTATCCCTGATGAGATCTGCTCGGCTGCGGGGATAGCGCCAGATGCAGAAATTCCGAGACCACACCGGATCGTTTTTCATGCAGTTACTTGACATGAACGTGGCCGATCTCGTGGCAACTCAGGATCGACCATCTCCCGCATACAGATGGCGGGGGGCGCGAGTCATCGTGCTTCAGCAAGACAAGCCTCTCTCACGACAATGAGCGTCGAGGTCACAAGACGGCCAGGTCCATGTCCCTCGTTGCTGCTGACTAGATGATCCAGATCGCCCAGAACCGTCCCATGCTTGTCCGATTGAGGATCAATAATATTGCCTGCCTCCAAGCAGATTGGGATGGTCGCGGCACTATGTAACATGACCTCTTGGCTACGACCCGCTAGACTTATTGGGATCTGATTCACATTTACTTATTGACGCTAAGTTGGGTAGCTCTTTTGCCAGCAAATCGCAAACCAACAAGTCGACGACTGACATGTCAGCCCTGGTCTGCCTGGCGCCTCAGCCGACGTGGCTAGCGACGACTACGGTCCGTACATGACTCGAAAACGGGTCTCGCCAGCGGCTCCACCAGAAAACAGCGAAACGAGACTCGAAACCATGGAGTCGTCGGCATGCCATTGTCACGAAGCGATGGGTCTTCTATGCTCTGGTGCGATCATGCCAAGGAGCCGTGACCCTTGAAGCATCACGGCAATCATTAACAAAGGGGTCGTTCACCGGCACAAGCGCATGTTCATACGGAGCACTATCGAAAGCAGACAGTTGTCGTGATTCGCTCCCGTTTAAAATCGCCGACGATGGCGGGACAAGGCTCCATTGATCGCGTCGGCCTTGCGGTAGCCTGTAGGCATGCAGCCCCTGTCTGTCCCTTGACTTAGAACCGTGCCTCCTGGGCCCTGGGAACTGGCTCCTGGAACCTGTCCCCTGGGATGGACCGTGGACGCCCCGATGTTACGGGAGGGGCATGTGGCGGTAATCGACTAACGTTAGACTGGCCTTGTTGAAACCTTGTACATAACGAGCCATGCGGACGTCCGCACCCGTGCAGCTAACTATTAGTATATACTTCTGACCCTGCGGGATCCGCACAAGGGCCTCGCTCAGTCCGCAACAACCGAACGTACGAAACGATACATCGCATTTATAGTATCCTCCTCGCCTCTGGTAGGCGGTCGATTGGGCGTATCATCTGGCTTGCCCGTTGTTTGGTTTGCTCCTGGCAAACAAAGTCGCCCACGCACGCACCCGAGTCCACCCATCTTTCGGCGAGCAAGGGACGAGTCTCGCCTGTCGACAACTTGTTTCCTTGTCACTTGCTTCCCTCTCTCGCCAGAGCGTCGTCAATGAGGGTCAAATCTTGGGGACTAAGCCACCTGGCTTTGTTGCTCGTCGGGCTGGTCACGCTAGTACGAGCTGACATCTTCTCGTCACTTGCGAAATTGCCCTCCTGCGGTGTATGGACAACCTCTCGTTGTATGGCGATGGCTCAAGGCTGACTCGATGCTCTAGACGGAATGTTTTCAATCGTCCCTCGCCGAATCGACCTGCGGACTCAACGTGACCTGCATTTGTGCGGACAAGACGTTCCACGATGTAGCGTTCAAGTGTATCCTCGGCACGTGCTCGGTCCGTGACGCACTGGGTAGGTTTCGAAATACATGAACGGTGGCGGTGGCATGGCTGACAACCTCCAGAGGTGGGCCGGGTCGAAGCAGAGGCATGCGAGAGGCCAGTCCGGTCTAGGAGGCAGGACATTCTGATCCCATTGGCAGCGTACTTACCTGCGTGGATCGCGCCCTGGTTGCGTTTATACTCGAGGTGGACGACGTGCGACAGACTGGCCATCGACGACTATATGATGAGTATCTGCGCCGTGTTCTACACGGTGTTTGTGGTGCTTGGTCAGATCACGGGCCACGTGGCCTTTGGTGTCGACACATGGACCGTGGAGATTGACGAGGTCTCGAGGGGGCTCAAGATCTTCTACGTGGACGAGAGCTTCTACCTGTTCTGCCTCAGTCTGACCAAAGTCTCGATGATCTTCTTCTACCTACGGGTCTTTCCGAACCGTGGCTTTCGATACGCCGCGTTCGCCACCATGGCCTTTGTCATCATCCCGACCGTGGTCCTGATCTTTGCGCAGATCTTCCAGTGCTCCCCGATTCACTATGTCTGGGATGGTTGGGTCGACGGTTCGCAGGCGGACCACTGCATCAACATCAACGCGCTCGCCTACACGGCGGCCTCGTTCAGTATCGCGCAGGAGCTGGTCCTCCTGGTCCTCCCTCTGCCGCTGCTCATCGGGCTGAACATGGGGCTCAAGCAAAAGGCCGGCATCATCCTCATGTTCAGCCTGGGCGTCTTTGTGGTGATCACGTCGTGTGTGCGCCTGCGATACATTGTCTCCTTTGGCCACACGGTGAATCCGTCGTGGGACTTGACGGACCCTCTCATCTGGTCTGGCATTGAGGTGTCCGTGTCCATCATCATTGCCTGCCTGCCGGCCATCCGTGTGCTCATCATTCGCGTCATCCCGGGGTTGCTCAGCTCCTTGGGGAGCCGCGGGCCGAGCAACAAGAACGGTTATGTCAAGGAAGGCTCGGGCTTCTCCGCGCAGAGATCCACCAACAGCCGAAACAAGCTCCAGCGCCGGCGGAGCGCCAATATCTTCTCTTCCCGCGAATGTGACGTCGACGACGACGGCAACGGCAACGGCAGCGAGGTCGAGCTGGGCCTGCAGCTCGGGGACAAGATCCGAGGCAACGTGCAGACGGAGATCTACGGGGCGCAGGACACCGATTCAGACAAGGCTGACCAAGGGATACGCATAAACACGACCACGCGGGTGGACGTCCATGAATTCGAAATGGAGCGGCGGAGACAATCATGAGGCAGCGGCGCCATAACATATAATATACAGATACATACTGCAAGATCAGCCTAAAAAATAATGTCATGGGAGATTCTGCTCCTCAACGCTTCTTGGCCTGCTCGGCCTTTTTCCTCTCAATGAGCTTGTCGATCCGCTTCCACGCCGTGTAGCCCTCGATCCAACAGTTGGCAACCCACGCCAGCCATAGCCCGCTTCCTCGCCGGACACCATGCGGCGTGAGGCGCGTGAGGTCGAAGCCAATGGCCTCGCCCGTGTGTAGGGCCACCACGGGCCAGAAGATGGCCTTGACCAACCAGCGGAACCAGTCCACGCCGCCGGGGTAGTAGGCCTGGATGAGGGCGTACGACGTCGAGGCAGGCTGGGTGATGGTGTCGAGGAAGGTGTAGCAGGCGAAGTAAAAGGCGACGCCGCTGAACACGACGATGCCAAAGCCCTCGGGCGGGGTGTACTCGCGTATGACAATGCCGTTCTCCTCGCCCAGCGCTTCCTTGGCCTCGTTGTCCATGGCGACGAACCGGCCGCGGATCTCGCTCCAGGAGGTAAGTGGTGGCGTGAAGGGGACGGCGTGCTCGTTGTCGCCGTTGCGGATGAGGAGGCGGTCGAAGGAGACGTCGGTGAGCTCTGGGCCGTCGTCGACGGGGTGTATGGCGAGAAAGTGCTGGAGGTAGCGACGCAGGGAGTCCTGGTGGTCCTTGTTGACGTGGGTGATGATGGAGGCCTGCCGACTTGGCTTGTCGGACATGTTCGAGGGCGGAGAGGGCAGGGCGCGGTATATATGACTTGGCCAGTGGGGGCTGGTCGAGCGAAGCCGAGGCAGTGGTGCTTTGATCGGTGCTTCCAGGTCAGCTTGGGTGTGAATTGATGGACTGATGATGGAGGGGCGGCAGGAATCCAGGATCGGGGTCCAAGGACAAGTGGATCTGATCGCAAGGTAGACCCCGAAATGGCGATGAGCTACCCTGAAGCCGAGGAAGACATGAGCTGTGCAGAGTCAGAACGCTGGCCAGAACCAACATTGGTGGTCCTTGACTCTCTGTAATCATATTTGTCGTTTTAGACGCACGTGGATATATTGCCAGACTGCGGTTCACTCGATGTGCGCAATCTTTGAGATGCAATGTCCTCTTTGTAGGTGAATATGACGGCCATCGAATCAGAAACCAGTCTCCAGCCCAAAGCGGCAGTCTTGAATCACGTATGATCGACGCCATCGATTATGCTGTCCGTGCGCCAGCAGAAGCAACGAGATCTAGAAATCTCATGCTACAATATCACACATTATGGCATGGACAAATCAGGTATATCACAGGTTTTTCTCTCGTTGCTATGAAAATTAAACCTGACCCGCCGCAGTCTTCGACCCCTACTCGCCTCTCACCCGAACAGGACGACCCCCTCGCATTGCGATAGTCCATCTCGGAAGAAGAAGACCTATGCCTCCTTCATCACCTGAAGGGATCAGGCAGAATTTGCGCGCAGCGACGCCGATTGGCTTAGTAGCCGTAATTGTAGCAGCAGCAGTACTCCTTGCAGCCCTTGTTGTAGTCGTAGTGCTCGTCCTTCTTGCAGCTGACGGTGGCGGAGATGTGCTTGGTGCTCTGGCGGTACTTTTCGTCGTCCTTGTACTCGTAATTGTTGTAGCAGCGGTCGTTGCCGACCGCCAGGTAGATCTTCTTGCCGCAGAGATTGGGGTACCCGGGCAGGGAGTCCGTGGGCACCGAGCACTGGTTCCCATGGCAGTAGTTGTTGTAGTTGAGAGACTCGGGGCGGTACTGGTCATGCTCGTCGAGGTAGATGCCCAGGTTGGACTTTCCAATCGACTCGTACCCGCCATCGCGCTTGTGGCTGTTGTACCCATTCTGGTAGTAGACCTTGAGGCACTCCTTGTTGCCCTTGTCCGAGGAGCAGGCTTCGACCTTGACCTTGAGATCGTACCGGAACTGGTCTGGGCAAGTGATGGCCTCATTGTAGCTGAGGTCAAAACGACTGTACGTGTTATAGTACTCATGGTCGTACTTCTCGCAGTAGATGCTCTCTTTGGGACACTTCTTGTTGTTGTACCCACCGCGGGCCTCGATTTCGAGCGACCGCGGTCCATGCTGAGGGGGCTTCGGTGGGCAGTGGGAGCATTGAGGCAGACCAATATCAGGATCGGAAGGCATGCCAACAACAGATACAGCCATGAGGCCGAGCATCGAGAGGACCTGTGTCTTCATCTTGGCGATTGGGTTTGGATTGTGAAGAATAAGTGATTGTCCTTTGCTTCTTAGAGTGAACGTTGTCGATTTGGGCGTTTTCTGTAAACTGTAGGACGCAAAAGATTATCTGTAGGGGAGGGAGGAAAGCCCACCCCTTTTTATGCACAGTCAACCAACAGCCCGAAAGACTGATAGCACCAAGAGACTCCATGGACCCGGCCTTGCCTGGACCCAGACCCATACCATCCGAGTGTGAACCAGGGCGGGGCTCAGTGGCTTCACAACTGTACACGACGCGTAGACATTTCGGTCGGATCCCCCTCCACCGCCGTCATCTTTCGTCGATGTGATGTTTTGCATGAGCCTCGGCCAGTTTCTCCAGGGCCCCCGACGATCCGAGGACACCCATAGCAGCGCTAAGTATAGATCTGAAAGCAAGCCATGTCCTAGCGTATTGCTATGTCAGCGCGGAGAACACTATGCATGGGTGAAGAGTTTGATGCTGGCGCAAATCTAAATCGCCCAGTAGGACCCTGAAAAGCGTGTTTTCTTTCCGGCAAGGTAGAGAGAGACGCACCAAGAACCAGGAGCATGCGAGGCAGGTTTCCGCGAATCCTGATACTGACTTCATGTTGATCGAACAACCCCCTTCGTCACAGTTGTTGACTCCGTGAGACCCGGGAGTCAGCTATGCGCAGGGCTATCAGTAAATGAAAGTGTCGGGATGCTGGAGCTGCTGGAGCATTCTGCGTCCACGCTGACGGCGCTCTCACAATTACCCCCCGCAGGCATCCAGCTTATGCCTAAATCCTAGCGCTTCTCCTATGATATACTCGAGAGTCATAGACTGGATTTCATCACAGGCAGGGAATCTCACAGAAGCGGCGCAATCGAGGTGGCTTGTCTGCAACGATGAGTGATGACCAATAGCCTAAACTCTGAAGCGCTACCGCCGCAAACCCTTGGATGAGGCTTGAGAAGTCTAAGATTTCCTGGTTTGGAAATCCAATGATAAGCTCCCCTATCGTAGTCAGGATGATATGACTAGCACTCTACAGAGGCTGTCGAAAGACAACCGTCCGGAGATTCAACGTTACATCAATATTGGTGTACTGCTGGGCGAAAGCGTGAGACAGTCGGCGATCACGGAGCTGATGCAGCCTAATCGAATGGCCTCGAGGTGCCGAAACGATGATGCACAAGTACACTCACTCCATCCGTTAGGAATGATGACCCATTGGGCCCAACACACCTCCTTGCCAGGGTCTCGGGTGTCTGTGGTGGACCTCTGAAGAGAACCACGCGAGAGGTGACATCGGGAACATGGAGCTTGACAACTGCTGCCAGCCCGGGCTTGTACTGTGCCGTCGGCTGCCATGAGCTTCCGAAGCAGCACTTGAATCACCTGCTGAACCTGCATGGGAGAATTGGCGGAAGTTTTATACGTCCGTATAGGCCTGAGGCCAAAGGTAGAGCTCAGTCGGTGGGTGACGGGTGTTGCCGTTTCCTGTCTTCACGTGTAGCGTCGGTTGCCGACTCTCGGTCTCGATGATGTTGTCTGATTTCGCAACACACAACTGAGCTAATAATAGCATTGTCCGCCACAGACATCAGACTATCAAGCCAGAGCTTCAATCATCGCGCCACTGCTGACCCCCTACCCTCTCCGAAATCTGTCCCTGGTCGAGGTGCAACACACAGGTAACGAGGTTGTCATGCCTGGATCCATTCAAAGTATCCACCATGTTTACCAGTATCAATCAGCGGCGTCGTTTGCCATTTGATGATACCAGGCAGCGGGAACGGAACGAAGGGTAAGCACTATTGCCTCTGCTCGGGCCGGAAGCCTTGGGTGGGAGGCTCGGAGTGAGCAGAAGCCGGGAAAATGCCTGGCCAGATGACCTCCTTGAAAACAGAGGATTCGTCAACAGAAGAGTGTCTGCACCTGATGTCCTCCTTGATGATCTTGTACGCGGATGTCCAGCATGCGTCCGTGAGATGAGATGTTTCTTATATCGTGAGCTTCTTGAGTATGTAGCTGCTTTTGCCTGATAACCGATGAACAATTAATCATCGCAGTATGGGTCCATTGACATTTCGTATGAGACGTCGTACGTTCCTTGCATTGCCTGGGTGCTCACGAATTCAGCGTCTGCGAGTCCTCGCATATATCGTGACTGAACATCCGCGGGATCCTTGTGCCAGTCGCAAGCGAAATCGCACTCCGGCTTGGTGGTCTCCCCAAAGTATGCACAAACGACGGCATGCCGGCATTCGGAGATGTTTTCGCAGTATCTCGCTAACGCATTGAGACTTTGCCGGCGAGCATTGGGGTTCTTTGCATCGCTACTAACCATGCGGTCCACACGCTCCAAATCCTCGCGGCTGTAGTAGAGGAAGCAATAACTCGCATTGCCATCACGGCCGGCTCGGCCAGCCTCCTGATAATACCCTTCGAACGACTTCGGTAGTCGCCAGTGAACCACAAAACGCACATTGTCCTTGTCGATGCCCATTCCAAATGCTGTGGTGGCAACGATAATGTCGTAGCCATCTTCGTTGTTGATCCACCTGGCCAGCGTCTCCTCTTTCGTGTCTTTGTCGAGCTTGGCATGGAACGGGCGAGCGCCGATTCCTGCATCACGAAGAGATGCCGAGAGGGACTCACATTCATCACGGGATGTGGTGTAAATGATGCCCGGTATATTCTCCACGCGTTCCCCAGTCCGATCGAGCTCTGCCTTGCGAGCGGGTTCGCAACGCCGGTTGTATACTCCGCGGATCCAGAAGAGAAAGTCTGAAAGACGGTCATCGTCTTCATCTTTGGTATACCGGATTTCCAGGTGCAAGTTGCTCCTCTGAGGACTCATTAGAAACATCTTTGTGTGTTTCGAGTCAGGGACTATCCCCAGAATGCTCATAATGTCATTGCGAACGTTCGCATTCGCTGTTGCCGTCAAGCACATGATTGGAACATCGGGGAATGTCTCGCGGAACCAAGACAGGCGTTTGAAATCTTTCCTGAAGTCGTGACCCCATTCCGAGATACAATGCGCCTCGTCAATGGCGATACGCGCCAACTCCTTTTGTCGATATACAACCTGCAGTCGTTCGCGGAAGTTGGAGCCGGAACAAAGCTCTGGCGTTACATACAACAGGCGGGTGTGCGGATGACCAGTTGCAAGATCGCGGTAGATATTTTGTCGTATTGAAGGTGGCGTGCTGCTGTTGAGCGAGTACGCTTCGATGCCTGACGCTTGCAACGCTTCCACTTGATTGATCTTGCAATATGTTAGAGACTGGAGGCAGCAACATAATGATCGCCAGAGGCAAGCGCACCATGAGACTCAGCAGTGGAGAAACGACGATTGTGATGCCGGATTCGACGACCGCAGGTAACTGGAAGCACAGGCTTTTCCCAAAAGAAGTCGCAGCTTGCACATAGACATCATAACCTTCTAGGGCAGCCTCAATTATCTCCCGTTGATGTGGCCTGCGCCCAGCAAGCCGGTGGTTAGCTTCGTGAGCTGACTTCAACACGACTGTAGCTGACCTGAATTCTTCTTTCTTGAATTGCCGTCTCAGGGTGAACCCTATGTCCGTGCAGGACGGTGTACGTTGAAGCTTGCGCGACATTGTTTGCTGCTGCGCGAGAGCGAAGCCCTCGAACTATGCTGTACTCAACTTTGAGGACGCATAGTTCACGAGGCTACTGGGGTTCAGCAATAACAGGTAGGGAAGGCAATGGAGAAGCAGGAGCTGGCCCTCGAAAGTACCTACCTTAACCAGGAAGGTTGCGATCTAAATGGAAGAAGAAGGAAAGTCCTATTTAGAGTGCAAGCCTCAAGTTCTTGAAGTAAGGCAGGTGCGATATGCTTGGCAGTACTCCTTGTCGGCTGGTCAGTGGTGACGAGATTCACTCGCAGCTCAAGCCTCACGGTCAGTCCTGCCAGCGTGAAGACCCTGTGCAGCGCCCTCGCCAATGAAATACAATTGGCAGGGGTGAAAACAGAGACGCGATCCGGCAAGCAGAAGACTTGAGTACTCGCACTGTATGTTTCATCTTTGCGCACCAGGACTACTGTGTGTTTGTGTCGCATCTACAGTGCGTGAAAGTAGCTCAAACAGTACCAGCAGTAAGCGTCGCGCTAAGCCCCAAGGGGGCCAGGCACCATGCCTGACTAACGCCTTTTCCAGGCACATGGCAACGACCCCTTAGTCCTGATCTTGTCCTATTCAAGCCCGTACTTTGAACCATTACACAAAGTGCCTAAAGCACCGGCCTACATTATCAGGAGGATCGCACTCAGCTGAACTGGTCGAGCTGTCGGGCGAACATTGTGCGGCACTCATTCAGGCGCAATACAAATCAGCTCTCGTCACCCCGACCGCGGTCCGACAAAGCACAGACGAGAACCCGAGCTCAACCTCAACAAACCGGCCACACGAACCGAAGGAACGACAGAAACAGATCGATCTCTTCGCCCATCGTCATTGGCGTTTTCGCATATACATTGGCCGATCCTGCGCAATGAACATGCAAAGTGTCACGAATTAAGACCCGAAGCCCTGGCCGGCCGCGCCCAGCAGTTGCTTCTACCATCCCATTCAGCTGCCCAGAACGCTGCAAGACCGAGTGCATATTCTTCCGGGGACGTTTTAATCAATGATCGGAATTCCTTATCCTCGACGTCCGAGTATGGACTTGCCTGGCCGAATACCCGCAATGCCTCAACCGCGAACAATGTCCGAGGCCCCCAATCGAGGTCGACGACCAATCCCCAATTCCGCAGCGACCTCAAATGGCCTGTCTTCGATCCCCCCCGTGCCGACACTGCGCAAGGCTGCTTCGAGCTCCAACCTTGCTGCGGGGGTCAGTACCGCCGAAGCGTCAAAAGTGATAGCGCTTGCACGAGAAGCCATGCGCATTGCCTTACAGAATGAAAACCAGGCTGCCGAAGCAGGAACTGTCGACGCAAATCTCAAACCCGGAGTTACGGTGGACTTGAGCCGGAAGAATATTGACGTTATACCGGATGAAGTGGTAGACATCATGAAGGATCAGCTTGAGAGGTACTGCGCCAGTCGGCGATACTGGGCGAACAATTGCTAACGAGACTGACAGGCTAGCCTTGTCGCACAATCAACTTACCACTGTTCCGTCACGATTTTCCGAATGTACGTCTCTGCGATATTTGAATATCAGGGCGAACAGCATATCCGAATTCCCTATGCCGGTGAGTCCACGAGGCCCAATAGACATAAGGAAGCCTGCTTACCGCTCCCGCAGCTCTGTGACCTCACTTCCTTGGAAATCTTGGACCTTGGCTATAATCAGCTCCAGGGTCTCCCCCAGGAGATGTCGAGGCTGTCGTGCCTAAAGGTACTATCCGTCAAGAAGAATCAGATACGCGAGTTGCCGCATTGCCTCGCCGACATGGCTTCGTTGCAGTTGCTCACCTACGAGGGCAATCCATTGGTTTTTCCGCCAAAAGAAGCCCTGCCGCCTCCCGATAGCATGCCACCAAACGAGGCAACAGCACACATTCGACGTTACCTGAAGCAGTACAGCGCAAACAATCGGTTTGATGCGGATCACGCCATTTCTGAAGAGAACGGTCAAAACGCAGAGGTGACTCGTGCGCCTTTGAAACGCAGGATCAGTGGTCGATTTCCGATCAAAGTCAGTGGTTCGGAGGCATCACTTTCCAGATCCCCATCTATCAGCCGGCCCCCGCCACCAATCTCACAGCGAGCGCATAACCGCGGCTTCTCCCAGCAGCACACCGCCGCCAGGCGTCCTGGCGCATTGCCTTTGACACTGGGCAACGTCAACGAAAGGGTTCGCAGTAATTCCGAGACCCATCTTCGTGAGCGATCGGAAAGTCGCAACAGGCGGATGGGTGTCGTGTCAAAGAAACCAGACCTTGGCACACTGGATGAGACTCAGGCCAACAACCGTTTCAGCCATTACCGCGGACTTAGTCATGGCTCAGCAATGCAAGGTGCGCCTATCGGCCCCAAAGAGCCACCGACTCCCACGGAAAATTATCCCCAAAGACCGTACTATGTTCGACGCCTGTCGATTTTGCCAGAGAGGCGGCGCGAGTCCAAGGTGTATGATCCAGTGACTGAGGCTGCCAAGGGCATTCTGTACTCTGTGTTCCAGATCCATCCTATGATTCAGATGCTCATGGGTCTGACGAACGATGGCTCTGCCGAGAGATCACGCCTGGAAAGGATTGTCTACAACACAGACTTGCATGTGCAGGAAGTCGAAGGCGAAATCCAAAAACACGACCTGGCGCTCGGCGAAGCGGATGAACAAACAGGGCGAGAGAATGAGAATGTGCATCGAGCCTGCCAGACCCTCGTTGGCGCCTACGGCCATGTGTGCACTATACTGGCGGACAATATCGACACTTTTGTCGATAACGGCGATCCCAGGTATATCAGAACCCTGGTGATGGCCATCTACAGCTGTATCATGGAGCTGCGGGCGACCCTGTCCTCGATGGCTGCTGAGAGTGGTCAAAGTCGCAAGGCCTCGGTTGCGGACACGACGGTTTCTAACTATACCTTGAAGCCACCTTCGAGGGAGCCAGCGGCTACCCCTACCGTACATCGACCTGGCATCACGAGATCACGAAATGGCACTTTGGTTCACAATCCGGCTAACTTACGGGTAGCCACCAATATGCCTGTACCGCCACCGATGCTCAGCTCAGGCTATTCGGATGCGCTGGCTTCGGCGACCCCTCGGTCGGGCGAGTCGTTCGCGTCTGCCATTAGTCGTGACGTGCGATCGGACACCTCAGAGGAGGACGCGCAGTTTGACAAGATTTTCCTGTCGTTGCAAAAGTCGGCCGACATCATGTCATCGACGCTGCCGAACTTTCACATCCAGCTCAATGGCCGTTTAAGGAACGCCATACAGAGGGGTGTCCACTCGGGATTGGTCCACGAGTGGAAAACCCTCATCAGCATATGCTACAGTACCATGCAGCAAAGCGAGGTCATGCGGGGCCGGCTCTCTGCCATTAAGCTCAAAGAGCCCGGCATTCGTTCACAGCCAAGCTTCTGGAATCTGTGCAGCAACTTCTTGCGGTCTTGGATGCGGCTGGGAGACGAGATCAAGTCAGCAGCCAACAACAACGTGCCGCTGCCAGCTGACATGCGACGACGCCTGAAGCCCATCCAGCAGAGCATCAAGGAGACGACTACCACCATTGTCAACTCGCCATGGCATCATCTCTTGGGACCTCTGGAGCCTTCTGCTCCCAACGGACACTCTTACAACGACTCTGGCCCCCTATCGCCTACCGGTGTCTCCATAACACCTCAGAGTGCGGCACTTGGCCCAGCCATGCAGGCCATGGTACCCAAGACGCCGTCCTCATCCAACAACTCATTCGCCGCCGCCTTTCAAGGCAACGTCTTCGACCGCGCCGATGCGCTGATGGCGAATCCGGGAATCTCCATGACCCGTCCTGGCTTTCCGCGCAAAGGGCACTCAAACCTGAGCTCTTTCTCCTCCGTGTCCTCGCTCTCATCCGAGGGTGGCATGAGCCCCGGGCCGGGGCTAGGGCTGAAATACAATGCGGGAAGATCGGCCTTTTAGACGAAGGACCCGTTCTCGCCTGCCCGAGCGCTAGCCTGTCAGGTCTGGATCTGAGCACGAGTCGGTGATACAAACGAATTTTGAGTTTTTTGGTTAGTTATCGCTTACCATGGGCATTGAGTGGGGGTGTAACATGAATTGGTCTCCTTAGCATAGCATGGCGCATGGATCTGCTTCGTAGCAGGGCTGCTGTACTATTGTCAGCGGGGATCAGCTACCCATCATGAAACAGATATTCAATTTGACTTTTACATAAGTTATACCGCCGAGCACCGTTCGTCAGACTGGCGCACAGAAGCGCGACTATGGTGGCGAGGCCTGGGCTTCCATTGCTTCGATCACAACCGCGGTCATGTAAACAAATCAACCCCTTTCCGGCATTCCTGGGCCCCGTTTATTACATCGTATCTGACACCTTCGCGCACATACACGCCCCAATTTCGGAATTTCTGGCAATGTCGTTGCTCAGTGAAGATATCATCAGTACCAACCATTGCAACAGACATATGCACCCCACCCACCCTTCCGTCATCTGCAACATGCACATGACCATTGCGTCCTCGGACTTGTACAAGGCAAACCTCGTAGACGCAAGCTCTGGAGCTCGTACATTTGTGCTTTCATCCCAAGAAGAGCAATTCCCAATCCCAGCAGTCGAAATGTCCACCTCGTCAGCTCCTCGGCGCTCGCCGTCCACGGCCACGGCCACAACGACCACATCCAACACCCAAGCAATGTCACAAAGCCATATACAGCCATCATCCACCGGCGATGTTCCCTACATTCACCCGACGTTCCCCTCGCCACCCCAGCACATCTCGCAGGCCCGAGCTGCCGTGGTCGCCTCTCTGTCTAACATGGTCGACACAAGCCTCACACCGCGTGCCACGCTCTTGCACGCCAATGCAGAAGGCTTGTCCAAGCAGGAGCGCGACGTGGAGCGGGCAACAGCAGCCCTCAGAAAGGAGAGGGAGGCTTTGGGCAAGGAAGCGGACCGGGCGGCGAGACGACTGAAAGAAGTCGGAAACGTGCAGAACTGGGCCGAGGTGCTGGAGCGACAATTCCTCGTGTTGGAGGAGACGAAGCGGCTGGTGGAGGAGGGCAGCGAGAGCGAGTGCAGCTGTAGTGACTGTGGGAAGTATGATGATAGCGTCACGGATGAAGATCGTGATCAAAAGGACGATGAGCCCAAAGGGAAGGAGAGAGAGGATCTAGCCATGGCGGATGCAGATGATGCCAAGGTTGCTTGGTCTGATGCTAGCCGTAGCCTGAACGAGAGGGAGTCGAGCGCGGGCACAGGTAGAGCTAGAGGCTCGGAGACGGCATCAACGGGGACCTCGCCATAAAGCAGGACGCCAGAGCTCTTTTTTGAGTGGACAATTAGGGTTATGATAATGATAATACGTTTTTCTGGTCTCCCTTTGCATCCTTTGCATCCACGCGATCCCACAGCCGTTTTTGTTTGTTGTTGGTCATACCACACAACTTCTTCCACCAGGATCATTGCAGACCCAGCTCATGATGCTGCTGCTACCGTTCGCTTAGTAGATACCCGGAAGCATCACGTAGCGCTTCTTCTTGTAGCGATCCCCAAACTCCTTCCTGTACGCCTTCTCCTTGCCCTTGCCCCAGGGTCCCATCTGGGCCGCGCCGCTAGCGATGAATACCACCACCGACCAGTCTCTGGTGGCAAGAATGACGCCTACCCATGAGAGGATCTCATACATGTAGTTTGGGCATGTGACGATCCCGAAGCCGTATCCGACTGGGATCTTGCGCTCCGTGCCTCCGGCAGAACGCAGGCTGGACAAGTACCAGTGCACAGTCGCATTCATCGTCTCGCCAAAGAGGAAGATGGCCGCACCAATGTAGTCGATGAGGGGCTGGTCGGCCTTGGCTGCCAGTGAAGAAGGGCTGTATATGTTGTAGGCACACAGCACACCCGACAGGGCCCAGTAAAAGATGCTGTTCTTGAAGACGTTGAAGACGGGCATCGTGTTGGCCGAAAACTTGTGCACGAAAAGGGTCTCGAACTCGCGCTTCAGGAAGTGCAGCTGGAACATGGCGAAGCCGAGCCACTGGGTGGGGGACAGATCGAGGGGTTCCGGGGCTCCTTTGTAAAGGTGAGGGCGGAGGGCAAGCGCGAGAGCGTGGATGATGATAGGTCCGAGGTACTCGATCACGAAGACGGTCTTCCAGGCGATTTGAGGCCCTGGTGATAATGTCAGCTACTGCTCCAGAATACCGGTGTTGAACAACCTACCCATGTCCTTGACCAGGACCTCGTGTGCGGCGGCCACGCCGGGCTCCTCGCTCAGGCGAGCTTTGCGGTCCTTGAGGGTCTTCTTGGTGGTAGGATCATATATACCGATACGGTTGTGGTCGCTGATGCCCACGGCTTTGGCAATCAGGATTTTGAGGTCTTCGACGGTAGCATCGGCAGTGAGGTCAACGGAGCTAGGTAGCTTCTTGATGGGAGCCTTGGGAGCTAGTTTCAATCAGCATGTTGCCTTTCATTGTATCTTGCAAGTGTCTCCGGCAACAGCTCTTACACCGGTTGGTCAGCTTGAAGCTCTTGAGGGCCGACATTGTGGCGTGCGTTGCGATCAACAAGGTTGTCGAAAGTGGGATGCAAAGGCAAGCAATAGCTGCAATACCAAGGTCAATTCGAGACACCCTGAACCTTTCCTTACCTGGTCTTAGCAGGCTTAGCGGTGCAGTGCCTGCAGTGCCGAGGGATGTGGGTACAAGCATGTGATTGGCTGACGTACTTTGACTCAGCACATTTACACCTGACGGTGAACCACGACCTCCATCATTTCATGTCGCTTGATAGTGTGCCTTTTGACTCGATAGTGATTCCTTCACGTCACCTATTGAGGTGAATGAACCGTACATGTGCTTGGTGCGAGTTCTAAGCGCCATCAGCCCCGCAGCAACTACCCCGAGTCACGGAGTATAGGTAGGACGCGATTCTACAGAACATAACCGAGTACGATAAGCTTGTCGACTGCATCAGAATGACACTGGTTATGTGTGCCTATCAATCGTGACCATGTCTTGCGTTGATTGGAGGTGAACACCTGGACAGGTCAGTCGAAGGTAGGTAGGCCTGTTGACAACACCAAGTCAGCGCTTGGTGAGCTGAGCTCGTCCTTGCTTTCTTGCCCACTACATCTGGGCCATAGACAAGACGACGCTTGTAACCTCTGCTCTTCTACGTTTAGGCTGTGTTAGCTATAGAGTGACACGAATGGGTCCTTTGTAGATGTCCGCATCGGATTTTTATAGCGCGATTGTTCCAGGCTCGTCAACTACGTCGATATCTGAAGAACGATTTTCAACTCACTGCACAGTACCTAACTGCAGCGAACATGGAGGCATGCTTGAATGGCTTCTTTTGGCTGATCAAAAGGGATTTCTCAGAATGTTTCAGCTTCTTCACAACTTCAACACACAACCGCCACATCCACCAGAACCATTGCCATGTGCACATGCACTCGTCGTTCGCTTTCCCACAACGCATAGCTTCTCACACAGTCTTTACCAGCTATTTGCTCAAGTCTTTTCAAGGACTGCGAGTAAATTTGTGATAACTGGCCAGGCACCAATAACAGTCAGTAGTTCGGATGATCACGCCCTTCCCTCGCCTGACCGTTTCATCCAGAGAACTGCAACGCATGCCTACTTTCTCTACATGCCTCTTGGATTCAAACTTTCCTTCACTTGCAATCAACTAGTAACGCAAGCGCGAGAACGAATCCAACCTTCGCCTGGGTTGTGAGGGCACCCGGCTGCATCAGCCCTACACAAGCGCTGCGGCAGCCATGTCTACCAACATGAATCCTTGTGCTTCAAGCTTTGATCCCAGGCCGCCTTCGCACGCCATGATGTATCGACATGAACGCTTAGATGACAGTCTTTGTCCATCTACGAGTGAAAGGCCAAGGCCACCACCAGAACACATTCACAATGTCAACTCGGCCGATACTCAGCCCGTGGATCCTCGCTCGAACCCGTCTATACATGTTTCATGCAGCGAGGAAGATCAGTACATGGCAGCAAGCCGCTTCATGATGTTGGGGCCCCCAGGGCATGGGGAACAATGGTACGCTCCCGCTCAGACGTTTTGGCATTTGACTAACCGCTTCCCAAGGGATCGACCTATGGCTCACGCACTCTCGCCGAACTTACAAGTACCAACGATGCATCAGTGGATCATAGCACAACAAGCCAATGCGATGAATCGACCTTTACACCTCCCAGCACTTGCTCATGCACATCCATCCTTCTTCCCGGCAGCTTGCGGACCGATGAGAAGCTCAGCCTCAGATGACATCCAACTACCGAGTATACAGCGATATAATGCAGGGTCGATAGGCCCTTTCCAGCCGCCACCTCCTCCAGCAGTATCTTTGACAATGGATCAACATTTGCAATCATATTATTTCCCCCAAACGCCAGCACACCATGGTCAGCAGCCACAACATACGCCAGCACCGCCGATTAGCCCGGCACCGTCCGCAATACTGCAGGCTCCGAGACCCATACGCCCCAGAGGTACACGGTCACGGTCACGGCAGATGAGTCGGATGAGGCGAAGATCTAATGGAATCAATTTTCATTCAAGAGCAAGTAGCGCCGCCCCTTCAATGAATACCCAGGACCCTGACCAGGCTACACAATCACAAAGCCCCGCTGATGGCGAGACTGCTGAATTGAAGGAACCTCGACGGGGCAGGTCAAGGTACAGGATCGTAAGCTCTGTTCACTCAGGGACACCTCTGGGCCTTTCCGCACCAATTGGTAGCACGGGTCCTATTTTCCGACGAGTGTCGCGCGATACTCACATGGCACGAGATCGAAGCCCAAGCGGGCCGCCATCCAACGCGCCAAAGGCGCCAGCCGCTTTCCGTCGCCATCTCGACGAGCAGCAGTCTTTGAACCTAACATATCCGAAGTCGTCGGCAGGACCTGGCTCCTGGACGCAGTCGAAAAGATGGGTGAGCGACGAGACAAAAGAACGCGCAGCCTATCAGAAGCTCATGCAGTCACTTCACTACCTAGGCGCAGACAAGTCACCATCTCTTCCGCAAACATCAAGTGAGCTGACAAGCTTCAGAGTAGCCCAAGCTGAGAGCAAGGGCCGCATCTTTGGTGAGAAACTGCGGCGAATGGAAGAGGCAGAGGCCCAGAAGCAGAGGAATCCACAACACCTCGAGGTTTTCCATGGCCTAGATCTGGCTGACGGTCTCTCCCCTGTGTTTGCCGTCTTGAATTGCTTCAACAAATATCAAGACCCCAAACAACAAGCAGGATGGCCCAGCGTGGCCGAGTTCAAGGAAGATGGCGAGAAACGGGCCGCACGCTATGGGCGATATTTTCCACTGCCTCGTCTCGATTTCATTGCGAGAGAGTCGGAAGGTGAGGACGCGGCCTGTCTATACACCAGCGATGGATCCATCAAATAGGAGAAGAAGGCCGTCAAGGTCGCGTCTGCATCAATACTTCCTACCACCAGGGCACTTGGCGAGCCCGAGTCAACGGTCCCAGTAGACCTCGCCGATCTTCATGAGCGCTTACGGCAGCTGCTACGTGACATTGATGAGATTGACCCCTGGGCGGGCGAGGGAACATCAGGGGTGAGTAGCGTCGTGGACTCATGATTTCGATTGCCACGAGAAGCGGGAATTTTGGTCCAGAAAAGGTCGCATACCTAGTAGGACAAGAGCGTAGATACTGAGATTATATCCACTCAACCATTTGATTTATTGCCGTGCATGCGATTTACAGATATCATGGACGGCATGCGCTGTTGAAGTGGTTCAAGGCGAAGACTGCACGTGATCAGCCGTCAACTTGAGCTGGAGCCTGGAGAGCCCCCACCAAAAATCTGGAACTGCTACCCCTCCACCTCTCTGCATGTCTGACCACGTGACCCTAGGAAGCCCTCGCAGTACGTACCCGGGCTAGCGCTGGCCTGGCCCACAACCACAATTTTCGTGTCAATTCAATCCTCCACGGCCTGTTCCGCCAAAAAGTTCACTCCTCCCTCAACCGCCAAACGACGACAATTCGATTGCCCTGGTGAGCATCACATTCATCAGGTGAGTACCGCAAATCCGTTGCTTCTGTCTTTTACACACGCCATCTACTCGCCATCTTTACCAGCACAACGCTGTCTCAGCGCTCGCCTGCTCGATTCGCCCGCCGCATCGTCACCGCCGGCCTCACCACCACTTGCTGCGAAGGAAACATCCAAGCTAACATCTGCCTTTCTCGTCATTAGAAACCGCAATCATGGGTATCTCTCGCGACTCCCGTCACAAGCGTTCCGCCTCCGGCGCCAAGCGTTCCTACTACCGTGCGTAAATACCTATACATATATATACCGAAAGCCCGTATCGGAGTCTTTCTCTCCCCCAACCGGGAGAGGAGAACCATACGTTCTGACCTTTGTCAACAGGGAAGAAGCGCGCTTTCGAGGCTGGCCGCCAGGGTGCCAACACCAAGATCGGCGCCAAGCGCGTGCACACCGTCCGCACCCGCGGCGGTAACCACAAGTACCGTGCCCTCCGTCTCGACTCTGGCAACTTCGCCTGGGGCTCCGAGGGCTGCACCCGCAAGACCCGTGTCATTGCCGTGGCCTACCACCCTTCCAACAACGAGCTCGTCCGCACCAACACCCTGACCAAGTCCGCCGTCGTCCAGATCGATGCCGCTCCCTTCCGTCAGTGGTACGAGGCCCACTACGGCCAGGGCATCGGCCGTCGCCGCCAGCGTGCCCAGGCCGCCAAGGACGGCAAGACCGAGGAGGAGGAGAAGAAGAGCAAGGCTGTCGAGAAGAAGCAGTCCGAGCGCTTCGCCAAGCAGGGCAAGGTCGAGAGCGCCATCGAGAAGCAGTTCGAGGCCGGTCGTCTGTTCGCCGTTGTCTCCAGCCGCCCCGGCCAGTCTGGCCGCTGTGACGGCTACATCCTCGAGGGTGAGGAGCTCGCCTTCTACCAGCGCAAGCTTCACAAGTAAAAGGGTCGCCAAAATGGATTGTTCCGTCGGCGACAAGTGGTTGGCATGGTGTTCACGGATATCTCTTTGATTTGGCAACAGGTGCCAGTAGAAAGAGCTTCACGCACGCATCGGGATGGCTTCATAGGGAATGACCAATTTCACGCGATCAAAAAGGGGGCGTTTCATGCATTTAGGTGATCAAAACTGTTCTCTCATCATTGCGTCCGTGGACATGAATGAATGTGACTTGTTCGTTTGCCCTTTCCACCAGTAGCGAACCGATCAGTGTCGCTGCCAGGCATCTATCTAGCCCTTGCGCCCAACCCACGTCTACTTAGACTCTAGACATATAAGTAGCTGTTTCAATCCCCCCGTACACCTTCTCCAAAGTGCAAATGCGATGCAGTACGCCATTCAATGCCCTGTGCCCAAATGGCATTCATTGTTATATACAGGTTGACATCCACCCACTACGCAAATTGACGCTTCAAGTCGGACCACTTGCGAGTCAGGGTCTCATGTTGCGAATTTATCTATAGTTGTTAGTGTCAACACGTCACGTACGTTGGGGACCAATTCATACCTCGGCGTAGCGCATCTTGGTCTGCACCAGCTGCTCCTCGAGCTCCTGAAGCGTCTTCTCGAGCTCTTCGTTTTCTTCGTGCACTTTCTGGTTGCGCTTCATGAGGTCCTCGCGTTCTAGAGACCACTTGCCCTCAAGCTCTTGGGGCTGTTGTTCAATGACCAGCTTGAGTTCGCGAACTTGGCCTTTCAGACTTTCGTTCTCATCTTTGAGCTCCTCGTTCTCAACTTTGGCGTGGACCATCTCAGTGGCAAGAGCAGCCTGCTCCCTGTCACAGACCTCGACACGCTCCTCAAGCTTGCGCACCTTTATAGTCAAATGCTGGTTGTTGTTCCTTAGGTCGAAGAGCTCTGTTTCGCGCTGTTTTTCGGCTCGGGTCTTTTCCTCCCATTCCAAGCCGTACGCCTTGAGTGTCTCTGGTGAGATTTTTACCTCGCAAGCATCGCGTATGAGTTGGTCGGCTCTGTATACCTCCTTCTCCATATTGGAGCTGGATGATCCGAAGAAGCCGCTTTCGAGCAGACTGCCTTGGCTAGGATCCTTGTCAATGTAAGCATCGAAGAGCTTGTCCTTCAAGAAGACCGTCAGTTGCTGCATATCGGACAGTGACAACAATGTGGCCGCGTTCTTCTGCATCAAGACAAGGCCAAATCGCAGAATAGCCGAAAGACCTTCCGACATAATCAAATCGTATATCCGCAAGACGAGCTGCAGGGGGAAACGGTACGCGAAAAGGGTCAGGAACCATTGCGTGGCGTAGAGATGCCCTGATATGCCCCGGCGATGCAGATGACAGTACAGGGCTGGCTCAAAGTCCTCGAGCAGCCGCTCAAACTGATACAGTCGCATGTGTAGACCAGGCATATCCTGAATGAACAAATCACGCAGACCATAGTTGTGCATCAAGCGCGCAAGCAAGCAAAAGGCTTCTTGTTCAGGCATCTGACTGAGTTTAGTGCATGCGCAATGTTACCTCACATATGTTCACTTACGTTGAACAGCAAGGGCATGATGAGAAAGTTCATGCCCTGTGCGTAGCCGACACCTTCATCGTACAGAGCATATGCCTTGCAAACGCCAAATAGACCATCCTGGAGGCCAGCGGCGGCTGCGTACTTGGAATAGCTGGTGCGAGCTCCCAGGTCGCGGCGGATCGTCTTTTCGAGCTTCTGCAACGCTGCGGCGTCCTCTTTTTCTTTCTTCTTATTCTCCGCCGCGTTGGCTTTGGCTGCAGCCTCGGCTCCTTTATCGACATGCGGTGAGACTGGACCAGCCCCTCCGGAGTGTTCTGAATGAACCGAGGATGAAGAAGACGCAACAGCATCGCCGCTGTGCACGCTCAAGTTCGTATTGCTCGCAGCACTTGTCGTCGTGCTGTTGCTATTCCTTGTCTTGTCCTTTTCGGTCCCCTTTACTGATAGCTCTTTGTACAACAGTTCCAGCTCGTCATTCTTACTTTGCGCGAGGACCTGCCAGATGACACCCCGAATGGCACTGGGGATGCCAGTAGCGATAGCTCTGTTGAGTTCTGCAGCGCTCGTCCTCGCCACCGCAGCTGGACCTTCGTACACGACAGATTGCCACAGGTCCCAGTCAACCTCAGTTTCCGGCATTGCTGAAGGACCGGCATGAACCCCAGACATTGTACCAGCCGGCATTGTCGCATCAGGCTCGGGGACAGACGACGGTGGCGGTGCCTCGGTGAGAGTGGAGTGGTTAGCGGGTGGCGTGTCTGCGCATTCTCCGTTGGTATCCTCGACTAATGGTGCCGTGATACCAGCCTCCTCACGCAGACGCAGTAACTTGAATCTATCTTTGAGGCTTGCTCCATGTGCTTGCTCGTCCTTCTCCTCCTCAAGCCGACTCAATAGCATGTCGGGATTGCTGGTAAGCGTTGCGACTGAGCTTGCAGTGTTTCTGCGTGGCGACGTCTGGTTCGCAGCAGGAGTAGCTTCTTTATCTTTGCTCGAACTTCGAGATAACCAGGAGAAGGGACTCGTCAATTTTCGCGGAGGTGGCGGCGGCGGTGCTGCAGCTGCGAGTGTTGGCTGTGACACTTGGGGGACGAGAGCTGCTGGCAGAGGGTTTGGGCTGCGAGATGGTGACGGTTCGGCAGGTGGTGACCATGGCATAGAGGGTAGCGCACTTGTAATGCTACTGAGAGAGATGGTCTTGTTGGTGTGCTCTTTCCCTGTAGGACTCTTGGTGCCCTCGGCAGCAGCATCCGGAGCATCATCGTCCAGATTAACGTTGTCCAGGTTCGATGTGGTGGAGAAACGCTTGGGTGAGGTGGAAGAGCCCGATCGCTGGTCGAAATATTCACCGTGTTCGTCGACATTGCTTTCGTTGGGCTCCTCCTTGACCTTGAACTCGCTGGGTTCCTCGTTGGCCTTAGACTCGCTGAGCTCCTCGTTGGCCTTGGACTCGCTGAGCTCCTCTTTGCCCTTGGACTCGCTAGTCGGGTCCTCCGCGTTTTTCGGGGAGATTCTGCCACTGTCGCTTTCGTCGGCGTCTGGCTGTATAGGTTTCGAGGTTGATACGTGACGCTTCGTCAGAGACCGAACGGAGCTAGTATCGACCGCATCTTCGAACACGTCGTGACCGGAAGTCTATGTATGTCAGCCTGCTGCAGCCTGCCAGATTTGCATATGAGGTTGCAGTATGCTGTGTGACGGACGTACTTTGTCGGGAGCAGCTTCTGAATCTGAAATCGATACCCTCTCTCCGTCGCGAGATGGCGAAGGAGGGTCTTGCTGCTTATCATGTGCCTGCTGCGACATGGCGAGGAGTCGTAGAGCAGGCGTGTCTAGGCCCAGTGACACGGGCAACAGCCAACACAGACGATCTGGGGGATGCGTAGATCGCAATGCGTGCACCAGCGGCACGATTCAATGGAAGCCTCAGCCTCGTGTGTCGTATATGATAAGTCGATCGATTGGGGCGATTGGTGGTTCCGAGTTCCGACGCTCCTGAGAATTCGTACAGGACTAGATTTGATCTAAGTAGGGTCGACCAGTTGGTGATTATCGCTGCGTTTCGATGTTGTGCGAGCTGGGAAAACCATCGGCGAGATAGTGAAGGTTGGTATCTAGCTAGCTAGGAAATGGTCTTCGTGAGTGCGTCAAAGGATGGAATACCCGGGGCGAGGCTTTTGCGTCGCGAGACGCAATCCAACGACAGGAATGATGACGCTTGGTGTCAGTTTCCGGACTAATACCATGTAGCAAGCATGTGCCCGTGATCCTCGAGGAAGGGGCGTCCAGTCGAGAGCAACCTGGCAGTGAATGGCAGACTGCGACTGGAGTCCCAGACCGCCCACTAGCAGCTTGCACTGGCAGGTGTGCTGGCGGGGCGCTGCTAGTGGTAGCTTCAGGGGGTTGCCCTTGTCTCAGCCCCTGACCGCGCCAGTGGGCATTGGGCAAGCAGCCCCTTGCTGATCTATAGTTCACGCTCCTTGATCGGAACGCGTTAAAGAAACGATACAAGTATGTAATTCGATTTTCGGTCACTTGGCGAGATGCAATGGTTGGTGACGCCCGTGGACTATGTGCAATTGAGACAGACGAGGGCTACGTCATTTATCCAGTAGGTTCGGCGGCTCCTTCACCTAGCACCCTCGACGTCGTTGATATACCGACTTACCCTATAATGAAACAGGAAACGGAACACTCTGGTAATTGCTAGGAGGTATTACGACCAGTACTTCAGTAACACTGATGCTAACTAAATCAAGCCCACTGGCGTTTGGTCCGTAGTTATACCGTTTCTTCACTTGCCCATCTCCAACTTCGGGCTGGGCCGTGAACGCTGCCTGCCTGTGTGTATTACGCGACATGAGGTAAGTTGAGGACAACATGCGGGAACGCGCGGAAGACGCAATCTGGATTGCAAATGTAGCCTTTAGCTATTACAATATTTATCGAGCATGTCTAGACGAGCACTTAGTGTGTATTGTTGTGCTAGTAGCCCCGTAGGCTATGGTAAGTAGTAATAAGTAAGGTAGGCACTAATCTACACTAACGCCTTAAAGTCAACAAGGAGCGGAACGTGACAGGCGGGGCGCTCGGTACCTGCGTCTTCGAGTCAGATGCGTCCGGTTCCCGCGGCTGCAAGCTGAAGAAAGACATGGAACTCTGTCACATATTAAGGTACTACAGACTGAAGCTGTAGGAGATGCCGATAGTAGTGAGTCACTCCTTTCTGCGGGCTGTCAGCAGTTCAGAATGTGGAGTCCTTTTGGTTTAGAATCCAGAGCTTCGACTTGGACTGCGATGAGAGCTTCAACATAACATTATTTTAAGGTATTGCGATGTTACCGAATAGCAGTTTTGGAAGTCCATAAGACAAGTATTCATCTACCGTCGATGAATGAGCTGGATGCATCCCGTGGTCCCGTGGTGGCTGCAGGCTATTGCTCGAATCGCTCCGGGGATGATATCATGTGTGCTGAATGGAGCTTCCTTGGGAACAACCTCTAGGTTTAGGGGAGTACCAGCGACAATGGGCTATCAACAAGTCAACCCCTATGAGAAGATTGGTCGGATACAAACGAACACAAGTAGCACAGTGCTTGAGTTGTAGCAATGTACTAGGACGTAGCAGCTTGCACAAGATGCCTCTACTTCCCAACTTGGCGCCTGTCCAGAGCCTCAGAGGTAGGCAGGTACGCACGGACCACTTTCCACCGCCCAGCTCACCTTGCAGTTACGCAAGACGACGTAGGCGGGACCGGGACCCACCACCACCAAATCATGATCGTCCCTAACTTAGCAAGAAGTGAAGTTGCTCTACTCACAACTTCGACTTGACACCAACACCTTTCATTACATAGACCTTCGTCGTGCGCACCGCATTGCACGCCCGTCTGCACACTTGATTTGTCTTTGTGCCTACTTCTTCGTGCCCTTCTTTGTTGACGGAGAATCTTCGAGCCTTCTGCATCAGCACCTAATTGCTAGGTGCCCGCTTTCTCAGTTTGAAGACTGCTGATCCTAGGCGACCTGCACCCGCCTTTGCATCACGTCTATTTGCTCCGCGCACGTCTCCGCGTCGTGTTGTATAACGAAGCTGCAAGTCTTTGCTGACTGCACCCGTACCTGCCGATCCGAGCAATTCTGTCTTGCCCACATCGACCAGCATCCGCACAGAATCGACGTGCATCTCGAAAACTTGAACCCCACAATCCAGGCCACAAGTTACGGGCAGCAGAAGTTATCCTCAGCCAGGAAAATCAAGGTGGCGCGTCGGAAGCTGTCCACCACCGGGCAGCTCGTTTCTTCTTCATGAGTCGCACTGCCGTGGCCAAAGACTGAAGGATAGCAGTGGAGGGGACGTTTGCATCCAGCCCCGCGGCAGAGCCGCGTTCGTAGCCAACATGGGCAAGATCACAAAAGCCATGACGGCCAAGCACCGAGAGACTCTGGTAAGTGGAGAGGAGAATCATGATTCGAGCGCAGCCATACTAATCCCGTCTTTAGTCTCCGTGGCTCAAGGCCTACGTGGACGAAGCCTGCACGACACCATTGCCCCTTCTGCCTAACAAGCTCGCCGAGTTCCCTTCGAGGTGGTCTTTTGGACGGGGAGATCTTTACCACTGGATCCCCCTCCTGAATAGATTCGACAGCATACTCGAGCGGTTCTGCTCTTTATATGAGCTAGACAAAGGTCCCCAGACCCGCGATTTCACATCCGAACTCATCACGTCACACAGTGGCGACCCCGATTTGGGCGGCAAGGATGATTGGCAGCAACATATGCCAGAGGGTTTCAGGATGCAGGACGATGCCGACAAGCTTTTGGTTGAATCCGTGCTGGGGTTCTCGACTATGCTGCTCAAGCAATGTGGCAACCGAAGCGTGTACGCGAGCAGCAGCCATCTCAACGATCTTCTTAACTCGTCATCCTGGGACGTGCTCATCGCCACTCTTGAGGTTGCCTTTGAGCTGGCCAAACGTTACCAAGCCTCAGTCAGGCGGTTGAGCAATCCTTCGCGCCAGTGGAACGCTGCTCTTCTCGCAAATCACTACAATATCGATTTGGACCGCGTACAGCAGCTTGCGGCGCCATTCGTGAAAAGCAAACTGGTCGGCTTGGGGGAGCCCGTGACGACCTCAACACCCGGCTCATCTTCGAAAGGCAAAGACAAGGCATCGGCAGCTGGTACCAGAGGTGCCCACAACGGTGTTCACCATAATGATTTGGTCTCACTTGCCTGCAGCCAGAATGACCGTTGGACCGGGTGGGGTGATATTCAAATCAAATACTTTCCCGAAGAACAGCTCGTTCTGCCTCAAGTTCCACCTCAAGTGGAAGCTTCGCAGTCTCCAACACCAGCTACACCCACTCCTCTGCGCCGCACCCAGACAATGACTACGCACAGTCAGAGTACACCACGCTCCCGACCTGGTCACGCCGAGCAGTCCTCCCCTCTTGGCCCTAGCACGCCCTACAGCCACGAGGATGCTGCTGGAAGCAGTCAGAAAGTGTTCGAGTTACCGCATTCGGTGGTCAGCTCGGTCTCAATACCAGAGCTTCTTTCACGGCTCCCCAGTGATATGCCATCTGCCACCAAGTATGAAGCCTTCCATAGGTTGAGGGTGGCAAAGGCCATCCTTAGCACGCCAGAAACCCGTCAACGCGCTCTAGCTGTTCGTTTCCTTGCTATCACGAACCTCGCCTACATTCACAATGAAGCAAACTTTATCGAAAAAGTGTTCCGTCAGGATGGCGAGGAAACGCGTCGTTACCAGCTTATTTACCAACTCGCCGAACTGATACGTCCTTCCGCCGATGGCACAAGTGTTGTGCCGCTGTGGCTCCAGACAATCTCGATGGTACTACTTGAGGTGCTCGCGTACTTCAGCACGAAAACCCAGGACGTACTATCGGCCGTTAACGCCAATGTTAATCACGGGGTGCTTCTTTACGTGATTCGAAAAGCTGCCGCTGGCTTGCGTGAGGACGACGGAACTGAAGCCATCGGCAAGGTCACAGCTCTTGATCAGTGGCGCAAAAGCCTGTTCGACATGGCTATGTATCTCTGTGTTCAATCTCGATCTCAAGAAATGGTATCATCTGGACTAGTGGAGGTTCTGGTTGAGATGCTCAATTTTCGATCCAAGACTGTCCAGCGGTACTACCCTACCATCATCGGGTTCTTGGAAAGTATCCTCTGGTACCCGGTCAACGCTTTCAACCCTTTTCTCAACATGAATGGTCTGGACGCTGTTGCAAGTTTGATCGTCGACACAGTGCAGCAAGCGCATGACCATGTCCGAAGCGGTCATGGCATTAGTGACGAGCATAAGTCAAGTCTGATTGACTACAGAATATCCTACTACCAGCAACAGAGTCTCCGTGCCCTGCTTAGGCTGATACATCACGCGATGACCAATTCACCAACAATGGGCGGCAACACTGATCGCTTGTTGCGTAACCTTGTCGACAAATCCGACTTGCTTGCGAGCTTGCGCTGTGTGATTTCGGAGAAGGAAATGTTCGGTGCAATTGATTGGACCTACAGCGTTACCATCCTTAGCGACTTCATAAACAACGACCCTACCAGTTTCTCTGTCCTGATGGAAGCTGGTCTGATCAAGGCCTTCCTCGCAGCTGTCACAGGCGATACTGCGGCTGTCGAGGCCACCGCAGCTGCCGTGCATGTCGAGGCGACGACAGCGCGCGCAGAAGATGGGGACCCCTCAGAAGAAGCCGTGGAGGATGATGAGCCTACGCCAGCAGGCTCGGCGATTCTCGCTGACATGGACGATGACGGGCGACCTCATCCTCCACCGGAGGACGTACTGAGCATGGACCGAGGTGCATTGGCCAAGGGGATCTTGCCTTACTCCGATGCTATCAACGTCGTACCCCAAGTGCTGAACTCAATCTCGCTCAACAACGCGGGCATGAAGATGGTTGTTTCCTCGCATGCCTTTGATCATTTCTTCCAAATTTTCGAGAACCCCGATCATGTAAAGGGGATGATGAAAGCCATGGATCCTGATCAAGATCCCAATAAGGAGATCGCGAGCAATGTGGGGCAAAGCTTTGACGAGCTCGCCCGTCACCACCCGGCATTAAGGACGTCTATCACCAACGCTCTCATTGATTTGGTCGCCCGCATTCGATACTTGGGCTTGAAGAAGGCTCGCACCGATGGATGGGGAGCTAAGCTCCGTGTTGTCAGCAGTGATGGATCACATCTTGCGGTTACCATGGATGGAGCTCTGCGGAGCGCATCCATTGCCGGGGATCAACCTACGTCGTCAACATCAAGCGCCCGAGCCGCCGACGCTGAGATGCCAGAATCTTCGGAAGCTCCCGAGAAGGATAACAGTGACACCTCATCGTCTTCAACTTCCGACGAGACCGTCTACAACTGCTTCACACCCTACGTGCAGGCGCTGTCGACCTTTTTGAATTCGTGCTTCAGCAATCACGGTCTCAAGTCCGGGTTCGTTGCGCGAGGAGGGACCGAGCTGCTCCTTGACATATGTGAATCTCCATGTCATTCTTCCACATTTGGCGAATCGCAGACTTCCCGAGAGCTTGGGCACGTCATCTCTCGCTTGGTGGAGGTGTCTCCCATTCGAACGTTGCCGTCGATCCTCCATCGCACTCAAAAGGCTGTAGATGAGCTACAGCCATTGGTCTCACAGACGGATGTTGCAGCACCATACCTGGCACCGTTTTTGAAAGCCGGTACGACTGTCAGTCAGCAGCCAGGAGACCTGTCCGAAGTAGTGCGGGGCGGCAGCAAGATGGTGCACGCACTGTTGAACGTGCAAAGCCTGATCAGGCTACTCTCCCAATGCTTCCACAGCTCGCGATCCCATACTCTGACGCTATATCCTGTCAACGTGTATGATCTCTACCTCCGGCTAATTCAGTCCATCGGTACATTGATACCTGCGATTCTGACCGAGGAAGCGGCACAGGCAAACCTGGTGCCGCAAAAGTGGTCAGGCAGGCGCTCACTTGGTGCAATTGTGCCCGATGAAACCGTTGAAGATGCAGAACCAACCCCGAGCGCCGGAGAGTCCCAGGACCAAGCACAAGCCGATTCGAATGCCGCGTCAGGTGATCCAGCTCGCGCTTCGGATACCACCGACACTGCAAATAGCTCCAACCCGCGTTACCACAATTACGAAGTGCTTCACAAACTGCTTCATCCCTTGCCGCCGACTATCTATCCGCTCTTCCAGGCACTGGGAAAGTCATTGCTTCCACGCCGAGAGCCGACGCCAACACCTGGGAATGATGCTTATACTCGAGTCCGCCAGATCGAGTTGGCTAAAGCCCTGGCTGATGCTTTCCTCGACCATCTCCGAACTTCCGTCGACAAGCCTGAACACTCTTCCAGCGACTTTCACTATTGGATCATCATGTTCTTGAGTATTCAAGAGATGCTCGTCGAAAACGGTGGCCCAGGCAGACATTCTGAGACAAGATCAAATTGCCAGATTTCTATGCCTGTCTTCTTCGCCTTCAAGGAACGGGGAGGCTTTGATGTGTTGAACAGCATTCTTCGTGTACTCTCGACGTGTGTCCAGAGTTCAAGCACGCCACCTGAGCCACAGGCCAAGATCAAGGTTGCTGGCCTCGCGTTGAAGAAGATACTGGATCTGTACTACATCCTCGGCAACGGAAAGTACATCTCCGAAGGCGCCAATACTTGCAATCTGCAAAGGCACACAGACAAGAGCGCAACAGTCCCGAATATCTTTGAACAATTCACTGTAGAGGTTCGCGCCGCCATGCTACCGGCTGTCACTCATCTCTGGACGTCTTCTGTTGTGGAGAAGGTCCCAGATCAAACAGCGAAGAGACTGATTGATGTATTGAAGCTGATATCACGCGGCGAGCATGAGCCACAATCTACGCCAACAGATAAGATGCCATTCATCTTGACGAACTGCAAAGACACTCGCTTCAGATGGGACAACGTGCGTGCTACTCTTCGGGATCTCCAGAGGAACGAAGCCTGGGGCGACATTGCGCATGAAGCCACATATCGAGCCAATGGGCACATAGGTCCCGCAAGCGAATATTGCACCGGTCACCTTGCTGGTATCATTGGTCCAAGAAATCCTATCCCGCCCCAGGATCAAGACGTGCAGGGACCTCAGGAGTCAGTGGCGAACATGCCCAGCCGAACATCATCTCATGACACGGATTTGTCCGATGGCGATAGAATGTCTTTGGATGATCTGGACAGTGACGAGCAAAGGGACGAGGCCGGAAGCGGCTCTCAACCGTCAATCCATCACGCAGTTTCTGCGACTCCCGGGCCAGCTGCAGCACAGGAGACCTCGAACCAGCCATTTCCCGCTACCAAGGACGGGTTGGACAAGCTTCGAATTGAGTTCCGGAAGGATCTTATTGAGAGGTGTCTCGATGTCATTCGCACACACCCAAGCACTGCCATGGAGGTAGCTGATCTGATAAACGCTACCATCATGAGACAGGATGACAAGGAGGAGTTGGAAGATGTTTGCTCTACGCTGACTTTTGCCCTGTCTTCCCTCGCAATGGACGACGAAGAAAAGAAGCGTAATGGTCAGTGCATATCCTCGTACGCACACCTTCTGGGGTTGCTCCTCCAGAACAAGGCGTTCTTCCAGAGCAACTTCGATGTTCTTCGCGACAAGGTCGAAGAGTACGTCGATCTTCTCAAGGTCCCGTCACCTAACACCGCTGAAAATCTACCGCCATGGATCCCGCACATTTTACTGGTACTGGAGATGCTACTGCGTGAGGATGAGCGGCCCGTGGCAGCTCAATGGAAACCCCCACAAAGCATAGAGGACCCCATAGAGGAGCCTGTTCTCACTCTTCCCACACCTCTGGTTGAGCAGGATAACCGCGACCAATTGCTCGAGTCTGTCCTGAACCTTCTACCCCGGGTTGGAAAGGAAGATGTGCTTGCTACGTCGGTTTTGCGCATCCTTGTGATTCTCACGCGCAAGCGAGCGTTGGCTAAGCGCGTCGGCGACAAACGGAACTTGCAACGCCTGTTTCTTATGGCGAAGCAGCTAGCTGGATCCGGCTCAGGACGCCTCAGGCAAGACAGGACAACTGCCCACATCATGATGATCCTGCGCCATATTGTCGAGGATGAGGAAGTGATCAAGCAGATCATGCGTACCGAAATCCGTGCAGAGTTCTCGCACATAACCCGTGCTCGTCACAGCCAGGCGGATGTCCTGGCGTACCTTCGTCACATGGCTGCACTGGCACCTCGAGCCCCTGACATCTTTGTCGAAGTGACCAATGAGCTGGTCCAGTTTGAGCGGTGGTCTCCTGCTACAGGAGATCGTTCGTCGACCCTGGTGTTGAAGGAGCCCACCGCTTCCAATCCCGACGCTCCCTCGACGGAGGAAGCTAACGTCAAGCCTTCCACGGAACAGTCAGACAAGGAAATGTCGGATGTACCGAAACCCCCTACTGAGCTGAAGCGACCTCTTGTCGAGAACCCGGATGGCGTTGTTCATTTCCTACTTAGCGAACTTGTGAACTACCGCGAAGTCGATGATAAGGAGCCCACTGCACCCGTCGTCGAAAGTGCGTCGAAACCTGGAGAGGCCGAGTCAACACAACCGAAGGAAGAGCCTCCAGCCGATGGCGACGCCTCTCCCGCCGCAGCGAAGGACAAGAAACCACTCAAACCCGTCTTCAAGGCTGAAGAGCATCCTATCTTTGTGTACCGCTGCTTCCTGCTGAGTTGCCTCACCGAGCTTCTCCACAGCTACACTCGTACGAAAGTGGAATTCATCAACTTCAAGCGGAGTGCTCCTCCACTGACTTCCAACACGCCCATAAAGCCCCGAACCAGCGTGCTCAATTATCTCATCTACGACCTTTTGTGTCAGGGAAATTTGAATGGGACAACGGACACCATCGCCTCTAAAAAGAAGGCTGCTACGTCTGCGCAAACACTGAAGCTGTTGGTGGCCTTGGTCACCAAAACTTCCGAGAAGCCCATCGACCGTGGCATTCCCAAGTACGAATATGACGACGAGCCTGACTTGCTATTTGTACGCAAATTCGTCCTGGATACAATCTCCAAGGCCTATGAGCGAGCGCCAGTCTCCGATGATCCCTTGGAAACCCGGTACTCTCGCATGCAGAGCCTGGCTGAGCTCATGTACAACATGATCACGGAGCGCGAGAGACCCCCTCACCTCAGTCGCCCTGAGCCTTCCAACGGTCGATCACAGGCTCAGCTTCGCCGTCTCATGTTCGAGAAGGGATTCCTTGATAAGCTCACTTCGTCCATTGCAGAGGTTAATGTCAACTTCCCTGGCGTGAAGAGGGCGATCAAGTACATTCTGAGAGTCTTGAGGATCCTCACAGATACTGCCAAGGACCTCAGCCATGCCAACTTGCTTCCGGCAAATCCTGGTGCGGAGGCTGTGGAGGACGATATCATCTCCACGTCGTCCTTGTCAGATCTAGACGATGATCGTGAGGAGACACCTGATCTTTACCGCAATTCTTCGCTTGGTATGTTGGAGCCTGGCGGGGATGACGACGACGAATCGGAAGATGGCGACGAGGACGGCGAGGATCTGTATGGGGACGAGTACGATGATGAGATGGACTACGATGAGGATGCAATGTCCGAGGACGACCAAGACAATGTCAGCGAGGACAGCGAAATGGGCGAAATTGAGGGTATGCCGGGCAATCCTGATGTGGTCGAAGTCATCATGGACGGCGATGACGACGAAGACGATGAAGACGAGGAGGATGACAGTGATGAAGATGACGAGGACGATGAAGATGAAGACCTTGACTCCGCCGACATGGAGGATGTGGAAGACCGCGTTGAAATCATCAATGAAGACGGCGAACCGATCGACGACGATGGTAACACGGACTGGGAAAGCGATGGCGAAGATGACGACGATATGGACGAGGAAGTTCTTCAGTTCGAGCCCAACGGGCGCGATGGCCCGGGCAACCACGAGCATCTCGGCGTGCCAGGCGGGTTAATCGGCAACATGGCTAGAGCCCTACTTGAGGGTGAGGAATACGACCCTGATATTATGGACCCAGCATTTGACGACGACGACGATGCTGAAGACCTGGATGACTTGGAGGAGGAGGAGGATCAAGACGAGATGGAGGAAATGGAGGATGAGGAAGATATGATGCTGGAGGAGAACATGCCTTGTGAGTACCAAGTCCCGGAGCCAGGGCTCTCCCCGTCTAACATTGCATTAGTGAACGACGATCCAATGATGCCTGAAGGACATTTCCACTGGGATATGGCGGATCGTGACGGTGAGCCTGGCGAGCGTATGGTTCTGATCGGTGAGCCTGGGCACAGACATCGGGCTATGGCTAGAGGCGATCCCACCCGAGGATTTCCTCCAGGCTTCGTGGTTGGTGGCCACGGTGGTCGACATGGTACGGCAATTGGAGGTGGTGAGTGTCTTGGACGCTCACGACGATGTGTTTGAAACAATGCTAATCCATATGCAGCTTTCCGCAGCTTCTTTAGTAGGAGGCCACAGCATGCGCCACCTGCCGCGAGCGCTGCCGATGATAGCATAAACCCCCTACTCCGACGTCAGGAGCCAGCCAGCCAAGACAACCGCCCCCAAACGTCTGGGCACTCGCGTCGTCCTTTGGAGATCATGCCTGAAGGCGTCAACATCGGTGGCGGACGTCGTGGAGTTAACGACCCTATGGGCATCCTCGGCGAACTTCTGGATTTCCTTCCCCAAGGAGGCCGCGACGGACATCACTTCCACGTGCAGATTGCTGGGCCAGGTGGTGTTGTTCCGCACGGCCGAAACCGGGATATGATCCAAGAGAATCTCTTCCGAGATCTGATGGGCATGGGCAGAGGCCACGGACACGAGTCTCGACGCGACACTGGAAGTCAGGAACCGCATCAAGCTGTCGCATTCCAGTTGCAAAGTACCATGGAGCGTTACACGGAAGAGGCTGCTATGCTTTTCATGGACAAGGTTGCCCACGAGGCCGCGAAGCTAGCCAACATTATCACAGCGAAACTGACACCTGCCGCTGTGGCGCGTGAGCTGAAGCTAAAAGCTGAAGAGGCAAAGAGGGCTGAGAAAGAAGAGGCTGAGCGCCAGGAACGAGAGCGTAAGCTTCGCGAAGAGAAAGAGCAAGCCGACAGAGAAGCCAAAGAAAAGGCTGAAGCTGAAGCACAGGAGGCAGCAGAACGCGCCGCTTCTCAAGCAGCCGCCGTTGCTACCTCAGAGTCCAACACTGCCACCGGAGACAACACCGAGTCCGGGGCGATGGAAGGCGTGGAATCCACCTCCACCACAATCACTGAGGGCGAACCTGCTGCGCAAAGTACAACTGCCTCGGGCGAGACTAGTGCCGGCGTTGAACCCACGAGCGACGCACGCGCTTCCACCCCTGACCAGCAACGGGTAGTGACTGTCTTGAACAACCAAGAGGTCGACGTTACTGACCTGGGGATTGACCCTGACTACCTGGCAGCTCTCCCGGAAGAGTATAGGCAAGAAGTCATCGCTCAGACCATCTCAGAACGCCGCACTCAGGCACGCGAGCAAGCACCCACTGGCCAAGATCCCGGCATCTTCCAGGAGTTTTTGGATGCCCTGCCCACCTCGCTGCGTCGGGATATTGAGGCGCAAGAAGCTCACGACCGACGCCGCCGTCGCAACGAATCTGGCAGAAACGCTGCTGCAGCTCCAAATGCCGGCGTCGAGATTAATCAAGGCAACCCAGGCGGTGCTGCCCAGCCGGCTGCTGATGTCTTTGGCGAGATGGACGCAGCCGACATCCTCCTCACATTCCCGGCTGAGCTCCGAGAACAAGTACTCGCTGAGCAGGGCCATGAGCTCATAGCACACCTGCCCCCGGAAATGGCAGCCCAAGCGCGACGACTTCAACAGGACGCGGCGCCTCCACCGCGTGCCCAAGTTACTCATCGGCGGGCTTTGGGAGCAGGAGGTCTGAGCCCTCCACCGCCCCCAGAGGCCGCCGGAAGCAGGGCCCCTAAGCCGCAGCAGCGCCGCACTGTTGTACAGATGCTCGACAAGTATGGCGTCGCGACACTGGTGCGACTCATGTTCATTGCACAGCAGGGCTCGATTCGAAATCACCTGTTTGGGGTCTTTGCCGACGTGTGTGAGAATCGCCAAAACCGTCTCGAGGTGGTTAGTACCCTCTTGCAAATCCTCCAGGAGGGCAGCACCGATATGCACGCAGTCGACCGCAGCTTCAGTCAGCTATCGCTCAAGGCTAGGCGTGCAAAAGATGAGGACATCAAGACGCCACGAGGTCTTAAGAGAACATCGACATCGATTCTTCAAGGCACGCAAACCAGCTCAGAGACTTCGCCATTGTTGATTGTGCAGCAGTGCTTGGATCTACTTGTCGAGCTATGCAGCAAGAACCCCCACGTTCCATGGCTCTTCCTGACAGAGCACGAGACGGTGGGCTTCACCTTGAAACGTGCGTTGGGTCGAAAGGGTAAGGGGAAGGACAAAGATTCTAGGGTGCACAAATTTGCCATCAACTCACTCCTGACCCTGCTGGATCGCACGCTGGTCATGGATAACGCCGCTGTAATGGCGCACCTCGCAGATCTCCTCAACCGTGTCACCATGCCTCTGCAAGCACTGGATCGCCGTCGCAGAGAGGCTGAAGAGAAGGCATCCAAGGCCAAGGAGGACGAGGTCAAGGAGCCGGAGAAGCCAAGCGAGAGCACCTCTGCAGAGCCATCTGCAGCCCCGGAGACAGCGGCTCATGACCAGCCTGCCGACGCGGTCGCTACAGATGCTGCCGCCAAGCAGCCCGACGCCCAGGACCAGGGCGATCGATCAAACAAGTCCCGACTGCTACAGCCGCCTCTGATTCCGGACCAGTATCTGGTCATGGTCGTCAAAATCTTTGTCGCCCGTGAGTGCAGCTCGAAGACATTCCAGAACACAATCGCCACAATCAAGAACCTGTCGACTCTCGAGGGTGCGAAATCGGTCTTCGGCAACGAGCTTGTGGCCCAGGCAGAGCTCTTGAGCAAAAACATTGTGTCGGACCTGGATAACCTCCTGCCTCACATCGAAAAGGCAAAGACCGGTACAGAAATCCAAGGCGTCGCCCTCGCCAACTTCTCGCCCGGCAATTCAGAACAAAACAAGCTGCTTCGTGTCTTGACGGCGCTCGATCATCTGTTTGATGTTAAGAAACGTGGAGAGGGCAGCACTGCCGCCGATGACCAGAAGAGTGCGCTTCTCTCTTCCCTCTACCACAACACGACATTCTCTGCCATGTGGGAGAAGCTTGGCGCCTGTCTTTCAGCTATTCACCAAAGAGAGAACATGCTCCACGTCGCCACAATCTTGCTGCCGCTCATCGAGTCGCTCATGGTCGTGTGCAAGAACACTGCAGCCTCCGACACGAATCTGCGAGAGGCCGATAAGGACATGCTCATGGCGAGCCCGCCTCCCGAGTCGCGGACGGCCAGTCTTTTCTTCACCTTTACAGAGGAACACCGTCGGATACTGAATGAGCTTGTTCGGAGCAACCCCAAGCTCATGTCGGGCACTTTCGCCCTCCTTGTTAAGAACCCCAAGGTGCTCGAGTTTGACAACAAGCGCAACTACTTCAACAGAAGTGTTCACTCACGTACTGGCCAGCCGCAGCATGGTCGACCTAGCTACCCAACTTTAAACCTACAGGTTCGCCGCAACCAGGTTTTCCACGACTCCTTCAGGTCCTTGTACTTCAAATCCGGCGACGAAATGAAGTTTGGAAAGCTTAACATTCGTTTCCATGGAGAGGAGGGCGTCGACGCCGGCGGCGTCACCCGTGAGTGGTTCCAGGTCCTAGCTCGCCAAATGTTCGACCCCAACTACGTACTCTTCATTCCAGTCTCGTCGGATCGCACGACTTTCCACCCGAACAAGCTCAGTGGGGTCAACGAGGAGCATCTCATGTTCTTCAAGTTCATCGGTCGTATCATCGGAAAGGCATTGTACGAGGGCAGGGTACTCGATTGCTTTTTCAGCCGCGCTGTCTACAAGCGCATCCTGGGCAAGAGCGTATCCGTCAAGGACATGGAGTCTTTCGACCCCGACTACTACAAGTCTCTGTGCTGGATGCTGGAAAACGATATCACGGACATTATCACCGAAACGTTCTCAGTCGAGGACGATGAGTTTGGCGTTACCAACGTAGTAGATCTCAAGCCCGGCGGTCGGGACATTCCGGTCACAGACGAGAACAAGCAAGAATATGTCAAGCTTGTTGTTGAGCACAAGCTTCTGAGCTCGGTCAAGGACCAGATGGAGCATTTCCTCAAGGGATTCCACGATATTATCCCCTCCGAGTTGATCTCCATCTTCAACGAGCAAGAGCTTGAGTTGCTGATCTCTGGTCTGCCGGATATCGACATTGACGATTGGAAGAGCACCACGGAGTATCACAATTACACGCCGTCTTCGCCCCAGATCCAATGGTTCTGGCGTGCAGTTCGCTCCTTCGATAAGGAGGAGCGCGCCAAGCTGCTTCAGTTCGTCACTGGTACCAGCAAAGTACCTCTGAACGGTTTCAGAGAACTGGAGGGCATGAATGGCATACAGCGGTTCAACATTCACCGAGCCTATGGCAGCAATGACCGCTTGCCAACTTCTCACACATGCTTCAATCGTAAGTCTTGCCCAGAAAGCTGGCCCCCTATGGCTTGAGCAATAACTAACAAGCATGCAGAACTGGACCTTCCCGAATTCGAGAGCTACGACGCCTTGCGGTCACAGCTGTTCAAAGCTATAACCCAAGGCAGCGAATACTTTGGCTTTGCATAAATATTGCCAGGCTGCTGTTTACATGTTGCATCGTGGTTAAGGACGGCATGACACGACTAGTAGAAGGCGGCAACGGAACGAAATGGGCGCAAAGAGCAGCCTATTTACGTTTGATTCACGGCGTTCGGGCGCAGTGTTTATTTTTACCAGTACAGTACGTTATTTTTGTGCGCAATCTGCCTCAGACCAACTCGAGTCCATATGGTCAGTCGGGCAGGACGCGAGGAGAGTGCAGGTCTCCTTGCTGTTCCAGCCTCTGGCGGACCGAGTGGCACGGAGATGGGAACTTTCTTGGAGCATATCGAGTAGCCGGTAATTAGATAGTAATTTCTCTGGTATGCGCAAGGCTGCTCCGAGTTGATCAAGTCGAAGTGAGGTGAATCGTGTCAAGCACAAGCCAGTATGTACGTACACAATCGCAACAACAGGAGGAAAGCCGACATTTACGACAAGATTCACGCGAGGCACGCACGCACACACGAATCAGCGGCAGCAACTCATCAAAAATGCATTTGAAATTCCCCAGTAGAACCTCTAATACAACCGTGGTGAGCTCGAACCGAGCCCGCGAGATGCCCTTTGCACGCCCCAACGCACGTACGCGCGTGCTGTGGGTATGGAAACTAATGCCGGAAAAAAAAATCTTTTCATGTGGCCTCTTTTTTACCCATTTGTTGTCTTCAAATACTCATTATAACGCCGGACCAGCCCTGCCGTTTACTTGCGCATGGAGGAAGCACGACGCTTGCGGGCGTCGGCCTTGTTGGCCTTGGCCTCAGCGACACGCTTGGCCAGGATCTGAGCGTACTCGTTCTGTATAGGATGAGATTAGCAAAGTGAACTTCGGAGGATGGAAAAAAAAACATACGGCCTCGTCCTTGACCTTCTCGGCCTGGCGGCGCTTGAGGGCAGCGCGGTGACGCTTGTGCTGGAGGCGCTGGGGAGTGACCAGGCGCTGGATCTTGGGAGCCTTGGTGTAGGGGGTCTTGCCCTCGCCCTTGGGCTGGACTTCACGGCGGATGACGTACTTGCGGACCTAGAGGGGTGAAGGTTAGCATCTTACAAAGGTTGTGTATAGCTGGAATTGTTTTTGCCGGGGAGAGAAAGGACAGAGGGAGAACAAAAACGACCCCCTTTCCATGCATGCTCACTCCCATCGTCGATCGATGTACAGTCGGGACAGCGGTTCCGCGTGTATGTTGAAACAGACGTGTACCAGCTCGAGCCCGTTCGATGTTCGTCCGATGGGGTTTGGAAGCATGTATTGCCATGGGGGACCGGTTCATCCTCTCTCGTCCGCATTCTCTCCCCTCCTCTCACACTCTACCCGGTCTGCCAGCGCAGACGCGGGCAGGCGATGATCGAGTATGGCAGGAAGGTGGGCAGACATACATCGTCATCCTTGGTGAGGCCGAAGAACCTGCGGATCTTGGTCGCACGCTTGGGGCCGAGGCGCTTGGGGTGAACGACGTCGGTGAGGCCGGGGATGTCCTCGTCGCCCTTCTTGACGATGGACAGGGCGATGACGGACATGTCCATGCCGACGATGCAGCCGTGGACGGACTTGCGCTTGCGCTCACCGGCGCGGCGGGGGCGGTAGCACGAGTGGCCCTCGGAGAGGAGGAGCTTGACACGGCCGGGGACCATGACACCCTGCTTCATGGGGAAACCCTGCTTGTCGTTGCCGCCGGTGATGCGGAAGATGTAGCCCTTGAACTCGTCGCCGACGGAGTCACCGGGGACCTCAGCTCCCATCTGTCGAGGAAAAGAAATGTTAGCCTTGTCTCTCTGGATACTGGGTCGAGCAGTCGGTCGTGCGTTTCGCTCGGGGAGGCAGTGGTACGTACGCGCTTCTCCATGAAGACGTTGAGCTTGCGCTCGTCCTCGATCTCGAAGAGCTTCTGGCTGCCATTGGCAGGGTAAGAGACGTTCAACTACAAAATGCGTTAGCACGGTCATTCCCTCCCACGATTGGTGTGCTGGGTCGAATCATCTCCAGCCAGCGCCAGCAGTAGTTGAGCAGAGCTCCCTGTGCGGGCCTTCGCAATCTCAATCTCGGAAAAAACAGAGGAGTTGCTCGTACTGCTGGGCGGCCGTCGACTTGTCTCGTATGTGATGCTTCGTACCTTCATATTGCCGGTTGTGGTGGTGCAAGTGGCTGGACCTGGCGGGTTAGTTGTCGGAGTTGTCGAGGAGGGCGGTTGAATTGCAAAGTTGGAAAATTTGGTGGAATTGGGTGGGAGAAAGTGTGTGCTGCTAGGGCTGGTCGGTGCTGCGGCCAATCAGCGGCTCGTCAAAGTAGGAAAGTACCCAAAGGTGGGGAGGGTTTGTTTGTGGCTGGTGCAGTTAGCCCCCGCCATGGCATGTCAAGCCACACTTTGAGATTATGCGCCACAATCCCGCATCAGGCGCGTCTCGTCTTCAACAAGGCGCGTAGCTTACTCACATTTCACTGTGTGAGTGTACGACCACTATGCAGTGCTCTTGACACACAAAAGGAGTACATCTGAACTGAACGTCATTGATTATGTCGACTATAACGATCCACCCGCCAGACACCAAGGCGTCGGCAGCCTCACCGCTTCCTACTCTCCTCAAGACACCCGGTGGTCTGGCCCTCCTTGATCTCCAAGGCACAATCAACCACCCAAAGCAGCCCAACGGCGAGCCCTTGATCGGCGACTTCAGCTTTGGCCGTCTCGAGTTCCCAGAGTATGATCCCGACTCTGTCATCGGCGGCACAGCCTGGATGAAACGTGTCTTTCTCTACGTGGGCGAGTACCAGCGACTCAACGGCGAGGTGAAGAAGCTGGCCAAGCCCTTTGCGATTGTGGGCAAGAAGCAGCAGCAAGAAGCAGCCGGAGAAGGGAAAGAGGACGAGCTGGAGATTGTCGACATCGTCAAGTACAAATTGCTCTTCTCGGGACGACCTGAGCCGGTCGGCACCACGCATGCACCAGCTTGAAGGAGGGCAATGTCGTATCATTTATTGCCTCTTTACGGACACATGTTCCGATACGAATCATCACTCTGGACCAACCGATATCGCCTTGGTCCTTCCTAACCCTTCCCGCCCATAGTAATCCATAGGATACGGACCATCGCCCCAGCCCTCTCGCTCCTCCAACGCAACCAGCGCCTCGTACGGCGTCAGCAGCGGCCGAGGAAACGCATACCCCCAGTCAATACTCAACCGTGGACACGCCACCTGCACCCAGCACTCGACGTCGCTCATGAGGGCCAGCTTGCCCGGGAAGATCTCGCTGAGGAGGAGGTTGATGAACGGTATCCCGCGCTCGCGCAGCCTCTTCTCGACGAGCGTCAGCGTGTGCGGGTTGCCCTGGCGGCCGAGGGAGCCCAGGATGAGACCCCACTTCTGGGCCTTGCGCGCGGTGGCGATGGCGGTCCGCCGGAGCGTGTACATCTCGTCGTGCTCGTACGTCTCGCGGGTGAGCTTCCTCGAGTACGGGTCGTATCGGTAGGCGGGTATGGAAGGGTTGTGGATCATGATGCTCTCGAGATGGAAGCGGCCGTCGCCGAGGTAGAGGATCAGGTCAATGTTGTCGTCGGTGTGGAGCTTGGGCGAGGTGCAGCCCAGGATCTCGCCCTTGCTGAGGGGTGCGATCTGGGGGACGAGGACCTGGAAGCCGGCGCGCTCGAGGCTGCTCCGGACGCCGTGGATAGTCGCGTTGAACTGAATCGTCCCGACGACCGCAATCGTCTTGCCCGAGGCAAAGTTCCGTTCCAGTGATGCGAGGAGGTGTGAGGTGTCTATGCTAATGTCCACGAACACGTATAGCGTCTTGATCTTGGTGACGTCGACGGGGATGAGGCAGCTGTGGGCGTAGTGCACCAGCAGGTCGCAGCCGAGGGCCCTGGCGGTGTAGTCGTCGATGCAGCAGGCGCCGTAGGTGACGTCCCCCATGATCAGCGTCTCGATGCCCGGGCAGAACTGCGTGAGGATGTCGGAGATGGTGGTGGCGAAGAGCAGGAGGCCCTCGGGCATCTGGAGGGCCACCTTGGTAGCCCCCGACGTACGGATGCGATGGATCGTCTTGGGGATCTCAAAGGAGTAGTTGGCGGGGAGGATAGCAACGGCAGCCTTGAGGTTCGGATCCTCTGTGATCTCCTTGGGCACCTGATTCAATAAACGGGGGGCACGCCGGGGTTTGGCAGCTGTACACACGTAGTTTGTCAGTCTCGTCGGGTCTCGCGTCGCTCATTTATTCATTCAAGGGGTGCCTGAGAAGGAAACTTGAACTCACGCCCAACGGCTCCAGCTTCACCACCCGCGCCGCCATCCGTCGCCTTGGAGGAAGCCTCAGCTGCCGTTCTCCGCCCGACGAAGCGCTTCTTTGGTTGCCTGACGACGTTCTCTCCTGACTTTGGCGGCGGCTGGGTCCCGCTCACTGAAGGTACTGGTACTGATGGCTCTGCGGGTGGTTGAGATTCCAGGGCTTCTTCGTGGCGTTGCGCCTCTTCGATATCGGCGGCGATGCCCAGGTCGGTCTGTGCGCGATCTTCCTCCATTTTTATATCAAGCAATAGGCCCAAGAATCGGTATGCGGGCTCGTGTGGTTGTCAAAGTGAGATGATTGAGATGGTGAGATGTGGGATGGTGGGGCAGTATTTTGCTGGCGACAATTTTTTGGTTTCCATTTCTCCAAGTCAATCCATCACTCATCGTGTCCTCCACAACGGGATAGGTAAGGTACCAGGTATACAAGACATCATTGTCATGGGCTGTTGATCTTTGTACATTCATTACTGATCAATATGGAAGATTACTCCCGCTGTCATTGCCTCATCATTAACTTGAAATCGACACTCCTAGCCGAGTGAACTAATTGCTACCACCTATGCTACCCACCAGCGCATCTACTCGTCTGCCTCGTCCACGGTAAAGTGGTACCTCGCCCGCAGGACGTACGGGTCGTCGCCGGGTCCAAAGATCTGCTTCTTCTCCCGGAACCAGGCGGGGTTGTTGATGCCGTCAATGTAGTCCTCGACCTCCATGACGACGCAGCCGTACTGGGGGATGGTGCGGGGGAAGTCCTCGTCGTCGTCGATGCCCTGCGACTGCTTGAGGGCGAGCGTGCCGTCCTGGCCGTTGCACGAGTAGATCTGGAAGGCGTCCTGGTCCGAGTAAACCTCGATGCCGATGCCGGACCAGTTGGAGTGCAGGACGGCGACGGGCGAGTGCGTGCGCCAGTCGTAGTTGCCGAGCTGCTGGCGGTTGACCGAGTAGCAGTTGTCGTAGCCCTTGCAGCCGAAGCCGCAGTTGCCCTCGAGCTCGTCGTCGTCAAAGGAGGCGCCGAGCTGCTTGGGCTTGGACCAGAAGTCGTTGGCGCTGCCCTTTTCGTTGGCGAGGATCTCGCCGGTCGGGATGAGGATGTTGTCGACGGCGACGCGCTGGCCGCTGTAGGGCAGGTGCAGGGTGTGGTTGAGCGCGAGGCTCGTCTCGTTGTTGGCGAAGCCGTCGAGGTTCCAGTACGCGTGGCTGCTGAGCATGATGGGCGTCTTCTTGGTCGTGGCCAGGGCGACCATGCTAATGTCCCAGTCACTGCCGTTGACGGTGTAGGTCACGTAGGAGATGACCTCGCCGGGGAAGCCCTCCTTGCCGTTGGGGTCGACAATCTTGAAGGTGACGGTGCTGTCGGTGTGGGCCTCGACGGTGAAGTTGCGCCAGCCCCAGCCGTCCTTGCCACCGTGGAGGGTGTCGAGGCCGTCGGGGTGCTCCTTGGTGGGGTTGTCGTTGAGAGAGACTTGGTACTTCTCGCCGTCAATCTCAAAGGTGCCGTTCTTGATGCGGTTGGCATACCGTCCGGGGACGGCGCCGTAGTTGGGGTGCTGCTCGTCGAGCGTGTAGTAGGTGGCATTGTCCCAGCCGGCGACAATGTCGCGGGTGACGCCGTACTTGTCCTTGATGTGCAGGTCCGAGATGGACGCGCCGTAGGGGACAAAGCCAATCTTCATGACCTCACTCTGGATCCAGTACTTGCCGTCCTCATCGGGCGGGAAGCCAGTGTCGTTGCGAGCAGCGGCACCGAGGCTGGGGAGGGCCAGGGCCGCAACCAGGCCGGCGACCTGTGTCTTGAGCTGCATGATGGGATGTCTGGACAGTCTTGTTTGACGATTGACAAGGTGAAGGTGGTCAATGGCGCGGTAGGTCAGCAGGAGCAGCCAAAGGAGGTCTGTCAGTCGGGGGCGTCATGCGGTATAAGTAGTGACCAACGACATGGACTGGACGCGCGCAAGTGATCAGCAAGGAACGGCCATCACCCCCAACGTCGTATGCGTACCCGCAGAGTCACTAGAGTAACCGACTGCAACGCAGAAAAGGACCTGACCTGGATCCTGGGGTCCAGGACTCCAGTCGTTTGTTGGGCACCTGCCAAAGGCAAGTACGCTGCTCCAATGCGCCTTCCGAGCTAATCACAGAGTCATCGTGAACGGCATGGGCCAGCATGGTTTGTTTAACCGGTCGAAACCGCCCCAATGGCAAGTGGTGAAGCTCGGAGTCTCGCCCCGTTAGAGCTCAGAATGCGTCGGTCTCGTCGTTTCTTCCCCGCGTGGGGAACCATAAGAGACAGGGATGGACATTGGAATGCTGGGGCCCCCCCAGCCGGAGAGAGAGGAAGATACCGTGGAGGAGAATTATTGAGTGGTTGGTCGCCAACTTCTGCCGCCATGATGTCAGCCACCGGCAAATGTTCACCCATCCGTCCTCGGTTCCTGGCCCTAAGAGCCTGTCTGACCTATATCTTGGGCTCATGGCCTGCCCAACGTGCCCAGTCTCTCAAAGACGAAGAGCCACTGGCAACTCTAACTTTCAACCCCGAATTCACACCATCTGGCGTGGAGCAACTCGTGGCCATAATAACTAGCTCTGCCGATCAGTTCGTCTCCCAACACGGCTGAGGCAAAGAGTCCATCCCGATGACCAGATTGGTGCGCATCCGCGTCCTTCTCCTCACGGACACACCTTCGTTCCGGCACCATAGAGAATCCCTGCGTCGCACGGCAAATACCTACGTAGCCCCAGCCTACAGCCGTGCGGGGTCCCCGGCACTGTCTCTGTTTACACGCAATATTAAAGAGGCAGTGTGATAAACAGGCGAGATAAACAACTCTTCCACCCCCGTCGACGAAGCTGTTGCGGTGCCGTTACCCGAAGTCGGACTATGCTGCCCCGACGCCGTGATGCCCTGCGCCGCGGCAGCTTCTCTCAGGATTTAAATTAATTACTTACGGCAGCTTCGTCACTGCTCTCTTATTACTGCATAGGTTGTGACCCTGGTTGTGGTTAGCGAGCGGAATCGGCCCTTAAGTCAAACATGGCTTTGACCGTGGCTGATGCGTGCACTGGACCAATAGCAGTTTCAAAGACGTGGATAATAGTAGCAGTAAAGGCATCGTGCTAGCAGACAATCGGCTTTCTTTGTGCTTCGGTATACACAACAACATGGCTCCCATGGAGAAGTGTCTAACACTCTCCCCATCCACCTGTAAACTTTCCTTCAGCTTCGTCCTGTTCCCGAACCTCGACCTCTCCCGTTCTACGCGTCGATCAGGTTCTCCTCGGTCTGTTGCTTGTTGGCCGCGTCGGCATCCGCCTTTTGCTTGCCCTTGGACTTGGCGTCCTTCTGCGCACGCTGGTAGTACTCGTTGAGCACCTTGGCGGGGATACGGTTCAGCAGATCCTTGGGGAAAATGCGGAGCAGGCTCCACGCCAAGTCCAGCGACTCGAAGATTGTTCGCGACTCGTACGGACCCTGCGAGATGAACTGGCGCTCAAACTTGTCCAGGAACTCCAGGGACAGCTTGTCTTCGGGCGACAAGGCCTCCTCACCGACGACGGCCTTCATGGCGGACGCGTCACGACCAATGGCGTACTTGGCGTACAGCTGATTCGACACATCACCGTGGTCCTTGCGTGTCATGCCCTCGCCAATGGCAGACTTCATCAGACGCGAGAGCGACGGGAGCACGTTGATGGGCGGGTAGATACCACGGTTGTGCATCGGCTGGTCGACGAAGATCTGGCCCTCGGTAATGTATCCCGTCAAGTCAGGGATGGGATGGGTGATATCGTTGTTCGGCATGGTCAAGATGGGGATCTGGGTGATGGAACCGTTGCGGCCCGTCACACGACCAGCACGCTCGTAGATGGTCGACAAATCCGTGTACATGTAACCGGGGAAACCACGTCGCCCAGGCACTTCCTCGCGGGCGGCTGACACCTCACGGAGGGCATCGCAGTACGCCGACAGATCAGTGAGGATGACGAGGACGTGCTTCTCGAGCTGGTAAGCGTAGTATTCGGCAGTCGTGAGGGCGAGACGGGGGGTGATGATACGCTCGATGCTGCTCTCTGTTAGCTTCTGTCCAATGGGCGAGGACCGTGGTACCTACGTGGGATCGTTGGCAAGGTTGAGGAAGAGGGTAGTGCGCTCCAGCGAGCCGTTCTCCTCGAAATCACGCGTGAAGAAACGGGCTGTTTCCAAGTTGACACCCATGGCACCAAAGACAATGGAGAAGTTGTCCTCGTGTCCGTCGTGGGTACCCTTGTTGGTAATGCCCTGCTTCTGGACCAGACTGGCCTGTCGGCAAATCTGGGCGGCGATTTCGTTGTGAGGCAGACCGGCAGCGGAGAAAATGGGGATCTTCTGTCCACGGGCGATCGAGTTCATCGTGTCGATGGCAGAGATACCAGTCGAGATCATCTCCTCGGGGTATTCCTACGCCTGTAAGCATGTGCACCCTTGCCTGCCTGTCTGGGGAGCAGTGGCTCAACGTACACGAGAGAAGGGGTTGATAGGACTTCCATTGATGTCGAGGTAGTCCTCGGCCAGGACGCGGGGGCCCTTGTCGATGGCGCGACCGGAACCGTCAAAGATACGACCAAGCATGTCCTCGGACACACCGAGCTTCAAGCTCTCGCCGGTGAATTCGACTCTGGTCTGTCATGTCTCAGCATATAATTCGTATCGTTGCCAGCACCGCAGTGTCCTACCTTCTTGACATCGATGCCAGAGGTTCCCTCGAAAACCTGCGCAGTATATCGTCAGCGAAATGGGATTGGGCTCGATGACCATTCCATAAGTACCTGGACAACGGCTCGGTCACCTGTGCGCAAAATAGTCAGCTTGGTGCCGTAGCGAGGGAGTCACGATCAATGGGGTTCTTACCGCGGGCCTCGAGGACCTGTCCAGAGCGCTCCGTGCCATCAGGCAAGGTGAGCGTCACAATCTCGTTGAACTTGGGGTATTTGACCTGTGCCGCCATCAACATGTGCTCGTCTCTCAGCCAGATACTGGGAAACCCATACATTCTCGAGGATGACCAGAGGTCCGTTGATACCACCGACAGTGTTGTAACGAATCCTCGGGACGACCGAGTATGACGACGAGTCCCCCATGGCGGGCAGCGAAGATCGAGTGGAAAGGGCGTGGCGGCGGAGGATGGTCTAGAGCCCTGCGACTGAGGTGCTTCCTGTTCAGGGCGGTGTCGAGGCGGCGTAATCCAAGTCGGCCTCGAAGTCGGGGAACGGGACGTGGAGATAAGTCGGACGGGATGAGGTTGGGTCGACAACGACGTACGTCCGGCCCTTGGTGGATTGGAGGAGGTCGACTGGAGCTCCAGTCGTCGTTGCTGAGAGAGTGGGGCGAGCTGCTGCGGTCGACGCACGGGGTGGAGCTGGCCGCCGATAGGTGAATCGTGATACTGGGAAGGCACGACCTGTGACATCACATGACCCTCTGCTCGTGGAAGTACGTCCATGATGAGGACTTGTCTTTGAGCTGATGGTCTTCTTCGTGCTGTCTGGAAATACCAGTCATGAGGGTAACGTCACGAACTCCGTCCCTTTCACTCAAGCGAGGTCAAGCTGAGGCCGCTTGGGCACGCCAAGACGAGCGGAACAACGCAGACCGCCGACATGGAAGCTCACTCATCATGGCCCCCATCTACAGAAATGAAGTTGACATGCTTGTTGTAAATTCACCTAGTAGGACAAAACTACAGCTTAGCCTTTGGAGTGGCCGCGTCCCTCGTCCTGGCCCCCAGGACCGCCTTGCCGACAGTGCTGTCGTTGGGCCTGCCCAACTCGCCCGAAATCCACGCTCCAATATCAGCCACAGCATCCAGGTCAACCCCCGTGTCCATGCCCAGCGTCTCCATAAAGTACACCATGTTCTCCGTGGCGACGTTGCCCGTCGCGCCAGGGCTGTACGGGCACCCGCCCAGACCACCGACGCTGCTGTCAAAGATCCGGACGCCGTGCTCGAGCGAGACGGCCGTGTTGACGAGCGCCTGGCCGTAGGTGTCGTGGAAGTGCATGGCAATGTCCTCCGTCCGGAGGCCCGCCGCGGAGAGGCTCCTGAGCAGGGCGCTGGTGCGTGGCGCCGTGCCCATGCCCGTGGTGTCGCCCAGCGAGATCTCGTCCGCGCCCGACTCGAGCAGATCCGTCGCAATCTCGGCGACGCGGTGGGGGTCCACGTCGTACCCTTCAAACGGACACCCGAGCACAACGGAAATGTAGGCCCTGACACGCATGCCCATCCCCTTGGCATCCTGGATCACCTCCTTGAAGCGCTCCAGGGAGGTCTTGATGTCACAGTTGAGATTCTTCTGGGAGAAGCTCTCCGTGGCGGCCGCAAAGACAGCCATCTCAACCGCGGGTTTGCTGACGTGTTCGTGGATATTGGCAGGGCTGTTCTGCGTAGAGTAGGCGTCGGGATTCTTCGTCAAAAGCGCGGCCGCGTTCTGCAGACCCTTGGTGTTGGGTGCCAGGAAAGAATACGACACGGGTACAGGGGACTGGATCTTCTTCTGTAGTATATGCTCCAGTATCTCGCTCGAGTTGGCCATCTGCATCGCGAGGCGTCAGTCATCAATTGTATCCCACCCATCTACAGCTCGATAGCCTGTTGCACTGACCTGTGGCACCCATTTTGGCGCGACAAAGGACCCGGCCTCAATGGTCGTCAAGCCCGTCTTGGCAAGTCTCTCGATCAGTTCGATCTTGGTGGCCAGCGGTATGACCTTCTTCTCGTTCTGTAGTCCATCGCGAGGTCCAACCTCGACAAGCTTCACAAAGTTGCTTGAAGTGCCGCCGGTCGCAAAGCCACGCTGCATGCGCAACAATGCTCGCGCGGGCTGTCGACAAGCTCGACAGATCGATGATCGAAGGAGGGTCATATTGACGTGGTCGTGTTTGCAGACTTGTGTCAGGAAAGAGAGCGTTGGCTTGATTGTTAGTTGGTGAGGAGGTCCTCGGAGTGGCTTGAGCCTGGGTCGAGCTCTTGTCCAATGCCGGTCTGTCGCCTACCGTCGGCTTTCGCAATGCACAGCTACCTTAGGTACCGTACCGAATGGGACCCGAACAGTACCAGAACGTACAGTCTTTCCTTCACCACATTCCTGGTCGATATGTTGCGTCTAAAAATTTATTATAACGAAATTAAAGGCGCCCTCGGCTATAATTTTGTAAAGAAGATACACTACCTGTCTGAGAGTGTGGGTGACAGACTATAGTAGAATTGGTACTCTAACCGCAGAGTCAAAGGCTTGCAAAATCACCTCGCGGACAATCTCTAAAAGTCTAGTACTCGGCCTCAAGCTCCTCCTCGCCCATCGAGTCAGCGGCGACCTCCTCGTAGTCGCGCTCCAGGGCAGCGAGATCCTCACGGGCCTCGGAGAACTCGCCTTCCTCCATACCCTCACCAACGTACCAGTGCACAAAGGCGCGCTTGGAGTGCATGAGGTCGAACTTGGCAGACAGGGAGGACCAGGCCTCGGCGATGGCAGTGGTGTTGGACAGCATGCAGCTAGAGTGATTGTTAGTCTTTTGACCTGCTGGGAAATTCACAGGTGGACTTACACAGCACGCTTGACCTTGGCGAGATCGCCGTTGGGCACGTTCTCGGGAGCCTGGTAGCAGATACCGAGCTTGAAACCAGTGGGGCACCAGTCGACGAACTGGATAGTGCGCTTGGTCTTGAGGGTGGCAACCGCACCGTGGGCTTCCTTGGGGACAACGTCGCCGCGGTAAAGCAGGCAAGTGGCCATGTACTTGCCCAAGCGGGGGTCACACTTGACCATCTGGTTGTTGGGCTCGAAGCAGGCCATGGTCATCTCCTGGACAGAGTTGGCCTCGTGGGCGGCCTTGGCCGCGGAGACGACAGGCGCGTAGGCAACCAGAGGGAAATGAATGCGGGGATAAGGAACCAAGTTGGTCTGGAACTCGTTCAAGTCGACGTTGAGGGAGCCGTCGAAGCGGAGCGAGGCGGTGATGGACGACACAACTACCAAGATTAGCATCATTTCAACGTCCCGGGCACCGGGGATTCCTTACCCTGGGCGATCAAGCGGTTCAGGTTCTCGTAGTTGGGGCGCTCGAGGCCGAGGTTTCGGCGGCAGATGTCGTAGATGGCCTCGTTGTCGACCATGAAAGAGCAGTCAGAGTGCTCCAGAGTGGTGTGGGTGGTGAGGATGGAGTTGTAAGGCTCGACGACCGAGGTGGCGGTCTGAGGAGCAGGGTAGACGCAGAACTCGAGCTTGCTCTTCTTGCCGTAGTCGACGGACAGGCGCTCCATGAGCAGGGCACCGAAACCAGAACCAGTTCCACCACCGAACGAGTGGAAGACGAGGAAGCCCTGTAGACCCACGCAGTTGTCGGCAACACGGCGGATCTTGTCGAGGACACCCTCAATGAGTTCCTTGCCGACGGTGTAGTGACCGCGGGCGTAGTTGTTTGAGGCGTCCTCCTTGCCAGTGATCATCAACTCGGGGTGGAACAGGTTGCGGTAGGTGCCAGTGCGGACCTCGTCGACGACATTGGGCTCGAGATCGCAGTAGATGGTGCGCGGGACATACTTGCCCTGACCTGCGTTCCATGTCAGTATGGGTGCGGCGAGACAACGCAGCTCGCGGTCGTCGTCGTCGTCGAAGACGTACCAGTCTCAGAGAAGAAAGTGCTGAAGCCCTGGTCAGGATCCTGGGCCTTGCGCTCATCGGTGAGGTAACCATCAGGCTATTGTGTGGTCAGTGGGTGGTCTTGTGATGGCGTGTCGTCGGATCATCGCTTTACCTGGATACCGTGCTCGAGGCAGTAGAGCTATCAAAATGTCAGATGAGGGTACAGTGCGGGCAGCGCGCAAAAGGGGTTTGGAAGAAAAACATACCTCCCAGCAGGAGTTGGCGATTTGGCAACCAGCCTGGCCGACTATAGCATGATGTCAGCATATTTTAGGTTCTGGCCAGCGGCCGCTGGTAGCAGCGGTGTGCGAACGACGCGTTCTCCCACGAGCCTAGGTGCCCACTACTCACCGTTGATGCTGATAACCTCACGCATGGTGGAAGTTTTGACGGAGACCTTTTATGATTCGAAGACGAACTGGGCAGCAACGAAAGCCAGCCGATGGACAGAGGGTGGAGAGTTGTATATGAGCGGCGAGGATGGAGTGCAAGAAGAAAGGAAGAGGTTCGGGTTCGTCGACGTTGGGTAGATGAAAATAGGTGGGGGAAATTTGGGCTGGACAGGGGTTCGCCGGCGGGTGGCTCTGGTGTTTGCCGGGCCAGCGAGTGGATTTGTTGATTTCCACGACCGACGTGTCTCGATGGGGTAAGCGCGTCTGCACTGGCAGCTGTTCAAATCAGCTTCACCGCTGGTGGGTGGTAGATGACAATCTTATCGCACCACAACTCAAAAGTGCGTGGTAGTATTGAGGCAACCTCCAGATATCTTCTGGAGGGAGCCTCTGGTCACAGCTCCAGATATCTTCTGGAGGAAGCCTCTGGTCACATCAATATGTAATTTACCGCCGTCGTACCGTGATGGATATACTAAAATTGAGCTGTCAAATGCCATCAACAGGGCGCTGATCTCGGGGGCACCCATGCACAGTCGCACCGCCACACGTGCTCGCCAGCCACATTTGACCTCATACCTTACACACAGTCCAACAATCTCAGTCAGGACTCAGGCTCCAGCCATCCAAGATGTGATTACAACAACAACCATGCGGATGGTCCTGCTTTTTCTGTGCCTTGCGGCGTCTCTCGTCACTGCCAATGTCGAAAAGGCTATCTTCCTAGGTCCTCCATCGATCAATGTCCCGCTGCAACAGCCCACCCTGTCAAGCCTCAACCTTGACACCCTGACGCCAGAGAGCTCCACGATTCGTACACGGCTCCCGAGAAGCTTCCAAACAGGAGACTCACCGGGCCAGACGTCATGGCTCATACTTGACGGGTTGACAGAGGGTCAAAGATATGAGCTCCGCGTCTGCTGGTCAGCCATGGTAAGCAATGCTCCCACCATTGGGGCCTCCTCCAGGGTGCACGCTCACAGTCTATTGAGGAACCCACCGCCTTTGATATAGAGACCTTTGATGTCGAACATGTCTTCGAAACGCCAGAACTCATACAATCGCTCTCAGACTTCGCATACGCCCGGGTCGGGACTGCAGCTGATCCTGTCGACGTGACCACGAATGAGACAGAAAAGACTTCCTCCGTTTTGTTTGTGCGCATCATTACAGCGGCAGACTACTACTCAGATTATACCGAACTCATGGAGAACCCGCCTCCTGTGCTGGTCGACCTCATTCTCGACCCGTTCCTCTTCAACGTCTTACCACGCTCACTGCTTCCGACGGGAGGCTATATAATCTGCGTCGCTATCGTTGCGTGGTTCGTCGCCAGCTACATCACCTCACAGGTAAAGTCCTTCGCGGAGTGCTCGAGCACGATGGAGAAGAAGAAGCAGTAATCGAGAATCTTTGGTCATCATATACTGCATATAAGCCAATTCCGCCGTTCCCTCGGTCTACTTTAACGTTCATAAAAAGAAAACAGCAGTTCAGCCGACCCTGGACAAATCATTATTCATGCATCTTTCGAAGACTTCTTTCTACTCCTGCAATAAAGGAAAATGGCCTGGTTGTGATATCCAGGCATGTGACACGTGCAGGGAAATCATCGTTCGCCAACGTCCAAATGGAGAAACCGACACCCTGTGCTCTATACTTCTCTCTCTTGGGGCCGCGCCAACATCTCAGTACGGGTAGCCACCGTGCGACTGCTGCTGCGGCTGGCCATAGTTCTGGCCGTGCGGTTGACCATAGGATGGCTGACTGCCGTACGGCTGTTGCTGCCCGGGATAACCGCCATAGCCAGCCGGGGGTGCGCCGGCTGGTGGGTTGTATTGCGGCGCATGTCCTCCTCCCTGTTGCGGGGCCCCATAGTTTGGCTGCTGTCCATATGCGTGTGACCCAGGCGGAGGAGGCTGAGAACTGTTGTGATCGTAGCCTCCAAACTGCTGCTGGCCTGGTGGAGGACCCTGGGGCGACGGGTAATTTTGATAGTGAGACGGGCCTGTCGACGGTGGTTGAGAGTATTGCTGGTGGGCGCTGTGAGACTGCTGGTGCTGATGCTGACCCGGCGCAGGCGAGCCGTACCCTTGCGCTGATGAACCTGGAGGAGGGCCGCCTGACGAGCCAGGAGGCTGATATGTCGGTGCTTGACCGGAGTACCCACCATTGCTGCCTCCATTTGCCCCCGAGTTCGAGTAGCCATAGCCCTGGGCCTGTCACACTTCTGTCAGTACCCCATACGTTACAAGGCCACAGAGTCCACCTACACCACCGCTACCATCATGTCCTGGCTTGTTACTGCCAAAGAGGTTCGTGACGCCCCCCGTGACAGCGCCAGCCAATCCTCCACTGGGCGAGTGCGAGGACTGTCCCGACGTCGATCCGCCGTGGTAATTCTGACCCTGCCCTGAATGGCCCGACGGCTTGTTCGAAGAGGATAGGAAACTAGAGGCAAGCTGGCCGACGAGCTTGCCGGCCGAGTTCTTACCCCCAGAGCCGCCATGCCCCCCGCTGCTGTGACCGTGCGATCCTCCGCCCCCTCCCAGGAACTGGCCGGCGAGGCCACTCAGTGGACTCGAGGAGGAGTTCTGCCCACCGCCGCTCTGGCCGTGCTTACCGCCCAGGAGCGCATTCATGGCCATACTCTACACCACGCGACCAGTGTTAGCCGCGCTCTCGCTGACGCGCGCCGTGGCCCAAGGAAAACTTACCCCGAGTCCCCTGTCTCCGCTGGATCCGTCGCCCCCCCTCATACCGTCCGGCAATATCGGTTCCATCGTCCCATCGGCGTGGCGCATCGTCTGCGATCCGTCCGGGTGCGTGATGAGCTGGGGGGGCGGTGGTCCGCCCGGTGTGCCGTAGGGGTGGTCCGGCACGGGGACAGGCGTGTTGCCCGTCTGCGCGGCCTCGGTGGGAATCTCCCATTGCGACACGCCCGTCGCGAGCTGGACGTAGTAGTACTTTTTGCTGGCGCCATCCCACTGCGCGATCCAGCCTGCGGGGAGCGGTGGCGGGGCAAACGTGGGACCGTCGGCGTTGGGGGAGGCTGGACCTGCCATGGTGGGAGCGGTGTCCTCGAGGGACTGGGTTGGGCGTCGAAGATGGATCAAGAAGGTATTGTAGAGAAGAGGACGATGCGTATTTGGGGGAGAAAAAGAAAAGGATGGAAATGGAAACCCGGAAGTGGGAGAAGGTTGGAACGACGGATGGGGTGCTGGGCTGATGTAGGTCAGTGGGCTGGTCCCTGGACTCTGGAGGGTCCTTCCTGGCTGCCCGCGCCACAGCGGGCTGAAAATCAACAGCCTGTGAATGAAAGCCTGTCGGGCGGTGAATAGGTTGGATTTGGGTTGATTTGGCTTGTCAGATAACGTCCACGTCGCTGACCTCCAGTGATCAGCTAAATTCGACCACTGTGGCCGCCCATGAGTGACGCCGGATGGGGATGGCCTCATCCACGTAGCGTCTAAGCCACACCTTCACTATCGCGTGGCTTGACTTTTTATCCGCAGTTCAGCTCAGCTGAAGACCATCTCGTGCGGCAAGGCATTTTTTTTTTGTAAATTTACAAATCAAGGCCCTCTCGAGCGCCGCACGGAAAAGACACTATTTAATTCACTTGGCATAAAGCGTGAGTCAAACGCCATCTAAAGGGGGCTGTCGACACAGTGCTCGCAGTCTTCATACTGTGCATGCATGTCACGCACCACACGCTTCCGTCGCTAGTAACATCGCGTGCATCTTCATTTCATGCATCACTGACATGTTTGTTTTGACCTGAACATCATCGCCGCAATTTCACACACGTAGCACAGGCAAAGCATTCTTCCTCATCTTCATTGTATTTTCATCCTGTCAGAGGACCGGCTATGAGTAAACCACGACATGAATCCATAGTCCCCTTAGCCACTGTCCCCTCCTCCAAATACCGAGAGTAAACCAAACGAGCGAATCGTGGCACGTGGCCAGTCGCGAAAAGCGAAGAAAGCGAGAGACTATGTCCAATCTTTTCCCACGCATTCGATGAGAAAAGCAAAAAAAAGTATGTACTGGAATCGAAACCCGGAGCAAAAGTCGTCGACCCAGTCGTTGTGACTTTGCACCTCCATCTTCGTTCCATCAACCAGCAGCCACCAGGAGCTGCGTCCAGCAAGCGAATCTGGGAAAAGGGAAAAGTCCCCTTACGCCCGCGCCTCCCTGGCGGCGATGCGAGAGGCACGGAGCACCTGGCCGTAGTTTGGGGCGGGCGACCGGGCGCGAGCAATGATGAGAGAGTCCGACTTGCCGACCTTGCACACGGTACCAGCATAAGGCGCCATGCGGTCGGACCAGATGCCCGAAGCACAGCGCTGGTACGACGCGCCCCCGTCGATGCAGTTCCACTCGCCCTCCCGGTCGCAGGCAGAGCCGATTTCCATGAGGCCTACATCAGACTGGCCGTCGTCGTTGCCGCCGGCATTGTCGTTGGTGGGCGCGGGGTCGGCTGTGCGGACGCTGGTGGCGAGCGTGGTAGGCTTGTCGCTGGCAGGAACGGTAATGAAGACACCGCCAGGGCTGCTTGTTGGTGAGCTGATGTTCTTGCTTGCGGAAGGCGAAAGAGGCAGCGAGGGCATGGTCGGAGAGACCGAAGGTGAGGAGGAGAAAGGGGTGGGAGATACTGACATTGTCTTGGTAGGCTGGGGCTCCGCAGACGTGGTCTGCACAGGCTCCTGGGAGGGCTCAGGCTGGGGCTCAGGCTCAGGAGCCTTGGCGCCTTCCGCGCATGTACCAGTGGGAGGAGCAGTCTGGTCCTTGGGGGTCTTGCGAGTGACATCGGGGCCGGGGTTGGGGAACTCCAGGTCTTTGCCCTCAGCAGTACCGCAGCCGTTGCCTACATTGGCCACGAACATGGCAGGACGGGAGGTGAAGGCATCCCCAGGAGCGCGCGCATCGACGTCGGCACGCTTCTTGCCGCCGCCAATGGTCACGACGGCGCAGTTCATGTACATCTCGCGGTTGCCAACCTGGTTGAACCAGGACCAGCCGAACAGGGCCTCACCGGCGGGCGTGTCGTTGGGGACGGTGAAGTCGTAGTTGGTGTCGCCGGCGGAGATAGGGCAGTTGCCAATGTACGAGTGGATGACGGTCCAGGTCTTGCCGCTGTCGTAGGAGAGGGAGGCCTGGCACGAGCCGCCGTTGTGGGGGGTGCCGCCGGTGATGGTGAAGGTGTAGGTCTGCCCCGGCTGGTAGTTGATGACGGACTGGCCCTGGGGGGTGCCCATCAGGCTCTGATAGCCCTTGCAGGGGAAGTCGGAGCCACCTGCGTTGAGGGGGCTGGTCATGGAGTAGTCGACGTCGGTGGTGAAGTCGTTGAACTTGGATCGGAAGGGTGGCGGGTTCTTCATCTCCATGTGGGCGGAGGCCAGGCCAGCCAGGCCAAAGAGGGCGCCGAGGATGCCAGCGTTCATCTTCATGATTGCGGTTTTGGTTGCGAGTGCGTTGCGTGTGTATGTGTGAAGAGTAGGGTGCGCTCGTTCTGGTTCTTGAGTGCGGATGAAGGAGTGGTTTCGTTTGGAGACGGCAGAAGAAGTCTCTGATATTTATTTACAAGGTGCTCCTGGCTGTGCGATGTGGGTTGCGTCAGATGCGGTGTTTCCCAGTGAACGGGCAAGTTCAGATGAAGTGAGGGTCACGTTCGGGTGAGCGGTCACGCGTGGTGGGTTGTTCAGTGAATCGCTTGTTCGAAGGAGAGGCTGTTGTTGGCGAACACTGTCAAAGTATCGACGTCAGGTGTTGCTGTTCTGAAAGGAGGGTGTTCTGAAAGGAGGGTACAAGGAGGTCTCAAAGGTATAGTAGATCAAGCACCAGGCTCTGAGGAGACAAGAAGAAGCAGATGGGAGGACTGGAACAACAGAGGCGGCGTCACGACGGGTTTAAGTACAAGCTGAGTGTCTGCCGTCGATGGTCAGTCACCGGGGAGGAAGGTGTAAGAGTCGTTTGATGTGGCATTGCATCTCACCTTACTATGGATACTCACGACGTACCTTGGTCTCAGATGTTCATACTACCCAGAGCCTAGGTGCATTATACCCACCGATTCACGCATGGCACGCGCTTACAGCCGGTTCCTGGCATCCGACACGCCGGTCTATGGGATGTGGGAGCTCTCATCAGACCAACTGGCTTCAGGTAACAGAAGGTTGCTACACGATACATACCAGGGGATGGCTAGGAACCACTCGTGCCTTCGGATTACCCACACGACACCCCGGGGGCCCCCTGGCCACCAGAAGATATGTTACGTTGTAACTTACTTGCCTCTTGCGGACGGCCCTGGCTCTGCCTAGTAGTTGCGCCAGAGACGTGAGAGAAGTTTCACGGCATGGCAGCTGTCATTGGTGCACAGCAGCCGCTGGGCGAGCAGCGACGTAATGGAGACATACCTTATGCAGACTGGAGTGTCTCACTGTCGCGGCGTCGAATCCGGCACCACTGGCCTTGACTCCAATCCGCCCGCGCCCGGTTACCGGTTGTCATCCGCTGTTCCTGATCTGCCTTACAAGTTATAGCTAGGTAACCAACAAATCAAATCCTAGAGCATGCGCCCAGGGGAAAGCTTTTGCAGCGGATCCTTTGTTCGATGCGCCGGGGCTGGTGTAGCCGCCACCCCTGAGCCAATCATCCACCTGCGCGGCTAGACTCTCGAAACAAGGACGTCGACTCTGCACTTCATGTTCACGTTGGAAACAAAGACACCCCTTTGTGTCTTCTTTGTTTGGTATGTCAGATCTTATTGTCTCATGACTCTAGCCACCGGCGGACGAAACAATGCGCATACACAAACCGATTGGGTAACAGGGTAGGTTGACAAGGACCTCGCTGCCGCCCGGAACGTAAGTTGTTGTGCATTCACTACTATTGCTAGGCACATACAATATTCGGTGATCCCAACGGGCATCGATGGAACAGTGCTAAGAGACCGAGAGTCACCTGAGGAAACGGAGGCTGGATACCCTGCATGTGCGTTACCTGCCCTTTTCTGCCAGGCGTCATGGCCACCCTGGCAGCAGTGAATGCTTTGCATGATCATCGCACCATCAGCCGCTCGAGCGACTTCAAATATCGGCAAACGAATACTCTACTTGGATGAACAGTCGAATCTATCACAGCAGGCATCGTTCATCTCACTTCGCTGACATGTGTTAACGTGACGCCCGATGAGGCTGCTAGTCTATTTAGTGTGCCCTCCTGATCATTGCATGTGACAACAGGAAGAGCAAACAATTGTAGCCGACACCCGTTTCTAAACTCCCTTTGATCGACACGATCGATGTGAAGGATGTGATCTACATGACATATAATGTTACAGATTCAACACCACAGAATAAGCACTCCGTGGCTTGACACCACCGAGTGCACCCTTGCCAAACCCCTATCCTAAGGTACCGATCGCCCGGCCCCAACCCGACGTCCCTCTGCACAGCGGTCGTTTCGACTCTCGAGGAACAATAAACCTGCCTGGATACCTTGACGTAATCAGCTTTTCAAGTTCAGGCCTGCGTTGCAAGTGTAATTATTTCTTAGTCATGGGGCGTCAATGCAGGTCCCGCGCTTGTCTGGACTCTGCTCATCCCTGGGCGGCAAGCCGCATGGTTCTGTCGACGAATTGGGGATAAACGATTGTCTCAAGGCTGTTTCAACGATTCTGATCTACAAATCCTTTCAACGGTATAGCTGGTACCACGATAATTTGCTGTTTATGGTCTGAAGATATGACGGCTGCCCGTCTGTGACCTATTCGTACTGCCGCTGACTTTGACCTTGCTGGACGACTTTGCATGCAGCAATGCCGAGCTGATCATCCACTTGGCACTCTGAGCCTCTAATCTTGATCCAGCATCCCTGATCGCTGCCAGCCGTGGGTTCTGCGTCGCATACACAGCAAGCTATTACCCAAGTTGGGCCACTCCAAGTCCAGATGTCCTCGACTTGCCTAATCAAGCCGGGGTAGTCCCCAGCTCGATCCAGCTGGCCCAACGTAACGTAACCTCTTGTCTCCGTCGACCTAAAACACCGAATGCCATCATACCAAGATACCGTAGTACTCATTTTCCTTCTGCTTTGCTCTCCTCTCACTCGAAGCACACTGCTGGTGATGTTGCAGGCGCACACAAGCCAGCACGCTATCCGTGGCTGGCCTCGACCAAACAGACAATGCGCGCCGAGTTACGACTGCCGTCACATGAAATAAGACACGCAATGGCGAGACGCAGTCGCACCTCGAGTTCAGATCCATGCAGAGCGGCTCAGGTCGAGACACGTAGCACACGGGACCAACTAACCACAAAAATGTCAGCTAGGCTTCATCTGACAGCAAGGTGGCCTCGGGTACCTTGATTCATAACACTTCCTTTGCTTGTAGATATTCACCACCGAACGATGATAGCTACCGATGCTCCGTATCGCCATATACCTCAATGCCCGACATCACCACGGTGGCTTGGCTTATCCAGTACCGCATCTTTCTGTGAGTAGAGCCCCGACCGCCACAGACCCACGCAAATCTTGAACATTCAGGGCCAAGGCTCGTGCCGTCCCCGCCACACTTCAACTAGTCTCATCTGAGCCTTTCCCTATCCGCGCTTGGCTCGATGGTGTCTGTCCCGTGCTAGGTTCGCCGGCAGGCGGCTGTCCCTGCGTGCTAGGGTTTCGACTAAAGCTGTGGCTCCCTCTCCGCTGCTGATGGCCCGCTTGTGAATGATGCTGGTAAGGGCTGGTTCCAAAATGATGAGATCCTCCTGCGCCGCTGTAGCCTCGGGGGTGCGACACTGCGCTGCAGTCAGCCAGTCTGTTCGGCAAGGAAGTAGCCATGCAGACAATGGGTTTACTGACTTGGACCAGCAGGCTGTTGTGGCTGCTGCTGCTGATGGTGCCCTGGACCAAACGAGGGCTGGCTGTACTGCACGCTTGGGCTCATTCCGTACATCGGCTGCCCTTGCTGCGAACCTTGGTGGGCCATCATCGGGGCGACGGGACGCCCTGGGCTAGGGTAGCCGTTCGCGCCTGGTCCTTGTTGCGGAGGTCCACCGTGAGGCATGAATTGGGGGTTGCCTCCGGGATACATCATCTGTGGGTTGCCGACCATGCCCTGAGGGCCGGGCATGAATTGTGGTTGCATCATCATCGGGCCTCCCATTTGACCATGCTGGGGCATGTACTGATTGGAGAAGTTCCGGTACTGATTCATCTGGGGAGTTCCGGGCCCCATGTAGGCCGACTGGCTGGACGGAAGCTGCGCTGGAGAGTTCATGGCCGGATAGGCCATCGATGCCGGAGGCATGCGAGGTGACGCAAAAGACTGAGCCGAGTTTGAGTGAACCATTCTATGATCATCATGCCCAAACTGCTGATAAGGCCCCGGGCCGTGTTGGGGCCCATGCATTTGCATGTGAGGGAGGTGAGGTGACTGGCGCGGCCCCATGTTGTGACTGCCCTGTTGCAGATGGAACGGGAGTTGATGCTGGTGTGGTAGGTGGGGAGCAACGTGTGAGGAACTGGGTGTGGCCATGCTTGATCCTCCAAACGGCTGGCGTTCGAACAATTCTTTGACTGTCAAGTGCATGGTCGACTCGGGGCTTTCGTCGTCCTGGAATTGCCTCCACGTCGGTGGCGTGTCGTAGGAAGGACGCAGACCGCCATTGTCATCCCACTTCCGGCCTGGTGGAGGTTCAATAGCCTTGATGGTCGACAAGATGTTACACTTCTGGCAGCTGACGTTCTTCGTCTTTCGGCGGATGGGAGGCGGCCCCATGGCCAAGGGCGTACCCATGGAACCAGGTGTGCCCATGGGTTGCGCGGACCCGCTTGTGCTATCCGATGCTGGGTTCGTAGCAGGTCGTGGACTGGATGCGGTGCTCTGACCTGGATTGAACGTAGGGGCAAAGGCATTGGGGCGGAATTCGCTGCTGTTGGGATTGAGCTTGGCTCCCATGTGTGATGGCACGCCGCTCAACCGACGGTTGACATTGGGGTCGCTGCCAACAGCGGGCCCAGTGGGCGGGATCCTGCCATCCTGAAGGGGCACTGTTGCAGGAGGCATGCCAAACTTGCCCGGATTCTGTGAGTCGGCGTTGCGAAGTCTCTGAGCCAGGCTGCCTGGTTGAGGCTGCTGGGCGCCCATCTGCTGTGGACGATTGTTACGATACTGAGAGTACTGTTGCTGCTGGAATGACTGGCGAGGACCAGCATGACGGTTGGCACCATTGCCCTGAGAGCCCATCTGGTTTGCATTTGGACCCTTGGGAGGGCGAGCATCTGCGCCGGTTCGTGGGGGTTCCTGCTCGCCAGCTTTCACATGGCCTTCTTTGCCAGCTACGGCTTTCGGCTTGGACGTGACGTCTTTGCTCTTAGTCCGCGCGACCTCCTCTGCATTCTTAATGGCCTTGGCTTGGATTTCGATCTGTTTGGTAGGGTCCTTGGCAATAATGGAGACCAGGTCGGTTGGAACAGGGGTTGATAGCTTGAAGGTGCTGGCGAATTTCTTCAGCTCCGTCAACTTCACTTCCTTGTCCGCCTTGGCTTTGCTACTCCGAACTTGCTTGGCTGTCTCGCGTTGCTGGTTGGCAAAATTCTTGAAATGATGAAGAACATCACGCTCCACGGTTGATGTCGCGCTGGCCACACCCTCTTGCGCATGGGGAGACAAGGTGCGGCCGTTGACTGACGAATTGGGTCCTGGCGCAGGCGCAGCGAGTTTCTCCGTCTTTGTGCCATCAGTCGATTTGCTAGTCCCAACAGTAGCAGGAACACTCTCCGGGCCGGGGGTACCGGCGCTTGCGGATGTTGCGTTGGGTCCCGGTGAAGTGCCATTCGTGGGCGCTGGCGACGCGCGTGCCTTGCTCTCCTCGGGCGTTGGAGTTGACTGCTTCTTGACAGGAGCTTTGATCTGAGAGGAGATGATCGCAGGGTCCACAGGAGCACCTTTCACGGTCGATTGCGATGTTGGCGCTCTCTTAGCAGGAGCAACATATCTGTTCTCACGCCCTGCACCAAGAGGAGGGAAGTCTTGCTGCCGGCGAACACCACTGTACCTAGATGCTGTTAGCTGAGGTGTGAAAACACTACCGGTCTTGAGGGCGCGTACTTGTCCTCTTCGTTCTCGCCTCCATCATCCTTTCCACTGGCCGTGAAGTCCATCTGTCGTTCTTCGGCGACATGCGCCGTGGTTGCTTCGCTGCGTTCGATTTCCCGAGCCTTCTTATCGGCGGCTGACATCCGCTCATTGTACCGGGGGTCGCTTCTGTTGATCGATGTGGTGTAGTAGTTCTCGTCGTAATCGGACTTCAACCCGAAAAGTTTCTCATTCTCGGCAAATTGATCCCACGCGGCGCCGCTACTACCACCGCCGCCGCCGCCGCCGCCGCCTGATGGCCTCTCGAGACTGCCATCGACAGCGTCGTTGGCATCGGGCACCCATCGTTGCAATACCCTCTCTTGACCATGCCGGCTGTTCGAGATGGCTGAATCCGTTCGAAATCCTCCACGATTTCCTGCAAGTAGTTTAGAAACGTAGGCAGTATCTGACAGAGTGCAAGACCACTCACCACTTTGGCCACGGCCACCTGCCGAGCCCTCCTTCTTTCCACCAGGCATAATCCGGCAAGAACTGCGATTATGACAATGTGTGTGCGGTGAGAGCTCGATTTCGATGGATCATGCGGAAGGGTCCGGTCAGACTAAATAGTGACTTCGACCGTTGAGAAGAGGAGCGTGTGTCTTGACAGGGTCAAGTATGAAGTGCTTACGCTACAATTTCACAAATACTTAGTTAGCAAGCAGTCGTCCCCGGAACGCAGACAGAAATCTGAGACAATGGCCGCATAGGAGGGGTTGGGGGGCAAGGTCCGCAAATATCAATTTGACCAAGCGAGTTGGACGGAGCTTGTCGCGTGGGAAAAGGCTCTACTGGAGAGAGCAGGCTACTCGAGAAAGCCTTGCAGTGATAGGAACGGAACTTTGGTGGGACAAACCTGGTGTCGGAACAGCTGTCGTTCTGTGTGTGTTACTCCAAGGCGCCACCAACTCGGTGTTGATTCGACGGTCACGGACACAGTCGTAATTGTAGAAGCATTAACAAGCTGGCCCTATATCTAGTAGTATTAGCGTGAGTTTGTGTCCCAATTCTCAACGAGAGACTGTGCAGACGACGCCAATCGAAGCCTATGCGAAACAACCGGCATCTGAGCCGGGTCTCGTGGGGAGCTGAAGCTGGAGCCCAAAACCTGGCCTCGCCATACCGCACACCTCGGAAAGCGAGCTTACCTCGTTGGAAAGATAATCAAGGGTCGAAAAGCGAGAGACTTGGAACCAAAGTGAGGAAGAAAACGGCGAGGCGCGATCGCTTGCTGCTGTCGGGGCGCAATGCGGAGTGAAGCAGAGGTGTCGTCCAAGAGCGCCCACGGATAATGGGAACGGCCACGAGAGAGGGCTGTGTGGGAAGAGAGCACCGGGAAGGAACAGAGACAGCAGCGTCCAGCCTTGCTGTTTGTATGTCGAAGCGGAGTGATGTTTGCGATCGTGCGCAATCGGCTCGGTGGAAGGCGAGGGATTCTTGAGGAGGAAGTGTGCGGTGCGGTGGTGGGTGTGACGCTTGGGATACTTTGCCTTTCTTCTGGCGTGGTGGTTGTTTTCCCCCCCTTCGCGGTCCAGCTAAGTTGAGCTTAGTGTCCAGTTGAGGGAAAGGGCGTTGTGAATGGCCAAGCATGGACCATGCCCCCCCACAACTTACCCTATGAAGCGACTTTTCCAACGGGAACTACAAGTATTGACTGCTAGTACGATGTAATTATTTATCACCTCTCGTTGTAGTCGACCATTGACTGACATAACATTTGGTCCATGATGAAGGCACACGATCAGGCTGATCCATCACGCCAAGTAGTATGTCTGCTCAATGACAATGGGACGTAAAAGCGTCTGCGTGTGCTTGCATCGCTGCCGTAGGGGCCGCCTGCCGTTTATTCCCAGGTAAGGTAGTCGTGCGCTGCTCGAAACTCTATTCCAGCTCATGGTCAGACAAGGTACATTCCCGGTGTCTTTCCTCCTTTGCCTCTGATCATGACCCCGTCGTCCTGTCCTCAGGCTGACGAGCTGAGGGCTGTCGCTCTTGAGGTGACGGGAGAAGGACCACCATCTTAGCCTGATGACGCGCCGAGCTTTCCAAAAACTTTGTCCAAGACGTATAGCTAGCTGACCCTGTCACGTTTGGAAATGATATGAGCTCTTCACACGTGCAAATGGTGAACAAAGGAATTCTTCTACAGATATGGACAAACGAGGAGCGGTAAAGGCTCCCCATCTAAGCGACCTTGACTGTTGGTACAAGCAAACACGCCCCTCTAACCCCCATCTATACCCGCAGACCAAGCTGCTCAGCGTAAGGCAACAAGAAGAGGTCACCGACGGACGAGACGGAGGCCTTGCCCTCGAGGAGAGCCTTGGCAGCCTACAACCAGGGTCAGTGGGAATGTGTGAGATCGAGATTGGATAGCAACTCACATTCTTCAGGCTCTCAGCAGAGACCTTCTCGATTCCTTGAACAAGGCTGGCGGGCTCATAGGCCTTGCCAGTGTTGACAATGCCGGAGCCAACAAGGTGGAGGCTAGGCTCGCGGAGCTGTGTAGCGTCGAGAGCGTTGAACTTGGCGTTGGCGACCGCCTTGGCAACCTCCTCCTTGGGAACGGAGCCGTTGGCAATGCTCTCCAGAGACTTGACGGTAGCCTCGGCACCGGCACGAACCGAGGCAGCCGGGCCGGACAGCTGGACGGCCAGAAGGCCGGCATCAGAGTAAGGAATGTTGGAAGCAGACACGTTGAGGCCAACCACGTCCGAAGTGGCCTTGGAGAGCAGGCTGTAGCCGGTCGACCACTTGATGGTGGACTTGCCGCCGAGGAGAGCGGCCAGGACAGCGACCTCGGGCTTGGGCGCAGTGTAGGCGGAACCAGGGAAAGCAATGACCATGGCATTACCACCGGTGTGGGTTGTGCGCTGCTCACCACCGTAGTACTTGGTCGCGGTAGCGTCAAACTTCTGGCCAGACTGGGCAGAGGACTGCACGTCATTGAAGAACTGGCCGACCCACTTGGACACGTCCTGCGAGCTGGCGCCGTCGGCGACAAGGGCAAGAGAAGGCTTGGTGTAGACAGCGTCGGCGAAGCTAGCAATGTACTCCTCATTCAGGTACTTCTTGGAAGGCGTCGAAGGGGTGGGGTAGACGGAGGAACCCAGGCCAGTGTGGAAAGCAACCGAGTGGGCGTTGTCGAGGGCGAGGGCAGCAACGTTGTTGTAGAAGTTGTTCTGCTTGATGCGCAGAACGGGCTCAATCTCCTCGTGGAACTCGTGAGCTGACGAGGATTAGCTTCAACGCCCGAAAACAGCCAGCCTCAATTCTTACTGGTGTACTTGGTCATGGAGACCACCTCGGCCAGGAGCTCGGCAAAGTAAGGGAGGTCATCGCGGAGGAAGCTGGCCTCGAGGATGAGGGCCTCGCGAGTGTGCGAGGAGGCCAATTGGCCACCCAAAAGCTCGGACTCGCGGGTGATTCGGAGAGCAGTTCGGCGTTGGGTGTTCTACGCCAGCGTCAGTCGGGTCGGATTCTTCGCATATACACATCCCGATTGCCTCACCTTGAACGCGTACTCCTCAAGACCGACGGTCAGTCCAGGCAGCGGCTGGAAGCGTGTACCAGCCTTGGCAACAATAGCGAGCTTGGTCGTAGGGCCGTGAGAATCACGCGAAGCAACCTTGAGGCCCGAGCCGTCGGAAGTCTCAAAGGCGCCAGACGAGGATGCAGCGGAAGCCAAGGTTCGTTGCTGCGCAGGGCGAGCCGCCCAGGACCGGCGGACGGCCTGCTGCGCGTTGCGCGCGAGGGCTGCTCTCGAGATCATGGTCGAAATCGAGGTCGAGGTCGATGTCGTAGGGAATTGACGTCCGTTAGCCGTCGTGACGGATTAATTGGTCGCCAGAAGAAGTGCCTCGTCGAAAAGCTTCCCGTCTAATTTTCGGAGCGGAAGGTATCACGTGACTATGGAAAACTGGTGTGGGTACCACCTGTTGGGCCGGAGCTGCATTTGGCGACGAATCATAGACAGACCATTTCGAAGGCAAGCTCTACAGAGGTACAAAAGAATACCATCTTATGGTTGCACGGCGGCGCAACGGTTCAAGAGCTGAATTCGGTGCCAAAGGCGTCAAGAGGTTTCACCCATCAGAGGGCAGCCATAGTCTTCGCGACTGTTGTGTGAACCCGATTTATACTTCCACCGGAGAAGGTAGCAGTTGAATGCTGTTGAGGGCCCAGCTCGTCCATCTCCCCCTCCGTCTTTACTCCGTACTGCCAACAAGGTTGACAATAACCGGACATGGAATCAACTACTGGTAAAGCAAAGCGTTGCTTCTTCTTTGATCGTATCGCAAGACAATATCTATGCACTGGAGCTATGCTGCATACTCGACCCAAATCATAAAGTGAGAGACAGTGTGACTGTGGGCAATGCTGTACTGACATGTTTATGAGTTTGTGAGATAGGCAGGACACTTGGATCACCCAATTAACATAAGGTTGATGTCCAGACAAGTAAGTATGTGAGGCCATGTCAAGGCTTCCTTATGTGAATGACTGATGGATTGCGATGTTGAAAAGCCATCCTAATTACAGGTAACCAACCCCACTGTGGAGGTTGCCAGTGAGTCCGCCCGTCAGGTCAGTTTTGGGTGGGTGCCGAATGCTTCCAGTCATTCGGCAGCGGGCCATTCCTCAAGTGGGTGGGCGCTTTCGCAAAAAATTAAAAACATATCTTAACTTGTCGAGCGACAACAATACCGTCTTCATCGCTATTGCTTCCATTTCGAACACTCGCGAACTCGACGTGCAGTGTCTTACCAGAGATCAATGTCGCTACGGTAGTAATTGCGACCGCTCCTGAGATAGTGAGAGGATCTCTAGGAGCAGTATGCTCGTGGTGAGTCGTCCAAGCAGCCGCCCATCCGCCCATCCCACCGAAGCGAGACCAATTGCTAACCATGGCGCACCAGACCAAGCACGCTGCTGAGCTGTGTGCTCTCCTAGTCAGCGATCTTCACGGCGAACTTCCTTCGGTATGCAACATCTTCCAAATGGCCCCTCATCGAGGGGCTGGGTGCTCCTCCAAGCCCCGCGACTGACGTCGTCCACGCAGCGTATCCTCATAGCTCTACTCACCAAAGGACGATGCAACGTGACCCAGCTCGGTCGACACACGTCGCTCGGTGCGCGACACCTGCGCAATGGACTCGCCGTCCTATTTCAGCATAATCTCCTCTATACCCGCATCGACAACGAGACGAGGGTAGCCTCCTACGATGCCAACCCGGAAGCTTGCTACAACCTCATCCGAACGGGCAAGATCCTCGACATGGTCGACCGGCAGTTTGGTACATCGGAGCGTGACGTGATTCAGACTCTGCTCCAGCTCGGACATGCCCGGATCGGTGATCTGAAGCAGGCGTTCGATTCGAGAAACGCATTGGTGAGCAGCCGATCGAACGGAACGAACGGTCACACGAATGGCATGGTCTCTTCCGACAACGAACTCTACGTCACTCTGGGCCGACTTATTCAAGCTGATCTTGTCGAGACCGTGCGCGCCGACTCTTTCCGCAATCCGATCGATGTATATCACGAGATCAAGACCGAGGCTACCAAGATCGCGCCGGGCGAGAAAGCCACAGGCACCAAACATGAACAGCAACAACAAATTATCAATCGATGGCGCACGTATCGCGAACAAAGCAAGGGCGTCAAAAGGCAGTTGGATCAATCACGAGGCAGGATATCCAAGAAACGGAAGCTTCAGAATGGCCATGCTGCCAGTACAGACTACGATGATGAGGACAACCTACACCATGTCCCCCAGTTGGCTGTAGGTCATTGCAAACCATGCTCTCGGTGATTGTCTGTCATTCTAACATGAAGCTAGCCGAACATGATCGTCCGGGTCAACCACGAGAAATGCCTGGTCGAGCTGCGAAACCACTCTCTGGCGAATTTTGCAGCCGATGCCTTGGGCGAAGTGACCGGGGAAGTCTACCGAGTTCTTCTGGGCCTCCTCACTCTGGAAGTGTCACAGTGCCGGCCAGATACCATGGTTGAAGACGAGACCCCTCCGCCGCCACCTGCTGCCACCACCACTCTCGACATACTGGACCACCTCGACGACTCCATTGATGTGTCTTATGGGCTAGGCAAGGTCAAGAAGGAGAATATCAACCAATCAAGTGTGGAGAAGACAAAGGTCAACCCTCCACAATCAGACGATGAGTCCGAAGAGTCGGACAATGAGCAAACAAGTCATCGGCAATCGCGATCTGGCATCAGCCTCGACGACGACGATGAAGATGATGACGACGACGAAGACGAGTCGGACGACGATCATGGCGATGGAACATCACATACCAAATCAGCCTCAAAAACAAACGGTCATCGCCAAACAAAGGTCAAATTCAAGGAAGAGTCAGCCCCAGCCAGTCGCTTGGATCAGTTGCGGCAGCACCTGCTCCTTCTGAAAGAGAGCAAGCACAAGTTCATTCGGCACTGCGGAACGAATGGGCGAGGCCAATGGACCGTGGATTTTGCGCAACTGATGGATCACGTTCGCGAGTCGGAGCTCGACGCTGTCATTGAGCAGTCACACGGTCGCTACGGCTTGCGCCTGACGCGGATCCTCCGAGAGAAGGGCAAACTGGACGAGAAGATGCTGCACTCGGCGGCGCTCATGAGAAAGCCCGACGTGCAAGGGAAGATGCTAGCATTGCAGATGGCCGGGTTGGTGGATATACAAGAGGTGCCAAAGGACAGCAGCCGCTTGGCCAACCGGACCATCTTTCTCTGGTTCTTTGACGGGGCGCGCACGCAGGCCCAGTTGCTGGACGACGTGTACAAGGCGATGCTCAGGGCCTTGCAGACCCTGCAGGTGGAGCGCCACAAGGAGCGTAACATTCTCTCGTTTGTGGAGCGCAAAGATGTCCAGGGCAAGGAAGAGGAAGTCATGGGGAATGACTACCTCAAGAGATACAACCGGCACCTTGAAAGGCAGGAGATGCTACTGGGGCAGGTAATGCGGTTGGACAACATGATTTCGGTGTTCAGGGATTTCTAGGGTCCTCGGATCCGGCTGTCCGCGCGAATCTTGTGCTGCCTTGGCTTTTGTGTAAGATAGCATGCTAGGCGTCCGCTGCGGATTGGAAAGGATACCAATTGCAATGATCTACGTTAGCGGTGTCGTGTGATCTATACCTTGTTTGGTGGATTTGTCTAGTGTGGCCTCGACTGTCTAACTACATCTCAGCTATGTGGGCGGCAAAGCCAACTTGCCTTGACATTGCATACTGCCCAACTGGATAATTCTTTCTTGCTAGCATTGCTTTGTAGCCACAGGAGGGTTGGATCATAAAGCAATTGGCAGAGACGGGCATGATTCGGCTGTTGAGCATGTGATTACCTTGGGCCTAGGGTAGCTCATTGCACCCTGGCTGCTCTTACGTGGGGGTCCCGGCCCGGCCTCAGGTGCTCACTCTTATCGCCAGTGCTTCAGCCTTGGCCCTTCAGTGAGTGAGTGGACCCCTGACGCTACAGCGTCGCCCGACGTCGGCCCTGGAAAATTTCCCAGTTTCCAGTTCCTGAGCGACGAGAATCAACGCGCACGCAACCTCGTATCCCATATCCGCGCTCGCCAGCCCGTGCCCTTTTCTAAGCGACATTGACATTCACTACAACACTCCTTTATCGAACCGAGTCGCCAATTGCATCGCCATCACAATGTCTCCCCCTATGGTCGCTGGACGGGAGAAGGAGTCGGGGTTGGCTCGCGTGCTTGGTTCAGGTATGGCCATGTCCAGCTTCCGCTCATATACTCCAGCCAGTCACTGACAGAATGCCCACAGGTTCCGCTGGTATTGCTGAGTTGGCCGTCTTCCATCCCGTGCGTCCCGAATCCGAAGATCTCGATCCCCCGACTTCCTATTGACTCGTAGCTAGGTCGACACCATCGCCAAGCGCCTCATGAGCAACCAGACCAAGGTGTCTGGCGCATCCCAGCTGAACCAAGTCATCTTCAAGGACAAGGCAAACGCACCCGTTGCGCGCAAGTTCTTCTCTCTTTTCCCCGGTCTGGGGTATGCCGCTGGCTACAAGGTTCTCCAGCGTATCTACAAATATGGCGGTCAGCCCGTCGCGCGAGACTACCTGGGGAAGCACTACGGCAAGGACTTTGAGAATGCGTTCGGCAAGAAGACGGGCAAGGCTATCATGCACTCGACCGCTGGCAGGTGCGTTGCGGCTACATGATATTTCGTTGACTGGTCACTGACGGAAGCAGCCTTGTCGGCATTGGAGAGATTGTCCTCCTCCCTCTCGACGTGCTGAAGATCAAGCGTCAGACAAACCCAGAGGCCTTCAAGGGCCGTGGTGTCCTCAAGATCATCGGCGACGAGGGCTTCAACCTGTACCGCGGTTGGGGCTGGACCGCTGCGCGCAACGCCCCTGGGTCCTTTGCGGTGAGTTTCTCGACCTCGGGCCAGTGTGATCTCGTGCTGACTGACAATCATAGCTCTTTGGTGGCTCGGCATTCGCCAAGGAATACCTCTTCCACCTGCAAGATTACAACAAGGCGACGTGGTTCCAGAACTTTATCGCCTCCATTGCCGGTGCCTCTGCCTCGCTCGTCGTGTCCGCGCCCCTCGATGTCATCAAGACCCGCATTCAGAACCGCAACTTTGAGAACCCCGAGAGCGGTATGAGGATCATGGCCAACATGGCCAAGAACGAGGGCGTTTCGGCCTTTTTCAAGGGCCTCGTGCCCAAGGTATGTCCCGCTGATTGAGCCAATTCCCACCCCTATCGACAACAAATGCTGACGGTGTGTAGCTTCTCATGACCGGCCCCAAGCTTGTCTTCTCGTTCTGGCTTGCACAGACTCTGATTCCAGCCTTTGACACTGCGTTCCGCAAGTAATCGCCGACGATGGCTCGACAACACGAGCAACTGAACCGAACCAGCACAGCGGCAAAGCCACCCAGAAGCGTCGAGTTCCACTCTTCAAACGGCGCGTTATGATGTACCGGTCTTTAATTGGGGTTATAGAAATTTTTTAATGGTTTGAGAACTGGGTGAATGGGGTTACGTATTCACGTACGGTTGCAAAGGGTGCAGAGAGCGGCGCGGGTATTACGCGCTGGACTGCATAAAGAAGAAGACTCCCTGCTCTGTATGATAGACCTGATGCAGGACCACGAATCAAGTGCTGCTTCACTGCAGACCGCTCTGCTTTGACGATATTTTTCCGCGAGCTACCTAATACCAGCTGCATGTGCCATTGACGTGGCTCCAGTGAGGAGCGTGATGATGGGCAGCTCAGGTTGTGGTTGCTGGGCAACGGCTGGCGGTGCGCGCATCGGCGACCCGCGGCGGATCGACAACAATCGGAGCGCATCCATAAACCCATGCAAACACATCCGCCGCTACTTGACTCCAAAACCCACCATCTATCATACACATTTCTCTGCTGTTCGCGATTGTTTCAGCAAAACAACCACTCTTGATACCCCATACCTGTATTTATCGCGAAGCAACAGCAGGCAACAAGCGAGGCAAGCCTCTTGAAGCAATAGCCACCTGGTGCATCCTTTGAGACGTTCTCCACGAGCGTGGCGGCGGTGCTGTCCGCATTCCTCGACACCGCATCATCTTCATTCCACTCTTGTACGCACAGAAAATGGCCCATTACGAAAGGGACAGCCCTCAGGAAGGGCAACAGTACCTGAGACACTCGCATTCCGCATCTTCAGACCAGGGCAACCGGGCTCTTGTGCCAATGTACGTCTTGTCTTGTTCATCACACTCCCACGCAAAGCACAAATGCTCCTCTGGCGGAAGCTGACACGAACCGACGATAGGTGGGACAGTTCAGACCCCGACCGCGCGCCGCCGCCGTTGCCCTTGAACCCCCAGTCACCGAGTCTGACGTCCCGAGCCGGCACTTCGAGCGCGATCCAGTCGGCCCATGCAGCCCTTAACGAGAAAGCACGGGAAAGTGCTGCCCTGGTGCCTCATGTCGCGAAGCGAATGAACGACTTCTCCCCCGAAAGGACACCGACCGGCCACAGCAGCTCGTCACATCGACGTACGCAGACCTTGCAACCTGGTTCTGTGCGAGGCCTCAGTCTCATGCTCGAGGGCGCTACACAAAGTCCCACAACTTCTCCCTCGAAATCGCCAGAGAAGTCGCTCGAAAAGTCCTACTTCCCTCACACCCGCTCCTCAACAGCGACACCAACAACTGTCCGCCATAGAGACCAAGAGAACGACCAAGAGGGGCTCTCAGAGCGAGGCTCACCAACCAAGGAGCCCCTCAACCTGGGACCCATGCCGGGATCAAGTCTGACGCCCATCATCCGGCCGACTGTCCGTCGACCTCCTCCGCAGAGCATTCTTGGCGAGAACACGCCGCCTCAGTCCTCTACGATGCTGGCACTGCAGACCATGGGTTCACAAACATCACGGGCGGATTCTGAGCCGCCGCTCTCCAATGTCACAAATGGCGCCACCGCCGGGTCCAAGCAGCCTCAGATCACAGACAATCTGTCGGCCCAGATTCTGAGTCTTACCAACATTGCTACTTCTCTGCAGAAGGAGATGTCTGCCCTGAGCCGCAGGAGCAGGGACAATGCGACCGATCTTCTCAGCCTCAAGGAAGCTACTAACACGAGAGACGAGGATATCCGGAAAAGCTTGCGAGACCTCCTTGGTAGCGTCAACGAGACGTCTCACAGGATCACCTCCGGCCCGCAGTTTGGCGGTCTGTACATTGACAACAAACCCCACAACATCACATCACCAGGAAGCCGTGGCTTCCACCTCCCTCGAATCCCTTCACCAAAAAGCTTCTCGGACTCCATCGACAGAGGGTCCGTGAGCACCCCAAGTCTTGTCGGCGGCGATGGCTCGGCTTCCATAGCCCTGCTGGAGAAGATCATCCGTGATATGGGTACGAAAGAGGGCCAGGACACCTTGATCAGCCGGCTAGCAGAAGTATCCACCAAGCTCTCAGGCATGGCGACTGCGTCCAAGGTCGATGAACTAGTCGGCCAGATCCAGGCCCAGGCAGAGAATGCTGTCATCACCAGAGGTCCCCCTATGGGCGACCGCGGCAGGGCGTTCAGCTACGAAGATGGAGAATCGCAAGCTGGATTCAATCCTGGGGCCAGCCACTTGTCCTCGCGCGTTGATGCAGTCCTCCACAACGAGGGACGTCGCTCATCTGCACCTGCTCGCGGGGTGGAGATTCTGAATGAGGACCTGATCAAGATCATTCGCTCCGTCAAGGACAGTGTCGCTCAGGGCGGCGGCCTCACAGCCGAAGTCAAAGCTTTGGTTAGGGAGCTCCGAGGCGAGGTCTTGGGAATGGGCCGTGAGATAGGCAAGCGTCTGGAGCAAGTTGGCCACAAGGGCATCGAAGAGAGCGACCAACCCAGCAAGGACGACGTTTCGCGGGTCATCGACGAAGGCCTGGAGCAAATGAAGGACCAGCTTAACCACGTCCTTCGCGAGCACCGCCGTCAATCGGCGCAGTCCGCCGCCACCTCGAAAAGCTTGGTCGACTACCAGGAAATCTACAATGCCATGCGGGCTGCGCTCCGCGACAATGAAGCCGCTCAGAGCAACATGCCTGATCTGAGCAGGGATGATGTGATTGAAGCTGTACGCGACGCCTGGGAGACGTACAAGCCTGAGATTGAGGTCCAGCAGCTGGGTCTGGAGCGCGACGAAGTGCTCGCGTGCCTGCAAGAGGGACTTCGGGAGTATGCACCTCGCGACGAGCGTCCTAGCGGAGCGACCCGTGACGAGGTGTTCACAGCCGTGGTGGAGGGCCTCCAGCACTTCACCCCTCCCCAGGTCGACACACCTGCTTCAATGTCCAGGGACGAGATCATTGAGGCAGTGAGAGATTGTCTAGAGGAGTTTGAGTTCCCGGTCGCTGCGTCGGCCATCGGGGCACCCGATATCACTAGGGAGGACATGATCCACGCCGTCAAAGAAGGTCTGAATGACTTTGATATACCCCGAGGAGGCGCTCTGGTACCGGCTGGTGGCAACAACGAAGAGATTATGAGTCGTCTCGAAGATCTCATCGGCTATATCAAGCTCGAGTTCAAGGCCGTTTCTCAGGAAGCCAAAGACAATGTGGCAGCCAACGGCCGCGACACGGAGCAGGTTCTGGATGCCACCAAGGACGGGCTCGAGAGCTTGCGTGTGGCCATTGAGAGCTACGTCGACCGGGCCACTGGCGGCTCCATGCAGGAAGAGTTTCTTCAGGGCCTTGCGGGGACCATGGAGGATTTCAAAGATGAAATTTCGCATCTCCTCAACCAGAGTGCGGATGGCTCGCGCGAGCAGCTGCAAGCAGAGCTTGAGGGCCTGCGTGAGATTGTCAACTCGTCCATGGTGCCAGCCACGCCCCAACAACAAGGCAACAACCAGGAGATTCTGGATGCACTCAGCAGCGCCGCGAATAATCTCCGCCAGGAGATCCTCCGTCCTCGATCTGAGACGGCTGAGATTCTGGACGCTCTCAATGATGGTCTGAACGAACTCAAGGCTGGCATCGACAGAATGACCCACAAGCCTGCCGATCTGACCGCTAATGACGAGATCCTTGAGGCCCTCAAGTCTGGCCTCGACTCTGTGCGCTCTGACATTGAGACCATCCGCGAGAACAACAACGAGCAGGCGCTTGCTGCAGTTGCCACCGTTCGAGACTCTCCCTCTATGGACCAGGCCATGATCCCTGCCGACATGGTGAAGCAAGACGATATCAAGAACCTTGAGGTTCTCATCACCCAGTTGCGTATCAAGCTCGAGGCAATGGAGCCTGAGGAGAAGGAGGAGTCAGTCCAGAAGGCTGACCTCACACGCCTCGAAGAGATGCTGCGCAACGTTCAGCAGGGTGTCGAGGAGATCAGCACCCGGGAGACATCGGCAGTGGTCCCCAAGACAGCGACTGTTGAGGACGACGAGGCCCACGATGCGCCACGAGCCGCCAACGGTGATGCAGCGACCAAGGACGACGTGGAAGCCATCGAGACAATTCTGCGCAACACCAAGGCACGTCTGGATGACCTCATGGACGGTGACCAAGCTGTCCGCAAGGACCACCTTGACACTGTTGAGACGCTGATCCTGGAGACGCGCGAGAACATGGCAGCCATGGCCGTCCAACTCGATGTTGTCTCTCGCAAGGAGGACTTGACCACCCTGGAAGCCCTGATCACGCAAATCAAGACGGACTTTGAGGAAGTCAAGGAGAAGTCTGAAAAGGCTGAAGAAGACCCCGACAAGGTTTCCAAGACCGACGTGGAGGCAGTGGAGACTGTCGTGCTTGAGATCAAGAACATCCTCGATGTATTCCAGGGTGTCGACTTTAACAATATGCCGCAGAAGGAGGACCTTGCCGGCATTGAGACTGCGGTCCGGGAGGCTCAGGAGAAGATTGAGAGCTTCAAAGAGTCGTCGACCGCCCTGGTCGAGGCAAAGGACGTTGAACTGAACAGTGTCGGAGACAGGGTCACTGAAGTCAAGACCTTCCTCGAGACGTTCCAAGAGACACTCACAAGCAAGCTCGAGGATGGCAACACGGGCGTCGAGGCGCTGGGCAAACTCCTGGAGATCATGGGCGAGAAGATTGACAAGAACGAAAACATTGGCACCGACCTCAAGGACATGTTCGACACGATGAAGACCGAGTTTGAGGATTCCAAGGCCGTTGTGGCGGGCGCCCGGCTTGAGTCCGACGAGAAGCTGCAGGTGACGACCGAGGGACTCCAAGCCAAGATTGACGAGAAGATTACCGAGTTGGTGACCAAGTACGACGAGTTCATGACGGGCTTTGACGAGAAGATGACGGCGGGTGTGAAGCGCAGCCTGGAGACGGAGGAGGCTGTCGTCGGCACGAAAGCGGTAGCAGACGATCTGAAGCTCCTCGTCGACACGCTCGGCTCGTCGGTGACAGAGTCCTTGGAGAAGATGGAGGAGGCGTCACAAATCGTCTTTGGCAAGGTGGAGGAGATGGTCACCAAGGGCGGCGAGCAGCACGAAGAGGGCAAGGCGGAGCACCAACAGACGCGCGACCAGCTGCAAGAAGCCGTCGCTCTCGTGGAGGGTCTCAAGACGGAGGTGACGGACCAGAACCCCAAGGTTCTTGAGGCGATCCAGGAGGTCCTGGCCCTTGTTGGTCAGCACTACGAGCACTCCAAGACATCGACGACCGACATCCAGGAGAAGATTGTGGAGGCCAAGCCTGAGATGCCCCTTCTCCCGCCTCCACCTGAGAAGTACGATGATACCGCGGTCCTGTCCAAGCTGGACTGCCTCGTAGAGTCTAGGTACGACGACACCGAGCTCCGCCAGAAGCTGGATGTCATCGCCGAGCTCAAGTATGACGACACGGAGCTGCGCGAGAAGCTGGACCAGATTATCGAAGCCAAATATGACGATAGTGAGCTTCGCGAGAAGCTGGACCAACTCGTCGAGGGCAAGTACGACGACGCGGAGCTGCGTGGCAAGCTGGACCAAATCATCGAGGCCAAATACGACGACACGGAGCTTCGTGGCAAGCTTGATCAGCTGATTGAGGGCAAGTACGACGATGCAGAGCTCCGTGAGAAGCTCGATCAGCTCGTCGAGGCCAAGTACGATGACTCTGTCGTGCGGGAGAAGCTTGACCAGCTCGTCGAGGCCAAGTATGACGATACCGTCGTCCACGAAAAGCTGGACAAGCTCGTCACGTACGGCGACTCGACACAGCAGGCTTTCACGCAGCTCGAGACGCTGGACAAGGTGCACGAGGCTGTTGCCAGGACGGCGGCCGACATTGCTGCCTTCCTCAGCATCCAGACCCAGCGGATTACCGACGAGCACGAGGACCGGGAAAAGACGCTGCAGGACACCATTTTCTCGCTGGAGCGAAAGCGAGGCGAGCGTGACCATCTTGAAGCGTCGGTACGCAGCCTCCGGGACGAGGAGGAGAGATTGCGCAACAATGTCATGACACTACGCACGGAGCAGGAGAGCCTGATAAGACAGAAGACTCGCCTGACGGGCGACGTGTCGTCACTGGAGACGGCGCTGCAACTGCGCAAGGAGGAGCTGTTTGAGGTCGAGGCCCGGGGCGAGCGTCTGGAGAGGCGGATCATGGAGAGCGTCATGGACCAGTCGCGGGTGCTCCTCATGTCCAAGGCGACTAAGAACAGCACGGACTCGATGAACAGGAAGCGCGTTAAGAAGCCTTTGGCGGCAGAGGGGACGCCAACTGCCAAGCCGTCGCCCAAGCCGGTGCTGAACATGGCGTTGTCGGGCAAGCGTAACCTCGCCCCGCCAGGCCAGACGGGGGCGTCGCGCCGCATCGCCTCTCTCGGACAGATCAACAACAATGTGTCCTCTGGCGGTGTCAAGAGGAGCCAGAGTGTGAGGACACCGGCTGGTGGTGTTGGCGGCGCCAAGTCGTATCGCAAGCGCAGCTGGGGCGGTGACATGATCCCTGCCGAGGCCGACAAGGAGAACCTGGGCGTCAAGGAGACGGTTGTGGAAGTGGACGAGGGCGAGACGCCTGGCTTGCTGGGCAACCTGGCGACCGAGTCGGCCCTAAGCGAGGAGGTGGCCACGGACGACCAGAGCGACGCGGGGACGTTACGCCGCAGCAGTTACATGACGGGCAGCACGGACCTGTACACGGGCTCCGAGTATGATGAGACGGCGAGCGAATGGACGGCGAGCGTCGTGGGCAGCTCTGTAGCGGCGACAGACTTGGGGGAGAGTGAGCCGGGCGCAGGCGACGTGGTGGTATATGGGCAGTAGCAGGACGGTGATGGATTGATGACTGTATGACGGAATTCTTGTGTTTGTACTGGCGTTTCCGGTTTGTCAGGGATGGTATTATATTGGTAGTGAGCGGTATATCTATTTGCATGTTCAGGTCGAGGAGCGAGCATAGAAAGCAGTCTTGTCATTGTGTGGTGTTGATGAGTGTCATGTGGAGTCCATACATAATATAAGATATAACAACAAGAGGGCCCCACCACGCATTCAACCTCAACTTGAACTGAGCACGCGTCGAAAGAACACATCCAGCAACTTGACTTGCCAGCCTCTTTCATCGAGCGCTCAAGGAGCAACGACAGACACAATGGAGCCAGGCTCCTCGCACCTGGCCCCGCCTGAGCTGACGCCGCTGCAGCAAGAGGTGCTGGAGGAATATGAGCGGCTGGCGGAGAACATGAAAAAGGTCCAACTCTCCGACCATCAGCCCTTGAACAGAATGCTGACGCGGTTCTAACTAGCTCGCCTCCACACTCGACGACCTCGCGTCGAATCCGACGGCGGAAATCATGGACGGGCTGCGCGATCTGGAGCGCAAGACGAGCCTGGCGTTCACGCTCCTCAAGGCCAGTGTGTACAGCATCGTGCTGCAGCAGGAGATTGACTGGGGCGGTGGCGGCCAGCAGCAGGAGGAGTAGGGCCTGAAAAAGGCACCGGCAGACACACACATGGCAATGATACCCACAAAGAGACACACACAAAGAGACACGAGACCTCGTGGTGTATTTAGTTTACACGCGTGAGACGGGGGGAAGCCCAGAATAAACCTTCCCGCCTGCCCTCCGCTTCTTGTACAAGGCTTCTGTACAGGCTTCTAATGATATATGATATACACATGACAACAATAACAGCAACGCCCGTCCTGCCCTCACGCCGTCGACCCCCCATAGTACACTTTCCGCACGTCGACCAGCTTCTTACCACGGCCAATGGCAATCTCCTCCGGGTCGGGCTGCTCGAGGAGGGCCTTGTAAAAGGCCTTGACCGAGTTCATGGGACTCTTGGAGCGGGGCAGCTGGACGCTGAGGTCCTGGATGCCGACGGCGCGGCACATTTCGAAGATGCGGGCCGGGACACGGAGACCGAAGCCTGGAGGAGTTAGTTTCTTCTTCTTTTGTGAGGGGAGATGGACAACAAACCCGGCGGGCGCGACTGCAGCTCGGCGACGGTGCCGCTCAGCTTGGCCGTGACGTTGCCGTAGATGGTCCTGTTCTCGTAGCGCCGAATGGGCCGCATGTTGCGCATGGCGAGACCCATGGCGGCCTCGCGCGCGACACTGGGCTCAATAGACTTGGCCATGCCGATGCCGAGGCGGCCGTGACCATTGCCGGCGAGGACGATGACGGAGGCCTTGCGCACCTTGCCGAGACGCGTCTGGTTGGCGACGTTGCGCGTGGCGAGGACCTTGGTGTACAGCTTCTGGATGGTCCTGACCGGCAGCCCGCTGGTCTTCTTGTACCGCTCATAGCGGCCGTCCGGGTCGTCTGGGTCCTCGTCGGAGCGGAACTTGCCCTCGACGCCGGGGATCTTGCCCGTGTCGGGCTGCTCGGCCGTCGTGGCGTGGATGAGGCCGTCGGGCGCGTCCTTGGCCAGGTCCACCTGCGCGGGCCGGAGGAGCTCGTAGCTGTCCTCGGAGAACATGTTCTCAAACTCCTTCTGCCACTGGGCGTCAATCTCCTCGTTCAGCCGCGTCGCCTGGCCGCGGGTGAGGGCGCCCTTGGCCTTGGCGGCCGCGGTGTCCATGTCGTCGGCGTACCGCTCGACGCCGTCCTCGTCAAGCTTGGCGACGTACCGCTCAATCAGGCTGGGGTCGCGCTCCATGTCGTCGAGCTCCGCCTCGGTGAGGTCCATGGTGTCCATGCCGACCTCGGTGCGGCGCACCTTGCGCATGGCGCGCAGCAGGCTCCGCGAGATCATGTCGTTGGTCGACTTGGTGGCCAGGTCCGTCATCTTCTTGTACTGCGCCTCCATGTACTCCTGCTCGGTGGGGAACAGGGGCTCGTCGGCGGTGATCTTGGCCTCGGGCTTGACGTCGTACCGCGGGTCCATGACAGCGTAGTCGTCAATGTACGTCGGGCGGTGAATGTCGTCGCGCAGGCGGCCCTGGAAGATCATGTCCTCGGAGTCGACGGCCTTCTCGCCGGCCAGGAGCGCCTCCATCTGCTCGGGCGTGTACTTTTGCCGGAGCTTGTCCAGCTCCTCGGGCGTCAGTTCGCCAAACTTGTCGGCCTTGTACGCCTTGAGCGTGTCAGCATTCGTCAGGCCCAGCTCCGACGCCTTGACGTTGCGGAACTGCGACCGCCGGGGCTTGGAACATGACGTGGAGCTGTGGAACGGGAGACATTGGGCGGCGGCGGTGGCGGCGGCGTAGGGGGTCGAGGAGGGCGGTTGTGTTCGCGTCTGGCTCAGGCAGCGACCGACGAGGCGGCGTGCCGCTGGTCTCGAGACGCTCATGGCCGTGTGTGTCCGTCCGCTTCGGTTGCGAAGCTCGGCGAGGGCGAGATTTGCTGTCGGGAGCGAGCGAGTCTCCTTACGCGGCGTCGCGACGTGCTGCTTGCTTGGCTTGACGGTCTGGTCTGGTCTGGTCTGGAGATTTTTCGATGCTCGACTCAATTGCCCACTCACGATGGCAGGCACCCAATTGGGTGGTCCCTGAGCGCGGTGGAATCCGCGTTCTGATTGGCCAGACCTGCTTAGTCACATTCGGCATATCCACATGCAAATGCAGACCACAGCACAAAGTTATGCATCACAGACAGGCAACATCTTCACTCTTCTCGAGTAAAAGTATGGAATCTTCAGCCTTGAATGAACGCGTCATCTCGAACTGCGATGATGCTTTCCTCGACCTGTCAATATACGTGTAGGCGCGCCCACTGCGAGCCCAAGACACCGACGTGACGCTAGGTGAAACCACTCCGTGGCTTGTCACGAACCCTCATGTTACAGGTTGCGTTTCGGTGCCTCGAGTGAAGCGCCTCCATTTGATGTCTGCGTAGCATACATAGTTTGTCAGGAGCAGCTCTGGCTTCAAATCTTCAATTTTATTTTTTTTCAATCAATGTAGCCTTGTCGTGTATTTGTCCAGAATCCAGTCCGCAGTCACCCTTATTACATGATCCAGCTGGCCATCATCAACCTGTATACAGTACACAGCTACATCGGCACCATGTCGCAATTCGGGTTCATGAAGCGCGTCGGCGCGTCGGATCGTGCCGTCGCTGTCCTCAACGACCAGCCCCAGCTCTTCACCACGCTCGTCCTCGTCCTCGTCGGCCTCGCCGCGCAGTGCGGGTTCATATACTTCATCCACTACGCCACACTCAAGCCCGAGCAAAAGAACAAGAAAAAGAAGGAAGACGGCCGGAAGCGCGCCGGCACCGGAGCCGCAGGCGGCAATGGTGGAGGAGCAGGGTCTGGCAACGCGCGCTTCTTTGGCTTCAGGAGGTCATGATAAACGCAGGAGAAGTCAGTGGAGGAAGGAATGTTAACTACTATTACGTTGGTTCTGGCGTCTTCAGCTTACTGTGAACAATGCATTGTCACTCTGCAAGTCCAGTCCTTGACCTCTCCGTGCGGCCCCGGGTATTGGCGGCCACCACGCACGTCCTGCACTAACAGCCGCACGCGCTCCGACAGCGGCGCAGCTGTTAGCGTCGGCCTCCAGCCACTCACCGATCCCAATTCCCCGCCGACGCCGGCGCTGTTTTTCCTATTCTCTCCTCAGGACTCATCCATCCATCACCCTCTCTACTAAAGGGAGTCAATTCGTCGCGAGAGCAAGTCTTCCGTTGCTCTCCCACAATCCCGCGTCCGTGAGTGCGAGAGAGAGACTATTCCCTCATCGCCACCACAGCCGCATTCGCCATGTCCTCGCTTCGGCCCATCGCCCAGCGCTGGGCCGCCAAGACGACGACGACCTCTGTCGCAAAGGCCTCTCCTGTGGCCGGCCTCCGCTACAACTCGTCGTCCTCGTCGTCACCGCCCTCCTCCTCTTCTTCCTCCTCCTCGCGCGGCCCCAGCTCCTCCACCTCGGCGCTCGCCTACAAGGCCCTGCACCGTCGCTCCGCGCCTCTCCCCAAGAGCGCCGCCACGCCCGCCTGGTCCGCCCAGTCCGCCGTCTCCAACATCCTCTACGAGACGCCCACGCCCCCGACCGACCCCCCCAAGCGCCACATCCTCAACTGCCTCGTCCAGAACGAGCCCGGCGTACTCTCCCGCCTCTCCGGCATCATCGCCGCCCGCGGCTTCAACATTGACTCCCTCGTCGTCTGCAACACAGAGGTCGAGGACCTCTCCCGCATGACCATTGTCCTCACCGGCCACGACGGCGTCGTCGAGCAGGCCCGCCGCCAGCTCGAGGACCTCGTCCCCGTCTGGGCCGTCCTCGACTACACAGAGGCCGCCCTCGTCCAGCGCGAGCTCCTCCTCGCCAAGATCAACATCCTCGGCCCAGAGTACTTTGAGGAGCTCCTCCACCACCACCGCGAGATCACCACCGGCCACCCCGCCGTCGCCGACGAGCTCGCCGCCGCCGCCGCCGAGCAGGGCCAGCAGCAGACCCTCGAGCAGACCGCAAAGGACTTTCACCCCAGCAAGCTCGCCGCCTCCGAGGCGTTGCGCCACAAGCACGAGCATCTCAAGTCCATCACCTACTTTGCGCACCAGTTTGGCGGCAAGGTGCTGGATATTAGTAATACCAGCTGCATCGTCGAGGTGTAAGTTGTCTCCTCCCCACCAGATAGAACACGTGCTGACAATCAATTTCACAGGTCCGCAAAGCAGAGCAGGATCGACTCCTTCCTCAAGCTCGTCGGCCCCTTTGGCATCCTCGAGTCCGCACGCACCGGTCTCATGGCCCTGCCTCGCTCGCCCCTCCACGGCATCAACGAGGAGGCCATTGCCAAGGAGGCGGATGAGGCTGTCGACGCGAGCCAGCTTCCCCCTGGCTAGGGGCTTTGTGCAAGTTGGTGTATAAGACGCGCGCGCTTCTTTACCCATCCATACTGCTCCACGGAGACTTGTTCGAGTTGTTCGAGAAAATACGTATTTCAAAAAAAAAAAAAAAAAAAAAAAAAACATGTATCATTTCCTAGTGTGACTTCTCTGTAAATAGAAAGACACAACTGCAAGGCCTAGCTTGCCCCCCTAACCTTCCTCCCCTCCCCTCCCACCCCCTTTGCCCGCCTTGCTCCGAGAAACGTGCGTCATGAGAAAAAAAAATTGTAACATGGCAAGGGAAAGCAAACGTCAAGTCGAGCGATATACAAAGTTCGCGCTGTCCAGCGAGGCAGCTTCCTATCAACATACAAGCAAGCGCTCAGGCCTTTTCTCCCTCCTTCGGTATGTGTCCGGCTCCAGCATGAATAGATGCTCCTACTCCGCAGCGCTGGCGGTAGACCCGCCGTTGGCCGCCCCGCTGGCGCTCTTAGGCGACGTCTTGCTGTCCGCTGCGGCGGCTGGGGCAGCGCCCGCTGTGCCATTCGTGTGCGCCGCCTTCTTCTCGTCCTCGCCACTGTCGTCGTAGTCCTCGTCCACGTCCATCTTGCGAGCCGCTCGCTCGGGCTCGTTGGCCGGCTGCGCAGCTTGCGTCGGCTGGGCGACTGGCGTCGACTCTGCGGCCGCCGGCTCCTCTTTGGGCGCCGCCTCGGCTCGAGGCTTCTCGTGGGCGGCAGAGACCACTGGGCTCGGTGCCTGCCCTGGGTGTCCCTGCGCGCCACTGGCGTGGTGTCCTTGGTGATGCGCCGCTTCCGAGGGATGATAGGCCTCCTTGGCCTGCGGGGGCTCCTCGGCCCTCCTTTGGTCCTCGCCGCGCTTTTGATCTTCCGCACGTCTCGCTTCAGAGGAGTTACGTCGGAAGCTGTCCCGTCGTGGGGTAGACGGGCGTCGATGGCGCACGTCTTCCAGGCGAGCCCGGTTCTCCTCGCTCGCCGGCTTCTTGACTGCGCCCTCTTCCTCCCATTCACGCATGCGCTTGGGGCCAGGCCCTGTCGATGTCGGGCGCTCGTCCGCAGGCCGCTGCTCAGCGCCCGGTACGGATGACGGTGCTTGGGTCGCATTGCTCTCGGGCGCACCAGGGTGCGCACCTTCATGGTGATGAGCGGGGTACATGGGAGGCTGGTGCTGAGGATACGCCGAAGTGGGCGACGGCATGCGGTTGTCGTGGGGAGGAGGCCCGTGAGGTGGGCCATGGGGAGGACGACCGTCAGGACGAGGGCTGTTGTTGGCACGGAAAGGCGTGCCACCGTTGGAGTGAGTCGCGCCGTTCAAGTGGCTTGGAGGAGGCCCAGCCGGTGATGGGGCTGCGCCACCCCAGTTAGGGTTGGGAATTCGGCCCTCCGACCCTGGTGGGTGGCCAGGAGCTTGCCCGTGCGATGATGGCGGTTGACCATAGTGGTGACCACTGGGGGGAGGCGACTGGCCCCGGCGTGGAGGAGGAGCCCCGCGGCCAGGCTCAGGATAGCCCTGGCGCATATGCGTATCTTGTTGGGGCGTTGGCTGGCGCTGGGGTCCAGGCAAGGCCTGTCCACGATAGCCCTCGCTACGCTCGTTGAAGGGGTTCGCGGGCTGAGATGGCGGGTTGACACCGGCAAGGCGACCAGCCCAGTTCTCGCCAGCCGCAGCACCTCCTTGTGACGCTGGTGGAGGAGGAGGGCCGCCGCTCGGTGGGTGCTGCTGCGGGCCGCCCCAAGACGGTCCCTGAGGTCCCGAAGCCTGGTAGGTATTGGGGTGGACATCAGCTGGCTGAGGTGCGGCCGGCGGTGGGCCGCCGTTGGTTCCGGAACGCAGCAGTTGGAGACGGGCCTTGATGTGCGGGTTGTCGGGGTCGAGCTCGGCTGCGCGTTGGTAGGCGTCCATGGCATCAGTAACCTGGTTGTTACAAGATTCATACTGTTTGCTGGTCAGCACGCCTGCGCGCGTGAGGGAAGCATGCAGTCAACTTACCAGAGTGCCAAGATCGTACCAAACTTCGGAGATAAAGGGGTTGAGGCGAATGGCGCGACTGTACGCGTCAAGCGCATCTCTGTACTGGTTGATCTGGTAGTAGAGAACACCAATCGAGCACCAGAACGTCGGGTTCTTGCCATCGCGGTAGACGGCCTGCTGGTAGGCCTCGTATGCTTTGGGGTACTTCTGCTGCGACATGTAGCAACGTCCGAGGAGGTACCAGCTCTGTGAGTCTTGGCCATCTGGTGAAAGAATGTCAGTGTCTCGCAAGAACAAGGTGGAGCAGCACAACACACCAGCTTGGACCGATCTCTCCAAGTACGCAATAGCGCGCTCTTGCGATTCGAATGAACTGCTCTGTTGGTGATGGAGCCAACCCAGTTGCTGTAGAACCTTGGCATGGTTGGGCGTGTTATCCAGCACCTGGTTGTAGGCAGCCTTCGCATTGTCATATTGCTTCTGTTGTTCATGCACATGGCCGATCTGGAACCAGATGTCGTCCCGGGTCAGCGGTGCAGGTGGCGAGTTGACGATATAATTGAAGCACTGGAGAGTCAGATTAGTCCCTGGAAAAGTCGCCTCGCCAGTGTTGGTGTGCCTACCTCTAGACTCTGATGGAACTTGTTTTGGCCTTTGTATATGATTCCGAGGCGAAAGTAGATCTCATTGGCCTTGTCAAAGTCGGGCTGGATTTGCATGACTTGGGAGAACGCCTCCTCTGCATAGTCGTAGCTGCCGTAGCGGTCATATAGTATGCCGATGCCGTACCACAGCATGGGGTCTTTCGGGTCGCGCATGTTAACAAGTGCCTGTTGATACGCGTCGTATGCTTTTTGCAAATTCTCCGACATGAGGTAGCAATGGCCTGTCAGGTTAGGCAAGCTCATTTGTGCGCGTTGAGGATTGGTGAAACTTACCGAGGTTGCCCCAGGCCTCGCCGTTCTGAGGCTCCATCTGCACAATGGTGCGGAAGAATTCGAGCGCCTTCTCGTATGCTTCCTTGGCCTTGTACAGCATGCCGATAGCGTTCATGGCAGCTGTGGAATTGGGGTTCGCTTGCAGCGCGCGCTCGTAAGCATGCAACGCCTCGTCAGGGACGCGCAGGAGCTCCGAGAAACTTCCTGTTGAGGGGCTCAGTCAGATATCTACACATGCAACTTGCATTGACACGGCGACCTACCAATCTGAAGCCAGACATGCTCGTTGACGCCGGCAATCGACTGACTTAGAGTTGGGCCGGCCCAGTGGGGCGGATGGCTTGTGTGACCCGGAGGAGGGTGATGTTGGTGATGATTTTGCTGCTGCTGCTGCTGTTGCTGTTGCTGCTGCTGGCCCATCATCATGGTCGGTGAGGGATGATGGTTGGCCGCCATGGTTCTTTGGCAGGCTCGGGCGATGCGACCGCCGATGCGCTGCTGTTGCTGCGATGCGGAAATTCGTCAACAGCGCTCGCGGAGGCAAAGGAAATATTGGTTTCGCGGAGCTCTCGAACAATGAGTCGTCGAGTTCAATCGGTTGGGTGCTTGCAGAGGTACGGTGGTCCCAGGCTAGGCGCGCGTCGCCCACGACGACGAGAATTGGAGCCGTCGGTCACGGGAGCTTGAGGCTGTAAATAATATTGCGATGACGATACGCGCGCAGGCGATCCGAGGGATAGCAGGAAACCACTGCGTATGACCAAGCGCCACGCAGGACGGTATTGGGATTGTTGATACTAGAGGTGGCCTGACCCAGCGCGCAGCTATTATTATGGGAAAGGAAGAAACGACGGGTTGGGGGGGAGGCCGGACGAAGAAGGCTTTCTCGTGCCGCCATTGCAAACTCACCTTACCCACGCTCCAATGCGGTACGTACCTCGACAGGGAAAAGACAGTCTGTCTGGCGGCATGCAGCTAGTGGTCATTAGCACCACGGCGGGGTGGTCTTGGCGTGCGCGGGCGGGTCCAGCCCATGTCCACGCCGCGCCTGGGGTGTGCTACAGAACAGGGGCGCCTAACTCCATGTCGTCTGCCGGCCCGCCCATCGTGGTCCAAATCGTCGGCGGCCCTAATTCGCGTACTACGTATGCAGCCTGACCAGAGAGGCTGCCCCAAACCCCAGGCGATGAAGTCATGTGTCCGGCTACCCTATATCACCACCTACTGCCCCAATTCCCGCATCGTACTTTGTTGATTTCTCGTGCGCACGTCGACACAAGGTCTTGCATACTTAAAACGCAATAATTTGAGTTGTATATAAGAGACATGGCTTTGGGTGTGTGATTCCCTGGGCGTGCATGTGAACGGTCGAAATTGAAGACAAACTGTCAGGATGCTAATTAACACCAAATACACTACACGTAAGTCAAAATGATAAGCAACCGCAAAACCAGCCTTGCGCCATCGGCGATGAAAGGCTGCACTCGTCAATGTGAGCAAGTCACAACAGCTGTGTGAAATCCCCAACATCCGGCGAAACTTCAGAACATCTCAATGTGTCTGCCCGCGCGAATGACTCAGATACATGGGAGACTAAGTAATAGTACTAGTACTGAGTTAAGTGCTCACCTAGACAACTTTCTTCATCTTCACGCCAAAGATATCACTAGCGAGAACACTATGAACACAAAACGCTCGAAACTCAATCTCGAGTGTGCTAGATCTCGCCGCTTGAACGCAATTCATACAGGGTGTTCCAAGCACGCTACTCATCAAGAAGCTGCGGCTGTTGTCACTAGCTCCAAGTGGCCAGATCTCGAGGCGTCGCGTAAAAAAAGAGGGAAGGTGTAACCTTATATGACCGCGCCGTTCCAAACGCGCGCAGACAGATATACGACACTTTTGCGTTTCTGACTAGTTTCACGGTTCAATCCTGATGATCGATCATGCGAAGGGCTCCAATATCCGCAAAAATCCCCGGTGTTGCGCACGGAGGCTCAGTTGGCCCATCGACAGCCGGTGACGCGATATTGCCTGGCAAACGACCATCAGCCTCTTCTATGCAAGAGGCCAGAAAGGAATCCAAAGATCCCATTAATGTTCGTGCGTCAGCCACATCCTTGACACGCCCATGATAGGTCAGCAGCTGAATAGGGCCCTAGGACGGTTGGCGCGTAATTAGGGCGTGAAATAAATTAACGCTTGGCCAGATCCAACTGACGATTCAAGAGACGGAATCGCGGGTTGTGTGAGACTCGATGGGGATCCAGTCCCCTGCCGTGTTCATCATGAGCGAGCACAGAGCACTGAAAAGGGGGGGTGGGGAGCCAGCCGGGCGCAACATGTCAAGCGTCGGGAATGGAAGGTTCGGTGGGAGGGCACGCACCATCCTGACGAGCATGCTGCAGGTGGAAAGGGGGGCGTGATCGTGACGCAGTGAGAGGTCGGGGTGTTGGTAACCGACCTGGCTGAAAAGCAGTGGGGAAGGGGCTGCCCACAATTCCTTCCTTCTGCTGCCCCTAACCTACCTACTTAACTTACCCTAGCCCACTGCTCTACGTAACATCATCAAAAGGGTCGCCGCACCGCACCGCACCGCACCGCACCGCACCAGCTGCACGGTGTGCGCCGCTTGAGCCACTGCCCGTCTGCTTCAAACCATCATAACCAGGTCTCGCATCTTTCATGCAACCTGACGCTCCCGCCATGCACGTCGACGCAGGATGGCCGTCCGTTGCTGCGACTGGCCCTCGCGCTCGCAGGTGCCAGCAACGCAACCTCTCAATCAGACAAAAGACCGGACCGGACCCCATCAGTGATCACCCAGCCACCTCTGTTCTTCTAGTGTGCTTGCATGGCGCGGCTTTTGCAGCACCACGCGGGATGCCTAAAATACTAGCTACTTACTATTATGCTTGATGTACTTACTTATGCATGTTTTTCTGAGTAAGTCATCGGAGATAAGATCCATTCGCTCTACGCACTCATCCGCCACCACTCCGTTTCCTATCCTACGTGTTTTAGACAAATGGGGAAACACGACTATTGTCCGTGCCGATGGCCACTTGCACATGGCCGATGGCGCGCCACATATGACACACATAGTACCAGTGTACCACCCGCCGACAAGGGAGGACCAAAATGATCAACGACTCGCACAACGACCCGTTAACACTTGTGCTGTCTTCTGTGTCGCATTCCAAGATCTGTTCTGGCTCGGCTATGATGTGCAAACTGACTGGACGCGACGTGCCCGGCACAATGGTTCGCCTGATGACTGCAAGATCATGCTGCCGCCGCGAGTCTTCCACGGTTCTGGCTCTTCCAAGGGCTCACTTCAATCAGCACGGCAAGTGGGCGCCTCTCATCTCAGACCATCGCGTCAGGTGCTCGCTAATTAGCTCTCCTCCAGGCGCACTTGTATCGCAAAAGATCTGAATTCTTCGTGAAAATGTCCACTGCAAATGCGTGAAACGACTCGTGGACCACCAAACATTAATCAACGCTATGTCTACGTCGTACAGCCATGCGCTCCACATGCTCCTTTTGATGTCGCCTGCTGATGAGACATGGCTCAACACCTCCCAAACTCCGGAAGCCACCAATAGCACGTAAAAAGACGCTCAGTGCCTGTCCTCATCATCGTCGTGATCGGGCTCAAACTTGGTCTCGCCCAGCATCGGCCCCGGCTGTGACGTGGTGGCTGTCTGCGCGTTCGCCTGGTGTTGTGACCGTTGGCCGTCTTGCTGCCCACCACCAGGAGCCTGCGCAGACGGCTGCGAAGGCGACCTGCTCGGCGCGGTACCTGTCGCAGCGTGCAATCTCTGGTCCAAAGCCCTCAGGGCGATGGCCCGCCTTCGTTCGGCCTCTGCGCGGGCGCTGCCGGGTGTCCCCCTCTGGAGATAGCTCTCACCCCTGGCGGCGGACATGTCGGCCTGCGAGAAGGGCGCGCATACACGCATCGCCACGAGCGCCTCGAAGATCTGGTCGGCGAACGCGGCCACGAATGGCTTCGCGGGAGCAGGGAAGAACTCCGCAAAGGCAAATGTTTCGCTCGCATCGCCTCGTAGGCCGGCTGACTGCGACGAGGCTTCCAAGTCGGGGAAGACAGTCTTGTAGAAGCGCAGGTACGTCCAGCTCGTCAGGAACCCAAACAGGGCCAGCCAGAAGCTGGCGATGGACAGGGCGGGCGTCAAGGAAAGCAGTGTCACCACGCCCAGGTGGACGAGGGGAAACCGAGGGACGCGCAGGGAGAGTATCCCGCGGAAGAGTGTGACGGTATGGGCGGGCACGAGTTGACTGAAAGCGACGAGGAAGGATATCTGAATCGAGATGGTTCCGGAGACAACGGTCAGTCTGCAACGCGAATATTGTTAGCTGGCGCACCACGCAAGGGAGCAAGGGGGGAGGTAATCGCATACGTCCAGCTTTCGTTGCGCGAGAGAGTGAACAGAATCACGAGCATGCCAAAGGTCAAGAAGTTTGGGACCAGCGTGACGAGCGCCACAAACTTGGCCAACTCGCGTGAGGACCAGGCACGCTCAAGATACCGCCCGCCGTAGTAGAGTGTCGCAGCGCCCACCGCCAGCGTGAAGATGTTGCTCTCGACGAGCGATGTCGTGAGGAGCGTCCATGGGTACACGATCGATAGTTGGGGGACGAAGGTGAGGTATGGTATGACGATCTCGGCGTGCTCTGTCCATTGGCGATAGCGGATGGCAGAAGAGAGCATCGACTGGAAGACGAGGCCCGCGAGGAGGACGCGCGTCACAGGGGGGATATTTATTCGCGCCATGGCTAGCGCGCGACCGAAGAGGAGCGGAGTGTCGATGAGTGTGATGAGGTTGAGCAAAGCCGTACGCGCAAAGCTCGGCGGGCTTATTACTGCTCTCCTGGCTGGGCGTCGTCTTTTGAGGCTGGCGGAAATGTCAAGCCCCAGCAAGTCTTGGGCGGTCAGGGATAATTACAGTGAGAGGAGTGCAGCTACCGAAGAACAGAAGTCTATTGGCCAGAGCTAGGAGAAAGGCTCCACGACAGCTGGTTAGGTTGCGGTCACTTTTGTCTGGTTGTGGCTGAAGGGCTCGAATAGGTCAATTTTCTCAATCGGCCTGGACAATGTTGATTTATTGTCTACTAGTCTGCATTGTTACGTAGAATCATAGCGAGGCAGCTCGACGAGCTCTTTCTGAACGCACTCAAGTTCCTACTCGAGAGCCTCACTACGAGGCGTACCTTAGTAAGCACAGGGTTGTCACATGTACGGTACGTAGATGCGTAGTACAAGATGGTGGACGCGGGGGTCTCGCGGCTGAATCAACAAGAATGCTACAGACTAGGACTCGGGCGGGTGTCGTCCTACTCGCCATCAAGCCTCACACGATGCTGCATGAATGCCGTTGCGTAGCAAGGCTTGTAGTTGTGACTGATGAGGCCTGGCCAAGTACGTAGTATTATTAGGCTGTGGGTGCCTGGGTGGACGGATCACTGGGCACGACTCATGCGCACACGGCATCTTGCATCAGGAGGTGGCATCAGGATGTAAAGCCTCCCAGCTGCAGGTTGTGGTCGAAGGGCCGCAGGACGCGGTCGATGGGGTGAAGGCTACTGCGTAGATTGAAGATTTGGCCTTCGCCAAGTTGTGCCAGTGACCGTCCAGCGTGCTGTGCCTGGAGGACAATTTGACCAGAGCTCCTACAGCAACAACAAATGTCAGCAACAACAAGTTTGCTCTGGCGCGGCGTGGGGATGCTGCGTGGCAGATGATGCGGTGCAGGCCCAAGGAACATATTGTGCCAGGGGTTCCCGGCGGGCGTGGCCACACAAGCAAATGACCCCTGGCTCCACCGCCATCGGGGGCTGGGCGCTTGTCGCTTGTCGTGGTCTGGTCACTTCGCTCTGTTAGGTTCCAACGTGCATCTCTGCAAGAAGCCTCGCGATAACCCTGCCACTAGGATCAGTGAATAGCAGTTGCGGCCGCGCCGGCTGGCAGCAGAATGGACAGCTTGTCCACTGCCGGTAGTTTTACAGGGTCCATGTCGTGGTGGTTTGTGCCTGGACGCAGGCTGGAGCCTGGCGCTGTCTCGGAAGCAACTCCGCCAATTTAGCAGCGGATCTGCAACGATTCGACCACGCCTTAGGAGGTTGATGAGTGTCAGAATTGGGTTAGCTGCCCAGTCACGAGGCGTGGCCTCTGCTCCGTACTGGTGGCCGCTAACGCCGACATGCTGGCAGACGATTGTATCAACATTGTCTGCCAAGAGCTGGTTCAAACGCTAGAAACATGTAATGATGAAGATTGGCGTGGCGTGACGCCGATGATATGTAGAAGGGCCATCGTCGGGTCGCTAGAATAGGATAGATTCTGCCTGCATCTGGAGAATGTACTTCACCTGGATGTGACATGGCCTCCGGCTGCGCAGCAATTGGGGCTGGAATGAGTGTGATTCAAGACAAGCAACGGCTCGATAGTTCATTGTGATAAGAACCAGATTGATACAAACCCACAAACTCCAGTCCAAGTTCAGTCGCCTTGGAGTTGGGTTAGGTTGCCTTGCAGACAGGGTCATGACGCCTCCATGTCCTCTCAGCATAATCTGCAGAGTCTTGAAGGTCTGGGGCCACCAGTCAAAAGTTAAAAGGGCCAGGCCTGTGCAAGTGTCGAAAGTACGTACCGCGCTTGGTCGGTCCCACCAAAAGGGATTGACCGCTGGTGCAATGCTTTGAGGCCGATGGGGACTAGCGCGGGTTAATAAAGGCTGCAGCACCGCACCTGCCCAGTGCCAACGCTCCGGGGGTTTTCCTGGGCAGCTGCAGCCTGGGAGCAACTGCCAACAGCCAACAAGCGCCGCTCCAGTCTAGTCAGTGCCAGTGGACGGATTGATGAGTGATGACTGGACAGGTCTTTGGACATGACTGGAACCAATCCAAGGGAATCCAGCGTTGACGCAGGCAATGGAAACTTTGAGGCGCTGCCCCCCCCCTGGGGACGGTGACAAGCGTCCTAGCGACCCTTTTGACGTGGAACCGGGCAGCCAGCAGTCCATCCAAGACGCGGACGGGCCAGACCCACCTTAGATCCGTTCGGCTCATGTTTCGATTTCATCTCTTCGAGGGTCTGTGGACAAACCTTGGTTCCCCCAACATCACGAGCCTCGCTCACGACAGGATTCACAGCGCACACTCAAGACCTTTGGAAGTGACGCCCGCCGGCAGACACCACCCTCGCTCACACTTTTTCGCCCGCCCTGAGGTCCATCGGCGCCTTCAGTCTAGTTAGACGCACTCTCGCACCCAGCGTCCCCAGTGCGCCCACTCGCGGCGCGCCCGGGCTCGTCATCTCTCCGGATCTCGAATCTCGAAATCTCCTGGCCCTGAAATCTCCCCAGACAGCACAGCACCGGTTGGCGCGCGCGCACGCACACACGCTCGCACACGCCAGATCATCAGCCATCACTCTCACTCACTGCCTGCGCGACCGTAGGCCGAGGCGGCCAGTCATGGCCGTCAAAGAGTTCCTCGACTCGGATCGAGTCAATTTTCTCATCTGGAGGTTAGCACTCACACTCTCTCAACTCCCCCCGCTTGCCGTGACTTGTCACCCATCTAGTCCTTGATCGGTTCATGAGGCATTGCTCGTGCACGATCGAGCCGTCGCACAGTCGCAAGAACCTTGCCCCAATTCGCTCAGCTCACGAGGCTAACTCATCATGCTCATAGGTACCTCCTCGAAGGCAGTATGTCACGCTGGCACACGGCCCCCCGAGCACTTGCTAATATCTATAGATTACCGCGAGACTGCTGCCAAGTTTCAGAAGGAATGGCAGGTCAAGCAGCCACACCACCAATTCTCATTTGCGCCTCATGTCAAGGGCCACGCGCTCGTCTCCGTCATCAACAGAGGCCTTCTCTACCAGTCACTCGAGCGCCAACGCGCGAGCAGCCAGGTATGCACCAGGTTTGCCCAGGGCAAATCCCCCCAGACGCTCTGAGACATTTGTTGACTGATCCTTCCTCCCAGCTGTCTGATGATCTAGCTCGCACGGCAGAGGCCGAATCGCTGCAGGTCGGCATTTTTGGGCCCTTGAGCGCGCAGCCACCCGCCAAGGAGGAGGATGATGGGGTTCCCGCGACGACGATTGAGACAGTCACCACCACCCTGACGCCATTCGCACCACCGACGGTCACCACCACAACAGACGCGGCATCGGCATCGACCGCCCGAGTGCAGGATCACGCATCAGCGAATTCCGCCACGCCCGTCGCCGCTTCAGCAGAGGAAACTGAATTTCCTCGAAAACGATCTCACCCACACCTACAGAATGGCTCACCGATTAAAAGGCCACGACTCAGCCATGGATATGAGAATGGCACCACCGACGCAGCTCCGGGCACGGACCCGATGGACATTGATCAGGACCAGCATGACAACCACGCATACCCTTCACCACTGGAAGGGGAAGAAGCGACGAGCCCGATCCCCCATACTGAGGGCCCGGAGCAGGGCACCCAGCATGACAAAGTCGAGGAAATCACGCCGCACACGACGTTTATCCGCTTGACCGACGATAGATCGGCCTCTGGCCACTTTGCCTCACCGGGCGCCGACATGGGCGCGCAAGCCGCAAATGCCCCGACACTTTTACATTGCCAGTGGAACCCCAAGGACCCTTCGGTATTGGCCGCTGCTGGGAGCGGGGCGCTAGCCCGAATCTGGTCCGTCTCACGTGCGCCGACCTCAGACTCCGAGCTTCACCACGATCACGTGCCCTCAAATGGCCTGTCGCTGCTGGAGCCGGATGCACCGTTAAGCACTGTCGTTTCACAGCTAGCGTGGACAAGTGATGGAAACTCGGTGGCTCTAGTCGCCGAATCCGGCGGGCAGACGTCGATTCTTGTCTGCGCATCCAACGGTGGCATGCTCCAGACGTTTGATTCCGCTGCCGAGCAGGTGATCAAGCTTCTATGGAACAGGAGCAACACGGCGCTACTGGCGATATCACCATCGCCGGACGAGAACGGTGCGATCATTACGGTGTACCAGAATTTCCCGAATGGAACATCGCAGTCCCAGTCCGTGCTGTCCTACACACTGCCAGACCACGACATCAACGCGGCACCGCTGGATGCGAGCTGGATCAGCGATCTCGAGTTTATCATCTGCGGAGGCAACCTCCTCGCTACACTGTTCTGTGCCGAGGACAAGATTGTGCAGGTGCGCAAATTTGAAACGAAACCCGACGATGCCTTGCGCAGTGTGCTCTACGACTGGCACTCTGAGCTGACGGCAACTGGCAGTGAAACGGGGATCTTAGACGTACGTGTGCCGATTCTTTTTGTTACTGGAAGTATTTGCTGACTTGTTGCTAGCTTTGGGATACCAATGGACGGCGTCGGTCCATACAAGCCCACCAGGGTGCCATTACCTCGATGGAATGGCAGCCATTGACGGGCCCCGCGAATTCAGATGACGAGCGACTGATTGCCACTGGAGGCGAAGACTGCGCCATCCTCATATGGAACGCCCGCATGCCCGAGAGTAAACAGCGTTGCTTCCTAACCATGACCTCGCCCATCGTGCGGCTTGCATTCACACCCGATGGCGCTTTCATTGCTGGCGCGTCGGCGAGCCAGGTCTTGATCTGGAAGGTGTCCAGCCCGACATTCCCACGAGCTTCGTGGCGGCGCAAATCGCACCCCGGCTGGGAGAGCCCCAGAGCGGCCTCGGATAGCGACGAGGAGTATGCGGAGCACTGTCTCTGTTGGGATGCGAATGGGCAAAAGCTGGCCTACGGCTCGAACAGCAGAGTGAGTGACCAAGTCTCTTGTGAACAAGTGTGCAAGTTAACGAAACCAGCTGGCCATTATCAACTGGCGGCGATGACGAAGAAGAAAGACGACAAAAAAGTTCCTTTGTATTTGAAGCCCGACTTCCTCGGGGCTACTGACCATTCTTGGGTACCATATTCGGCCTTGCCGCCTTGTGTTACGAAATCTCTACGCATAGTACGGGCATGGGGGGGTCTCCTTGAGTAAGCGGCGTACTGGTTGGTGGGTTGGTATGGGGCGAGTGTCCCTGTCCCAGCGATTCTTTCTTTACTTTTGTGTGTGTTTGTTCAAATACCATACGGTGCAATCGGCGAGGTGTCAAGGGATCAATCATGCGAGGAGGATCGGAAGGCGGGCTGCTGCTACTATCTGGCAAGCGAGTGTTCTTTTTATCTACAGACAAGGCTGGGGCTATCATCTTGTACAACAATAGTTCCACAACATCAATAAAGAGTTGAACTCTATTTTGTCATTTGTGAGGAGGGCAAAGCAGGCGAGCGATAGCAGTTCGTCCGTGTTTCTGAGGCCTGGGTTTTCGTCATATGTCACCAACCGACTGCTGCCCCATGCGCGCCCGTCTCGAGTCCGACTGGAGTCCAGCAGCTAGCTTCCCACTTTCACCCCACCATCACCGTCGCGGTCAGGCCTCACCTCCAGATCGACGTTCCGTCGACTGCTCACCACAAAGTACTATATAACACAATCACTTTTTCTGCAAGGCGCGCGCCGCCATCAGCAGCTTCATTTTCACCCTCGACAACCTCCACCGAGATGGCAACGCGCACGCAGAAGACGCAGGAAATGGAGATTGACCTCCAGGCGCGAGGCAAGGATCACACCCACCGCGTCAACCAAGAGGACAACGTCGACTCGCGTTCATTTCGAATGGTCATTGGCGACGTGTGCGTTCCTCCCAAATCTCTTTTTTGTAATTTTACTTTTCTGACCTGGTATGTAGTCTGCCCGTGGACACGTACTATGCCACGCAGCAAAAGGATATCGCCATGCGAGCTCTGGATCAGCCTGAACTACTGCTCATGCACGCGCACGGCAACGATGATGTAGGTTGTTCGCTGGTGTCAGAGAAAAGGGCAAATGCCACAGACATGACACTGACAGCTTCGCAGTCCGTAGCAAGCCAGCGCTACAAGTTCATGTGCATGCTGCACGATCCAGAGGACAGAATGGAGGCGCCATCGCGTGCCATCAGGCCCGAGAAGCTATCGTCTAGGAGATCGTCCGGGAAGCAAGCCTGGAGGTGACTCATGTCTGAGCGGGATCCTTTTTCCTTGTAACGAGTATACGTATGATTGATGATGATGACCATGACGGAGGCAGCAGCAGGGCGTAGTAGTATACATCATATATATCCAAAATGATATTGTAGGAATGAATCTATAGAAAAAAACAACATGCTGGTGACGTGAACCATCAACCCATGATGATAACCCCGTATGCTCTGTTGCGCCACGAAACGCCATGACTATGCAATGCAAGCTTCCCATATATCCAAGAAAAAAAAAAAAAAAAAAGCAGCCGTCTACGCGTACCGTGTGCTCCCCGTCCGCTGCCATCCCCCCATCTCATAATTGTTGTTGTGGCCCATCTGCCGATTCTGGAACGGGCTGTTGGTATTGTCCTCGTAAATGTGCCCGTCGTGCGTGCCGTACTGGTGCGGGTTGAAGGGCTGGCTCGTCGGGTCGTGGTGGTCGCTGGGGAAGCGGTCGTTCCGGTTCTCCGGCTGCCAGTACCCTCCCACGGGCGGCGTGCTGTTCCCGCCCGACATCTCTGGTGGTGGCAGCGGTGACGGCTTCTTAGCCATGGCACGCTTCCTGGACCGGCGGCGCTGGCACCGGCGACAACTGCTCCAGATGCAACAGGCGATGCACAGGAGCAGCAGCCCGCCCACGACGCAGCACACGGGGATGGCAATGTTCTTATTGTTGCGGAACCAGTCCTGGATCCGGCCCCAGACAGAAGCGCCGTCACAGCTCCCGTTCTTGCAGTGGCCGTCGCCTGAACAGGGCGTCCCGTCGAGCAAATTGGTATTGTACATGCTGCATACGCTGCTGTCGTTGGATGCTCCGCGACAGGACAGCATGCAGCCATCGGTGCCGCCACAGGCCTCAATGTTCTCGTTGCCCGTGTCACCACCGCCCAGCATGGCGCGGCACTGCATGTCACGGTTCGTGCACTGGCCGGATGCGCACTGTAGACCGTCGCCGCACGAGTCGCCGTCGTTGAGATGCTTGTTGGAGGGACAGGTACCGCTGTCACCGGAGCACCTCTCCTCCGGGTCGCAGTCGCCGGTGCTCGCGCGACACACCGTGCCGTTCGACTTGAAAGCGCACTCGTCGGTGCAGCAGCCTTCGTTGGTAGGGTCGCACTCGGCGCCGTCACGGAACTTGCACGTCTCGGCGTTGCAGCAGCTGTTGTCGCCGCAGCCGTCGGTGCCGCCGCAGTCGCAGTCCTCGCCCTCCTCGACGATGCCGTTGCCGCACTGGCTGCCGGTGAAGGTCCCGACGTTGCGGTTGTTGGTCAGACACTGGCCATTGACGTTGCGCAGCAAGCCGGAGCAGATATTGCCGATGCTACAGGGCGAAAAGTCCTCAATCTTCTCGTCGGTGGACGGGTTCATGATGAAACCACCCCCGGCGTCGCAGGTGCTGGAACTAAAGGGGCAGCACGACTGCGAGTCGCGACTGACGGGGCAGGTTGAGCTGGTGCAGTCGTGGACGGCACCAAACGTGTGGCCCGTCTCGTGCGCAAAGATCTGCCACTCGGACGGCGTCCGGACGACGACGTTGGTCGCGGCCACCGTCTCGTTCCCGCCCTGGTCGTCGACGCCCTCGGACGAGCCAGACCGGCAGAGCTGCCCTCTCCACGCGAGGCCGACGGCGGTGTCGGTGCTACAGGTGGTGAGCAGCGTCCAGTAGGCGTTGCTGTCGGGATTCTGGCCACGCCACCCCGAGAAGAGGTTGAGTCGGTCGCCGAGCTTGACGCTGTTGCTGCAGGCGAGGTTCCATGGCGCGGAACCGGATTCGGACTGAGAACATGGCCGATCGATGACGGTGAGATTCCTAATCGCGAGCGAGATGCTAAAGGTGTCTTCGTACAGGGCAGAGGCTCGGTTCACCAGATCAATCACGTTCTTCTCAAGCGCATCGCGGTCGCTATCGAAATCGTCCCAGTAGTTGCAGTCGGTGGCGATGCCCACGAGCGCGACCAGGCGGGTGTCCGGGCATCCGCTGGTCGACCCGATGGTGGGATAGTAGTTGGCCCCCATGTCGTCCCCAACATTGTCGATTTGGCGACCAAACAGCGATTTTGCGGGCATCGCGGCGAGGTTTCGACTTTCCAGCTCCAGCTGCCGCCTCTCCAGGTCGTACCGGGTGTTGAACCCCAGATTGTCCGAGTCACAGGTGGCCGCGAGGCTGTCTCGCTTCAACTCGGACGGTCGAATGTCGGAGTCGCGATACACGACCATGAGGGCCTCGCCATCTGGGGACGCCGGAACCTCTGGGTCCTCTTCGTGCTTGACCTTGCGGTACTTTGCGTCTTGCTGGATGTGGTGGCTGACACCAAACACTCGAAAGGCGCCCTCGAACAAGGGCTTCTTGCCGTCACGGTGCACGATGATCCTGGCCCATCCCGCCTGTGTCCAACCGGTCGCTTTCTGTACGTGGGCACGTCCCTTGTACACCTTTCGGGCATTTCTGTCCACCTTCTCAACCTCCCGTATCGTGCCGTCGGGGTCCAGGCTCGTTATCGTCAAGTCCTCATGTAGGATGTCGTGATTTGGCTCGAGGGCCAGGCGTATAGGTATAGGGTCCAGACCATCCTGCCGTAGGTCGAAGACGAGGTCGAATTCAGAGTGAGCGTGTACCCTGTGGGCGGGCGTGTCGATGACGGGGTTTGTGACAATCGAGACGGCGCTGACGGCGTTGCGTTTTGTAGAATGGGCCGTTGTGGAGGACGAAAAGATGGCCGCGCCAGCGAGGACAGCCGTCGCTACAGATCGGAGGCTGATCATCTCGAGCGACAGAGGCTGGCGAGGGCCAGGAAGTGGCTTCTGTCCCGGAGGACGGGTTGGGAGAATGGATGTTATTGCGATCCGGCCATCCGTCTGTGGATTCTGACAGTGATACAAAGCTAACTGAGTACCTAAAGAAGCGACGGGCTCGAATCAGTGCGTCTGTTGTTCGACGAGCACCAAGAGAGGCACGATTGTATAGGGCCGGCTCGGGAATAGAATAAGGTAAGGCACTTAGAAAACACGTCAAATGAGGTTGTTCGAAGTAGAAGGAAAGGGCGGGTAATCGATGCTATCGAAGACAAGAAGGTTGGCGCAGCGTAATCGACCCGGAGTGTCGCTCTGCCGTCGAAGTGGACGGTGGACGTGAAGCGCGCGCTAGAGGGACGAGGGGCTATATCTGTCACCAGCACACTCTGGATGCTAAACTGAATTATGGGCATTCGTCAGCACTGCATTTCCTTGTTGAAAATAAGTAATGATAATAATAATAATAATAATAGGGGCTACGCCTTTGAATTCGTCCTGTCTCTGCTGTGCCAGAGCGCACTGGAGCTGGCCGCCCCTCAAACAGGACGTGTCGCACGTCAAGTCGGGGCCTGCTCCATGCTCATCGCTCCCATGCAGCCTGTCCGCGTACTCGCTCAGCACCCTACGCACAGCCACTCGCGCCTATCAGAGCATTCGAGTGATAATTATATTTAGTCCAGTCCAGTCCAGTCCAGTCCAGCGGCTCCACGGCTGGTATTGAAGAACACGAAGTGTGCGCAAGAAGCAACAAGTCCATGACTCTGCCAAGGGTGCTTCACGAGTAGCCTCCCAAGACCTGGATCTATCCCATCCAACGGCCACGCTCACCAACCCTCCATCGAGCTGCTGGCCTCGGCCTTGATGACGACGACACATGCACCTGGCTGATGTGAGATGGGAGGGCTGTCGTACAAGCATGTTGATTGCTCATTGACTGATTGATTACACAGTGAAGCTTAACTTAATCTGTATATGCCCAGGCTTTCTCGGTGGAGAAAGTCTTGGCCTGCCACGCGTCCAATGTGGCTGGATGCCATCTGCCGACGTGACTTGGACATACAAACGTACAGTGAAGATGAGTCGCTGGGACCGTAACGGGAACTTATAAAGCACAAATTGACAAGGCTAACATGACTATTCGGTCCAGCTACTCCAAACTTGCAGCAGATCCCTAGTCCAATTGCTGCTGTGACGGCGCTCCCTCTCCCCATCCCCTCTTCTCTTGGTAGTATTCTCCTCGCCAGATCAAGCCTTCTTCGACGCATGCACAGTACTGATAATCTTCTCGACAATGGAGGGATCCGAGAGCTGCCACTGGTTAGCGCCCCCATTCGCACCGCGTGGGACAATGATAGTGCACGAACCGTCGTAATGTCGCCCAGCTGGTCCTCCTCGCCCGCCAAGATCTTGCGCAGGATACGTCGCATGATCTTACCACTCCGCGTCTTGGGCAGGTCCGGCACAATGTACACAGTCTTGGGCGCCGCGAACGGACCGATACTCTTGCGCACTTGCAGGACAAACTCCTTGCGCAGCTGCTCGCTCGTCTCGTGGCCGTCCTTGAGCGCGACAAAGGCGCTGATGGACTGGCCCGTCAGCTCGTCCGCGACGCCGACCACCGCCGCCTCGGCGATGCCGTGGTGCTCGATGAGGGCCGCCTCGATCTCGGCTGTCGACAGGCGGTGGCCGCTCACGTTGATGACGTCGTCCACGCGACCGCGGATCCAGTAGAAGCCTTGGTGGTCACGACCGGCACCGTCACCGGTGAACTAGCAAATGTGTCAGCCTCGCAACGCCCTCTGAGACTCAAGTCCAGCTACTCACATAGTATCCCTTGTACACGTTCAGGTACGTGTCCATGTACCGCTTGTGCGAGCCATACACGGTGCGCGCCATGCTGGGCCACGGCTGCTTGAAGGCGAGGACGCCTTCGACGTCGTTGCCCTTGATTTCCTCGCCGGACACGGGGTCGACAATGGCGGGCTCGATGCCGAAGAAGGGCATCGAGGCACTCCCGGGCTTGGTCGGCGTCACACCCGCCAGTGGCGTGATGACGTTGGATCCCGTCTCGGTCTGCCAGTATGTCTGCGACTCGTCAGCAATGATGTTCCCAGTATGGTAGCGGTCAATCAGCCTACATCGACAACGTGAGCCTTCTCACGACCGACAACCTCAAAGTACCACTTCCAGATCTCGGCGGCAATGGGCTCGCCGACGGAGCCCAGGACGCGTAGGTGCTTCATCTCCGCCTTGACGTGCTCGTCGCCGGCCCGCTTGAGGAGACGCAGCGCCGTCGGCGCCACGTAGAACTGGGTCACCTTGTGCTTGTCGATAATGTCCCAGTACCGGGAGAAGTTGGGGTAGGCAGGGGTACCCTCGAAGACGACCGTGGTGACGCCGAGGAGGAGGGGCGCGTAGACGACGTACGTGTGACCGGTGATCCAGCCCACGTCACCGCCGCAGAAGTAGCGGTCGCCGTCGTGCAGGTCAAAGACGTACTTGCCGGTCATGGCGGCGCCTAGCAGGTAGCCGCCGGTGGTGTGCATGACGCCCTTGGGCTTGCCCGTCGAGCCCGAGGTGTAGAGGAGGAAGAGGGGATCCTCGGCGTTGACGGTCTCGGGGGGATAGTAGGCGGGCCACTTGTCGACCTCCTCGTGCCACCACCAGTCGCGGCCCTCGGTCCAGGGGATTTCGGCGCCGGTGCGCTTGTAGACGAGGCAGTGGGTGACGTCGGGGCACTGCTTGAGGGCGTCGTCGACAATCTTCTTTGTGCCGATGAGCTTGCCGCCGCGCTTGCCCTCGTCGGTGGTGATGACGACCTTGGACTGGCCGTCGATGACGCGGTCGCGCAGCGAGTCAGCAGAGAAGCCGGCGAAGACGACCGAGTGGACGGCGCCGATGCGGATGCAGGCGAGGATGGCGATCAGGGCCTCGGGAATCATGGGCAGGTAGATGGCGACGGTGTCGCCCTTGCGCACGCCCATCTGCTTGAGGACCCACGAGGTCTTGGAGACCTGGCGCAGGAGCTCGGCATAGGTCAGCTCGCGGCCGTCACCGGGCTCGTCGGCCTCGTAGATGATGGCGACGCGGTCCGGGTCCTTGTGCGCGTGGCGGTCGACGCAGTTGTAGCATGCGTTGAGCTGGCCCTCGGTGAACCAGGAGACGTCGCCGTTGGTGAGGGAGCCACTGCGGACGGTCTGGAAGTCGCGCTGCCATGACAGCATCTGGCGCGCCTGGCGACCCCAGAAGGAGGTGGGATCCGTGATGGACTCTTCGTAGAGCTTCTTGTACTCCTCCATGTTGGCCAGATGAGGCTTGCTGGGGTGGTCTATGGGCGGATGGTCAGTCTCCAGGCTAGGTACCTCGTGAGGGCGAGAGGAGGGAGCTCTTACTGGCAAGCATCTTCTCGGGAGGATCTGTGACAGGCAAGGCCGTGGTTAGCAGGTTGCTGGTTGCGCCTCATGTATTCTAGGGGGCACTGGTCGAGCTTACGGAATGTGTCTACGCCGTGCGCCTCGGCGACGACTTTAGGGTGGCTTTCTCCAGCTTCCGCCATGGCTGTGATGTGTGTTGTTTTGGTCGTCTGTGTCGAATCTCGCTCAGTTCGCTCAGTGAAGCTCTCACGGGGCAGCGTTAAATGTCAAGCAAGCGCAGTCAGCTGTCGCGGGGCACTGGAAATATTATTGTGACAGTACGGATAGAAGCGCTGGAACCCTTTCCCTTTCAGGGCAGCTCAGGGTGCCGATGCGGGGTAGCGGGGGGTCCAGTCTCGTGCTTCCACTCCGGCCGGCCGTGCGTAATGGCTGGAATGCGACGGGCTAGCGGGCGAGAGCTGTTCTGCAAGACTGTGCGTACTGACTCTGGGGATGAGGCCAGTTAATACGGCTGGAGTGTGTAGGTTCGTGGTAGATGAGTGGAGGATGTCAAGCTGTGCGCAGGATGAGAGGAGAGGAGAGGAGAGGAGACTGGAATGTCAATGGATGCAACAACGGCAAGAGCGACTGCAGGAGGACATGGAGGGAAGGTCGCGAGACAGGGCACCGGGACGCTCTTATGGAAGCGTCCAACTGTCTACTAGTAGTCTATGTCCAGTCGCGTGCGCAACGATGGACGGTAACTAATGGGATACTAGAGGGGTCCATGTCCCCAGACCACTGCAGGCATTGCGTCAGGCGGGGGACCCCAATGGCAACGATGGCGTTGCCAATTCTCAGTGCTGATATTCCCGTGATGCGTGCCGAAATGGACCCAGCCAAGCACACGAAGGGTGTCCTTTCCCCCAGGCCCAGCCCCGACGCGCGCATCCGTTGCCCCGAGCAGCCAGTCGTGGTAGCCGAAGCCATGCTCGGCTGGAGATTAGCCGTCACTCTCTCTCTCCGCGGAGGGCACCTCATTAATTCACGCAGAATCATCCATGCGGCGAGACAGCCTAATTCGACCATGAGCTGCTTTGTCCCATCTGAGCCATATTATTCATTATATACCGCTCGACGCAACGCAAGGGTTCTGCGCCGATCGAGTGGACGGACGTGTGGAAGCTGGAGACGATGCCACCAGCCGGCTGGGCTGAGGGTTCCACTCCACCACCCACTGGCACCATTCTCATTGCAGGTTGCGTAACCTCTCCCTTCAATTCATCCCGCAGATGCATGACCTCAGCCGGCATCGGGTTCCTTTCGTTTCTCTCGTCTGCGCCCACGCGCGAATGTGGCCAGGCGCAGGAACATGGGCCTGGGGTTAATACAACACCGCATCAGGTTGCCTCTGCAGACCCATCCATTTGTATGCAATGCGCAACCGCCATCAAGAACAATTAGAAATCAAACCCATCTCAAACGGTACTCCATTGCACGGCCCAGCCATCGCGATGCCAGTTATATTCGCGTCCGCCTAGCTTCCATCAGTGATGCAACATCCACCACCCCCAACCACGCCTAGCTTCCCCTCAGTCCCCCGCATTTGGGGAGATCGGCGCTCATTCATGACATCGTTCTGGCTTGGGCCTCGCAACTGGTCGATGCCCTCCGATCCTGTGGATTCATCATTCTTCAGACTTTAATTTCTGCCTGATGCACGTTTGAATAAACCCTGCTGAGATCGATGGGTCTACTCCGTAATGCTGTAACTTTAAAATTGGGATGAACCCTTGGCAGGACGTCGCCAGCTCATAAGTGGTTGTGACGTTGCCCCAAAGTGAGCTAATACAGACCTCGTTCTGCACGCCATACGCCAATCCATTGATGATGATGACAGCCGCCGCTCACATGTCCATGCTCATCAGGTACATCTCGTACACCCTCATGAACTTGGCCACAAACGCTTCCAGGTGGAAAATCACCTTGGTCCCCGTCTTGATCCTGTGCTCGTAGAACGCCGACCACTGTATCACCTCGCCCTTGAGTGTGTCGTCAATCATCGGCAGCAGCTTGAACGTCAGGGTCTTGAGGATTGTCGTCGCCGGTATGCAGTGTGTCAGGAGATCGTACAGCTTCGCCCGGACCTGCATGATGCGCGCGGGCGAGTGCTCCTCGATGATCTCCCTGGCGACCTGCCCTATGAGCGCCTCCCAGTCGGCCGGAGGGATTGGTGTTTTTTCCGTCACTTTCTCACTGAAGCACAGATGTCAGCACGCGCACTCCACAGGATAACGTGACAAGGACGCGAGATACTCACTTTTGTGCGTGCACAGCCTCGTACATGAGCAGCGCTCTTCGTAGATTCCTCCCACTCTCCCTGGCGATCCGCATATTCAGCTCCGTCACCACGGGCCAGCCAAGCTTCTTGGCCGACACGGCCAGCACGTCGCAAATCTCCTCGTGCGTCGGCGCCGCCACCCGGACCAGCAGCGTCCTCGACCGAATCGGCGCAATGATATTGGCCGTCGAATTGGCCAGCAGGATCAGCCGCAGGTTGGGCGAGTACTTCTCCATGGTCCGGCGCAGCGCCGCCTGCGCGTCGCGCGTCAGGTGGTCCGCCTCGTTGATCACCACCACCTTGAACTTTTGCCGCGCCGACTGGTCCACCTGCTGCGTCTGCGCCACCTCCTTGAGCAGGTCCTGCACGACGACGCGGTCATAGTTGCCCACGTCCGAGGGTGTGATCTCGAGGTGGTAGTTGGATGCCACAATGTTGAACTCGAGCTTGCGGTTGCTCGTCGTCTGGAACACCCGCGCGTCGATCTTGATCTTCTCCACGCCCGGCCCGTACAGCTCCTTGAGCGTGGCGACGATGCGCGTCTTCTTCCCCGCGCCAGACGGGCCGTAGACGAGGAGATGCGGAAAGTCGCCGCTTTGTGCCTGGCCAGATTGTCAGCTTCTGTAGTCATGCCCAGCGGCAGCGAAACGCACAAGCGACTGTAACCGATCGGACAGCTCAGGGTGGTATGTGAGGGCTTCGAGGGAGCGTGGACGGTGCTTGTCGACAATGAGGGCCATGTTTGCGGTCGGTATTCAGCTCGTGATTAGGGTGTCGGAGCTGCCGTGGAAAGTGAAGTTTCTGGGGAGACGCGTCAGGCGCGTAAAGTGGTTGACGGGCTGATCATAGCGTCCAAAGTGGGTCTGCTCAGGCGGCCGTGCACGGGCCTTCGGTGATGGCCATACTGCTCCTCAGCGTGCTTTTTTATTTGGATGCAATGAATTGGTAAGAATTACTTGTCAGATGAATAAAGCTAAGGTGAAATTTCTTAATGAACATGTACGTACGCAGTCAATAGTACTCGCAACCGCATAATGACTGCCTTTCACTCGAACGTTCAAGGTGGACCAAAATCTGGGTCTCATGATTTTATACACAGGCAACGCCCGTAATATACACTGCTACATCATACAAGCTCTCATGGCTTTGGTTGCGACTCCGTCTTGCTCCCAGGCTGCGTAATCGAAGTCGGCGACGACGCCTCCAGCATCTCCTGGGGGGCGATGTGTCTCCTCGGAGCCTTCAACTCCTCCAATGTGAGACCATTGTCCAGCGGTGTGATGCCGACAATGGGCGCATCCCCCTTCTTCGCAAACGCCCACTGCCCCGGCAGCTTGTTGCCGGCCAGACGGAAGGCGTCTCGCACGATGGCCTCGTGAATCTTGCCTCGAATCTCAAACACGATCTGGCTGACGGCGATTCGCGCAGCCCAGTGGTCGAAAGAACCCTTACCCTTACCCATACGCATCTTTTGATCTCGTTAGTGCGCTGTTCATATCATGTTGCCCTTGGAGGAATCCCGAACTCACATCGTTTCCGCTGACAAACACGCCAATGTTGCAGTTCTTCCGCTTGTACAGCCTGTACTTCTCACCACGCAGGCGTGCCTTGATGGTGCTCTCCGCCGTCTGTAGCGACTTTGCGCTGATGCGTCGGTGGTGGTCGATCATGCGCAGCCCGTAGTCTCCCCACATCACCGTCGTGCCCTTGGCCGAGCCGCCGGTGGCCACACGAGGTCGGCCCTTGGCCATCTTGTCCTTGCGGTTGAGTTTGGGCTCGAGCCAGTTGCCCATGGCTGTGGTGGTTGTCGAGAAGGCTCGAGCATTCTGGAGGCGTCGTGCGGCGTCGAGTGCTCGTGTCGGTGTCGCTCGGGCAGTCTGAAGGGCCGTCGCATTGCCCAGCGACAAGCCTCGAAGGGCGCCGACCAGTGTCGACGAGTGCGCAGGCTTCATTGTGCTGGGTTGTGATGGAATTGGATGCCCATGAACGCTTGTCGTCGTCGTTGATGAGCTCCAGAAATTCTGTAAACCTGAAAGCCACAGAGTGGAGCCGCACTTTGGCGGCGCCTGACTGGTCAGGCTGCCAACGATCCCCTGCGCCTGCCGCTCCTCAAGGCACTTAAGGCTGTCCCACTTCTTCGCGTCACGTTCGCGTTGCTCTGGTCGTCAGATTTCGGGGTGGTGCACGTCACTTCCGAGTCTTGACGTGCGTGCATCTTAGGCTGCCACCTCTGCCTGGCTATACAGACGGCCTTACGCGACACTTTCTGGGCTTCACAAATACTGCGTTGGCTCAATTCTTGTGTCCGTCTTCGTTTGCCCATCCTATCCGACAAAATGCCTGATATCCGTTCCTTCTTTGGGCCGAAGGGTGGTGCTGCCCCCACGCCAGCTAAACCAGCTCCCAAGGCCGATGCTGGAACCAAGAAACGCAGTAGTAAGGAATTGGCGTCTAAATCGATTGCGAAAGCTGATTCAAATCATAGGGGGACGCAAAGTTGTCGAGGACAGTGATGAGGATGATGTTGTCGAGTAAGAAGCACTCCACAACGATCATCATCTTGCTTCCGCTGACCTTTCTCAAGAGTGAAACCCGCCGCTAAACCTGCGCCCAAGAAGAAGGCAGTGTATGTGGTTCTGTTTGTTGACTTGTTTTGTGGCCACCGCTAAATCCCAGGCCAGTGATGCCGAACCCAGAGGCACGGCGATATCTGCAGATGCCTACTTCGCGTCCAGCAAGGGGAACAAAACAGCCCATCCCGAACCAGCCAAGAAGACTACTGAGGTTCCCGTCCGGGCGAGCCCACGAGGCAAACCGGCTGCCCCGAAGGCACCAGTACCTGCGAAGAACGAGACTCCCACAAAGAAGCGAAACACCAAAAGCCACACCAAGGTAGAATCGGACGACGATAAGGACGCTTATGTCGACCAAGAAGACGATGAGGACGACGATATCTTTGCAGCGGATGCCAAAGGTCGTAGCAAACGCAAGACGGACGATTACGAGGAAGCTGAATCGGAAGAGGACGACATACCACAGCCCAAGCGCGCGCGAGGTCGGCCAGCGGGAAGCAAGAACAAAGCGGACGATGCCAAAACTGCGGCAAGCGCAAAGAAGCGCAAATCTCCCGAAGACGACGAGGAAGAGGAAGAGGAGGCCCCTCCAAAGAAGGCAGCCAAACCCAGAGCTCCGAGGACGCAAAAGGCTGCCGACTCTGAGGATCCCGAATACCAGAGCATCATTAACAGCGTTGCTACGGTCCGAGCCCCGACACCACCACCACAACAGGACGGGGCCAAGTTCGACTGGCGCAAGTCAAAGGCTGGGGGCGGCAACTCCGCGTCAGCTCCTTCAGCGCCATTAGACGAGATGCCGGAGGGCCAGGAGGATTGCCTGATTGGCCTGACGTTTGTCTTTACTGGCGTCTTGCAGCAGATTGCTCGTGAAGACGCCCAGGCGCTGGTCAAGAAATATGGTGGCAAGGTGACAACAACACCGAGCAGCAAGACCAGTTTCGTAGTCCTCGGTCAAGATGCTGGCCCCAGTAAGCTGGCCAAGATCAAGGCGCAGGGTATCAAAACAATTGACGAGAATGGACTCTTCGACCTGATCAGGAAACTGCCTTCCAACGGCGGTTCAGGAAAGGGCGCAGCCAAGGCCGCCGAGAAGAAGAAAGCCGACGAGGAAAAGATCAAGTTGCAAGCCGCGGAGATGGAGAAAGAGGAAATGGCAAAGAAGGCGGCAGCGGCCAAAGCAGCTAAGGAAGCCGAAGCCAGGGGCGCACCGAAACCCAAAGCGACAGTCGACTCCACGACCCAGCTTCTCACATCTAAATATGCACCAACACAGCTTAGCCACATCTGCGGCAACAAGGGCAACGTGGAGAAGATACAAAGCTGGCTCAACAACTGGCAGAAATCGAAGAAGTACGACTTCAAGAAAAGGGGGGCCGACGGGCTGGGTGGCGAGCGCGCGTTGATCCTGTCGGGGCCACCAGGCATTGGCAAAACCACCGCCGCACACCTGGCTGCGAAGCTCGCGGGCTACGATGTGATCGAGAGCAACGCCAGTGACACGCGCAGCAAGAAGCTCGTCGAAAACGGCGTGAGCGATGTCATGAACAATACATCGCTGCTGGGATTCTTTGCTGGCACGGACAAGAGCGTCGATACCGCCAAGAAGCACATTGTCCTCATCATGGACGAGGTTGACGGCATGTCGGCCGGTGACAGAGGCGGCGTCGGCGCCCTGGCAAAGTTCTGCCGCAAGACCGAAGTGCCCCTGATCCTCATTTGCAACGAGCGCAAGTTGCCGAAGATGAAGCCATTCGACCATGTGGCTTTTGACATTCGCTTCAATCGCCCTACCGTTGACCAAGTTCGGTCTCGCATCATGACAATCTGTCTCAGGGAAGGCCTGAAATTGCCTGTGCCTGTCATCGACGCTCTTATCGAGGGTAGCAACAAGGATATCCGGCAAATCATCAACATGATCTCGACCGCCAAGCTTGATCAGACGAGCATGGACTATGATCAGTCCAAGAAGATGTCCAAGGCATGGGAGAAGCACGTTGTGCTCAAACCATGGGATATCTGTCAGAAAATGCTGGGTGGAGGCTTGTTTGCAGAATCCAGCAAGGCGACTCTGAACGACAAGATTGAGCTCTATTTCAACGACCACGAGTTCAGCTACCTGATGATTCAGGAAAATTACCTTCGCACAAAGCCAATGTTGTTGAACAACAAGGGGTACACGCAACGTGAAGAGCGTCTCAAGGCGTTGGAGCTGTTCGATGCGGCCGCTGAGAGCATCAGTGATGGTGACCTGGTCGATAGGATGATTCATGGTCCTCAACAGCAATGGTCTCTGATGCCTACACACGCTGTCTTCAGCACGGTCAGACCTGCCAGCTACGTGTCCGGGATGCTGACGGGCTCCAACTTCACCTCCTGGCTTGGCAACAACAGCAAGACAGGCAAGCTTGGACGTTTCACTCGCGAGATACACTCTCACATGCGTCTCAAGTCTTCCGGCGATCATAATGAGATTCGTCAGGAGTACATGCCTGTGCTGTGGAACCAACTCGTCAACAAGCTCCAGCTTTTTGGCACCGAAGCCATTCCAGAAGCCATCGAGCTTATGGACAGCTACTACCTCACACGCGATGATTTCGATGCCATCCAGGAGCTCGGCGTCGGCTACATGGCTGAAGAGGGTGTCAACATCGAAACTAAGACCAAGGCTGCTTTTACAAGGACGTAAGTGATTTGACATTTCCCATCATGCAGGGCATTGCGCTAACAAGCTACAGTTACAACGCGGCAAGCCATCCTATTCCATTCCTGAAAGCAAGCAATGTCACTGCTCCAAAGCAGCAGGCCAAGGAAGCCCCTGATCTGGAGGAGGCCATTGAAGAGGAAGACGATGCTCAACTTGCGGAGCCAGCCGAAGACGACGACGAGGAGATTGACTTGAAGAAGGACAAGCTGATCAAAGCTCCCAAGAAGAAGCCCACGAAGAAACCAGCAAAGAAGGTAACGAAGGCTGCGGATGATGAGGACGATGCCGACAAACCTAAGAAGGGCAAAGGCAAGGCCAAGGCCACCACTGGGAAAGGAAAGGCCAAGTGAGATGGGTTGTTTGACTTGAAAAATCACCATGGCTGCATCTTGTATCATCGCCACCGGGAATGGGGAACTTGCTTGAGCTACTGCTAGACTAGTGGCTTGTACGACATATACTGTGTTCAAGACCGGCAATGTCACGGTCTAAATGTTGAATACAATTAATTCAATCTATGAGCCAATGATTTGCAATCTTCGTAGCTGGGATAATTGCTGTAGCATAGGACTGGACGTGTCTAGCGTTGGTTTACGTTGGCCCCTTTTTTGTGAGGTGTTAACGAACAAGAGCATGCTGTTCTACCAAGTAAACCGTGGAAACAATCTAGAATAGATCATTTCACACTGACCTGGCCTGTCTATAGGACCGCATGTCTCATTCACCATACCTAAAATTCCGCCTCTGAGCACGAGGCTGTCGCCCCGGGGGCCCATGAGTGACTTCAGCGAGAGCGATGATGAGAACGTAGAGATGGCGGTTGTTGGTCGAATGTGACGACCACGTCGATGATATATTCCCAATTATACACTCCAGATCCTGCGAGTGCCCGAGAGCGACCCCTGGTTGATATCGTACAAAGTCATTTTGATGTGACAACACATAACAGTTCACCCCTTTTCCCCCCAAACATTCTGCAACCGCCATGCAATGACGAAAAGACACCGTAGATCATGAGAGGAGCATTATACACAACGGCTGTAGCCCTTCAACGCCTGTTTGAGAACCTTTGACCATCTAATAGTACACAACAATGTGACATGACGAGAAGCCCTCGCGTCCCGAAATTACAGGGTGGAGTGGTGGTGGGCCGCGAGAGCTCCTCGTCGTTCATCAATGATGGCGCTGCTTATTTGTTCTTGACGATGCCGACCTTGGCAGCACGCAGGGTGCGGCCATTGAGCTTGAAGCCCTTCTGCTGGACGTGGAAGACCATGCCGTCCTCCTTGTCGGGCTGCGGGGCCATAAAAGTGGCCTCGTGCTCGTTGGGGTTGAACTTTTCGCCCTCGGGGGACACGCGCTCCAGGCCGTGCTTGGCGAGGGTCTGCATGAGGATGGTCTCGGTCATCTGGACACCTTCGTGCAGACTGGCGAGGTCGGGGTTGTCCTTGTTGAGCTTCTCGACGGGGACGGTGGTCAGGGCACGGTCAAAGTTGTCGATGCTGTCGATGAGGTCCTTGGCGAACTTTTGGATGGCGTACTGTTTCGCGTCCTTGACTTCGCGCGCGGTGCGCTCCTGGAGGTTGCGAAAGTCGGCCACGGTGCGTAGGCACTTGTCCTGCAGAACGTGTTAGTCAAGACTACCTCCATGGGGCCGTGTAGCAGGGACACAAACCTTCCAGTCGCGGGCCTCGGTCTCCTTGGCCTCCAGCTCCTTCTTCAATTGCGCCAGGGGATCAGCCTCAGCAGCGGCCCCTTCCTCGGTCTTTGCCTCCTCCTTGGTTGTCGTGGCATCACTGTACCACCGCGACGAAGCGGGCTGGACGGCGCGTAATGAGTATGCGGGAGCTGCTGTGCGGTACTGGGGGCGGAGAAGGGACATGTTCGCCGAGGTCTTGGTCACGCCAGCGCGTAGAGCTCGGGAGGAGGTAGAGAATGCTTGGCGGAACATTTTGGAGGATTTGTGGTGGTCGGAGAGGTAGGATGATGGGAGGATGAGGTGGTGGCGTGGTGATCGCGTAGATTGATGATTGTATGAAAGGGTCTGAAATTTTATGGATATCGTCTTGCCTCACAAAGTCCTACTGCCGACGCCCGCGCGTAGCCGGTCGCGGAGGTCTCGGGCGGGATTAAGGATAGTCCGCACAGGCTGGAGGGTGGATCCCATTGAACCAATCAGCCATTCAATTTACTTGGACGTACGTCGTCGCCCTGCCTGCTCGTTTGGAGTTGCGCTTGCTGGATGATCGATGCTCGTGTGGAGCTCAAGCTCAAGATTGTTCCATCATCACCATCCCACCCACTGACACGACGACTCTGACGCCTCACACACCACAACACTACGATCTGGATTGACTGCAGAGAGCAAGGACACATTGTAGAAGCACAAGCTGCAGCCTCTTTCCTTTATTACCACCACAAACATCTACCATGGCGGCTGGCGACTCGGAGCGAGTCAAGGAGGCTCAGAATCTAGCCAAGACGGATTCGAAGAAGGCAAAGGCTCTGTACAAGGAGATCACATCGAAAGCGCCAAGGGCGGGGTCTGATGCAGCGACGCGAGAATACGAGACAGCCCTCGTAGGCTTGGGCGAGCTGTACAGAGACGACAAGTTCGTGCACATGACGGCCCCAAGGGCGGGATCGCGCAGGACAACACGCTGACAGGTGCCATAGGAAGACAGACGACCTGGTCAACTTGATAAAAGAGAGCCGGGCGGTCTTTTCGTCATTCGCCAAAGCCAAGTCAGCCAAGCTCGGTATGTTGCCTCACGACAGCTCTCGACCGTTGGAACGAACAACCTCGCTGACCTGCCACAGTCCGTCAGCTACTTGACCTTCTCAAAGAGATCCCCAACAGCACAGACATCGAAGTCGCCGTGACAAAGGATTGCATAGAATGGGCCACCGCCGAACGACGCGCCTTCCAACGCCAGGACCTCGAAGTCCGCCTGGTCGCCCTGTACATGACCAAGGCGAGCTGGTACGATGCGCTCACCCTCATCAACGGTCTCCTCCGGGAGCTCAAGCGCCTAGACGACAAGCTCCGCCTCGTCGAGGTCCAGCTGCTCGAGTCCCGCGTCTACCACGCCCTCGGCAACATCCCCAAAGCCCGCGCGGCCCTGACCAGCGCCCGCACAAGCGCCGCGAGCGTGTACACCCCGCCCGCGCTCCAGGCGAACCTCGATATGCAGAGTGGCATGCTGCACGCTGAAGATAAGGACTTCAACACGGCATTCTCCTACTTTATCGAGGCGCTGGACGGCTACCACAGCTTGGACGAGAGCAGCAAGGCGCAGGCGGCGCTGCAGTACATGCTCCTGTGCAAGATCATGCTCAACCTGAGCGAAGACGTCAACCAGCTCATGACGTCCAAGCAAGCCCTCAAGTACGCAGGGCAGAACCTCGAGGCGATGAAGGCCATTGCCCGCGCGCACTCCAACCGATCCCTCGAGGAGTACGAGAGCGCCCTCTCCTCATACCGCTACGAACTCGGCAGCGATGCCTTTATCCGCAACCATCTTCGCCGGCTGTACGACGCCATGCTCGAGCAGAACCTCATCAAGGTCATTGAGCCCTTTTCCCGCGTGGAGATTGACCACATTGCCAAGATGGTCGGGCTCGACACGCAGCAAGTGGAGCGCAAGCTCTCCCAGATGATTCTCGACAAGGTCATCATTGGCGTGCTGGACCAGGGTGCAGGCTGCCTCATCATTTACGACGAGACGGACCGTGATGAGTCCTACGACGCGGCCCTCCAGACTATCGAAAAGCTGAGCAATGTCGTTGATGCTCTGTACATTAACCAGGCATCGCAGCTGGAGTAGAGTAGGACGAGGAGGCACGAGCAGGTCTTGCTTGTAGTGTATTTGAGCAATGTCACGTAGACAAGGGTGGCCAGGAAAGGGGGCGGCGTTCTTAGAAAGGCAGGCTCATCAACAAACCATGCATACATGCACGAGCGTGTGTATCCCTCGCGCCAAAGTCACATGAGGCTCAGCTTCATTGTTCGCGGTCGTGATATCATGTCAAATTGCCGCCTCGCTGGTGTCCAGGCCTCCTCCTAAACTGGCCATGCAATATGTGCAAAGCAATGATGGAAGCCAAGTTGGTATCTCCAAAGGCCAGAACAAAGATCAAAACATGATCCCTTTTCGTCCAGAACGCCAATACCCTTTTCCATGCAAGACGTTTCATCGTAATTCAAAAAGCAATGCTTCTTCCTACGCCTTTAGTGAAACATGATCGCATCATGTTCTCGTTCTCTTTGCTTCTGCAACTGCCGCGCACGCTGCTTCTGCACGCTTCTCTCCTCGTTGACAATGAGGCAGAATAATCTCTTGCACACCGTCTGTGCATCCCATCCACCCACCTCAGCGCAGAATGCATCAACCACGTCGAGGTGCCATCGTTCTATGAGAATGTTCTCCCCCTTGACCTTGAACACTTTGCCAAGGAGCTTGCCTGACTGTCTTGGTGCTGCCAAGGGGAATGGAGAGCTGCGACGGGCTTTGAGCAGATCGTCAAGCAAAGTCCAGTGCCTCTTGGACCATTCAGTAGGAGAGAGCTCGGATGGATGGACCTTGCTCTGTGCGAATCGGGATGACCGCACGCTCGTCAGTCGTCGATTCTCCTGCTCATTGACTACGTGAGGGGATTGTGCAGGCTGTGAGCTTGGAGTTCTGTCCGGTTCTGCTATCGCAAGCGGACGCTGCTGCATCAGGTGGTGATGATGCTGCTGCTGCTCCTGGTCCTTCTGCGCTTGGTCCGCCGGTTCGAGCACGCTACTCGTAAATTCGACAACTCTGCCAGGGGTACGGGGTTTCAGGGGCGACCGAATATTCGACTTGCTGGGCGAAGCATTCCTCGGGGGTAGAGGGCGCAGAAAGCGACGGGGCGATCCATTGGACTCTGAGCTACTTGTCGCTTGTGAGGCTTCTTGTTGCCATCGCGCAATATCCTCGTGCGATAGTTGCATGCGAGGCGGAGTTGGTATTGTCGAGGGGGCCGTAGGGATCGGTCCACGGGAGGTACTTGCTCTCCTCTGTTGGGGCACAGGCTCCAGCCTTCGCGCAGGGATAGGTCTCTCAACCTTTTCGGGTGTCCCAGGGGAGGTCGACATCTGATCCACTCGCGGAGGGAGAGGCTGGCGACTTTGCACACGCACTGGCGACGAAGTCATAGCTTCCATTTCGCTACTGGGTCGAGAAGGCTGTTGCTGGGGTGCCGATGGAAACATGCTGCTGGTTGGTACAGCAGCTGTCTTCTTCGTCACATTGGCAGCCTGACCTTTTGTCGGGAAGAGCTTGTCCGCGATCATCCCTGGAATCGATGCCGGAGAGGAGAAGAACGCAGATAGATCAAAACGGGGCTTTGACGCAGTTGGAGGCGCTTGGGCCGCTTCAGCTGCCCTTTTCTCCTTGTCCAGCAATGAATATTCTTCTTCGTCTTCTTCAGCGGCCGCTGACGCTGCCTTGGTAGCTTTCGCCGACGAGGCTTCTGGTTTCGACGCGCTCGCCCGGGGTGCAAAGCTTCTGCGTTTAGCCCGTGGGCTCGGTACGGCCACCTTTTGATGAATCGGCGCCGCTGTGCGACTTTCGAACAGCTTTTGATGAGGAACAGGCTCATCAGCCTCTCCGCGAGAGGCCTCAAACTCCCATATGTCCGTCTCATCATCGCCCGGAAGAGGGCCACCTTGCGCGCTGGCTTGACTGGGCTCTTCCGACCGCGACGGGTGATTTCTCAACTGAGCAACTTCCTGCAGTGAGACGTCTCCACGCAGACTTGGATCGATGGGACCAGCCTCAGCCACCCAGCTCATCTCATCATCCGGTGGGGTGATGCGCATAGAACTGGCCGTAGAACCCTCGGCATTACCCGGAGTCCTATTCGCGTGTTCGCTCATACTGCGGTTGAGGGCTTGCATAAAGCTGCCTTGTCCCGTGCTTCGCGAGCCTGCGGCAAAGGGGTCCTCGCCCAGGCGCTCCATCGATATGGTGCGGCGATGACCGCTGGTAGACCGCCGAGTAGGACTTGAACTGAGACGGCGTCCGCTTGCTGCATCACGAGATCCTGACCAGGACTCTTTACTCGCCGAACTCCTGAAGGGACTTCTGAGCTGCGGTTGGCGGTCTTCGGGCGAGGGCGGGTCAGACGTGACATGCTGCAAGACCTTGCCAGCTCTGACAATAGCAGAGAGGGCTGGTCTTGGTGCCTTGTCTTGGGTACTTTGGCTCCCCGCAGACTGAGGTTCCTGGGCTGGCGACGACAACTGATGAAGCGGTGTGATCTCCGGTACCCGTGAGTCTCGTTCAAGCGAGGCTTCCGTTTGGGGTGGCTGTAGATATTCCAAGGCTTGCGGTGACTCAGCAAGCTCGTCCGGGAGCTGAGCATCGGGTTTGCTGCGGGCAGCGGCCTGATCAGCCAACAGACTCCCGGGTGCCTTTTGAGGAAGTTCCGGCTGGGCGTCGTCAGGAGTATCGTCTGGTGTAGGCAGTCGCCCGCTTTCTGTGTGCGCAGAACTGACCACGGAGGGTGCCCGAGGCTGGGTTTGATTTTGCATGTGGGACTGATCTGGGCTCACAGGCCCTGAGGTTGGCGCATCTTCCCTCATCTCGAGCTCACGTTGATCCTTGGGCTCAGTTTCCTGTGGTGAACGGGCTTCCTCAATATTTGCGGATCTTCCAACCGCGTCCGCAACAACTGTATCCTGAGCTGGCGCATCTTGAGTGTATCGCGTTCGGAATGGCTCGACCTTTGAACTCCGCTCTGCCTCGCTTGGATCATGCTCTGCTTGTTCGACGTGACGTGGGTCGCTTCTTTGTGGCGGAAGTTCCATGTCCTCATCTCCCTCTCCAATCCCTTCACCCGCTCCATCCTCACTATCCAACTCCATCTCTACTTCGGGCAGCATTTTGGGCGGTCCCGGTGTCGCCGCTTCCAGTATAGCTGGTGGAATCTCGGAGAAGGAGTCCTCGTAGAGGTTTGAGTCGTTGTTGGTCCGCCTGCTGGGCGAACTGTCCATCCGCGTGTCCTCGTCCCTGACCCCATGGGCAAGCGGTGCCGGCCTGCTCTGCTTCGCTGTGGAAGCCAGTGCCCTCCTTCGCAACGGCGAAACGTTCGATCCTCGAGGAGTGCGTAGCCATCTTGGAGAAAAGCCCCGATGGGATGCTTGCACGGCGGAAGACATGAGTGGCGCTGGGTCTTCTGCCTGCTCTTGATACGTTGTCGCTGGGGAGGACGAAAGTCCAGGCTCCTCGATGGGCGGAACAGGAAGCTCTGTCAATGTCGGTATGGGAATGTCCTCGTTAGGGCTCAACTCGTCCTCGGCAATCTCTTCCGCCATATCTTTGCTCCCACTCTGCTCAGGTTCTGCCATGACCTCTGTATGCATGGTGTCGCCATCATTGTCAGCATCAATCGCCATGGAATCCTGTTGAACGCTGAAGGCCTCACGCTCCTCGGGTTCCCCCTCAACCCTATCCATTTCCATATTGGCAGTGTTGTCCTCGGCGTGGTCGGTTCTACCCTCCCGTGGGTGTTCTCGGTCTTGCAGCAGGTCAACATTTGAGTCCTCCCCCTTTGCACTACCGCGACTTTGCCGCAGTGACTCCAGAGTCGTGTTTACAATCCTTTCCTCCTCTTCATCAAGGTCGCTAAGGTTTGTGGGCGCTTTCCCGGCAGCAGAGCTCTTAAATTCTTGGTACGAGTGAATAGAATCCACAAATATCATGCTAAAGTCTTCTTGTGCAATGGTATCGTTTCTCGGGCCCTGATATGTCGGGGCATCCATGATGGAGCCGGCATCGCTTATGGATGGCGCGTCCGCGGCGTATCCTTCGGGCCCGGAAGTCTCACTATCCGCCTCACTCGTCGCAGACGAAGGTATTGAGATGTGAATTTTTGCCTGAGCACCAGATGGTGGCTTCAGAGTGGGCAATCGTGGGCGTGGTGTTTCCTGGTTCGCCATGGTGTTCATCCAAATATCCGACTCTGGCCCTTGAGGAGAAGATCGTTCTTGATGTTCTGGTTCCACAGCAAGTGAGGGTAAGCCCGTTTGGTTCGTGTCTTCTCCATGTGCCAAATCGGGTTCCTCGGGTATCGCCTCGTGTATAGCCTCCAAATCCTCGGGTAGAAGCGCTTGACGTCGACGCCGAGTTGTTTTGGCAGATTCCTTTGCGACTGAAGACGGTTCGGCAGATTTGTTCTTCGGCGGGCGGCCGCGACGCTTTGGTGTCGGAGTCGGTATTGACACCATGTCAGACGAGGGCTCGACGCCAACCCCCAGGTCACTCGACGGCTGTATTAAACTTTTGAGCGAATGACGCTGGCTACTTTTCGCAGCTGAAACTGGCGTGGGTTGTGATTCAGCGCCCGATAACGGGTCCGGTTCGGCCGCAGCGTTCGGTCGCTTCGCGCCTTGCCTCAATGGCGTCGCGGCTTTCCTCTTCTTCGCGGCGCTGGGAAATGGGGTTCCATTGTTCTTCCTCGGCCGACCTCGTTTCCGCGGTGTCGCATCACCTCCAGGTCCAGATTCCTCCTCGACCGACTGCTTGAGAGGCACCCTCATTGTGGTGGCGCTCAGAGCGCGGTGCGCGAATGGGCTCGCCGAATAGAGCTTCCTCGCCGTCGCGCTCGGCGGCGCATCATCCTGCGCTTCGAGGGTGACCAGCAACTTGGACCGCGATCGATAGTCCCCATATTCGAGCTCGTATTGCTGTTTCCGGGGCGAGTCGCTTCTCATCCTAACCGGCGACAGGCGACTGCGGGTTGAGCGTTGAGACGACGGTGGCGCAAAGTACGAGTCCTCTTCGTTGAGGGGGTCCGGGGAGGACATAATGTCGAGACTCGACGTGGCTGGGTTCGCGATCGCGTGCCAGCGCACGCTGAAGTTCTCGGGAGCGGTGTCGGTTACGATGGGGCCCGACTTGCGACGTTTGAACATTGGTGGATGGTTGCTCTAGACATGGACGTGGAACGTTCGGCAGGGCAGCCACATAGCAAGCGAGGTACTAGCAAAATGTGTTGTGAATGTTGTTGAACCACCTGAGCAAGACGCAACGGCGTGCAGTACTCGGATTCACTGCACTACGGAGCGCTAATCAAGGTCAGACAGGTCGGTGAGCAATGTGGCGGCGTGTGTGGAGAGTGCCGAAGCACGATGCGCTGGGCTGGACTTTGTTTACTCGTGACCTCTTTGGGTCTAGCGTCGTAGGGGTCCACCGCAACAAGGTTCCACAGGGGCCGCCGTGTGTCGGCAGATAGTTTATCCGCCTCCCTCAAGCTTCACCCCACAATCGTCACATGCAGCGCGCCGACAGCAGGTGACGTCGGGCCCAGTCACAGTGAGGGAGGGACCCTCCAGGGCCTCCACACGCCAGTCGACGTCGGCGTCGGCATCTCAGACCAATATGACCTCGGCTGAGTCGCGTATCGCCAGGGCGCTCCCCTCGTCGATCCTCCCTCTTCAAGGCATGCGACTCTTGTAATTAGTGGTTAACCGAATCGATCTCAATCATTTAAACCACGTACCAACTTCTACACAATCCAACATCAGCCTCCCCGCCTACCCTTCTACGTACCATACACTCAAACCACGAGTCTACGAATCGCAAGATGGCATCCAAAGCGCCAATTCCCCAGAATGATAACGTCGCCCACGCCCTCGCTGGCGCAGGTGGTGGACTCTTGTCCATGGTCCTCACGTGCGACATCTCCCACGTGCAGCAGTGAACCATTCAGCCAGACTAACGACCCCAGATACCCCCTCATCACCCTCTCGACCCGCGCCCAAGTCGAGTCCAAGAAGGCCGAATCGAATTTCCTCGCCGCCGTCCAGAACATCATCGCGCGCGAGGGCGCCTCTGGCCTGTACTCGGGCATCAACTCGGCCCTGTTCGGCATCAGCGTCACCAACTTTGTGTACTACTACTGGTACGAATGGACCCGCGGCTCCTTTGAGCGCGCCGCCATCAAGGCCGGCCGCGCGGGCCAGAAGCTGACCACGATCGAGAGCATGATCGCCGGTGCGATCGCCGGCTCCGCCACGGTCATCATCACCAACCCCATCTGGGTCGTCAACACCAGGGTCACCACCAGGAAGCAGAGCACCGAGGTGGACCCGGAATCCGGCGAGCTCAAGCCCACGCGTGCGCCCAGCACCATTGGCACCCTCATGGCCCTGCTGAAGAACGAGGGGCCCCAGGCGCTCTTTGCGGGCGTCCTGCCTGCGCTGGTGCTGGTCATCAACCCGATCCTCCAGTACACGCTCTTTGAGCAGATGAAGAACGCTGTCGAGAAGAAGCGCAAGGTCACGCCCACAATCGCCTTCTTCCTGGGCGCCCTGGGCAAGCTCTTCGCTACCTCGGTGACGTACCCTTACATCACCGTCAAGAGCCAGATGCACGTCGCAGCGCACTCGGATCGCAAGGAGGGCATGACCGAGGCGCTGCGCCGTGTCGTCAGATCCGAGGGCTACGCTGGTCTCTACAAAGGTGAGTGGTCGAGAGTCGTGCACAATGGCATCAGTTGACTAACGTATATCTAGGCATCGGCCCCAAGGTCACTCAGAGTGTCCTGACAGCGGCATTCCTGTTCGCCTTCAAGGATGTTCTGTACGAGCAGACTGTCAAGCTCCGCATGCGCAAGCGCTTGGGAGCCTAAAAACATTTGCCATCATGATCCAGATGTAACACCATCCTCTGTATGAGAATCCTTCATGCAGACGGAGAAACACCAACGCCAACAAATGTCCCGCTCTCTCTTCCTCTGAGAGAATCGAGAACATGGCAAGCACCGGTCACAGTGCACAACCTCACAATTGATACCATCCGCCCGTCGTTGCGGCGGTTTCATAGATGTATGAATGTATATGCTATTCACGTTGACTTGGATGCGATCCTCGGCACTATCCAACACTCATGATATGTTTTGTCAGGCGTGGGCACCTCCACCGTCAGCTTCAACTGCCCGCCCGTCGTGTCCTCTCGCATCGCCTTCTGCACGGTCGCTATCGCCAACCCAGTAGCAATGCATGACTTCAGGGTGTTCTTGATCGACACCAGCCACCTGTCGTGCGAGCCCACCGAAAAGGATTCCTCGGGGGTCATCTTGCTCATCGACTCACAAGCTCTCTTGGCGTCTGTCATAGCTTTCGATGCCTCCACCAAGAGCTCTTCGGTGCTAACGTCTTGCTGCGACGCATGGGCTGCAAACTGCTCAAAGGTGGGTAGTCCAGGAGTCTCAATCTTCGCAAAGGGCTTCATCCGCAATTCGTAGCGGAGCTCGTCGTTGCTGTACGGCCGGGGTGGCGGGGTGAGAAGGTCGAGACGGCTGCACGCCGTGTATAGACCTGCCAATGCTTCGGACAGGCCCCATGTGATGACGGCGTCGAGCAGCGACAGCCTGATCCACTCGAGTGTCCGAAGCATCTGCCTCTCCATAGCCGGGTCACGCCGATTCTGGGCCGGAGATTCGCGGAGCTCTTTGACTCGCTCGGTCAGGGTTTTCCTCAGCCGAGGCACGTACTCTATCCGCGTCTTGGACAGGTAACTGAGGTACCAATACATCCCAGCCAGCTCGTCTGGCTGATAAACCTCCAGTTCAAATCCGAGTTGCACGATCCACTCCATTTGACGGAGCTTGTAGAGATACGTCCACATGGACAAGGACCAAGCATCACCCTCCACCGGGATGGTATTGGGCGAGAACTTCTGCCCGGCAAGTTTCACCTCTTGCGCTCTGACCTGCAATTCGAGGTCGAGTTGTTCTGCATCGGCCTGCAATTGGTCCCACCTCTCGATGTTGTGGCAGAGGGTCCTCCTCACGCGGCAGCGGTTCTGGCAAAACGTGCGGAAAATATCCAGGAATGGCTCCGCTGCCCTCTTCCGGAATGCCTCCATTTGTTGCGCGATGATGAACCGCGGGTCGTGTAGAACCTCAATATCGTCATTTGCGCGGTCGAGATAAGGGCTTGCTGGGAGGGAGATGATGGCGAGGTCATCATCCATAATCATACGTATGCTCATTCCTCCAAGCATCTCCATGGCGTCGAAGAGGAATGTTTGGAGCAGGGTCCGTACATAGACGAGAGGTTGCGGTTTCTTTGCCTGAAAATGGCGTAGGAATGTCTGAGAAGACTTGTCAGTTCTACGCAAGCTCCATTTTGCACTGAGAAACTCACCTGTAAACATTGAGAGTTTGTATAGCTGAGCACATTGATGAGCTCGCAGCCGTCCTTGAAGAGGCGATCCAGATGGCCAAAGGCATTCTCAAAGCTAAGCTTCACGATTGGCCGTGGCGGCACAGTACTAGCCAGCTTTCTCTGGAGCTTGACGCTGAAAGACTCGTCCACTGCTTTGGACAGGTTATGGGTTGCCTTGATAGTTGGCAGGAGCATCAGAGCAGCCTCCCACGGCTGACGGGCCAGATCTGGCTGTGCTACGAATTGCGGGCATTCCGCGGCGGACAAGAATATGTCCCTCAGCTTGAGCCGGGAGGATAGCGCTTCGACCATGTCTCCGCCCATGTGCTCTTGTTGCTTCTGCACAAGATTCAACGCACTGTTGAGCTCAGCGCGGATATCTGCGGTGGATAGACTTCCAAGAAGCGTACGGTTGTATGTGTTGGTGACAAAGTCTTCCTCCTATGGATAATCAGGTTGGTTCCCATCTCTCTGACCGATCAAACATACCTCATAGTAGTGCTCGGACTTGACCCGCTCGTTGACATATGCACAAGCCTTGAGCATACCAAGACAGTAGGCCCGGAGTACCTGCAACATGGGCTCGGCATTGGCCTGCGTGTTTCCGCGCCGCACAAACATCGCTTCGTCAATGTGCGTTGGGTTTGGCATCATAAGCGCCTCGACGTACACACTGGTGAAGACGGTCTGAGAGAGGGGGTACCCAAGATGCCACGACATCTTCCTCCATTAGCACAATTCTAAGGGGGGCAGGGCCATATGGTCGCACCTCGTGGCATAGTAGTTGATCAATGATTCCGAGCACCTCTTCCGGCAGAAGCGGCTTTGACACATCGTAAAGCTCCTCAAACTCGTCGCCTGCCTTGACGCAGCCACTGTCCATCTTGGGGTCCATGATCTGGACAAACGGCGTTAGCTTCCATACTGTCGTCACAGACAGAATGACCACGAACCTCCAACGCCCCAACAGACTCAAAAAGAGTGAAGAACTCATCTTTGACAATCTCGCCTGGCTGTAAGGCTGGGTGCTTGTCAGCTCAGTTCGTCGACCGGCTGGGAGTCATGGGAGCACCCACCAGAACTAGCCTTCTTGAACTTCTCGGTAATGTCTACAGGGATCGTCCCTGTGCTGTTCAGCTCGGGTGCATCCCGGATCCTAGGCGGCGTATCCTGCCCAAGAGAGAGGCGGGATAGCTCTGTTCACGATCCGTCGAGTCAGCACCGCGCGAGGCTCGTGTGTAGAAAAGTGCCAGGATGACCCACCATCGGGTACATCGATGCCCGGATTGAAAGTCATGGTAGAAGGCTGACCGACACATCCGATCGACAAGTTGCATGCGTCTGAGAGTGCGTCGGGGAATGTCACGGTCGTCGCAACCACTTTGTCAACAGCTTGTCGCGTGGCTGTTGATGGTGGTGCGAGGTTTGGTGAGTAATGGCTTGCCGAGGGGTCAGCTGGCCAAGCGAGCACCAGCCGGTAGTGCAACCAAACTCAATGTCAAGCAACATTTAAATCGACCGGGTACGGCTCTACAGCTATGGCCATATGAACAGCAATTGCAGGTGCAATTATTCAATGATTTCAAAGCCGGGATGGCGGCACCTGTGAGAAAGTCGATAACCACATGTCCCAGGAGCGAAGCGCCAACATTGCCGACTTGGATACAAAGTGAACTGAGCAAAGCTCCAACAGTATTTGGTATATTCTGCCACAACCGTCTATGATACATCGGCAGGCGAGGGCCATGCGCCGAGTCGTGGTGCCTTACGTGCAGCCTATTCCTTCTCTATCGGCCATCCACGCATTCCTCACACGCCGTCCCCTCGTTCCATCCCCATTGCACCGTTTCGTTTAGGAGCTCTGCTGAGCCATGGCAGCAGCGTTCTCGGAGGCGACGTTCTTCATCTCGGAGGCCTTGCCGTTCTGCGGTAGCGGTACTCTGTCAGTCCTTGTCCACCATTCTCATGATCGCAGCGTCCCCCGGGTCAAGACTCACCTGCCACTTGGCGAACTTGAGCTCAGACTCGCCACGGCGCTCGGCGATGATGCGCTTGTCCTCCTTCAGGCTGCGGCGGATGGTACGGGCCGCAATGGCGAGGTAGCGGTTGTAGCTGTTCGAGGGAAATACGTTAGCTTGGTTCGATCGGACGGTGGCGCGGAGGAGGCGAGGCCTGCGGTTTCATCGCAGCGTGTCGCAGGAGGTTCGGTGGACGTACGTGAGACCGGCGGCTTTCCACGCAGCAGACATGATGGCGGTTTGTGGTGAGAATGTGGGAGGTTGATTACGCTGGAGGTGTCGGTTGGGATGTTCCAATTGAATCTTTGCAGGTCCCGAGCTGCGCGTGTTCCCGAAATTGTGGAGGCCTGAGGCACCCGCGGACAATGTCGGCGCGTCACGTGCCGTGCGCCTCGCCTCACTTACCTACCCATCTACCGTACTAACTTATGCTGGTACATTCCCAGGCTTTTCGCCTCAGAAGCTGTGACATCTTGCAATGCGCCAGTCATGCTATCGTAGGGCATGTCTACAGTTGCCGTGAGCCGGCGAGCGGGTCACAGGCGGAAGGGCCATACTGTTCGGCTCAACGCGCAGAGCGTTGGTTTCGTGCCCGACGTTGTCATTAGAGGCAGTCCGAAGCATGTCCCAATGCACGTCAAGTCAAAACAGACTGCGCTTATATCACTGACTACCAGATACCATTGGACATGACAAGCTAAGGGCCGGCCCCGCTGACCGCTGCTGCGATCATGAGCATCTTCTGCCCTCTCCTCCGATCGACCTCCCTTTTCAGCATGCAAATGAGCCCCGTCACGACAAACACCTCCAACTCATTGCTCTGCTTCTCCCCGTCTCGCAGGTCCATCATGAGTCGTCCGCCGTTCCCCGCATCAGCCCTGCCCGTACCCTGGGTCCGGAACTCGTCATTGCGGATGAAATGAGCAATACGAGTGTACTCCTCCTTGGTCTTGCCGCCTGCCAGTGCGACGGTAGTGACCTTGTCGAGGATGAGCAGACTGTCGGCGTCGCAGGCTTTGCGCTCGCTGCGCCTGCCGTAGCGCCATTGGTATGTGCCCAAGGGTGTCCTCATGCGCACAGATCGCGTAGTAGCGCCGCGACCGGTGACCTCGAAGCCCTCGTCCTCGGGCTTTGGTGCCGCGCTCTCTGCTGCCGATGATTCGGGGCTTTGGCGGTGCAGACGAATCACAGGAGGCCTTCCTGGTCCAAAGCGATATGTCGTTGATGAGACAGGATGATCCGATCCGGCTGCATACAGAGAGCAGGAACCCGACCTTCGCTCAGGTCGGATCGACTCGTACACCTTTTGGGTCTTGGTACCAGCCGGCCCAATGGCGTAGACGGTGATTGGATCAAGCTTTGGTGCTGTGGGCAGCGACAGCCACTGCGAGCCCTTGCTCTCGATCTGATAGCTCAGCGTGTGTGAGAACGATGATGCTGTCGGGTTAGAGGTAGAACCATATTCGGGCAGAGAGTACGCTGATGACGATGGCGATGCGTTGATGGCGGAGGAGTATGGCGGAGGCTGGGTCGTAGGACCACCACTGGCGTCAAAGGTCGGAGACGGTGTACGCGCAGCCATTGTATCGGTATGACTTGGTCGTGTAATCTTTGTCCTCATGGATTGATGAGATTGTCATGGCCAGATCGAAAGGCTGGTGTGCTGGGCAGGCGTGGCTGCTATATACCCAATCCAGACGTGCATCTGTCGATGCCGACGCCCGATGGATAGGCAGTCGACTAATCAACAGGTATGACACTGCAGCTGGGCACCATTCAGCATGCCAACCGAGATATACGATACCTGCTCAGCCGCACTGCCATGAGCGATGCCACGACTCGTGAGCACCCAACGCCGGGACTAGCAACGTGCGCCCCGCTTTTAGCGCCAGCTACAAGTATACGAGGAATACGAGCAGCTGAGTACGCCGCAACAGCCACAACCAGGGACCCAAGAGTGGCATGACTATGTACTGTGTATCTCTCAGGTTGAGCAAAATTAAGTAAGCGATCAACGACAGGAATGACCCCTCTTATCTTACAGTTATTCATAATTGACTTTAGATTTGGCAGATGCAATTGAATTGCGCTATGAACGGATCCAACTGACAATGCATTCAATCAACCTTCTATTAACAAGAATACATATTCCAAGCAATGAGCGCCAGGAACAACTCAGACGCACTCGCACGTTCACACAACTGGTAGCGGGGGGGACATGCCAATCGCCTCCTTCATTTCTTCAATCTGTTCCTGTGTGAGTTGAGGGGATCGTGCCTGTCGCTTGGAGCCAGGCTTGCCGTCGAGGTTAGCGATCCAGTCGAGAAGATCAAACCGCTTGGCCATGTCCGCGTCAGAATCCGCAGAGACATCGCGCTTGGAGCCAGGCTTGCCGTCGAGGTTGGCGATCCAGTCGAGAAGATCAAACCGCTTGGCCATGACCGCTTCCGAGTCTGTTGAGACATCACGCTTGGAGCCAGGTTTGCCGTCGAGGTTGGCGATCCAGTCGAGGATATCGAATCGCTTCGCCATGTCGGCCTCGGTGTCTGTGGCAACATCGCGCTTCTCGCCGGGCTTGCCATCGAGGTTGGCAATGGTCGCGAGCAGGTCGATGCCAGCACCGCCATCAGCGTCAGGCACAATCTCGCGCTTGGAGCCAGGTTTGCCATCGAGGTTGGCAATGGTCGCGAGCAGGTCGATGCCAGCACCGCCATCAGCGTCAGGCACAATCTCGCGCTTGGAGTCAGGCTTGCCGTCGAGGTTGGCGATCCACTCAAGAATGCCGCCATCGCGCTTCTCGCCGGGCTTACCGTCGAGGTTGGCGATCAAATCAAGAATACCGCCGTCCCGCTTCTCGCCGGGCTTGCCGTCGAGGTTGGCGATCAAATCAAGAATGCCGCCGTCCCGCTTCTCGCCGGGCTTACCGTCGAGGTTGGCGATCAAATCAAGAATACCGCCGTCCCGCTTCTCGCCAGGCTTGCCGTCGAGGTTGGCGATCCACTCAAGGATGCCGCCATCACGCTTCTCAGCGTCGCCAAGCTCAACATTCAAACCAAGCTCGGCGAGCACCTCGGGAGGAGGGACAGCCTCGCGAGCGTCGACGTTGTTGTTGCCGGTCACGGGGGCCGCCATGGCCCTGGAGGTGAAGGCCAGAATGGCCGCGGCGATGGGTGCGTTCATAAGCATGTTGGATGATATCTTGCGTGAGGATGAACGGGGTATTAAAAAGATTGTGAGTAAACGACCTGCGTTGGGATGCAATACTGCAAGTGAATGGAAGAGGTTGTTTGGTGAGGTGAAGACCAGCTTCTTGCGTTGGACGTTGGGATTGAAGAGTGACGAGAAACGAAGCACTGTACGATGAAGGGTGATCATCATTATATACACAAGTGCGTGGCCCCATCTCGACACCAACCGATCGTCATGCTCAGGTGCCGAGCTGGGCGAGCAGTCGAGCCCGCAAAGACGTGGGAAGAAAGTGGTGGCAAAGGATCGACATGCTTACCCTCGAGAGCTGCGCTTGGTACGTGCGCAGTGGCATCTCTGGGAAATGGTCGTACTACGTAACACTGATGCCTTCGCCTGGACTGGCAGAGACACTGGCATGCTGATCTGAGTGAGATCCCATCTGCAGACGGAGATGTCGAACGGAGTGAAGTCATTCCCCACATTCGGGCCTGCCCTTATGCAGGGTCCAGCGAGCCTAAGCAGACCCTGAGAAAACGGTGTCAGCACATCGGGTGACGGTAAGACGGAGTGAAGAAGTTGAAATAGACTTTTGGTTCTCATTAATGAGGTGACGCTTTCTCAATCTGTCGGGATAAGACAGACTCCAGTGAGTCCAGTCATCCAGGGCTCCTACGTCATAGCGCGGGGGCTGCCTGAGATTGACCTTCGTGCTATCGCTACCTGCTAGGTACGTAGTCTACTAGTACTCAGTCTCTGCTTGCACCAACCTTCAGTACACCGAAACCCTCGCGGGCGCGCAAATGGACATCCATCACCAAGGTGCCGTGACCTGCCTCTTCAACAGAAGCGCACAATCGGCAATGTCCGGGACTTACAGGACGTCGTCAGTGGTGGGGACGGATGCATGATGCCCTGCAAGAGATGAGAATGTGAAACATTCGACACAGCTACCAGTTTGCCACAGCGTGCGGCTGAAACGTCCCCAGGACTGCACCGAGTGTCGAGACTCTTTACAAGCGATCCTCGCCCGGTCGGAAAGAGGTGAGGTAAGCCAACCGGCCACACCGCACACACCCCCGTCGCCATGCTTGCTCAGTGCAAGAGTAAGGATCCTTCGGGTCATCCACACCGGCAACGAGGTCATGATCACCATCAGCCTTGCGATATGCAGGCAGGCGTACCACTGGCTATCTCAAACCTCCTTCGCGCCCTCCGACGCCGCCCTCGGTGTATCCTCGCGCACCTGCATATGTGGTGAGAGCTGCAACGAGAAAGCCAAACAAGCCAGTGATCTTTGTGAACAAGATCAATCTCGCCAGACACGGGGCTTCCTCATACCATGGATTCGCACTATTACAACTAAGCCAAAGGGAAAAGCATGCAGGACGTCGCTATTAGTAACGCTCGCTACCCCCGAAACATCAACACCACGCTATCACACAGCAACATCACGTCTGGAACATGACAGTATATCCCAGGTCTCCTGCCAAGTTTGGCATACTGAGCGGTCCGCCTGCGACTGGCTGCATTCGTCAACGGACCTTGCCAAAGAACGTAATATCCTTATCAAGCTGCGCCTCGATCCACATGGGCCACTGATTGAACATTTGGTGCTCATAGTCCACCCGCGCGTTGATATACTTGAGCCAGCGGACAAAGCCCGGGTCAGTCGGCTGGTCATTCTCTGGTGGTCGTCGCTCGCGCACTTCTCGCTCCTGCTGCGTGATGGGCGTCATAATCTCAATGAGCGAGATCCAGTGCGTGTGCAGAAGCAACATGACCTGGTTGTTGGGGGAGATGAGCTCCTGAAAGACGTTGTGCGGAAGCATCATCCACCAAGCGTGTTGCTGCGAATGCGCCTTGTACGCTGTTGGGCAAATTCATCAGCACAATGGCAAGGGGTAGGCGCACAGACATAGACCTACCCGTCCAGGAGCTGGTGTATAGTTTCTGCGCCATGTCGAGGAGCTTCTCCTGGTACTCCACCTCGACGGGCTCGACGCAGAGCGGTCTCAGGGCGCTGATGGCTTCCATCGCAGCGTCCGTCCAGCCCTTACGTATGAGGGGCAGGCCCTGCATCAGCGGCTCCAGAATCTCATCCTGGCTCTCCTCAAACAGGGTGCTGAAGATGGGCCGGATCTTCCTGAACATCATCTGCATCCCGACAATGACAATGCCGCGTATGAATGTCATGTACTCCACGAGCCCGTCTTCGAGGCTGACGGACTGAAAGGTGAGCGCGTAGCAGGTGGCAAGGAGCGCATTCGTCTCCTCGGCCGAGGTGGTGTCCTTTGAGGCATCGGCCAGCCGCTTCTTGATGGACTTGATCGCTTTGACGCGGTGGCTCATCGCCGCTGCGACGAAACTGCTGTCTGTCTGGATGAGCTCCGAGGCCGCGAATCCCAGGATGGCATGCATCAAGAACTCATGCTGTTGGGTGTTTAGTTATCGCGGGTGAGTTGATCTACCTCGTCCACAGACTCACATTGTGTGCGATGCAAGGCACCTCATGTGTCCACACCGACTCTTGTTTCAGAGGGTGATGCGGATAGCAGTGTGTCAGGAAGTGCTGGAAGAAGCGCATGTCTTGCAGGCTGAACAGAGGGATCTGGTTATGGGGCTTTTCTATTCCTCAGCATTCGTGTCCTAGGCGAGAAACGGCACATACCTGGTGGGTGATCTGGGGTGCGGCAGGGTACTCGCATTTGAGTCCCGTTTTGACGCAGTGACCACAGGCCGGGTGTGTCTCCTGGCACTTGATCCTTCTCCGCTTGCAGTTGAAGCAGCCCCGGCGGCTCTTTGTATGCCCCTTGCGCTCGAGTCTCTGCCTCTGGGTCAGCGTCTCAGCTGCCGGCTTCCTGGTGGCGTCTGTGCTGCCACTCCTGTTGCCCGAGCTTGGTGGTGTCGTCCTGCCAAGGGAAGAGTCGGATAGGGTGGTCGCCCCAGTGCCTAAGTTGGGTGCTGTAGTCTGCTGGATGAGCTGGGGTGTCGTGGTCAGTGGTTGTGGTGGCACTGGAGAAGCCAGGTGAAGGTTGCCATCCTCGGCTCCCGGGGTCTGTTGCAGAAATGCGCCATAGTCAAAGTCGTCGGGATCAGGGTACGTCAGTATAGACGGCGAAATGTTCTGCATGTCCATTATTCTAATGTGACATTTATATGCACCAGTTCAGTCGCTTGTTCGACGACGCTAGGAGGCGTTCATCGATGGGAATGGTTGATACGAATAACCATCCAGTGATCTGGCTCCCGTCTTGATACCAAATTTCGCGGGAGGGAGGGAGTTGAGGTTGAACATCAATGTAAGTCGCTTTATTTTATGCGCAGCCATATACTTGTATATCATGATCTTACTCCTCAGCTGAGACCGTGACGTGAGATGAGTGGCAGCAGCACCGCTGCGCCGTCACGTGTGGAGCCCGTCGACCCTGTGGATCCGTCGTATTCGTCGGTTAGGACGACGTCCTCCTCCCAGGCTCCCACCTCGTGCGAAACCCCGCAGTATTTAACCTTGGGGACGGAACCCCAAGTCACAATTGGCTTCAGCTGGAGCTCTGAAAGGTTATATGCTATCGTCTGTCATTGGTCGCCCTAAAACTTGATGTTTCTAGGCTGCGTTCCAATGACCTGCGTCAAAAAAAGCTACTACGTATAGTATAGCCAAAAGGTCTTTTACGTCTTCCGCGTGCCACACGACGTAAAACATCAACTAAGACTCAAAGGTTCAATCAAAGTCAATGAGCCAGAAGTCCAAAGCTCACTAACCATCACTAGATCTTGTGTTTTATGTAGACCACCAAATACTTATGACCGAATCTTTGCTCCGAAGAGCAACTTGTGCCTCCATCGTGAACATGTATTTGGTATTTGGTGCATCTGCAGGGTAAGTTCATCGCGCCAAGAGGCTGGACTTCATACAGCCACGACGTTCGAACGTATATGTAGAAAACCCCCTTGAACCAGTGACCGATGACTTTACACAGAAAAATAAGAGAGAGAAAGGTTTGGCACGGAAAACTCTTATGGGTCGGCTGGGTGTGGTTCGCTCCTGTTCCTGGAAGTGGCTTACCACGATACTGGGTCCAGCAAAGTTTTCGATTAACGTTTAAGCAAGTTAGCTACCCTGACTTCAAATTTCAGAGTCTTCAGCGCTCTTGTACGGACCCAACTCCCTCCAAAGGTGCCTCTTGTTGGTCAGAAGCCTCACTTCTGGCCCACGAGTGATATGGACACACATCGCGTGACCCACGCAAGAAGAGTTTTTTTCCCTGTACACATCCCAACAGCGAGTATGACTGGATCGCGCATACTTGGCAGTCGGTTGAGCTCATCTTGTTGACTGATTAACGCGCCTAAAGATTCGAGAACAAGTTTGAGATGCCAGGCCAGATAATTAGTAGACTGCGTAGGCGGCTGGGCTCATGTTCCAAGTTCGAACCCTGCCTGATGACCCGGTACGGACGCTGCAAAGATCAACAGCTGTCAAGATCGGTCTGAACCTGAATCGCTTGGCATCGCCCAAGGTCCCAATGCGCTGGCGCTCGTTGATTGGCAGCTCGCCGTCCATAGAGATGACAAGCTTTCCACGACGCTACACTCCCGACGGCTTTCTGCAGGGGTTTTGATGGAGCCATCGGGAGACTCCTTGGGCCGCCGCAAAAGAATTTGCTCAATGTGCTTGGCGTTTGAGGGGCTGCCAGGGTGGGCGAATGTTACCAAGGACAGTTTCGTGTTACGCAGAGGCTTCAACCTGGAATGCTGGCTGCCGTGCACCAACAAAGTGACATTGTTTCTTGTGCAGCAGTCCGGCCCCGATTATCCTGCCCTCCACTTGTCCAGGTACGGGCGGAGCAAGTGTCCTTGTGTCAACGTGGCGGTCAGGTACGCCCCAGACTAACAAAGCGGGAATGGCCGACAGCTTGGGACGCCAGACGCTCAGACCAAGAAAAGAACAAAGAAAAAGCTCTCTTTGACTGACTCGGACCTTGTTGGAAGACAAAGGAAAACTCAAGAGGAGGTTGCCAAAATCGCGATTGAGGCTCCGCATTTGTCGACCCAGTGTTTCTTTTGCCACTCGAAGGCGGATAGCACCGAAAAGTTAAGGTAAAGGAGGCCAGTCGGGCCAGTCCGTTGGTTCCATGATATTGTGCACTATTGCCTTAATATGGATACAAAAGTTTTGTTTGCACGTATTACTCCTTAGGTTCCTGGGCATGATCAATCGAGTCCCAGGTGGGAAGTTCTTGGCCAAAGTCGAGAACACTGGCACTTTTCTTGGTGGATCGATTCGTCGTCTGCTTGTTGGAGGCCTGAACACTGAGAGCACACGGTGTCACTGTTGCCAGCACTGTAAAGGCGACCAACAATAAAGTGAGAGCAGTGCGCGAGCGAGATCGATTGCACAGTGCAAAGAGTAGCGCCGGTGTGTCTTGAGCCGTTTGCTCCTTTTTATGTTCCTGCATTAATGCGGTGGAGCTTCACTGCAAACAAAGCAAGCCGACTGGCTCGTCGTCTGTGATGGAGGGTCGTGGCGGCGCTGTACCTGAATACTAGCCGGTGCTAGAGGTGGTCACCACAGTTGGCTTGTTTCAGTCCGCGCCCAGTTGGTTGCCTGCCGAGGGGGCCAATACGTGCAGAAAGTAACAGAACTGCTGCTGTACGGAGTACGGAGTAGCGGTTGCGCGGCTATGATGACCGGAGGCGCCATACTGGTCACCTGGGTGAGTCCACCTGGGTGAGCTGACTGAACGGCCGGTTAAACCGGCCACTGCCTGGCACCGCCCACTGGCTGACGACGACCGCGCAATACGGCGGCAAGGGGAGAAAGACCAGCGACATGAGCGCTTCGCAGGCGCCCAGGGCAGGTCTATGTCAGCCAGACTTGACTGACGGAGTCAAGTCTGGCTGGCGCATTTGCGCCCAATGTCACGTACACTTACGTACTCCATACAGACACACACACAAACAGACACCTTGCTTCGCTGGCAAGCCTGCTGGCAGCCGTGCTCGGATCCCACTGCCCGACAGAAGATGCGGACGGACTGGGAGGTGGGGCCGCAACGATATGTCGGCACCCCTGCTAGAAGCAACGATAGTGAAGCAGGTACGGCCGAACCTGCCACGATTCATCACGGGTGGCGGCAGAACGGAAGGCCAGACCAAAGTGCTGCGCATGGCAAGCGCAGCAGCAAAGCCCCCGATTGGCGGTCGATGCGAAGGAAAGGGGACACGAGTTGTTAGACTGGCAGGGAGGCACCCACATAGACGAGTCCAGTTGCCAGTGGGCCGGTTCGTTTTTTGAATATTGTGCGCCTGGTCCTCTTCCTCAAGAGACACTGTTTCTCTCCCTCTTCCCTTCCTCCCTCTTCATAACTGTTCACCGACACCAAACATTCATTTCCAATACCCAACGCAGCTAGCTGCTTGACTCTCCTTCACGCGTCTTTGACAGACTGCCAGCTTGACACTCCTTCGGCTGTGCCGACCAACACCGCACCAGAACACCAAAGACAAACGCTCTTTCATATACACCTTTGATCACTTGAACTTAGCGACCGGTCGTCCAAGTTCTCTGTCGTTCAATCCCACATCCAACATCCGTCGTCGGACAGCTCTCGAAGCCAACACTCACTCCCAACCAAATCAGCAACAGCAACAATGTTGACCTCCAAGGCCCTCACCGCCGCGGTCCTGACCGTCCTCACTGGCCAGGCCGTCGCCGCCAACTCCCACCGTCACCTCCACCGTGCTGAGATTGCCAAGCGCGCCATGCACACCGAATGGGTCACCGTCCAAGCGACTGTGTACGTTACTGCCGGCCAGGAGTCTCAGCCCACTACCGTGGCCGAGGCTCCTCAGCAGGTCTCCCAGGAGGCTGTCGCACAAGCTCCCCAGGCTGAGAAGCAGGCTGTCGCTGAAAACCCCGTGGTCCCCGAGGCTCCTGTTGTTTCTGTGGCCCCCGTCGTCTCCCAGGCTCCTGCCGTGGCCCCCGTCGTGGCCCCTGCTCCCACTACCACTCTGGCCACCTCGGTGAAGCCTGCCTCTACCACTGCCGAACCCATCATTGAGATCAGCGCTTCCATCGATCTCCCTAGCGTACCCGAGCCTTCCAAGGAGCCCGAGACGCCTTCGGGCGGCTCTGGCTCTGGCTCTGGCTCTGGCGTGTCCGGCAAGCGTGGTATCGCCTACAACGATGCCAACATGGCCAACATCTTTGCCGAGTCTTGCGAGTCCTGCCGCTGGGCCTACAGCTGGGGCTCTGCCCCCGGCAGCTTGGAGAAGAACATCCAGTACATCCCCATGCTCTGGGGCGACTCCTCCCCGTACACCGATGACTGGGACCAGAACTGCCGCAGTGCCCTCGACGCTGGGTCGCCCGCCATCCTGTCCTTCAACGAGCCCGACCACCCTGAACAGTCCAACATGAGCCCGTCTCAGGCCGCGTCTGCTCACGCCAATCTGATCAACCCCTACGCTGGCCAGGCTCTGATCGGTTCTCCCGCCGTCACCAACTCTGGTGACCCTGGTATGGGCCTCGAGTGGCTCCAGAGCTTCATGGATGCTTGCAAGGCTCAGGATGGCGGCTGCGCCATTGACTTCTGCGCCGTCCATTGGTACTCCGAGGCCCAGTACGCCGACACTCTCTTCGACCACATTGAGAAGGCCCACGAGATCTGCGACAACAAGCCCATCTGGCTCACCGAGTTTGCCCCCACGGGCTCTGATGCCGATAAGGAAGACTTCATGAAGACCGTCATCCCCAAGCTTGACGCCGTTGAGTACCTCGACGCCTACTCCTACTTCATGGTCTCCGAGGGCAACCTCATGTCCAGCGTCAGCTCCCTCAGCAGCGTTGGCTCGCTCTACGCCAGCGTCGCCTAAGCGGACTGCTCGTAGGCGATGACCATTCGACCGGCATCGGTCACGTTCACTTCTTGTCATGGGGAAACCCACTTTTTTTCAAAGGACATTTTCGGGGGGTATGTACGTCAACAATTGGGAGATATAGGACAAAGGCGCAGTGTGTTTGGGTATCCAATTTATATGCGTCTCTTGTGCTCGGAGCAGGATGTCCTTGGTATGCTTCCAGTATTCCGAGACTCCCGCCATCTGTACGATCATCTCATCCAGATTGGAGCCGGTCTGTTGCATTCCTTCCCCTCAACCTTTCGAGGGGAATGTCAATCGTTTTGCTACGGGGATCGGCGCTAGGATGTTTCAAGGGACAGGGTTAAAAGGGAGCCACCGATATACGGTAGGCTAGATAGATGTTACGTGCAATGACCAGCAATGCCAAAAATTGCCTAAAACAAACTTGATCACGCTCCTGTGCATGAAATAATGCCTGGCTGGACATCTGCTGTCGTTTGAAATTTGCGATTATGTCCATGCGTAAGTGAACTATTGCTACACTGGAACCTGCTTGTGATGCCTCCACGAAGTTCAGCAAGGAGACTCTCCTTGGTCATTGCCATGTTGCCCTCCTGTAATCATCGTTCTAGAAGTCACGTATCCGTCTGAGCCTTGAGGACCGCAGCTCATCCTTCTTGACCCGCGATATCCAGGCGCATCTCGCGCGACGCTGTCGGCGCCAACTGCGTCATTGTCAAAGTGATGATGCCTTGGCAGGCCATGATCCTCGCTCATGCTGCTCAGACGCTGACACGGACCCTCGTCGTTTGGTCTGCTCTCTCGCTGAATCGTCGTGGTGATCAAAACATGGTTCTCGAGTTTCAAGTCGGCCATGTCGGACGAATCCTTGCTGTACGTGGTGGCCACCGAGGGCACGAGGGCGATCTCAGCCGGTGACGAGGGTGGTGTGCATCGGGCGCATATCGTCTCTGATGCAAAGCCCGTGCGCCGGACTGCGTCGACGATCCGTCCCCTTCGCGCAGCGCTGTTGTCGGCGGTGAGCGAGTCGTGGCCCGATGTCCCGGCGTTGTCCTTTGATGTGACCCATTGGATGACCATGGCCGAGAACAGGACTCGGGCTGTTAGCGATAAGCTACTTCAGCGGTGGACAGAGACTCACTATCGCAGTTGCAGAGCATGAGACAGACCCATCCTGGTTCACCATTGAGGACCATGAGGACAGTCAGGTTGCTGTGATTGTTAGTTGCCTGCTCCCGCAGAATGTAGGCCAACTGACGTGATGCTGCTTAGAAGCGTACTAGCGGCACCAAAGAAGGTACGGAACGCCACGGTACGAAGGCGCAGGTTGGCCGCCGTGCGCGGCATGTTCTTGAAGGTGTAGAGGTCTTGCTGGTCAGCGCCTGTACGTGAGTTTGGCCGAGGTGACAACAGTACGCACTCTTCAGGGGGATGAGGAAGATGATCGTCAGATACACATTGACAATGGCGTCAAAGGTGATGAGCGGGATCATGGCAAGCTTTTCCATGCCAATGATACACTGTCCGTTCTCATCCATACGTGTTATGCGGCTGGTCCCCGTTGTTAGCAATCGAGCCCCCCCCTTGCAAGTCGCTTGCTAGTGAACCTACAAGATGAAGTTCATGGTGACCACCACAATGTACACACTGATCATGCCAAAAGAGTTGAACAGGTACAGTCGGGATCGCATGCGAGGCTTAGTGGTCCCGCGAATGATATACTGTCACGCATGTTAGTGGTGTTGTTGGGGCCGGTACATAAGCTACGTACAGCTTTCTCCACGAGGAAAAGGTAGATGAGCTTGACACATTAGTTGGCAGACCAAGAGCGTAAGGAAGCCTAGTACTGACTATCTGCAATGCGTGAGTAGATGCCTTGGTGTCAACTCGCCGGAACAGGGGACGTACCTTTGTGGTCACATAGCACGCCAAGCAAAGCAGGATGGCTCCTCGACAGATGAGGATATTGGAGTTCACCCCCAGTGCATGCTGGATGATGGCTGTTGCGACAACGAAGGCATACGAGTCGACGTAGATTGCGAACACCACTACCGCCAGCAAACTTAGCACATGGTCTTTGAGTATACAGCAAACGACCACTTACACCATACCACGAATGGTAGTCTGCGCCAAGTTCGGATCACCAGGAATCGTTTTGCTGTGATGTTTTAGCTCGCTATTCTTCGCAATGTTCACAAGATATAGAAACGTGGACCTACTGAGGAAGAGTGTCAGGACAGTGACCGCAGCAAGTGAGACTATCACGCTCATAACCTGCCCGCCCAGTGGTACGCCCCCCGCTGGTCCATGGAGCTCGTCGTTTGGTGCCATACTGTGCTGATCTGCTCTGATCCACGGAGCGTCTGAAGACAGAGTGCTCTTCCAAGGCCTCGGAAGTTTTCTCTCAATGCCAGTAATGGAAGCCTCAACAGTCGAGTGGTCGGCACTTGCGCTCACCGTTCAAGTTTCGGAAATCTAGGCATGAGGAGCGGTCATCGGTATATGTGTTTTCGGAGACCTTACAGTACGATTGCGCTCAGGCTCTCGAACGAAGCCCCAACCGCACGATTGGGAAAGCCACATCGCACCCTGCAGGCTGCGGCCCAGCTCTTCGATCTCCTATGAGACAGCTGCACCCGAGACATTGGTAGCAGATTGTCCCACATCTGCTAAGGACGAGGACATCAAGGCATGCCCATCGCCGGGTTTGGGGCATGCATGGAGGCGACATGAGGTGCGTGTGCCCGCACGCGAGGAGGGAGAGCAGTGGACTGCGGCGTGGACTCGGAGAAAAGAAACGAGAGAGACGCGGCTCATGCGAGGCAGGGCAAGCTAAGGGGATGCGCGCAAGTCTAGAAGCGCTCCAAGAGATCGCAGCACGTCAGTGATCGGTCAGTGGTTCTTCAGACTTTACCAGAGCAAGATGGTATTTGTTCTGCGTGGCTCATCCCCAAATGGTGTGTTTCTCACGCGCTTCAAATGTGCTGGGGCTCTGCGATTAGAGCGAACCGACAAGAATCGGCATACACAACCCTGGGGCGATCATCACTCATGTTCATAGGATCACCAGGCTATTGGCCGATGGCGCCTGGTGCTGCATGTGTTCATCGCCAGCCGAGGCGGGTGAAGGTCGCATGCCGACAAACTAGTCGACGCCCACATGACTGGGGCCCTCTTGGCCCAAGAGGCCCGAGCCATGTGCATATATGTATGACGATGTCGAAGGCCGCGATCGCACGCGTATTTTCGCTGCCGCGGTTAATTGTGCGGCCTCACTGGGCATAGCTGGGAAACTTGGTCTGACACCATGATTTCAGCTCCAGGAAAAGGAAGCGCAAGCTGATTAAAAGCCGGACGGCCTTACACACGATCAAGCGCCATCTCATGGAAATAACAACAATGCATTGTCTCGATCGACAAGCCGAGATAATCGTAAAGACCTGGGTATATGCAGTACTTCTTTCTCCCTTGTGCCAGCAAAATGACAGTTGAACGTGGCGGTGCCTCGCCATATCGCCCGTACGTCGCGCATCTGTGGTCCCCAACGCCTTCCAATGCCATGCTCTTGTGGTATCTGTCCAGAGTCATTTGCAAACCGTAACGCCTTCATCAACAAAAATTCGAAGGTGCCAGCTTCGATCAGGGGGGCCGCTCCCCGTCGACGTATTTCAGCAGCTTGCGTTCGCAGATTGGGCCCTGGTCGCGATGCGAAACCGCTCTCGCAACCGACCTGCGAACCGTGCACCCTGCTGACGCTCCTCAGCCTCCGAGGGTTGCACATACCCGGCCTCCGGCGCCTCGCGGGCGATCCTAACTTCACGCAGCTGCCGTAGCATCTCCATCTGCTCCTCCACGGATGCTTGTCTAAGTCGATTCACGTCAAAGAGACGGGATAGCCTGTGGCGGTAGGAGTCGGGAACAGTCTCGTGCTCATCAAGCTCCCAGGTAAGCGGAGGTGGCAGCACCTGCTCGCCAGTTGGTGAATAACCAACTGAGCAATTGTGCCCAGGGCGCAGATCAAGACGACTGGGACTGATCAGCAAAACTTTCTTGGCTTTTGCATCCTGCGACTTACCATAGAGGGCATGTTCCGGAAACGTTGATGAGCCAAGGATCGATACATTGAGGATGGTATTGATGATCACATGGGAGTACCCGAACATCTTCTCCAACTCTGAAATCCTCTGTGCAGATGGAACACCGAAGACTCTCCTCCGCAACCCCTGTGCCTGTGGTAGAGGTGAGTTCAGAGCTCGCAAAAGAGGATCTGGTGCTCGGCTCGCCCTGTCCATGCGTAGACTGCGGTGTGACACCCTGTGCCGGAGGATACTGGCCTTCAGTGGTTGCAGTCTCCATCTCTAGATCTGGATCGGGCTTGGCTTGCTGCTTGTCCCCAAATTTGACAATTGGTAGCGTGTCCAGAACGGCCCTCGCAAGGCCTTTGGCCCTGCTCTGTCGAGGACGGCCCCCGTTGGCACGCCTTGGTCCGTAGCGTTCCGGATAACGATGGGCTCTGACGACTCCAATGGCGACGATGATGACGAAAAGGAACGTGATCAGTCCTGTTATACTATAAAGAACACTCATGGCAACAGCCGAGTGATTACCTTGACTGTGCTCGTCTTCCGAAATGTCAAGATTCGTAATGTTGCCGTACATCTTGACACCAACCGTTTCGCCCTTGTCTGTACCGTTGAGATGGCTGAGCACGGTCGTAGCCTCTCCCGGATCCACCATGGAAAGAATTCTGGTGTATCGTACTCCCTGTCTGTTCCTCAGAGCACACCTGTTATTGGAGGTGGAGTAGAGCACAATCGCCCTGGGAGTTTGCTTCATCAACTCCTGGATCATGTGGGATGAATCAATGCTCGCATCGTCGTTCGGTTTGTCGCAGCTCATGTAGGCTACATCGTCGTGGCTTGTGAAATCAAGGTAATTCGATTCGGTAACAGCCTTCAATTTGCCTTTGATACTAACATTCTAGAAGACGAGGTCAGCATCGCAGTCTCCGATTTCTGAGTCGACGGGGATCTTACCCCTTTCTGCGCCTCGGAACTGGGCAGTGTGAGGCTCTCGCTGAGTGGGATGACGGCGTAGTTGGTCGAGTCGGCGGACAGCTGCAATTGCAACGTGTTGTCTGTAGCCCATGAGGGTAATTCGTCTACTGCTTCTACGTAGACACCGTGTTCGCCAAGTACACAACGGACAACGGAGGAGATGACAAGCGCAGAGCTTGGAACCGTCCATTGGAAACGCATGGTGGCACTGTTGCTCCTGGCCGGACCTCGGGAGAGGGGCCCTCTTCGTAGGGCTGTATGGAGACGACGACACGGCTTGCGACCGTCGCTCTGACTTGTCGAGTCTGCTTGTAGGTGGTTTCGAGCCGGGTCAGCGCCAAGAAGCTCACATTTCATCCGTCGCGGACGGAGGCATCGGCCACGGAGAGCGTGCAGGATCGATCCACTCCGTTCTCAATGAAAGGGCGAGCGGAAGGTCGGGAGGTGAATTGGGTCGGTTCTGCGCGAGTACGAGGACGTCGTCGAGGGTGAGACGAGAGGCAGACCAAGGAACGACTGGAGTGCAAAGGTGAAAGGATGAAGTTGCACATTGAAGAGATATACAGGTTACATACTGGACTAGCTTGTCTATCCGGGCATAGGCAGGCGCGATGCGGTTGATCCTAACTGAGAAGCACCCAGCGTGGGGAACGGCTCAGTCACGACCGCGCTTTCCCAGTGGCCACTGGCCAGGCATTCGAGATGTGCTTGGCCGGGCCTTGGCGCGGGTGGAGCCCCAAGACCGCCCAGGCCTATGCGACTGGACCACCTACGTGGCTGCGAATCCCGCTTGAGCCTCACTGCCGTGATTGAGCTCGACTCCAATATTATCCGACATATATCCTCAGTCCCTTGCCATGTTCTATCGACTGACTGCTGACTATCAGGAAATCAAAAGGCAGTGATTTTGGCTATCGTCAGCTCGTTGTACCGCTTCTCCCATTGCTTCTTGGCATGTTCACGAGGAAATGTGGTGCGCAGCCAGGTCTGGGCGCTGTCTCGGCGTCGCCTGGGCATTGGCTCGGCAGCCCATCGGTCAGAGAAAGGTCCCTTGGTGGTCGGGTCGGCCTTCCAAAACGCAGCTTATTCTTGACTCAGCTTGAGACAACCCCGATTGTCGGACGGACGGCCTGGAAACTGCTGAGTAGGGGACCGAACCCCTTTTTCCTCCTCAGGGACAGGTTTCAAAATAAGGTTCACTGTCACTGCGACGCGTCACATGTTCGAATGCTGAGGATATATTATTTCACGCCGTTGTATATTCGCTCACACTCGAAATAACGTAATCTATTTTTGGCGCTCACAGCGACTCCCGAGGTTTTGCTGATGCAAAGAGCTAGTTACCCGGTAGTTTCGTGCGTACAGTCCATCGAAGCGGTTTCACATGTATTTCCCCACTGCCTTGATGCTTGTCGAACGCTACCTAGCTTACGGAGTCATTAGTATCACAAGAATGGATGCGTGAGTTCTCGACCTGCGCTTGAATAGGCACATAAAATTGAGCTCTGTCCGAAGACTTGACGTTTCCTCTTGTACGTGGTCTTCTCGAAAACACTGGACCAGGTTACAAGTCAGATTTCTTCCATGTCTTCCAAATCATCCATAGCCTCAAAGTCCCCCACTTCCACTCTCTCAGGCCGCACAAAAACACCATGCTTCATAGACGATGCCTCGCCCCAATACCGGGTTCCTTGGATACTGCCGTCATTCTTGCCAGCCGGCTCATCTAGCTGTACGCCAACCCACGGCCCAGCCCCGTTGGGTATCTCCTTGACCTGACCGACGTATTTGACGACACCTCTCCTCGTGTCATCGCCACCGACGCGGCATCGTCGGCCAGGAGTGATGTCGCGTTGGGCAATGTCAGCTTCCAGGGCAGCAATCCGTGCTTGCTCATGATCTGGGGCGTTGGGGTCGAAACGCCCCAGCTGCTGGGCCTTCTTCCAAGCGCGTACGGAATCCGACTTCTTCTCGTACTCTTCCTCGGGCATGACATACTTGTCAACAGCTGACGTGTCCGTGTAGTTCTCTCTGGCGCCTGGTGGCCGAGTGTCCCCCACCTGTGGATATGTTAGCGAGGTGAATCACCCATGATGATGTATACGTCTGGCAGGCCATGGCAAGTCCTATGCTATCACGGTGCCCACGGGAGCATCCCTGCCTGAGTACATGCCTGGGGATGAAAGGGGGTGGGACTAGGTAGGTGGCAAGATAGATTCGAGCAACTTACACGAAGCTCTGCATAGGCTTGTAGAGGGAACGCCGACAGTCGTGTATTATCCTCATCAGACGCCTCGATAGGTATGACCTGGCCATCGGACGTCTTCAGGCTGAGCGTCTGCGACAGAGGAGGCACACCAGTGATTGGCTCAAGTCTTGCCTTGAGCTGGCCAATTGTCCATGACGGTGTGATGCGTCGCTCCGACGCTGAGTTGTCCGAGACAACCTGGAGGGGAATGTCGGCCATAGTAACGCCTACTTGTCGCAGTGCAAGGTGAGCTGTTGCCAAAGGTTGATATGCCCGCGGGGGTGACTGGAGTTCAGGGGCTTGCCGCTTGCCCTGGAAACATCCACAGCTGCCCGGTGACCTGACCCAGACGGATGTCGAGTTGGGGTGGCGGATCGATCTGTGGGATATTGGGCCACGAAGCTCTGACCAAATGGGGCCAGTCAATGAGTGAAGCTATTCTCGCCTTGTCGTGAATTGAGGCCTGGACGACTGGATTGGAGTATGCACAGGGCTTGCTCTCTGCCGCCACCACAGGCTGTGGTGGGGGTACAACCACTAAGTTAGGCGGTAATCCTCACGCGGGGTGCCCAACGGCTGTGGCTCAGTTGACTGCCTAACCCAGCCACAGTTGCCGGGCAGGCCATCTTCAGCCACGTCCCAGCCCCCCCTGAGATGGACGTTGATCAGTCGCCGGCATTTGCGCAGATCTTCGACACATCACAACGATCCTCGCGGCTAGTATAAACAGCCCGGCCGTGGATCCAGGAGGTGCCTTTTCGTCGCCCGCGGTGGGCTGATGCAGAACCGACAAACGGGCTACAACAAGCTCTATCTCGCTGCTGCTGCTGCTGCCTCTCAGGCCTCGACGAGGCACCGATACTCAGCCCAATTCGCTGGTCGGTCTGACCTGAGCCGCCTGACCGGCTGCACTCAGCGCAGAATGGGATCAATGCGCATACTGATATGGGTTGGTAGTTAGTTACCAATCCAACGAGCTGGGACTCATGTCTGCTCTCTCCGCTGCGTCGACAACTAACTCTTGAGCCGCCAAATGCTGTGCATCACGACGAGCCCGATCTGCGGCCCAAGACGCAGGGCGAGTATCCATACCGTGCACTCGTCTCCAACAAACCCTGTTCGCGACCTGGCCAGGAGCTGCAACTTTCAGCTGATACTATCATATTTATAACATGCCAAGTTGTTGCCGCTCAAGCCAAACGGCCTCTCCATCAGGCCTGCTGAATTGCTGCGAGAGGCGGCCTGGCTTTTGCGCCTCCAAAATTGACAGGTCAATTTGTTGCTGTCGCACTGCATTCACTCTTTGTTACGCAGACGAGGCCTGCGGAGTTTCCTTTCTTTTCTTTTTCTCATAATCAACAATAGGTGCTTCCTCTCGTTTGATGTCTCTTTTTTTCGCATCTTTTGCTACAATTACGTTTTGCCCGAGAGGCGGAACTCGGTCTCTCCGTTCCGTCCACTGGCATCGGTTCCGTCAGGCTCCAGTCGCTTACTTTGTATACCCGCGCATCCTCGCATGAACCAACTTGTCAGGGCTGTGCACTTCTTCGTCACCGTCGTCCCAACTCGCCAGGCTATCTGCTCTCGAGTCAACACCCGCGCCTTAGCCCACGGCTGCTAGGGCTCATTCAATGAGTATCGTCTTGCCACTCGAATTCATGTCCCCTGTCGAGCAACGATCCTCTAGTTGATGCTACGTACCTGTTGTTGGTGCCCGATCAACAAGTCTGTCTGCACAGCATCAAGCCTTCCCACCAAGTATCCCGAATGCCTGCTCACCGCTCAGCAGATCTTGCGCCAGAATTTTCGTCACACTTGTTATGACTCCTGCTTTACCGCTCTTGTGAGTCTTTGATGCCGGAGGACGTCGAGTCACAGTAGCGTGGGGTGTATGTCTATCATATCTCAGTCTTCTTCCCCGAACACATATATGTATGTAAGTTGTCGAGGCCCCGCCTGTTGTTTGTGCATGAACTCAGCTTGAGCACTGCCTTTGTTTGATATCCAGCGAGGCTTGACCGTTTGTCAGTCACTTGGCTTTGATCCCGCCGCGCTTGAGGACCACAGACATGTGCTTTATAGTCACCTGTCGAGAGATTGATATTTCGCGCAGTCACGACTGTGGACATGAGGACGTTGACGAAACTACGTATATAGTTATTATTGACCTAAGTTACGATAATATTGCGCCCAAAGCTCCGCTCGCAATGATCGCCCAAGAGCCGTGGCGAGAGATACATGCATGAATGCAGACTCACGAGACCCGCCCAATAGCCTCGGTCCCGAGGAGACACTTGCATGCTATTAATATGTATTCGAAGCCCTGTGAGAGATCTGTACGTTGTGCGGGCCAGTGAACAGGCTGTTGTGATGTTGTCTCAAAACCCTCGGAGTTACATGTCATAATAGATCGCATGCTATTAGATCAAATGGTTGGGCATCAATGATTTTCTGAGGCGACTTCTTGGCGGGGGCTGTAAAGTCAATCGGCCCCGAACAGAGTCGGTGTGATATTGCCGTATTACTTGGAATATTCCACGCTAGCGAGAAGAGGTTGGCGGGTTGCAGAATGCATGAGTGTCGCCAACAACTGCTCGTGGTGTTCACAAACACGGGTTTGCCAGTCGTTCACCGCCGCCTCACAGCCGTCGTCATAATAGTGGATCGGTGTCGAGAGCGGCGGACCCTGACGAAGTGGAGAGCCAGCTAGGGCTGGGACGATCCGATCAAGAATGGTGAACGGTACGGAGTACTGTCAGCTCGAAATTTGCCAAACTTATGAAGTTAGTGCTTGCGAGGATGTGCTGGCTGCTGGTGTCGCTGGTGATGAACTCGAGTTGACTTTGGACTGATACCCGCCAGCCAATATGCATTCGCCTACCCTAGCCTCACTGCGCCAGCGCGATGAGGTTTTGGAGTGTGTGTCCGCGTGTCGGTCTACTGTGGCTGAGTTGTATGTACACTGTTATATGTGCCAGTTTGGCACACGAAGTTCGTCTCTTGCGTGGGGGAAGGGTGCGTCCCTGGACCCCCGGAGCCTGAATGATGACAGCACATTACACACCCTCATCGGCAAACCCTTGCCCTTGCTGTCAGTCAATGTACGATGACTTTCAGGTTGTCCGCTGTCTTGCGCCATGCTTCCTTTTGGCGTAATAACGGAAATGATCTGGTGTCAATGCCACTGACCGCCTGTTCCACAACCTCACAAGGATGCTCACATACAGGAGGTCCGCCACTGATTACTCAAGGGCTGCGTCAATGTGATGCAGGATGCGAACTGGCTTGGGCGTAGTTGAAGCCAGCGGAGCGGGGCTAGGCGTCTTTTTTTCTGACTTTTTTCCCCATCTTCTTCACCTGCGACAGAAACCACCGTATCTTATTAGTACTGTCGGCGGCAGCGGTCCATCGGCAGTCACTGTTTAGCCGCGTTCCTGTCGGATGTGTGGCGTGTGCCTCGCCCCTGGTGACACACATGCTGTGTGTGTCAACGCACATGTGTCTGCCCTGCAAGTCACTGCAGGCAGCCCAGCCGGCCCTTATTATATGCGATGACAAACGAGTGGTCGACACCCCATGGAGATGACGCGCACGGACGTGAAGGAGAGCCGACTGGGCACACGCATCCAAAATGATCAGAACATGCGCGATGAAGCTGAAGAGGGCGAGTAGTGTAGTTCGTGAACATTGAAAATGCGGAGCGTCGCCATGTGTCGAAATGGCGGAGTTCCTGCCTCGTCATGTTGTTGATACGCAGGTATGTACTATTCGAGGCTCACCGCCGCGCGCGAACACTTTGCAACCAGGAAGATCCTAGGTTAATAACAACAAGTAATGCGCCGTAACTGTGGGAGTAGTGGCATGCAACGTCAATGGCTAGTTCAGAATGTGAGAGCAGGGTTCAGCGTTGTTCGAGAGGAGAGAAGCGCGGACGCAAAGTACCAGGAAGTCGAGCGAGCTGGTGTCTGAATTTGTTATTAGAGGGCAAACTTTTCTATCAACGGTAATCTCAGCAGCAGTACGGCATACCTTAAGATCCAGAACAGACTGGATGCACGCATGACCAGCCCCTTCCTTCCTTGTCCATTATTCTCGCTTCTTGACCCGAATGAGGCACCTGCTGGGGTTTGCTGTCGCTGATTCCGCACTTTCGGGCTTCTGCTGGTAGTGATGATTATATGATAGATGCGGTGGGGAAGGTGCGCAGGGACCGGATGTTCCTTCTACGTACCTTGCCTTGCTTTTCCCCGGGTCTTCAGCCTGTCATCAGGCATTGGACGAACTTCTTCGCGACGACAACAGGGCCGGCCCAAAAGGTCAGGCACCGAATGTGCTATCCTTACCTTACCTTACCTTACCAGGTGCCTGACGTCTTCTCGTCTTCCCGCCACGGTGCACGCGGCATACGCCGCGCTGCCCCTGTCGGCTCAGTTTCATGCCCATTGCTCGGGCAGCTAACTTGAAAGAACTATTATTATCATCATCATCATGCACAATAGCGCCTCTAAATTACTTCCGCGAACGACAAGCCAGCCGGACGTGCGAGCGAGCGACCTTTCAGCGCAAACACCCCGGCCTTCCCGCCCAACTCGAAGTCGCGGCCACCGACGCCTGGTAAGCAACGACATCTCCCTGTTCGTGTCGCGAGTTGGATCAACAGCCGCGCCGGCTGTGGCTGACCCCAGTCTGCCCCATCGAGTCGGATCTCACAGCGGGTTTACCCCCACTCCCGGGCTTCTTTTGCAAACTGTCTCGAGGCGAGAAGCGAAAGCAATAGAGCAGAGCAGAGCCTGGCTAGGCAAGCAAAGCAACGCGGCGCGAGGCAAATAAGAGAGCGATTGGAAGCAGGGCGACGACTCGCAACGACTGGAGACGTACCGCCTGGCGAGGTAAGGTACGTCTTATGGCTGGTATGGCTTCATGCTTATGCACGTATGCGTGGCAGTGGGATGTGTTGGCCAGTCCCCATCGCGGCTGCTTCCCGTTGGGAGCGCACCCCTACAGTGCTGCGGCGCGCAAGACCGCGCTGCCTGCGCCTGGGCCTTGTTGTTTGTCTCCAGTGCATTGTGATCTCCGTTTATCTGGAGACTGGACGGCTGCGCACTAGACAATCATCAATGAGCGGGAGAGAAAAAAGGTCCTGACGACGAAGATGTCCGGATCCTGTTTGGTTTGGGAGCCAGTGAACCCTAGGTAGCCCACCAGCAAGTGGTTCGGCGTCCCTAGCAGCCCAACCGTGGGATGTTGAGATCATTGCTGGGGTCACGGAGATCCCCTTTGGCCCCTGCCATGGCGCTGCGTCCGACTCTCTAGGACGGGCTTGACATTCCTCAGCCACAGCCTTGTTGGAACGGGGATCGGTGCCTGGGCCATGCTCCTAGCAATTTCTAGATCTGTTTGATAATATCTGTGCAGATACCCATCGAGTTCCGAAGAGGAGGTGCAGCGGTATTAGGCGACCCCACGCGCTGCAACGCTGGAAGTCAAGGTCAAGCCAAGGCCAATGGTGTCCTGCCCTGAATGATGGCTTTCTGGCGGGCACGCCACCGTGTGCTAGCCTCACCCCTCCTCCGTTGACCGTTCTTCTTCATGGCAACAAGCGTCCGTGTACGTACATCTCTATACCGCCTGATGGAGAGGCCATGCTAGTCTAGCTGGCCTGGCTGGCTGGCTGGCTACGGGATCGCTGCCTGACTAGGTACTTATCTATCCGGAGCGCTGTCACACACAGCTCTTGACGTTGTCATTGCTAAACAGACACCGAAGACGACCACCACACCCTGCTCATCCATCAACCTTCTTCAAATCTACACTGAGAATACGCAAACCACGACCCGGCGGCCCAGTTCGTTGTTCGTCAGTCACCGTTCTCTGTGCTCCCTGACGTTCATCTTGCACACCCGTAAAACACACTACCTTGCCCGACGTGAATCGGCGCCTTGTCCCTGGTCGTGGATCATCACTTACACGGCCTTGCCCCTACCGACGTTTCCCAACCAGACACATACTTCATGCACCAACCTGAGCCTAGTTTCTTGCGTCTCAAATACGGTCACTCGAGCTCCTGTGCCAAATCTCAAGCATAAGATCTCGTTCAAAGTCGTTGGCGCCGTCCTAATCGCAGACTCGACTCGTCCCCTTCAATTGCCCTATTGGCTGGCGCATCACCAATCAGCACCCGACTACAAGGTTGTAGGCTTCCCATAATTCGACGACATACGCCTTCCCATACGGCGAGGCTATTCTGGCCTCTCTTCTATCATACCCCCTACTTCATCCTGCTCTGTGCTTCCTGGAGTTGAGACATTCCTTCGAGCACCAACAGACACGCGACTATCCACGACAAACGGCGTGGAAAGCCAGTTGCGATTCTGGCTCAACTACAGAGCCAAGTTCCGGTCTGCCTCCTACAGGCAGGGCATCTTGCATCAACTGGTTTTGCGCAGGCACGCTTTGACCGATACCGCAACTCTCGATCTCACGCCGCCCAAGCCTCCTCTGGTAGCTTGAGCAACCCTCCTGTCAACGTGGATCTCCAGACTCTCCTAGGTGGGCGCAATGCGAGCAGGCCCAGCGCCCAAGCCTCTACACGCTTTGAGCAGCAAGCGCAGCCCTCGCCGGTACACAGCCAGATGGCAACAGCAACGATCACGTCGGCATCACCGCCGTCATCTGACCCGGCGCTGGCGCGTGCACAGCAACGCACCTCAACATCCCACAGTGTTCGGCGAAAGACCGTGCCTGCCACTAGGTCCGGCGGCCGACGCAGGATGCCAACGCCGGAGGGATCAGAGCAACCAGCCAAGAGGCAGAGCAAGTGGTCTGCGCAAGAGAACGCCACCATCATCGAGCTTCGAGGCAGTGGAATGAAGTGGGAAGACATTTCAAAGCAGATCCCCGGCAGGAGTGCCATCAGCTGTCGACTACACTACCAGAACTATCTAGAGAGACGACCCGACTGGACGGAAGAGCGCAAGGACAAGCTCGCACAGCTCTACGAAAGGTTGGCGGCCCTGATTTGAAGAATGTTTTTGATCCGTAAAACTGACACTTGACAGATTCAAGGCGGAGATGTGGTCCAAGGTGGCGGAAGAGCTGGCAGTGCCCTGGAGGGCAGCTGAGGCCATGCACTGGTCCATGGGCGAGGTTGACATGGCTGCGAGGGCTGGGACGACCCCTTTCTCCATGGCAGCAGTGAACGCCGACGCGAGGCGTCGTAGGTCTCCCTCCCGCACTGACTACAACTCATACCGACATGACACGGTCCCCCTCGAGATTGCAACGGCGTACGACTATGGCTCACAGCCCGCTACTGGCAGACCCCAAGCGATCGGCACACGGCGTGAAGCGATGCCCCCGCCTCCTCTCTCCGCCAGAACGGAGCAAGTCGAAGGCTCCTTTGAACCTCCACTACCAGCACTGGCACCTGTACAGCTTCGTCAGACGCCCCAGAGTGCCAGCGGTACCTTCCTACCCAGCATCGCGGAGATGACAACTGGTGTTGCGCCTTATCACGGTCCACATGACAACACACCTGCGCAGGGTGTGCCCATGACGCCGGGGCCATACCACCCTCACATGCCAACGGGGCCAGACACGCGCTATTCTGTGGAGCGTCAAGGTGTCAAACGACCGGCGAGCCCCGAGAACAGTTACCATGACACGAACCAGCGCCGACGAATAAAACTAGAGCAAGTGTCGAACTAGAAGTCTTGGTGGATGGCGCAACAGGCCAGAGGGCAGCAGAGTGTTTGAGTATGCAGACCTGGGGGTCCGGATTTCGGGTGACCAGCTGTTGCATTTGTGGTTTTGATATCTTCCATGGCAAGCGAGCGAGGTTGTTTTGAGCGACATGACACGAAGGAGCGGCATCATAATGTACGACGGACTATTTTACAACGGGCAAGGGAACGACAAGGGCATCTAGAAAGGAGTACGACACACTTTAGAAGGGAACGACGGGCATTTCAGGATTGGGAACAGCAAGCATCGTTTACAAGGAAGCCTTCAAGAAACACAAGATAGACAGCATCTCCGAAGCATAGGCAGCAAACACTCGAGAGTTAATGGACAGGTGAATCTTTAAGCAGCGACAGTGCACATGCACCAGTGGGCCTTGGACGAGGTGTTTGTCAGGGCGTACGTGGGCGTGTTTGCGTGAGTTGGGAGAGGACTCGACAGGCACGTTCCGAGAACCGACGTGACCCGTTTTCTGTTGTGACTCACGCAGGTTTCAAGGCTCACTGCCTGATCGGAGGCTACACGAAGGCTTCTGACAGCCATGGAAAGGTCACACGCAACAGAAGCACGACGGAACGTGGGCACCCACCACAGAGAAGTTTCATCATGAACCTGGCTTTTCATTGTCTGTTCTTTCACAAATGACGTACCAGTTATCCCGCTCGTAGCCCGCCTCCTTGACGAAGCCACCGGCGGCCCGCACGTCCTCCTCGAGCTCCCCCTCGCGGTAGAGGTGATAGTAGCGCTGAAAGGTCCTGTCGGCGTCGTCAGACCCCTTTTTGGCGCGCATGACCCAGGGTACGAGCGTGTCCTGGGCACTATCCTCGTTCCAGCCCCGGCGGCTGGACGACTGCTCGAGGGCCCAGACGTAGATGAGGACCATGCCACCGTCGGGACGCACGCACGCGAGGAGCTTGGCGATGGCCTCCTGCCGCCGGGCCCGGGTGGAGAGGTGGTGTATGACGGCGATGCAGATGGCAAAGTCGGCCTTGTCCGGGCGGTAGGGTAGCGCGAGGCCATCGGCGACGACGACCTCTGCCTTGCGCTCCGTCTGGGCCAGCTGGACGAGGGCGTCGCTCCTGTCGGAGCCGAAGAGGAACAGGCCCGGGTTGACGTCGAGATACTTGCCGTTGCCGCAGCCGACGTCTAGGCCAACGGCGCCAGTGGGCAGCGAGGAGAGGAACGAGGCGATGAAGGGCCAGGGCTTGTGGCGCGTGGCGGAGAAGTGTGGCGCAATGGCATTGTAGACGCTGTGGACGTGTGTGGCCTCGTACGACGCGGCGGCGGTGGCATCCTCGTCACGATCATGGCCTGCGTTATTAGGCTGCTGCTGCCCAGTTTGGGCTGGTGGTGGTGGTGGTGACGGCCGCTGATGAGGTTCAAATGAGGATGACATGCTGTGGCCAGGGAGGGCGTGTGCGTAGACAGACCACAGGACTACGTCCGCGGACGCTAAGTTCGGTGTTCTTGTCTGAATGAACGTTGGGATGACTGACTGACGTGTGTGTCGGCGCCAACGTGAGTCGACGCTTGCTTGCTGGGGACTGGATGAATGTTGTCGGACTGGAAGAGTGCCATGCGCGTTTGGTGGTGGTTCATGCTTTGGCGCTGCTCCATGGGTTCGTTCACCGTTCACGTCAACACAATAAGTGGACCTTTTCGGAAGAATAATCTAGTTGATTGACTCCATGACTTGTCATTAATTAGCACGTCAACCCCCCTGACTTTTCTATATTTATTTGTTGCTATTGCAGGCTTTGCAGCGAAGGAAAGCTGCGTTCGTAGGTACCCTGCAGCATGGACGAGCCAGCCTCTGCCTCACCAGTCAAAACATGAACGAAACAAACCCACAATGGGCCTTGAAACCAGATTCTCCTCTGCTTCAACGAACTACTTTCCTAGATGGAAAGCCTGCACGCGCTCATCATGAAACAATGACACTCGGAGCACAAGGAGCGGGACCCCACGATCAATCATGACTCGGCCATGTCATTTGTGCAATCTCGCTCACACCTAGCCTCATTCTTGCTCGGAAGGGAAATCCGGTTCTGTCGAGTGATTCGAGTCATGAACCCTCATCTTGACAAAGCTTGTCGGCACAGCCGGCGCCTACCATGACGAGAACAAATCTTTGCAACTCCACGCTCTTCGTTTGGCGCTACAGCTCGCTACATGTCGCGGGAAGAACACTTGGACGCGTTCATGCGCCTTTATGCGAACCGGTTCGTTTTGGGGTTGCAGCTCGCCGGCATACGAGTCACGACTACCATGTCTCATGCCGGAGCTTGCGCATAAACCAGCCCATTCTATAATCTACTAATCATTATTGTACATCTAGAGGACCTATTGGTTTCCGGTGTTGAGAGGGCTCTTGGCGTCGTACACATCAGTCGTGATGAGAGCCGGGTACGTCACGCTGCCCTGCTGGAGAACCTGGTCCATCACGTCCATGATGACAACGCTCTCCTCCCAGGGCATGAACGCGCTCTGCTTCTTGCCGTCCCGGAGGCAGCGCGCGCACTCGTCGGCCTCCCAGAACATGCCGTGGCCCCAGTTGTTGCGCTGGGGATCCGTGGGGATGGGGCAGTCCACGACCTCGACCTTGCCGTCGCTGTCCTTCTTGATCACGCGGTAGGCCGTCGGACGATAGGCCGGATGCAGGACCTGGATCTCGCCCTCGGAGCCCTGGATGCGGATGGCCGCACCGGCTGTCTTCTGGCCATCGGGGTCCGTGGCCACGCGCATGCCGGTCGTGGCGATGCCCATGGTCGCGTGCTGGGGAAACTGGCAGATGATGCTCGTCTGCTCGTCGGCCCCCGTCTTGTACTTGTTGATGGCCGAGACGACCTTGGGCGCCTCCTTGGACGCCTCGGGCTGGACGTGGTAGAGGGACTGGAAGACCCAGGTGAGGGCGTAGATGCCGAGATCGAGCAGGGCGCCGCCGGCTAGGTCGAGGGAGACCATGCGGTTGGTGTCGGGGAAATCGAGGGAGCCGTCAGGGTTCGCCTTGCCGAAGCTGAGATCGGCTGCGGGGCACGCAAGAGTGTCAGTGATGCTGTCTCATTGCGTTATGGGAACGAGAAGACAAGCTTACCAAATGTGCGGTAGACGGTACCAATGGCACCAGAGCTGATGAGCTCGCGCACCTTGATGCTCAGCGGGAAGCACCTCGTCCAGACGGCTTCCATGAGGAACAGGTTCTTCTCCTTGGCCTTGTCCACCAGCTTCTTGGCCTGGGCGACGGTCACGGTGAAGGCCTTTTCGCAGAGCACGTTCTTGCCGGCTTCCAAGCACAGCATGGTGTTCTGGAAGTGGTGGCTGTGCGGCGTGGCGACGTAGACAATGTCCACGTTGGGGTCCGCGACCAGCTCGGCGTATGAGCCGTAGGCCTTGACCGAGCTGAGGCCGTCCACGCGCTTGACAAAGTCGGCAGCACGGTCGGCGGAGCTGCTGGAGGCTACGGCGACGAGCTCGTGCTTCACATCGGAGACGTCACGGATGGCTGGGTTGGTGAGGAGATCCTTGGTAAAGGTCTCGGCGATGCCACCGGTGGCAAGGATGCCCCATTTCACGGTGTAAGGAGAATCGCCAGCCATGATTGCAGTTGGTATATGGGCGTTGTGAGGCGGGAGGAGTGTTGACGGAGCGATGTTGGCTTGAGGGGTAAAATGGGAGAGTGAACGGAGGCTCCGCGATGGACGCTGTCGATTAAATACTTTACCAGGTAAGGTATGAGGGGCAGGTCCAGCAGATCTAATGTTACCTCCTTACTACGTATTTGTTTCTTCCAGATACTTATTACCAATTGATCTACCCCATCTTCTTTGAGGCTATTCGATAGCAATTTTGCCAGCAGACCATATGATCTGGGTCGCTGCAATCTCGATGCCGCCGAGTCGACATTGTCCTTCTGCAAGTGCCCCTTTGGGAACAAAACTCCTCCTCAAGACTCAATGTTATTGTCTCTTCGCCCTTGATTAGCTCCGGGAACGCGCACCGTTCTCCTCCAACTGCCTCCACGCGGCGGTGCTTCCCCGCGTCTTGCAAGGTCAATTGATGACGGTCATGGCGGAGAGCAAGTGGGGGACACCCTCCAAACTTGGCAGCTAGAGCAAGCGGATTACATGCGCATATCACCATATCTCTCACATCGATACGTCGTCGATGTAGAATATGTTCAAGCAGCTGGGGGGAATATCTCCGGCACGATTCTGTATCGTACTTGTCCACAAGGCCCCTCAGGCAACGTCCCTCGGATCAAGTCTCTGGGTTGGAGATGCCATTACGTCACGCTGCCCCTCCATCGACACCATATCGTTCGAGTCTCAAGATGAAGTCTTGCAAACCTTACCTTACCTGAGCAACTCATATGAAAACCCTGTCCGTGTCTAGCTACTGAAAGCGTAGCGGTGTACCGTCCCGATTTCCGAATCGATCCTTCTCAGCAATGGCGAACATGCAGGCCCCAGCACAGATCCCGTTGCTCTACAGAGATCTTGTCCTGAGGGAAGACGAAGCCAGCGATGGAGAAAGCGACTCACGTATCTTAAAGACCGACAGAAGGTCTGGCATGCCTCGTATGATGTATGGGACAGCCTGGAAAATGGAGCAGACAGCCGATCTGGTGTACAAGGCCATCAAGGCCGGCTTTCGAGCTCTTGACACTGCTGCCCAGCCAAAGCACTACAACGAGGCAGGTGTCGGAGAAGGCGTCAGGAGGGCCATCCGCGAGGGCATTGCCAGGCGCCAGGATCTGTGGGTGTGTCACCATGCGCCGCAATCACCATACATCTCACAAACGTGAATGGCTTAATTACTTCCTAGATTCAATCCAAATTCACATCTGCATCCGGCCAACGCGGCCAAGCGCCATACGACCCGACCTCACCCCTAAAGACGCAAGTGGAAACCTCCATTCTCGGGTCCTTGGTGTGCTTTCGTGTGGAGGAAGACCGAGAACCCTATCTGGACAGCCTTGTTCTTCACGCGCCATACAAGGACGACGCCTCCAATGCACAAGTCTGGTCGTGCTTTGAGGAATTCGTCCCCGACAAAATCCGTTATCTCGGCATCTCCAATCTCCTCGGAGATTCAGGGGTTCTGGAGACTCTGTTACAGCAGTCACGTGTGAAGCCAGCCATCATCCAGAATAGGTTTCATGCCCCCACCAAGTACGAAGTAGAGCTCAGAGAGCGATGGTGCACCGACGACCAGGGTGCCATCATCTTCCAGAGCTTTTGGACCCTAAGCGCCAACCCAGACATGCTGGCGAGCACGGCTGTTGAGGAAGTGGCCCAGGGGGCTCGAGTAACCAAGACAGCGGCTTTCTACTGCCTAGTGATGGGGCTAGGGAAAATATGTGTTCTCAACGGGACGACCCGTGAGCGCCACATGCGCGAAGACTTGGAAGGCTGGGAGCTGGTGAGCACATGGGCTGACGGAGAAGGCAAGGCTGCATGGGAGCGAAGCTTGAGGGCATTCAAGAGCATAATTGGGCAGGCGGATTGAACGGGGCTTTGTCAATGATGCCTGTGGCGCTTGGTGTGGTAATGGTCCCTCGTTTCTCTACTACGTTATCAAGGTGCGGATACTTTGCCCGTTGACGTGCGCAAGCAACCAATCGCTGAACATGGACCCTTTGAAACGCAGAGACCTGTGATGAGGGTAAGTTATTTCAAATGTCTTTACACTTTGAGATTATCTTTACGCTGTCTGTTGAGTCACCATCGTCGAGACTTGGTTATTTGTCTTAGCCTTGCCGCTACGAGACCACTGGAGTGAACCCTCCGCGTGCACAAGGCCAAATCATACAAAGAACTCTTTATACTTTCCAAAAATTCAATGAAGAGAATGAAGAAAAAGACGCAACCTATTCCCCGTTCGCTATAAGTGCTCTTGTCACGCTGCATTGTCTAGAGGACACCTTTGTTCCTTACACACATACACACACAATCATCTACACCGGTATCGACTGTATCAACCATCAGATCAGCCTGTACTAATACAACAACTCCAACCGAATCCCTTCATTCTTTTTCATTTGGTTCACGCCTCAAGCATCATCATCATGGCCAGCGTCTCGACTCTTCGCCCCGCCACCACGCCGGCTATCCGCGTCCCTGCTACGGAATCCCCCATCTACAAGACCATTCTCTCTTACACCGTCAAGTGGCCCAATCATAGTGATGGCCGAGGCTGCATCATGGCCTTTTTGGCCGATGGACGTCGTGTGAAGCTCATCTCCAGGCGTTATGGGGGTGTCCGCAAGCCACGCGAAGCAGCCGTCGCAACCGCTGCCCCGTCCAAGATCAAGCTGAAGTTGACCCGAAAGACGGCCAAGGCGAACTAAGCGCTCTTGCTTCCATCATCCAGCTTGAAAAGGGGCGAGGCGTCCATGAGATCAAACATTTTCATACCCTGGGAGCAATCCGGACTCGACAGACGGACGGACAGACAGCTTGTCATTCCCGCAACGCACAGACAGACGACAATGCGAGAAAAGGAAAAAAGGAACAAAAACACATGTAACAACAACAAAGGAAAAAAAAAAAAAAAAAAAGCATTTTCACGTCTGATAATGTGCAGCAGCTCACCTGAGCAACTGCTCTTATCTCAGCGTATTACTGATTTTGGATATGGTTGGAGTCTTGATTAACTAGCGCCCGACTGCATAGTAGTACCCTTAGCAAAGGTATTCGCAACAATCAATGGGAAGCAAGTTGTAGCCTCAACATGAACCTACACAACATGAGTTAGCAGTGCCCCGCGTGAATTATTAGTGAATCGTAACGTCTGACTCACCTTGACATTGTCCGCTCCGATCTTGATCTTGCCCCACGAGACGGCCTCATCGGGTCTTGCTCCCGCATCACTTCCATCAAACTCCTGCCCCGTGTTGATGTACACCGCCGACTCGGCACCATTGCGCATGAGACACGCGTTGGCAATGTGGTGCTTCACCACGCCGCCACCCAGGATGATCATGCCCGCCCGCTTGGCACGCACAGAGATGGTGTTGATCTTGCGGATATCCTCCACAATGTCAATCTTGAGCTGCTGGGGCGAGGACTTGAACGTGTGGAAATACAGCATGTCGCCCAGACTGCCGTCCGTCAAGGCGGGGCAGAAGACGGGGATGTCGTTCTTGTACGCCCAGTAGTACACCGATCGCTCGTCGTTGATCTCCTTGCCGAGTCTGTGGATCACCTTGGATGGGGTCCAGTTGATCTCGTCGTCCGTTCCCTTGCCGGCCTCTTGCTCCTCGAGCATCTTGTCCAGGATTGGCACCACCCAGTCTTCGAACGCGCAGTAGTTTGCGTTGGGCACAACGAGGTTGCCTATCCGGTTCAGCCCCTTCTTGCGGAGGTCGGATCCTACGGCGCTGAAAGACGCGAGGTATGTGTCGCCGAGACACTTGATAAAGTCCTCCTCGATGCCGCCTGCCGTTGTGACAATAGCAGAGACGTGCTTGTGCTCGACAAGCCACCGGAAGATACCTCGGAGGCCGGAGGAGATCATGTTGGATGTGTACCCGAGGAAAATGGTTGTTCCATCGCCAGTCTCTGGGTCTTTCCACTCCCGCTGCAACATGTCAGCGCTGAGGCAACGCTTTTCTTCCGAGAGAGATTCCTTACCATTCCGTTGATGATCCTCACGGCTTCCCCTATCGACGAGGCCTGGAATCCCATGTGTGACATGCCTTTGAGTAGGTCCTCGGCTGTGACTGGCCCGGTGAACTTGTTGAAGTCAAAGTCCTCGACCTGCTGCGCGCCTTCGGGCATCGCTTCCGACTGGACGAGCACGGCATCTTTGGCGCCAGATGGCGCTGCGCTGCCAAGCGGATCACTCATGTTTGGCTGATGCGCGAGTCTGTAGTAAGAGTGGGTGAGATATTGTCAATGGTGACCACGCAGTGTTCGATTCCAGAGACCGTGATGTTCCTTGTGGCGTGGCGAGAGTGTAAGTTACGAGTTGTCGATAATGCTGTAGGAAAGGTGGTGCCACAACCTCATGTAAGTCGAGTTTTCCCCTCGACTTCCATCCAGTTTCAATTGAGGTCGTTGTGGAGATTTTGAGGGTCTCCAAATCTTCAACCACTTTGGGACTAGCGTAGGACCTTCCACATCCCTGTGCAGCTTGCAGTGGCTCGTTCCCCCCTCCACAAGCCACACCTTGAAACGCTGCGCCACAGAAGACGCTGATTGGCTCACGATAGCCCATGTCTGCCGTGAACGGGGCAGCCAAATCGATTGGATTGGTCTTTCGAGATTGGGCTGAATGAAGCCTGCAGCAGGTGCATTGGAGTCTGGACGCCTGCCTCGATCTTGAATCCAAACCTCCAACCCTCCCCTTCAACGCATGCGAACCGCGTGCAATCATCCTCCCACGTCCAGGCGACGAAAGCCGCGAATATTGAAGCAGGCTATTCGTTTAGCTTGACGCCCTGGTTTTTTTCCGTATCCCACATTTGCTCGCAAAACCCCGACGCACAGACATATTGCCGGGATATCGACAGCCGCACGAACCTCCAGAACGCGGCGACGTCAAGCAGGAGACGATTCGCGGAACTCGCGCAAACAACGATATCGTCTCTGGAGCGACATTACTAGGGAGCAACATTATTAGATGAAATCGACACTATTGGCGATAGTTCCTTCGCGACCTCAGGCCACATCTTATCATGTACGTGTTCTTCACGCCACGGACTACCACTACGCGCGAAGACAGCGGGCGCCAGAAACCGATTCTCGTGCAGCACGTGGCGCGGTGACGCTCTCAGAGGACTCTATCTTATTGACACTTTATGCGCAGGGCCTCGAGATACTCGCGATACGATCCCGACAGGCGGTCCAGGTCGCCTAGAGATCGTTCGCCAGGTCGCTTTGACCCAGACAGGCGCCGGCCACCCGTCGATGTAAGATCTAATGCGCCGGGCTTCCCGTCCGCGCGCGATGATTTTGGCGACCCCCCACGAAGAGAGCCGCCTAGAGGGCCTCGAGCTCTTGTCGACCCCCCCAGTGGACCGCGCGGTGGATTTGGCGGCGATTTCAGAGGCGGCCGTGGCCGTGGCAGGGGATGGGCACCACGCGACGACAGCAGAGATCGTGGCAGGGACAGAGATCTAGATTTCCGGGATCGATATCGCGATGATCGGAACAGGGACCGTGACGGGCGCCCCTGGCCGCCGCGAGACCGCGACCACCGGCCACCGTACCCTCCGCGTGCGCGATCGCCACTTGGGCGACCTCGTTCACCCCCAGACTTCCGCGACAGAGACAGAGATGGACCTCCAGGACCCGACACGGATAGGCCCCGACGCAACTCGCGAGACGGGCCGCCCTTTGTGGGTGCGTCGCCTCCCTCGGACAAACCCCATTTCGACATGCCTAGAGGCCGCGGCGGGTTCCGAGGCAGAGGTCGTGGGCGAGGTGACTGGGGCGCCGACCGTGGCCGTGGCCGAGCGCCTTTCGACGACCGAGGAGATCGATATATACGGAGTCGTTCCCAAGAAGGCCGACAGTGGAACCGCGAGCGTGAGGAGAGAGAACGCATGGACAGGTTTGCCGACCCTGAACCGAGGCGCGACCCCCGAGATGATCGCGATCGAGGTCCTGGCCCTGCTCCTGCGCCTGAGCGCGAGTTGTTTCGCGCCAAAATGGAGGCTCGCGCCGCACCAGCCCAGGAGGGCCTACCGCAGTCTAGGGACGTTTCGCCTCCCCCGGTTGCGCCGTCCGCCCCAGCTTTTGGCTTGGTGCCCAATCGATCGGATGTGCAAGGCGGACCTGGTGGCATGAGTAGACCTCCCCCAACAGGTCCAAGGGCTTTGAGTGACCGGCAAGGTCAGGAGCCTCCGAGCGGGCCCTCTAGGATGACAGACCACCAGGCTGTCCCCCCTTCAGGGCCACGTCACCAAACGCCCAAGCCGCAGCGATCTACGAGTAACCAATGGATCAACCCGAATTATAGGAGATCGCCCCAAATGGCCAGAGCGCAAAGCTTTGCGCAGCCACGTCCAGCGCATTCTCGGCCGGAAAGCTCGCAGTATGACTATTCGTACGACGACAGGCGACCGCGAAGTAGCGCTTCAAGGGGTGCTATGGACTCGTTTGAGTGGGAGAATCGCAGGCGAAGTCACAACAGTGTCGAGTCTGGCGAAATCATGAACCGTTCTGATGACGATAACCTTGAGAAGCCAGAGACGCACCACAGGCGTAGCATGGATGAGCCGAATTCGAGATACCTACCGAGCACGTCGGACCGCAAACCTGAGCCGCCTAAAGAAACTACCGAGCCTTCCAAGCCCCGGCAGCAGGGTCGAGTCGGCTTGAAATCTGTTCGATTCGCCAGGCGACGAGAAGTCATACAACCCAAGGTCATGCCTGATCCGGACACGGATTCCGATGAGGAGGACTTGGGCGACTTTTTCAACCTCCAGATCGAGCAGACGGAGGCGGAACTCAGCAAGCTGAAGAAGCCGGAGCTTCCGTTGGAGGTGGTGGCTCGTTTTGCATCAACGTCCCACAGTGCCATGGTGAAGATTCTGAATGAGCCGCATGGCTTGGTGGATGTTCTAGGGGAGATCCCCAAAGAGCCTGCCAAGCCGAATGACCAGGAGGTCTTGGTCGCGCAGCCCGCCAAGTCATCAGTTGTTCTCAAGGAGGAAACGGCTGATGTGCTAATGGCGGATGCTCAGACCGAGCCACCAGCGAGACCGAAGGAGGAGGAACAGCAGGCAAGGCTGGAAGAGACAGTCGTGCAGCCCAAGGCGACGAGCGACGGTCCTATTGAGTCTGATCTGATGGAGGTCGACAAGTCAACGCCCGCAAAGCGAAAAACACCTGTTCCGGGCGACCAGCCAGCAGAGAAAACGGATTCGGAAGCGGCGTCGGCTCAAGAGGTCATCTTCGAGACCACGGAGGTGACGCCAGAAAAGGCTGCCGCAGAGGTCGAGGCCGAATCTAGGAAAGTCGCAGCCGAGGAGAGTCTTTCTACAGAAAAGAAACCCTGGGCTGGTCCCGATCATGACCAATCACCCAAAGTGCCCAGCACGCCGTCTCAAGTTGAGGACGACGGCGACGATGAAGAAACCGAGACGGAGGAGGAGGATGGCTACGTGGACATGGATGTCATGCGCGGCCACATGCTCACGCCGCCACTGGAGGATCTGCCTCGTTTCGACGTCGAGCCATTCAATGGGGCAGAAGACCTAATGACATTGGACGACAACACTGACCTGAATGCTTACATTCTCCAGCACCTCGAAAAGGTCCATCTCGACAAGACTGCTGAGCAGGAGCACGCACGGGCACAGTACGCGGAGGCTTATCATGCATATCTCAAGTTCACCTTGTCTGATGATCCCGTTGCCATCAAGGTCCGTGACAAGCTTTCTGTTGCGGCGCCCAGCACAGAGGTCGTCAATCCAGCTACACCAGAGCCAGCTAAACCCGAAGGCCGCAGCGCGCGGCGCTTCGGATCGGAGAGAGATTTGGAACTGGCGTTGCAGGCCTCTTTGCAGGAGCAAACTGAACGCGAAGAGCGAGAAAAGAAGACGCAGAGCGGGAAACATCGCGGCGACAAGGAAGCCGAGATTCCAGACATGTACTGGGGCACTGAAGAGCAAATGAAGGAGCAATTCTTCGACACTTCAGGCTGGGTGCCGTCTAACCGTCTTGTATCTACATGGGAAGTGCTGCCCCCTACAAACAACTTCACGCCAGAGGAGGCAGAGCTCTTTGAGAAGAGATATCTTGAGCTGCCTAAGCAATGGGGCAAGGTGGCTGAAGTTGTACCGAACCGTGACTTTGGTACTTGCATTCAGTACTACTATCTCATGAAGAGGGAGCTCAACCTCAAGGAGAAGCTGAGGCGCCAGCCTAAGAAGCGCAAGAAGGGACGGGGCAAGCAGAGGTCCAGCGCGCTTGTATCCGAGCTTGGCAATGGAGAAGGCGATGCAGACGACAATACCACTGAGACTGGAGAGAATGGCGAGACTCGACGCCGTCCACGCCGCGCGGCCGCGCCCACTTGGAATTTCGAGCAGCCAGCCGTTCTACTGGAGACTGAGTCGGCAACGCCAGTAACCACGCCTGGTGGCCGACGAGGAGCTTCGGCCGCAGGTAAATTGGACCAGCCTGACAAGCCAGACGGGCGGAAGAGAGGGCGAAAAACGGCCAAATCATCGGAACCGAAGATTGCCAAACCTAATCCCACCCTGGCTGCCGCGCCTGGTCCGGGGCAAACTCTGGCTCCTGTGCCAGGGCGCGCGCGCGCGCGCTCTGATGTGAAAGGGCAACCGCAGCAGCCGCAGCCGCAGCAACCTCAACAACAAACACAGCTGCAGCAACAGAGGCAGCCGCCACAGGCACAGCAGCCATTCGAGTTTCAGGGCGGCATGCCCGGAGATGTGCACCGCTTGCCCGCTCACTACGAGCAGCAACAGCCCATTGGCATGCAACCACCATATTCTATCAACCAGCCGTCGATACAAGCACAGCAGCAACATCAACCACCGCAGTCGACGCAAACGCTCGATCGATCGCAACCTATGCCGACGACCTCGTCCATGGCAGAAGTCATCGCCGCCCCTGCACTGCGGCCCGAGCCCCCAGCATTACAGCAGTCGAGCTTAGCTGGGCCCTTCACCCATGGACTGACGCAGTCTGACCGCAAGAACCCGGCGCAAGCATCGAGCTACTGGAGCGTGTCTGAGTCGAATGATTTCCCGGGCAATCTGCGTGCGTTTGGCTCGGACTGGACAGCCATCGCGGCCCACATGGGCTCCAAGACGGCAGTCATGGTAAGTTTTGATTGACACACGACCAAGCCAGAGGGCTATCTTTGCTGACCACCTTGCAGGTTAAGAACTATTACGTCCGCCAAAAGGAAGGTGGCAAGAATGAGTGGGAGAAGCTCGTTCGCGAGGCTGACAGTCAGCGAATGCGCGGAGAAAAGCGACCAGACCCACCGATACCGTCGACAAGCGGTCGCGGCAGGCGATATGACGGGTACGGCAACTCACGTCCGATAGCAGCAGCGCCTGGTGGAGGCATAGAACTCGCGCCTGAGGGCGTCGGACACCCTCTGGATGGCGGCCAACCGCAGCAGGTCAGGACTCAGTTTGGCGCGTACAGTGTTCCCATTGCACAGGCACCCGCTTCTCATCAGCAGCAGCAACCGCAACCACTGGCTCCAGGCGTGCCAAAATCCATGTCCATGCAGCCCCAGCCAAACGTCTCGCAGGCCATGTCTCCGAACGGCGGGCCAACCCTCCGCGACCCTTCACAATACAACCTTGCCGACAGAGAGCGTGAGATAGAGCGCGAGCGCGAGCGGCACAGAGAACGGGAAATGGAACGAGCACAACAGCGTGTGCCACTGCCTGGCAAGTCCGTCGGTCCCATGGACACAGCTCGACGCGGGCTCCCCGGACAACCGCTCCACTCTAGCAGAGTGGAAGTGATGCCAGAACGCTCGCAGCAGATGGACATGCTGCATCATCAACAGCAGCACCGAGAAAGGGAGCGTGAGAGGGAGCGTGAGCTAGAGCGCGAGCGCGAGAGAGAGGAGCAGCGAGAAGTGATGGCGAGGCAAGCAGACAGACGTGGGGTCCCCGTCAAGGCCGAGCCTGACATGTCTCAACGCGCGCCCCTCGACCCCTATAGCAGGATGGGTCACCAACATCGGCCCGAGCCGCCTCGACATGACCCCCTGTCGTTGTCTAGACATGCTCAAGAGCCTCCTCGTCATGGGCCGCCTCCAGCATACTCCTCCGCGACTCACTCCGCGCCGCCTCCTCACCGCGGCTTACTGGGTGAGCAATCCAGTGCACGATCGCCGCCCCCCATGGGACATGCAAACGGGCCCCCAACCTCACGACCCATGTCGGCGCTTCAGCACCGGCACTCGTCCAGCTCGGCACCAGACGTCTACGGCCAGCCTCCACCGCAAGCCTCGACGCCCGTTCCGGCTGCCGCGGCGGCCAGGGCACCTGAACCTCGCAAGTCGACCATCATGTCCCTGCTCAATGATGACAACGATGCACCGACCCCTTCCAAGCGCGTCAGCGATCTTGCCGGCTCTGGGAAATCGTCCACGCCGCCGCCTCAGGGCGTGGGCCGCTCACCCGCGGCGTCTCAACCCCCGCAACACATGCGTCGCGACTCTGGCCCGTACTCGCCCTTTGGTCGTCCACCTTCGACCTCGGCACCGGGCATGCCATCCCTGAAGCCCACGTACAGCGGCCCCCCTAGTCAGCCGTCCAGATCAGCTTTGAGTATGTCTGTGGATCCACCCCAGACGGAGAGGGACTACTTCCGACAGCAGCAAGGATATCACCCAAGCAGCGCCAACGAGTCTCCACAGCCGACGCCTCCCCAGTATGGCGCTTCAGGGAGAGGGCAAGGTCCCCCAGGCTATCCGACATCGTTCGGCGGCAGCAGCGGTGGTGGTGTCTCGCAAGCTCCCACTGCGTCTTCCCCGCCACCACAGTACCCCATGCACGCGATCTCACATTCCCGTGACATGGGACACGGCGCGCGCGAGCAATGGCAGCATCAAGGGAATCAGCCACCTCCTCAGCATGGCGGCTGGGGAAGAGAGCCACCCAAATCCTCTCAGCCACCTCACCAAGCACACGCGTGGGCAGGCCATCCAGGCCCTGGGACTCCCAAGGCCAGTTCATCTTCAGGTATGTGGCCTGCGCCGCCGCCGCCACAACAACAACTGCAGCAGCAGCAGCAGCAGCCGCCGCAAGCTCACCCTGGGATGCGTGACGAAAGGGGACCACATATGTATGGATCTCAGCAGCAGCAGCAGCAGCAGCAAGCTCCGCCCCCTCAACACCAGATGCAAGGACGCTATGGGCCACCTCCCAACAGAGGGCCTGATCACGTCCCGTCCCCCGCTCAAGCATATGCTCGATACGCCTCGACGCCAGGACCCGGACCCGGCCCAGGGCCGCCGCCTCGAGATACCAGAGACATGCCTGGCCGAAGCTACACGCCAGTATCATATGACGGCCGGGGGCATCCACCACCGCAGGGCTACCAGGGCGACATGCAAATGCGCGATCCTAGGGAGCAGCCGCCAGCGCAGTCCCGCGATCCCAGGGACATGATGGGCAGGGGTCTACGGCCGCCGCCGTCAGAATATGATAGGCATCCGGAAAACTACGGGAGATAGAAACCCCTTCCGGCAGGAGATGACGAGGGTTGCGGAATGGGAAGTGATATAATTTTTCGACCGCAGTTCTTGTATTTGCCCAATGTAAAGGTGAAGTATGGATGAGAAAGAGGCCGCCGTTCTAAGGCTTGATGCTCTGACTGCCAAGTTTGCAGCCGGGAGCGAGGGCGAGTAATGAGTTCACGCACTCTCATTGCGGTCAGTCTAGAGTGGAGCGATTGTACATTGGCAAGGCAACATCATGGGCTACCATTGGAGGTGTACGTGTAGATGTGCGGATGGCGTCAGGAGTGCTTGGCCTGGGTTGGCATGACAATGGGAATTAAGCGAAATGTAATCATGCTTTTCTATGTACGCGCCAATGGCGGATTATTTGTGAATTTCCAAAGTAAAACACAGCCTGGATGAAGGCGAAGTGTGCCAGCCCTCGGAGGGCTGGACGATTACTTGAGCGCGTGTCACGCTGTCTATTAGAACAAGAACCATCCTGACAGGGCAGCAACGCCCATAGCGCTGCCCATGCCCCGTCCGAACGCTGGCGCAGCGCCTGGCGTCTCCGAGGGCGCCTCGGCACCTTGCTCGGTCTCAGAGGGTTCCGAAGTCGTCTCAGCCGATTCCTCAGAAGAGCTGGTGGCATCCGCAGATTCGGTGGCGATCGTCTTCGTCGCCGTTTGGGTGGCAGCTGACGTGACGGTGGAGGCCTTTGTCTCGACGGCAGCCTGCGACGAGGAAGTCTCCTTGATGCCGCAGGCGCCCTCGAGATCAAAGGTGAATGGGATGCCAAAGGCGTCGCAGTTGTCTGATGTTAACTCTAGAGCATCTGCATGTAGACCAGCTTGTCAGCAAGGCACATTGCATCGTCCCAGCATGAGAATTCCCAGGGAGACGGAGAAGGAACAAAACAAAAAGGGCCTCACGTTTCCAAAAGTCGGTCACACACTCCTTGGCCACGCAGCAGAGGTAGGCCTCGCGCTTATCCTGGTTGTTGCACTGGCAGGCTGGGTCCTCGACGCAGTAGCCTTCGGGCCAGGCAGCGAAGAGGCAATTGTTCTTTGATGAGTGCGTCAGTAAACGGTGGGTTCTGTTCTATCAAGGGCAACGTACAGCGCAGCTCGCATTGCGGTTTTGCTCGTCCATATCCTCCTGGGTAGGCGGACCGGTGGGATTGGGATTCCGCTGGGCGAGCGTCGAGGCGACCCCGAGGCTCAACACGACGAGTGCTCTGAGTGAGGCCATGGTGGTTGATAGTATGTAGAATGAGTTATTTGTAAGAAGCAAGTTGGGTATGAACATGTGAGACTGGTCGATATTCTACATGTAATTACGGGCGTTTTTAAAGTCCGAGGTGCACTCGACTTGGCGCGGCACAGGGCTGAAAAGGGGCCAAGAGCCAGGGACCAGGAAAATCACTAAACGACCTGCCCACTCGCAAAGCCGCACTCTTCGACTGACAAATGATGCGGCCTTTGGAGTACTGCAGCAGGACATACCTGTAATCAATATCGCATCGTACATGTACGTAGTAACTCCTTGGGTACTTAGCCGTAGGTTATGTCCATCGCGTGAGTGGTGGGGCTACTTCCAGTTGCCAACAAAGGTCACCTACTCCATCTTGACGCGTCCGGAGTCAGACGCGGCTTTCACTCATTTGCACGTGCCACTCATACACTCACAGTACCTACTACTACCTGTACTGCCAACACATGATGGAGCCAAGGGAAAAGACTTACTTTGAGCTTCATCGTGAAGCCCTACTCTCGGAGATCGCTGTGGTACGTTCCACCAGATCCTGCGACTGATCGCCATCTCCTTCTCCTCATCTAACCCCGACTTGCAGAGCTTCGAGCATGTCCTGGCCAACATCAACAAGCTTAATCGCTCTCTCGAGTCAGTAATAACCGTTGGCAACGAGTTCTCCTCCGTCGAGGCCCTTTGGTCCCAATTTGAGAATGTCATGGCAAAAGAAGACAAGGGGGATGCCCAGCAGCAGCAGCGCAAGGATGAGGGGCATGCGGAAGAGGACGTCAAAGATGGAAAATAATTAACGACAAGCACCCAGAATAATGAATGTTCTCGGGCACCATGACGCCTTACGAAAGCTTACGAGTCTACGAAAGTCACAGAGAGCCTGCTATCAAGTGGTGAAATACGCAATAATATCATTTGTTCCCTGCCCCTCCGTATCCCAGGGACAAGGAAGAACCGTGCTGCTACAAAAGAAATGTCGGAAAACATATGTGTCCGTCGGCGCTTGATTCCATACACATTCGTCACCGCGCCTTGCCTTGCCTTGCCGTTGTCTCTTGTTTCTCCCTCATCATCTCACAAACCATTGATTGCCCTTATATACCAACTCCCTATTTCCCTGAGATGCGCCCGCAACCTGCAATGCACCGCCGCTGATGCCCCGCGCGCGCGTGCGGCGCAACGGAGCCAAGCAGCCCAGCTTGAGCGCAAAGAAGAAAACACAGAAAGATCATGCATTCGTCATTACAAGTGTGTATCGTTCCTCGCCCACCACATCTTCCTGGCCGAAGCCAGGACGCCCGAGGATGACCCTCTCAAAGAATGCGGCACTTTGCCTTCTTCTTCCTCTTAGGTATCCCTACGCCAGGCATCGACGTCCGCGAGCCGTTGCTACCGTCCTTGGAGGCAGGTCCCGCGGACGACTCGAGGTTCTTGCGGTCGTTGGCGACAACGGTGAGGATCGCCCGGTTGAAGATGTCGTCGACGCCAACCATCTCCTTGCTGCTGCACTCCATGTACTGGGCGTCCATCTTCTGGGCCACATTCATGCCTTGCTCAGTCGTGACGGGCGTCAGGCCCTGGGTCTTGAGCATGTCTATGCACGTCCTCTTGTAGCGGAGGTCTGACTTGAGGCCCACGAGGATGAGGGGCGTATACGGGCAGAAATGCAGTACTTCGGGATACCACTGCACGGGTCAGCTGGGATCTGGCCAGAACACACCATTTCCCTCACCTTGTCTAGTACGTTGTCCAGCGAGTTTGGGCAGTCAATGGCGAAGCAGACAAAGATAAGATCGGTCTCGGGGTAGGAGAGTGGCCTCAAGCGGTCGTACTCTTCTTGCCCGGCCGTGTCCCATAATGCTAGCTCAATTGTCTTACCAGTGGGCGGATGCACTGGGTAGGTGATGTAGTTTTCAAATACTGTCGGCACGTATTTCTGGGTGGCCGTTAGCATTGGCTCACATGCCGTGCTTCAAGGTTGAATGCGCCTACCTCTGGGAAATACCCCTGGCTGTAGCTGATCAGCAAGCACGTCTTGCCGCAACCACCATCGCCAACGACAACAATCTTCTTCGAAAACGTCGGCGGCTCCGTGGCTTGCGTTGCTTGTGACTCGCGGCCGCTCGATGTGCTGATGGATGTGCTGACGGTGCCTTCGCTGTCGCGGGTGCGCTGGTCTCGACGGGGCTGCTCGCGGCTGCCCGTCGGCTGCCCGTATTGGGAGTTGCGATACTGATAAGATGACATGACTTTCTTGCAAGGCTAGGGCCCGCGATCGATGCTAACGAATAATGTCTCGGAAGCAGAGCTGGACCAAGAAGGCTGTGCGATGTTGGTCCGTCCGCAAGAGCGTCTGGTGGAGCGATGGTGCGCACGCTTCGCCGCTTGGGCCTTGTTGAATGCGAGGGTAGTCGATGCGCCAGAGGCGAACGTAAGGGTATTGCTGCGAAAAAGGCTGTCGCGTTGTGAATGCAGTGATCAATGTGTGATGAGCGAAAAGGGCTCGAAAGACCAGTAGCGTAGGGTTTGATGGTGCGATGGAATGTGTGGCGGTTGGAATGGAGGGAAAGACGGAAGATGGGGTTTAAGATGGGCAAGAGCGAGATCGAAGATGGCTTTCAGAGCCAAGTGCGGTGCCGTGGGGTGCAGCTCCAAATCAAGTAAACACGGACCTGGTTGGCATGGTGATGAAACGCAAGCGCCCGGGGGCAACCCACTGGCTGCAAGGAAGAAAAGGGCCCGTGCGCTGTCGGCTCCACTCTTTGCCAATCGCTAAAACCTCGATTTTTGTTCCTGGTGCAAAACGAAGCTCTCCCCCTCATCGACCTGCACCAACTTTTCCCTAGGCGCCCACCAACTGTTCGTTCCTGGCAGGCGCACAAGCTCCAAGTAGCCGTCTGGTCTCATCGATGGAGTGAGAACACCCAGGTGTGTAGCAGAGCAGTCCAAGTGGTCCGGCATCATCAGCCTGCGCTGTCGCCCAAAACGCACCTCTCAGGGTCGACTCAGAGCCTCCAATTCTTGGCGCATCACCATTCTTCACCACTCCACGTATAAAGATGGCTTCGGGCGAGCCTAGCAAGTATGTGACACTTGTCTCGGGTGACGGATTCGAGTTTGTGGTGCTTCGCGAGGCCACAAAAGTCAGTCCCATTATCAGCGGCATGATCGATCCACGCAGTGGATTTGCCGAGGCCAGAGATGCTCGTTGCGTATTCCAAGAGATAAGGTCAGTCAGCGCACGTCAGCCCCCCCTCACGACACTGCTTGTTCCCCGTTCCCCAGACAGATGATGAACAATAATTTCGCTGTGTTCTTCCTGACGAAACCCGGCTCTCTTTTTCCGTGCGTTTCGGTTGATTACACACTACACTTGAACTGATATCTTCCTTCAACTCCCCCTGATCATTCAACCTTGGCGGCGATTTCAAAGGAACTGTGGCTGACCCTTCACGCAGTTCCCCTGTGCTTGACAAAGTTGTCGAATACTTCCATTATTGGTACCAATACCGGGACAATGACGATGTTCCGGACATGGACATTCCCGTAGAGATCTGCCTCGAACTCCTTGCCGCGGCCGACTACCTTGGGCTTGACCAGTAAGTCGCGTCGTGTTCTGCGCGCATCTCTGCTCAAGACGCTGACAATCCACAGAGCCACCATGAACACGAGGCAATGGTCTTGAGGCGCGTACTGCCCAGTTCTTTTTGTAGAGAGGGTATTCCAAGACTGTTTTGTACACAGTCGCCCCCATATCAAGTGACGCCAGATATCAGCCACGAGCACCCATTTCAGCATATACGTTCTGCTCCTCACACTCCCGTGGGTTGAACGCCTATTAGAGATGGAAGATGAACGCACAGAGTGCGGCACCCTCTCACTCTGCGTAGCTCAGTTGACGCATTGAGTGTTCGCTTTTTCTGCAGGGGTACATCCTCCGACACGATGCAAGCCTTGCACGAACTTGGAAGGCATGAATAATTGATTCTAATGAGAAATGAGAGTAATAATGATGCACTATGCCAATATTCTTGTCGATTCCGTGTGATGTCAGTTGTAAGCTCTTGTGGGGTCTGGGCGCATTTATTAGCCAGAGCCTATGCTGCAGGTTCTGTGACCAGCGCGCAAAAGCGAGACTTGTCCGTAGCGCGGCTCAGCGGTATTCAGGTAGTAAATAACACAATCGTTGACTGTGCACATGCGTTCGGGACGATTTTAATCTGATCAGAGGGTCCTTTTTCACAACGGCGCAGGATGTGATGGGAAGTGCGAGGGCGGCCGCGCTTGCCACTTCTGTTGCACTTGGGAGAAGTGAGAAGTCAAGAACTTCCAAATGAACTCTCTCCTCGACCCATCCCTCACATCGTACCTAAACCTATCCCGCCACTGACACATTTTCGACAATGGCTGCCCATATTACAGAGACAAAGGGCGTCAAAGTCGCTGTGGAGGGCTGTGTATGCAAGGTTCATTCTCTCGCTGATCATGGTTTTGCTGACACCGCGTAGGGCCATGGCACACTTGATGCCATCTACGCCAGCATTGATACCGCCTGCAAGGAACGAGGCTGGGATGGTATCGACCTCCTCATAATTGGTGGCGACTTTCAAGTACGTACGCCTCCGGGCCCTCGCGTATCTCAGGCTGACGGCATCTCAGGCCATGCGCAATGCTGCAGACCTCTCAGTCATGGCGTGTCCGGTGAAGTACCGAGAGTTGGGCGACTTTCCCAAGTACTATTCTGGCGAGGCTCGTGCTCCGTATCTAACTATATTCATCGGCGGTAATCACGAGGCCAGCGCACATCTATGGGAGCTCTTCTACGGCGGCTGGGTGGCGCCCAACATCTACTACATGGGCGCTGCCAACGTCTTGCGACTTGGCCCGATCCGCATCGCTGGCATGTCTGGGATATGGAAAGTTCACGATTACCAGAAACCCCACTTTGAGCGACTGCCGTTCAACGATGATGAAGTCCGCTCATTTTACCACGTAAGGGAGATTGACGTGCGCAAGTTGTTGCAGATCCGGACGCAGGTCGATGTCGGCTTGAGCCACGACTGGCCCAGGGCCATTGAGTCGCACGGGAATTCCAGGTGGTTGTTCAACAAGAAGCCCTTCTTCAAGCAAGAGTCCATCGACGGCACTTTGGGGAATATGGCTGCGAAATATGTCATGGATCGGCTGAGGCCGCCGTACTGGTTTTCTGCACACATGCACATTGGTTTCCCGGCGCTCAAGAAATACAACAACAACGAGTCGCAACAAGAGGTCAAGCAGTCCGATCCAGACAAGGAACAAGCTCCGGAGACACCAGCGGAAGCGGAGGCCAACCCAGATGAGATTGACCTTGACATGGACGACGAAGATGGCAACGATGAGCCTAGCGTCAAACCGACAATCGCTCAAAATGGTGGGAACACCCATGACGAGAAGAAACCGACCGAAGAATCAAGTGAGACACAGGAGAGCGAAGTTCCGGATCATCTCAGGGCGCAGCTTCCTGCATCTTTCGCAAAGCCCACGCCAAAGCCAAGAACAACGCCTGGACAGCCTGTTCCCGATACCATCCCCAACCAAGAGGTTCGTTTCATGGCACTAGACAAGTGTCTTCCAGGGAGACGTTTCCTACAGCTGTGCGACATTGAGCCGCATGATAAGCTCAATTCGCTGAAGGCTGGGCCTCACACCGAGCAGCCCAGGTATCGCTTGCAATACGACCCCGAGTGGCTTGCTATCACTCGCGTCTTCCACAAAGATCTGCGCATTGGCGATCCAGCAGCACAAACACCAGCAGACCAAGGCGAGGAGCACTACGTTCCCCTCATCGAAGAAGAACGCAAATGGGTTGAGGAGAACGTTGTGGCGCAAGGCAAGCTTGACGTGCCGGAGAATTTTGCGATTACAGCGCCTCCACATCAACACGGCCAACCCGAGATCGTACAGGAGCAACCCGAAGAATACACCAATCCGCAGACGGTCGCATTCTGTAGTTTGTTGGGTTTGGACAACTTGTGGGATGCCAGCCAGGAGGAGAGGAGCGAGCGGAGGGCGCAAGGCCCAAGGCAATCGGCGTTCAGAGGTGGCAGAGGGGGACGAGGCGGTGGCCGCGGCGGTGGCAGAGGTGGGAGAGGGAGAGGTGGTAGAGGTAGGTCAGGTGGGCGTGGTCGGAGGTAATGGCAATCACATTTATCTTTGCTGGCGCTGACGGATTGGAGTTGTATTGGAAGTACATTCTTCAGGTACAGCTCCGAGTTTTGGTGTTGCTGTTGTAGGGTAGTGCGTTCCATCAAACGGCACCCCCCAGCAACCGGGGTACGACGTAGCTGGCTCGATTAGGCAATAGAGTAAACAGTGATCACAACCCGACCTGACGCAACATTCTGCCAAGCTCCATTCTACATCGACACTCTTGCATCACCGGATTCTCTCCTTTCTGTCGCGCACCTTCCCTTCGTCTCTTTCGATCATTCTCTCGTCTTGGAGCACTGGTACGGTCTCACACGCTGCGCGGTTGATCCAGCCCAGAGAGGTTCGCTCCAACCCAAGCATTCTGCCCTCATCACCCCGCTAACCATTGGAATGCAGCTGCTCGGCACCTCGAACACCTTTGACGTTGCTATATTACCTCGACCGATACCAAGATGGCCCATCAGTTTCTCACGACCGTGTTCGTCTTCTCTCCATCTTCGCGCCCCATACAAGCTGCCCACGATGATGTCTGCGTTCCGCTACCTGAGCCCCCAGTCGCTTGCGACGATGGCCAGTATCGAGAATACCATCATCCCCGTCTACAACGACCCTCCGTCTCCTCCTCCTCCCGTTCCAGACGCTCCGCCAACTCTCCACGTACCAAAGGGCATGGTCACTAACACGAGATCTGTGTCCGACAGCAACCAGCGCACGAAGAACCAGTTCCGACCTAGGCTGGGCAAGGGCGGTGCCACGAGCTATCAGCTCAGACAGTATGCCGAAGTCACGCTGGGAGGTGGAAGCTTGAGGAAGGTGGTCAAGCTTCCCGAGGGCGAGGACGAGAACGAGTGGCTGGCGGTCAACAGTAAGTTCCTGCCGTGGGCACGACTGGACTTGGGCCGTTGACTGACTCGTCACGCAGTGGTCGACTTCTACAACCAGATCAATCTGCTCTACGGCGCCATCACAGAGTTCTGCTCCCCACAATCTTGCCCGGAGATGAAGGCGACGGACGAGTAAGCGGCCTCGAGAAACCACGAGTCCGGCACGCACTGACAGTGTCCCAGGTTCGAGTATCTCTGGCAAGACAGCCAGGACTACAAGAGGCCCACCAAGATGCCTGCGCCAGCCTACATTGAACAGCTCATGAGCTGGGTGCAGGCCAACATTGATAACGAGCAGGTCCTTCCCAGCAAGATCGGCGTCCCCTTCCCCAAGTCGTTCCCAGCGCTTGTCCGTCAGATCTTCAAGCGCATGTATCGCGTCTATGCGCACATTTACTGCCACCACTACCCCGTCATCCGCGAACTGGGCCTCGAGCCGCATCTGAACACAAGCTTCAAACAGTACGTGCTATTCATCGACGAGCACAGCCTGGCAAGTGGGCGGGACTACTGGGGCCCTCTGGGTGATTTGGTGGACAGCATGCTCAAGAGCGATTGAGCTCGCTGATGTGACTTATCTGTGATTTCGTCGCTGGCGTTCAGGAATTGGGACAGCAGGGGGGATAATGGCATCACTGGCTGGCGGGAGGCAATACAGGCGTAGGCGCAAGGATTACCGTACAACTACACTGGCAGCAATAAAGTCTGTGAAAAGATAACGAGCTGTTTAAAGTCGTTCAGTCTGTGCATTTTGTTTTATTCTGCTTTAAGCCAGCAAGCATTCATGTCCCTGCGCCCTCCCAGCACGTCGGAACAATGAGGAACGTGGCATTAGGTAAGCATTGTGGATGCCTCATCGCGGCTCCGCCCGTCAGGCAACAAGATCCAAAATTGCCGGACAACCTCATCGTGCACCTCAATTGAAGCCGACGTACCATCACCCACCTCTCCTCCCTTTGCCCAACGACCGAACCTCCGGCCAATTCCAGCACCGTCTCTCGCCGATCACGACGACCATGTTCTCGCGCCAGGCCATTCGCTCCGTCCGGGCTGCTGCCCCCCAGCGCGCCCTGGCCGTCCGCTCGACGCCCGTCCGGTCCTTCGCCGCCGCTGCTGCCAACGACGGCAAGCCTCCTGTCTCTGTGTTCGGTCTCGACGGCACCTACGCCTCTGCTCTGGTACGCTACCCATAGACTTGCTTGGATTTGCGCTCGGCTGCCCCGATTTCAACGGAGAGCAAGAGCCGAGAGGGAAAATAGGCGCGGAATTGCCAAATGGCCCAGACAAGTTAGCTAATGCGTCAATTCGCAGTACACGGCCGCCGCCAAGTCCTCCAGCCTCGAGCCCACCGCCAAGGCCATTGCCAGCCTGCACAACCTCATCCAGAAGGACACCAAGCTCACCGCCATCCTCAACGCTCCCACCCTGAGCAACGACGACAAGGCCGCCGTCATCGCCGAGCTTGCCAAGCAGTCCGGCGCCAGCTCCAACGACACCGTCAAGAACTTCCTCGACGCCCTCGCCGAGAACAACCGTCTGGGCCTCCTGGGCGGCGTCTGCGAGAAGTTTGACACCATCGTCGCCGCCGCGAGGGGCGAGGTCGAGATGAGGGTCACCAGCGCTCAGGTGAGTTTCTGAAGTCTTGGTTGGGACATGAACCTGTCAACCTGGAAGAGGGCGCCCCGCGAGTCGATGCTGATACGAACGTGATAGAACCTCGACAACAAGACCCTCTCGAGGCTCGAGGCTGCCGTCTCCAAGTCTTCCTACGTCGGTGCCGGCAAGAAGCTCAAGGTCACCAACGAGGTATGTCTAGTCACCAAAGAGATAGAGAGACGAAGGTCCCATACTCACGCGCGCAGGTCAACCCTGATATTGTCGGTGGACTCATCGTCGAGGTCGGCGACCGCACCATTGATCTTTCCGTCTCCTCGCGCATCGCCAAGATGAACAAGCTCCTCACCGACAGCCTGTAAATTATATCGAGACACTCTCGATCACTCACATAATCACCGCACCCTCCCATCGTGGTCCTTGGCTCGACACACGATATGAAACCCTTACCTTTCCCTTTGTTTTGGTCGGGAGGAAGAAGCGCTTTGGTCTACAGACTGCGCGCGCTTGTGTAGAAAGCCTGTCCTTAGGGTTGTTGTGGGAATAGATGCTCTGCTTCAAACATTTGCGCTACATCCCATATGCTCATGTGACCATGCGAGAATTTCGTTCACTCAGATCTATCGGCCACTACATACGACGATAGATTGCTGACCATCCCTGCTCATGTGCTTTCCAACTTCGTTTATGCCATTGCTAACGCCAAGATATGCTCGTCTTGCAGTATATAAGATCTAGTTCCGAGGCTAGTCTATCTGCCATGCCGACTTGCCACTACTCCGACGCCTTCGTCTCGAGGTCATCGCCAGCCACGTAGCCCTTTGAGTTACCATTCTCCATGTAATTGTTTAACTGATCAGAAACGTAGCGGTGCATGTGTGAGTCCGCCTCCTCCTTTTCGCGGACTCTTTCCGGGTCATCACTAGGGAAGATAGACGCCGTCGTAGAGCGAACATCTTCTTCATCGTTGACAGAGTCATCAAAGTCGCTGCGGGCGCCGATCGACCGTGCCGTTGACGACCGACGGATATGGCGCATGCCTTTCTTAGGCGTGCCGTTGTTAAGACTCCGGTGGAGAATGTCATCGAAGTAGTGTGACATCGCAACAGAGGGGGTGCGAGGAGTCTGAGGCAGACGACAGTTGAATCTAAAACCCGTCAGTAAGCGGAACGTGATGGTCAACGATAGCATTGTAGACATACCCAGTATCATGGATCAGACGGGCGATCAGGCCCGTCCAGCCGCACTGATGAGTAGAACCGAGACCACGACCCGAGTCACCGTCAAAGAATTCATGGAACCACAGGTTGTCCTTCCAGTGCTCATCAAAGTCGAGACGATCGTCGCCAGCATTGATGCTGCGACGTCCGTCATCTTTTCTCACAAACAAATGTTGCAAGCGATGCTGGATCTCCTCAGCGACCTTGCCCAAGTGCATGTAGTCGCCACTCCCCGTTGGGCATTCGACCTGGAACTCGTGGCCGTAGAAGAGGAAGAATCTCTGCAGGGACTCGACGAGAAGGAAGTTGACACAGAGCCAGATAGGTCCTCTCCAGTTGCTGTTGCCGCCAAACAAGCCGCTCAGGGAGTCACCAGGCACATACCCAACTTCGAACACTTGCCCATTAACATCCATAGAGAAAGGGTGTTCCTTGTGGTACTTGGAGAGCGATCGAATGCCGTGCTCACTGAAGAACTCGTCCTCATCAAGCATCCTCTTAAGAATCTTTTCGAGGCGGTCCTTGCTCACAATCGACAGGAGAATACGATCACCCTTGCCACGCTTGGCGATACTTGCCATGTTCCTCTCAGCCATGTCATTGCGGTTCTTGACGAACCACTCGACACGCTTCTTGAACGACGGAAGCTTGTTCATAAGCTCCGGCTCCAGAGTGGCAGTGGCGTACAGTGGGATAAGACCCACCAGCGAGCGGACGGGCAGTTGCTTCATCCAGGGCCCGCCCCAAGAGATTGCGTCGTAGTAGAAGCCGTCATCTTCGTTCCACAACGACTGCTCGTCCTTGGAGCCCATGCGGAAGGTCATGGCATCGCTGATGAAGATGAAGTGCTCGAAGAACTTGGACGCAATATCCTCGTACGTCCGGCGGTGCTTGGCCAGCTCGAGAGCAATATTGAGCATGGAGAGACAGTAGAAGGCCATCCAGCCCGTGCTGTCAGCTTGCTCGAGAACACCTCCAGTGGGCAACGGCTCTGAACGGTTGAACAAGCCGATGTTGTCCAAGCCGAGGAAACCGCCCTCAAAGACGTTCTTGCCGTCGGCGTCCTTACGGTTGACCCACCAGGTGAAGTTGAGAAGCAGCTTCTGGAACACGCGCTCCAAGAAGTCTATGTCTTGGCGGCCATACATCTTGCGCTCGATCTTGAATGTCCTGAACGTGGCCCAGGCATGGACGGGCGGGTTTACATCACCAAAGTTCCATTCGTACCTTATTTGATCAGCATTGGCACAAAAGGAGTGGCGAGAGTACTCACGCTGGCAGCTGTCCATTGGGATGACAGTACCATTCCCTTGTGAATAGATCGAGCTGCTTCTTAGCAAAGTCGGGGTCCATCATCGCAAGAGGAATGCAGTGAAAAGCGCTGTCCCATGCAGCAAAGAAGGGGTATTCCCACGAGTCTGGCATCGATAGGATATCGTCACAATGCATGTGCTTCCACTGCGAGTTACGAACATTCTTTCGACTGTCAGGGGGCGGTGGCATCGCAGGGTCGCCGTTCGCCCATTGGTCCCAGATGAACAGGTAATGCTGCTTCGTCCACATCATTCCAGAGAAGGCTTGCCTTTGGATGTTTCGCATGTCATCGGAGATGGGCAGCGGGCTGAGCCTGTAGTAGAAGTCATCAGCCTCCTCTCTCCGGCGTTCGATGATCTCATCGAAAAGCTCCTCGTCGACATAGGTCTGGTCTTTTTGTGAGAATCGGAAGCGAACAACCGCACATTCGCCAGGATTGACACCGCCGTCCTCGTTGAAGTTGAACCAAGCAGCACATTTGGTGCCCTTCTGGGACGGGTTGATAGCATCCTTCTCTCCGTCCACGATGTACCGGTGAAACGCATCCTTTACATATGGCTGAGCATTCTTCTGGCCGTAAAGACTGTCAAAGTTGGTGTCATTCTCGGTGAACATCATCTTTGGAAGAACATCATCGCCGCTGGATCCTACACCAGGCGAAGGGGAGCAGTTGAAGTACCTATTACCCAAGTAGTGATGCTGTGATTTCGCGCCAGCCTCTTCGTTGATTTCGATCGAAGGCTTCTTGTCCGCGGGCTCTCTACCCCAGCTCCAAGTGTTACGGAACCACACATGGGGAATGATGTGGAGCGGTGCGGGATCGGGACCTCTGTTCCATGCTGTCACACGGAACAGGAGCTCCTCGGCATCGTCCGTCTCTTTTGCGGTCTCGATATAAATATCCCAGTAGCGGTCTTCGTCAAACACGCCAGTATCGATGATCTGGTATTCTTTCTCTTCTCTGGAGCGTCGGCCGTTCTCTTCGATCAGGTCTTCGTAGGGGAATTTCTTCTGGGGGTATTTGTACAGGAATTTCATGTAAGAGTGCTGTCGTCGGTATTAGTGAGGTACGGGCCCGAATCCTCTTCTTTGCTTACAGTCTAATGGCACGTTAGTGACTCAACTTTCAAGCCTACTCAGGTATCAGAGATACTCACAGGGGTATTGTCCACATGGAAATGAGCCTCCTTGACACTTTCGCCGTGGTTGCCCTGAGGATTCGACAAGCCAAACAACCGTTCCTTTAGAAAGTCACTAGGATAGATCAGTCTCAGCTTGGCAACAGCTTGATCGACCCCGCATACTCTTCCTCGTTCCAGAAAGTGAAACCAATGTTTTGGTAGCCATGTGTGTCGCAGACACCAGCAATACCATCTTCACCCCATCTGAAAGCTCGAGAGCGCGCGTGGGCGTGCGGGAAATCTATTGAATGGTCAGACGGCTTCTTCACAGCGGTGATAGCTCTCTACGCACGACTCCAGGCGTCGCCATCCGGACTGTAATCCTCGCGTACTGGCACAATTAGTCAAAGAGTCCCTCGCGGCATGACGCGTGCTGCTCACCCGTGGCCCATTGGCGCTCAGAGACATACGGTCCCCATTTCTTCCAATACTTCTCACGGTTGCGGTCCTCCTTGAGGCGCTTCTCTTCCTCAGTGAGGTACTCGTGGCCGTCGAAAACAACCATAGCTGGAGGATGGGGGCACGAGGGACAGACGTGCAAGGCAAATGGTATGATGGAGAGGAGAAGCTGGAGAAGCAGCCTACAGGGAAAACAGCTCACGCAGGCAGGTTACGGTATCTGGGCGTTATCGAGAAACCGGGACGGGGGGGATCAATCACATGGAGGGGCGGGCGTTGGCTCCTTCCGGACTGCAGCACCGGGAGCGAACTGCAAGGGCACACGCGAATGGAGGCCTGCAAATCTCTGCAGCAAGAGAGAGAGGGCACAGGCACGCAATCAGTAGTACGCACGATCGGTCAGCAAATTGGTCAGAACCAGGCGGTAAGGCAATGTGCTGGTGGTACCGCGACTCGAGAACGGCTGGCCATCGACGATGGCGCTTTTTTCTTGATGGCTGAGAACGTTCGAGGTGGGGGATCATCGGCATGCCAAACCTCCATCAGAGACTCTTGTCGATAACCCCACTACACCATCTCGGACTACCTCACTGAGACTACCCGTATGCTCGGCGCTGTGCAGCCGCTATAGCACTAGCAATAATCGCACTATTGAGAGGACCTTGCAAGAGTCACGAATTCCGAGCTAAAGACATGGACTCATGGGCCCCAATAGCGAACTTATTATATTCTGCCACGCCCACTATGAAGGTCGGAGCAGTTTGTCCCGCCAGTGGACTCTGCTCGTAGTCGACATGCGATGACATCATTTGAGGAAGAAAAGGCCTGTCTAGACCAGTCCTGGGGGGCCCGTGCCTGGCGTCGAAATGGCGAGGCCAGGATGGCGTTGATAACACTTTCGTACTGCAGAGACGCGATCACCTCAATCAAGGCACAAACAAATCCCATTGGCCGGTCGATGTCCAGAATATTGCAGTTGCTTCCTCTAAAAGCACTAATAACCATCGTCGATCATGCTTATTATTACTCTCGTGCTCTTTGAAAGTGCGGGGACTTGCCGTTCCATGTTCAATAGTACTTGTACTCGGGCGTACGTCGATATACTTTGGGCTATTGACTGTGCATCAAGCATGGCAACCTGATCTGGTGGGCCGAACATTGCCTAACGGGTATTTCATCATCGCCCTCTACTTCTCAATTTGTTGAATTCGTCTGTGGGGTCGCCATTCTCCGTGAGATATTACTACAGCTTGATGTCTTGGAGCACTAGGCAGATGCGAAGAGATGGGGTGCCAGCTCCCACGTTCAGCTCTATTCGACGGGGCGTTCTAAATATCCTCCCAAGTCTAGTCGAGTTTCGAGTACGAACATAGGTGCTGCTAACACTTATGATTAGCATTCAACGTTAGCAAGTATGTGTCCCTTTCAATGCTTGGTTCCTTGGATCAGCTCGAGTGGCGCTTGTCAGCCTTCTGCGCCCGGTGCCGCATCACTCTCATGTGGCTGAGGACTGGACGGGCTGTGGCTCAGGCCCCGTCATCAGCAAACAACAGCCTGGGCTCGCCGTCGTCAGAATCTCCAGGCGCTCCATGTCCAGTCGCCAACCACGCAACTGCGCCACTACTCATTCGTGGCATCTCTCCTATTCATTGCCTCCCTCCAGTTGCAGGAGCTCATTCTATCATTCATTTATTCTACATCGTTCTCGTCATTTCGTCCATCCAGCCGGTCTCTAACTTCTATCGCGTCGCCATTTGCCCCTTGGTCATCTTTCCCAAGGATATCCCACCGCTGCGTCTTGGCTCTGCCGCGTAATCTAATAAACTTCTTTTTCACACCTTGACACCAACTTCCGACAGTCAATTGCTCTCCAGCGACATGAGCGACGTCGTTTCTATCTTGCGGCGATTCGTCTTCGAGTCGCCGCCCGGAGAATGGGCCATCAAGCAGCTGCGCGAGCTGTTGATCGGTGCCCTTAAACAGGGCCCCGTGCCGCAACACGTTGCTTTCGAAATGGACGGTAACCGCCGCTACGCCCGTAGTCATCGTATGGAGACGGTCGAAGGGCACCACAGAGGATTTGAGGCACTTGCCAGGGTACGATTATTGCTCCCTGAAAGTGCCAGATATTGTGGCTAATGCGCACAGATCATGGAGATTTGTTACAAGGCTGGCGTTAAGACCGTCACCGTCTACGCGTTCAGCATCGAGAACTTCAACCGCCCAAAGTATGAAGTGGAAGGGTTGATGCAACTCGCGAAAGTGAAACTCGAGCAGCTTACCACGTACGGGGATGTGCTTGACCGGTATGGGGCTGCTGTCCGTGTCATGGGGCAGCGCGAGATGATCCGGGACGATGTTCTACAAGTTGTGGACAAGGCCGTTGCCCGTACTCGCCACAACCAAAAGTACGCGCGATCTTCCTCGAGATGCGGGGCTATACTGACAAGATACAGGGCTATCCTGAACATCTGCTTCCCTTACACATCGAGGGCTGAGATCACGACTGCCATTCAATCGACGGTTGCCGAATTCCTCGCACCTCCACCGCCTAAGAATACTCCGTTCTCGCAGACTCGCATAAGGCAGAACATTTTATCTCGTCAACTCAACGGGCATGATCCCCTGCCCACGATACGCGACTCGTCGCCCGAGAAGCAAACACAGGCTGGCGATGGCGCATATGCTGCAGAAGTCGAAGAATCCGGTGATCTCGACGAGGGCGCCTCTTCGTCTACAACACTTCCCCCCGATTCACCACCGCCGCGTCTGAGGGACGGAGCTGACCAGTCGCACCTCCCGAACCCCGAGGACATCACAGTGGACACGCTTGATAGTCACATGTACACATCAGAAGACCCTCCACTGGATCTGTTCGTGCGCACCAGTGGTGTCGAGCGGTTGAGCGACTTCATGCTTTGGCAGTGTCATCAAGATACCCAGATCTTCTTCCTCGACTGCTTGTGGCCTGATTTTGATCTGCACCACTTCATTTGGGTGCTCCTAGAGTGGCAGTGGCGGATGAAACAAAGAGATCGGGATGAGGCGCCCGGAAGGAGGAGACATGTCAAGCCCAGGAAGCTGGTGGAATAATCGGGATGGAGGATTGGCATCGCAGGTATTAGTTTGCTGTTCTTTGATACCCACATTGCTCATAGCTATGAAGGAGAGAGCGTCACATTGGAAGCATGAAGCCAGAACGGAGATACTTGATACTTGATTGCCTTGACCATGGTCACTAGGGAATACATATCCAGGTGTTCACTTATTAATTGAGACAAAACCTGGTCGCGCGTTTGGTTGAACTGTCTGAACATAATGACCCTAAAGTTACGTCGACATCTCCAATGTACAGATAGCCGATAGCGCATCTTATCGCCAATCAGCCTTATCGTGCCTGGCAACAGCACAGGATGACGCCTGAGGCCCCCAGGTGCCGCCTGCGCAATCCAGTCTACTCCACACCGGTCGCGCGGCGCTTGAACTGGAAGTACGATAGCGGATAAGGCCTCTTTGCTTCAGTGTCGTACCGCAGTGTGGGCGATACGTCTCTTGTTCCCTTCCAGCTCTTGCCGGTCTACGCGCCCAAATCCTTCTTCTAGTTTGTTTGGCGTATGCTTTCTATTCGGTGCAAGTCTCATCGCGAGACGCTCTCAGCCAGTATCAGTTCTCGCATTCGTGCCTTTCCTCCCGAAACAAGCAACACCTGCCGCGAACGAGCTTCAACCTCGACCACGTCCCAGTTCGACTCGCCTCCGCTCCCCTCGTCCCGCCGACGCAGACAGCCATCCCGACCATCGTCATGAAGTCGGCAAAGCCGCAGGCTTCAGAAGCCTCGTCGAATCGACGGTCGCAACCCACTCGACAAGCCCGCACGAACCCAGCACGAACCGCCAATGTTGCCCGCTCGACGGCTGGTAGGGACGAGTCGCTGGGCGAACAGCCTATCGACATATTCCCCGCCATCACATACTTTGCCGATACCATGACGGCGCTCCCAAAGGAGCTTGTGAGACACTTCGCTTTGCTCAGAGAAGTCGATGCGAAGATCTCTGGACCTGAAGAGCAGCTCTTTGGCCTTGTCGGGGACGCGCTCGCCAACACGGCCGCGGAAGACCGCCTCAAAGACGATCAAAGAGTCTTACACCTGCCATTGACGGCTCCAACGAGCTTTCATAAGCAGCCGAGTAACGGCAGGCTCCTCGCTGGGGCTCTGCAGTCAGGATCGTCAACAATGGCTGGCGACCCACCGACGCAAGAGGACTTGATTCTCCGTCGCCGCCACCTGTTTGGCCAGATATCATACAAAATTCAAGAGATGCTTGTCTCACTGGAGGAGAAGAATCATGTCATCAACACTGCGAATGAGGCTTTACAAAGACAGCTAGCGCGTGTTGACGACGTGTGGCCCTATCTCGAGAACGAGTTCAGCGATGAGGCCAAATGGGGAAGTACAACGCATTGGGCTTACCCAGAGAATCGCAATGGCCGAACAGCGCATCCAGAGCGCACCCGAAGGGATGGTGCCGCGGCGATTTCGGCTGCTGCCCAGGTCATTGCGGAGGAGGCGGCCGCCAGAAGCGATGCTAGGAAGCAAGCTCTACAAGCGAAGAAAACCCTCAAGGCGCAACAGCAACAACAAGAGTCTGACTTTGACGAAATTGAAGGCCGACACCAAAAAGGCGAGAACAAGAAGAGTGCGGCCAGCAAGGTGCGCAAGACGGCCGACTCGAACAACGTTGGGTTGGGAATCTCCGGTGTCACGAATGGGAATGCGCCGCCAAAGAAGCGCAAAGCAGAAAACACAGCGAACAGCCTATCCCAGAGCAATGGAACGCCGAACTCTTCATCTGGACCGGCAGCCCCCAAGGGCAAAGTCGCTGCTGCTGCCGCTGATGCGACCGGTCCGCAGCCCAAGAAGAGAAAAGCCCTCCCGTCTGCGAGTGGTCAAGCAAAGAAGTACGCAGTCCGGCACCGAACTCATGAGCTCGCACTAATTGACTACAGGAATGGAATGTCGCCCTCCGTCGCCTCCTCCCCCGTCCTTGGTTCCCTCCCGGAACCCAGGGGCTTGAACCGCGCGTCCCCCGCGCCCAACACGAACCCTCGACCATCTACTTCCCGTGCACGTGGAAACTCGATAGCATCCCTTGCCGACGTGGCTAAGAACCGCCCGGCGTCTGTCGCGTCTGTACGGGCGAACGGCAACGGCCAAAGCAATATCGAGGCCGGCCAGACTACATCAGTTGCTCGTGCCCCGAGCGTACCACGGTCGGTCAAAGAGTCAAGCGTGCCGTCGAGTAAAGAGCAGAAGAAGGAGCCAGAACGACCCGAGACCGAGATACCGACAGCTCCTCAACCCCCTCCCGAGAGAAGGGAAACCAAAGCTGCTGCGGCGCACGAACGCCGCAAAAGTGAGTCGGTACCGCCAGTACAGACACCAGCGACGGTCACGACCAAGAGTGGACGTGCTAGCAAACCGTCGACACCAGCCTTGCCGACTTTCCAGGAAGCCGCGCAGTCGCGGTCGAGGTCTTCGAGGACAGCTGACAATGGCGGAGCGAAGAAGAGCCACAAGAAGGGGGCAGCATCAACTACGCAGGCACTCGCCCCACCGCCAGTCGAGGAGGGTTTGTCCAGTGGCGAAGGTGACATTGAGGATGAACCGCTGTACTGCTATTGCAACGGTATCAGCTACGGCGAAATGGTCGGCTGCGACTCGGATGACTGCGAGCGCGAGTGGTTCCATTTGAGCTGCGTGGGACTGAAGGTTGCACCAGCTGGTAAGTTCACTTCACGACCCAGCGCCGTACGCTGCGATGCTAACGAAAAGTAGGCCAATGGTACTGTGCCGATTGCAAAGAACGCTTAGGCCTCGGCGGGAAGAAAGTAGGCAGTCGATGATGCTGCGAGGGACCGAACGACATTACTGTGCGTGTACTCTCCATATGAAGGGGGGCATGGTGGTAACAGGAGCGATTGGCATAATGGTACCTTATGTTTCTTTATAGGCGTTTCCACGCCACAAGGGCCCAAGAAGCCTCGAGCGGGCGGCGTTGTGTGAATTGGGGTCATGGGAATGGCAGGCCGCAAGCCAAGGGGCAGTTGTGTGCATTGAAAGAGCATATAGGCGGTCTCGGGATTGGTCTTTCAACATCGGGTATATTACTACAAATATTACTTTTGCGTGTCACTTGAATGGTTTGCTACAAGTGTTACAGCTGGCGCTCTCGAGGCTGCGCCTTTCTGCGTCGACGATATTGGGGTGCATTTGCAGTTAGCGACGCGTATGAATTTCATTGGTTTTACAATTTCTGAGGCTGAGAGAGAAAGAAGTCGGATAGCAAATAGGGCACGGTGCTTCTGTAATCATATCACAACTGATAGATAGATGACTTTGATTACAATTCTTCGTCTCGACCGAGTGATGGGTGATATGTTGGCGCGTGTATAGGGTATCTGATAATGATAGACAGGGTAAGAAACGGCTTGCCTCGGCATTGCGCGCCGATCACGGCGGTTTCAGCCTGAGAGGTAAGCACGTATAGGGTAGCCCAACACGACATGACGTCATGGGCGGTGTAGTTCATGCGAGGTACGGATACGCAACGACAAGTAATCAGGTTGCCAATTCCACGCGCGTTGACACGCGTGCAATTGAGGCGAGTGTGGCTGAAGTGTCACATCAAATTGAGAGAGCCAGGCGCGATACGTGTTTGCTGAGGACGGAAGGTAAGCGATATTAGTGGTTCAATGAGAATATGGTCACAAGCTCCTTTATTAGTCTCAAAGCAGAAGGTGCGGCTCGAAACTGGGGAAGGACCAGTGTAGCGCGCCTGCACCATGGCGGCCATGCGGCAGCCTGCAGGTGGTGCAAAGACACCAACAAAACGCGACCTACTGCAGGTCACGAGGCTGCGCAACTGGGGCTCATTAAGTTCTGGATCCGCCAAGCTGGCAATTCATTACGTTTAACAACCCCTTTTTTACACCAAACAACGCAACGACTCAACGAACTGAGCCGCCAGGCCAACAGGCTCCCTGTTGGTGAAAGGATGGTCGCACAGCTGCGCTGGCGGTCAATTGGATGATTCTCATTACCCAATTCACATTCATTTGGCGACGTGAGAAAAAAATCTGCTGTTCACCTGACGACATTACCGCCTGTCCTTGGATTTCATTACGAAATACCGACCGCCTATGAGCGAATCATGGCATCGTCACGACATGCAACGTCTGCCCATCTGGAGATGGAATGCCCATCCAGCCAGCCCCCCTTGAGATTGTGGTCGACAACTGAAAGACGAAGAATGGGTCCCTGGCCGAAACGGGCCTTGACGTCGTTCATTGTCCATTGTGGCGCGGCGGCCGAAAGTGAAAATATCTTTTTCAGTTCGGCCTTCGAACAAGCTCCGCTGTGATGAACGTAATACGTACTACCTTAGCCAGGCCAAAATCCGAATCCCGTCTTCCGTGTCCGGCACCGCTCGTCGCCTGTTTAGCCTTGTGTTCATATACTGATGAACCTGACTTGCAACAGAACCACGCATCCACCACCACCCCGACTTTCTCTGACAAACCACCGAGATCTTTAGTCTGCGCATTCTGTCGGTATCCCTGGCAGTCCATCCACACTATTCAAACGAGAGCCGCTTCCCCGCATTGTCGAAGCCTTCTGTTACCTAAACCCGGCTCTACTTGACTAATAGAAAGCATCCCTACGGACACTACTTTCTTCTCCTCGACCGCTCAACAGCTTCTGCCCTGCAACCTTACATTCGATACAAGTCGCAACGCCAACCTTCCCTCGCTTCGCGTCTCGGCCTGTTGGACGTTTTGCACTGTCACATAAACGCCTGCTAGAGTTTTGATTCGTGGCCAGATACGACGAAACGAACCCACAAGCCAAGACTCAGGCTCCCTCTCACCGTTCGAACAATTTATATGGCCGGTCACGAAGATGCCGGGCACCCCATGGTGCTCGACCTCGACCACAACGCCACTCTGTTAAAGTCAACCATGCCCGGTGCTATTTCGCCCTCCGAAAAGACGGCTCGGTCATCCTTCTCCTCGGTTCGCGAGAACGACGATGGGCTCGCTCAAACCTTCACCAGATCCAAAATCTCCTCCTACACCAACGAGACCGAAGAGGTTTTCGATGAATCCCCGTCGTCCGAGAGCGGTCAGCCGTTCTTCCAGCCTCCCTTGACCAACCCGCACAGTCAGCTGAATGGGTTCTGGGCACCAGCACCAACCTTTCGGGGATGGAGGGAGATTCCGTTGAAGGGCAAGAAGGCCAGCCGAAGCCTGGAGAACCTGAGGAGCCTGGTTATGTCATGGAGTCCCCCGTCGACCCCCAGCAACGAGCCTGAGGCCAAGAAGAAGACAGCCCGTACGACATATGAGCCAGGCAGGGCGCCGATTGAGACGCTCCCGAGCGAGGTACTCGGTAAGTTGACGGGAGCACGTATGCGTTTGCTGATGAATTGCTGACATGTTGTACTAGACAACATCATTGACCTGCTGGTTGTTGAACTACCGCCCAACGGGCTCACTGTTCGCAATGCCGACCTCATGGCACTGCTCCTGGCGTCGCGCGCTCTCCACGCCGCCACGTTGACCACCCTCTATCGACACATCACCATTCCGCACTCACGAATCTTCCGCAAGTTCCTGAACACTGTCGTCGAGTACCCAAACCTTGCCAGCATCGTGCGACGGCTTGACTTCAGTCACTTCAACCCCAACTCGATCTTCTCCAACGCCAGCCAAAGGGCCTCCACCCAGAACTTGACAGCCAAGACGCTGGCGCAGTGTCTCGACCTGACCCCTTACCTGCAGGAGTTCCTGGCTCAGGAGTACATCGATGGCGACATTGACAGGGAAGTATTGCGAAAGCTCTTCTTCAGCCTGCCGCGTCTCAAGGCGGTCGATTTCTGCGGGTGCTCCACTGCATCCTTCCGGGAAGCGTTCAAAGAGCTCTTGGAGGACGAGTGGCCGGAGAAGCTTGGAATCACACGTTTGTCGTTTCACAAGTGCATCACGCTGCCAACTGCTGTCTTTGAGACGATCCTCCCTAGACTCACCAAGGTCACCCATCTGGACCTCGCTGGAACGCGGGTCACAGATGCAGCCTTGATGTCGATCCCGACTACTGCTCAGATAACACATCTGAACCTCGCTAGGTGCAAGGAGTTGACGTCGGAGGCGGTCGTGGCGTTCATCACCACTCACCCGGCTGTGAAAGATTCCCTAGTCTTTCTAAGCCTCGCGACCGACGCGAGCTCCCACCTCCTACTCGGCAAGGACGATATCGACAAGCTTGTGCCTGCTCTGCCCTCCACATTGCGCTCGTTGAGCCTGAAAGGCAGTCGCATGGAGGAGTCACACATCTCCCTGTTGCGACCTCTGACAGAAACGTTGGAGGAGCTTACCCTGGGGCAAGGCTTGGAGATCAGCGATATCCAGAAGTTGTTCAGGGTTGACGGTCAGTGGAGGCCTCACAGCGTCCGATACCTCGACATCTCAGATATCGAGACAAGGATCGGCAGTGCTAGCGAGCTTTTGGCTGACGAGTCGGCGCCGCTGCACGTCATTGAAGTCGACGAACGTGTGTACGAACGGGCGGCCAAGATCAAGAAAACCCTCCAGCGTGTTGGGTGGACAGCCAAGGAGTTTGGCACCCGTTATTGGCTGGTTCGCCTCAACGCCGATGGCTCAACCGCCGACAATGGTGGTCGATGGTGGAAGATGGGCGCCGAAAGCTGGGGCATGCGAAAGGTCCCAGTGGCCAAGGGGGAAGTCGGTGGCATGTACGGATCGTTCATGTTTGGAAGACACATTTGATTTCTGCAAGCGCATGGCAAGGGAAGGAATACCCAACTCATTCATCATCAAAGGCACACAAAAAAAGCTTTTACGCATTTGGAAGCAAGGAGTTTGTTGGAGCATGGGGCCAGCGGGAAGCGCAAAAGCATGGCTCTCTTCGATTGTGTGATGGCGGATTCTACAAGGATTTGGTGGCTTATGCATGTTCAAGTCTAGCCTTTGTTTATCGCGATATGTCGCGAGAGATACCAGATGAGATTACGAGCACATCAATTATCGATTCAGTTGTACATACTTGGATCATAATTACCAAGCAGCAGGCCTGTTTCGACTTTTGCGTGAATGAGGACCATGAAGATTTTGGTTAGCAACATGAATCTGCCGCGTTACCGTCATTATAAGATGGCTTAGCAAAGTTCGACTAGCCACATTGATAACTATAAAATTCTATTCGTAAGGTAACAAGCAGAGGTAATTAATTCCATGCGCTACGTATTGAAGGCGTCGTGCAATGCTTATTGTTCCCCTACCTACGAAGGGTACACGTGACGTAGCAGAGTGACCGGAATAACATAATATCCGCTCCGGTCGCAGCCGCCGCGGCGAGGTGACGACGTCTGAGGCTACCATCCCTGGCCACTGCAGCTTCGACCTCAACCTCCCTCTCAACGTTGCTCCTGGTGCCACCCCACACGCATCACCATGGCTCCGCGACAAGACACCCCGTTCCGCTCGGCGGACATGAGCATGGTCCAGCTCTATGTCTCCAACGAGATTGGCCGGGAAGTCGTGACAGCCCTCGGCGAGCTAGGCCTCTGCCAGTTTCGCGACGTAAGCACCTTCACGTCATATCTAAAGATGGGCATCGCTGACCTTTCCGCCTTTAGCTCAATGAAGATGTCAGCGCCTTCCAAAGGACTTATACTCAGGAAATTCGACGTCTCGACAACGTTGAACGACAGCTGCGTACGAGTCACGTCTCGACGAATCGAATCACCTCCGGGCTAACATGGAAATAGGCTATTTTTACTCTCAGATGGAAAAGACCGGAATCCCGCTTAGGAAGCTGGACCTCGATGTTGACCGACTTGCCTCGCCTTCTACGACCGAGATCGACGAGCTCTCTGAACGTAGCGAGAAACTCGAGCAGCGCATTTCCGCGTTGAACGACAGTTACGAGACCCTCAAGAAGCGCGAAGGCGACTTGACTGAGTGGCGATGGGTCCTACGCGAAGCCGGTAGCTTTTTCGATCGCGCTCATGGCAGTGTTGAAGAGATTCGTGCCTCGAACGACAACGATGATGCTCCCCTGCTGTCTGACGTGGAGCAGAACCAGGGCGCCCCTGATGCCGAGCGCTCATTCTCGGGTATGAACATTGGCTTTGTGGCTGGTGTCATCAACCGTGACCGCATCGGGTCTTTCGAACGTATCCTGTGGCGCACGCTGCGTGGTAACTTGTATATGAACCAGTCGGAGATCCCTGAGCCTCTGGTCGATCCCGCCAACAACGAGTCAATCAACAAGAACGTGTTCGTCATCTTTGCTCACGGAAAGGAGATCCTCGCCAAGATCCGCAAGATTTCCGAGTCCATGGGCGCCGACGTCTACAGCGTGGACGAAAACAGTGATCTGCGCCGCGATCAGATCCACGAAGTTAACAGCCGACTGGAAGATGTGCAGAATGTCTTGCGCAACACCCAGGCCACCCTTCAGGCTGAGCTCAACCAGATCTCGCAGTCGCTCTCGGCCTGGATGGTCCTGATCTCCAAGGAGAAGGCTGTGTATAACACACTCAACAACTTTTCCTACGATCGTGCTCGTCGCACTCTGATTGCTGAGGCATGGGTGCCCTCCAACGACCTGCCCCTCATCCGGTCGACTCTCCAAGATGTCACCAACCGCGCTGGGCTGTCTGTGCCCTCGATTATCAACGAGATCAAGACGAACAAGACGCCACCGACATATCTCAAGACGAACAAGTTCACCGAAGGCTTCCAGACCATCGTCAACGCCTACGGTACGGCCACGTACCAGGAGGTCAACCCTGCGATGCCGGTCATCGTCACTTTCCCGTTCCTGTTCGCCGTCATGTTTGGTGACTTTGGACACGCCATCATCATGCTGTCGGCGGCCATTGCCATGATCTACTGGGAGAAGCCTTTGAAAAAGGTCACTTTCGAGCTCTTCGCCATGATCTTTTACGGTCGTTACATCGCCTTGGTCATGGCTCTCTTCTCTGTTTTCACCGGTCTCATTTACAACGATGTGTTTTCCAAGTCCATGACTCTCTTCCCCAGCGCCTGGGAATGGAAGAAGCCTGACAACTGGAAGGAGGGAATGTCACTCACCGCTGAACTCAACGATCACGGCTACCGCTACCCCTTTGGTATGGACTTTGCGTGGCACGGCAGCGACAACGATCTCCTCTTCAGCAACTCTTACAAGATGAAGATGAGTATCATCCTCGGTTGGTGCCACATGACCTACTCTCTGTGCTTTTCCTACATCAACGCTAGGCACTTCAAGAAGCCCATTGACATCTGGGGTAACTTTGTGCCCGGCATGATCTTCTTTCAGTCTATCTTTGGGTACCTGGTCATCTGCATTCTATACAAGTGGTCGGTCAATTGGGAGGAGGCTGGTGCTTCGCCCCCTGGCCTGCTGAACATGCTCATCTACATGTTCTTGCAGCCTGGCACGCTCCCCAATGGTGAGCGCCTGTACAAGGGTCAGGAGGTGGTCCAGGTCATCCTGCTACTTCTCGCCTTCGCCCAGGTTCCCGTCTTGCTGTTCCTCAAGCCCTTCTACCTCCGGTGGGAGAACAACCGTGCACGCGCCAAGGGATACCGAGGTATTGGCGAAGTCTCCCGCGTTAGTGCCCTGGATGGCGAGGACGAAGACGACAGCCGACCCAACGGCCATGGCCCCAGCTTCGACGACGATGAGGGTGTTGCTATGATCTCACAGAACATTGACGAAGACCACGAAGAGTTTGAGTTTAGCGAGGTCATGATCCACCAGGTCATCCACACCATTGGTATGTCTCAACCGCTCGCAAGCAGACCTTTCCACTAACCGTTCACTAGAATTCTGCCTGAACTGCGTGTCGCACACTGCATCGTACCTCCGTTTGTGGGCCTTGTCGCTCGCCCATCAGCAGCTCAGTGTCGTCCTGTGGAGCATGACCATGGAGCTGGCTCTCGTGAAGACCGGCGTTCTCGGTGTCATCATGATTGTTGTTTGCTTCTATGCCTGGTTCTTCCTTTGTAAGTTTTGCATGTCATTTGCGCCAAAGGTGCCTGAAACTAATCGTCGCAGCAATCGCCATTCTCGTGTGTATGGAGGGTACCAGTGCCATGTTGCATTCCCTGCGTCTCGCTTGGGTAGAGTCCTTCTCCAAGTTTGCCGAATTCGCAGGCTGGCCGTTCCAGCCTTTCTCGTTCGACACCATGCTAGAGGAGTCGGAGGAGTTGAAGGAATATCTGGGTTGAGATTCATTCATTGCCACCACTTTCATAACCTTAGAGGCCGCGTCATGCTACAAGAACTGTACACATAGCCTGCTGTATGATAATTGCATGCTCTAGAGCCCGTTGTATCGATTCGTTCATCAAACTATCAGAGCCTGTGTACTATGCTGGCCAGGAGATTTCCCTAATCATCGCCACAAAGGTGCCGTCACCTCGACTGCACGTTCCACCACCGCCCTGACCCTGTCTGCAAAGACCTTGTTGTTACACTCGACCTCCAGATCCTCCAGCCACACCTTGGCCGACATCTTGTCCACTGTGATGCTGACGCCCGGCACAGGAATGCCAATCCTGTGAAGCCTCTCAATCTCTTTTTGTTGCCTTTCTCCCTCATCGTCGCCATCGCCCTCGGGCGAGACATCCATCTCCTCCCCTTCCTTGACCTCGGCCTTGATCTCCTTTGTGGCTGCTTGTGGCAGCTTGGGCGTTTCGATAGGCGCGACATTGTCCGCACCAAACTGTGCCTCCAAGAACCAGAACAGACGCTCCAGACGCTCTTCAGGCGACGGGTTGGCGTGTGGGTTCTTCATTGTTCCGTCCGCAATGTGCGAGTGGCTGTTCTTGGACGAAGACCGCTTGACGGCAGCCGGGGAGCTCTCCACGCTGAAGAGTACGGCCATGACCGAGTCAGCGATGCCGTCGTTGAGCAGGTTGGCTTCCCACTCGAGCTCAACATCGCCGGTAGAGCGGTAACGGACGGTGACGATACCCATGACGAGATAGGCTGCCACGAGGTTGGGAATCTCCTCATCGGCAGTCTCCTCCCGCATATCATGCTCCATAGCATCGTCGTTGCCGTTGGCAGCCTGGCGCATCTCGGGGAGTTCCTCAATGGTGCCAAAGGTACCCTCGAGCGCCCACTTGATGAGGTCGACGCCCGCGGCGCTTAGCCGAAGACGCTGCTTGCAGGCGATGGTCGTGGTGCTGAGACCGGCGTACTCGCGTAGGTCTTCGGGTGCCATGAGGGAGAGTTTGAAGTCGTTCTGAACGAGCACGCCAGAGACGAGGGGAGGGTCCTTGGTGAGTGCCGTGCTTTCATCTTCCGACGGCAGAGGCGGAGGGATGGACGCGAGCTTGCCCACGACCTTGGCTGTCTTGTCGGACTTGAAGGGGATGCGGAGTTCCTCGCAGTTTCGGGGCGAGAAGACCTTTGTCTTTGTGGTTTTCGATGCGTTGAGCGAAAGAAGTTTAGACTTGAGGCGCATCATATTGTGCTGCTCCCCGTGGACTAGAATCTGATTTACGGGTCAGCGAAACCTAAAGGAGAATTGACGTCCCTTGGATAGGTAACTTACAACGACAGGCGCGGCGACCTCTTCAATAAACTCGCGATTCTCGACACCATCGACGTGAGCCGCGAACGAGTACTCGGCTACACTGCAGCGGCGAGGGATGAGGACCTTTTCGTCGCCACCGACGCCTCGTCTCGCGCCTGCAATGCTGCGTGACATGACTGCCTGGATCTGGTCCGGCTCCTGCATGACTTGCCGTGCCATAGTGCCCTCGACACTGTAACCCGTGATGATGACGCCGTTCTTGTCGCTCGGCGCCCATCGCTCAAAGAGCTCTCTGCTCACGCCGTTCTGCAGCATACCAGGACTCGCCAGCATGACGCATCCGCCGACATCGTCGAAGCGATCAAGGTTCTTCAACGACCTGATGAATTTGAAGTCCCAAGGCCCGCCTTTCCCCTTGCCGTCGCCGGTTGCTTCGGCCTCGGCCATGCGCTCACGGAAGAGGCGCTTGATGTTGTCGTTCATGGCGCCGACATATGTCTGGTAGACCAACATGCATTTCCTGGCGAGGTTACTGGCGTAATAGATGGGGAATTTCTGAAATTCGGGGTGCTTGGCCCAGTACTCGTCCAAGATCAGAAGAAGCTCCTGCGCACGACCCAGAGCAAAGACAGGCAGCAGGGCGCGCCCGCCGCGGTTGAGGATGCTGGTGATCGTCTTCATCAATGCCTGCTCGCGCTCCACTCGGGGCACATGCGAGGCGATGCCGTACGTGGACTCTGTGATGAGCACGTCGATCTTGACGCCCTTGGGCACCTCGGCCGACACCAAATGTCGATCCTGTTCGCGAGAATAGTCGCCGGTGAAGAAGATGTTGAGCCCTGCGATCTCGACGAGGAACATGGCCGCCCCAAGCACATGGCCAGCCGGGTACGGCGTGATACGGATCGAGGAGATGGTGTGTGTCGTGTGGTAATCGATCGCTTCGATTTGGGGGAATGTGTTGAGATGGTCTTGTTCAGTATACACTGGCTGCGTCGTCGAGTTGGAAGATGTATTGCCGACGCGCACCGAGTCCTGGATGAGCCACTTGTAGATGGCCTTTGTAGGATGGGTCATGAAGACACGACCCTTGAAGTTGGTCTTGGACAGGACATACGGTAAAGAGGCCGCGTGGTCGACGTGGAAACTGGAGTCGTCAGCATTACGGTTCATCGCCATGAGGACCTCATCGTGCGTGGTCGGATCGGCTAGTATGGGCTCTGGGGGGATAGGCTTGTCGCATCACAAATAGCAACCGGGAATGCGAGAAATACATAGTCTATTGATCTGCGTAGAGAATATGGGCATGGCGCACACGCGAGGCATCCCATCCCCCTTGGCATGAATACCACCCGCGCACATCTGCCGACCGAAATGCATGTACGATCGAGGAGCGTAGGGAGCGCTTACTGGCTGATCAGCAGAACATCTACTGTACTGAGGTCGAAGTCATCGTAGAAGGGCAAAGCGGCGAGACCGTCGTATGCTGGGTGTTGACCGGCGTCGAGCTGGTGATTTGTTAGTTGGGAGTTTCTGTGACGCGAAGAGGGTTCAACATACCATGACCGTCTTGCCCTTGTACTGAATGATGTGACATGATCGACCGACCTCGTTGCCGCCGCCCAGACACAGGAACAAGAGCTCATCAGAAGGATCGACTGGGTCTTCGTTGGAGGCCATGTTCATGGCCGCAGCCTTCCGTTTGGCCGCCATGTTCGCACACCGTGAGAATGGACGATGCCCCTAGTCACATTAGCAGTCGCGTTGATATGGAACTTCGATCACCAGCGCAAAAGACCATGAAGGAGGTCTAGCGCTAGCTCTGCGTCAAAGCGGCATAGAGCAGTATTCGAGGTCGCCGTCGCAAAGACAAAAGACGCGCTTGAGCAGGTGAAGTTCCAAGGGACCTTGCCAGTGGGCGTTGGCATGGGCTTGGATGCGTTAGTGGGGTGTGTGCAGGCCAGGCGCGCCGGTTAATCCTGGGTCGGTGCTAGACGAGAGATCACGTGACTACAAAGGAACGCGACACTCCTCACAGCTGTTTGAACCTTCCTGACTCCACGCCCACGTATTCAAAGGCGATCCCGTATATCGCCACGCGACGAGCCCATCCGAACCGCGCCGTTACTGCACACCGAAGCTCGGAACGCAGTGACACGTTTCTCTCCCAACAGCACTCCCTTTCTACACGTCCGAGGTCGATACAGCGCGTCGAATGAGATCCGCTGCAGCTACCACCCCGGGCTTCATGGCCTGCTGAGTGCAACGCTCGATCACGCCTGGCGCCCAGGCAGCAAGCAGCACCTTCTCTCTCTTCTTCCATCTGTTTGTTGTCGTCCGAAAATCTCATCAGCATCATGGCGCAACCAACGCACGCACAGCCGGCCTTCTCGCCGCCGCCGCCGCAGCACAGTCCTTCACCAACCATCTCACAATCAGGCTTTGCGCCTCCGCCCAAACGTGTTCGCACCGATGGTCCACAGTCTCAGCCCGACTCGCCGTACCCCAACTCCCCGTTTGCAGCCAGCCCTCAACTGGGCGCGACTCCACCACCGGGTGGTACAGGCTCGCCTGCGCCCGTACAAAGCCCAGCGTTACAGGGTCAGCAATCGCCCTACACAAACGGCGCATCAACGCCCACACTCAGTCTACCGGAAGCACGACCAAGTCCCACGCCGCAAGTCACCACTCCTCAGCCCTTGAATCCGACGGCATCCCAGTATACCACCGCCACGATGGCGCCCTTGACGATACCAACACCAGCGCAGCCGGGCAGCATGGGTCCTCCTCAGCGGCCGGCCGATCGACCAGCGAAAGACTACGAATACGATGTGACGGACAGCCTGGCGGGAACGGGCATCGACTTAAGAGCTGAAGAAGATTTCATGGCGAATCTCTACGCTAAGCAATATGAACAAGAGGCTCAACAAGGGTTCGCGCAGCATCCGGCTGGATCAAAGTCGACGTTCTTCGGGGCCGGGCCGGCCAACCAGCCTGCGGGACCTTCTGAACAGACTAGTCAGGACATGTTCGCAGCGCAGGCGGCAGAGAGAGCGTGGGCCGAGTCGGCTAGGCGTCTGGCCACGCAGCGAACGCAAGAGATTAACGACCCTTTCCTGCTTGTCGCTCTGCTCCACAGACGCGCCGACAAGATCGCCCGGGAGCACCACTTGGAGCTCATTGTGGACAACAAGAACAACACACAGCCGATGGGCAAGATGAAGATGCCGAATGAGTTTCCCGAACCAAAGGTCACGGTCAGCATGAAACCCTCTGGGGAGGACCAGACCATGGTGGAAACTACGGGCTCCTTCATACCTCACGACGCGCATCTGGTGGATCAACTAGCTCTCATGTCCATCGCGACGAAGACGAGACTACGAGACTTGGTGGAAGAGGCTGGCAATGTTGCTGTGCACAGACAGAGCACGTCGCATGGCGAGATCCCGGCGGCCTGGGAGCCGGCATCTGCGCCTCTGAACGTTGAAACTCCTGAGGCTATGGACGTCGATGGACTCAACGTGGACGGCAGTCCTGCCGCCGTTACAGCTCTCAAACGTACGTATTGGAAACAACTTCATCATGAGCCCAAAGCTAACACAGAACAGGTCCAGCGGACACTAGTGCATTGGAGAATGGCGCTCCCGCCAAGAAGCTACCCAAGATATCCTCTTACCTGACGACGACAATGCGTGAGTTGGCGAAGCAAGAGCGTCAGTGGGAAGAAGCACGGTTAAGGAGGCGCCAGCAACGCAAAGATGGCACGGCGGATGCTGCGGGCTCGCGCAGCGGTAGTGTTGCGCCAGGCACACCTGGCTCGATAGCTCCGGAGGAGAAGGCGCCAACTAAGAAGGAGGCCAAAAAGGCTCTGAAGGCAGCGGAGCCTCACGATGCCAATGCGCAGAACTCGACGAGTGCGACGTTCACAGCTATACGAGGCAAGTCTCTGTTCGGCAAGAAAGCCAAGTCGTACGACTGGATGACCAAACCCGGTATGAGCGGCGCCAGCACACCGGCCGCGAGGACACCTGGAGCCAAGCCCGGCGTTGGTGCGAGCCCAGCTGCCGTCGCGCTTACGACCGAGGGGCGGAATCGCCTGGGGACGTGGCGTGAGGACAAGGAGAAGGGCAAGAACATACAGCTGCGGGACTGGGTTGCGGCGCTCGAAAGAGACGGCCGCGAGACGGCGGTCCTACAGCGAGCGTACATTGACCTGGACCTATCCACGCCACGATAGGTCCTTGCGAGGTGCTTGCAGCAAGGGAGCTGCACGTGTCCTTGGTCGATTTGGTTTTCATTTCATTGGGTATGGTTGATTCAGTTAGCCAGGCGTTGGTGTCACTTTCACAGCTTGGGGGGGAGAGAGGAGGGAGGGACTTCCTCGCGCGTGATTTCGTTCCTGGTCTTTGCTATTCCGGATAAAAGGGGTCCAACACGGGGCGCATTTGCGATAGGATGACGCTGGGCCGGTTGCGGGGGAAGAACATACTGCGGCTGAAAAGGCACGAGGAGGGCGTCCGTCGTGTGATCGACCGACCGACCGGCTGTGCTGTGTATACATATGATTTAACAAACATAATGGGCTCGGTCAAGGATGGAACGATGTCCGATTTTGGAGACGACTGGTCTCGGTCGGAGAGCGAGCGGGCGGGCGAAGGCGGCCAAAGCGAAATACAATAAAAAAACATCACAATAAAAAAACAATGTCAATGAAATCGGATGCTGTGTGGGTTCGATGTAGGGTTCAAGATTGGGTGGTGTAAGGATGGCCTTGTGATGTTGGTGACACTGGCCTTGGACAACCGCCTGGACGTACCGGCCTTCACATATTACCAGGTATGGACTACCCGTCATCGCCCTACGACAACTCACATTTTAGCATCTTGCCAGCTCCTCTTGTAAAACACGACAGATACTGCGTCTGCGGACTCACACACACATATATTAACCAGCTGTACTGGGATGAGCCATGGCGATTGCGGTGATCTGCCCTCCCCTCACAGCCCGTCATCGACGTTGACTGATAAGCAGTCGTGCCCAGGCCATCGGACAACTCTGCTCCACGAGCTCTCTCAAGGGCAACCTTGATCAATGTGTCAAGCTTGCCACCAAAGCCGCCCAAGGAGGTGCCAAAGTACGCAGCGCCCATTCTTCCCCGAGAACCGCACCGCTGGGGCACTGATCTAACTGCACCTCAGATCCTCTTCCTCCCCGAGGCGTCTGACTACATCGCCTCCAACGCGCAGGAGTCCCTCGCCCTGGCCGTACCGCAGACCACGTCACCTTTCGTCGCCGGTCTGCGCGACGCAGCCAAGCAGCACGGCCTCGCCATTCACGTCGGGATCCACGCCCCGTCCCCTTCTATCCAGGACAAGCTCGTCAACCGCGCGCTGTACATCCGGGAGGATGGCAGCATCAACGACGCAGCGACCTATGACAAGCTCCACGTGTTCGACTACGGGTCGCTCCGAGAGAGTGCCACCGTGCAGCCCGGGACGGCGCTCACGCGGCCCTTTGCTTCCCCCGTCGGCAGGATAGGCAGCCTCATCTGCTTCGACCTTCGCTTCCCCGAGGCCAGCACGGCACTCACGCAGCCGGGGCCCTCGAGTCCGTGGCGGAATGCCCCCGCGCAGGTCCTCACCTTTCCGAGCGCGTTCACCCTGCGGACGGGCGAGGCGCACTGGGAGGCGCTGCTGCGCGCGAGGGCGATCGAGACGCAGAGCTGGGTGGTCGCCTCGGCGCAGGTGGGACAGCACAATGACAAGAGGGCGAGCTACGGCAAGAGCATCGTCGTTGATCCGTGGGGCAAGGTCATGGTGCGACTGGGCGGCGTCAAGGATGCTGAGGGTGGTAATGGCGAGGCAGAGGACGGAGCGGTTGGGGCCATTGGGTTTATGGACATTGGCATTGACGAGGTTGAGCGCGTGAGGAGGGAGATGCCCTTGCAAAGGAGACAGTACGTATACGGATGACAATGGTGCACCAGCGGTTGAGACTGACAGTATCTAGGGATGTTTACCCAGAGCTATGACGAGGGGAATTTCGCCAAACTACGAGCTCTTCGATATTGGTACTATTGCAAACTCGCAGATACAAGGACACACCAGGTTGGTCTGTCAACAACACTTGATCACATGAACATGTTGGCTACTGCAGTATATGTATGTACGCACTCTATTGTTCGCGTCACACAATAACCCAGAGAGCCGGTACCGAGTCACAGGCAAGACAAGCCACGGCAGCGAAATCGGACCTTTTGTTTAGTGCCCACAGATCAACAGCCTTAAAGCCCACAAGGTATCTTCCTCTCGTATGTACTGTACGGTGTGCGGACATGCCGCAAGCCTTGGTTCCCTGAACAACCGTCCGGGGCGTTGCAGCCATGCCGGCCGGCACTCAGCATGTCAAAATGTGGATATATTCACCTGGACTCGGGCAGCCCGCAGGATGGCTGTTCCTAATGAACTGTTGCTGGACCTGAAGGCTCAGTTCAGACACATTGCCCCAGCCGCAGCCGCATTACTCATCGATAAGCGGCAAATGCAGTATGAGCCTGCGAGGTGTGTCGGAAAGGGAAATGAGAGATTGAGCTCGGCGACCTGCGAGCTGGAGATAGGTTCTTGTCTCAGATCTCCGGTGTCTGAAATATCCGTACAGTAGTGTCTACGTATGTACCGTCGGTACATGCGTCTTGTCTCTTGTCTCGGGCACTGCCAGCCGGGGCCTTGGTTCACTACTTGTTGAGAGCACACCTGTTTGCGCATTACTCAGAGTAGGCCACAGAGTATAGGGACGAAGCTATGAATTGATTGTCTGGTCATACCAGTTCGATCTTTGTTTGCGCAGAGACAACAACAACAAGAGACACACCACACAAGCGGCAAGCCACACTCCCAAGTGGCCGGAACCGAGTCCCAGATCCCGCAGTGACTATCCGTAGCGTCTGTTCATTTTCCATCCCCACCCCCTTTCACTTGGACGTCGAGGTGGCGAACTAGGCATAATTATCACAGGATTGTACCTCAGGCACAGCCAGGGTGAGAGCTTGTTTGCTGTTTGCTGGCTTGCTTGGTGCGTGCCTCATCAAGCGCACTGTCAAACACACACGAAGCGCCAGATGCGACGGAGTGCACGTCAAACACACTCTGGCAGGAACGACAATAATTAGCTCCAGTCCTTCTGCCTTTCCCATCATGCAAGGGCGATCAACCAATCACTCTCCCCATTCCACATGCGAAGCTCCATTGGCACAGTTGTTAGATGCTTCTTTTTGATGCGCGGCTGCTGCAGCGCTACCTCATGCGGCCTGGCTGCTTGTGCATTGCGCGACAAAATAAAACAGCTGCTTGCTTGCTCGCCGACTGCTGTGTTTCCCCATTCATGCATCATGCAGCCGCCTGCCTATGGTGGTATGGCGGTTCGATCCGCCAGTGTGCATATGCACACACTCTACTTACAAGTACTCCATCCGTACTTGGTAATCAGTAGGTCAACAAGTACTACCAGATGCGTCATGTACGTTCCGTCATGCAAGGTACGGGACGTTCCAGCTGCGATTTAGCCTTCTTCTCCCCTTCTTTGACTGCCCGCTCCGTCACTGTGCATTGCTTCTCCCAGATCGCCTGCGCCCAAAGCGCGGACCAGCCGCCACCTCGAGAAGCAAACATTGGTCCATCCGCGCTGACAACTGAAACAACCCTGCCGTAATTGTATACGCCTATTGATTCCTAGTCGGATCGGCCAGTTTGCTGCGGGACGACGCATCTCGGCGCGTCGCGCTGCGGTTGGTAGCAGGGCGGCGGCTGATTTATAAACTTGGACAAATCGTTGGATTGGACGTTGCCTGCTTGCTGGTGTTGGCGGCGCGTCAGTCCGCCTGTCCGACGGACCATCACCAACCGTCACATCTACCCCAGCATTCCTCCAAATTGACAGCGCGAAAGCTGCCCATAATGAATCACTTGTATCGGCAGCCATCCACTGGTAAACCCCGATCTTGGGCAGTACCGGCACATTGGGAATTCAAATGCTGGAAAGGTATAGCAAAGTAATGATAATAATAATAAAAAGGGTATCTTTTCCATCCGTCTGTCTGAGCCCAGCCCAGTGACGCCGGTGGCAGCAGTCGGGCCACGCTGAACTGTCTCTTGCCTCGTACAGATATATTTGTACATACACCCGAGTTGCCCGAACATGATATGTTGACAATGTAAAAGGAAATCAGAAAGGCAAAGCAAATGAAGCCCTAGTCTATATGCGCAAACCCAAGCAAAAACTTCCCAACTTTTGTTGTCCCGAAACCAGTATTGGAGGCAGCCCTCCAAACAAAAAATAAGAAAACCCTGTCTGTCTGCTCTGAATCTGATCAGGCTCGGACAGGGAGCCCGTGAGGGCAATGCTCTTGTCGTCTACTCTTCTGCGCCGTTTTGGAACACTGCAACGTGTTCGTGTCTTCAAGCGAGGCAACCGCCTATCACTGAAGCAAGGCAGAAAAAAGGACGTATCCCGAAATGTGCCCAATGTACCCCATCTATGCCCAAAACGCCGCGCTAGGACTGGTCTGGTCCTGAGAGCGCTGTGAAAAATCCAAGTGAAGGGAAAAGAAATGTCCAGGCTCTTGAAGCCTGGGGTTCCCCCCGAAGTCGAGCCGCTGAGAGGCAAGGGAAGGCTTTTGATCCGCGGTCGGCAAATGGTGATCATGCCGGATGTTGGTAAATTAAAATATGTCATGTCAAGGTGCCCGTAGACACAAGTCGAAGAGAAGAAGACGTCTTGCTGGGATCAAGGCTCGCAGCGGTCCGATGCTTTTATCGAGGATGAGGTGGAGGCTTGGGAACGCCCGTGGTATCGTAGGCACCACGGCCCATGTTGCAAGGACTCGATGATTCGGCAAGCATGGTGATGTGTTTTGTTGTTGCGGTGTGATCGGTGTTGCAATGTCCAGTGAAACGAAGAGAGCTATTGTTGTGTTAGTAGATGTAATCGCATTAAGGCTGGAGAACCAAGCAGTGTGAGGACACTCGAGATTCGCAGCGCAAGCGAGTTGTACGTACCAGCTCAATCGTCAGTGTAGAGGGTGTATTGGACTGGGGCGAATTGTATGGATACCAATGCGTGTAGGACAGACGACGGGAGTAAGATACTGTCTCGGTAGGTGGTCGAACAGGGCGTCGGGTGTTTGAAGGTCGTCACGCGATGTGCTTAGAGCTTCTTATATGTCTGCGCAACAGCGTGTCCAAGCTTGTAGTGTGGTTTTTGATGTCTTTCGGTGGCTGGCAGAATAGGCGGGTATATTCTTTTCTGTTGGCAATGGTTGCAAGTGCGTGTACAGAAGTATATCGAGGCGAGTCGTAGACCGAGCCGAGGCAAGGGTCAAGTGATGGATCGATGCGTGAGCCGCGAGGCTATGATTAGTGTAGTAGATGTGGTGGTATTAACGAGGTAGGAAAACAGAACGATGGTACACGATTGGACTGAAGGAGAGTAGGGGAGAGCTGAGAGAGGCAAAGGAATGGAATGGTGCGAGACCAGGAGCTTTTGTATATTAAGAGGCCAGAAGAAGAGCAGGAGGATTGCAGAAGGAAAGTGGAAGGGGGCTTTCCGTCACCGAGGACGACTCAGGCAGCGCCCAGAAAAAGTTGAGAGCACAAGAAGGCAGGCAGGTACCTTGTCCTTCTCCAGGTACCGTAGATTGTCAAATTTACCAGCTGGACACGCCACGCTTGCTAGGTAGCCGGTACGAGCGATCCGCCGCCGGGCGTGCCTGAGCGCTCGCGGCCCTGTTTGGGAGAAAAAAGCAGCAACGGACGGCCCAGCAAATAGCCGTCGCAGGAGAATGGCTAAAATGGACATGGGGGCCACTCTAGCGCCGAGATGGGCAATTAAGGGTGCCAAAGCAGGGAGGCGCCAGGCATGGAAACCGCGGCAAGGGAGTGCGAGGGCCATGACATTCCAACAGTGTCATAGTCCGTCGCCTCAGCGGGTGCGGATGGGATGTTTGGGGCCTTGGGTGGGCAACGCGACCAGACGCACCCAGGGGCCAGCAGCAGTGGATGGACGCGACGGATCGAGCCAGTGCAGGACAGGATGGAGCTATGAAGTTAGGCCAGGGGTCTGGGGTCATGGCTGCTGATCCGCTCAGCCCAAAACGCCGGGCGGATGGGGTGCGTGCCCACAACAGCGCGACGACACTGTGCATTGCTCGCCGATGATACCTGGTCGTCCATCACTGTCAGCGCTGGAGGATTGTACCTGACGCTAGCGTCACGTCCACCACTCATTACGGATCAGGGGGGCATCCACGCCGGAAGAGCGCGACACCGTGCCCGTGGACGCTCCAGTTATTCATCGGCGAGACTCCACTGTGGTCTTCTCTTTTGGTGGTTTTCAAATCAGTCAAAGAGAAAAAATGTTTGCGCAAGGTGAGTTGCGGATGAATGGTTCATCGTCGTTTATGATACGTACGGTCAATTGTGACATATGCTTCCATGGGCTGAATGCGAATGGCAGCCTCAAAATGATTCAACACAGTATCGCATTCCGGGGCCTATCACTTTCCAGGAAGAAGCAAAAACGTGGGAGCATGCAGGCACTGTCCCGAGGGTGTGTGTGTAGAGATCCAGGCACCTCAAACGCGCTTTTGCCAGAACGCAACAGCGCGCGTCATGACCTGATTCAACCTCATCCGTCCCCTGCGCACGACGCTGTGGAAGTAAAACCTGCTCTTCAACGCGCCGGTGTACCGCCGCTCACATCGAGGCCATGGCATTGGCAGTTGCACATATGCAAGCTCACCGAGAAAATAGGCATTGCGCCGGGCGGCACTGCACCTCGAGAACTCTTTCCTGGGCCGATCTTTGTGCGACTATCGGGTCCAACAGGGCGCAGTATAGGATCACAAGGGCCGGGGGTCCTAACAGCAAGTTTGTCCACGCTTCTTCTCAATTGATTTTCCGGGTGCTGTGTGTCAATAAGCAATTATTCTCTGCCGCTCGCAAAGGCAAAAAAATGTCTGCCGTGCTTTCTGTGAATAATTGACCATAACCTGGAAACTGACCATCCACTTTTGGCTTGCCGAACTGGGAGCAATCAGCATGTCGCCGATCCATGCTCCTAGTCTACGAACTGAGACAAACGGCTGTCGTTCGCCTATTACAACGCCAACGGGTGTTTGCTGTATAACATTGCACTGCATCCGAAACCACCTCCCTAATAATAATTGCGAATCGTGTAACGGCGCGAATTCGTATGCGGTTTCATCACTGTGCCAATCGACCATCTCTTCTCGTGGAAAAAAGCCTGCTCTTGCGATAGGATCGCTACCGCAGGGGATAATGAATGGCGCAACTTGCAAGTCGCACTGCATCTCGGCTCTAATGTACTCATCATTCTTCCTGAACGCCCGCATCGGGTTATTATTATTTATCATCAGTGCAATTAGCCTTTGGCTGCATCTGCCGGGCCTTCTGAAAGATGACGTGGGTTCAACTGGCCGCGTCCGCTGTTGATGCTCCAACTTAACTGTCAGATTGGTCGCTCTTCCGTTGTCCATCTGCCATGTGGGCTGACCGACCAGGTGACCCCTTACAAGACCTAAATACGGAGCGATTTGTCAATTTCGCCTTCAGCTTAGCGATCAACCCAGGAACTTCAGGAAGCAAAGGAGATGGCTGGTGCACGCGAGGCACATGGAGATCACTTGACTTGTATACGTAGTTAACGCAAAGACAACGTCCCAAAGTCGTGTCTTGAGAGGATATGCGTCACCCAAGACACCGTCGTATACGTACCGGAGGCCAAATGGCATCGAGGATGGATACTTGCTATATGGACCATTTCATCCATTGCAGGTAGAACAGTCTCCGGACGACGTTCAGAGCTACCACCACAGCAAGCGAGCGTTCATCGGGCGTCGGAGCCGCCTGCCTGTCTTCCGCGACCCAAAATGCCGGTCCCAATGACAAAAGGTCGTCCGCGGAAGTGGCCCGGGGACCATTCCAAATCTCGGGCAGCGCAATTAATGAGGCGGCAACAGGGGCTGCCGCCGTCTGGCCCGTCTCAGGGTGCACGTCTGCCAGTGCCATGTGCGAGGCGGTGCGATGCTGTCGTAGAAGTCTTCTGGAAGCTGTCAAACCTAATAAGTAGTGGAGACAGACAAACGCGAAGCCGGGGTGTCCTACATGTACCTGGTAGACAGTGTGCGTCTTGAGGCTAATCGGCTCACAGCCAGGGGCTCGAATTGGGGGGGGTGTCCTTCCCAATGACGATTGTATAAAAATTCACCACCAAAGAAAAGATCGGTCGGACTGAGCACGTACGCACGTAATGATGACTTTGGGTAGCGAATGGCCCATCCGTCTTTGACGATCTGCCTGAGTCACCAAGCGATTGGGGACTTTACAAATAAAGGAAGCACTACAAACGTGGTGTTGTGTGTTCTTCGCGATTCAAGGTGCCATGGCTAAGGTACTGCAGTAATAAAGACACGAGTCGTTCGCAAAGGGACTGTGAATTGGGATGGTCACCTAACATCAGGGGAGGTCATTGGTCGTGCTTTCCGCGGCTCTCCACGGGTACGTACCTCTGACAGTGCATCACCGCGCTCTTCTAAATTGCACAGTGTTAAAAGATTGGGCGTCAAACTGCATGTCACTGTGCCGGCTGTTCCTGCATTGGCGCCACGCCCCCTAAAGTCAATTCATCTCACTCATGACGAGATCTGTCCTTGAGCAGTCAAGTGTCAGGTTCTCCCGATGATAACGAACAATAGCTGGCTGAGGATTCAGACTGAGTCATTAGGATTTCGCTCTAGCCCTTCAGCCCCATCAGCCTCTTTTCGACTTCGCCCGTCCGAGCAGGCCACACTCTCACAGTCTCACTTCTGCCAGGCTGTCATGACACAACGTGGGAACAGGGGCTCCCCCTATAATGCAGCAACCAACCCATGTGAGCTTTCGTTACTCCGCCAGCATGATAACAAGTTCCTTCAAAAGGGACTTCGCTCGCGGATTTGTGGAAATGGCAATGCCTCGCCTCGCCACATTGTCATAAGAACTTTGTCTAACGTAGAACCGATCAAGGGTCTGCCTTCTTGGGGGCCTGTTGCGGATGCGCTGTCCCGAAATCCTGGGGCTGGCCTACTACATACGTATCTCTCCACCTCGTCTTGTCTCGAGACTGTGTCTGTAGTAAGATGGCACGCCTACGTGGAACTTCAATAATTGCTCTATTCGGACTGTAAAACTGACTCGATTTGTGACGCTCGTTGGGAGAGCCATTACTAGTGCGGCTCGCGAGTGGCTGTGCTACTGAATCAATGCGGACAATAACATTCGTTTCCTTCCATTCTCCCACCAACGGAGCAGTCAATACGGACGTCCAGAAGCGGACACCGCCGTCAGCGGTTTCAGATCTCTTCAGCCAATTTACTCGTTCCAGACATCGTCACCCCAGACCCAGCGACACGGTCAGTGGTTTCCCACGCCGGGGATGTGCGTCGCCTTGTTCCGCCGCCCTATCCTTACCAGCCCGTCGACCGAGGATGGCTTCCGTGACGTTTCTAGCGTCTTCTCTTCGCTCGCCCGTAATTTCAAATTTTTCCCCGTCGTTTTCTGTCCCGTCCGTTTCTTTCTGTCTCACAGTTTCGGCGCTCAATTCAGGGTCGCCAGAACGCACTGTGCCTGAGGGGACCGCATCCGAATTGTTGGGGGCTGGTTCCGTACCGAGAAGAGTATCATGACAAGGATGCCAAATTGGGCAGACATTCATGGAAGATCTGCGTACTACAGTCTACTAAGTAGTCTAGTCTCGCGCGCATGAGGAACTTCCTGGCTAGAACTTATGTTCGTCATGTTGCAATCTGCTTGCCTGAAGCTGGGCATGCTTCTCGTCAACAAGGCGGGACGAAACGAACAGTGCCTGATGGGCCGATGGCGAAGCTTGTGTACATGATTAGTGGCTTGCCCTTGAAACGACGTACAGTAGCTGGTTACTTGGCTGACGCGGTTTGTCCTTCATCTTGCCCGTGAAGATATGCCACCGCTTTTGCAACTCCTGGCCGGATTACAGAGTATTCGAGCTTGCCGAATGGGAGTCAGGACAACCCTCTACTTTCCTGTTTCGGCATCTGTCCCATTTAGCAGGACGTCTGTGGTCGATCGGGTCTTGGTCTAACGACGGTTAGGGAGTCGAGGACCTGTCAGCGTCGCCGCCTCTTCTCGAAGCACTATGATCAAATTGGGAGGTGTCAATCCCTCCTATTGAAACATGCAATTCAGTATATCAATAGGCTGTTGTAGTGGTCTTGCTGCCATTTAGTATCGCCCGCGCTCACGTCTCCGGATGTCGCGTTCCCAGTTAGGCTAGGTGGCCGGAGTTGGGTCGCATATCGAAGTGGGATAAAGACTGTTCCTCATGTAAACAGTACTGGGAGTGGAATGTAAAGCCTACATGTATTATTAGCGAGGTATCGCATTGTTCATGTTCAATGTATGCATTGGAGTCGAAGCGTCTAAAGATGCGACAAGCCATAAACGGGGGTTGCCTTTCCGTGTGTTTGGGTTGTGGTGCCTGAGTATTGGTACCTTAGATAGTCTTGTTTTACGTCACCATTGATGGCAAAGCATGGGAAATTATAGCGAGAAGGAGATAGTCCAGGAAGTCAACCCACGACTTCACTTCATTGACACAAGGACATCAGATTACTACTACCTGGTAGTGATTGAGATTATAGTTGAACGAACTTCCAAGTTGAGATCGTACAGGGTAGCCAACTCGACAGTGCCTCCCCCACACGAGCGCAACCGCCCTCCGGTCAGCCTCCAAGTCCCCACCCCGCCGTGCCAATGTCTGACGCAGCAGCTCCCATCCGCCTGAGCTGCATCATCACCAACACTGGAAGTAAATCGACCCGACTTAACACTACGATCCGTCCTGCAGCTCACGATTGAGGCGTTCAGAACCCCAGCCGCCCAGAATGTCTATCATCCAGCAACACAGCAACGCCACCCTCGGTGACGCTTGGCGCACCATCAACATCGACGCGCTCACCGAGGACTCGTCCGTCAACTTCGACACCTCCACTCTCCATCCTCCCCAGCCCGAGATATCCGAGGCGGATGCGCGGCAAATCAACACACAGGTGCGACAGCTGCTGCGCGGGGGCGACGCCGAGGGTGCTTTGAGGGGATGCCTAGACACACCGGTATACAATGGCTCAGAGGCGGCAAAGGTAGGATGCTCAGAGTGTCAGGACTGGGAAGGCCACATCTGAATAACACCGAATAAACAGGATGCGCATCTGCAAACCATCACCGAAGTGCTGCAGTCGATCAAGGCGAGCGAGATGAGCCCATTGCTCAAGAGCATTTACAGCTCAGAGGGCGGAAACGAGGCATTGGATGTTCTGATGAAGTACATGTGGGTACCTTGTCTCTTCCGACGATGATACGGTACTGACTATCCTCCGTAGCTACAAAGGAATGGGCGCTGGCGCTCCCAAGGTCTCGAGAACGCCATCTGGCGTAACCCCCCAGTCTACAGGAGGGTTTAGCCAGGTAGGAGGACGCCCAGGTTCGAACGAGCCCACGGGAGCAGCAATGAGTGTGCTGCTGAGCTGGCACGAGAAGGTTGTGGATGTGGCTGGCCTGGGCTGCATCGGACGCACGATGACCGATTGGAGGAGAGTATAAACAGAGCACGAGCTGGGCTTGGGGGGCTGAAGTCGCGAATATAGATATCTATATGCCTCCCAATTGCATGGATGAATTTGGTGTACATATACTACAAGAGAGGCCCATTGCTCTCACTTTTGCTCCAAGATATCCTTGAGGTTGAGATCACCGCTGCCCCGTGGTAGGGGCTTGGCTTGATCGGGACTTTCGTGCCACCCGATCATGTAGATGATCCTGAATGTAGCCGGCAGCGAACCATCTTCGTTGCCATGTAGTTCGCGGTAAATGGCTTCGTTGGCAAGCAGCAGATCTCTGCTGATGGGCCCCATTTCCCTTCCGAGAATCACGTTCGACTCGCCCATGGCCTGGAGATCCTGCATCAACGTGAATGTGTCGGGGTAGTCGACGATGATATCGTCCACATCGACCGTCAGCATTTTAAACCCTGCTTTCTGCAGTAGCCCCCCGACATCACGGACGTCGGCCAAAGGTGACACGCGGGGTGACATGCCTCCCCGCCTCTCCTGCTCGGCGAGCTGAAGCGATGTCCGTAACTCGAAAAGCGTGTCGCCGCCGAGCATAGCCCCAATGAATGGACAGTCCGGCTTGAGAATGTTGTTGATTTGAGTGAGTGTACCTGGCAGGTCGTTGATCCAGTGCATGCTGAGGTTGCTCATGACCAAATCGAACGACTCCGGTTCGTACGGCAGAGTCTCCTCGTCTTCAAGAACGTGGCGGGTGATATTCAACTGGTTATTGAAGTCGAGCTTGGCGTCTCGGTACAGCAGAGCCTCGGACGATTCAGCTGCCACTAGTTCGGTGATGCGCGTAGAGATGGGCGGCGAGTCTGGCTTCGAGGGATCTGGATCCGGATTCGGCTGTACTAGAGCGCGCGCAATGTTGCACGAGTTGGCTCCAACATCGAGGACCTTGGGAAAGTGTCGCTTGATATCCTGTCAAGAAGGTGAGCGCGGGTCCGGTCCGGCCATGGTATTCAGCAACCTACAAGTAGACGCTCGGTAAGTCGGACGGCCACCTCGTCCTTCAGATAGTCAGTCTCTCGACTGAGCTCTGGGTTGGCCGCCGCACGCTCCTTCTGCAACCATTTGGAGCGGCGGTTGAACACCTGAAAGCGTGGCGCGCCACCGGACTGAACCGCATATGTTCTGCGATGACATCGCGATAGCTGGTGCGGCAAGCTAGGCAAGCGGCTGCTCGCGGCAGTGAGAGAGCGCGTGCATGATGACATTACATGCTACTCCGGACCAAGCGACGGGGTCCGTGTCAGCATCCAGCTTGCCTTGAAGATGTTGAGAAAGGAAGGGAGTGGCTGCCTGTGAGTGTGACGGCATCCACCGTTGAAGAAGCCGCTCCAGCGATTTGAAGGTGCACGGACCAGGGGACCGACCGTCTGCAATGAAAGGGTCCCCACATTTCGACGGACTACCTACAGGCTACTGCGGTGCACCCTCCGTATCCACGTCCATCTCAGGAGGAATCCACGGAGTCAGTTTGAGGAACTGCATTCGACGCACAGGTCTGGCTTGGGGCAACAGAGAGGCGATTCGGATCCAACTACCTCGCGCAGGTTACTTGTCCGCGAAAAGTCGAGACCACCTGCGCCATCTCCGCCCTCTCACATCCTCGGATCATCTGAGCCCCTCGAATCGCCAACCGGACGTCCGAATCCGAGCCCCCCTCGCGCGCGTGTATTGATGGTGAGCTCTTGAGCAACCGCGGACGAGCTGTCCACGTATACACCAGAGGTCAAGATAGGAGTCAATCTGCATACTCCATCGTGCCGATCGATCGACGTTCCGAATCCAACGTACTCTCTCGTAGCCCTCGGGGCGCTCAAGGTCATCCACCATGTCGACTTCAGGCGGCGGCTTTCTCGGCCGCTCGAGCAGCAGCAATGCCAACATGCGAGGGCTCGTTCAGTTCATTGCTGACCTCCGAAACGCCCGTGCGCGCGAGCTGGAGGAGAAGAGAATCAACAAGGAGCTGGCCAACATCCGACAAAAGTTCAAGGACGGCAATCTCAACGGGTATCATCGCAAGAAATACGTCTGCAAGCTGCTATACATCTACATCCTGGGCTGGAATGTCGACTTTGGTCACCTCGAGGCTGTCAACCTGATTTCGGCCAACAAGTACTCGGAGAAGCAGATAGGATACTTGGCCATGACCCTGTTCCTTCATGAACAACATGAACTTTTGCACCTGGTGGTCAACAGTATAAGAAAGGATCTCCTGGACCAAAACGAGCTGTACAACTGCCTGGCATTACACGCCATTGCCAACGTGGGTAGTCGAGAGATGGGAGAGGCCTTGAGCAACGAGGTACACAGGTTGCTCATCTCGCCGTGAGTCTGCCCCGAAGGTGCGACTTGGCCATTCAGACTAACAAGCGAGCAGGACATCCAAGTCCTTTGTCAAGAAAAAGTCAGCATTGACCTTGTTGCGACTGTACCGAAAGCACCCCGATATTGTCTCACCACAATGGGCGGAGAGACTGATTCATCTCATGGACGATGTTGATCTCGGCGTTGCGCTCTCAGTGACATCGCTGGTCATGACGCTGGCCCAGGACAACCTGGAGCAATACAAGGGCGCGTATGCCAAGGCTGCGACGAGGCTGAAGCGCATCATTATCGATGGCGAATACACAACCGACTACCTTTATTACAAGGTGCCCTGCCCCTGGCTCCAGGTCAAGCTGTTGCGACTCTTGCAGTACTTCCCGCCTTCGGAAGACACCCACGTGCGCGACATGCTGCGCGAGGTGCTGGAAAAGATCCTCAGTCTTGCCATGGAAGGGAGCAAGAATGTGCAGCAGAACAATGCGCAGAATGCGGTTCTATTCGAGGCTATTAACCTCATCATCCACCTGGACACGGAGACAAGACTGATGAAGCAAATCTCTTCGCGTTTGGGACGTTTCATCCAGAGTAGGGAGACCAACGTACGATACCTGGGTCTCGAAGCCATGACGCATTTGGCTGCGCGTGCCGAAACTCTGGATCCGATCAAGCAGCACCAGGATATCATCGTCGGCTCACTGAAGGATCGCGACATCAGTGTGCGTCGCAAGGGTCTCGACTTGCTGTACAGCATGTGCGATACCGACAATGCGCAAATCGTCGTGGCCGAGCTCTTGCAGTACCTCCAAAATGCCGACTTTGCGATCAGGGAGGAGATGGTCCTGAAGATTGCCATCCTGACGGAGAAATACGCCACGGACGTCCAATGGTATGTCGACATTTCTCTGCGCTTGATCGCCATGGCAGGCGACCACGTCAGTGACGAGGTTTGGCAGCGCGTCATCCAAATCGTCACCAACAATGAGGAGCTACAAGTGTACGCCGCGCAGAACGCGCTGCAGTACTTAAAGTCCGACCACTGCCACGAGACTCTCGTCAAGATTGGCGCGTATATCCTCGGAGAATTTGGACATCTCATTGCCGACCAGCCCAAGTGCAGTCCGATCGAGCAGTTTCTGGCGCTCCAGAGTAAGATCGCTCCCTGCTACTCCGGCACACGATCCATGATTCTGTCCTGCTTCATCAAGTTTGTCAACCTGTTCCCCGAGATCAAGCCCCAGCTTCTCGGTATCTTTGATCTCTACAGCCACACCCTTGACTCGGAGATGCAACAGCGTGCCTGCGAATATCTCGTGCTGGCCTCGATGCCGACAGACGACCTGCTTCGAACAGTATGCGACGAGATGCCACCTTTCCCGGAGCGGCAATCTGCGCTCTTGTCACGTCTGCACCAGAAGCAAGGCGCTACGAGCGACAAGCGGACCTGGGTCATCGGCGGCAAGGATGCGAACAACGACAGGACGGAGTTGAAGATGGCCTCGCCCAGTGCGTTGAAGCGGACGTTTAGTTCTGGTAACCCCTTGAACGGGGGTTCCAACGGCGCAAATGGGGCCTCCGACTTGGCAGGCCTGGACATGAATGCGTCTGGGCCGTCGGAACCAAAGCCGCTCAACGTGCCTAATTTGGCGAGCGCTGCGCATCTGTCCCCCGGCTGGGAGAAGGGGTACAACCGCCTGCTTGTGCGCACGGACGGTGTGCTTTACGAGGACGGTCAGATCCAGATCGGTGTACGATCGGAGTACCGGGGGCAGATGGCCTGTCTTATTGTTTACTTCAAGAACAAGATCCCCACAGCACTGGGCTCCTTTACGACTACGTTGGATTTGGACGAGAGCGAGAAGACGAAGCTCACGTGGGAAACCAAGTCCTTGCCGGACAGCCAAATTCCGGAAGCGGCCCAGTCCCAGCAGGTGATCATGTTCGAGGCGAAGCACGTCTTCGCCAGGAGCCCAACCATGCGCGTGAGCTACCTGGCGGGTGCTCTACAGGCCTTGACTCTGAAGCTGCCCGTGGCCATCCACAAGTTCATGGACCCAGCAGATCTATCGGCAGAAGACTTCTTCAAGCGGTGGAAGCAGATTGGCGGCGCCCCCCGTGAGGCGCAGGCCATCTTCGGCATCACTGGCAATAACCGAGCCTTTTCCCCAGAATTTGTGACTCGCACGGTCAATGGCTTCCGGTGGCGGATCCTGGACATGGTGGACCCCAATCCTAGGAATATTGTAGGCGCCAGTGTCCTCCACACGTCAGGGGGCGGCAAGTTTGGGTGCTTGATGAGACTCGAGCCAAACTACGATAGCCAGGTAAGCTTGCCCAACTGCGGTATAGCACTTCGTGCATACTGACCACCTCTCTCAGATGATTCGTCTTACTATCCGCGCCACGGATGACTCGGTTGCTCCCATTCTCCTGTCGCTCATTCAGGAGCGCCTCAGCGTGGGCGTTTCGACCGGGACCGAGCGCCACCCACCTTCGGAGGACCAAATGCTGGATGCATTTGGCAATGTGATGGTCAACTAAAGCGAGCGGGCATATTCCATGTTCAGTATATAATTACGCGTCCCCTATGCCGGAGTCGTTCTTGAAAAGCGTGGAAAGCACATTGGCGTTTTGCAGGAGCATGATGGTGGGTGGACCGCATGTCTAGGTTAGGGGTGGACATTTTTTTGGTGCTGCAGCGGCATCATCGAGGTATGAATTCGGAGTATTGTGTGTGCTTCTTAGCTACGCCGTGATCTTCGCCTCGGCCTTGGGTGGCCTTTGACCAAAGATTGTGCTGCCGACCCTGACCTCACCACTGCCCATCTTGATTGCGCCCTCAAAATCCTCGCTCATGCCCATGCTCAGCTCAAGCCGGCCCGCCTCAAGACCCAGCTCCTTCTCGACAAGGTCTCTCTGTTGCTTGAGCGTGGCAAAGTCCTCATTCTCTGTCTCTGCTGTCGTCGCCTTGCTCCGCGCGATCGCACCAATGGTCATCAGTCCAAGGAGGTGCAGGCTCGGGCAATTCTCTAGAATCTCGCGGCAGAGTGCGACGGTGGCATCCCCCGGCTCGCAGCCTGACTTTGCCTCTTCGCCCGATGTGTTCACCTGCACGTGCACTGAGATCTTGGGTAGATCAGGCAGTGCGGCGCGGGCTGTGTTGAGAAGATGCGCCTTCTTGGCCGTATCGACGGACGAGACGCAGAAAAGATTCGGGATCTTGGCCAGGGGCTTACAGTGGCCTATTGTGCATTGTCAGAACCATTGTCGTCGTCGTCGTCGTCGTCGTCACTCGACCGACTGCAGAATGGGTGAGAAGCTTGCCTGACTGCAGGCCACCGATAAAGTGCCACTGTATGGCCCGGGGAAGAAGCTCGCTCTTCTCCCTTAGTTCTTGTGCATAGTTCTCGCCAAAGTGGACATGGGAGGCCGGCGCTTGGTGCAGCGCGAGAATGTCATTCGCAGGCTTCAGCTTGCTCACGGCCACGAGGCGGACATTCTGGCCAATGGAGGCGGCACCAGCGACGCGCGACTGGATGGCAGTGAGGTTTGCTACGAGCGTGGAGGCGCGGGACGGATCGACTTTCATTTCCTCTGTCATTTCTTCCGTGCTGTCTAGCGAGATGCGCGTCCAGTTGTACAAGTAGTAGTGAAGTGAAGGAAGTTGAGTCGCGGGATGCATGACGATGTTGAAATTCGGGATATCATCGGGCAACCGCCTCTCACCTTCTTCCGCCTCGCATCTCAGGACCGCCCCGTATGACAAGTTTTGGGTCCCGCCTCTCGTTTGATTGAACAAAATGTCCGACTTTAAGCACCAGCGACGGCGGACGAACAGCAATGCGCTGTCGCTGAGGAGCGCAGGGTCGGCTGGTGGCGGAGGACACGCACGTGGCATCTCACGCGCCGTCATTCAGCCAAGATCAACACACACCTCTGATGAATTCCTCAAACCCTTTCTCCAATCTTCATTCGACCCTGCGAACTTTTTCAACGCCAACCTCCCGCCTGTGCAGCAGCGTAGTGGTGAGGGCGCAGCTACAGGGGGCACGGCGGACCTGTCATCGCAAGCGCAGGCGCTCATCACCCAGCTCAATACTCACACCACACGCCTGTCAAACACACTCACAACGCTCACCGACGACATTCTACGCAGCGGGAGCCGTCTGGCCTATGAGGTGGAATTACTTCGGGGCGAAACGGTGGGGCTGAACGAGACGTTGCATGAAACCCTGGCGGACGATGTGAGGAAGTTCGTGCCAGAAGGCCTTCCGACGGAGCCGGCCGTCACGAGGATCAACGAAGAGCAAGAGGAAATGGAGGAGGCCACGACGACATCGACGGAGCCCGAGTTTGTGAAGCAGCTGCAGACGCTGACCCTGGTGCGCGCACGGCTCGACTCTGTGATCAAGACCTTTGGGGACTCTATGGAATTCGTCTTCCCGCCCTCGGAGCTCTCCGTCTCGTCCTCCTTCCTGTCCGTGTCCGCGCCCGAACCTGGCTCGGAGCAGCAATCGTCCGAGGAAAAGGGGCAGCAGGTGCTCGCCAAGCTTCGCGGGGAGATTGCGGATCTCCTCGACACGCCGGCCGATCCCGTGGAGGGCATCGCGCAGGCGGCGCAGCGGGTGGAGGAGCTCAAGGAGCTGACGACGGTGTGGCGTGGCACGCGCGAGGAGAAGGGACGGATGCGGTTCATTGAGAGCCTGGCCAAGATGGTGGAGGACAAGCATCGGGAGCTGATGCGGGAGATGGAGCTGGCCGCCAAGAAGAACGAGGCGGTGGCCGCGACTGGTAGGACCAGGAAGAGCAGCGTGACGAGGGATGCGGCGGTGGAGGAGGCCAAGGTTGTGCCTGGCGGGTTTGGGCTGTTGAACCAGTTGCAGCGGTTGAGGAGTGGTCTGTGACACAGGTTGTTGACCGATATCACTGGCACATGGACTCGGGCAGAAGCATTGCGGTCCATTGCTATACAAGAGCTTCTAGTGACAGGAAGTTGGTGTCATCTGGCTATGCTATGACACGGCAGATCTGCAAGGGGAATCAGACAGGGCATGTTTGAGCCAGCCAGCGCAGCACCACGACTCCACGAGTGCACGCTAAGAGATGAATACGCGAATGGCCTGGCTGTAAACGCGGGGACTTGACTGGTCGATAGAAAATAGTTATGTGGAGGGGTGAAGGACATCTATTTCTACATCAGGTACTCTATTGAACATTCTGCTGAGCCACGAGATTCCATGTTGCATGCCCTACTCGTCTTTGACCAGAGCCATCACAAAACCATTCAAGGCTGGTGTAGGTAGCATAGGGTGACAAGCCACGTTGGGCACAAGTGCCGCCTTGACTCTGTCGTCCTTCCCAATATGCGTCAGGATGGAATCCACTCCCGGTTTCACCTCGCCGTTCTTAAACATGGAAGCCACCACGTCGTCAAAGAAAACACACCCTCCAGGACGGGTCAGTTTGACAGCCCAGTCAAAGTGCTCCAAATGGTCCTCAAAATAGGCATCAATAAAGACCATGTCAAACTGCCGTTTCTCCTCGGCCAGTTTGGGTAGCACGTCAAGTGCAGCTCCGAGCAGAACCTCGACATCAAGACCCTCGAGGTTCTCCAGTGCGACATTGCGATACTTGGGATCGATCTCAATACTTGTCACCTTGGCGCCACCTTGGGCAAAGCAAATGGCCGAGTAGCCACCAAGTGTACCGATCTCGAGTACCGACTTGGCGCCCATAAGTTGAGTGAGGATCGATAGATGCTGGCCAGCCATGGGCACGACGCTAATGGGTGGGAGGCCTTTGGCGGTTGAGTTGGTGAGAGCTTGTTCCAGCTTGGGGTTGGGTGCAAGTAGTGAGGTGTCGGCTAGGGTTTCCAGAACGGGGGCTTGGCGGAAGTTGTCGAAATCGACAGCAGCCGCTAGAGAACTGAAATCAAAGTCAGGCATGGTATGTGGTGTTTGATGTGCTTTGATGATATGATTGAGAATTAGAAACGTTTGTTTTATTATCTGCTATGCTAACCTTGCGCTATGGGCATTGCCTTTATAAGTAAGTAACAAGTTCAACGACATAGTCCTTGTACGGGGTTGCGAAGGAGTCCACGGATCCGTTGTCCGTCCAGCCCGATTGTCTTGATATGAATCACAATGGCACCAGGCTTACAGAGAAATGCATGCCTCTCATGTCGTCAGAGAAAGCTCAAATGTGACCGACAGCATCCGTGCGCGAACTGTATCGCCCGGTCGATTGAGTGCACTGAGCAGTTATTGCCGGCTCCCAGCCGAGCATTGAAGAGGCCGTTGCCTCAAGAGCCAGATCCCGCAACACTGTCAAGTATACTATCGAGACTAGATCAGATCGAAAGCTACCTCGGCCCAGCTCAAGACAGTAGACATGTTTCAGTGTCATTGCCCATTGGTAACCAGCTCAACACTATTCGATTCAATGTCCCCAACTCTATACCGAAGACACAAGAACCGTCCGATAAGCCCATCATCGGGTTGATGTCCTCTGAAGATCATATGCAGGCTACCCAATATTCGGTCAACGACAGTTTTTTGGTACTAGTTTTCCCAAGGTTCATCAAATACCCCATTCCTCCTAACGGTACCAGCGCCAAGCACTCATGCACGAGCTCAGCATTTCAATCTCCCAAGACTACAAATCGCAGACAACGACCAAACCTCGCCACATACAGCTACCTCCCAAATGGGAGACCCTCCGCTTATTCGGCGTCTACTTTCGCTACTTGGGCCAGGTCCAGCATATAATCTATGAACCACACGCTCGCACTCTTGTAGATGAAGCGTATGACCAGGTCGTTAATGTTTCTGCAACGACTGCTCCTCGAGGACTTGCTTTGATTCTCAGTGTCATCGCGTTCGCCACGATTCTTGAGCCTGTGAATGGAGATCTGGCTACGGCTATTCCAATACTCAAAGAACGACTCGGGATATTTGCCACCTACATCCGATCGTCGATGGACTGTCTGGAGCAACACCGTCGGAGAATAGATCACACGCTCGAAAGTGTACAGGCACTCATCCTTGTCGGTTTCGGCATCTACCACATCGAGGCATTCTCTCCAAGATACCGCGTGTTACTTGCTGAAGCCATTGCTGTCTCTCATAGTCTTGGCCTCCATGCTGTTGACCTAGCGTCGGCTAGCCGAGGCCACCAAAGGGTTGAGACTGACTCGGTGACCCAAGAGATGAAGAGACGAGTTTGGTGGTACCTTGCAGCAACAGACTGGGCCTCCTCAAAGGCAGAAGGTAATGATTCATGGTCGAAAATCATAGTTGACTTGCTGACTTTACCTAGGATCGTCCGGAGTCACATACCTTGTCCATCCAAAGCTCATCAATACCAATCTCCCAAAGCATATCAACGACGATGACCTCGGCAAGCTTGATCTCAATGAAAGACCCATTTCAGAACCCACTTCCATGTCGTACAACCTCCAACGTCTAAAGACCGCCGAGGTAGCTCGCTGTATCTCTGATCTGATGCCGCACGATCCAAGCGAAGCGTCATGTGAGTTGATACTCTCACTCGACGCGAAACTTGAATCGTTGCTGTGCGAGCTTCCAGACTTCTTCAAGATAGAATGGAAGGACTCCCAGGAGACTCAACGAATAGACGAAGCGCATCCCTACATTCCATTGCAGCGGCTTCTGGCCAACCTGCTGATCAACATTGTCCGATGCGGACTGCATTTCCCCTACCTCTCCGGACGCGCCAACAAGTCTCTGCATGCTTTTTCACGTCAAGCCAGCCTAAAAGCCGCTCGAGCCGTGCTTTCATCCCATCGGGGTATGAGCATGGCGGACATGTCACACTCTGCCGATTTTATGAAGATCCAAGGCACGATATTCCACATATTTGTGGGGGCACTTGTTCTTGCTGCGGATATCTGCTGTAATCAACAGTGTGGACAGGATGGCGAGACGCAGTATTCAGAGCTGATGGCGGTTCTGAAGCAGCTGGATGATGTTAAAGGTCATTCTCAAATGGCTGCGAGATTGTTGGACGTTTTGACGCAGTTGTTGATCAAGTATAGGATCTGGTCGCCGTCTGCGACGATCTCGACGTATGAGGAGGGTGTGACGCCACTGCATGATGTTTCGTTGAGAGATGCAGAGCTAGGAATTGATGATCTTGAGATGGTGTTTCCGTTTGACGAGTTATGGGAGACGTTTGTTGAACGACCGTCGGGTTTCAACGTGCTGGATATTTTGGAAGTTTAGGGGCCTACTCGGGAGAATGTAACGGAAGAGTCATGTCCACTTCTTATCACTTAGCTCTCTTGTCTCAGTTGTTTGGTTTGTAGAACCAATCTTGGAGTTCTGATCACGGGCCTGTGTGCCGCACAAAGGGCCGTTCAGCGAGAAGATGAGAACTCTATGGGATCCTGCGTCATCCAGTGAGCAAGGCTGTATTTGATGGATTCAAGCTACCTGTAGAGATAACCCTTGATCAAAAGTCTGATAACGGTAGATCTGCCTTTATCTAGGGTAGTTCTGAAGGCAGAGTGAAGGACAGCTTTTGGCCTGGCCCTCGATGACTTACCTAAGGTACTGCTCGCCCTTTCAGCCGCCTCGGCGGGCGCACTGACCCGGCGCTAACCAACACCAGTCCAGTTCAGTCCTCCTACCAGCGACACCGGTAGTACCTAAACCAGAACCAACCTGGGCTTGCACGATTTCCTTGCTTCGCTTGTCGGCTACATTTGCAATTGTGCGTGCTTCATATTTTCTCTGCCGTTTTCTACCATCGCAAAGCCTTCATTTATCGCACCTGTTCGCCTTGTCTGACCACCGCAATGGCAGCGCCCGAGACAGCCATGGCGTCGGCAACCGCAGGTCGACGTTCACCACCACCACCGCCCTCGTCCGCCCTTTCGAAACGAGACCGCAAGCGCCAGCAGCTGATGGACCGTCTGGCTGCGACAGATGAGCAGTTCCAGCGCGAGAAGAACCTCACGTACCGTGACCAGCTCCAGCGCATCCAACTGGACATCAACCTCGTCCAGAGCTTCGACCCCTACGCTCCGAACGCCCTCGATGTCATTGGGGGCGCCCAGAGTGAGCATGATCAAGTGCAAAGGGAGCAGGCGCATGCCGAAGGAGCACGGAGTCTGCTGGACATGGCCGGCATCAAGTTCCACACCTTTATGACCGAGATGGAGGACTTGATTGAGAAACGGGACTTTCAACTCACTAGGTCAAAGGTACGCCACAGACAACAGGCGACTGCCCACCACATCCACTGACAAGACTAGAATGAATACGATCGCAAAGTCCAAGAATACAAGAGCGTCCGCGACTACAAGATCGAGACCGCCAAGCGCGAGCATCGAGCCTTGACAGGCACACTCCGCGACCGCCTCATCAACACCCTCACACAGAAGAAGAACCGGCTGAGCCGCGAGAAGGAGGTCCTGGAGATCAACGACTCGAACGCTCTCCTCCTGAACCCGAATCAATTCAGCATCACGAACCCAGCGAGCCCCGGCGGCACCCACGGCAAGAGAAACACCCGTCTGCGCAAGGACGTGGAGGACCTGAACCTGTTCTCCGACAAGAAGCGAAAGCGCAATGCCGGCGATGATGACGGCTCCCCGGCGCCGACACGACGAGCGCTCGATGCCAACAATACGACACCCCTGTGGCAGTCGGAGAAGGCGCGCGTGGCGGCCAAGCAGAACGGACCTCTCTACAGTATCGACAAGCTGTTCACAGACAAGGAGCTGTCCATGCACTACAACACCGCTGCTGTCGCTGCGCACCAATACATCCTCCGCTCCCGCGCCCATGGGAACGGTTCCTCGCCAGACGAGAGTGATTCGGGTAACGGGGACGCCGAGCATGGCGAGCAGGACAACGAGTCGGCAGCCGCCCCCATGATGGAGCGGCAAGTCTCCCACGCGACGAGGAGTACACGCGGAGCGGCGAACCAGAACTTCCTCGACGATAGGATTCTCGGGATTGAGGGCATCGCCAACCTGGATGTGGCGAATCTGGACCTGATCCACGCACAGGAGCCACCCAAGATGCCGCCGCCCGTGCCGCAGCAGTATCTCAAGCCGTACCCACGATCGTCCGACCAGAACTTCCCCGTGCCCCTGTCCCAGGAAGACGTGCAGTCTGATCTGGCCATCATCGACTGCATGAAGCGCTACGACATGCAGAACAACAAGCCAGGCGCTGTCCTGGACGGTGCCAACGGTGTACGTAAGATCCTGGAGGCTGTCGCCACGCCCTACCGGAATGGTCGCTACGTCGCCTTCACGCGCGCCCCGAGGGACGACGCCGAGACATTCCGGGATGGACTCGGGTTGCGGGAGCAGGCTAGTCCGATGCCGTACGGTGCGGCCCCCATGAGTCGTCAAAGCAGCCTAGGCGGTGCGGCTATGAGCCGTTCGGGCAGCACGCGCGGCCGGGGACGTAGGGCGTGAGCGCCGGCCGACGTACTGTATGACTTTTGGGCATGGACGGCGTTTTGGTGGTTTGGGAATGCGTTGCATGAAGCGATGCTGGGCAGGCTTTACGTCGCTGGGGGGCTTTTGATGATTTTTCCCTGGGATTCTTTTGTCACGCCAAGGTACAACTGCTTGGACACGAGCTATTCACACGTGTTATACACAATAGCATTATAGTAGTTATGATATCATTACACTCGTACGCTCATTATCAAATCGCTCTGTCTTTCCTTTCCACATTTCAAGGTCCAAAGACCAATGCTCTCACCTCGATGCTCTCCCTCCCCTCGGCATCCTCCCTGGTCCTGGGGTCCACGAACGCCGAGTGTGGCACTCTACCCCCAATCTTACTGCCCGCCTTCAAGCTCTCACTATCAAAGCACTCGAGCAGGATCCTCTCATCACCCGTCATGCCACTGAGGTAATACCACTCCTGCGCCGGGTTGTGCTGGATGGCAGCCGTCTGGCCCGTGTAGCCATCCGGATACCTGTGCTCAATGGGGATCACATCTCGCTCGTCGAGGGTGGCGCTGGACGCAAAGCCAAGGGGGAAACTCTCGACGGGCGTCTTGTTCAGCGGCCGCCAGACGTTGACGATGCGGTACCGGCCCTGGAGTAGACGCTCGGCCTCTTCGGGCGCGTAGTAGCGTCTCACGCGCTTCTCGACGGACGACGCTGTCTGGTCAATGTGGACTCTAGTGACGGGGTGGCGCGACGAGGTCGGATCTGCGCGGCGGATGGTGTGGTCAAAGAGATAGACCTTTTCGGCGCCTTTGACCTGGTCCAGGAGCAGCTTCTCGACCTCGGGGTAGTAGTTGGCCTTGATGCTCTCGTCGTCGGCAAACTGCTCCTCCGCGCTGGGCGGTTGGGATGACAGGATGGCAAAGGCGTCCTTGTCGAGCGTGAACTCGGCCTCGCGGCCGCGGGCGTCGTTGATGAGGACTTGCTTGACGGCGTCTGAGTAGTTGCGCTCTGGCTGGCCGGCTGCTGGCTCGACGTTGTTGTAGGGCTTCTCGGCGGCATTGGCGGGTGGCGCGTAGAAGTGGAGGGCGGCGGTGACGGGACCGCGGGGAATCGTAGAGGAGCCTACTGCCATGGTGTTGGGGTTCTTGAGATTGACAAGTTCGAGTCTTGTAGTATGGTGTTTTAGGTATGGGATTGACCTGATGTCATGGCCGTGGTGAGAGCATGACGCCCGGCTTTATATACCACGGGTATCCCATCATTGTAGCTCGCCACACCCGTCAGAGCTTTGAAATCAACCGACGAGTCATTGTGACAATGTCAATTGGGAACGGACGCTTGGTGTGGCACGCAGTGGAAGATGTGCTCTCCAACAGATGAGCACGTCATTTGCGGCCACGCCCATTTGTCATGTGCCGTCGAAGATGCTGTTTGAAATCAATCAGGCGCAGATTATTAGTCAAGACGGGTTGATGCATCCGTATACACATGCTGTGTTGAGTGGCACCTAGCAGGGAATATTCGGGAATGAATGGCAGCATGTCGTTTGTTCGTCTGTCGTTGAAAGTCTGGGGTCTTTTCCGCACTGTATTGGCCACCCAATCTCACGCAGATGTACAGTGTTCACACGGTGACTGCGCACATTTTGCCCAGCAGGAAAGCTGCCTAATTATGACGCTTCACCCTCAACTCGCATCGGCGCCCACCCTCAGACACCGGATCTCCGTGGAGGCACACGCTTGACGCTATCATTTTCCCGAAAGGGTCTCGGACTCTCGCGACAGGTCGCAGGGGACTGGAGCCCGTCCCCCATGAGGCGCCTTGCAGCAGCCTCGCCCAAGAGGCCCACCAGCCCGCCCACCGCCATGTCGCTGCCAACCCGCGACGTGACCCCGGAGACACTCGAGGAGGCCTATGTTGCCTTTATTTTCTACTGCAACCCAGCCGTGCCCCGGCACTACGACAGCACGCCCCTCCGGGAAGCCTTCCGGGCGACGCCCAAGCACCTGGGCAAGGTGTTTGACGTATGGACCATCTTCCAGCTCGTCAAGCGGTTCTACGCCAAGGACATCAAGACGTGGACGGAGCTCATCATCACGCTGGGCGTGGAGCCACCGGACCTGGCCAAGGATGAGAGCTCGCAAAAGGTCACGCAGTACGGCGTCCGCCTTAAGAAGTGGATGAACTCGCTGCGCGTCAAGAGCTTCTTTGAGTACCTCATGGGGACACCCAATGACTACTGGACCAACATCCCAAGCACCATCGGCAGCGAGCCCCGCGATGGCGTGGCCGTGGAGGATGACATGGCGCTGCGTGCGCTACTGCCTCATCTGAGACCGAGGCGTGGACGAAAGAGGCCGAGCGAGAGGGAGCTGGACACGCCCGTCTCTGCCAGGCCGAGGCTGTCGCCTGCTTCCGGGATGGAGCCGACCAGCGGCACCTTGACGACGTGGCCTCGTTCGGAAGAGAACGACATGGGACCCGACCAAGTGCACTCGGCGCACCCAGCCACCTCGGGCCCCAGCGAAGAGGCACGCGGCGCGTACGCGCAGTGGCCGGCCTCCGCCGCAACGCCCACGGCCCGCCATGGGTTCTGGGACGAGACGTCGACGCCGACGTCGGGTCCACGGCAGAGACGTGGCCCGAAGAATGTATCGTCCGCATGGAGGGTGGGTCCAGAAGACAATGGAAAGACGCGAGGAAGGCCGCCCGTCAGCCGCACGCCGGTCGAGGACAGCCCTTTTGCCTACAGATCATGGCAGCCACCGCCAGCACACATGGCTGCGGACACGCAACCCCACACTCCGTCTGTCATGGGTCGAGATATAGCGCCTGGTCCTGCCACGGACCATCCAGTTGCTGCACAGATGCCGCTCAGGGACAGGGCGTACTCGGAGAGCCAGAGACCGCAGAGGCCGAGCATCTCTCTCCAGGTACCGGAACGATCTGGCGGCAATGTACGCCTCGCTACGCCGCCACCTCCGCCTCTTCCTCCACATCCCCCGGGCGTGGTGGTCAGCGAGCACCCCGACATGCGGCGGACTGCTGTGCATGAGCCCGTGGGCGAGAGAGTGTACGACACGGGCCACGGCACGGCGCAAGCTAATGGCCACGTCCCCGCGCCGGTGCAGAATCGCTCGAGTGGCTGGCAAGACTACGCAAAGCAGGCGACCGACCAGTACGAGAATGCGGACGATCTAGGCAGCTCCGGGCTGCCGGTCGGGTCAACGGTTGAGCACTATTTTTTCGAAAAGACCGAGGAGCGGACCAACGTGGACACGCTCATCAACTTCTTCATGCGGACGACGCAGGACGGGCAGTGGTTCGACTGCGACGGCCAGCCGACGGAGACGGCGTCGATGGACGAGTCGGCGGCGATTGTCAACGCGTTCCTGCAGGGCATGTTCAAGACGGCGACGAGCTCGCAGGCCTTTTTGATCAATCTGGGGGCGCTGGCCGGGGCGCGGACGCTGATGACGACACAGCCCAAGTACTACCGCCTGCCGGACGGGGAGGGGTGCCACAACTACCGGTTCGAGTGGGAGTACAGCTTTGCGCACGTCAAGGGTCACTTTAACATGACGCAGACGGTGCCGTGGGACATGTGGAGGAAGCCCCAGCAGCCGCCGTCCCAGGGGCCGCCGGGGCTGAAGGTGTCTGCCGACTCTGGTGGGCGAGGAGGCGATGGAGAGGCGGGCCTGTCTGCGGAGGCGTGGAAGAAGAAGTACGAGGTGTTGCTCGGCGAGATTGGGGCGCGGGAGAAGGAGTTGGCGCTTTTGAGGGGGCGAGTCATGTCGAGTCTTCGCGAGGATTTGTCCGAGTAGCTGTGTACGTAGTTTGTATAGGTATTTGGGTGTGGCGTTTGGGCACAGACTTGGGTTTTTGGGGTTCGGGATCACGGTATAGAGTATAGTTAATGTGCATAGGTACATACAGTGTTATCACATCTTCTGGAAGCTTGCCGCACTCGGACACACATCATGGTGATGGGGGTGGTGATCCGACCCACCTCAAGCCACGACAGCACCACTACCGCCATCCAAGTGGTGTAGGGCATCGCGGGTGGCTGATAGATGCAGCCACAAGCTGAGAGAAGCATAGGTAAGGTAAGCACGACAATCTCAACGTGGCTTACCGGGAAATCTATCTGGATCCAGCGAGCCTTGTTGGCGACTCGATGGGCGTCACAGGGTCCAGATCCAGAAACGGTGAGTGAGGTTCTGGAATGAGGAACAATAGGCACAGCTTGATGTTGCGATCGGGCTATCGGCTGGGAGGGACGGACTGGCCGGGAGTTCTCGAGGTGGCGGTGGCGTCGCCTGGATCCCGCCAAGCAGATTTCTTCATCGTCAATAGCAATAAGACCGCTCAGATCTGGCTGGTAGGGCTTCTGATGATAACGAACTAGTCTAGGACTCTAGGCTGCAGCATCTACGTACTCAACTCACCTCACCCTTTGCATACATACCTCCGAACCAACATTCGCCAGGCTGCTGCCGCTCTGACGTTCCAGACGGCCTCTCACGTGCGCCTCCATCGTATCCCTTGGACCCTGGCCTGGGCGACCCCGGATTCCAGAGTCGTATTCAGTGTCCCCTCCTCTCCACCTCCACACTTTTTAGTTCGACTCTGCCAGCAACGATCCTCCCTCTCGACGCAGACTCGCATCGAGAAGCGACCAGGCCAAGGTCCCGGCGGGATCGGATCCTTTCAATTCATCGACACCCTTGCTTGCTGCTTTCTAGCCTTTGGGGCACGAGCGAGCGTCGGCAAAGAGCCTTCGCGTGAAGGAGAAGAAGAAGACGAAGAAGAACAAGAGACCCCCACCCCGGCTGGGTCCGCCGATCAAACTGCAGGACTGGCTCTGCACCATCCATTCGATCGCACTCCATCTCAGGCGTCGCAAACCTACGCTTCTGTCGCATGAACGGCCTTGGTCATGTCGCAGTCCTCTGCGGACAGTGTCGAGCAGATCGAGGCTGTCCACGCCCAGAACACCGCCCATCGCACACCATGCCCTGAACCAAGCCGCCGCTCCGACGACAAGCAGGTCAACCTCAACGACAACTACGAGGCGCGCATCCAGAACCCGCTCGCCAGCCTACCGCGCCACACGCTCCTCCGCGCCGTCGACGACTTTTGCACCGACAAGGGCCTCGAGCAACACCGCCTCATCATCCGCAAGGGGGCCCTGGTCGCGCGCGACCCGACGGGGTACGAGGACATCACCGGGCACGAGGCCCTCGACCAGGCCGAGATTAAAGCCCTGCGCGACGAGGTCCTGCACAAGTGGCGCGTCACGCCCTTCCTGCTCCTGACCATTGTCACCTGCTCCATCGGCGCCATTGTCCAGGGCTGGGACCAGACGGGATCCAATGGCGCGACCATCAAGTTCCCCGAGGTCTATGGCATCGACGGCGAGAACATTCGGGACAAGATGCTCGTCGGGCTGGTGAACGCGGCGCCCTACATTGGCACGGCGTTTGTCGGGTGCTGGCTCTCCGACCCCATCAACGACCTCGTGGGCCGCCGGGGCACCATCTTCTTCTCCGCCAATTTCTGTCTGTGGCCGGTCCTCGGGAGCGCGTTCTGCAACTCGTGGCCGCAGCTCCTGGCCTGTCGCCTGCTCCTGGGCTTCGGCATGGGGTCCAAGGCGTCGACCATACCGCTGCTGGCGGCCGAGACGGCGCCCGCGCCCATCCGCGGCGCCATCGTCATGGGCTGGCAGCTGTGGACGGCCTTTGGCATCCTCCTCGGCACCATTGCCAACCTGGCCGTGTCCAACATGGGGCCGGAGCCGTGGCGGTTCCAGCTCGGCTCGGCCATCATCCCCGCCATCCCGCTGTGCGTCCTCATCTACTTTTGCCCCGAGTCGCCGCGCTGGTACATGAAAAAGGGCCAGTACCGGGCGGCCATGGCCTCGCTGCTCCGCCTGCGCACCAACGCCGTCCAGGCCGGCCGGGACCTGTACTACATCCACGTCCAGCTCGAGCTCGAGCACCAGTACATTCGGCGCGGCAGCTGGAACTACGCCGCCAAGTTCCTCGAGCTCTTTACCATTCCTAGAGTGCGCCGCGCCACGCTCGCCTCGTTTACCGTCATGATCGCCCAGCAGATGTGCGGCATCAACATTATCGCCTTTTACTCGACCACGCTGTTCCGCAACGCCGGCGCAGGCGACTTTGAGGCCCTGCTGGCGTCCCTCGGGTTTGGTCTCGTCAACTTCCTCTTTGCCTTCCCCGCCATCTGGGCGATTGACACGTTTGGGCGGCGCTCCCTGCTGCTCTTCACCTTTCCGCACATGGCGTGGGCCTTGTTCGCGGCCGGGCTGTGTACGCTCATCCCCGGCAAGGATGGGCTGCACCTGGCCATGGTGGCCCTGTTCATCTACCTGTTTGCGGCCTTTTACTCACCGGGCGAGGGCCCGATTGCGTTTGCCTACTCGGCCGAGGTGCACCCGCTGTCGCATCGCGAGATTGGCATGGCGTGGTCGGTGGCGACGTGCCTGGGCTGGGCGGCCGTGGTCTCGATCACGTTCCCGCTCATGCTGGCGCAGCTGGGCACCATGGGCCTCTTTTTCTTCTACGCCGGGTTCAACGTGGTCGCGTTCGTCATGATCTTTCTGTTTCTGCCCGAGTCGAAGCAGCGCACGCTGGAGGAGCTCGACTACATCTTTGCGGTGCCGACGCGGGTCTTTATGAAGTACCAGGTCACCCAGACGCTGCCGTTCTGGTTCAAGCGATGGATCCTCCTGCGCAAGGACGTGTCCCTGGAGCCGCTGTATCGGCTCGACACGAGCATGCCGCTCGAGGTGGAGATGGCGGATGCTCTGCATGAGAACGACAAGGCCATGGTCGAGATCAAGGACATGGTGGGCCATGTGCAGAGCCATCCGCGTGGTCCTGGGGGGCGGTGAGCCAGCGGTTCAGACTGGCTAGATACTCCTTACGATAAATTGTATATAATATGATAATAGTACATGACACAAACATTGCACTTCTTCCATCAACGCAAATCGAGTCGATGGGCAGCATGACTTGGCGTCTACTCCACAGGGTTCGGATCGCACGCGATCAGGGAGGATCAATTGTGGAATGGGTCTGGAGGTCAGGATCTCACAGTGCTCACTTACCAGTGTTACCACTGACCGACCAGTGTACTTACCACGGAGAATTGATCACTGTCACCCGTTCTTCTTCATCTAATTATCCGTACCGTACCCGTTCAAGGACTCTTGTCCCCGTCAAAGACTCAAAGTCTGCCGACTGGAGCTGCGCGCCTACGTCACGGACGCCGGGGCATTGAATGGTGGCGTCGGCGCTAGCGCATCTAAGGAAGGAATGGTGGGAGACGTGGAAAAGGGGTCGAAAGACTTTTCGTCTCCAGGAGTGCAGTCGCTACTTAGTCTAGTATAATGGTGAGAGTCGTAGAGGAAAAGAAAAGCTCACTTTGATACAGATCATACCTATGTGACCGCACATCTGGGCAGCGTTGATATGCATGATGGGCAGGGATGCCGGGTGATTGATCGCTCGCATCTCTGGGCGATCTGATCTCGAAGCTTGAGGGTGATTGGGTTTATTACCCGTGCAAGACTGGAGTTTCTCGTGCCCACTGTTCCTGGCCACGATGGATCACCTTCTGATCCAGCCTCCAGGACACTCGCTTCGTTGATGGCCTGTCTCTCGTTTCAAGACCGGTTCGAGCCTTTGCGGCGCCCATTGTGAAACGAGGCGCACGTCTTTCTTTGCTTGACGGCACGTCGACACGCGGTCCTGAGAGGGGCGACGCAGGGCACGACGGGCCAGTCTTAGCGCCATTCATTCGCTAAAAGAAGTGCCAGGGCCTTGCAAGACACCTGGGGACTGCCACTGGCCCAATTGCCATTTGCGAGGCAGTCGCGCGGGACCCCTGAGCGCCTTCCGCCTGTCTAGTCCCACCCATGAGCCCCAGAAAATCCCAGCCTCTCACCAACCACGATCCTCGACGCTTCACCTCGAGATCCATCCACCCCTTGACCCTACTTACGATACGAAGAGAATTCCAGCTGCTGGCGCGCGCGCCCATCATCGACCTCCTCGAGGTGAAAAAACGGACGCGTGTTTCTCCTGGGGACGAAACAGGCCCGCCGCCTTCTCGTATATCCATGCCAACCCTCGTTTTTGGATCGTCACTCTCCTTCTGCTCGTCCTCCTCGTCATTCATTCCTTTCTGCGGTCCTTCAAATTTGCACCCCTAAACCCCCCCCTGACTCCCGACCCCGGATCTCAATCCGGCTTGGCTCAGTTGATCGTTCACATCTCGCTTTTCAACACCTCAGCCATCTTACCCTCGTTACTACGTACCACCGTCTTGCGTAGACGCAGACCCGACCCTCCAGCAGCCCTAGTTCAAACACCACCAACACATCGCTCATTGATCGGCACTGGCCCCAGCTTCAGCTCGGAGAGCTTAGGTCTCGTGTGCATCACCGCATTCACTAAAAGCTCCCCGACGCTAATCTACGACAACTCTCGCCCCGCACACGGTCCACCTCGTTCCCAAGCGCTACCACAGGCAGTCAGGACTGTGCTGTGGGATCCATACGTGACTGGGTCACTGTTCTGTTCTTGTCCTCCGGTGCGAACGCAGAGGTCGTCGACGTCTCTTCCACATCAAACGTCCTCGTCTAGTCATGGGCGTACCCGGCAGACAACACTCCCTCACATCACGCACATCTGGCTTTGCCAAACTCCCCGACGGAGCCAGTCGTTTTCAGCAGGACGACAACATGAGCGGCCCAGACGACGGCATTCCTCTGGCCACGGTCAAGAGCCATGCCTCGACCGGCGCACGCCGACCGGACATGGCCCTCACCTCGAGCATCGACTCGGCGCAGTTTGAAAAGGACAAGCAGAACGAACACTCGCACAACCCTTTCCAGCGTCACAGGGGCCGTCGCCAAAAGAAGGACGACACCATTGGCCGAAGCAACACGGGTGACACCGTCCACGGCACCGGCCCCAAGCTGAACTTTATGGGTCGACTGTACAACAAGATTATTGGATTCTCCGTGGTCAACCGCTATCTCGTCTACATCATCCCCGTTGGCATCATACTCGCTATACCCATCATCGTCCTCGCCGTCACCGGTCATCAAAACGATATCCCCGTGGGCAACACCGGCCGGGGTGACGATCTCACAATCGGGCCTCCCCTCTTCCGACTTCTGCTTTGGATTGAGATCACCTGGCTCACTGTCTGGGCCGCCAAGCTCGTCGCCTGGTTCATTCCCAAGCTCTTCATGTTCTTTTCCGGCATCGTCAGCGCTGGCACACGCAAGTACGCCACGGTGCTCGAGAACCTGTCTCTTCCCCTCTCCCTGTTCTTCTGGGCGCTGGCGTCCTGGCTCACCTTCCGGAACCTCTTTGGCAAGTCATACCACATCGGCGTGAACTGGGTCAAGACCCTGGAGACGATACAGAGCGCCCTCTTCGTCTCCTCGGCTGTCTTCCTCGGCGAGAAGTTCATCGTCCAGATGATTGGTGTCACGTACCACCAACGCTCCTTTGCCAACCGCATCAAGGACTCGAAGCGAGAGGTGCATCTCCTTGGTCTCCTGTACGACGCCTCCCGTACGCTCTTCCCCATGTACTGCCCCGAGTTCGCCGAGGAGGACCATGTCATCAACGACAGTATCGAGTTGAAGTTTGGCGGTGGCAAGCACAGCCGATCCAAGTCGGGTACCGTGACGCCCATGAGACTGATCGGCGAGGCTGGGCGCATTGGTGGCAAGATGACCTCGGCTTTTGGCAACATTGCCTCTGAGATCTCCGGCAAGCAAGTCTTCAACCCCAACTCGGCACACTCAATCGTCCTCGAGGCTTTGGAGAAGCTGCGCTCCTCTGAGGCGTTGGCACGCCGCATCTGGATGTCTTTTGTTGTCGAGGGCAAGGATTCGCTCTATTTTGAAGATATCGCCGAGGTGCTGGGCCCTACCCACCGCGCCGAGGCTGAAGAGGCCTTTGCGGCCATTGACGGCGACGGCAACGGTGACATTAGTCTCGATGAGATGATCCGCAAAGTCATCGAGACTGGCAAGGAACGCAAGGCCATTGCCGAGGGCATGAAGGACATTGGCCAAGCTCTCGGTGCTTTCGACAAGGTGCTTCTGTTCGTGGTGCTGCTCATCGTCATCTTCATCTTCCTGGCCTTCTTCCAGAGCAGCTTCATCACTGTCATTGCCTCGGCTGGCACGACGCTGCTGTCACTCTCGTTCATCTTCGCGGTCACTTGCCAGGAATTCCTCGGTTCCTGCATCTTCCTCTTCGTCAAGCACCCATACGATGTTGGCGACCGTGTTCGCATCATGGACAAGGAGCTCATTGTCGAGCGTATCTCCCTACTGTACTCGGTCTTCACCCGCACCGAGACCCAGCAAGTCTCACAGATCCCCAACATTGTTCTCAACACCTACTGGGTCGACAACATCTCCCGCAGCAAGTCCATGTACGAGAGCTTCACCGTTGACGTATCATTCGACACGAGGTTTGAGGACGTTGAGCTCCTTCGCCAGGAAATGGAGAACTTTGTACGCGACCCTGAGAACTCCCGCGACTTCCAGCCAGACTTCACCATTGGCATCGGCAGTATCGGCAACCTTGACAAGCTCACCCTCGAAATCTCCATCCTACACAAGTCCAACTGGCACAACGCCATGGTCCGCGCCAGCCGCCGTTCGAAATTCATGTGTGCGCTGGCCCTTGCCATGAAGAAGGTGCCCATCAACGGCCCAGGTGGCGGCGGCGATGCCCTCGGCGGCCCTGCCAACCCCGCATACTCCGTGTCTGTGACGGACGACTGGGCCTCCAAGGCTCGCGACGACTGGGCCAAGTCCAAGGCGGAGGCCCGTCTCGTACCGCCCCCGTCCAACGCCGCCGAGGCCGAGGAGAAGGAGGAGGCCGCCATCTCGGGCATCGCAGAGCGCCCGCCCGTGCGCGAGATGGCCGCCACCGGCCAGTGGGATGACTCGAAGCTCGGCGGCAGTATCGCTCGGGAAGCCTCCCAGCGCGACCGTGACATCCACACGCTGCGCAACGACATGCTGAAGAGGCACAGCACACGCGGCCGGCGCAAGGCTGGCGAGAGTATCCCGTCGCTCGCGGGCAGCAACCAAGGTGTCTCCTCGCCCATATCGCCGTCGTACAGTCGCCGGGAGCTCTTTGACGAGGAGTCCCAGATTGACACGCGCCGATCGTTTGCCAGCCAAAGGTCACCACAGCGTGAGACGCACGTGCCGCAGCTGAACGTCCCTCAGCCGAGAGGGCCGCCTCCTGCAGGGCAGCACTAGAAAAAGACACCGTGTAGTAGGTGTGGAAATGTGAAGTTTTGAGGCTTCATTGTATGTTCATGCTTTTCCATGCATGGGTTGCGAAGGGAGCATTTATGTCAACATCAAACCCGGATTTTTTGTTTATAGAAATTGGCATAGTATCATCTCCGCGCTGCGGCGCGTCGAGTCCGGATTGGTTTAGGTATAGCATTACATCGCATATCCCGATGTGTAGATTTTAAGATGGACCGGTGTGGATGAGTTCTTGATGGACTCCACACCGGTACCCTGGAGATTTCTGAAATTATTACTTTTTGTCTTGTACTCTTTGGCTGCCCTCCTAACACACGTGCTCTGGCGCAGCCACAGCTCCGTCTCTGGGACCAAGATCGGTCTTGAGGGTTCTGGTGAAGAGCTCGAGGAGTACCTCAAAGCAGATCTTGGTGATGGCCGGGTCGTAGCGACCTTTGCTCAGCTCATCCCTGATAAAGGCGTGCTGCGCGTGGGCAAACTCATAGAAGCTGAAGCACGCCTTGGCCTCGCGCAGCTTGGAGCGGATGAGGTCTTGTCCTGCGTCGGGTACGTGCGTGTCCTTGATACCAAAGATCATGGCCACCTCGGCGTGCTGCAGCTTCTGGAGATGATCCAGCGTGTGCGCGCTGCCGGTGGGGGCCTCCGGGGAGGAATTGGCGGCTTCATGGGGGCCAAGAGAGCGGGAGTGGATGTCTGTGGCAAAGTACGCCACGCACGCTGTTATGCGGGAGTCGAACTGGGACATGTGAGTCTTGCGTGTATGATAAATGCCGGGAAGGCGGAGGACATACTGTAGCGCGCAGGGCGAGGTGACCGCCGAGGCACATGCCCGTTGACCCGATGAGGCCAGTGCACGTGGGCAGCGACAGGAGGTAGTCGACGGTGCTTGTAACATCGGCATCGTACGACTCGAGTGTCTGTGCACGTTAGAGGCCATGCTCTTAAGGATCCGGAGTACGGGAGAAGCTGACCTTTTGCGCCTTGTACGCGTTGCCTTTGTCTGTGTCGGCGGCGTCGTACGCTAGGGGCTCAGGACCCGTGAAGTCATGGTAGGAAGAAGGCGCGGCAACGATGTAGCCTTGTCCCGCGATCTGACGGGCAAAGCGGGCCACGGGTCCGGTCACTATGTGTGTGTGAGGACGGTTTAAGAGGGTGTTGGACATAGGGGCTGCTTGAAGTACCTTGATAGATCTCGCTGAAGACGCAGACACCGGGAAACTTGCTATATGTGCGCCTTAGCCAAGTCTGTCTACACTGTACGGAGAAAGGGAAGCTCACGCCTTTGGATAGCCTGGGATAGTTGGGTGAAAGACAAATATGCCTGGCAAGAGGGATCAGCAAGCTATAAGACATAGGTAGCTTAGGATAAGACCTCACGCATAGACTGTTCGGTGCCATTGACAGTGACAGGCACGTCGACGTGGGACTCTTTGATGAGCATATTGGATTGTGTGACTGCTCTATGGAGGATTATTGAATAAGAGCAGCAGGATAAGCAGGCTGTGAGATGAGCTGTATTTCAATGTGAGGAACCCCTCCTGGTGTAGTTCATGGACTGGACCCTGAACAGCTTGGCCGCCCCTCCATTGGACGTGGGGTTCGAGAAGCGACCGATGCATAACGTGCACAGTGTGCACAAGTCATGCACATCTGCATTCACTAGGGATGACGTCTCGGCGCGGAACATGTGCCAAACCGAGGGATGGGTGGGGGGCAAGCTCCCTTCTCCGCCACAGCTTGGCTCGTAAACTTGATGGCATGCAGCTGGCCACCTGCCCACATCATATGAGCGAATGTATGGTAGGCAGGCAAAACGACCATCAACTTCCAAGGAGACTTTCAGACATATCTGTTCTCCCGGACAACTTCCATGCGACGAGACTCTGAGTCTGCATTTACAAACTGTCTTTTCAATCGATACATGCGACCAATTCCACGGAACCCGCCCACGCCCCTCCTGAACTAAACAACTGGCCACAACGATGAACGGCCACATGGCTGGTGTCGGCGAGGCGCCGTCCGCCGGCAGTTTTGAGCATGGCGTCCAGATCATTGACGGCGACAAGGAGTTCAAGTTGGTCTGAACGACAGGGAAATCGCAAACATTGCTGACTGTAGGCAGCGCCAACATGAACGAGTACCTGCAAGTGGAACATGTCGCAGAGGCCGGCTTCAACTACCACATCATCTCCGTCTTCGGCTCCCAATCGACCGGCAAATCGACTCTGCTCAACAACCTGTTTGGTACCGAGTTCTCCGTAATGTCGGAGACGGCGCGCCAGCAGACGACCAAGGGTATCTGGATGTCCAAGAACAAGCGCATCGAGAGCGCGGGTACGAAGATGGCAGACAACATCCTGGTGATGGACGTCGAGGGCACCGACGGTCGCGAGCGTGGCGAGGACCAGGACTTTGAGAGGAAAAGCGCGCTCTTTGCGCTCGCGACGAGCGAGGTCCTGCTGGTCAATATTTGGGAGCACCAGGTCGGATTGTACCAGGGCGCCAACATGGGACTTCTCAAGACCGTGTTCGAAGTCAACCTGCAGCTGTTCCTCAAGGACAAGAAGTCGACGCCTCGATCGCTCCTCTTCTTCGTGATCCGCGACCACCTCGGCACCACGCCGCTGGCCAACCTGAGGAACACGCTGATCCAGGACCTCACGAAAATATGGAGCTCCATCTCGAAGCCCCAGGGCCTCGAAAACTCCAGGATCGAGGATTACTTTGACTTTGGCTTCGCGGCACTACCCCACAAGATTCTGCAGGGAGACAAGTTTGTCAGCGAGGTCGCTACGCTGGGCTCGCGGTTCACCACGGGCCACCGTGGCAAGTCTGGCAACAAGGATGACGACGAACTCCAAGGCGGCGTGTTCTTGCCCGAGTACCATCGCAGAATTCCCGCGGATGGTTTCTCCATGTACGCCGAAGGCATCTGGGACCAGATTGTGAACAACAAGGATCTCGATCTTCCTACACAGCAGGAACTGCTGGCGCAATTCCGATGCGACGAGATCGCGCGCGAGGTGCTCATTTCGTTCGACGTTGTCATCACGCCACTTGAGGAGAAACAGGCCGAGGCGACAAGATTTGGCAAGCCCACAGTCCTTCCCGATCTCGGTGCGACCGGCAGCAAGGCGCGCACCGAGGTGCTCAAGTCGTTCGAGTCGCAGGCAAGTCGGTACCACAAGGGCGTCTTTACGCGCAAAAGGCAAGAGTTGGAGAGCAAGGTCGATACGCGCATGAAGGCGCTGTACCAGGGACAGCTCTCGGCGGCCCACAAGGCGGGCGTCGTGGCGTTCAGCGAGGCGGTGAGCAACAAGGTCAAGGCAGGGCAGAAGGCCGGCGGGGGCTACGAGTTTGCCGAGATTGTGGCCAGCGAGAAGAAGAAGACGCTGGACATTTTCAAGGTGGAGGCGCAGAGCCTCGCGATGCAGGGCGTGCCGTGGACCAACTTCAAGACGCAATACATGTTGTTTGAGCAGGAGCTGGACGAGGTCAGCGGCAAGCTGCGAAAGGAGGAGATGCGCCGCTTGGCCACGCGCGTTGAGCGATGGGTCAAGTCTCGTCTCGGCGAGGCGATTGGTCTCGAGTTCAACAAGCTTGGTTCCGGTAGGGGAGGAACCGGCGCACCCGAGGAGGGCGAGAAGCCTGCGACGGAGAAGGACCTGTGGGACCGCATCTGGAACGTCTTCACGGGCATCGTCAAGGAAGCCGAGGTCCGTTTCGCTGAGCGCGCCAAGAGCTTTGATGCCAGCGACGAAGAGGTTGATGTGGGCATGTGGCGCTTGAGGCGCAAGAGTTGGGTCGCCCTGCGCGAGAAGGTGGATGAAGAAGTCATGGAGGGCAATATCCTGATGAAGCTGCGGGAGAACTTTGAGGATAAATTCCGCTACGACGAAGCTGGCGTGCCCAGGATATGGCGCCCCACCGACGACATTGAGGGCATTTACACGAAAGCAAGAGAGTCGACGCTCAAGTTGATCCCTCTGCTATCAAGATTCAGACTCGCGTCGACCTATGCGCCGCCCGATCTGGTCAGCTTCATTGGCACCCAGCCTGGCGGCGTGGAGGCTGGCGACGAGGAGGATCTGCCCCCCATTGGCGGCGTCGATGAAGACGAGGGCAAGAGTCTCGAGGAGGAGACGACGGTGCTCAGCGAGAGCAAGCGACAGGACCTCGTTGTCCGCTTCAAGAAGACAGCCGACGGCGTCTTTGTTGAGGCCAAGCGCGGTGCGCTCGGTGGCGTTACGCAGGTGCCCTGGTATTTCTATGGTCTGCTGCTCGCGCTTGGATGGAACGAGTTGTTTGCTGGTAAGTGGAGTGCCACCCCTGCCTTACCTTCTTCGCTAACAGACAACAGTCCTCAAGAACCCCTTCCTCTTCTTGCTGCTCATTCTCATGATTGGTGGCCTGTACGTCTCGTACTCTCTCAATCTGCTCGGACCCATGATGCACATGGGCAATGCGGCGTTCACCCAGGGGCTCGACATTGGCAAGGAGCGTCTGCGCGAGTTTATCATGAACCAGGAGATGGCCCGCCAGGCCGTCGGCGTGCCAGCCAACAGCGGCAACAGCACCGAGGACATTGGCATGGATGATCTAGACACAAAGGGCAAGAAGAAAGGTGACGACTCGGCACATGGCGATGATGAGATTTGAGCCAGGTCTTGGCGGCTCTCCATGAGCAAATAGGATATATGTATAATGCTTTCACGATTTAGGATATCTATGAGGACCCAATGCCCTTGCGCCCAACGCCGAACTCTACAACAAGCATAAGAAAAGACTAATCAAAAAGCCTCGAGACCGGCCAATGTGCCGTACCAACTCCCCAGCTCGCGGGTGACATCCTTGTCCGCCGAGCCGCCTGCAAAGTAATCCGTCATCTTGGTCGTGTCGCCATCGTCGTCCTCTGGCCAGTCCACTTTGACACCTTTGCCCTTGGCATCGAGCATGTCCTTTGCGGTGCCCCAGCTAAACCGACACTCTGGACCCCATCCAAAGACGGGGTGCATATTGTCCCTCAGCCAGCTGGAACACCTCGCGTCCGACGGATAGCCCGACCCCCACGTCATGCCCTCGTCCTCACCGCGGCCGGCGGCCTCCCCTCTGGCCTCGTACAGGACCTCCAGTGCCGCGTCGCGCGTCACCTTGGCGCATACACTGGCCGCGCTGACGCAGGGGTACAGGCTGTCCGCCTTCTTCGCGACGACAATCTTGGCCGTGGGGAAGACCCGTTGCAGCTTGGCCTGGTACGAGGCCGGCGGGCCGATGGTGTCGACGTAGATCTCCTGCACGTTGACGCCGCGCGCGTAGACGCCCCGGATGAGGTCGACGGTGGCGTCCATGGCCTGGGCGTTGAGGTTGTAGGTGGTCGTGGGACGGAGCATGTTGGCGCCAATGTCGCGCGCGGAGAGGGAGCTGGTGGCCCATCCGCACGAGGCGTGTAGATCTGAGCCGTTTGTGCAGAGCGTGCGCATCAGGTCGGAGCGGACGTCTGGCTTGAGGACCTTGGAATCGTCAAAGTGATGCGTCTCGCGCAGCAGGGGGTCGGACAGCGGGAGTGGGAGGTAGAAGACGCCGTAGACCATGGGGCCCAGGACGGGACCGCGACCGGCCTCATCGACGCCGAGGGCGCATGCGGGTGCGGATGATGGGTTCGAGGGATCTGTCGGCTGGAGAGAGGATGGGACGGGGGAGAAATAGGTTGATGAGGCGCCTGCGAGTAGGGGCTGGCGGTCGATGGATGGTGGGAGGAAGATCTTGGACGAGGTGGGCGGTGTCTCGAGGGCGACTTGGGAGTCGTTGGGTTGGGGGTCGTCTTCCATCATGGCTGGTGCTGGTTACAGGCGGAAGGTAAAGTCAATGGTGCCGTGATGAGGACGATCCTGTTCATGAGATGGAGATACCTGGTATACTGATAGTGACCTTACCTGAGGTTAGCAGTTGCTGCCCCTCGACGCGTCGCAAGTCTCAGGCGCTGCGAAGACGCGTCCCGGCGCGTGCCAGTGGGGCCCAGCCACTGGGTGACCGCTTCTTCGGGGCCGTCTGCAGCGGCCTATCCACTGTGAATCAACACTGGGCCCAACGAAAGACTCGGGCGCGTCTTGACGACTTGACGCACCTTAACATGGATGGACGCTGCCCGGTAGCTTTCCGTCGCAATCAACTTTAGCCGCATCCCATTCATCTGCCTTGTGGTGCGAACTCTCGCGAATTGAGCTAGATCACTCGCCCTTCACTAGCATTGAACCTTGGAACTCGGAAGGCTTCTTAGCCTCAATCTCGCCAATTGTCACGCAACACGATAACACCGCAATGGCGCCTCGCGGCCGTCGCGCTGGGGGCGAGGGCTCGGAATCCCAGGCCTTCCACGAGCTTGGTGTCCGTGGTCGGTAAGTCGCGCCACTTGCTTCGTCGCAGGACTCTCAAGTGTCTGACATTCTTTGCGCCCAGGAAAACTGGCGTTGCCCTGCCCAACACGGGAGAGGTTGATGCTCAGGGCATGCAACCACTCGACGCCCTCTTCTCCTCGCCAACGAAACAGCCCGCGCAAGCCAACGGCGTAGATGACGATGATGAAGACGACGAGTCAGGAAGCGAGGCCATGAGCATTGAGACAAGTGAGCCGCCTTGCCCATAGGCAGCGACCATACGCCGACAGGACTAACTAACGCGCGCAGGTGCTGGGCCAGGCCCACGAACGCTCCTTAAGAATCAGCGCAATGCCCAATACCCAATCTCACAAGATCGCTCGCCCCTCAAAACCACTCTGCGATCACCCGCCAGGCGGAACCTACACATGTCATCGCCCATCGCGGAAGACCGCGATGTGACAGTCACGCGCAGGATCAACTTCCCGTCAGCCGCGAAGCGCAGCAAGACGAACGGGACAAATGGCGCGGCTGCAGCCGAGATGGCCGAGCAGGAGGCGGCCATCGACGAAAATAATGATGACATGGACATGATCGAGAACGGGTTGGACGCGCAGCACGAGGACGATGGTAGTGACGGCGACCTTGGCGAGGACAACCTGCACGATGTGGAAGAGGTGTCTCAAGTTGAAGATGAAGATGAGGCTGATCCAGAACCCGAACCCGAGCCTGAAGTTGAGCCTGTGAAACAAGCGCCGGCCAAGGCTGCAAGGGGTCGTGGGCGTCCAAAGGCAACGCCTGCCGCACAAGTGGAGGATCAGCCCACGCCAGAGGCGACACAGCCTACATCATCGGAAAAGAAGAAGAGGGGACGTCCGTCCAAGAAGAGTAAGGAGGCTGCTGTGCCCGAAGCGCCACCAGCTCCCAAATCGACGGCCGGACGTAAGAAGCGGCCGCCTTTGAGCGGCGACGAAGACGGTGATCAGGAGCCTCCAGTGGGGGACAGCCCGCGAGCAAAACGCCAGAAGACGAGACAGGAACCTCCAGCCCCTGCCGCTTCGAAACCACCACCCAAGTCCTCGTCCTCGACTGCACCAAAAGCGAAATCACGCGGGAGACCGCCAGGTCGCAAACCAAAGGCGGCCAATGCGGGAGGCGAAGATGCCGGGGAAGCGTCACTCCTGGACTTGCAAAAGGGTCCGCCCATGCCCAAGCGCAGAGGACTCATGTCTGTGAAGCGGGATCCCGATGCCATCTTGCAGACGAGGTCTGGACGCCACACCTACAGGCCTCTGAGCTGGTGGGAGGGCGAGAGGGCCATCGAGGAGGATGTGCAGCAGCCTGATATATTCCGCAAAAAGGACCAAGATGGCTTCGTCCTCAAGTCCATGAAGGAGATTGTACGTGTCCACGAAGATGAACCCGAGCCAACAAAGCGCTGGCGTGGGTCCAAGTCTGGGCGGAAACCTGCAGCCAAGGCGAGAGCCGCCTCCGTCAAGGAACAGGACGACGCTGAGCCCCTCGAGGACTGGGAGACCAACGAAGGCAGAATCGTGAGCGAGGTGATAGCCTGGGACCCAGAGTATGAGACTCAGCCTCCTGGCGACGAGGAGCCCGTCGACATCAGCGAGGAAGAGATTGCCATCTCGGGTGAGGCTGTCCAGACCCGGGAAATCCGCGACGCGACCTTCAAGTTCGCAAAGACGCTGACCATGCCGTTCATGGGCGCCGGCATCGTCGATCTACCGCCAGGCGCCGTCAAGAGGCCCAAGAACTCGCGCAAGATGCACATGGTCTTCTTTGTGCACACGGGCAAGGTCTCCGTGGCCGTGAACGAAACGGAATTTGCGATTTCGGCTGGCGGCCAGTGGTTTGTCCCACGAGGTGAGCTTTCTTCCTTCGTCTGGCTTGTTGGTCAGTAACTAACTACGGCAGGCAACTACTACACGATCAGGAACGAGTACTCCCAACCGGCTCGCATATTCTTTGCACAGGGCTGTGAGCCTTCGTCTACCTTACAGCAGGCAGACATGTCGCAGTCCATGCTGATGACGGATTCGTAGCCGGTTCGCAGCTGGGAAGCTTTTGCACGCGGACGTCTGTTGGGGCGGATGGCGCTGGATTTTTGTTTGATACCAATGATGTTCCGAGGCGCAGATGAGGAGTTCTGCTCTCGATGTGGGTTAGCTATCGTGGCGCGACCGCCAGGAAGGGGTCATTATGCATGTGTCTACTGGGAAGATGAAAATGACAGCGTAACACCTGCTTGAACAATGTATTCGAGACGTTACCACTACAGATGGAGGTGGGTATGTTCTTTTGCAAGCAGAAATACACAAGCCGCCACGTTACGCCCTTCCGTGCCCAGAAATCCCTGATTTTTAATGTACGAGTGAACATTCTTCCTAGTACTCCTTGTTCAAAATCTTCTTGAGGTCGCTCATCTCACTGTCGAACTGGACAATCTTGTCCTGGCTGCTGTTCATCTTGCCCAGCAGGTAGTTGATACGCGTGGTAGTCTCGTTAGTCTGTTTGGGCAAGCCGCCAAGCAGTGAGAGCTCCTTCTCGTACTTGTCAATGTTCTGCGCCTCGACCTTGGCGTTCTCCGTTAGAACAGCCAGGTCCATCTTTGCACGCAAGACACGGTCATTTTGGAGGACAGAGAATGCTGCTTGGTTCAATGGCTTGCCTGCGGTGATGGTCGTGGGGCGGCCCTGTGTGTACTGCACAGCAATGAGCTCCGAGTTGGTGAGGCTTTCGAGGGCAGTCTCCCCGTCTTTGGCAGATGGTGTCATGGAGCTCGCGAAGGTGGGCGAGAGGAGGACTTGGTGGTAGCGAAGCGTAGGCTCCTTGGCCAGCGATTTGACAAGAACCCAGGCTTGCTGAGTAGACCACTTGCGCTCCTCGCCACTGGTTTTGCCCAAGAGGAACATCTTGACAATCTCGGAGGCGTTTTCGTTGACAATTTCGTCAACAGCCTGCTTGGGGGTTTGGCCAGTCTTGATGCGGCGGGTGAGGAACTCGAGATCCGTGAGGCGACCACCCATGGTCTCAATGCTCTCGTCAAGTCCTGCCAAGTCGAGCTTGGTGGGCTTCCCTTGTTCGCCATCGCGCTTCTCCTTCTGCTGCTCTTTCTCGTCTGCCGCGGCTTCTTCATCCAGACGGCTCATGACAAAGTTCTTTGCCACATCCGGGTCGAGATCTCCCAGCGATACCGAGCGAATGACGCGGTCAGGGAGAGCCTTGGCCAGAGGTTTGGTGTAGGAAGAATCGTTTGTGAGGAAGATGACGTGAGCAACATTGTTCTGCACAACTGAGGCTGCCCAATCTGCTACCTTCTCGTAGACAATGCCCTTGTCCTCGGACTTGTGCAGGAAGTTGTCAATAACGACAACTGGCCGGTGTTCAGGATGCGACTCTAGGTAGGCATCGTCGGAAAGATTGGCATCCTTGTCCCGTTTGGAGCGACCAGACAGTGAGACTTTCTTCAAGGCTGCAGTCGTCGTGTACAGTATCTTGTTCAGCTGCGACTCGAGAGTCTCTGAGAAGCCAGCCTTGACGCCCGTGGTGCTCTGCACGGCCAGGTCGATCATACTGCTCATGCTGTTTGCCCACGAAAAAATGGGCCGGTACCCGACAGCGGCTGCAAGTCTGCGAATCGTGCCAGCTTCTCCACGAGCCTCGACAATAGGTCGGCAGTCAAGCGTCAGGACGTTTTTACGACCTTCGAGTGACTGACCCATGACCATCTCCTTCTTGCCAGAGCCCTTCGGGCCGGTCACTACGATGAAAGTGTCGGAGCTCCCATCGAGCCAGCTTCGCAGCTGATCAATCAGGTCCCGGCGGTGGTTCCAGACGGCGCTGAGGTCATCGTGGGGCGATGATTTCTTGGTGATGTTGAGTTGGTCGGTCTGCGACTTGAACCACTTGTACACCCTCGATTCAGTGAAACGCAGGGAGTGCTGGATGTGCAATTCGATGAAGAACTGGCGGATAGGGTCGAAGACGATGACTGAGATACCGGCAATGAGCGCTGCAATGGCGGGCACCACAATACGGGGGTGATTTGTGAGCCAATTCCAGATACTATGCGCCTTGACACGCTTTTCATAGGACATGCGCAGCCTGGTGCCCGTCTTGCCACCGCCTAGGGCCTCACCAACGACAAAGCCATGCATACAGTTCCGCGCCATGATGGCGTCACGCATCATAGGAAAGGCTAGGTACGCAAACCTCGGTGTGGCCTTGTTGTCTTGAGCTTGGGGAATGATGTCCGCAATCTTGCCATAGCGGCGGAACAATGTGTAGAGCTTCTCTTCGGACAGTTCCACGGGTTCGGCCCCAGGCTCTGGTGCGACGAATTCAATCTTGACAAGGTTCGAGGGGTACCGATAAAGGTCCTCCAGCCAGGGTGTGCCTCGGACAAGATGTGCCTTGATGCCTCGGAAGGGGTTGAACCATGGTTTGATGGGTCGATCATTAAGCTTGTTGATCAACGTTTCTGGCCATGTTAGAGATGCATCGTCGATAAGGCAATTTCCACCTCACCTTCGGTAGAGCCAACATCCAGAGCAGCTGAATGCTCAAACTTGACAAAAGCGCCACCGTCTTTCAACCGCGGCAGAATCTCTGTAGCCTTTAATTGCATATCCTGGGGGATCGCGTTCTTCACGAGACGAATAGGGTCCATAATGCCGAGCGATGAAGTCTCGAACCGCTGAAGGACCTGGGCCATATCTTTGTCTGTCTTCCATACTCGGTTGAGAATGCTTGACAGTTTGAGAGGGAAGAGGTCTGCAGTTGTCAGCTCCAGTTTCAATGTGGTTAACGGTTAAGCAGCCGTATACTTACTGTCGAAGAAGATGACTGTCTCATTGGGCTTGACACCGATATGCCCGTCATCCTTATCCTTCTCGTCAATAATTGGCGAGGTGCTTTCCCACGCCTTCCTCACGACAGCTCCATGCTTCACGCGCTGCCGCGTCGAAGCTAGAAGCGGCCTGATGGCCTGCTGAGATGGAACCCCAGGCCGCAGGGCCATTGCCGCCGCTGGTATTCGCAGGCGGAACATGGCGACACAACTTTACAAAGACAACATGACAAGAAGAAAAGCCGACCCCGTCCAGCTTGATCAGATTTCTCTAGGCTAGCTACTGCTCCTGCCCCGAGTCCAAATAGACTGGTTCTGGAGCCAATGAGGTCATTGTCGCGATGACGGACCCACCCTGCACTCCAGATGTTGGAACGCGGAAAGGAAGGCGCGTGGCCCGGACGTCCAGATCTTCCGATCCCGCTTTAGTGATAACGCACCGTAACAGTACGTACCTTGTGAACATCAAGATTGAAGCCAATCAACTTGCACGCGATATACCAAGCCCGAGCACCACTTCCCTAGAAGCGAATCACGTTCCGTCGCCTCGCATACAGCACGCATACAACCCTCCCGTCACGCGATCCAGACTTATACGAAGATACTGAGACTTCCCCGCGTTTGCCAACCGCTCTTTGACCCATCACCCGAGTGTCTAATCATTCCTTTCTCTGCCTCAAACGACCAGATACACCCGGACGTATCTTCCCTCTACAAGACCGATAGAAGACATCATGGGCTGGCTCTGGGCATCGGGCTCTCCCAAAGAGCCAACGGCGCCTCCAGCCGACAAGGCAGCAACGACCACAACTACATCCCCGTCTACATCGGCACCCAAGACTGCACCGAACGAACCCAGCATGGACCCTGAGATCCAAAAGTTCTTCGACCTCTTCAACAACGACAGCAAGAAGCCCGAGCCTCCCACGCCGGCACCAAAGTCAGATCCGACATCCTCTGGCCCATCACAAGCAGAACCCGAGTCCAAATCATCATGGTTCGCACTCAAAGCGTCTAAATCGATCGACCCAGCGTCCGAGAACGCTCCCCCTCGCGATCCCCTCTCCGAAGCTCTGCTCCCCACCGAAATGTCCTGCCGCCAGGCCTTCGATCTCGCATGGGCGTGCAACTCCCTCGGAGGCCAGTTCAACGCTGTCTACCGCAACGGCGAGATGCGCTCCTGCAGCCAGCAATGGGACGACTTTTGGTTCTGCATGCGGACCAAGTCGCATACGGGTGCTGTCAAGGCCGATGCGGTCAGGCAGCACTACCGCAACAAGGAGTACGAGAAGTACTACAAGCCCGGGGCGAGGAGCAGCGAGGACATCTGGCAGAGTAGGGATTGGGTCGTCCGAGACGACGAAGTGTTCACACAGGCATTTGATGCAAACACGCAACTAGACGACGACGAGTGGAGGCGGAAGGACAACGAGAGGCGCAGGCAGGTGAGGGAGAGTTTGGGGATTGACAAGCCGGCGAATGCATCGTGATTTTGGCTATTGTATCAAATTGTATAGAAATTGAGTAAAGACCAACTCCCTGTATCGGGGTCTACATGATTTAGTACAATGTCTCATTATTGATGGATATGAAGGCCGGCGTATTGTCATAGACCTCTAATTAATATGTTAATTAAGAATATTCATCGAACATACAGGGGTAATATTGCCATCCAAGTAGCTATGGTACAAGATCTCCCAAGTATTGATAGACAGGAAGGCCGGCATATTGGTATAGACCAAATTAAACAAAATAATCAAGAATCCATCGGACATGCAGAGATGATGTCCTCGTCGGAGCAGCAATAGTACAGAATTATATTCATTTGGGACAGGCCTCATTACTATTGATAGATAGGGAAGCCAGTGTATTGACACGGACAAGGTCGATTGAAAAGACCAAGAGGAATTTGTCGGACTGGCAATGACATGTTGAGTACAGCAGCAACGACAGACATCACCAAATTCATTTTGAGACACACTGTTGTTGAAGTTATGAAATCTTCATTGACTCATTAAAGTACAGACCGATGCTTTTCCCTTATCGTGAACCATGATGCAACGCAAAAAATAGCAAGTGTCTAATCAATCCTCATCCCAGTCGAAACCAGCACGCCATAATATCGCAGAACCAATTTCATCAAACTGTCGACGAGTCTTGACATGGGTATCAAGACGGAGCATTTAGTCGACCTCCTCGACGGTGGGGCCGTCATCGCCGCCAGCACCGCCTGGGGCACCGCCAGCGCCAGGGAAGCCACCGGGAGCGCCACCGGGGGCACCGCCCTCACCAGTTCCGTAGAACTTCATCATGATGGGGTTGGCAATGCCCTCAAGCTCCTTCTGCTTGTCCTCGTACTCCTCCTTGGCAGCCTGCTGGTTGTCGTCGAGCCAGGTGACGGTCTTGTCAATCTCGGACTTGAGAGTCTCCTTGTCGGCAGCCTCAATCTTCTCGTCGACCTTGGGGTCGGACAGAGTGTTGCGCAGAGAGTAGGCGTAGGACTCGAGGCCGTTCTTGGCACCGACACGGCCAGCCTCACGCTCATCCTCCTCCTTGTACTTCTCGGCGTCAGACAGCATGCGCTCGATCTCCTCCTTGGACAGGCGGCCCTTGTCGTTGGTGATGACAATCTTGTTGGACTTGCCAGTACCCTTCTCGACGGCGGAGACGTTCATGATACCGTTGGCATCAAGGTCGAAGGTGACCTCAATCTGAGGAACACCACGAGGAGCAGGAGGAATACCAGTGAGCTCGAACTTGCCGAGCAGGTTGTTGTCCTTGGTGCGCTGACGCTCACCCTCGTAGACCTGGATGAGCACACCAGGCTGGTTGTCGGAGAAGGTCGAGAAGACCTCGGACTTCTTGGTGGGGATGGTGGTGTTGCGGGGGATGAGCTTGGTCATCATACCACCAGCGGTCTCGATACCGAGAGACAACGGGGCGACGTCGAGCAACAGAATCTCGTTGGTGGACTTGGAAGTAGTGTCACCAGACAGGATAGCAGCCTGGACGGCAGCACCGTAAGCAACAGCCTCATCAGGGTTGATGGACTTGTTGGGCTCCTTTCCGTTGAAGTAGTCGGTGATGAGCTTCTGGATGCGGGGAATACGGGTAGATCCACCGACGAGGACGATCTCGTGGACCTGGGACTTGTCGATCTTGGCGTCGGAGAGGACGCGGTCGACGGGGGCGGTAGTGCCACGGAAGAGATCCTGGCAAAGCTCCTCGAAGCGAGCACGGGTGATGGAGGTGTAGAAATCAATACCCTCGAAGAGAGAGTCAATCTCAATGGAGGTCTGTGCGGAGGAGGAAAGGGTGCGCTTGGCACGCTCGCAGGCGGTGCGGAGTCGGCGCAGGGCACGGGCGTTGCTGGACAGATCTAAAGAGAATAAAAGTTAGTCAAAAGTCCAAACAATAACCAGCTTGCGCATTGGGTCAATATTTACCTCGCTTATGCTTGCGTTTGAACTCGTTAACGAAGTGGTTAACGAGACGGTTGTCGAAGTCCTCACCACCCAAGTGAGTGTCACCGGCGGTGGACTTGACCTCGAAGATACCCTCCTCGATGGTCAGGAGCGACACATCGAAGGTACCACCACCAAGATCGAAGATGAGAACGTTGCGCTCGCCCTCAACCTTCTTGTCAAGGCCGTAGGCAATGGCAGCGGCAGTGGGCTCGTTGATGATACGGAGCACGTTGAGGCCGGCAATGAGGCCAGCGTCCTTGGTGGCCTGGCGCTGAGAGTCGTTGAAGTAGGCGGGGACAGTGACGACAGCGTTGTTGACGGTGCCGCCGAGGTAGGCCTCAGCAGTCTCGCGCATCTTGGTGAGGATCATGGAGGAGATCTCCTCGGGGGTGAAGTTCTTGGTCTCGCCCTTGAACTCAACCTCGACGACGGGCTTGCCGCCCTTGTCGATGACCTTGAAGGGGAAGTGCTTCATGTCAGCCTGCACCTCAGCATCGGCAAACTTGCGGCCGATGAGACGCTTGGCGTCGAAGACTGTGTTGTGAGGGTTCATGGCGACCTGGTTCTTGGCGGCATCACCGATCAGACGCTCGGTGTCGGTGAAGGCAACGAAAGAAGGAGTGGTGCGGTTGCCCTGGTCGTTGGCAATGATATCGCAGCGGTCCTCACGGAAGATACCCACGCACGAGTACGTGGTACCCAGATCGATACCGACGGCGGGAGCCATTGTGTCTGATGTATGTTGTGATATCCTGAGCGGGTGTGTATGAGTGTTGTATGACGGGAAAGGTGTGAATCTCTCTGATGGGAAAAAGAAGAGGTTGTTTGGGGTATCACAGGAGAATTGTATGAAGAATGAGGGAAAAAAAAGCAGAGCAGAGAGTGAGCGGTTGTGGCATGCACCTAGATAAAGGCGGGTGGGCGAGGTTCGACATGATTCTCTGCATTTCCAAAAGGAGCCCACACCGATTTAGCAGGGGCCTTCCAGAAGCCTCTGCATTGCCCTCACACTCAGGCGAAGCACCCACAACCGCCTGGAAGATACGATACACATTCCAAAGCTGCCGGTCTACAATGCTCGCGATCCTACCGTTTTCCTCGTCTTCTCCCTTCTTGCCGTTGTCAAGGAGCTCAATGCTGTCCATCGCACCTTCCATGAGCTCTCATGCGACTGATGTCATGGAGATCCTAAAATTCCAGAGCCCACCGCGGGGCGTAGGTACATACCTCTGTAGCCTGAATTTGCCCGAACCTCAGGTACCTGCCCCTGCCCCACCACAAGCTCCCCACCCCCTGCTAGCAGCCCCTCTTTTCGGGCGTTGCTGGGAGAAAAAGATTTCGAAGAGGCGACTAATTTCTTGGACCGGGTTGTTGCGAATAGTTTCCATTGATGACGATACAGTACGTAGCTACAAGCCTAACGAGGCTAACATCATTCCCGGCACGCTCATGCCGTAGAGATTCTGGAGAGAAGTTCACAGGAGACATGGCAGTCGGCTTGACTGACTGCTCGTGCTTGAGCTGACCGGAGCTGCCAGAGCTGCCCCGCCATCGAAACTCAGAGGTTGTCAGCGCCCGCGCTGGGCGGGGCGGAATCATTGAGTTTGCTCTGATTCACGACGGAGCCATACTACTTCAACATTTCGTCACAGCATCTCCACAGAACACGTTCTCCAGGTCGTCAGGGTAGCTTGACTGGCGTCATCTGTAACAGGCGGCTTTCTTAACATTCCTCCTAGGCTTTGGGCTTGGTATGTGCGTTGACTACTTTGCTCCGAAGTCTACACGTACCTCTACCTACCGTGTCGTCCATGTGAATACACCATTGCCATGTCTACAATAAGGAAGCAGGCACACACAGCTGACAAGGTGCAAGCCTCGCTTCCACTGGACCCTGCGCGCAGATTCTTCATGGAGCTACGTACTGTGGTACGACTAGTGGAGTGGCAATCGTGTGATCCTGCAAGCCCGGCGCATGCGTTTCCATCGAACGCAACCGGCAGTAGATCGCCTTACTTGTGCAAGTGCCCCAGAAGGTGAAGGTGATTGATGCGTGAGCAGTGTGTGTAGTAGCCCTTGAGTTTACCGGTATTCACCCCTCAGATTTCGAGGGACACGCTTAGTCGCTTGTTGGAACTCGGTCTGACCTCATCTTCACGTTGTGATGTTGAAGATGCCTGAACTAGAGATTGCATATAGGGTAGGTGTTAAGCAAATGCGGCATGTTAATCGAAGCTTGGCTCCATATGCACACATGGTGCTATCCTGCCATTCTTCATATGGACAGGCAGCTTGGGACATTGTATCGGTCGCATTGGTAAATATGTGTAATCTGGGCTTGCTAGCTGATACTTGTTGATCTGTAGACTCTGATTTGAGATTGCAGCCCTACGTAATACGTCGCTCCTTGGGTAAAATAACCTTAGTACTGATGACAGGGGGCTAAGCCGAATGAGGGCAGTCATTCGAGCTTCACCCCTGCGCCGTCCTCGACATTCCGCCCCGTGCTTCATCCTCGACCATGAGAATGCCGAATTTGTCAATCCATTCGAGCGACAAAGGCAGCTGCCAAGTGCAGGTTGCTTCTCATTGGACAAGCAGGCTTACTCGCGCCTGATATGTCGCATTGCCATTCGAGGCCAGTCACACGAAATTCACGAATACGGTATAACCATTCGAACCCCAGGCCATGGAGTCTTGGAGGCTCCTTCGCCCTGGCACTGCCTTACGGCGATCATGAAGTGATATGGGTCCAGCTCGAGTGAGACCGAAGTGTTGGGGTATACAAGTAGGACTGTGTCTCGTCGCTGTACCTGACGGATGGTTCTTGAGCATCCCTCCGCCATCAGGATAGCTGAACGACAACGCCCCTAGTCATCCTGTCTGCTCACTGCTCCACCGATTCAACATGCTCGACAGAGAATCCAAAGACAAACCTATTAATATTACCCGGCTCCTTGGCTGGGCGTGGGGGGATAGTGAGAGGAAGTCAAAGACAGACCCAAAGACGTGTGAGCACCGGAGCGCGCCATCTCTCGAGCCCTGCGACTCGTGCGGAGCAGAAGCGACTAGAGCGCGAAAGTACAGATGGAAGATCATTCTTGGGCTGGTGTTTCCTTTTGCTCTGCAAGCTCTCGACTCGACCATGTTCGTATCCTCAACTGTATCGCCTCGACGACCCAGAGAGTAACCCACTGACACCTGGCAGCATCGCGAGTGGCTTGCCGTGGATCGCCCATGACTTTGGCAAATTCTCTCAGCTCAACTGGATCGTATCAGCCTTCAACCTCACCTCTGCTGCATTTATCCCCTTTTGGGCGCAAATGTGCGACGTCTTTGGGCGCAACGCCACGATCAATGGCAGCATCATCCTGATGCTCCTCGGCAGTGCTCTGTGCACAGGCGCTCCGACAAGTGCCTTCCCGATGCTTCTTCTCGGACGTGGATTTCAAGGTCTGGCGGCGGCAGGCCTCAACGTAGTGGTGCAGACAATTCTAGCCGATCGTGTCTCGCTCAAGGAGGCTGCCAACAACTGGTCCATCTTTGCCTTTGTCGGTGGCACTTCGTACGGCCTCGGACCGGTCATCGGGGGCTATCTGACCAACGCGAATTGGCGATGGTGCTTTGGGATCAACCTTCCCGTGGGCGTTGTCGCCCTGGTGACGGTCTACTTCCTCCTGCGCAAGGAGCTGCTCGGGGCCCAGCCGATTCCGGAACTCGACGAGACAGTTGAGACAGGACGCCGCACCAAATTCGGCGCACGAGTGAAGACTGTCGACTTTGGGGGTCAGGCGTTGTTCTTGGTAGGGTTTGGCCTGATCATCTTGGGTCTGACGTGGGGAGGCGCGACGTATCCCTGGGCATCAGCGGCAGTCATCGTTCCACTGGTTCTTGGGACCCTATTGACTGGCGCTTTTGTGTATTGGGAGTATCTCATGGCGCCGGGGAAACTTCTTTCTCAAAGATTCCCTGCGCAAAAGCCCATGATTCCATGGAACATCATCACAACCAAAGATATCATGTTGGTCTTCTTCACAGAGACAACCTCTGGAGTGGCCATGTATGCGGTGCTATACTTTTGCAACATCTACTTCATCTCGGTGAAGGATTATCAGCCCGACAAGGCCGGAGTCCAGCTTTTGTTCTTCATCCCTGGGTTGTCTGGTAAACATGGCAACCTACCACGCAAGGGGAGATCCTGTCAGCTAACAGTATTTAGGCGGCGTCATCCTTTGCTCTTTCCTCTGCAACTCGTGGCCTCGTATGACCTGGCCACCGATTTTCCTAGGTACCCTCGTCGAGGCTGTCGGACTCGGGATGCTGTCGTGGGCATGTTACAGCGAGAAGTCGTCAATCATCTTTGGCATGATGGCGCTTGTCGGTGTCGGCTCTGGTCTGCGCTACATGTCAGGCCCGCTGCATGGCGTTGGCTACTTCCGCCAACATCGCGCGGTCATTGCGGGAATGATGGCTCTTGCGCATCCGTTCGGTGGAACCTTGGGACTCACCGTGATGACTACCGTGTTCAACAACCTGTCTGGTGTAGACTACGACCCACGCCTTTCAGAGACGAACACCAGCGACCCTCGAATTAATGACGAGCTGAAGGAGAATGCCAAAATGGGCGTGGTTTGGGCATTTGTAGCCGTCACACCGTTCCTGGTGCTGGCCTGGATCGCGACATTCTTCCTCGGCAATGTCATTCTCGGCGACGGCAATGGTCCCGATGAAGAGGGCTTGCACAACACTGTCATTCGAGACCCTTACATTCTGAGGCTTCTCAAAGGCCAAGGAAGACCAGCTCAGCCTGAGAAAGAGGTCAGATTGCGGAGTTGGGAGATGCTCGGGAGCTCCCACAGCACGGGAGAAGACGAGCTGCTGACTCGACCTGTCCAGGCAGACTGAAACAGTGACCGAAAGAACAATAGTGATTGTAGTTATTATGTTAGATCAAAACAAGGGAACTTTTGTTTCGTCATCCTTGTTCTCGAAAGCATCCCATCTCCCATGCTGCGTAATGTGTCAGGCCCTAGCTGCACGCACGTCGCCTCAGTGCAAGCTCACTTGTCAATCAACTTGTGCGACCATCGTCACCCGGAATCTAGAACAGTACCATCAACACATTCCAACCATCCCACTGCGTAATCTCTCTCCTTTCATCATCTTCCTTAACGTGCCTTAACTTGCACCTCGTCAATTCGTGCAGCAGCACCACGCCGGAATTACGTCCGCCGCTCTGCATCGAGATATTTCACAGTCGCATCGCCACATCAAGACAGAGGTGGCCTGGAGCAAATCTGGAACACCGCAAAACCGGAATTCGATTCTCATGCGCGTCACGGGTCCGTCCTTCCAGGTAGCAAGCAACAAGCGAGTACCGGTATTCAAATCAGCCACACTTTGTATTTCAGGCCCAAGACTCACACACGTCGCACCAAAGCAAACTCGTGAATTTTGGCCCGCGCTCTTGATCACCGACCATGAGCTCGCTCAGTGTTCAAGATGATTCCTCCGGTCCCCTTTGTGGGCTTGTATTCCGGACCTTTGATGATGGGCACCAGCCACATTCGCCCCGCCGCCATGCTAGCCTGAGCCGGAGTGTTTCGACCGGCAAATCTCCTTCGCCCACCACCAGCACCAGCAGCGACAGCAGAGTCGACGATGTGGCGTCCACGGGAGACTTTTCCCAATTCACCAAGCTACCACCCGAGCTCCGGCTCAAAGTCTGGGAATGCCTCATACAGCCACGCATCGTCGGCGTATGCTGTCTCCAGAATGACACACGCGGGGGATACCAACCGGGCGAAAAGATCGCCGCCCGTCGCAAGGAACTGGACGCGCGCACGACGCGCGGGAACCAGGTACCGGCCATCCTGCACGTCAACAGCGAGTCTCGCGCCCTGGGCTTGAAGTACTACGAGCTCACCTTTGGATGGCGCATCAAGGGGAGCAGGCCGAACAGCGCACCGCCGCGCACCTACTTCAACTTTGCCCAAGACGCACTCTTCCTCACAGGCGACCTGGAGGCCTACGACTCGTTTGGCTTCAACGCGCCCATGGTGTACTACTTGCGCAAGGAGGATACGGAACGAGTCAAGCACGTGGCCTGCCCCTTTCGAGAACTGGGCTATCCCCATCAACACAGTGACTTGATCTGGGGCTGTCTATGGCACATTGTAGACCGATTCAAGGTGTCGGCTCGCTTGCTGCTCACGGTGGGCGAGGGCGACGAGGAGCGTCTCGGCCACGCGGGCCACGCGGGGCGTGATCTGGTGACGGGCACGGCGACGCCTGGGCTGACGATGGCGGAAAACGAGAGCATGGCGGGCCAGATGCAGACGCAGCACGCGCTGCAGAATATATGGCGGGCTTGGCTCGGGGGCCGCACGGCGACGAACTCGATGATGGCAGATAAGCAGATGCTGCTGGTCTCGGAGGCGGAGCTGATGAACTTTGTGACGAGGCAGGCTCAGTAGACCTAGGGGCCTCAACCGGCATAGACTACCTAAGGTAGCTGGGACGGCATGTGCATGATTGCAGATTTTGAGCGTAGCGCAATGAAAAAAGACTTGCATTAGCCAGCGCTGCTTCAAGTGTGAGAAGGAGCAACGGGCGTTTCTAGTCGAGGAAAAATAGAAACGTACATAATAGTGATGGGCACGGTTCCGCCATCTCGTGCGAGAGCTACATGCGCTGCAACGTCCAAGATGGGGCATGCCATTCAGTGCATCGGTTGACGACAGAGGCACCAGCAACGAATTTCCGTCTGGCCGAGATCACCAATACAGTGTCTGAAGAACAGTATTTGTCGCTTACGCACGGTACAATCGGGCGGCACTTGGGCAGGAGCAACCTGTCTTCATATCCTTTGAAGGCAGCCACATTGCGGAAAGGCTGAAATGATGTGGCGCTTTGAGTCATCAATAATGTTCAACCTCTCAAGGTTCAAGCTCCTATCTCGCCCAAACAACTAGTACTGACTCATGTCACTCCACGAGTCCGTCGGCAGTACGTATGTGCCATGGTAGCGCATGCGCATCATTCACATCCCGTCGTCCGAACAAGCATCCGCGGGTACCCACCCACCCGCCCTTGGCCCTTGGGCTGGCGTCTGGCATTCGGCCGGTCATCGTGGCATGGGGATGATCAAGCCGCACGCTCACGCTCACGCGCGCGGGGGCCCCTGGTGACGTATCCGCCAATCCGCCCGTCACTCCGCACGGGGTTGAAATGCCTAAAGTAGAGAGTGCTATTCTACGTACTTGTATGGCTCAAGGAGACGAAGAAGCCCCAGAGAATACAGGGAACCACCGAGAGACACGTTACGTCCGCTACACGACCAGGCCATTCCTCGAACGACAGCATCACCCTCTGCGCCAGCCGACATTTGCTTGACGCCGTTCCCCCAGGTTAAATCGATCAGTCAGCCAGCCAGCCCTTCCAAAAAGGCCCCTTTCGGTATGTCTGTGGAACCTTTCGTTTGTCGTTTTCCGGCCCTACAAGCCAGCAAGCCAGGGCGTCGCTGGAGACACTCTGGCGCACCTGACGATCATCACGCTTTGCAGCAAGTGCTCTGAGCAGTTGGCCGCCCTCATCGGGGTACGTGACCAGCTTCACCTCCCAGAAGACCTGGTTCTCGCTGTCCTGGGCAAACTCAAAACACACCCGACTTCCATCATCACTGAACACCACCGTCATGGTCTCCTTGAGGCGAGGACCTTCTTCAGTGGGCATATGGTCCCGATGCAGGTTGCACCGAGCACATGCCTTGGCCGTGCCTTTCGGGTCAATGGACGCCAGTTCGGTTGTTACGGTTGCTGCACGGGTGAATAGTCGAGAGTGTGTGGGGGACACCCTAGCCAGCCATTCTAATAATGGCTCGTCGTCACACCTATATCCTGCACTAGGCACATGCTATAAGTGACGCATGGCCTCGGACTCATTTTCCGTATACACCTGTTCCTATACTTCCCATCTTGCCTTCGATCAGCTTGTCAGTCTACTACATGTTCCCTTCCATGAGCTGGACACTTCGAGTGTGATGCCGGCCTACTATCTTCAAGACTGCCACTACTTCTACCGCACGGCTCTGCGCGGCCTCAGCATCTGCACCTCTATCTCACCACTCTACGCCTAAACCTTCACGATTCGCACTGACACAATGTCTACTCAAGTTCGCACGTTCACGCCGCCTCAGCCACTAGGCCAGACGTTATCCCAGCCAACCCCTCGAGCGGATACTCCCAGGTCCATACCCGAGCAGCCGGTTTTCAACAACAACAATATCACAAAAGTCCCTGCAAGTCCCTCAAAGAAGGACGCGGACTACAAACGAGTCCCGATGGATTCCCACCACGACAAAAAGCAGCCGGGTGGCATCACCTTTGCTGCTCAGGACAAGCTACCCAAACTCCCCATCCCGGATCTGGAGCAAACAGTCAAGAGGTATCTCGATGCCTTGCGGCCCCTTCAGTCTTCCAGGGAGCATGGGGACACAGAGCAGGCCGTCGACGAGTTCCTGAGGAATGATGGGCCAGAATTGCAGGAGAAACTCAAGAACTATGCACAAAGCAAGACGAGCTACATTGAGCAGTTCTGGTACGACTCGTATCTCAACTTTGATAACCCCGTGGTCTTGAACCTGAACCCTTTCTTCCTATTGGAAGATGACCCAACACCTGCGAGGAACAATCAGATCACGAGGGCCGCGTCTCTCGTCGTCTCAGCGCTCGAGTTTGTGCGTGCTGTCAGAAAGGAGGAGCTCCCGCCCGACACCGTCAAAGGCACACCACTGTGCATGTACCAATTCTCGAGACTCTTTGGCACAGCACGAGTACCAACAGAAGCTGGGTGTCAGATTGAGCAGGATCCCAACTCGAAGCACATGGTGGTCATGTGCCATGGCCAGCTCTACTGGTTCGATGTGTTGGACGACAACTCCGATGTCATCATGTCCGAGCGCGATATTGCCCTCAATCTTCAAACCGTCCTGGATGATGCGCAGCAGATCCCCATTCGAGAAGCTGCCAAGGGAGCCCTGGGCGTACTCAGTACAGAGAATCGCAAGGTGTGGTCGGGCCTGCGCGATGTCTTGACGCGAGAGCCTGGGTCCAACAATGCCGACTCGCTCAACATCGTCGACTCCGCCCTCTTCATCCTCTGTCTCGACTACACCGAACCACCCAATGTCGCGGCGCTCTGCCAGAACATGCTCTGTGGTACCAGCCAGGTAGAGAAGGGAGTGCAGATCGGCACCTGCACCAACCGCTGGTACGACAAGCTGCAGATCATTGTCTGCAAGAACGGAAGCGCTGGCATCAACTTTGAGCACACGGGTGTCGATGGCCACACCGTTCTGCGCTTCGCGAGTGACGTTTACACAGACACCATCCTCCGTTTCGCCCGGACAATCAACGGCCAAGCGCCCACGTTGTGGACCTCCACCAGCCCTGACCCGTCCAAGCGAGATCCCGCGAGCTTCGGCGATGTCAACACCACGCCCCGGAAACTGGAGTGGGACATGATCCCCGAACTCAACATTGCTGTTCGCTTCGCCGAGACCCGACTCGCCGATCTGATTGAGCAGAATGAGTTCCAGTGCCTGGACTTCAGCTCCTATGGCAAGAACTTTATCACCTCCATGGGCTTCTCCCCCGACGCCTTTGTCCAGATGGCGTTCCAAGCCGCCTACTACGGACTCTACGGCCGCGTGGAGTGCACGTACGAACCGGCCATGACCAAGGTTTTCCTCCACGGCCGGACGGAAGCCATCCGGCCCGTGACAGATGAGTCTGTCAATTTCGTCCAATCCTTCTGGGCCGACAACCCAGCCGAGCAGAAAGTGGAAGCGCTGAGAAAGGCATGCCAGAAGCACGTTGACGCGACACGCGTCTGTGCCAAGGCGCAAGGCTGTGACCGTCACCTGTACGCCTTATTCTGCGTCTGGCAGAAGCATGTCAACGAGGAAATGCAGAGCAGCCGAAGCAGCGACGGCTACTCCAGCCCTCTCGAGGGCTACTCGGATGCCGCCATGTCTCCTGTGGGGAGCCCACCCAAAACAACAGGGGAATCAATGGATGGCGTCGAGGTCAAGCCAACGAGGGAGCGTGGCGGCAGCACCGGCTCACGGAACAGGGACCACATCCACCCCCTACCACTCCTCTTTGCCGATTGTGGCTGGGACCGCCTGAACACGACTGTCCTGTCCACGTCCAACTGCGGCAACCCCTCGCTCCGACACTTTGGCTTCGGCCCCACGTCAGGGGATGGATTCGGCATTGGCTACATCATCAAGGACGAATCCATCTCCATCTGCATTTCGAGCAAGCATCGCCAGACCCGTCGTTTCGTCGACACTCTCGAGTCCTATCTCCTCGAGATCCGCCGCATTCTGCGCATCACCAACCGCAAGGCCTCCGTCGCCGGGGCGCAAAAGGGGTCGACCCGGGCGCGCGAGGCAGAGGAGGCGCACAAGAAGCCTGTAGTGCACAAGTCGAGCAGCGAGACTGCCAGTCGCCTCAAGAGCAGGGGACGTTTGATCACGCAAGATTCGCTGAGGTCGATACGCCAGGCGCCGAGCGGGACCATGTCGCCTACGGAAGAGAGTGTGACTGTGAGCGAGGAGGACGACGAGTTGGGTGGATGTAAGTTTTCCGTGTCTTCCTTTCCAGGTCGAGTAGATGACTAACGATTTGTAGATGGTTTCTTTGACGCGGGAATGCTCTTGCAGGCTCTCAAGGCTAGGGGAGATAAGTTCGATGGGTCGGAGACAAAGGCCTCGGAGAGAGCGGCGGTGCAGGCCAGACGGCGTGATGTGGGCAAGAAGCTGCGGTTGAGCGAGTACTGAGCTATCCTTGTTGTTTACAAGCGAGCTAGCTACATGTAGCTTTTGTTGTTTCATGCATGTCGGTTTTCGAGAGAACGCCAGATCAAATATCTTAGCATCTTGTAGCTTGAATGGTACTCTATCGTCAAATGCACATGGTCATCGTATGAGTCGCCTTTCTGTACGCACTCATACTCCTCAAGAGTCTACAAATCCTCACACGTTGTACCTTCAAGCCATCTCATGCACTCCTCCTCCCCTCTGCGTGTCTTCCGGCCTCGACGGCGCCTCGTGGATCACCCCAGGGTTTGCCATCGAGTTACGGTTATCGGTGGCCTGAGGGGAAACGGTGAAGCCGGAAGGATATACAGCCGAGGGGCTCGATCCGTCATGGTAAGACATCGTGGGGCTGACGCTATTCGGTGGAGGAGTATTGCCCATGGAATGAAAGCCACCTGGGTGCTGATGCTGATGCTGTGGATGCTGATGGGGTGCGTAGCTGTACGCTGCGCCCATTGCGCCGCCCTCGCTGGGGTCGTAGTACGTCGGTTGCTGGAAAGGTTGTTGAGGGTTCCCTGGCGAGGGTCCCTGATGCGGCGGGGCGTAGGCCATGGTGGGAGATGTGACGGCAGACGCGTCGGCGGCGGCGGCGGCTTGCTTCTTCTTCTTCTTGCGGAAGAATAGCCACAGCCCCAGACCACCGAGAGCAATGGCACCTATACCACCAACGACACCTCCTACAATGGGACCAATAGGAGTGCCATTGTCACCATCATCGTCGTTGTCGTTGTCCTTGCCGTTGCCGTTGCCCTTGTCGTTGTCGCCGTCACCATCGTCTTTCTTGTCTCCGTTGTCGCCGCCATCCGTCGAAGTAGGATCCGCGGTGACAGTTGCGCCAGGAATCTCCGACTCCGCTTCTAGCGTGAGCGAGGACTCTGGATCATCCAACGGTAAAGGCGAGAACTGGCGCCCAGTTTGACCTGAGTACGCAGTGGAGGCCGACTGCGCCGTGCTGATATCGAGACTATTGCACCAGTAGTCATAAATATCATCTGCGAATGAAATCGTGTTGCAATAAGGCATCGCTGAGTCCATACTACAGGTCCGGGTGTTAGAAATGCTGTGTCACATCATGGGAACGCTTCCGGGCCTCACTCACCACTTGACAGTGAACGCATCCACACGGCAGCCATCGTCGCAAGCGCTGGATGAGTAGTATGAGTCGTAGTCGATGCAGCTGATGCGAGCACCGCATTGGAAGTCGTCACAGCAAGCGACGTTGCCGGTCAAGGGTGCCGATGCGGTGAAGAAGACACAGCTATAAGTGGGAGAGCAAGCGAAGAGGGCGCCTGGGCGGGCAGAGATGAAGCCGCAAGTATTGTCCGGGGCAATGAGCACAGTGGTGCCATCTTCATTGTCGTTAGAGTTGATCTGACGCTTGATCAACGGCCGCAAGCCGCCGGGAGGAGCTGTCGGCCTGGGCGTCCACCCGTCCCCGGGCAAGTCCACGGAGCGTGTGGCGTGAGGCAGGTCAAGTTTCCATGCCTTGCTTGGTAGAGCAGAGAAAGCAGTTGCAATGGCTACGCCGAACCCTGTTCTGGCGATCATGATTGCTGCTGTATGGGACAGTTGGTCTGGACAAGACAAGATTGAGGAGCGAAGGAAGGTCGAGGAACAAGAGGAGACAGCCTTGAACCACGCACAGCAGTAGGCCCAAGTCCTCCGTTAGCGTGGTACCAGGCTGTGTCTACGAAGCAAGCCATTATACTGATAGGCTGCCAGCGCGATGGGTCGTCGTTCTTCCCCTGTCACCGGTACTCGGCGCCAAACAGTAGGTCATGTTTGCGGTCGTCAGGTTAGCAGTACGAGTCGACGTCCGCAAGCGCAACAAAAAGTGCCTAGCAGTGTCAGCCCTGGGATGGCACTAGCGGATCCAGCGCCTTTAGCCTAGTGGACGAGCGTCAAGACCCCGGCTTGCTTAGACCATGAAGATGGGCGCGAAGGTCGGTTGTGGCTTGTTGCGGTGCAGGAGCTGAAGATGCGTGATGGGACAGCGGCATCTGAGCCCCTCCCAGTCTCAGCTTCTGGTGCAAGGTCCCTCAGGCCATTGCTCATGGGCGCTCTGCTTTGCACCGCGAAGAAGAGTCTAGGTGCTCTCCTCGGATGGGATTGGCGCCTGTTGCTAGCTATTACACTGTCTCGTGGCACTGCAGTGTGTTAATTGGAAGGATCCAAACCAGAGAAGCAAAGAGACGCTGAAGGGTTGCGTGGTAATGGAGCCTTTTCAGCGCGGGCTGATCAGGACCCAGCTGGGGCTAGAGACATTGACGCGGATGGATGATCCTTGCCGTGAAAGAGGTTGTTTTTAGCGAAAAGCCATCCATAGCCAACGCGCAACTGGCGAGGAGCTGTCGGTAACCGACTTGGTCTCCATGCTGTGAGGCTCACAGCCAAGTGGTTGGAATAAGCCTCAACTTAGGTGTCTAAGAGCCAGAAACGTGAGGTCGATCACAAACAACTTATTAGCGGCTAATACAAGGCGACACCCTGCCACCTGGAGAAGTTGCATGTTGCATGATGCGGATCCCTGCTTATGCTTGTTCTCGAAGCGCGATACGAGACGCCCGACTGCGCGGGAGGGGCTGCTGCGTCTGGGACTCTGGGTGGAGAGCCGAGGGCAAAGGTGGCTGCTCATGGCAAATTAGGCGGTCGGATGAACAAGTAGCTGACGATGTCGACAACAATTGTTCAGCCCTACGAGGGTGTTTAGTGAAAAATACGACGATACTTGATCAGGACACTGTGCCACTGTCGTGGTCGACTTTTGTGGTAACAATCAATGGGGAGTGGCTGGAAGAATGGCCAACGTTATCCGTACAGAGTCCCACTTTCTTAAGGCGGCGGAATTTTCGGAAGGTACCACCGATTGCTCGGCCGTTGGAAGGCACCAGGGCAGGAGGTGCTGCCTGAGGCGACATGACGCGACATGTAGTCCAGCACTGATGTTTAGTGCTTGTATCCGTGGAAGAGGGCGGACATGGAGATGCAGAACTTTAAGCAAAGATAGGGTTGCAAGACAGACCTGTGTGAGATTTGATCGGAACACCTACGTAGACTGGATCCGACCCCAATTGGTGGTGAGTTGGTGCCAAGCTGTAGGTGGGGCTCCATACAAACTGACCTCACCTCAACGCGGTCGTGCGTTCACTCACTCACTCGCCCAGACAAAGACAACCAGACACGTACCTCACGTCGCCTTACAATTCGTGCTGGCTCTTCATCGGTACGATTGACACCAGAAGCTCACAAGGGCAACCACCACCCCACTACAACACACGGTCTTGGTTCGTATAACCGCTGGCCATCCATCGCCCCAGTCCCCATCATGAAGTCGCGATAGCATCCGCCCACACCATGACCGATCTGCGGCGCATCCTCCCAACCTTCCCCACAGCATCTTTCGCCGCCCTGCTTCCGACGGTCGAGCAGCACGCCATCACAACGACAGACCTCCTCACATCACACCCCGCGGATATCGCCAAGCAGACGCACCTGCCCATTCTCGACCTCAAGCGTCTCATAGCGACCATCCAGGCTTCTCTCTCCGATGATCTCAAACCAACAGACTTCTCAGAAGAGCAAGGCAACAGTCTAGCATGTATCAGCACACTTGATCCGGATCTCGACGCAGCCTTGGGAGGTGGCGTCCCAACCGGGCGTATTACCGAATTCGCGGGTGAATCAGGCGCAGGCAAGACGCAATTCCTCCTCTCACTCTGTCTGGCCGTGCAACTACCAGCGCCCTACGGTCTCTCACGCCAGGCGCTGTACATCTCCACCGAGTCTGGCCTCTCGACCTCCCGTCTGTCTCAGATTCTCCGCGCCAACCCCATCATCAACCAGCGGATTGACTATGTGGATCGACCCTCGCTGGACAACATCCTCAGCGCCTCCCTGCCCGACCTCGAATCGCAGGAACACATCCTCAACTACCAGGTCCCTGTACTCCTGGAGCGGCATAATGTCGGCTTGATCATCCTCGACAGCGTCGCCGCGAATTACAGGGCCGAGTTTGAAAGGGAAGGCTCCAGTCGCGGCTCTAACATGGCGGCGCGTAGCAACGACCTCATCAAACTCGGGGCTCTCCTACGGGACTGGGCAAGACGACATGACCTCGCCGTCGTGGTCGCGAACCAGGTCGCCGACCGATTCACCCCCGTAGGCTCTACGCCTCGCTGGTCCCAGCATCAGGGCGCCACGCAGGACACACCACTCGCCTCAAGGAGCAATGCTCCCAGAGGCAGTATGCCCAGCACGCCCACCTCGTCACTGTCTTTCTCCATGCCCAACGAGGAGACGCCTGCACCGCCGGCGTTGGCGCTGGACCACCAGCAACGGTGGTTCACCGGCTGGGGCGACGATCCACTGGCGACATATGCGCTGAAGACGCCAAGTCTGGGCCTTGTCTGGTCAACGCAGATCGCCATGCGGATAGCCCTGTTCAAGAGGCCGGTGTATGGTGTGTCACATCGCACAGCAGCGCCCATTATGGCGGACGACGAGTTTGCGGATGGCGAGACGGGCAGCACGCTCAGGGCATGGAGGCGTTGGATGAAAGTTGTCTTCGCGCCGCACGTGCAGTCTTCAGGTCAGGGGTTGCAGGGAGCGACAGAGTTCGAAATCACCCTTGGCGGGCTCAAGACTGTGACCAAGAAGAAGGAGGAGCAGACAAGCGGGGATGAAAAGAACGAAGAATAGCTAGCAGCTATAGTAAAGTCATGACGTGGAATGTATACAATATGTACATTAATTTTCCTGTCGATGCAGTGCGCTATGCTACTTTGGATGTGGAAACTCGTCCTCCAGCTGTAGTCGTACACCCACGTTCATACTGATCAGCTCCTGCACGAGGAGCTTGGCCGCGTACGGCATCGTCATCTTGGTCACCTCCTTTGTGCTCTTGCAGGTGTGGCAGTAGCCCTTGTATCCGAACAGTCCGCACTGCTGGCAAATGTCAATCTCTGTGCCGTCGGAGCTGATCATGAGTCGCTCGAGCAGCAGCTGCGAGGCACCGTACGCGATCAGACAGTCACGCTCCATCTCTCCCAGACGCAGACCACCGTCACGCGAACGACCTTCGGTGGGCTGACGCGTCAGGATCGCGCGTGGACCGCGGGAGCGCGAGTGCATCTTGTCCTGTACCATGTGCTTCAGGCGCTGGTAGTAGATGGGCCCGTTGAAGATGTACGCCTCCAGCGGTTCACCCGTGATACCAGAGGTGAAGTAGTCCTTGCCTTCCCAGGAGAAACCATGGTCCAGCATGACCTGGCTGACCTGCTCCACCGGATGAGACCGGAACGCGTCACCGAAACCGTAGTCCTTGCGGCCGTCCAGGACGGAAGCTTTGCCAGTGAGACACTCCAGCAGCTTCCCGACCGTCATTCGCGACGGGAAACCGTGGGGGTTCATGATAATGTCCGGGCATAGACCGTTGTCCGCAAATGGCATGTCCTCCTGCTCGACAATGATACCCACGACACCTTTCTGTCCGTGGCGCGAGGAGAACTTGTCGCCCAGTTCCGGTCGACGGGTCTGGCGTGTCTGCACCTTGATGACGGTCGTCTCCCTCTCCGTCCGTGAAATCATCACCTTGTCGATGAAGGCCGGGTCGGGGATGCGGTAGGATACAGACGAGTCGCGGAACTCGCTCGGTCCTCGATCCATGCCAATACCCGTCGTGGTCTGGTCGAGGGGTGTCCTCTTCTTGACCATTGCCTCGCCGGCCTTGACCCGGTAGCCAACGGTGGCGAGACCGTCGTTATCGAGAATCTCGTCCTTGGGCACGCGTCGCCGCACATCGCCGTCCATCTCGTCCTCCGGATGCGTCATCTCCTCTCTCCTGCCGTTGGGGTATTTCTGCAGCTCGGCCGTGTACTTGCGGAACACCTGGCAGCGGCCGAAGCCCCTGTCGATGGACGCCTTGTTCAGCACCAGGGCATCTTCGATATCGTATCCAGAGTACGACATGACCACAACGGTGGCATTCTGACCTGCGGGCAGCTTATCGTAATGGATGAGCTGGATGGTTTTGCTGATGACCATGGGCCTCTGTGGATACACCAGTGTGTACAAGAGGGTATCAATTCTGTTGAACTGATTGTATGCAATCGCTCCAATGGCTTGCTTACCCATGGCGCATTGATACGTGTTACGGGGGGACTGGTTGTGGTGAGGGAAGGGAATGAGACCGGCCACAGCTCCAAGGATCGTGAATGGTTCAATCTCGAGATGCGTCGTACTTTGTGTGATCTGATCTTCGTAAATCGTGATAAGGGCGTCGTTCTCCTCGTTGACATCGAGGTACTCGACGATACCGTGCGTCAAAAAGTCGTCAAACGTGGCCTTGCCCATGTGCAACAGCTTCAAATGCTCAGGCTTCAGCTTCTGCTGACCATTCTTGACAATGATGTAGGGGCGGCAGATGCGGCCTTCATCCGTGGCAATGTGTACGGCGTTGAAATGGGTATTGATGTTGATGCTGACAAAAGGTGACATCCAGCCTCTCCGTCGCATGGTTCGGAACCTGTTGGCAAACCGTTTGGGATATCGCGTCAGGGCAAACGGTGTACCGTTGACGTGAATGATGAAGCTCCCTTCGCGATGCATCTCGGCACCGGAAAAGTTCCTGATGGGTTCCACGCCAGGGTCGAGTGTGAAGATCCATCTCTTCACAGGTCCCTCTTCCACGTTGGTAGTGATATGCGTCATCAAGGCCAAGTTTTTGACGAGACCACAGGCTTCACCTTCAGGAGTATCGGACGGGCACAGCATACCCCATTGCGACGGCTGCAAAGCACGGGGACCACTGACTTTTCGCGTCTTCTCAAACTGACTGCTGATACGGGTCATCATACCCAGAGCACTGATGTAACTGAGTCGACTGAGAACGTGCGTGACACCAGCACGGTTCATGTTGAAACGTTTGACATTCCAGTTTCCTGTCTGGATGGCACGGTTGATCCCCATGCCGATGTTGTTGGCATGGTTGCTGATCATGTGGACAGCATCCAGTGGCACCGCGCGGTTGTTCTTCTTAAGGAACTTGTCGATGGACATCTTCACCTCCACGGTGAAGCGCTTGAACAGATCCTCGAAGAGTAGTGACAGAAGCTGCCCAGCCAGTTCGAGACGCTTGTTGCCCACGAAATCGCGGTCATCGACCAGCTTGGGGTCGTGCGCGGCGACCAGGACCCTCCTGGTCATCATGGCCACATAGATGGCCTTGGGATAGAAGTCCAAGCCCTCAATAGGCACATGGGCGATAACCAGGTTTGCCAAGGCGTCCAGTCCCTCCTCGACGTTGTTCCTCCGAACCTGGGGTCCGAACTGTGCCTTCTTTGACCCCATCTTGACCCTCGCCCCAATGTACTCAAGAGCTTGATGCTGGGTGAAGACCTGCGCTTTGGTAGCTTCGTCAAAGTTGATGAGGAATTCGTCCTGGTATCGACCGTCAGAGCCCGCGACCAGCTGCATGATCTCGAGATCCGACAGCCCTCCCAGCGCTTTGAGCACAATGACAATAGGGATGCCCTCCACCAAGACGTTGTGCGTTAGGGAAATCTTGTCCTTCTTTTGTGTGACGTATGTTTTCGACTTTCGCTCGTGGGTCGAACTGGTGACGGACGCGGAAATGATATTGTTCTTCTCGTCTGCTTCCACAATGACACGATTCTTGCTCAACTGCTCTTGGATCAAAATGACTTTCTCGGTTCCACCAATGATAAAGTAGCCGCCAGGGTCAAGCGGGCACTCGTTCATCTGCTCCATCGTGTCGTTGTTCGCGCCGCTGAGCCGGCACTTGGAGCTGCGAAGCATGACGGGCATGCGCCCAAGTGGTACGTTCCTCCGGATGATCTTCTGCTTATCACGAATGTATACGACGTCGACGAGGATCGGGGCCGCGTAGGTCATGTCTCGGAGGCGGCACTCCATGGGGGAGACTGGACGGGTGGTCTTGCCCTCATTGTGGTCTTGTCTGCGAGGGCGGTCGACGCGAATGTCTGTAAACTCCAACCAGAAATTGCTGTCGACATCGCTGCGGATCGTGCGGTTGGCGCGCACGATTTCTTTGATCTCCTGCTCCACGAAGAAGTTGTAGGAGTCAATATGCCTGCTCTGCGTTAGCATCGCGTCGCTCGTGGGAGGGCACCCTGGTAAGTAGCGTACTGCTTCACGAGACCTGCACAAAGTTGTTAGCTCAAGTCGCTCGGAGGGGAGCAGTCCAGGAGGTGCGCGTACCCTTGACTTTCAGGAACGCTGGGAGCAGCTGGAACTTGTCATCCTTGGTAGAAATGGGATCGGTCAACTTCTTGCCGTTGTAAAAGGGCTCCAGGAGGGCCTCGAAGCCGTCGTCTACCAAGGGCATCGTAGTGGCTACCGTCTACGATACATGGGTTGTGTATGTTGTGTATGAACACGGGAGTAGACCACCTCACAGGCGGCTTTGGATAGGAATGCGACGAGATCGGTTCGGTCGTGATGGTTGGAAAAAGTTGTGCCCCGCGGAATCTTTGGAGTTTGGAGTCACAGCCAAGTCCGTCCGTCGCGTCCGTCTAATTAGTGGCGCCGCCAACGGACAAGGTGGGGGACGAGGTGAGCCTCACTTACCCTGTAGCGTAGCGCGATATTGAGATTACACACGTTGTTGTGTATTTTTAGAGTTGCAGTATATTTTCATGTTATTGGACGTATAGTACATATCTACTCTCGGTGCACAATTACTCCACGTTATGGTGGTGGTTACCGGCTACTCTGATGGAAGCAAATATAGCGGCTAGCCAACCTCAGCCGGTGGGACACGGTCTGGTTTTCTAAAAATATCAACACATTGCCTTACCAATCATCAACTTCAACTGACACTGCTCAAATGGAGTGCCGCAGTCTCGGAAGTCTCTATCATCATTCTGCTACATGAGCTGCCATGAATGGAAACCTCTTAACGACCTCGCAGCCACAACTCCAATTCTTCAAGTCACGTATGTAAGCCTCGAAATTCGGGTTCATACGCAATTCACCAGCAGACTCCTGCACCGCATCGACAGTAGAGTAAGGCCAATCGACAAAGGTCGTCGCGCCTACCAGCTCCTCGAATTTCTCAAAGACACTCCAGTCTCTCATTTGAATGAGTGCATCGCGCGCATCAGGGTATGAGATGATGTCGATCCACGCTGGGTGAGGTATTGTTCTTTGCAGCTCTGTTGGCTTGAGATAGTCCGGCATCTGATTGTACGACTGTTGCGTCTGACAGGCCAGCCATCTAATATAATAGGCAAGTTTATACATGATGATTATGCGCTTGACGAGAGGAGCTAACAAGGTAGCAGATGTTTCAACTGCCTCCGCCACAGAGACGCGCCGGGATCTGGAATCAACGTCGTCCGCATGCTCATTGAGCAGCGAATATATACTTGGCAAATGTCCCTTGTCTGGCTTGTCGACCTTGGCAGCGATATGCCGAAAACATGAACGCCAGGCCCTGGTCTTTTTGATGATGGTCTCGTCAAGTTTGTTTGTTGGCTCGATATGCCCAGGTAGCCTTTGCCATACTGGTCTGTGTTGACGCGGGAGGGAGGCATCGGTTTGTCCGTCCCGAACTGGAGGCCCTTCTTTCACGGAGATACCGAAGGAGTCGAGGTTCCCGCAGCCAAGGTTGCGTGGCAGGATACGGGGGCTGCGGGCTTGAAGGTTTGCTGCTGACACGCTGCAGGAGCTAGGTGTCAAATGTGCATGGCCCAGTCGACTGGGCGAACCTGTGTCGGGGTGAGAGGGACGTGACTCGGATGCGGACCGTGAGGCTCTTCGACTCTGCTCTGACGTACTGAGGACGGTCTGCATATCATCGTCCCTAATCACTTCCTCGTCTCCCTCATCGTCCGATACAACCTCGTATTTTCGCAACCGGGCGCGCAACAGCGCCTTTTCGTATTTTAATTGAGAGATCCTGTCTTCTAGGCGCGCTGTGTACGCCTTGTTCTTGGCCCGGTGCTGTCTCTGGTTGGAACGATCGATTTCTCGTTTCCTCTGGATCTGTGCCGGGGTAAGGTTGGCCACTCGCCGACTTTCTCGTTTGTTGTGCATGGAGTTTATCGGTGCAGCTGGGATCACAAGCAATATTGTATCAAAGTGAGAGTAAGAGAGGATGTTTTCTTCATAGCCGAACAGGGACAAGATATCAACAAGTAACATTTGTCGATGTTGTGAGGGCCTGTACTTGTGGTTGGTGACCTGGAGTCTGGACTCTGGACAGCAGCCAGGAACTGAGGAAGGCCCTTCCTGTTAGCCTTTAGCTTCCCACCTCAACAATCGCCCAAAGGCAGCTCATCACGCCCACTTGCGTACCTCTACACATACGAGCACATCAGTACGTTTCCGCGGCGCGTTGTCTAACTCGCACTTAATACTAGTGTTAATGCCTGAGCCTCTGGGATCTCTCCCCGCGTATCCGGTACTCTGCGATGCGCTAATGTTGGGCTTGTGCCGCCTGTCAATGTCATGCTGATGTGGGGCAGCACCGAAGCTCCGATTTATATCACCTTGCTTGGTGAAACATGAGCATGATTACCTATTATAGATTCCATGTAGAGCATCACTGCAGACGAGCTGCACGTAGTCTCAGATCCTTTCGTCAGGCGATTTCTTGGGGATAATATGTTCTTGGTGCTATCTCATGTTAGCGAGCTAGACATTGCACATAAGGCAGCTTATCACACTACTAAAGGACTAAGCGCGCACTCGGAATATTAGGCGTGACTTGTGATTGATCGACTGAAAGTATTTGTTACCTGCCCGGCTTCGAAGTTACGATTCCGCATCGACGCCAGTTTTGGCCAATCGCACGACAAGCGATCCTCACAACACCATACATCCAGTGATTCTCTGGTACGACAGCACCCTGAAATGACTCCGTTGCTCAAGACAGGGTATGGACGAATTGCATGTGGCGCAGAGACAATGCATCAAGGGAAGGGGGAGAGCCATCTATTACCTCTGGGTTTTCGACAACCCCAGGTTCACGGACTGTCCCGGCGGGATGATTTTTAGCATATCTACGTAATTGTCCTAAAAGAGTAATAGTGAGACCCTTAATTATGAGCTTTCCTCACCGCCTCTTTGCCTACAGCTAGTGAACGGTTGCCTCTCATTATGCAACACTTGATTCACGAGTTTGGTCGAGAACGACCATTAGAGGCAATTTTGGATAATATTCACACCTGAAATAAAAAAGTGCGGACTCATTGATCACCAATGCCCCGCAACAGCACGTAGGGTTGTGGTCCTCACATGCACCTGAAGAATTCATCCTGAGCGCACGTACGGATAGATACCATGCCATTAACCAAGGTTGTCCATAGCTGGCGCCTCCAGTCCTCGATTTGACGTGGCCCTACGACTGGAGCTGAGGATTGTATCAAAAGCTACATGTAGTTTTTGGGTTGGTGAGCTGGCCAGCTCTGGGCAATAAACAAAGCTTGGCTTCAAGCGTCAAGTCATTTCACGTTCGCACATGGTTTAGAGTGCTCATGTCAGGTTGTATCTGTAACAATTTTCCACGTAGGATGATGGCATATTAGTAGCTGAGGCAATTCTGGTCGTCTGCTGGCTGAGACATGGGTGTACATTGATTCGGATGTCCACAAGATGGCACCAACCACCGCCTGGCGACGACTACGTACTAGCGGTCGCTTCAGGCGGCTCAAGCAAGCGTCCCAACAAGCCCGCTCGCGAATTTCCAGCCACGCCGGCGCGCCCTGGTCCCTTCCAACAAGACCCATTGAGGCGCTTCTGTCCTCTTGTCCTCTTGTTACAGCGTGCTGGTGACCAATAGACTCCAGGTCCGGTCGTCCCTACCAGGCGCCAGTCATCATTTGAGGCAGGACCGACCCGAACAGACGTCCAGTCGCCTGTAACTTGACCGCACATTCCCACCAACAAACCTCACCCCGCCTCTCCGACGTCCACTCCTCAAATCTTTAGCCCTGGGCCCTGGATTGTACTTGTGGCTCTTGTCGACGCCCTCATCCTCCCCTCCTGTCCCCTCCTGTCCCTCCCTCCTCCTCTTTTGAACTCTGATCTGTACCTTTCCGACTGTGTTACTTGCTGTGTACCTTATTCTTTCTTCCGGCTTCTCGTAGTCCCTGTCAGACAGTTCTGCGCATACTAGTAGCGAGCGAGCCTCCTAGTTTTGGTGGACTGACCCCTGCGGCTCAGCTCCTGCGACGACTGGGTGTATTTTCTGGAATTTTAAACAAATTTCGCATCCTGCATCAAGACCTGAACCTACTTCCGAAACCAGGATTCTACAGTATAGGAATTATCCTCAACCGGTTTGCAGAGAGAAGCTACAAGTTCCAGTCGTTGGGACCTGCACAGATGGAAGAGTACGACTACCCTTGGCGAACCCGCCGTTCGCCTCGCGACGATTCGAACGCCCCGAACTCCACATCGACCACCTCCTTTTCAAATGCCATGTCGCTCGTAACGCCGCCGCGAAACAACGACCGCTATCCTCAACAGCAGCAGCAGCAGCAGCACTCGGCCCAGAGTCTGACTTCCGACTTGCGATCAAACTTGACCCGACGTTTCACCACCGAGTCTGGCAACGTACCAACCATGTCGTCCATGAACCTCACGTCTCCCCAGCGAGGTCAGGGCCTCGGATCGACTCAGGCCAACCGAGATGCTCAGTACGCCGCGCAGCGTCAGAGCCACATGTATACAAATGGATTCCCTCGGGCCCAACCTGCCCGCATCGATCACGACGACGTAGGTCCTCCTATCCGATATTCACATGCGCTCCCGCTTGGTGTCGCGTTCGCCTCGCTCTGTGGCCTGCCGCGCATCTTTTTGCCCCAATTACTAACTCACGTCTGCAGTACGACGGCATGAGTAGACATGGCCAGACTAGCCAGGCTAGCCAGGTGCGCATCCCGATTTTCCCGCTTCATCTGAACTGGTTTGCAGGGCTGGCCTCTACCACGGGACGATCTCTGGCAGATGCCAACCACGCGGGAGCTGGAAGAATATGTCGTTGACAAGTTTAGATCGAACAAAGCCGAGCCGAACTCGAACGTATCCGGGCGCATCGGCGCAAATTCGAGCAAGAGATGGAGGCTCTCGAACAACGGCACCAGCAGGATCTTCTCCAAATGACCAGCCGCTACAATGTTGGGCACCAGTCCGAGCCCACAACGCCTCCCGAGCACAATGCCAATAGCGGATTCCCTTCCATGTGGTCACGCCCCGCTCGCATGTCCATGTCCAACATGACCTCGCCTCCTGGTTTCATGAATCGCCCTGGTCGATCTGGCTCCCACCTTATATCACCCCCTTCAGGCATGGCGCAAGCTCGAGCTGGCTGGGACAGCGCTCTCCCCTCTAGGTCGGTGCCAACGACACGTAGGAACAGCGACGACGAGGAAAGGGACGAGAATATCCGCCAAGAAATGGCCAACCACCGAGGTTCTCACGCGTAAGTCAACCCGATGCGTCGTTTTGGTGTGCCCTAGTTGTTGCCGTGTTCTGCGCTTGAGGAAGAGCAGCGTGGATTTTCGTTCAAGAACGATTCGCTATGGTGTTTGTAGGCTTGAGAGAAGTGAGGGAGCGAGCCAGCATCTCTCAAGCCTACCTCACACCTGCTCTTCGTCTCATTGATGCTGCCTGTGAACCAGGCTGATTCCCCACGTTACCTTACCTTATATTTAAGCTTCGTCAACCTGCACTTCCCTCTCTCCAACCCTTTTACTTCTCACAAACTCTCCATCTTCTCTCATCGCAAGCAATCCTCTCGATTCTAGCACCTCTACACTGTCCCCTACAACTACTCCAAGAAACTTATTAACATGCCTTCTGACAATAGCCATCGATACTCAATGCCTGGTTCCCGACCTCGCAACGGCGTTCAGGACAACGCCGGCCTTGACACCGCGAATATCACTCGTTTCTTGTGGGATGATGAAGAGGGCGGCGGCAATTCGCACTACAATGCCAACGAGATGGGCTTCCCTACGCTTACCCGCACAGAGGATCAAATTGTAAGTTGGAATCCCTTTGCAGTTCCAGTCGCACATGGCGCACATCTTCTTGCCCCCGAGACTTCTGTGCTCAGGTACCAGATGCGGTCGCACAGACCTACACAGACTTGGGACGAAGAGAGGTCAGGGTGGATCAACTCGCTCGTGTTTTGTTGTTCGTTGCTTGGATCTCAGCTCTGCGACGTTGAGCAAAATTTGTTGCGCCTGAACACACGCGCGGCTCTCTTTCCTCTCACCTCACACAAACCCGTTACCTTTTGACCCCCTATCCTCCGCAGAGCTTCCATTTTGCCTCTTCTGTAATTCTCTGTTATCTGACTTTGCGCGTGCTATATCAGCTTTCTGCATCTTCAGCTGCGCTGGATCTTGCCCTATCATCGTCGCCTAACCCTGAACCATCTTCGCACAACTGGAGTACTTCGATTAACCGTCATCGCCCACAGCAGAGTCTTTCGGCCTTGAACGGACCCTCCTCTTCCGCCTTGGGCACACTCGGTCACCGGCCTGCGTCGCTTCGTCAGTCGCTTGACTTGAACTACATCGCCGAAAACTCTGAGAACGCGCCCGGTAGCACCACGCCCACTCAAGCAAGCCACACCATGGCGGCTCCAAGACTCCAGAGCTCGTACTCATCCAACGATGTACCAACCGTCAAGAGCCCAACAGGATCTACTTCCGGCAATGCTAACAATCACGCCCAGCAGCATTTCCACAACCATAATGCTAGTATCGGCCGCATTCCGACGGGCGTTCTCCCATCCTCGCGAGGACACAGCCGTCAGCTCTCTCAAGAGACAAACACGAATGGCAACACCGAGCAGCCGGCAAACACTTACCCATCCATCCAGTCGACTCTGCACGCCAACGCGCCCGTCTTTGGACCTGGATCCGCGACTTCCCAAAACATGAATGGGCAGCAATTGCCTGCTACATCGCAGGGTCCTATGCATCCTGGCTTCCAGCCTTACTACCCCGTCAACCCGTACATGCCCGGCCTCAACGGTGTCAATGGCATGCCCGTCAACTACGGCGCTTCTCCAGCGAATGGCAACTACAACATGAACATGCTTACTGCTGGTATGCAGAACATGGGGATGAATGGCTCTATGAACGGTAACATGAACGGCATGGCTCCCATGTACCCTGGCCAAAACTTTGTTCCGCCTTACAATCCTATGCCCTACAACAATGGCAACACCAATGGCAATGCGAACAATGGGGGCAACGCCACCATGGGGCAGCAAACTCTCCAGCAGCCCCGCGATAGTCAAGCGCGGGTGATTTCAAACCGCCGCCAGGCAGACAACGATGGTGAGCAATGAATGGTTTCCACTTTCAGCTTTCGGTGCTAATGGTCTACAGCTATGAGTCGCTACAGTGGTTTGCCTCTAGAACACTTCCATGGGCAAATCTACGAACTTTGCAAAGACCAGCATGGATGCCGCTATCTCCAAAAGAAGCTCGAGGAGCAAAACCCAGATGCGGTTCATATGATCTGGCTCGAGACGAACCAGCACGTCATCGAGCTTATGACCGACCCTTTTGGCAATTATCTGTGCCAAAAGCTTCTTGAGTACTGCAACGACGAGGAGCGCACAATTCTGATCCAAAATGCTGCCCAAGACATGGTTCGCATTGCTTTGAACACTCATGGTACTCGAGCGCTGCAGAAGATGATCGAGTATGTCCAATCTCCTCAGCAGATTCAGGTCATCATCGAGGCACTTCGTTTCCGCGTCGTCGAGCTTATCCAGGACCTGAACGGCAACCACGTTATTCAGAAATGCCTGAACAAGCTCAGCTCCCCCAACTCGCAGTTCATCTTCGATGCTGTTGGCGGTAGCTGCGTTGAAGTCGGCACGCATCGCCATGGCTGCTGCGTACTGCAACGTTGCATTGACCACGCCTCTGGCGAGCAGAAGCTCTGGCTCATCCAACGCATCACAGAACACGCTCGAGTCCTTGTCCAAGACCCATTCGGCAACTATGTTGTGCAGTACATCATCGACCTTGGCGAGCCTACCTTCACGGAGCCTATCGTCGCCACATTCCAGGGTTGTGTAAGCCAGCTGTCCCGACACAAGTTCAGCTCCAACGTCATGGAGAAGTGCTTGCGTTGTGCCCTGGCCCCGTCCAAGGACATGATTGTCGAGGAGATGATCAGTGCTCAGGAAATTGAGCGCCTCATTCGCGACTCCTACGCCAATTACGTCGTCCAGACGGCGCTTGAGTACGCAACGCCATCTCAAAAGCACCGCCTGGTGGAGGCCATTCGCCCAGTATTGCCCTCTATTCGCAACACACCATACGGACGTCGCATCCAGGCCAAGATATCCACTTACGATGGCCGCGGCAGCGTGACCGCCTCCGGCCAAGCTACACCGGCAGATAACACGCAGGGCCAGATTCCTCTCCGCCCCGCCCACCAAGCTCGAGGCCCGGCCGTAAATGGAGGAGGATCTGGTCACCCGTCCCAGACTGGAAGCCAGGTTCTCGAACAGGCTTTGAACGCCTACCAGAACTCGGGTGCCCAGCAATCTCCCGCCAATGGCCATGGCAATAACAACAACAACAACAACCAGGGTCACATGAACGGCAATATGACGCAGCCTCCCTCGGACCAGCAAGCTCAGCAGGGTAACGGGGGCCCCTGGATGTAAAGTGCGCTGCCGTATCCTACCGACATTGGTATGATCACTGTACAACAACAAAATCTCATTCGTTCTGTCATGGGTGGCTGGTTTTGACGCAGCACGATAACGACACCACGACGATCTTACGAATTTCCTTGCTGTACACTTGCATCGAACCTTCGGCCACTGTGGGCCGTGCTAGCACGAACACTTTTCCTTTGTTTTCGCGCATTTCACCGCATCGCCTGGTATTTCGCCAAGGACAGGAGTTTTTAAAGAAGGTGCCCTCACTACTGTTGGCGCTCACGCGTCAACGATTCAGGCTGATGATGTCTACGGGCGATGCAGTCTGTCTCATGGACGCAATGAACGCTGACGTGTACCTGTACTTCTCACGGGCACGAATTTTTCACGGCATAGACATGGGGGAGGATGAGAGTTTCTTTTCTATTTTGTCATATTGATATTCGTGCGTACTTTTCTTCACTTTTCAGCAGTTGGCTGGGTTTGACGGCGGGCTATTGGGGAACATTGGGAATGCCAATGAGGACTTGCGAAGCTGCGACACAGTCAATTGCCATTTTCTGTATCTAGAAGTTTTATAGTTGACGCAATGGGATCTTGGTCACGTTAAGAGAATTGGTCACAATGCCAAGTTTGGTGCTTGAGTCGTACGTACGCCTTGACATCACGAACAGCTATTGAAACCCTACAAGCGTCAATGCGGTTACGGACAAAGTCTTCACAGCTTGTGGGTAACTCTCGGACAGCACGGGAAATACTTGGGAAGACTAGCTTAGTCAATGATCACATGGCACGGCACATAAGCTTTAAGTACGTGGAGATGTGTTGGTCAATTCATCTCGAAGGATATTGCTCATTCCCATTTTTCCATGCTATGTAACGCAGCATCCGGCTCGTCCAAGCCCAAACCCAGCGAACACCACTCCATTGATCATGATCCCTGACCTGAAAACGACAGGCGTAACAAGGGCAGATAGCCCGCCAATCCACTGACAAGCCACCTGCCGCAGCACATCAGCGACTGCGCGTTTATCGGTAGCGCCACAGGGAGAGGGTGTTCTGGCGCTTCCAGGTCTTGCGGCGACCGGCCTTGGTGTTGTTGTAGCGGTGGCCCTTGTTGAGACCACGGGACTTCTTGCCGGTGGCGGTGAGACCACGGGCCTCGCGGTGCTTGTGGACGGGGTTGACGATCCAGTTGATGCGGGGATCGATGCGGATGGCCTTGTGCTGGGGGTCGACAAGGATGACCTCGTAGTATTTGTAGGTGGAGTCCTGGTTAACCCAGTACGAGTTGAGGACGCGCAAGTTGGCGCAGCGGCGGCCGACACGCTCCTCGGCGGTGGCCTTGAGGGAGCGCTGGTACTTGAGCTGGTTGATACCCTGGTTGGTGGGCTTGCCTTGGGGAAGGTCAGTCTTTGCTCTGTGAGGGAACGGCTGGGGATGCTACTGACCGTAGGTGGCACCCTTGGGAGCGGGCCTCTTGCGGCCACCACGGCGGACACGCACGCGGTAGATAACGTAGCCCTGCTTGGCCTTGTAGCCCAGACGGCGAGCCTTGTCGGGGCGCGAGGGACGCGAAGCGCGGTGGATGACGTTCAACTGACGGAGCTATATTGATGCACTCTCAGCAAATGTTCAACGAGTGTATAGCAAGGACGAGGGCGTGGTGATGGGCCTTCGCCAACTATAACGATTTGTGTATCTTTCTCTCAGTCAATGTCCTGATCCCGAAGGATGCGTGTGTCTCCTGCTGTTGGCAACAGCGAGCACAGCTATCCCAACGGTCTTCAGGATGCAAGACTTTCGAGATCGATTCGGTGTAGTCGGGTTGTCCCATCGGCCGCTCGTCCACAGCGTATTGGTTTTCGGGGTTATCGTACCTCCCAGCAGCGGACACGGAGGAGGAACTGCATCACATCCGACTGCTTCTTCTTCTGAAGCTCCTCGACATACTTGAGGGCACCCATCTTGGCTGCAACAAAGAGATAAAAGTCAGCAACGAGATTTTCCTTGCTTCAATTGATTGACTCGGGTCGGTTCGTCGACGTACCGGTTGGAGGGCTGTTCCTTGGGGGTTAGTAGGAAAAACGTGAGGTGGGAAGAGAATGAAGCGGGAAAAGAGGGCGACGAGAGTTTCGAAAATTTGGGTGGGATTTGCCCGTGTCGGAGGTGAGGGCGAAATGCGTGGGTTTGTGGGCGGATAAGACGCGCTAGTGCCAAATCAGGATAAGCGGCCCTAGGATGTGCCCCGCCTGGGAGAAATCTGAAGCCCTGGCCCGGTGAGTGATGAGTCAGCACAATCTCACCGAGCGAACGACTGCCTCCCGCCCGGTACAGTATTTGCGGATCCAGGCCTGGACGTTGGTTTAACTCACAATCAATGTAATTACATCGTTGAGTACCTTTGTGTGAAAATGCCCGTCCAAGTCACTCAACCACTGGGCTTCAGTGCCAAAGGCAAATTCCCGCCGTAGTACTTGACAAGCCCAAGAAAACGGCTACTCCTTCGTCTTCAGCACCCCAGCAAAAGCCTTCAGCATGCCCTGCGCCATCCTTCCCCACGTAGTCTCCGTGGAAGTTGGTCTCACCGCGTCGTACAACTCCCATGCCACTGCTTCGACCTCGTCCGCTTTCTCGGGGAGCTTTGGAACACCAGCCTTACCACCAGGAACGATCATGCTGTGAACCAGCTGTTCCGCCATGGTCATGGCGTTCTTGTTGAAGCTATGGAGGTCTCGACAGTCCGTCTGCCAGCGCATCCATTCTGGTTTGGATACCCCCGATGAATTGCCAGCGTCCTCTGCATAGAGCTTGATTGTACGGCCCATCTCTTTCATCAGTGTGGCAGACAGCTCCGCGGTCAGGTTGCGGCCATCGTCTTCGGACTGCTTGGCAGCGTAACCATGGGCCATGACGGGCGCAATGTCCGCCGGGAGACTCACGCGCAGTGCCTTTCCGATGTTGGGATTTGATCTGGATAACCTGGTCAGCCTCAGGTATAGTCCAGGATGAGGATGATCATCGTACCTTTTCTCCTCATGCTTCTTCCCGATGAAGACGCAGAGCTCATCAGAGCGGCTTTGCAAGTACCTTTTTGCCTCCTCACCATAATTCTTGCCGTTGGGCTTTGGCGGGTGGATAGATCGTCTACATTGTACTCGTTAGGTGAAGCTCGACTGAAGATTGGCCGCCATGTAGACGTACTTGGCCGTGGTGGAGCGTCCATTGTCGCCTTCGCAGGTTGCCTTGTCTTTGCCTTTGGCTTGTCTCCTGGGAGCGGTACGTGGTTTCTTGCTTGCGGGCTGGGGATCGTAGCTTTGACTGGGCTCATCGTCTAGGTTCATCGTTAGCAGTGCCCCGAAAGCGAGGGGCAGGTAGGTATCTTGCCGTCGGTCGACTTGCGTTTGGTTGGCATACTGAACAGCGACCACTGGGGGCGAGCGGGCCTAGGAACGAGAATCAGATATGCTTAATGCCCCAAAGGTGTCGAGTGTTTTCCAAGGCGTCAGATTCCTACCGATGGTCGCGAGCAGAGTACCTCAGGTCGCTCCCCGACATTGTTGAGCAGTCTGATTCTCGCACTCGGGGAAGGAACGACGCACAGATTCCACGTGCCCTGTCCGATCAGTCGCACCTGGCTTATCTAGCGAACAACAGCAAGCGGTAGGTACTGGCACAGGCATGAGAGCTATTTAGTATGGAAGGTACTACTCATACTCGAAACTTGAAGAGTGTCACAGAAGTGAATGGCACCGCCACCAACTGTAAGTCGTGATCTTTCATTCAATCTTCCTTTTCCTATCTTGTCCGTTCTAAATTACCTAAAGCAAAAAACCCCGGTAGAAACATTCGGAAGAAATGGCGCGATGGCAACCCCGTTCCAGTCGTAGCAAAAACAACAAAATTCCTCATGTAGAAAGAAAGCAGGTCTTTGTCCGTACAATGAGTGGTAATCCCTAGTACCCCAAAGCAAAAGATTGCCCTTCTGGCGTATGTGTGTGTGTTGAATATTAGATAGAAGCCGTAAAGCGTAAATCGCATCTCACTTGTCTATAATTTCTCGGTCGATAACGTGCGTCTGAGCGATAGCAAACCCGGTGCCGGGACTCGCCCCCGTCCTTTCTTCTTTACAAATCAAGAAAGCAAACCCCTGAGGCAGAAAAGCAATGAACAATAGTGTAAATGGAGATAAGTTGGAACGATCGACAGCCGCATATGCGTCAATCGTGAGAAGAAGAAAAGGAGGAGTCATGATGCTGGCTCGCAAATGAATGTGGTGGTATAACGTGGAATCTTCATCGCCATGCAGTAAAGAATGAGCGCCGCAAAAGGCCAGAAGAATGGCGTGAGTGGTGCCAGGGTAGAGTGAGTAACATGAACTAATGGGAGTTCAGCGAAAGTCCTTGGAATGCGGCGCTCCAATCATTCTGTTGGCCCATTGGCGATAACGGTGATATTGCCTGGGAGTGTGGATTGGGACTTGCACCAGACTGAGGAGAAGCAAACCGATTCCGCGTAGGCTGGAAATCGCCAAACTGTTGAAAGTTGGCGCCGGAGTAATTGTCCATCACCCCGGGAGATGTAGCTTGGCCATAAGCGGCGTTTGTACGGGCATTGCCAAAGGCACCTCCTTGGGGGTAACCGTAATTGGCTGAAGGATACCCTTGGTAGCTCTGTCCGTTCGTCCTATCGTTCCCATACTGCTGATTGAGTCCTGGACGGAATCCACGGGGAGCCGGAGACCCTTGACTGGTGATCGATGTTGGCGTGGCACCCATCGACTCCTGGTTCTGCTGTGACTGCGGCTGCTGCTGGGCCGATGCCGCCTGTGGCTGTTGCTGACCTTGTCGGCGGTCATTGTGACCAGAAGATCGGCCAGCGCCAACGGCCCCGGGTCCTACGCCGCTAGGCGCTTGAATGCCCAGTGTGGGACTGGCGAACGACGCTGGGTTGATGGCGGACATCCAGATACGCGTCTTGTAGATCTTGAACAAGTCGGTGACCAGAGAATTGAAGTTGATGTAAGCATCGGCAAAGTAGTAAAAAGTCAGCTTCTTCCAGTCCCTAGAATCGTTAGTATAAATCTCTGCGATGCGCGAAACAGTGACTCACATTTGGAACTCAGCATCCAGGATTTCCATTTGAAGTCCATGCTCCTTGACCTTGGTGTTGCAGACTCTTTTGGCCTTGGCCTCCTGGCCCTCTTTCTCGCGCAGAGAATGTACCTCGTGGCTTTGCGCAAGACGCTTGATAAGCTTGGGGCGGAGCTCGCCGGCGTTCGGCTCTTGCATATGATGCTGCGTGGCAGGCCCCATGCCACCCACGGCGCTGCCTTGCGTCGCGCTGGAGGAGGCAAGCATGCCAGGTCCAGAACCAGATCCCTCCTGCGCAACCGCGGCTCCCTGAGAATACATCATGAGCCATTTGTAATGCTCTTCGGCGTAGTGCTCCTTCAGCTCTTTCGCAGTTTGCCAGTCGACATTGTCCTTTGCCACAGTACCCAAGTCCGTTCCGCGGTCAGCCTCCACAATGACGAGGTCCCCGGGCTTCACCGTCAGTCCAGTACCCTCTTGGATATAGAAGACGTCGGCGCGTGCGCATTTGAACAACACAACGTGCAGCAGCTGGTTCTGTCGCGGCTGGGCCATCCCGTAGGGGGTGCGTTGTGGTGATCCGGGCCGGTTCGGCATGTGAGGTGAGGCAAAAGATGGCTGGTACGGGTTGCCATAGACCTGGGGCACATTGGCGCCCATCTGTGAAGTCATCGGACTGAATAGATCTGAAACTGACACGTTAGCATCACCGTTGGCAATTCCCACTCCTACGGCTGACGTACTTCCATTTCCCGTTTGCGCATACAGGCTAGTGTCCTGCAGCGCGCCCATGTACTCCTGATATTGCTGCGCTTCAGGCCCAGCCCCTTCCATTGCAGAGGCGGTGTCCGCGACGGAACTGATGGAGCCATGACGAGTCGGCATGTTGGCGAAGGAGTGCCGCCGACTTTGCGATGCGTCCAGGAGAGGATATCCGGAAGTCGACCACAGCGCTTTCTTCAGGCTCGTGCTGTCGACTCTGGTAGAGGGAGAGCGTGCAGCGGCGCCCCCACCGTATTCACTCATACGTCGGGTCGCGGCGCTTCTTGCAAACGACTCCCCATTCTCAGTGTTGACCAGGTCGTATTCGTCAACAGCAAAGTCTGATTCTTCCGGGACGGCCCCTTGCAGCGGAACGCCATTGCCAAAGTACGAGGTCCCGGTCGAGGCACGAGGTCGGAGCCTGTTGTACTGTTGCTGCCGAAGCATGGCGTTCTCGCGGGTGAGCATCTCAATTGTCTTGGACTCGGCGCTCTGGTGAAACGAGCCTTGCATGGATTCGGGCGCGCTTTCCTCGTCGTCGTCATCTTCCACCTCCTTGACCTTGCCGAGCATCGACCCATCGTTCGCCATCTCGCTGAGCATGCTAGGCCGAGAAGGGCGATGCTGTAGCGCCGGATGCCTCGCGCGGCCAAGAAGCGTGGATGAGCTCATCCCGGTGCTCGGGGGCGCATTCGCTTCGGACTCCATCTGCCCAACCGAGTAGGACTGAGATCGATACGTCTTGGGAGTGGGATGAAGCGGGATCGCAAAGGGAATCTGAGTGTTGTTGCCGTCGCGAGGATTGGGCGAGGTCTGAGTGGCTGCTGCGTCGGGCCCGAACATGGAATTGCTGGTGGCGCCTGGAGGTGCAAGGGAGGTTGGCGAGGGGAGAACCTCGCTCAATCGTGAGGGTTCCCTCCTATCGTTGTTCCAAATTGCACTTGTCCACGGAAACGCCGACCCTCCCACCGCGCGACCGAGTCCTGCTGAAGCCGAGTGCGCGCCCCAGGTGCCTGGCGCCGTCTCGCCCGAAGGCGTTGTTGGATGCGACGCGGTGGGCGACATGGAACCACTCGCAATCGACCCTTTGCGTGGCCGGGCAAATGGTGCGGACGTGTCGTTCAACCAGGATGATCGGCGGGCGGGTTTTGAAGGCTGAGCGGTAGGTTGCGTTGACTCGTGACGATGGTCACCCTCATCGTCGGAACTAGCGAGGGCTTCGGAATCTGGTGTCGAAGTTCGCACATTAACTTTGTCGCGCAGGTGGCTTGCGGTGGCCGGTGCACCTCCGAGCGATCCCGGTCCAGCCCGCGGCGTTTGGCCGTTCTTCTGCGAGCTTGCGCTCATTGTCGCGCTCTGACCAAAGAGGGCGGTGTTGGGATACGCAGCGCCCTATGAGGGCGTTCACCGAGTTGGTGGAGAAAGGCGAGCGAGGATGAGAGTTTCCAGTCAGGCTGAATACGGCACGTGAATATTGTCCTCCTCAAATCAGATCGTGGCAGCGAAGACCTGCGTGGAAGGATTTCCGCAAGGCTTGAAGTACCGAGAAGAGCTGCTTGGAACAGAGTTAGTCATTGAGCTGTCCGAGTTGGTAGCTTGGGGAAAGCAGGGCTATGCGGCATTGGAGGTCGCGAATCGAAGAGCGAATGAGACGACGCTGTAGTGTATGTTGCAAGACCCTGGGCTCCTGTGCAAACATTCAAAAGCCATAAAACAAGCGCGTCCACGTTGACAAAGCGCACAGGGAGAGCGAGAGTTTGCGCTTGCTCAATGGAGAAAGCTAGTCATGGACCGCAACAAGGTCTGGTGATGGAAAGCTAGATGAGGATTGCGGGGGTTGGTTGACATGGAGTAAAGCTCCCAGACAAACAAGTCTAACTTACTGGACAACTGTGGGTGTCTGCCTGGCTTCTAGCCGTGACAGTTTAGATAGGATGGCGATTCTGTTTCGCGACAAGACGATCCTGGTGTTTCCTGGGGCCAGAATGGTATGGTAACAAGATCAGCGAGATCCGGACTCGAGAAGTTTCCTATCCAGAGAGGGCAAATTTGCGGAACGTGAAGGCTTGGTCTTGCCGTGGTAATTGCGCGGGCTCGTGCAGATCGACTGCGCCGTGGCAATGAGAACAGTGCGCAGCTCTGGGCGCGGGCAGCGAAGCCAGAGGTGGATGGTATGAGATGTTGGCGCGCGTATGTGTGTGTGTGTGTGTGTGTGTGTGTAGGCGATTAGGCGGCTCGATCTGTCGAGAGTAAGGTAGGTAGAGAATTGCAGTACGAGAGGAATGAAAAGTCTAACTATGCGCGTTCTATTCCAGGGTCCGAAAGGCAAGATCCAAACAAAAGAGGTCGAAGAGAGAGCGCAGATGATGAGAGAAGAGTGGCAGGCCCAGGCGCGCACACGGTCGCGTGAGAGGGGAGAAGTTGCAAGCTGGGGATGGGTCGATGTGAGTTTGGACTCTGGAGCTTCGACGAGACGGACTTGCTGGTGTGGGCCCTTGCCCGTCGCTCAGCTGGGTCTAAAACGGCAGACTCCAGACGGTGAGGGGGACGGACGGAGCACGGGAGAGGGAGGACTGGAACTGCGTGCAGACAGGCTTGCAGTGATCGTGGCGGGTCCGACTGGCGATCGTCCAACTGTGGCGGCGGCGGCGGCAGCAGCGTTCTACTATGACTTGTCGTCGTCGTCCTTGTCCTTGTCCGTTGGCGCCGGAACGAGCCCGTTGACGATCGCTTGATGGCCTGCTGTTGTAGGCTGTGTATGTCTTGCTGCACCTGACCGCGCGTGTCAATTGTGCCTGGTACAGTAATGTCTGCGACAGGCACTGCAGTGGGCGCAATAGCCTCCTATAGGTGAGCGAGCTCAGCGTGGCGCGGCGGCGCTTTGGGCTCAGGTGGTAAGAAGATGCTGCGTCGTCTCCAACTGTTTTCAGATTCAGGGCAGTTTGTCGCACCGCTCTATCAATCTTGCATGGGATGGATGCTCGTTTCTCGCTATTCTGGTTTTATAGGTAGTTGGCGACTGAACTCGTGGGTGTGCCAGGTGACGGCAACAGGGGAATTCCAGGCACCAGAGGAGGCAAGAAAGCGATGGCAAGCGACCTGTCGGAAAGCGGGGGGCGACTGGAGGTCCTCGTACGTTTTAGTCAGTTGTCGTGGTATTGTAGGTGCTTTGTAGGGAGTTTTCTACTCCAGGCCTGAAATTGTTGCTGCACAATGCCTGCAGGTAGGTAGTAGGTAAATGCAGCAACGGAAACACGTCTTGACTCGCAGTGTCCCTGAATTGTTGTATTACTCAAAAAGCCCCGATGCAGCACGAGGATATCGTGGATCGATTCGGAACTGGCACTGGAGCTGCCGGCAACGGATCGATGAAAGACTGCCAGCCAGCCGTACGTATCGCGCCAGTCCACTGGCGAAAGGGATGGTTGATAGTTACGCTAGTGGGCGCGGGAGCGAAGTGAAAACACAAAAGTATGGGGTAATAGTAGCAGGGGTCCGTGCCCAGAGACAGAGGGGTCTAGTTGAAGTCTCGACTCGAGTTCCAGGTCTTGGCTGGGCTTGCACTCAGAATATGTGCGAGATATCCGGCTCTGGGATCTCCCAGGCGTGGGAGAAAACTCGATATTAATTACTGCTGTAGAAGACTAGAGTCTACGTTCGCGGTCGCGACTGAGGGGGCTCCTTGCCTGATTTGTAGATTTTGCGCTCAGTGCCTCCCCGAGTCTGGCTGGGTCGATGGCGGGATCAGCTTGACGATCCGGGTTAGTGTCCGGGGGCGACGGAAGGCCGGCAGTCAACAAATTGCGTGACAATGGGGGTAGGCGGACGGGCAAAAACGTCAGTAACACATTATCCATCTTTGATAACAAGGGCAAAGTTGAACATTAGCACGGTATGACTGTAGTCTTGTTGTTGGCCTCAGGCAGTCCAGTCCGACAGTCAGTCCACCAAGTTGTCACTCGCCGATGGTGTAGTTGCATTGCAGGGCTGACTGGCCCTGGCAGTGGCTGGCGCCCCAGGCGGGCTCCATGGCGATCCAGACCGCAGCCAATCACTTAGCCTAATTCAGTGGAGAATAAATCGGCGACGGAACTCGAGGGGCGTTCTGAGCAAACGCCAGAGTGCTACTGCTGAGCAGTAATTAGCAGACATGGACCGATGAATGCCCTGATGAATTAATTAGACTCTGACTGGCTTCACATGAAGGGCTTGAATTATGTTTGTTTGCGTAATTGTTCTTCTCCCATTAGGTACTTAAGCTACCTTACCAATTAGCTTCCCTCGGTTCGACAACCCTGTGAATACTATCCGTACTAGCCCGTATATTGCATCGTGCAACAGCTTTCATACTTCCTTGCAGTAGGCGCAGAGGTCCAAGCGCATCCTGCAGTTCCCCAACCTTCCCCATCTTTTCTCCCGCAGTGGTCTCTCAGAAAAGACATCCCCAGTGTCGATCTCCTCGCTACCTCACCGTTTTACACTAAAACCTTCGAGACACCCATTTCCATGCAGGGAAAGTCGGCTCTACTCAATTATGAGGCGGTGTCCGGTCTCGACATAGGCCTTGCATGCTGCAATAGGGTAGGATATGGCAAGAGACCATCTAACCACGAAGATGTTCCTAGAATGCGACCCTGCCTCTTCCTTCACATTGCCTACTACGTACTACTTACTTAATAAGTACTTACGGGTAATGTCTGTCAATTCTTCACATACATTTGCGCAGCTGTCTCTGCTCCGCGGAGTATTGATCGGGTAGACATTTCATCTGTCTGCTAACTACAGCCTTCTCCAACGCAAACCACCTTACACATCGCAAACCTCCGATCTCCCCTCTTTGTGGGGTCCCAGTTCTCATCAACTGTCGTCATTCCAGGTTGTCACCCTCTCTAGCCGCATGGTCGTCTTAAACTCAAGACGCGACGCCACACACCCTTAGGTACCCAACGTGGAGGGCCGATCTCATCTACTGGCTCTGGCGACTGGACCCCTCTAATTCGGCTGGAGCAGTATCACGCGACAGCCCTTTGCGCCATGCCATGAGCCCCTTGTCGCCCACCATGCCGTCCTGAGCCTATCGCCGCCACAACCTCAACCGTGCGAGGGATCCTCGAGCTGCAGTCACCCATTGTGCCAGTTGACTTGTTGATCCTGGCCAATCGCCAATGCATTTATTGTGTCTTGACTGCGACAAGTACATCTCGTCTGCAGGTCTACCCCGGATTCCTTCGTAACTCAGTGAGGCACAGGAGACGGGACGCATCGCCTGCATGGCCCATTGCACATCAATGCAACCCCTCCAAGCCGCTGGTCAGGTGGTCTCTGTATCCTCTCGGGTAGCTTCCACGAGCCTCCAGCGGCCGCTACTGGAACAACGAGCGGCGACCCACCATACTTCGTTGTTAAGGCCTGTTCATGAGTACTCATGAGCGGCTTCATCCACCAGAATACGCCATGCGTGGACGGCTTCCCGTCAGTTCAGAAATTGCGGTCTCTTTGTGAACTGTTGAGTGCGCTGTGGCCGTACAACATTTACGTGCTTCGGTGCCTGATTTGTGCCAAGTGGCACCACCATGACGACGAGTGGCATCACTCCCATTAAGTCTCCCTTCACATCGACCAAATAGCGCCTTTAAGCTTTACAAGCTCTGGAACATGATTGTCTGGTTGGGGGGTATCATTCTTTGTTAAGATCTCGGTTGCATTCTATGCTGGTGCCGCGCCTTTCTGCTGCTTGAGCTTCTCCTCAAACTTGGCAAACTCCTGCAGAGCCACCTCCTCTTCCTGGTCCAAGACCTGGTGGACACCCTGCACCTCTTCAATCTGAAGCGGTAGTTAGTTTCTGTAGCACATGCATGGCCAAGGGGGGTGAGATGGAAAGTGCTTACATAATGCATCAGCATGCTTTCGATGCCATTCTTCAGGGTGACGGTACTCGAGTCGCATGTCCGGCAGGCACCGCGCAGTTTCAGGGCCACCATGCCATTCTCGAAACCACGAAACTCGATATCACCGCCGTCCTCCTGGATGGCGGGCCTGATCCTTGTCTCCAGGAGCTCCTTGATCATGCCGACGACTTCACTGTCGTTCTCGTTGTACGCCAGGCTGTCCTCCTCCGCGGCGGCATCTCCTTCCTTGCGCTCGGCCACGTTCACAATCGTCTCGCCACTCGTAATAGCCTCTGTGATCAGCGCAAAGATTTCTGGTCGGACGTGCGCCCAGTTTGCGTCTGCTGATTTGGTGACTGTGATAAAGTCGCTGCCGTAGAAGACGCTTGTGATGCCGTCAATGTTCATCAGCTTGGCCGCCAGGGGCGAGGGGTGAGGTGGCGAGATGGTGGCACGAGGACTGAGGTACTCGATGAAGGGGGACGCAATGCTGCCATCGTCCGGGATAACGCGATGATTGGGGAGGAATTTCAGGGCGTCGGGGTTCGGTGTCGACTCGGTCTGGATGAAGATGGTTCGTACACCAGAGGGGACGGCTCGAAGCGCTGGGGCGAGCTTCGGCGAGCGAAGAAGTGGTCTTGAAGATGGGAGACGCGGGTTGGTGCTCAGAGCGCGGATGGCTCGTGGTGCCGTAGTTCTGGTGACAGCGGCTGGCCGCACTGCTTGCGCCATGAGGCGCGCTGTGATTCTCTGTGATGCCATGGTCTATGCTTTTCGACAAATCTAGAATGCGTATGAGAAGGAAAGAGAAAAATACAGGCAGCGAATTAAGGTATGATGGTTGAAAGTTGACAATGATCGGAATCGAGAACTTTCCCTCGGCTATGGTGAGAACACCGATGATTTCTGCCCAGGAGGCAACTGAATTACTAATAGCGGAACTATGATGCAACGCCGACTATCGGGACCCTGCAGACGAACCGAACCTTCAAAATATCATCACCGTCAGAGCTCAAGGCTTTGCGCCATTCTTTCAGTCTAGATAACCAATTCTGTCCGATCCGACTTGCGCGCTCACAATGATTTCTCCAACATTGCGACTGCTTCGGTGCCAGCCATCCTCACTGGGTCGCAACCGCTTCCGCGTGGTGGGTCTCTAATTATCGTGTCACGTCACCGACATCAGGGTCTCCAGAAATTTTGTTCCAGCACCAGCATCGCGAAGACGCGTTTCTCGCTTTTCAGCTTCTGATTACATCCGACAAGAACACAGTTCTGGTCAATTAAAGTCGCTGGCCTAGCGACGAGTCTATTTCGTACCGTTTGCGATTTAATTAGCGACACCTTTCGCCTCCTGCTGCCTAGGACCATTTTGCCAACCATGGCCGAAGCACGCGGCGAACCACCAGAACCCATTGCGAACGGTGCACAAGAGAACCCCGAGGCGGATGCTACAACAACGCAAGGTGCACAACCGAACGAGGAGAAGCAAGATGAAGAGATGGAACCTCTGAAATTATTGTGCGGTGTCTGTGAAACAGAGACACCAAAGTACAAGTGTCCACGATGCTACCTTCCCTAGTAAGCACCTCTGTACCACAACGCAAGCAGGGCTGTTTGCTGCCTCTTCATTCATTAAGCTGACTCAACCCTCTTCAATAGCTGCTCCGTCGCTTGTAACAAGGTCCACCGCGAAGTACACGCTGGAGAACCCGTCACAGCACCGCCGCCTCCGAAACCAGCGCCCACACCCGAGGCCGCAGACGACAGTGCAATGCGAGGTCGCAAGTTCCGGCATCCGTGGCAGACACTGCAGCACTCGGAAGAGCTCCAATGGCTCTTTAGGAAATACCCGCGCCTTCCCAGCCAGCTGCTGGAGATCCACGCAGCAACACAGCCACCGCCCGTACAGAAGCCCAAGATCCCCGCGTCACTCCTCAAGGATCTTCCACCGCAAGACCTGAGTAATGGATGGGATAAAGACAAAGGCATTGAACGCGGCAAAGAGGCTCTGCGAAAAGCCAGGAAAGCAGACGGCGAGGATGGCGAGGCCCTCCGGGAGTACTCGGAGCTCGTCTTACATTTCATGGAGGAGGCACGGGAGCGCAAGGGGCCTTAGGATCGGTCTACCGACCGTCCTCGCCTTCCCACGCGGATCGTTCAACGTCGTAGCATCGCCACGCCTCATCTCAGTGGGCTTGAGCGCTTGTGAGAGGAAGATGCAGTACTGTATAGAACGAAATCGCTTTCGACACACTACCCGGCGCACGCACTCCCCGATTCGAATTGTGGCACAATGTGGGTTCTTCCCATTGACATGTGTGATTGATCTAACGCTTCAGACGCAAAAAGAAACCAGATATGGGAGACTTCAAGCCCTTTGGTGCTTTCTCAGACTCTTCAGGGGACATGATGCCCGGCAGCGGAGGATCATCGTCTTCTTCTCTGCTCTTGTGGTGCCCGCTCAGTCTCAGTCTCCATTTCGATGCGGCTTTGCGGATCTTTGGCGGCGCAGCATTCATCGTCTGCTTCTCGCGCACTTCATCGCTTTGCGTCCAGTCCTGCCGCGTGTCCCTCGGCCCTGCGCCCGACGTACGCCCATTGGAGGCAAGTTCTTCGTCATCACGATGCTCGACATGATTGGAAGTACCCATCATGTCTCTGACTGTATCAGACGGTGGAAAGATTGACGAACGTGTCGTCTGCCCTTCAGGATATGTGTCGAGGGTATGCCGTTGCTGATGGCGGCACCCGCCAAAACCGTCGACCTCTTCAAGGCTCTGTGGGGTTTGGAACTGATTGCGCGCATATTCCCGGTCTCGCTGGCTGCGGACCCTTTGCAACCGCTGAACAATATCGCGAGGATCGCTTGCTTGGTCCTGCGCCGCTTCACCATGTGGGCCACCAATGTGAAATCGCACCGCCGGATGAGAGAGCCTGTGTATGTTCATGCCCTCGACCTGCTCCACGGCCGTTGTTCTCTCAAATTGCGCCGCAGCGACTTGTGGCGTGTGGTGATAGGATTTCGGGTCATTCGGCCCATCGTTTTTGGGGCAGGGGTGTCTTTCGCGTTGGCCCGCGCTCCATCGTCTGGACCAGGCCTCGGATGCGTCTTGTTCGCCTGATTCTCGGTTTCGAGGCTGCTTGGGTGCTGCTCTCCAGTGATCGGCCGTCGATTGTCGCGAATTGAACTCGCGAGAAATCCGCTCTTTCGCCTCGAGGCCACGCTCTCCAATGTTCAAGCCCAGCTTCGTCTTCCTAGCTGCTTTGAGCTCTTGCTGCGCCTTGACTTCGTAAAGTCTCCTGGTCAACTCATCCGGGTCAAAAGTCATGGTCAGATGCTGCTGCCTTTTCGGCCTCTGGTCGATGGCTCGAGGCGTCGCGGGAATTGAGTGCTCGTTTTAACACACGGCAATGGTATAGCACTATAGGCTCTTCCCGACGATGCCGCTGCTTCTTCGTCAGAGAGTCCAGAACGATGCAAGTCTGCTGCTGTAGAAAGTGTTCGTGTAGTCGCGGCGCACTGTATTGTTTTAGCAGCAGACCCAAGAACGGTAACTGCCAGGTACTTACCAGCGTATCTTGGTGGCGACTGGAGGGAGCTTTGTGAAGTATCTGGTTGAATTTGAAAGCATTCATCAAGGGTTGTATGTGCCGGTGACATGTGACTTGTTTGGCGAGGTGGTATTGTACTAGTAGTACGCAAGGTTGGGACTTGCCTGCCTCGGCGGTGAAGGAAGGAGCAAGATCGCAGGCAAGTGAATGCCGGACCATGAAGGAAGAGCAGGAAATCAAAATGCCCCCAATCAGCACAGACGACCTCAATCAGGGACAATGGAAGTTATGCAGGTAAACTAACGGACCAACAAGTCGGGTGAAGTACAACACGAGACGACCGTGGCAGGGCCCGACACGATCAGCGCAACCCTCAATGAAAGCAACTCGCAGGTGGCCCGCTCCAGTCGCTTGTCTGTCTTGCCGCTGCAATTACCCCAGAAAGCTGTCGTCGATCTACTACCGCCAATGCTAGCACCGAGTAAGGTTCAGAGCATCAATGTGGCATCGCGCACGCGTTGCACAGAGGGTCGAGGGTGAAATAGGGGAGCATGGTAAACGACCCCCCCTCGCATCGCGTTGAAGAAATGACCAGTGCCGCTACCAATTTCGAAATCCAACTTGATCACAAGGACCCTCACATTCTGCTTGTGGGGTTGGGATGGACATGGAGCCACAGGCAAAAAAGCCGAGGAACGCTAGAGGCCTGAGGCGTTCGTTCCCCTGTAATAATTCACCAAAACCCCGCCCTCTCAATGCGACCCCGGGAGGCAATCTGGAGATTCTGGACTGCGCTGGCAACTTGGCATGGCTCGTGATGAGCACGTACGGAGTACAGCACGGGGGGAAAGCCACTCCCCATATGACAACAAAATGTCGTCGAATGCTGAATGCCAATTGGTGGGCTTGGAGGTGGTTCGCTCCTTTTCTGGGGGCGGCTGCACACGGGTCATGGGGAGATGTCAATTTCGACAGCCGTCATGTTGCGCTGGCGCTTCTGCACAGCTTTCGATTGGCGAGACGTATTTAAAAAACGAACCACAGCTGATGCTTAGTGCTAGTCTTATAGGTGTCTTAATACACGTATTTCATTTGGCTATTTGGTAGCGTATTTCATCGCTTATCTTATAGAATTCCGCCGCCGTTCTACTATGGAAAAGTCTTGAATTTATATCATAATACTGGTAGTATTCTTAAATACCTTGGATCAACCACATGTCATGTATGGTCATCCCACTGCGCTTCACGGCCAAAGATGGTGGGATCCCAGGAATACCCCGATTGCGGTCCCTCCACCTCGGGGAAGTAGCCAGCCCCACAGCCAGAGAAAGAAACCCGCGGCTGCATGGCATAGAATGCATCAAACTCCTCCGACATGGCATCCTGCAGACTGGACACCTGACCTTGCGGGTGCAGCACTTCCCAGGGCTTGGTGCAAGACCTTCCGCTGCATGTCTTTAGCACAAGAAGCAATGCGTCAAGCCGATGGGATAGCCTGTTTATGTCCCAGCTCCCAACTCTTTTGCACTTGTTGTTCCTACACCCAAGGTCACTGTCATCCTGCGCAAGGCAACAAGTCGGACTGGGACAGGATCCCTCTCCTGAGGAAAGGCATATTGACCAAGAACGACATCTGCGAATACCTCGACTTCTACTTTGAGACGCTCTGGAGAGTGCGGCCCGTCATTCATCCATTCTTTGCGGACCAAGCAGATATCACCAGCTTGCAGCAGACGAGCCTCTTCTCTTAGCCTGCCTCGTTGCCATTGCGTCGCGTTATCATATCCTGGCGGGCCCCCATGGCGCAATTAAATCGGAGCGAATTCACTGGCAGGCTTGGCCTTTGGTCCAGAAGGATTTGCAATCAGCCCTTTGGGGCTCTTCCTGTACCAGATCTCCCGGAGCCATTGCTGCCATGCTTCTCTTGATTGAATGGCATCCCAAGTCTATAAACAATCCTCTCAGCTTCAGTGGCGTGGACGACACAGACGCAACCAGCTGGACGAACTCGCGGACCTTGCAACCAGGGAGCACCCCCGAGTCACTGACGTCGTCGACCAGTCAACAACGACATAGCATGGCAGGGCTGCTGGACGAGCTCAACATTGTGGCACCGGCCCACCGCAGCATGAAAATGTCAAGGTAAGCTGTCTCGTCTCCCGTGCTGTTGGAGACACGGTTCTGTACGTGCACGACACGGCTGGGATTCTGACCCAACTGAACGCTTCCTAGGATGCTCCTTTGCAACGCTACCGGAATTGCACAGGACGGATGCTGCTTTGAATTGGACTCACCAAGCTACGCCACGCCTACCTCGTCGTCTAGCGATGAGTCTCTCAAGCAGCAGTGGAACCAGCTTCTTTGCGTATTCCTCTACCTAGCAGATGAGACGCTTGCTACGCGCCTTGGTCTTGATACGTTGTTAGCAGAGAAGGCAACGGATGCCGTGCGAAGTCGATTCTCAATCACATTTGCGAATGATCTACCGGACGGTGCCCTGTGGGAGAGCTACTACGAGCTGAGTCTAGAGCTCGGAAAAGCTAGAGACTTGCTCAAGTCCACCAGACATCGCAACGACGCGCCCGATGTTGCAAAATTGCTGCCGGAGCTTCAACACGTCGACAGAGCGCTCCATCGCTGGAAAAGCCAACATTCATATGCCGAGTCAAGTAAACTTCTCAACCGGACTTTCACATCTCTCACGTTGCCCAGAGTGCTAATTCTACTCTATAGCTGATTCGACACTTCTGAAAGCCTGTGTAGATATAGAATGTGACTATTCTGTCATGTACTGTTTCGCGCCCGCAGTCCAGGCCGCAACAAATTATGGCGCGGCGAAAAACAACGCCTCAACTAAGGAGAATGCAACAGGGGACCAACTAGAGCTTTCTGTCTTTGCCAGCAAAGCCACTGAAGCGAGCCGCCAAATCCTGACAACCGTGGTGGAAATTCTGCTACCTGCGGGACTGGTCTCTTATTTGCCTATACGTTGCTGGCTATGCATCTTCGCAGCGTACTTGCATCTATTAAAGGTCAGTTCCTCACGATAATGTTCATGAGTCCGTGTGCTTACCAGCGCTTGCTAGACGACGCTGTTGGCAAATCCGAGCCTGAATCACTCGGATCGCGAGATCCAACTATTTCGAGACTCTATTGCCGCTATTCGACAGGGCTCTCCGGATGATTCGCACATGGCTGTACGTCATGCGAAATTCTTGGAAATCCTGCGCAACGCGTCCTTGCATTCCTCACGAGTTGGAAGTCCTGCAAGTACGAGAGACACACACGGGGAGAACCCAGTGACTACTGGGGTAGCCGAAGATGAGGATGCGTTCCCGGTATCATTTTTCTCGGCTTTGGACTTTCCTGCGCCAGCTTTCGGCAACGCACTGGAAGAATTAGGTGGACTAGCGGACTGGGCCGACGGCTCCTTTGGTTGGTTGAGAGGATAATCGTGGAGTGTTCGGCGATCATGTACCTGAATCAAACACTAATACCCTATTAGTAACTAATCGTCATGCTCTAGACACTATCGGTAACTGTGGCTGCCATTCCTGAATTCTAACCCAGAATCAGGACCTGGACATTTCTGGCAGCATGCTTACCTGCATACCCTGTAGAGCAAATATTTAAGCAAGCGGTGCTGAAATACTGCTAGAGCACGACTAATGGCAGACAAATGAATAAGGTATTCTTTCTATTGACAGCTTAGGCTATTCCCCTAATAACAGTCACACTTGGGTAGCGGCAAGAGACGATTGACTGCTTCTACCAAGGCGGTATGATGGCGCGGACCAACGTGCATTCCCCGTATTAGAGCCATTTGCGCGCTGTTAGTTGTCAAAAGTTATGAAACCATGCTGTGCTACTTTCAGTGGGCACTTGATATGTGCAAGCCATTAACTATAAATTCGTGTAATCCAGTCGCCGCCTTCATGTTTCTGGGGTTGTGTGATACCCGTTTGCTCGTGTGGCTTGTAATAATAACGCTTTGCCGATCGAGGGGTCACGAATTGACTGGAGACTGTCAAATGATTGTTGGCGCAAAGCCTTTTCAGTGGCACCCTCTGCGCCCAGTGACAAGGAAACGCTTTTCCACTCGATCATGTTCTGGACTACTCCGTAAGTAGTACAGAATGAGCCTCCTTACGCACGGTGTATTTGAAGGTCGTGACGGTATTTCATCAGATGTCAAAGGCTCGGGCCTTGCCGCGGTAGTAGTGCAACACTTCGCGCAAAGTCTATTGCGGTTGGTGGCTGCAGCCGTCATGGCATTTATTCTCAGCGCGCTTGTCTACAATCCGACCTCACTTGACGGGTGACAGGGTCAACATGGCCTTTGGCCAGTACGCCCTTGCTTTGGCATCGATAGGCGGTCTATGGCCCCTTTTTTCAAGAAGCCTTGGGGTATCAAAGGAACAACACTAGCCGAGGAGCTTACTTGAAGGTTTGTTCCATTCGATGTGCTACCTCCTCGTCCACTCCGTCAACATTAGTTTCACGAGAGTTCTGTCTGTTCGCTTCGATGCTTATCGCGAAGCCAGCACCCACTCATTGAAGACCCTCGGTTGTTTGCCCGAAGAGGCAGCTACTTGGGAAGTTAGGTACTTCCATGTATCGATATGCGGCTTTTCTTGTCGGTGGAATGGTCGGGTAGGACATTCGAAGAGGACACAGCACGTGCGCACGACACGTGCTCTGGCTGCATCCCCAGTCCAAGTCGTGCAACGATGGACCAGGTAATCAACCTAATTAGTGAAGCGCGGTACCACTCAGGGCACAATCGTGTGGTACGTACGGTGTGTACGCCTGCATGAGCCCCAGCAGTTGGTGCGAGGGGATCCTCCTCCAGCTCACCATGGTATCGCGTGTTCATGTTATCCACACCAGAAGTCGGAGCGACATGCACGTTCTTGCGTCGCTTCACACGTAGTGACACTCGATGCCAATTGGACCCTTGGTGAGACAGTGAGACAGTTGCTTGTGGGCACTCTCTGGTGTCGTGTCAAGTTGCTACGCGGGATCTTGATCTCCCAACTCTCTTGACTTCTTCTTCGTCACTTGGTTACCTTAGGTCAGTGACGTTAATTGCGAAACACAAACACAGACCCAGCGCGCGACCACGATTCTGCTGCAGCTCGACAACGGCACCATCTTGACCGACCAGGATCGTTGCGCTGTTCTAGTCCTCGTCGAGACTGTCCAAGTGTTTTCGAGGTGAGCTGAACCATTTCGCAGTGTTTCGCCAGATCGCAACATGAACTACGTACGTGCTCCTGGGCCCGATCGAACCCCACCGTCGCGGCCACCATCCGGCTGTTCTAGCTCTGTTTGTTTCGTCGTACGTTAGTGCCACCCTCGCTCGCGGCGGTGACATCCAACAAGAGTCAAGACAGACCTGGAGAAGTTTGCTTGGAGGACGCACCAAAATGCCGTGATCCCCTTCCGGCAACATTCCATTCCCATTGTTCAGCCTTTGCTTTGCCCCTCGCGTGTTTCAAACCCCAGCTGGACCTGGCTTCCCAGCTTCGTTGCGACTAATTATGCCCCTCGATAAATCAAGCGGGAGTCGTCACCATGCTCACAAATCTGCAGAAGGCTTGCCGTCGGCCAGCAAGCAAAGCAGCTCGCGAAAGCCGCGTCGAAGTGCCTCTGCGATTCTGCGCGAACCGACGAAGCCAAGCAGCAGTAAAACACGACAAAGCTCAATAGCAAAAGGCACGCCTTCCATCTTGGCTGAATCCGCCGGTGATCAATGCCTTGAACCCAGCACGAAGCGACCAGCAAGAGCGCCATCCGAACCAGTTGATAATTCAAACCGCGACTCATTCCACTCAATTCTTGAAGACCCCTTCTTCCAGGACTACGGCCCAGACGGTTCCCAACTGCAGCCACTGGACCTCGCAACTCACGAGCCAAGCCCCATTGAGCGCGACGAGAAAGAAAGCACACATAATAACTGGCCGCCTCCGCGACGGGAATCGTTGACAATTGGAATGCTTGAGTCCTGGGTAGGTCAAATTCACCCTGGAATCGCCTGCCCCACTCTTCTGTGACCGTTGTCGTCGCGGGGCAGGGGTCGTTATTAGGACTGCTATAGCTTTAAGCAGCGTCCCGTCCAATACAGCGTGACGATACACCCACGTCGTGAGGAACGCGTGCGCTGACCTGGCTGATTGCCCGCGACGCAGGACCAACACAATCAACACACGTCACTACATACTGCGGCCCAACAACAGCAGCGTTCGAAGAGGACGGCGATGGAGTCCTTCCACGTGGCGGTTATTGGCGCCCGTGGCGTCGGCAAGTCTTGCTTCATCCAAGCTGCCCTCGCACTCCAGAGTCTGCCTATGACCGAGGCGCCCAGCATTCGGTCTTCTGTCGATGGCGTCACGCACATGGTCACAGCTCTGGAGCTCGACGTGAACCACTTCGAAGCCAGCCCGTCACAGCAAATCCAATGGCCGAAACAAATCAACGGGCACATTGTGCCGCGAGTCGACGCTGCCATCATACTATACGACGTGACCGCCCGCGAGACAACTCGACCCTTGACGCAAATACTCGGTATTCACAACCACAGTAGCATTGCGTTGTGATTGCAATTGCGCTAACGCGAAGCAGCTGCTGTCAGCAACGCCGGGATGCCTTCTATTCTGGTAGCAAACAAATGCGAGACTGCGGAAGACGACTGGCACGTGGATGTCGACGACCTAGCCAAGCGATACTATGAGGTCGGCATCGCAACATACAAAGCGTCGGCCACCAAGCCTGAGGCGGCACGGTCGTGCCTACAAAGTATCCTCAGAGCAGCAGTGAGCCAACGAAGAGGTACGGCACCCATGACCGGACGAGTCTCTTACTGACCAAGATTGTGCAGAGGACAGCGGCGAGCAGGTCGCGCGCAGGCGAGCGCAATCGAATCTCGAAGCCCCCGAACCCATGGCATCTCGATCGTATAGCGGCGACAATAAACACAGCAGAGCAAGCTCCGAGTTCTCCTTGTTGAAAGGCTTCAACAGCGGCTCAACAAGCGAGAGCCATCGCCAGCAATCTTCGATCAGTCCTCGACCGCCCACGGGCTTCGACAACTCGAACGGCTCATTCCTGCATGTAGAGGAATCAGACACGGAACAGCCTCAGTCGTCAGACGACATTCCCCTCTTGCAGCGGAACGACAACGATACGAAGCAGACAGCAAAGGAGGAAGGAGTGGCCTTTGGCGAGCTGGTTGATCGCCTTCTGGCCCCAAGAATATCAAAGACCGACGCAGACTTCTCGGACATTTTCCTTTGCCTGTATCGGAAGTTTGCGGCGCCAGGTGAGCTCTTCGCCGCCATTTTGGCGCGGCTGGATCGAGTTCGAGACGACAAGGCAGCGCACTATCTGTCGAGGACCGCGACCCAACTGCGAATCATCGAGGTTGTGGCGCGATGGGTGGCTCTGTACCCTGGCGATTTCGCTCGGCCCACCACGAAATATAGGCTGGATGAATTCATCAAGCACCTGTCGACCGAGCCCATTTTCTCAATAGCAGCCCAGCAAATGCGTCGCAACCTGAACCACAACGTCGTTGAGGACGACGACACGGGGTGGGCACACGCAGATGATGTAGAGGACGACGATGGAGGCCACAACGCGCAAAAGGAGACAAACGAAGTTACATCTAGCCTTGGCTCCTTGCAATTCGAAGACGCAGACGGCAGGCCTTCCGAGGGCTCCGAGGCGGATCGTGCCGACACGATGAGCAACCAATTCCAGTATCATTCCTACGAGGAATACGAAAGGGAAGCCGCCCTGCTTGAGCCCTCGAATCAGCTGCCGATGAACAAATTCCGCTACCACATCTTCATGGACGTACCCGTCGACGACATTGCGGAGGAGATGACGCGCATTGACTGGATCATGTTCTCGTCGATGCGCATCCGGGATCTTGTGCGGCATGTGAGTCTCTCCGCGGCAGACAAAGCTAAGTGTCAGAGCTTGAAAAACGTGGACCGGACCATTGCCCACTTCAATCACCTTGCCCGTTGGGTTACATGCATGATCCTTCTCCGGGACAAAGCCAAGCATCGGGCCCAGATGCTTGAAAAGTTTATGAACATAGCGACAAAACTACGCCAACTGAACAACTACAACGGCCTGGCGGCGGTCGTTGCTGGCATCAACTCGACTCCTATCAACCGCCTCCTCCAGACCCACGCTCTGGTGTCAGAGACGGTCGGCAAACGATTTGCCAAGAATCTGATTTTGACCAGCACAACGAACAGCTACTTTGCCTATCGTCTGGCTTGGCAGAACTCACCATTGCCGAGAATACCATACATGGCAGTGCATCGCAGAGATCTCGTGCAGGCTGAAGTAGGAAGCAAGACCTTTGTTGGCGCCAAGGGGGACAAGATACACTGGGCAAAGTTCCATGTTCTTGGAAGTATTCTGCTCCCTATCATGAAGAGTCAAGGTAGCCCGTATCCAAGCTTGTCCAAACACGAGACGGTGCGCGAAACTATCCTCGGCTGCAAGATGCCCGTTGATGAAGTGGTGAGTTGCAGTCTGGATTGTCCTGGAGGAACTACCGCTAACGTGATACAATAGGACATAGACAGGCGCAGCGAGCAGGTGGAAAACAGCCAAGGAGGGGGGTTGGAGGCAGCGAAGAAGAAGGGATCTTTCCCGTGGTTCAACAGAACAGGATCGGCGTGATGAGCGTGCAAACCTGCGGCTGCGTACTTTATGCGGCGAGATGATGATTTGGGCAATTCGTTTGGATATAGACGGTGATACGGCGTAGGAGCAATTGGGAGCATCACGTCACATTTGCGAGCGTTGCAGTTTCATGGCGCCACTGTCCAATTTCATGGCTTACAATACAAACCCGGGTGCACTCCTGCACTGTCTTCTGATACAAATATTGTGAGAGGTATCGCGCCATGTAATCATTCGGACTGCAAAGGTCTGTTTAGGGTGAACGCAAGGCGATTGCGTACCTGAACTGTCCCTAAGGAATCGGGAAGGTGCACCTGAGAGCGCGCCAGCGTTGGTAATTGAGCCTCATGCCACCTTGGGCAACTTGCCTAGGGATGCTCCTACCTGGAATACTAAAGGGCTTTTCCCGAATGTCGAAGCTCACAGCGTGAGGCTACTAAAAATGATTCCCCCAGCATTCAGCACCTGTTCTCATGTGTTCTATCCCTGGTGCAATGACCCTACAGTGGCATGCCTCGGCCATGACACTCAAGACGTTGGATCTACCTATACTGGATCTTTCAGAAAAACACGGCGATTCACACGTGGTCCTACAATGCTCCATGACTCTCGACTTACCCCCCGAAGCTGACTGGATTGCCTCTGCTGTCGACCTGAAGCGCGCGGTGGACGACAAACAACTATGGATCGAGAAGAAGGATGCCAGCTTCGTCAATCTTTCGGTAGCAAACTTGTGGCAAGGGTTGACCGTAGACGATCTGGAGACGCTGGAGCATCAGATCAAAGAATTCGAGGTGAGTTACACCGGTGTTCTCGCACAACATGAGCTGACCCAAAGTAGTTGTGGGCACGACTAGGCGTGCGTCTCGTTGCCGTCGACCCCCTGTACTCTGCCGAAGTTTGTTTCTCTTTGCAGCATCCCGATATATCGTCTGCTCTGGTGGCACCCGAGGGCGTCTTGGCAGCGAAACTCATCGAGCTACACTGCTTGCTGGACGTGTCGACAAAGTTCACGGAGCATGCAGATCTATCCAAAGCTAATGTTTTGATGAATGGGACGCGTGCACGGAGGAAAAGGAAGCGAACTACGAGCAGTACCACGCAACATGCTTATACGTTCCTTGACCCTGTTGATCAGAGAGCGATTGAAGAGTACATGGGTCTGGTTGAGCAGACATGGACTCCCCCAGCAACAGAGATGCAAGAAATACCAATGCACAATGCACTGCATGGAATGGCTTCATTTGATGTGGTCAGGGCCTTGGAGACCAGCCTGGATGTGCTCATGATCGGCGTCCAAAGGAAGCACAATGGTTATCGTGTGATGAAGGGAGAGTCCTTCTTCGAGTTGGCCAGTCTTGCGCCAGGCGTTTTCAACATGAGCTATTTGAAGGTAAGGGTTCAGCATCATCGTGTATCAGAGAAGCCTGAGCCAATTTTGCAACGACAGGCTATAGCTGGAAGAGTGTCTGCCATGTCAGTCATCAGCACATCGCTCGCCAGGATGGTAGATGCTGAATCGCCCGAGCTCAGGAGGAAGGCCATGGCCTTTGGTGTGGCCAGAGGCGAGGAAAACGTTGCCTCCTCGCCCTTGGATAAGGTTCGCCATGGCATCCAGGAAGGCGCTTGGGCGACATTGCTAAGACACACGAAGCGGTCGGTTCCCAAGCGGTCTCCCGGTCAGAATCGCAGCACGCAGCCTGCAATCGAGTTTGACAAGGATTTCGCCAATGGAGTGCCACGCCGACCGTCTCAGCTCGCGGACTCGTTCACATGGTCGCAGTCTGAATTCGCCCCTGAGATGAGCCACACCGCGTTCATGTCGTTCAACAACCCGCTGCCGCCGGTTCACACCCGACAACCTACACTCTGGGTGGCAGATATCTTGGAATAGCTTCCAAGGCCATGTATGACTCGGCTGATCTTGGGCTCGCGTGATAGATGCTTGTGTGTGTAGTCAGTGCTTTCCTGCAAATTGTTTAGCCTATCTAGCCCCTGGGCCCCGACTTCACACATCTCCAAATCGTCGTTTCAATACATCCACCAGCGTCCGCGCTGGCGACATCTTGCGGACTTGGCCTCACGAAGCATGCAAACAGACGGACCAAGCTTGTGAGAAGCATAGCAATATTCCGTAGCAAGTGCAGATAGAGCGCAGTCGAGCGCCTGGCATAGAGCGTGAGTAGTGCGCTGATCCCACAGTTCAACGCACAAGTGCTGTGCAAAGACGCGTCTTGCTTTCCGCTGTCTACAATACGTAGAAGATAATCCATACGTTACTTTATAACGCAATTTCACATTCTCAACCGCTGGCTAGGCGGGTAATGAGGAGCATGCGCACGTGACTCGGTAGCCCTGAGGAAATCTCCAAGTCCGCCAGCGGTGGAGTCGGCCGTGCACGAGCCACCCACGGATTTTGGTGCAGCTAATTTTCGCCCACACAAAAGTCGAAACCCTCTCTGCCTTTTCTCATCTCTGTGTTTGCGCTTGTCCCATCCCACCTCACACTAACAACCACCATCCAGGCCGCCCAACATGTCTGTGAGTAGACACGCCGGACGCTTCAATTGATCTCGCAAAGACTAATGATGAACAGCACCGCAAGTTCGAGGCTCCCCGTCACGGTTCGCTGGCTTTCTTGCCGCGCAAGCGTGCTGCCCGTCACCGTGGCAAGGTCAAGTCGTGAGTGTTTCTATCCTCTCCCAAAATATCAAGCTGCAATGATGGGACTGGAGACTGACCATTGCCTTTCTTCTCTGCCAGCTTCCCCAAGGATGACCCCAAGAAGCCCGTCCACCTGACGGCTACCATGGGCTACAAGGCCGGTATGACCACGATCGTCCGCGACCTCGACCGACCTGGCGCCAAGGCGAACAAGAAGGAGGTTGTCGAGGCCGTCACTGTCATCGATACCCCACCTGTACGAACAATGCAGCCCGCTTGGCTCTGTGCCTATGGCTAACATCTTTTAGATGATCGTTGTTGGTCTGGTTGGCTACATCGAGACTCCCCGCGGTCTGCGCTCGCTCAACACCGTCTGGGCTGAGCACTTGTCCGACGAGGTCAAGCGCCGCTTCTACAAGAACTGGTACAAGAGCAAGAAGAAGGCCTTTACCAAGTACGCCAAGAAGCACTCCGAGAGCAGCGGCTCCTCCATCACCCGCGAGCTCGAGCGCATGAAGAAGTACTGCACCGTCGTCCGCGTCCTCGCCCACACCCAGATCCGCAAGACCCCTCTCAAGCAGAAGAAGGCCCACCTCATGGAGGTCCAGATCAACGGTGGCTCCGTCGCCGACAAGGTCGACTTTGGCCGCGACCTCTTCGAGAAGCCCGTCAACGTCGACTCTGTCTTTGAGCAGGACGAGATGATTGATGTCATTGCCGTCACCAAGGGTCACGGTTTCAACGGTGTCACCGCCCGTTGGGGTACCAAGAAGCTCCCGCGTAAGACTCACAAGGGTCTCCGTAAGGTTGCTTGTATCGGTGCCTGGCACCCGTCCCACGTCCAGTGGACCGTTGCCCGTGCCGGTCAGATGGGTTACCACCACCGTACCTCGGTCAACCACAAGATCTACCGCATCGGTAAGGCTGACGCCGAGGACAACGCCTCCACTCCTCTCGACATTACCAAGAAGCGCATCACACCGTATGTTCATCCCGGTCCTCCGTCCTTTTTTCTCATGCTAACTCTTGTAGTCTTGGTGGTTTCGTCCGCTATGGTGAGGTCAACAACGACTTCGTCATGGTCAAGGGCTCTGTCCCTGGTGTCAAGAAGCGTGTCATGACTCTCCGCAAGTCCATGTTCACCCACACCTCGAGGAGGGCTCTCGAGAAGATCAACCTCAAGTGGATCGACACCTCTTCCGAGTTTGGACACGGTGCTTTCCAGACACCCGCGGAGAAGAAGCAGTACCAGGGTACTCTCAAGAAGGACCTTGCCTCCGCATAAACGGAGCCAATATTCGGATCCTTTCTTTTGTTGTATCTTTCGGTCATTGCATTGGTGTCGAGGGACTGTTCTTCCTTTTTTTGGGCTGGGCTGGGTTCACAATGGATGAAAAATGAAAAGCTCAGCTAGACGAGACTATGAATCTCAAATGAATACCCAAACACATGCTCAACCATTTGTGATACTTGCTCCAAGTGGAAATACAGGGACCTCGGGTGGTGTAAGCGCTTCTGTGTGTGCCATCCTGGAGTATTAATGTGTACCGGAAGGCACTGAAGTACAAAGCTTGCTTGCAGTTGACGTCACCGCCTATTGGCTGTCCAGCATACGAGCATCTCAGCTAGTAACAGTCCCAGTCCCTAAACTTGAATCAAGTGGAAATAAAGCACCTTATGGTCTTACTTTGTCGTCATTCCCCATCCTTGTTTCTGACCTTGCGATCTGAGCTCCTTACACCTGCGGCACGAAGGCTGTACCACTCGACATTTCTTAAAGCCCTGCCCAAGCTGCCTGCGCCGCCACGCCTCCATTTGAAACGGAACCTGCAATATCACACATCGTCCATCATGGCTAGCGACGAAGACTACATGTCGTTCCTTGCCAAGGCCAACCAGGACTCCTCTGGCGGCGGCAATCAAGCCTCGACCCAAAGCAAGACACAGTTCAAGACCACCGACTCGAAGCTCCAGGTCCCAAAGGAGATTACAGATGCCGTGAAGGATGAATTCTACGTCAGCGACGCAGACGAGCCATTCCACCCCGTGGCCCTCTCATGGTCTGGAGAAGGTGGACTTCCCGATGAAGGTGTGTCTTGTCCCCCTCAGCGAGTAGTGACAACCACTGATGCGTATGCAGTTGAGTTTGCCAAGCTGATCAGCCACTGGGATGCCGAGAAGGCAGACATTGAGATCATGGACCCTGCAGACTGGGACAGGAAGGGACAGTACTCCAAGCTGGTGGATGCTGTCACACAGGCCACAAAGGGCAACGACGTGAGGGTGTATGCTGTCAAGAGGGATCACTCGAGGATTGAGTACTGGGTCATCTCGGGGACAGATGGCGGGATTGTAGGCGCCAAAGCGTTGGCTGTGGAGAGTTAGCCTGAACCCTTCAGATAAATCTGGATTCCATTCTTATTTGATCCAGTGAGCTGCGGAAAAGATATGATTGTCACGTTCAGGTATGGCTTGACTGGCACGCGTGATGTCCGCCTTGGTAACAGCTATCGAGAGCTATTTGACCCAGAACCACCCGCACCCTGTCCATGCCGGATTTTCAATGCCACTCAGTCGCCATACATCAGTAGCTATGCCTGAGGAGAGGGTCAATGCGTCAAAACGTACGTCTGAAGAGCATTTGTTGGTCACCTTTGCAGTCATGGACGAAGCCCCGCGACCGATAAGGACCCTTTGTCCGATAGCGGCGGGGCATTCAACTTTCTATTGACTCGACGTCTGACATGTTCGTTCATATTGTTCTTCGAACCCACCCACCTCGCTCTGCTCTTCCACGTTCCTCGGGGCAACGCTCCTCAATTTAAGGCAAAATGGTGCCCAGTGTGAGTCTACACAGAGCCTCGGCCTGATCTCGCGAGCTAATGGAGAGCGCGACAGCCAGACATCCTCCCCTCATTGGAGTCCGTCGGAGAAATCATTTCCAAGGCCAGCAAGACCTCGAGCGCCCGCAAGCCCACCCTCGTCCCCGTCTACCGCCAGATCTCCTCTGATCTGATCACACCCTCCGCCGCCTACCTCAAGATCTCCACGCGCGCCGCCTCCGACGACCGCCAGTACTCTTTCCTCTTCGAGTCGGCCGCTACCGAGCAGCTCGGCCGGTACAGCTTTGTGGGCGCAGGCCCACGAAAGGTCCTCACCACAGGACCGGGCTATGGCGAGGAGACCGACCCCCTGGTGGGCTTGGAGAAGGAGCTGGATCAGCATGTGGTCGCCTCGGTGCCCGAGCTGAGACTGCCTCCCCTCGCAGGTGGCGCGATTGGCTATGTGGGATACGACTGCGTACGGTACTTTGAGCCCAAGACGGCGCGACCATTGGAGGACAAGCTGCACGTTCCCGAGTCTCTGTTCATGCTCTACGACACTATCGTGGCCTTTGACCGGTTCTACGGCGTCATCAAGGTGATCAGCTACGTTCACGTCCCCCAGGACGGCCAGGCTTCGAGCCTCGAGGCGTCGTACAACAAGGCAAAGGAGACGATCAACGACCTTGTCACACTTCTCGACTCACCGAACGTACCTCTGCCAGAGCAAGGGCCCATTGAGCTAGGACAGGAGTATACCTCCAACATTGGGCAAAAGGGGTACGAAGCGCATGTGACAAAGTTGAAGGAGCACATTGTCAAGGGCGACATTATCCAGGCCGTCCCCTCGCAGCGCTTCGCCCGACCGACCGCGCTGCACCCTTTCAACATCTACCGTCACCTACGGACCGTCAACCCCTCGCCGTACCTGTTCTACGTCGACTGCAAAGATTTTCAGATTGTCGGTGCATCACCCGAGCTGCTGGTCAAGAGCGAAGAGGGCCGGATCATCACACATCCGATCGCCGGAACTGTCAAGCGAGGACCTACCCCTGAGGAGGACCAGCGTCTGGCGGACCAGCTACGAAGTTCGCTCAAGGATCGTGCGGAGCATGTCATGCTGGTCGATCTGGCGCGCAACGATGTCAACCGCGTCGCTGACCCTTTGACGGTTCGCGTGGATCGTCTCATGGTGGTGGAGAAATTCAGCCACGTCCAGCATCTTGTCTCGCAGGTCTCTGGCGTGCTCCGGCCGGGCCAGACACGATTCGACGCGTTCCGGTCCATCTTCCCCGCCGGCACGGTGTCAGGTGCGCCCAAAGTCAAAGCGATGGAGCTGATCGCCGAGCTGGAGGGCGAGAGGCGAGGTGTGTACGCGGGCGCCGTTGGCTACTTTGGCTACGGCGGTGTCGACGAGGAGGGCAACGCTGTCGAGGGCGCCATGGATACGTGCATCGCGTTGCGGACGATGCTCGTCAAGGACGGCACGGCGTACTTGCAAGCAGGTAAGTTCATTGAATAGAAATGTAGAGTCTATGGGAGGTAGCGCTAACAACTGTGCAGGCGGCGGCATTGTGTTTGACTCGGACGAGTACGACGAATGGATGGAGACGATCAACAAACTCGGCGCCAACATGCAGTGTATCACCTCGGCGGAGCAGATATACCATCAACTACAACAGCACAAGCCGTCGTCGCAATGAGTCGGATAGGCATATGTTCTTGGAACGGGGTAGGTGATGAATCCTTCAGGCGATGCTCATTATGTTGGATAAATGCTGCCTCCTTTGCTATGCTACCCACTCCAAAATATATACCAAAAAAAGTCATTGCTCATTTCGTGTCTCGTAAAAAAAAGGGGGAAAGGGGAAAACAAGCTGGCGATCCAGCCCGCCGCAAGCACCATATCTCCTCACTCGTCGCCAAGTGATCAACTCGCCATACTCTCTTCTAATTTTGGTACTCTGGCGGTATAGGTGTGTCCCGCTTCACAAGCTCTGGCGGCACGGGTGTATCCCGCTTCATGTGTTCTGGTGGCACAGGCGTGTCCCTCCTGCTGCCGGACAGCTCTGGGATGGGCGTGTCTCTCTTCTGCTCCGTGCCGAATGACCTCCTCGGGGCGATCGGTGTCTTCACGTCCGGATCGGTGTCACTGCGCGCCACACTGAGTCGATCCTCCGACACGACGCTGCTCGAATCTGTCATCTCCACGTCACGCATCTCGCTCCATGCCGAATCTGAGCTCTCCACGCTGGGTGTCGGGAGCTCATCGCGATCAAGGTCGGGGGGGAACGCGATGGGCGTTCGCCGGTCGTCCTGTTCGTCTTTCCGCTCGTTTGCAACCTCACGCCGCATGGCAGCCAGTGTGCCACCAACCTCCTGGCTCTGCTCCTCGTCTTGACCAATCGTCCAGACCCACCGCCTCTTCTTCTCCTTCTTCTTGCGCTTGCGAATCCCCATGGGTGAGGATGGCGACAAGGGTACGGCAGTGGAGCCGGTGACTCGCCTGCGTGTCTCCTCAAATGGACCGGGTGTCTGTCCTCCGTCCTGGATCTCGTTGGATGTGAAGGACAGAACAGCGTCCAATGGTTCCTGTGAGGCTGGGGCTGTCATGCTTGGAGAGCTGGGGGAGGGTTCTGCCGACAGCAAGTCGATGTGAGACCTCGTGTACTTGTTCGTCACAATGGTCTGCTCGAGTGGGCTCGTGTACCCGACTCGTCGAGCAGCCTTTTCCTGCAGTCGCAGCGACTGTCTGCGAGGTGACGGTGGGGGTATGGCTGTCTTGGGTGGCAGAGGCGAGTTGCGAAGAATGCTGTGGAGGACTTGGGGCTGGGTGTATGGAGGGCAGCGAAGATGGTTGGTTGATATGTATGGGAGGACGCGGCTCTTGCCCTTGCGGTCATCTGTGGGCTTGGCCTGGGGCTGTTCACCCGTGTCCGCCACGGAAAAGGTGAAGACCTTGGACTCATTGGAGTCGGTGGTGCCAGACATTGGTGGTGTGGCCGCCATGGTGCTGGGGAAGCTCATCTCCATGACCCGTGGCGACTGCGGATGAGCGGAGAGTGGTGTCTCTGGATATCTGGCCACGAACGGGGTGTGCACTCTCAGCCTCGAGTCCTGATGTTCCACTGGCGTATTGAGACTGAAGGCCTGCAATGTGTTGATGGCCGTGAGGGGCGTGGACCTCTCGATAGCGGTCACGTAGGCATTGGACAGAGTGTTGAAGGCGGTTGGGTCTGAGGGATCGACTTGAGGCCTTGGTCGGGCGGCTGGCTCACATGATGTCTTTATCTTGAGCGACAGCCGTGGTTTCTTGGGGGCCCCTTGCTGGAACGACATGGTGGATGGGGGTCGGCGGTCAAGTCCAATCGTGCTATCCCTCGAGAGTTCTTGAGCGAGATCAGCTGGGCCAGAAGTGCGTTGGAATCTTTGTGTGAGTGAGTGCCTGTGGACCAGCCCGACAGACAAACTCGACAAGACAGTGGTGATGCCTGGCAAAGTGACACTTCCAGTGGGACGGATCCGCCAGGGAACCTCGAGGATGAATGAGCGAAAGGGATTCGACGTGACTCTCAACTTGGACGCAGAAGGAAGAGAGGAAGAGGCGTCAGAGCCAACGGCTCTTCAGACGATGCCCGGCGGCTACCATATATCACTTGAGAGCGCCCTGTCTCTTCTGCGGGGGACATGCGAGCAGGCCACGATAAGCGCCATCCTCATGAATGCAGCCCATGGGCCATGCAGCATCGTCGCAGTCGAACCCCAGCTGATCGAGCTCTAGACGCGGCAGGATTCGAGGGAAGGTGCTGGATGCGGTTGTTGAAGGTGTTGGGCCATGGAGGTGAGTGAGATGGACGCTCGCGATGGAGGGTCAGCCGCGGCTGTGGTTGGTCGTTGGCGCAGCAGGTAAGTGCTGGACAGGGGACGACGACACAGACCACCAATGGGCATTTGTGACTGGCGTCTATTTCATGCAGCTAACGACTTTATCACCTTGGGTCTCCTTGGCTTCTTCTTCGTCTTCGCAGAGCTAGGTCGGACTATCGCATGCATTGCTCGAGTCTCGACGCGACGCGGGGGAGAAATGCGGACATTCGGCGACCTCTCGCGTGGCTTTTGGTGGTGCCATCCAGAGAATCCTTTCCATGCGAGTTTGATGAGATCCGAAGAGGCGGTGACGCGTGGTGGTGCTGGTGGTGTTGTGCTGCACCTCGCGAGGGACTCGACCAAGTCGCGTGTCACAGCGAGTACATGTAGAGCATGGCGATGATTACTGACAGTGCTTCAACTTTTCGTTTGGCGCTTTTCGGCTTCGTTCCAAGCCAGGCTAGCCTCAGGACCTCGCAGACTCACCTGTCTTGTTCGTGTTGGAAAGGGCGCTCAGTTGGCATCAAAGCAGACGGCCAAGGTGGTGATGACCGCATCGCTGGTCGCGTCAGGGCCGCATACATCCTTGCGGCGCCAGTTCCAAGGATCTCGCGACAAAGAGCGCGCCTGACATGGGGTGGTGTTTTCGAGGCCCTAACAATTGAAGGCACGTGTGGGTATGTAGATGATAGATCCCTGTGCTGCTGGCTCCTGGAGACTTTGAGTCTGTGAGTCCTGTCCACGTCAATCCACGTCAGGCTTGCTGCTTCCAGTGACTACATGTAGTAGTACACGGAATCATGGTAATCAGTGCAGCCAAATATGACTCTTGATAGAAAGTCCGTCGTGTAAGAGTTGATGTGTCGTTTTGGGGGTTACACAAACATCAAAAATGGCCCAGGTTTAATTGACTGCTGTCTCGGAGCTGAGGCTGCCCCTGAGTTCTCAGGCCAGCCTCACCCATTTGATCTCAATCAAACATCATTTCATGTTGACCTCGTCATGACGGCTGAGAAATTCCCCGAGTCATACGAAGATGCTCTGGACCTTGACGACAATGTCATTCACGAGAAGCAGTACCTGGACGCGACAACAACACAAGCGCAGCAGCTCGTTGCGGAGCGAGCCACAACCAAAGCCCTCATCAGACACCATCTCAGTGTTGCCCAGGATGCTCGCGTTGTCATCAAGTACAAGGAATGCAGGATCGGCACTTTTAACATCTGTTTCCCCGTTGTCGTCGAACCTTTGGATGCACCATGCAGGCGCTTATTCTTGCGGTGCGCCATGCCTCACAAGTTGGGTGAAGTGCGGTCACGAGGCGCCGTAGATGAGAAGATGAGCTGCGAAGTGGCAACGTACGCCTGGATGCAGGAGCATTGTCCTGGTATTCGCATACCACATCTCTACGGTTTCGGGCTCGCCGATCACCGCCAATTCACCCATCAGTCGCACCGCCCCTTCTTGACCCGCGCTGTCCAGTATCTTCGACGGATGCTCCACGCGTGGCTCAGGCCCTCTACTCTCCTCTCTCACTATATCCCCCACACGTCTCCCTATCGCCTTTCAACTGCCTACATGATCCTTGAGGATGTTGGCGCGGACAAGAGCCAGATGCTGTCCAACACCTGGGCCAAACACCGCGATGACCCCATGCGAAGGCGGAATCTCTACCATGGACTTGCCAAGACGATGCTCTCCCTGGCCTCTATTCCACAGCCCCGAATCGGCGCCTTTAGATTCCACGCTGACGGCATCATCACGCTCTCCAACAGACCGATCACGACGAGCATCGCCATTCTCGAAAATGACGGCGCACCCCGTTGTATCCCGCGCGACCGTACCTATGCGGCCACAGAGTCATACGTGTCCGACATGATGACCTTTCACGACCACCGTCTCTCGTCGAACCGTAACGCCGCCTTTGATGCCACGGACTGTAGCAGCACGATGGCGAGCAAGGTCACATTCCGGGCCGTCGCCCACCGCTACATTCTCGAGGATCGGCGTGAGGGGCCTTTCTATCTGCGGTTTGACGATCTCCACGCCAGCAACATATTTGTCGACTATGACTGGAACATCACGAGCCTGGTCGACCTGGAGTGGGTGAACGCACAACCGGCCGAGTTGCTGCGCGTGCCGTACTGGCTGACGGACGGCGACCTTGGCGAGTTCAAGGGCGAACAGCTCAGTCGGTTCAATGAGAGACGCGAGGAATTCCTGGAAATATTCGAAGCAGTGGAGCGTAGGGCACGCCGACGCGGAAGCCGGTCCTGACCAACGTCATGAAACGGACATGGGAACACGGCGGTGCGTGGTTCTGGACAGGCCTGAGTTCTGTCAACGGCATGCACGCCATGTGGTCTGGTCACATTTGCCAGCTGTATGCACCTACGCTTTCTCTCAGTGAAGAGGAGACCCTCTCCAAGCTGTGGTGTCATGATAGCGACGACTTTGTGGAGAGCAAAGTGCGGGATTACGAGGCGTACTGTGAGGAGCTGAAGAAGCTGTACGCCGACAAGGATGTACCTGCCGACAAGTACCGTAGGCACTCAACAAAGTCGCTAGCGCTGGTTGCTAAAATCTAGCCTCCTTTAGTTTAGCGTCATGCATCCATGCCTATGCAGGAGTACAAATCCTACTCAGGCCCTGTACAAAACTCATGCCCAAACGACCCGTGCAGCCCAATAGCTACAGATCAATTGGCACCACTTCTGACAGGGGTCCCGGTCAGCCAAGACAGACCAGCGCTAGCGACTTTGTCGAGTGCCTACGGTAGGCCATGCTAAACTGCACTCTTGTATAACAAATTTTGTGCAATACACCTGTTGTCGTCGGATGAAATGGCTTCCTGGCGACAGCGAGCGCTTCGCGCTTAGCGCGCTTGCGCATGCATGGGGGACAAGGATCAATTGCTTCGGGCTTTGTGGAGAAGGTATCAGTTTCTAAGGCTGCTGCTGACGCCTCTGGTTCTTTCTGTTGGGCTCCAGAGTCATGGCTGAGTGACTGCTGGGACGATTGCGCTTGTGTCCGGACGTTCGTAAGAGACTTGTATTGAAACTTGAGACGCGTTCACCAGTCGGTCGGTCGGACTGTCTCGGACAGTACGTCGAGGACTTTCTCAAAGTGAACGATCGCTGAAAGTACGTGTCTCCGATACGATCGAAAGCCCGACTGCTATTTTGAGTCGTTTCGGTGATCGCGTGTCTGTTGTACGAGCCAACATTTCAATGGCAGAATGTTTCCAAGATACCTGATATTGACGTGCGTTTTGACTAAGCGTCGTATCGCCTACCCTACGACGCTGTGTCGGTCGCGTCCGTCAATGGGATTCACGGTCCACCATCAACCTAAACACTTTGAAGCAACATGAACTCATCAAATCTTGATTGTGCCAACTTAATACCCAATGAGATATCCTGAATATGCACAAGTTCGGCGGGTGGTCTTCTTGGTCCAAAAATAATACGCCGCCATGGACTTCACGCAATCCAGAAAACCTCCCACACACTCCCATAATCGCCTCATACTTCAATTTGTGAGTTCTGATGTTCACCAAGACAACATTGCCACTGATGAGACAAGGACTACGACTGCTTCTATGCCCAAGTCCATACCATTCTCAACCCCTCGCTGGCACCACCTGGCACACCCCTTGGCATCAAGCAGAAGAACATCCTTGCAACATGCAACTACGCCGCCCGCGCCCGAGGCGTGAGGAAACTCATGCTCGTGACTGAGGCTAGCAGGCTGTGTCCTGAATTGAGACTTGTCGATGGAGAGGACTTGACGCCTTTCCGGGACATTAGCAAGAAGCTGTTTGGATTTGTCAGGGGCTTCAGCTGGTGTGGACGTGTAGAACGACTGGGCCTTGATGAGATCTTCATGGGTGCGTGCAATCTGGAATCTCTGATGCGGCTTCATACTGATTAAAATTAGACGTGACCGACCTGGTAGACCACAACATTTCATGCCTCAACCGAAACGGTCTGGAGAGCTCGTTCTTCTATCTCTCCAAGCAAGACCCCGAGAAAGGCTTCCCGTGCGACCTCACAACGTTCGCAGGCATGGTCGAAGGCGAGGTACCGGACAAACCTAACTATGACGACGTTCGGTTTTTACGCTTACTCCTCGGCTCACACCTTGCTTTGTATCTGAGGACAAGAATCGAAGATGACTACGGATATACTTCAACATGCGGAGTATCAACAAACAAAGTTTTGAGCAAGCTCGTAGGCGCGAGGCACAAGCCTCGCAATCAGACCACCTTGCTTGCCCTCACCGACGACGATGTCACAAATTTCATGGACGATCTCAAGCTACGCAGCGTGCCAGGGATCGGATTCAAGATGGCCTCAATATTAGAGAGCCATCTGACCGGACATAGTCCTCCCGAGAACTCTCACGAGTGCGAGTCCAAGTTGAAAGTCGGACAGGTGAGAAAATCGCCAAAAATATCACCGGCCTCCCTTGAGAAAATGCTCTCTGGACCTGGCGCAGAGAGGGGCGCCGGATCGCGCATATGGCAACTTCTTCATGGCGTGGATCCATCGGAAGTCAAAGAAGCGAGTGACGTCCCTTCACAGATTAGCATCGAAGACACCTACAAAGGCCTTTCGACAATGCCCCAAATCATCGAAGAGCTCCATAAGCTGTCCCATTCGCTGCTAAGGAGAATGAAAATTGATCTCCTGACCCGAGGCGATGGCGCTCTCGCGGATGCAGGCGAACAGCGCTGGCTGGCCAGGCCACGGACTCTTCGCCTGTCCATCAGGTCGTGGCACAACATGCATGCCCAAAACTACCAGCGCGCCTCGCGGTCCGGGCCTCTGCCCAACTTCGTCTTTGATCTGCAGTCTGACATGGAACACTTGGCGGAGCGACTCGTGTCAGAAGCTTTGCTGCCGCTGCTACGCCGCTTGTCCAGCGAAAAGGGACCCAAATGGAACCTACAGCTGATCAACATTTGTGCCGCAAACATGGTCATGGGAGCAGCCGAGGACAGGCCTGGAGTGGGTCGAAACATCGCCAGTATGTTTAAACACCAAGACGAGGCTCTGCGCCCGTGGCGGGTCATGCAGGACGGGAGCGACGTGGACGATGAAGAGACCGGTGAAAGAAATAGTCCCCCCCAAGTCCAGGACCCTGAAGAAACACCTGCGTCTGACACTGAGGGTGGTTGGGAAGAGAGCGATAATGATTCGTGCCCGCAATGTGGCCACGCAATACCGGCTTTTGCACTGGCTGCGCATCTCAGGTATCACGATCTTGAAGAATGAGAGATACTTTGACGCTGGGGTGAATGATCTTCAACATCGCAGGACGGAGTTCTGGAAACTTATAGGCAACGAACGGTGCTTGCACATAAAGTGGACGGTGGCAGCCTGTACAGCCCCTGGATTGAATACCCCTGACGAAAAGCGCTAGTCGCGCACTTGAACAACAGCTTGGTCCAGGTGTATTGCCTCCTCACGAAACACGAGAAGATTTGGAGAACAAGGCGCCGGAGGACCTGTTACCTGGGAGCACGTTGCCACCTCACGGATGCGTCGCAGTAGTTACATGTAGTTACACATGGTGTCACGCGCGCGTTCGGGCAACAATGTCAGTCAGTCAGTCAGTCAGACAGACAGACAGATATCAAGAGACTGTCTTGCTGCTACGACAATGCACAATTATCGGACATATTTTCAGCACTTCCGCTTTCACTACTTACTTACCTACCTGATAAAAGAGTAAGCAAATCGGGCTCGCAAACAGCTTGCTTTCCCGGTACATTTTGAACAACGAATCTCAATTAAAATTGTGCTTGTCCACAGCGCATACCGGGGACTATGATAGCAAGCTGTTTGCTTGGTGTGACAGCGGCTACCCCTGTCCCCTTCCGCCTTGTTGTCCGCTTCAGTGGCTGCAAATACCAGGTAGAGTAGAAACAGGTGGGCAGCGAATGCTGTGTAACACCAACACGCTGCAATGCCACGACCGCGCGCCAGCTCTTGCACTAAAGACACTGCAATCATTGGCAGCTCGCCACATGCTGCGACTGGAGCGGGTCAAAACGGAACCTGGGCGCGAGAACACAAGCGAGATCTGGTCTTGCAGACACTCGCGTGCGATGTAGAGGTGTAGACCGGGGAAGAGTGTTTGCCTGACCTGACCGTATCGCTGTTGCCGCGCCCGTGTCACGGTCTGGCGTTAGACTGTTTGCAATGTCCTTTGCCGTGATCAGGGTCGGATGAGGAACGACCATGAGCAACGCTCCAAAACATGGACCAGACCGGGCTCTCGTGACACTCGAGAAGCGCTCTCGCGCCCCCCTCTCACGTTGACCGAAGTACTTGTAACCAGATTGCCCAGCTATTCTTGCCTCGCGACAGCTGGACGCTCCAATACCTCCATCATCATCGGCATCTTCAGTACTTGTTGACGAGCCCACGCAAACATCCCTTGTTGACAAGCCTGAGGCGGCAAGCAAGCCCGCGCTTTCCCTACATAGCCTTGCTCTCACTCACACGACGGCAAGAGCGACAATCCATCGCCGCTGCGTCACTGCATCGCAAGAACCGCAACGGGCGTTTGATCGAGTCGTCCTTCCCAGGCTTGGCTCACATCAGCGTCCGCTGAGCGTGACAGTAGCAGGCAGGCAGGCAAGCAAGCCAGCAAGCAGAAACCAAGGCAAGCAAGACTCCATCGGACTAGCAGATATGGCCGCCTCACCTTAGGACGGCGTGGAAGAGACCAAGTCTGTCGTCCCATAGTCTTCTTGCGCTTGTGCCGGTACCGGTGCCTTGAAGAGGAGCAAGTGCACAGTAAACCCGGCAGGTGAATCTGAAGCGCAAGCCAGACAGCCAGCCCTCTGTTACCTGGCATCGTGCAGCACTGATTTCTGTGCTCTGATGGCCAGCAGCTCAGCAATCTGAGGCAGGTACGACCTCCCAAACTTGTCACTCGCGTTCCAGTCTTTGTTGCATCTCGAGTCTCTCGTGCTGTTGGGAACTGCCAGGGCACGCCAGGTCAACCCGTCTTTTTCACTTGGCTCCTGGTCTTTCTCTCCGACAAAACTGCTCATTACCTGGGCTAACTTCATCTCAAGTGTTGCAAGGCAGTATCTGCACGTCACAAGGTCTTTCTCAGGCCGAAGCCGGTGTTAGACCAACTGCGAGCGAGCCGGGCTGTCCTTCTCTACCGCCCTCCACCCTGCTCTTTTCTTGACCAAGGTGTTGAGGAGAACAGCGTAGGGATCTCGTCAACTCCTTCTCACCACGGCTAATTGTCGCTCCCTGACATACGGGTCTGGTACCTGCACGCTGCCTCGACTCCCTCCAGCGCCGTCTCAAAGACTCCTACATGCCGATCCAGGGTCGTCTTGTTGGTAAGACATACCAGACTCGACGAGATGGGTCGCTTCCGGCTGACTTCGCTGCCAGACTCTTTGAACCAGACGACAACATCATTGTCCGCTGCCCCTAATGCCTCGAGGAGGTGTTGGGCGAGGGGGCAACTCCGCCGCCGCTCGTCGAACCATTGACTTGACAGGATGCATCTCAGCTGCCGAAAGAAACGATCTTGCGACACTGATCAACGCCATCACGGAGCGCATGCACAATGACATTAGCACCATCTTTGACTCGCCTCCAGTCTCTCCCGTGATGGCTGACGATTGTCACCACTGGCTGAAGCTGCCACTGCTTCACCGTCGAGGCAAAGAGAATAATCCCCCATCTTCAAACACTTACCAGGATGCGGGGAGAACATCGAACTCGTATAACCGGGCTCATCAGACCATCGAGAAAGAGGAAAAGGAATCCATGACACCGCATCTGAGAGAGTTGAAGAAGGAGGCCTTGACGTTCTTTCGCAAGTGGCAGTCATCCATCTTGCAGCGAGTACGAGACATCAGCGTCACTGTCCAAGATCAGTCGCCTGCTCAAGGCGCCTTGCGAGGACGGGGACGAGGAGCCCCTATCGTTCGCGGTGCCGTGAGGGGTGGTCGCGGCGCACGCGGCGGTAGAGCAAGCCGCGGTGCTCTGACATTGGCCACAGGTAGGCGACCACATCTGCAAACCACATTGAGGCTGAGAGTTCTGACAGTATGACTAGGCCCTCCACGTCTTCCATCAAAGCACACCGATGTGCCTTTTGCCAACCGTTTCCCGCCGATCCCCAACACGCTTTGGACTCTCCCACAAGAAAGACGCAAGCTACTGCTGCACATCGCGTTTTTGACCGTCATATCGTTGACCGAGTACTCGGCGAATGCACATCTGCTGCTCTTGAACTTGACTTCATGCCTGAATCTCCCTGTCAAGATGTTCCTAGCCGAGGAAGTGAGGCTGGCACAGGCTTTTGCTAGTGCTGCGCTCGACGTATCGCCTGAATCTTTACTGAGCCAGAAGCCGGAAGAGATCAGAGGCTCCCGCAAATGGAAGGGGCCCGGGCCAGGGGCCAGCCTGGCACCTGCACTCATTCAAGCAGGGATTGGAACTGCTGCTGGAAGCTTTGGCCTGACAACCTGCGCCGCTACCGGGCTACTGGGGCCCATGGCGGCAAGTGAGAGGCCGTTGTGCAACATGTTCAGCATGAATCCAGCCAGGCCCATAAGCAAAATGATGGATATTTTCAGCAGAGATATTCAAGACTTCGCGTTGCTACCGATGCACGGCAAAGTTCGTTCTGAATATATAGACGCACGTGAACCTCCAGCGATCGATCGTCGATTTCGGCTCGTCATTGCCTTGGGCGGTTGGCTGACCGAAGACGAGGACGTACATGATCCTTGGAAGTGCCTCGGACAACAAGCCGAGGCCTTTGTTCTCCAATGGGAGACAACGGCTCTGCTGAACCTGGGAGGCTCGCTTGAAACTGTCATCAAGAGTAAAGCTTGGAGAGATGCTAAAGAGGCCATCAGCACAAAAACCAGTGAGTTCGACATGACTTTGTGAGAACGAGCGCCGACTGACATTCCGCAGTCTTCACTAGCATCATTGAATCATCCTGGCCGAGTCAGCTGCTGAAGATCAGCAAGATCATCGACAACCCATGGAGTGTGGGCATGGTCCGCGCAGAAAAGGCTGGCCAAACACTGGCGGATGCCATTTCACGTCACAAGTTCCAAGGCGAGCGGTCTGTGTCGCTGGTAGGATACGGTCTCGCTGCCCGCGCCATCTATACTTGTCTCATGTCCCTCGCTGAACGGAGGCTCTTTGGGCTGATCGACTCCGTTGTCATAATAGGCGCACCGGTGCCATCGGAGCCCCGTGTTTGGTTGACGTTGAAAAGCGTCGTGTCGGGGCGCTTGGTCAATGTGTACTCGGAGCACGATTACCTTCTCGGTTTCCTGAACCGATTTTCCAACACGCATTTCGGCATTGCCGGTCTGCAGGAGATACAGGGTGCCGATGGCGTCGAGAATCTCGATGTTGGAGAGCTCGCCTATGGCCATATGGGATATGCCTCGGCCACAGGTCGCATCTTGAAAGAGATCGGTTGGGATGACCTGGACAGTGATATCGTCAGGAACGAGAAACCATTTCGGGTCGCGCCAGCCGCCGGAAGGAGATGAGTTGTGGCATTTCTTGTTGAATCGGTGTCGCAACCTGATGACGGCCGTTGATGGTTTGCGTGGCAGCAACTTTGTGGAGCGGTCGTGGTTTTGAGTGGATGAAGCTTTAACGCAGAACATGTCTCGGAGGCGTTGTTTGAGCTTATCTGGTAGGTAGCTGGCCACCCCCTTTTCTTTTTGCCCTGCTACGTACTGTTCTATCATTTGACGAATCGGGAAGATTACTGGCAGCTACATTATTTCCTACGTACACAGTTTATCATCTGTATTGTATCGGTAGGACAATGTGCGCCAACGTTATTGTTTGTGCATTTTCCCATTTAGGACTGTTTCTTTTCCAACGGACCCCATGGACTCGATCTACGGGTCCCCTCCTATTTTACCCATTGTTGACCACGTGCTCTATGCTGACAAGCGACTCAGTCATGTTTGGCCAACCTGATCCCCCTTTTTTCAAATCTGGAAATTTGCACCTTGACGTCGCTACCACCAGTGTTCGCCGTAAAGTCAAGGTTGAGTGTGTATGTGTGTGTGTGTAGAACAGTTGACATTACACGCTGATGTAGAGTACAGACAATAATATGTAAGTAAGTGGGCTCAAGAAGGCGGTGTGGTGCCTATCATGCTGGGCACCTGCTTGCGCAAGACGCCTCTGATGCCACCGCGCTGCTCGGGACGCTGGACGCCCTGCGCAGCTCGCGGCTCGCGCATCAATGTGCGATCGAGACGCGCAGGCGTCCTGGTGATGATGGCGTGGTAATCTCCGGGGAAACTGCCCTTGGGCATCGGGACGGAGGCTGTCCGCCAGATGTGCTCGGTCGTGTCGCTGAGATAGTTTGCCGGCTTGCCGCCTCGAGATGGTGCCAAGAAGCCGGAAGCGTTGGCTGACGCGCCGGCTGACTGGCGTATGGTGGAGAGTCTTGAGAGGCCGGCTGCTATGCCTGGGCGCCCGCGGGCCTTCTTTGCCATGATCACCTCGTCGAAGAGGCGAATAGTGGGTTCAGTGGCTGGCTTTGTCTCACGGTCGTGGATGAACTCGTTAAATCCTGTGGTGCGTCAGCATCAGCAAAGCGTAGTTGGAGTGTCTCGGTGTATCTCTCTTACCTTGTGTTTCCCTCAGCATAGTGGCATACTCCTGCTGATCGTAGGGGAGACTCTTGATGAATCCATCCATGTCGAACGCGAATAATTGGCCATTCGTCTTTTGTTGCTTGTTTGGACGACCGAGATACTTGCGATACGTGTAGAAAAGACTGGCTTGGCATCGAACGAATGCTGCGCGGACGCGGTCCTGGAGGAAAGCCTCTGGACAGACCACAGACACTACGCCGAGACACCTCCCGTGAGACGTCGCGTTGCATCCGGAACAGATGTAGATGCCGTCCTCTTCAGCCTTATCCGTACATATCGTGCAAGACGCTGTGCTCTTGGCCGTCCAGTTGAAGCAGTGGCCCTCAACCCAGATCGTGGTGTCCGTGTTGTGCACGGGTTGCACTTGCATTTGCGGCATAATGGTTGAAGCAGCGATCGTGGACTGTGCGTATGTAGATGGTGCGTAGCCTCCTCCACCACTTCCACCGCCTCCACCGCCAAGAGACGACATTGACTCGGCGGAGATGGAGGAGATTGACATGTTGGTTTGATGACCATTTAGGAATGGCAGACTAGGCCGATGTTGGGGAGGCGGCATAGGTGGATGCTCAAAGCCAAAAGACGAGCTTCGCCGACCCTTCTCATCCCTAAAGTGTCCCGATCTCTTCTCACGCAGGGTCGCTGCCAGAGCATAGCCCGAATCGCTCCTAGAAATCGGCGTTGTCGGCATGGGTGGAAAATTCATGGACACCGGCGAGACAGACGATTGTGGGCTGGTCTTGCTTGATTTGCTCGTCCCTGGTCGATCGGATTTCGCACTGTCTGTTGGTGCGACTGCGAAGGCATTAAACACAGGGGGTAGAAGCTCGACCGTGGGATCTGGTGCTCCAAAGGTGGATGAGCTTTGTGCCACCCACTTGCCTAGTGTGCCTGGGACAGCCTTTGGGGTGAACAGCGAACCATTCTCCGTGGAGAATGCATCATAAGGGAACGACTCCATAGCATACGGTGGTGGACCAGTCGCCACGCCGCATCGCAGCTTGTGTGGTGCTGCGACCTGCAGTAAGGAGTGAAGCTTTCGTCGAATTGGGCGTGGCAACCTCACGGGCTGCGAGGTGGCATCTATTGTGTCGTTGTCCAGGTCAACCAGGACGTAATCGTCATCAGGCAACTCAATCTTCTCGTACCGACGCTCCACCCCGACGATGTAAGGGCAGGGGGCGTCCAGTGCGGATATCAGACGCGCGGGAAGCACAGGAATGAAGATGCTGGCCCATTTGATGGGGTACAGCAGGCTTGCAATAGCGTGGCAAGCTAGATGCAGCATGCTCGTGTGCGAGGATAAGAAGATGATGCGCGATTCGGACATGGCGAACTCGTAGAGTGTCATGATGTTCTCAATGGACAAGCAACGGAAGAGGGCATACAGATCGACCGTTCGCGTACCAGGGATCTCATTGTGCGCCTCCCTGCGAGCATACAGCTTGAGCTCGCGTATGCTCATCTCCACTTGCGTCTTGGACGCGAGTGGGCTGAAGGCCTCTGTGCACAAGTTTATCACATAGCGCTCCAACGGCTGCCATTTGCCGACACGTGGCGAGGTCGGGGGGACTCTGAGAACTCCGCCATCGGTCATAGGCACCACGATGGCCTTCAGCCACTCCTTCCAGAAAGGAATCGTAGCAGGATCTCGACCCAGTACACCGTACGCCCTGGGTGTCCACAGCCCCGTCTCGCCGGCAGTCAAGCCCTCGATCTTGGAAGCAGCACCATGCCGCAGCGGTCGGAGCATGTCTGTCATCATGGAAATTTTCTCTTCCACAGTACTGATTTCGTCCTCGAGGCGGTCTCGAGCAGGCGCACCAGAAGGCAATGTGGGGAGTTTGGCCAGAAGATGCGACAGATGGGTCCTTTCGCCAGCCAGCCTGACGCCCAAGCTCGCGGCCAACTCCCGCTCCTCGTTGGACATGTGACTCTGCCGCCATTGCTCGCATTTGAGTTCTATCTCTTCGGCAACGGACGCGTTCACCGCCATCCATATAATTATGGTGATGCCATATAGTTTGGAGTTGTCGTCAGATGTCATGGTGAAGCCGTGCCATGTGGATCGCGGCCGGTCATCGGACGACACTATCTGTATATCGTTGGGAAAGGCGAACATTGGCACATAGTCAGGAAATTTGCCTCGTCGTCCGAGTTCGCTTGTCGCATCCTTTGGCGGGTAGCGGTCCAACAAGACCGGCTCGAAGCGTCGCTTGAGAGGGTGCATGTCGGGATCTGTGTTGAGGGGCTCCGGGGGCGGAATCACGGAGTTGTAGTTACTCAATCGTCTCGTCGTTCGAACCGAAGCTGCAAAGTGTCAGTGGTAGTCGTTTGGGGGGAAGCATAGAGGAACAAAGGGAGACCCACGGGCTCGGCTCGTCCTGTTGCCAGCAGGACTAGGCTGTTTTCGCGAACTGCTCATGTCGCGGAAGCTGATGCGCCGTCGTATGCTGCCTCGGAGACTCCTGAGAGGGCTGCGTCGGCCGCTGGGTTCGGCGTCGTCTGCTTTGATGCGCTCCGTCCGCGGGTTTGTCATGGGCTGCCTGGTCTGAACCTTGGCACCAGCGCTGAAGCTGAGGTCCTCCAGGAAATCTTCCCTCTCGGCGGCGAACTTGAGCAGCGCGCTGTCGAAGTCGAACCCCTCGAGGGTTGTGCCCCCACTCCCTCTGTTCTGCCCGCCATTTTCGGGGACGGCGAGGCCGTTGGTGTTGTTGTTGGTGTTGTTGACGGGGCGGATGGTAGCGCTACTTCTATTGCTAGCAGTGTTCCCGCCGTCCAAATCTTCGATCGTGCTTATCGAGAACCGATTGTCGCTCAGGGACAACTTCGAGAAACGGTGGCCGGAGCTTTGGCGGGAGTGTCTCGCGGAAAACCGACTGGACGAGCTGTTTGCGTCGGCAGGTTCCTCCGGCTCGCCATCCTCAGCAATGGTCGACTCTACATTGTAGTCGCGCGAGGCGTGGCCTGGCGGGGCATCGTCGTAGGTAATTGACTCTACACCCGCGATCCAGAAGTAGTCGGCCAGAGGGGTCGACGTGCCCTCCATGTCATGTCAGTCGCCGGACCACTCCCGAGGTCCTGGTTCGTTGAAGGGGAGAAGCAAAGGGTACAATAGCAGGAAGAAGACAGGAGAAAGGACTGAAGAAGGGGCCGCAATCGAGACAGGCGTAGGGGCAAATCAGCCAGCGTGGCAGTCGGACGCAGTTGCGAGCCTGGGGGGTGGATGGGATGGGCGACGGATATAATTTTTTGGGGGTTACTGGAGGGGTCCGTTGGCTCTATCTGGTTGCTGTAGTACGCACAGCAGCGCGCGGCCAGTGTTTGTCAACGGTCGTATCAGCGTAGAGGCCGGAGCTTGGCAGGTTAGGATCTGAACTCGGTTGCTGGAGGGTGGATTGGGCTGTGGACAATACAGGGGTCGGGGACCGGAATACCTACTGGTCAGGACAGGACGTGGGCCAAGACGGACACGTCGAGGCGGCCAGTCGCAGGCGTGGCAGCGGCACGATAGCGTCAGGTACGAACGCGCCTCTGATTATTGCTGCACGTATGTATACCTGGTACGTTCTTGTTAGGCGGTCGAGTCCGGGCTTCGATAGATCTGTACGCGCAGTCCTCGATCCAAGTGGTGTCACCGATACCCGCGGCAAGCCTAGGTACGTAAGCATATGGAAGTGAAAGGCCCAAGTGAAAGACTTTTACGCTCATTCTACGTACTAACTTTTAGTCTAGCACAAGGCTCGATAGAGTCCAGTCGTCTGCCACGGATACTATAGCCTGGTCGGTCGTTATGGTTGTATACGTAGTAGTGTACGGAGTAGAGTGGAATTGATCGCCAGCGCCAATTTGGTTACCCACAAGAGGGAAAATGCCACCAAAGATGCCCGAACTGTGCGAACGAGCGGGGGGGTCAGTCGCTGTAACTTAGGTATTAATTATATATTATACCTTACCGTTGATACAAGAATTATTCACCTCACTCAGCTCTCTGCTCACAGTGAAGCTAGTCGGCTTCGGGACAGCACATGCTGTACGGATACACAGACAGCTTTGTCGCGTACTCATTGGCTTCAATTCATGACTGCGATCATTCCTGACCGCGTCGAGCTGTACCTGGTAGGTAAGGTAAGGTACTAAGGTAGGCGATTACTGTCCTCGAGAGCCCTGCACAGGCAGAAGCCGGTAATTCTTGCTGCAGAAGGACCATCCCGGGGGCTGAATCCGCCCAAAGAGGAAGCAACGAGCGCCAACGCTGTTTTGTGTGACTGACGATCCGAGAAACTCTTCCCTCTGCCACATTCCTTCATCGGCTCTGCTTCACATTGGCATCCATAACGGTATCGTTTCTTTGCCCTCTTCGCCTCACAATGCCCCGGCACGGTACTGCAAACTCTGCGAATCCTAGTGCTGAGTCGCGTCTATGACTCTATCCGACTGTGCCAACGGCCCAACACACCGGCGAACACACGCACGCACTCCGCATCCAATGGCTGAACCCTGGCGAAAATAGGAAGCCGATTGCAGAGGACCCCCGCGAGCTATTCCATATCGGCCGCCACGGACCCATCAAGGCATGCACACCATCCTTCTCCACAGAGAGTTCACGTAGCGAGGCCTGGCCTACAGTCTACAGAGTACAGACCACATTGGATTCGTTGTGTGCGCTTGCTCGCCTGCAAGGTCGCTGCAACCTGCAGGAGAAAGGACAAGCCAGATGCAATGCAGGGCAGCACAGAAATGCGCCTGCCCGTATTAACTGCAGTGTACTTTGTGGCCTCGACACGGCACAACTCACGCATCTTTCCGTCGTTTACCAACTGACAGTAATCATGGCACGGGGACGCGGGAATTCAGGCAGCAAGAGCCGACTTTCCATACACCTTACGAGACAGCGATTGTAGATCTGGGTCTAGCCTCTGATCAGCCCGTCAAGCCAGTGTCTCATACTTTGGCGCCCCGCCGGCCGCCTAGCTCTTGCGATCCTAGTAGTCAAGATCGCAGTCCTCGTGCCTAGGAGATATTCTCCGCTGCACCAGTGACCGTGCAGCAGTCTGACAGTACAGTAATTAGACAGGTCGCAGGTGCTCGTCAAGGACTCTCATCTTCATGGACGGCCCTCGGTCGGCGCGGACCCCTGGATCTTGGGCTGGTGGAGACGGTCTGGAGAAGGCTGCGCGGCCGCGGCGCGCCTCTGCCCTCCGACATGACATCAAGCGCAAGACTTCGCGCCTCTCACTGTGCGGTCCCCGATTCAGGCGCAAGCCACTAACCACTGTTCGGGATTCGCAATCCACACATTCAGACTCTAGCAGTACGCCGTCTCTGGAACGGCCTGCTTTGAAGTTAGATCTCGCATTCTTAGGCGAGCCATGATAGAGGGGTGGGTTGGCTAGACCGCCGATATGGCTCCAGGGTCGGCCCACGCTTGCAGGACGTCCGTTCCTTGCGCAAAGCCAATCCAATCTGGGACCACCACTGGTCGCATCAGGAAAGAGTCCGATGCTGTCGCTCGCAATTCTCATCCACTTGAGACGCGTGCTTGGGGCAATGGAGCCTACAACGGCCGATTTACACCGACAGTACGGAGGAGCCGTAGCATGGAAACACCCACTTGGGGCGTGCAATCGGCAAGCCTTGGATTGGCGTTGACCGCAAGTCCACGTATAGGAAGAAGATAGCATATAGCATAGGGTTTGGCTGTGCGTGTCGCTACATTCGTTGTGTTAGCCACGTTCCTCTACCCTTCGCCAGAAATTGATCCTATTCCCTGGAGACTGTTACATGGACTCTGATATGAAGCGCGATGACTTCCATTGCACATTTGCTTGTCAACTATTACAGATGCGAGTCTGAAGTACACAGGGGTTGCCCTATATACATAAATATATACGTACCTGTACTTCGAGGTGTGAGAAGCACGGCACCAAGCCGCTTCTTGCTGTGCATGGTTAAGTCAACCAACTCGACGCACCAGAAGATGAGTCTAACACCGCCAACGACCTCCCAGCATGAATGCTCATGTCCTACGTCCGAACCTTTGTCCCTAGCTTCCCCGTACTGAGATAGCCCCTGTTGCCCATCTCGCCTCGCCAACTAATCTCCAGCACGCCAAAGACGAGCCTCCCGTCCGGCAACGCCTTCATCACGCCGCCCTCGTCGACCGTCTCGACCACGAAGCATACCTGCTCCACCTCGCCTGGCTTGACGACGGGACCCTTTGCCCCGGCGACTTCCCAGTTGCACCCTTTCCACCGCAGCCCGTCCTCCACGCTCATGCCCACCGTTTCCAGCTGCATCACGTCCTCGCTGCAGTTCTCCAGCTGCGCCTCCACGACCCATCTCCGCCGGCCGCTCGGCAGCGCGGGCAGCGGGCTCATCTTGGTCCGCACGATGAGCGACGACTTGCATATGAACTGGTATAGCTTTCGAAACGTCCTCGTCCGACCGCTCGTCTCCGAGACCTCGTAGTAACTGACCGTCACGGCGAGCACGTGGTTCCCTTCCTCCTTAAGATCGAACCCCACGACGCCCTGCACCGTCTCGCCCGGCTCCAGGTCACGCGGGCCCTCGCCATGTTGTGTCTTGAGCTCTAGTTTCTGTGCGCGCCCTACGCTCGGCGTCTTCATCTCGGCCTCGATCTTGACGTCGCGGATGGCGCGTGACGAGGAAGGGAGGTCATTGTTCGCGCACAGCGTGCAGGAGAATGTCTCTCCTGTGTAGGCTGAGCCGAAGGAGAAGGGGAGGTTGAGGATGGGCGACAGGAGGAAAGGGGACGGGTTCGTGCTGCCCTTGGTCTGGTACGCAAGACTGGCGGGCGAGGGTTCGAGAGTCGTTGATTTGGAGAGAGGAGGCGCGAGGGTTTGTTGCTGGACGAGCGACGGCCGGGAGAGACTGTCGCGCGTTAGCCAGGTGACGGGAGGTTGGTGGATGCGAGGTATGTAGCTTGCCGAAGCACTTTGAGAGAGATGGAGTGGGGTTCTTTGATAGCGTCATGGGATGGATATCTCTGGTGGCTCATTGTGTCGATATGGCGGCGTACTGGGCCTCATAATATATAGCAATTGAGGTTGTCTTTGCGTTGCCAGCGTGGTGGGTAGCTGCTATGCCATGCTCTACCAGGTACGGTTGTAGGCGCCCAAGTTGGAGGTTAGGAAAGGTGGTGGCAGTACCGCGTTGACGTCGTCACCCTAGCTGGCTGTTATCGATAAGCAACTCTGGACATGTCCACGGACATTCGATTATTCTAGACTAGGACTCGATGCATTGCAAGCCTTCTGGAACGAATGTATCCATGCATCAGCTTCGGTTGGAAAGATACATGAGCCCCTGGCGGGTGTGATCAGTGAAAAAATGGTTGTGCTGCTGCTAGTTTTCTATAGTAGCTGGGACATTCCGCATGTGATAGAGAACCACAAAATCCCACATCCTATGTCTTAGTAAAGCTGCATATTACCACCAACCTACATGTAGCTACAGACCTTGCCGCAAGCTAAGTCTGCAGTATCTGTATCACTCAGTTATGCCATCAGAGAACCCCAACGCCTGTCCTCAATGAGCCAGTCTGATACCAAACCTTGTGTGGATTTACAAGCCAGGGGGAGGAGGAACCTGCGACAAGTCAGCAACTTTCGGCCCATGGTGTTCCATACAAGCATACCGATCCATAGCTACCTGTGCCAGGGGGGGCACCAGAGGGAGGCGGAGGAGGAGCAGAACTAGGAGGAGGAGGCGGTGCAGCACCTGATGGCGGAGGAGGTGGCGAGGCCGACTGACCGGCGCCTGGAGCACCAGGTGCTTGGCCAGGGGTTTGGCCTCCCGCTTGTTGTCCGTAGTATTGCTGGTACAGCGCGACATAGCTACTTCAGTCAGTAAGAGTCCCCTACGAGGGATAACGGGTCAACTGACTTAGCATATCCTCCCCAGGGAGCATAGGGATCCTGTCCTCCATAGTACTGCGCATACTGGGCAGCGTAGTCTGAAGCATTGGCAGGGCTGTCAGTACCAGGAGGGGCGGGGCTGTTCGAGGCGCCATTGGAAGAATAGCGTTCGTACGAGTTGTTACCACCGTACGAGCCTCTGTTGCCGTCATTGTAGCCGCCTCCGTACCCGCCGTGGCTACCGCGACCACCGTGGCCGCCATGCTGGCGCGGCGGGCGGGCCTTGAACTCTTCGTACTGCTCCCTGACGTTGGCGATCAGGTCCTCGCAGAGTTCCTTTCCTTTGTCGATCATGCTGTCGTCGGGGCCACTGGCGCCATGTCAGTGAAACAGAACGTCGTACGAGGGAAACTTGGGGCAACAAACGTGACATTGAGGTACATCTCCTCGTCGCTCTCCCGGTTCGTAGCAGCCTCAAGATAGCCCGAACCCCGGCCCTTGATCTGTACGCGGCATCCAGTCTCTTGCTGAATGTGCTTGACGTAGGCTCCGCCATGGCCAACAACTTGGGCGCGTAGGTTGAAGCCTGGCACCGACTCGAGGCCGATGAAGACCTTCTCCACACGCCATTTGCGCTGTCACATGTCAGCAAACTCCGCGCCAGTATTCTCATCCGGGGGCAGATGTACCCTTCCAAATTCGTCGCGCTCGACGGGCTGCTCCTGGTCGCGGCGCCGGAGGCGGCGGTCGTCTACGAGCTGAGGTAGTTCCTGCTTGATCATGTTCTGAATCATAGACACGGCCTTTTCCAGGCCTTCCTTGTTTTGGCTGGTAACATGAAGATACAACGGTGGGTTCTGGGCTGGTCAGCACGTGAATATTCTCTACTGAATCCATGGTGACTTACAGCAGCGGTAGCGAGAGCTTTGTTAGGATAGAATGCTCCCCGCGTCGTGACATCTTGCAAAGTCAACAGTGTTCCTATAAAGCACACGGGTTAAGAGGTGGATTGCGTACCGGCACCGGTTTCTTCTTTGATCTATCATACGGGAGTTAGCAGGAGCATCGAAGGGGGCTGGCGTGCGAGCTATCGCGGCTGGTAAGCAGGATATCCTCGACATGGCAGTGGTTGTGTATGAAAAGAGTATGACCGAGAGTTTTGGAAAGCTGGAGGATCAGTGGGATTATCAAGAGTATTTACCATTTTCTGTGTCGCTCCCTTGGTCACGACATACTTGTTGCGAAGATCATTGACCTCAATGTCTTGAATGTAATCGCCGTCGTCGACGTACATCTCACCGCTGAGGACCGGTCCGCCGGAGTGCGCGTTGCTGCTGCTGCTCGGAGCGCTGGTGCCCTGGTCGTTGGCTGGCGCAGCTGGAGGCGGTGCGGGCGAGGACTCGTTCTGGATCGGAGGTACGTCGACATGCTGGATACCCTTGCGCGCCTGCAAAGAAGCATTAATCCTTGCCGCAGCGGCAGCTGGCGAACGTTAGCAATGGAAGCAGGAGAGGCTTGATGGAGCAGGATATACCAGCAGCAGCCGCCGCATCTGAGGGCTTGGACTCGCCCGAGCTGCCTTCGCGTCTCAATGGGCTGCGATCCCTGTCCTCAGAGCGGTCTGAACGCCGAGGGGGCGACCGAGAGCGTCGGTCGAAACGCGACTTCTTGGGTTCGGGCTCCTTCTGGTCGAAGCGCGACCGCTTTGTGGTGCGCTCGGAATCCTCCATTGTTGGAAGTTCGAGGTGTCGGCCGGGCACTCTGGGGCTGGTCAAGCTGCTTTGCTATCAAAAGGTCGCTAGTGGGACGTCGTAGCAGTCTCCTCGAGATGGTGTCGATGGTGACTTGGAGGTTGAGTTGCGACTGGAGTGTTCAGTTGATGGTGGGAAAAAGTTGGAGATGCGATTATGCATGGCGCTTTTAGTGAGGTACGAAGTCGACTTTTGACTTTTGGCATGACACGGTGGGGTCCCCAGGAATTTGCCCAGCATCACAACAGGCAACGTGGTAAAACATGCACTCTGGATGTCACAGTATGAACATGGCCCTCACTTGAAGAACGATTATTTAAATCTTTGAAAGTTACTGAGGTTACGCAGGGTTGATACAGCTCGTGCACAATAGGGACACCTGTCTCTGCCGACAACTATTAAACGAAATGCGAATGCATTTTACGTATTACTTGCGCTACGCTCAAATAATATTCAGAACGTTGGCCGAATTGGTCGAAGACAGCTAAGAGTTCGAAAACGCGTCCTAAATTTGACCTTTGTTGACCACAAAGGCTTCTAGAGCAGCTGCAACTTGTTAGTCGGGCAAAGAGCTCAGGCACGCGTTTGAACTTACCGACAGCGGCCCAAAGACGGTTCTCAGCTTCAGGAAACACGAGGGATCGATCGCTGTAAAAGACCTCATCGGACACTTCCTCTGGGTGTCGAGGCAGGCAGTGCATGAACTTCCAGCCCTCCTTAGCACCACCACGCTTCGCCAGTTCAGTGGTGATCTGGTAACCGGCAAATGCAGCCATGCGGCGCTTAGCCTCCTCTTCTTGGCCCATGGAGACCCAAGTATCGGTCACAAGAATGTCAGCGTCCTTGATCGCCTCTTCGGGGACGTTGGTCTCGTTCAATTTGCCAGGCTTGCCTACGCCTTTCGATGCCGAGTTGATGACGTTGCGCATCTTTTCTGGGATCTCATAGCCCTTGGGTGTAGCCACGGAGATATCGACCCCCATCATCACGCAGGCGGTGGCCAAGTCAAAGAGCACGTTGTTGGCGTCACCGACCCAAGCAACCTTGAGGCCCTGCAAGCCCAGGTCGACACCGGCAGCTTGTGAAGGGAAAGCCTCGTGGATGGTGAGGAAGTCGGCGATGATCTGGAGCGGGTGATAGTCATCGGACAGAGCGTTGATGACGGGGACGCTCGAGCTCTGGGCAAGACCAGCGACATCCGAGTGAGGGCCCACGCGAGCAACCATGCACTGCACCATGGACGAGATGACAACGGACGTGTCATAGAGGGACTCGTTCACCTTTTTGCCCCGTCGTTAGTTTGAGTACCGATTGGTGGTGAGGTCACTTACACCAAGCTGGATGTCATCCTTGCCCAGGAACATTGGGTGCCCACCCATCAATGTGACCGCCGCCTCTGTCGAGACACGCGTTCGCGTGCTTCGCTTGCTGAACATCATGGCCACAGTCTTGTTGGACAGGCTCGTGCTCAGCGACATGGCGGGCTGGGTGGCCTTGACCGCTTGCTTGTGCTTGGCGGCATTGCGGACGAGCGTCGCGAACTCGTTGGGCGAGAGGTCGCCAATGGAGAGCAAATGCCGAGGAGAACCTGTCGAGGCCGATGAGTAGGCTCTAAATTGAAGGCCATTGACCGCCTGACGGGCGGTGCGAAGGAGCGAGGTACCGTTCATGATGGGCAATTTTTTTGAGCGGTCTGACCGAGACCGGAAAGGCAATGTAAGGTAGCAGGTGGGAGCAGCGACGTCTTAATATGAGGCAGCACAGGAGGCCACGGCCCAGCAATGACTCAGCTACGTTGGCAAACACGCCAAAATCGGTGACTCGACGGATTGGAATATGGTTCAAGAGGATGATCAAGAGAATATTTCAGAGTTCAAATCCAGTGTTGTGTCACGTCGCTCTCTTTTGACGCCCAGCACTCGGTGGAGCGCACCAACACATGGCTCACAGGATCCGGCAGCGGAGCGTGGGGTCAACAAGGCTGATGAGAGTCATGATGGTGATGCTGTCCGTGAACTACCCGCAGTGTTCCGAGAATTTGTCCAATTCGCGGCCTTGGGATATTTCAATTAAGCGCAAATTGATCATAGAGGCCTTGTATGGCAACTTCGTCTTGCCTTTCACTCAATTCTGAGTACAAACCATTTGCTTCCCGTGCTCTGGTCTTGATGCTTGCATCCCAACGAAGTGCGAGTCGCGTGCCGCATTGACGCTTAACCACTTAGGGAATAGAAGGTCTCGGTTCCTGACACGATTAGATAAGGACATATCTGACCAATAGGAGAAGTGTTATCCGGCGCCGGATCTTGCAGGGACTGGAGTCTGGAGTCACTGGACCCAGCCATGTTGCAATGACGACGCGAGTGGCACGCTGACGCTGACCTGGTTATCCTCCAGTCATCATCTAACTAAGTAACGTGCCGGACACGCAACGCATCATATCACCTGCATCCATATAGACAAGACCCTTTGCATCGAGTCCGAATCGTCGCGCCTTTTTGCGAAGCATCTCGTGGAGCCTAATATCACTAAATACCGTCCCGCATTCGATATCCAAAACCACCCCCGCCGGCTAAGCCGCGCTCATGTCATTCCGAGCTTGACCGGGAGAAGCTGTCAACGCCTTACTTTCTGAACCATGCCACCTACGGAGCACTCGCCGCTTCTTGCGGCAAACAATGAGGTCGAGGACCGAATCGACGCCACCGAGGATTCGCCATTGCTTGCAGATAACGAAGACTCGCAGCCCAGGCAAGAACAGCAAGATGGCCAGGAGCGTCAGTCATCATCCTCGGCGCTGTGGCCGCGACGCAAATCAGCAGAAGGCTCCAAGAAATCGAAATGGAGATGGCCAAGCATTGCTGCTGGGGCCATCCTTGTATTGCTGGTCGTTGCTGTACTTGTTGGCGGATTCGTAATGCCAGGTGCTGTCAAGGAATATGCCGAGGGCGCTGCGGTCATTGAGCCAACCGGCCTGTCTGTCGAGTCCATCACCACCGACGGTGTCCGGGCACGTATCCAAGCCAATTTTCGGTTGGATGGATCTCGTGTCGACAACGTCCATTCTCGCCGCCTCGGCCGCTTTGCAACGGGTATCATGCGCAAGCTGGAGACATCAGAGACCAACGTGAACGTCTATCTCCCGCACTACGACAACTCACTGCTGGGTTCGGCTGTCGTCCCGCCCATCACTGTAGACCTGCGAGATGGTCACACGACTGCGGTGGACTTTGTCACCGATCTTACCCCCGGTGACGCTGAACAAATCAAGAAAATTGCCAACAACTGGCTCGAGGGAAAGCTGGACCAACTCAAGGTCACTGGCGCCGCTCAGATCCAGGTCAAATCCGGAATATTTCCTCTGGGAGCCCATGACGTGGTGGAATCCATGGTGTTTGAAGGTCAATCCCTCTACCGTTCCTTTGCAGCCCTGTACTTTGGAGAAAAGATGATACTTCAATGATAGGAGGGTCCTTGTCGTGCTAGAACTCTGCTGATACCCCTCGCAGCAAGCAAAATCCCGTCGGTACCCAAGTACAACATCGAGCGTCTTACTTTCATGGACGTGCCCATGGGCCGCGACGGACGCAAGGCTGTTGGTGCGAATGTCTCACTCGCTCTCCACAACGATTACCACGTCGGCCTCAATGTCCCTCCATTGGGCTTCGAGATTCTCCTGGCCAACTGCGACTCTTCAGACCCCTACATCACGGTGGCGGAGGCTGTCACTGACAACATTGAGGTGCGCCCCCTCACTGATGTTCACGCTGGTGCGCTAGGCATCATTCGCAAGATCCCCAAGTCGCTGGTGCGGTCCTGCCCCAAGAGCAACATGTCTCCGCTGGACCACTTCATGGGCCGGTATCTACGGGGTGAAGATGCTGAGATCTATGTCCGCGGCAATAAAATCGAGGACTCTGACGCGCCGGAATGGATCGCGTCTATTTTGCGGAACATCATGGTGCCTATCGAGTTCCCTGGACATTCATTTGGCAACGTCATCCGTAACTTCTCGGCTACCGATGTCAACTTTCAGATGGGCAGCCCATTTGCCGATCCTAACGACCCGGAAGGTGTGCCGCATGTATCAGGAACCATCCAAGTCATTGCAGCTTTGCCGGAGGAGTTTGACCTTGACCTCGGAGTCCAGAATCTGCGCTCCGATGCCGAGCTCTTCTACAAAGGCAAGAAGCTTGGAAATCTGAACATGGAGGATTGGAATCCAGCCAACTCGACAAGGGTCACAATCGACAACGAGGTTATGATGAACATCACTTCCCGCGTTCTCAACGTACCCCTCGATGTCACGGACAATAACGTATTCACCGACATTTTACAGAAGATGTTTTTCGGGGACGGTGACATTCTTCTCACTGTTGAAGCAAATGTGGATGTGCAAGTCGGCACTGTACTTGGACACGTTGATCTCAAGGGTATTCCCGCGAATGGGACCATCCCAGTCAAAAGTTCGTCCTCATTCTGGTAGTCTGCAATTTGACTTGTGAGGGCGATCGCAGCGATACTATGATGTACTTTGACCGTCGCCTCACAAGCCTTCAGTACGTATGACTGACAGGTCCTTAGCAATGCCTCGAGATACCCTCACTCAACTCCTGCCGCAGGTCGACAACATACAAATCCTGAATACCTCTCACACGGGCGTCACCATGGAGGCCAGGGTGAATTTCACCAACCCTACCCCATACACTGCGCAAATACCATATGTCAACCTTCACATCCTCAACAGCGGGTCTCTCATTGGCGAAGCGATTGCAACGGACGTAAATCTAACGTTGGGGAACAACACTGGGAATATTATCCGCGCCACCTGGGATCCATGGACCTTTGGCGGCGACGAATCCCAACGGATCGCCAAACGTCTCTTGTCAGAATACTTGTCGGGCGAAAACACGACCCTGGAAGTCCGGACTCACCGAGGCACGATCCCAAGCATGCCACTCTTGGGCGAAGGGTTATCCAAGCTCAACGTCACCATCCCAACACCTCGATTGAGACTACCGCACAACCCCGACGGGGACGAGGACGGGGATGATGGCGGCGATGACGACAGAGACAGAAGCCGCTTCATCCAAGGAGCTACATTTCACATATTCTCATCCACAGCCACGTTCACGCTCGCCTCGCCCCTTCACCACGACACGGTCTACATTGAATACATCAACGCCACGGCCTTTTACAACCACACCGAACCTATCGGTCAGATCGTCAACGACCAGGCGTTTCCCGCCCCTCCTGGGTTGACAGTCACACCAAAGCTACCGGTCGAGTGGTCACCCAGTCACATTGGCTACGGCAAGCTCAAAGAAGCACTTGGTGGCAGGCTGAAGCTGGATGCGGAAGCCGATGTCAGGATCCGTCTCGGCAGTTGGGTCGAGGAGATACACTACATTGGGCACGGCATCGGTGCCAAGGTGTCGCTGTAAGTGCGTCATAAGGCTATTTTTCCTCGGCTGTTTCTTGGTTTGGACGGCAAGGCGTTCTGGTGTTGTTCTCTGTATATTAGACGGTCAAAGAAACATAGGTAATTCGTAGAGTCTTGCTCATGATTGGCTCCCCCTCACAAACTCTCCCAATAGATTGTCACTTCGTGCACGAGATTATGACAGTAATCAGGAGCCTTCAATTCGATGTAAAACAGGGAGGGCTCTGGGGGCGTAGCCGTCCTTTCGGATTCCAATACCACGATTACATCCAGTCTCCTAGATGAAGATGGGCAAAGGGGAACGCCATCATGAGCGGAACTGTACTAGTGTGTTCTACGTTGTTGTTACAGGCAAACACAGTTCGATAAAAAGTTTGCGTCGAACTTTGATATGTCATTACGATATGTGAAATCCATCTTTGTTCGCGTTTGTGCTGAGGATGGACGCTGTAGACGGTCACTGAGGCGCGTTCGGCCCACGAACGTAGGAATTGTTTCCTCATCACATAAAGTCTACAACTATCCGGCGTGTCCGATGAACTTTTAGATTTCCCAAGGACAGAGCTGTGGAGAGTGAGCGAGCATCTTGTAAACGACCACGCAATCACTACACAGACTTTGCAAAAGTCTGTCAAGATGCCTCGTCAGACCGAATCATCTTCTTCTACTGCTGCACCTTTACGCGCTCAGCGCCTGCCCCTTGCACCCGTGGACATGAACAGCCTTAGGTCTAGAACTCTAAAGGCCAAGCCTGGGAGGACGCTCGATCTCGGCAATCTTGTGCGGAAGGATCAGGTAGACAGCGAGATGCGCGTTGACACTGTCGTCTTGGAGCTGTGCTTCGAGTCGGACAAGGTCATGCGGCAGTTCAAGCACAGCCTTGAGGATGCTGCTCCTGGCCGGCCCAGAGTACAGGATGTACAAAGGCGGCAGTGCCCCGAGTTGGAGCCGGAGGGTCTGAGGTTGAACCAGTACAAGTGAGAGGGGTCACAGAGGCTGTTTTTCATCCAGGGTCGTCTTCTACAGTACGTCACAGGACAAGGAGGAGTGCGTCACGCAGAATATGGCAGGAAGGGGAGCCGGGCTCTGCTCGGCCATGGAACATCACAAGTAGCGGTGGGCTTGACAACATACCAGCATGGTGTGTCATGCTCACGATGAGTGTGGCACGCGCCTGATCTGATGAGGCTCGTTTGTGTCAGCAGGACATTAGATAAATTGAATACAGTGGTAGGGTGCAGCACCTTTCGTCGCCCATGTCCCTCCGTCTTCCCAATTACCCGAGGCGAACACCGGCCTCTTTGCGCTTCTTGAGTTGCTGCGCCGTCGCGTTCGTCATGCCGCTGTTCTGTGTCGCGTCGAACAAGCTCTGCGCCTCGCGGCGCTTCTCGTCGCTGATCTGCTTGAGTTTCTTCTCCGTCTTGCCCTTGCCGCTGCCCTTGCCGTGGAACTGGTGACTCATCTCCTTGAAGGCTTCCTTCTGGTTGAGGTCTCGGCCGTGCTCGTCGCGATACTTTATGTTGAAGCTTGGCTTGTAGCTGGCCGAGAACAGCTCGGCAATGCGGCGCGACTGTTGCTGTTCGCGCCACTGGTTCTGTTGCCGGGCGTACTCTTCCCTTTCCCGCTGCGACATCTTGTCGAGCTTGCCGCTTCTGCGGTCGCGCTCACGTTGCTGCAGCGTCTGTTGCTCGAGTTCGTCTTCCAAAGCGCGCTTCTTGGCGAGGAAAGTCTCGCGAGCTTGCAGTGATTCGAAGCGCTCGTCTCCCTTCGACTCTTCTACAAGACCACGCTCGCGGAGCAAGGACAAGGCCGCACCCATACCTTTGTCCAACGTCTTCTCCTCGTCCAGGTAGGAGTCGTCTGGTTTCTCGGCCGGTTCCGAGTCTTCTCTTTTGACATGTGTCTCCTCCGCCTCTTGATGCGCGTCTTCCATTTCGTGGTCTTGCTCAGGCTCAGCAGCCTCGGGAGTCTTTGTGGTGGTCTTCCGGCGTCTTCTTGCCGGCTCCTCTTCCTCCTCCCGTTTGCCCAAACCAGACACGAATTCCGACGTCTCATCGAGGACCAGGCCGTGGTCGCCAAGATCCTCCTCTTTCACTGGTTCATCCCCTTGCTCTCTCAGTTGTTTAGCAATATCTTCTGGTCGCATCTTCTTGCGCTTTTTGAGAGCCGTTTTTCTTTGGATAGCGAGTGATGCTTGCAGGTCATCGTCGTCGTCTGCGAAGTCGTCGTCAAGCTTCCTCTTCTTTGTCGGCGCCGCATCTTTGGAGTCAATGTCCATGGCATTGCTGTCAAGTGCAACTTCAGTTGGGTAGATGTCGTCGTCATCGGCCTGCTTCTGGCGCGTGCCCTTCTTGCCCTTCTTCTTCTTTGACTTTTTGATCTTGATTTCTGAGGGAGCAAGGTAGTCTGATGAAATGGGGGCATCACCTAACACTGTGTTAGAAAGAGTAATATCGTGAATGCAACAGATTGACGTACCGACAATGTCATCCAAGCTGACGTTTTGGGGCTTCTCAGCCCTCTCGACTGGTTTATCGAGGATGTCGGCGAGTTCCCCGAACGCACCGATAGAGTCCAGCGTGAATTTTTTGCTTTGCTTTCCGTTGATTTCCTCGTCGTATTGCGCTAGTAGTCCGCCACTCTCGTCTTCGTCGTTTGGATTGTAGCCGGGCCGCTTCTTCTTCAGGTCAAGTCGATTCTGGAGCTTTTCTTGTTCGCGGAGTGTAACGTTCTCAAGTTCGTCCTCCTCATCCTCAGCGCCAATGTTTGTGTCTTTGAGTGTCAGAACCTGATCGTCGCCATCCAGGAATGCCGCGTTGTCGTGGGCGACTTTGATGCCGGCGAGGTCCTTTGACGTGTATTGGACAGCCGCAGCGGCCTCAGCCTCGGCAGCGGCGAGCTCTTCTTCGAGCTTGCGCGCCATGTCAATTTTCTTCTGTCTCTTCTTCTGGCTCAGAAGCCATGCTTTGGTATCGACATCGGCATCCTTTGCGTCTCCCAGGCCCTCACCCTCGAGTTGAGCTTGCAGCTGTGCCTTCTCACGTGCCTTCTTGATGGCCGTGTTCCTCTCGTCGCGGTTTTTCTTGGCTACTTCCGCCTCCTTGATCTTGTTGTAGTTGTCATACGCCAGCGCCTGGCGTGTCTCGACGGTGCTGGCCTTCTCGCCTTCGCTTTCCGAATCCGAGTCTGAATCTGAAGCGACGTTGCCGGGGACCGGCAGCGGCTTCATGCCCAGAGAGACACGAATCCGGTTCGTCTCTTCAATCGTCGCGGCGTCCATGGTTGCTGTGTCTGTGAAGCGACCAGGTATGATTTTGGTGATGGATTCGCTGATGCGACCGTGGAAGTTGAAGTCGCACTGGCGAGCGTCCGTCATGCTAATTATTGTGGGTCCAAGACTATGCGCGCACGTGATCTAGCCCCACCCACCCGCGTCCATATCAATCGCGTTGAATTTTCTTACTTCCTTTTTCTCTTCTTCTTCAACCACGGATCTGTGCCATTCTTCCTTTGCAGCCTTGAGGCTCGACCTCGAGGCTGTCAGAGTTGAGGAGTGTGCAGTTCGACACTCGAGCGGAGCCATCAACTCGTTATGGTGTTATTTCCTTGTCGACAGGTCCAAGAGTAACGGTTTCTGCGTCCACACGGACGTGGTCTCCGAGGCACTCTATTCCGAACCTTTTTGCCGAGACCGTTGGTCGGTGAGGTGGGAGGAAAACCAGGGATGTCTACATTTCTTGACCCAAGTATAGTGATGATGTCCTTGCCCCTGCTGCCAGCTGTAATTAGTCCCGCTGAATGCTCAACTCCAGCATGCATTCGCTGGCTGGCTGCGGTTGCATCGTACCTGTACTCAAAAGCCGCATGGAGGATATGTCGGCATGTCTGCTGGGGTTTACCGCTGCCCATGTGTCCTTGACTGCCCGTTCACACCACAAAGTTTGCATTCATCCCCACTCGAATTAATTAGACTGTTTCGAGATCAGCTCGCGTCGTAATGTGGCGCCGCAGCTCGGATGCAAGTTGAGTTGGTGCCGCCATCACATGTCCAACTACACGTGGAGAAGACTTGTTTCTTCTCATGTCCAGCATCTATTGCGTCGGCCCAAACACGTCGTCCGAGGACCATGTACCGACCAGACAACCGGTTCAGCTTTAGCCTCGCGATCTTTGCACGGATTGGGTAGTGTTTTCCTTTGCGCTCGGCCAAATCCCCAACATCATCAGATATGCGAGGCTCTTTGCAACCGCGCGTGCTTGGCCCGGCACTGGTCCTGATGCAGCGCTATTGATTCTTCTCGGCCCTATTATACATCATCATCATCCGCCCAGTTTCCCCATGGGGAACATATCCGTGGCGATGCCGGCGCTGTCATGGCTAGGACACGCTCAAAACGCATAGATTCTGCAGCCACATCTGGAACCCGGCAGTGAAGACATGGAGCTGCGTTCTGATAGGCCCAGGATCGAAATGCGGATGGCAGACAGACACTGACGTGCTTGTACCCCGGATCAGGCGCCCTCGACAGAGGACGCTGCTGACCTGTTGGTGTAATACAACACGCGCCTCCATACATAGCCACAGTGAGATACATCCCACGACCATTTGTCAGGTATGTACCTTATGCGGGACGGAGCAGCTCCAATGGGGTCATCACCACCGCAATCTAACCAAGTCGAGCTTCCGCCCTCTGCCGCATCATGTGGTCATGCTGGTTCGAATGAAGGGTAGGACTTGCCATACGTGGTGCTCGCCGAGGGACAATTCTACCTATATAAACACCATGGACCTGTCGATCTCTGCCGGGTCTGTGCTATCAAACAGCTCGACTCTTCTTACCACGCAGCCCCTCATGCATATCCTATCCTCCGCCCTGCTCCTAGGCTCCTTTGCCCTCCAAGCCGTCCTTGGCCGTCCCAACCTCATCGGCAAACGTGCTGTTGACGACTTTGTCGAGGCTGAAAATACCATCGCCCTCGAGAAGCTCCTGTGCAACATAGGTGCTGATGGATGTGCTGCTGCGGGTGCATCGCCGGGAGTGGTCATCGCCTCTCCAAGCAAGGTGGACCCTCCGTGTAAGTCAACCGCCGTCCGCTCCAAGGCCCCCAGCCGTGAACTTGTCACTTACAGTGATGTGTGGTAGACTTTTACACGTGGACTCGAGATAGTGCCCTAGTCTTCAGGAGCATTGTGGACAGGTTCACGGATCAGTATGACGCCAATCTCCAACATCTTATTCAGGAGTACGTGGGCGCACAAGCCAAGCTCCAAGGCGTTTCCAACCCATCAGGTTCCTTGTCAGATGGGCAAGGCCTGGGCGAGCCCAAGTTCGAGGTCAATCTCACCCCTTACACGGGCGCTTGGGGTGAGTACTTGCAGAACCCTATATAAAAAAACTGCAGCAGCTGAACAGCGTTTAGGCCGACCTCAGCGTGATGGACCTGCCCTGCGGGCCATCGCTCTTCTTGGATACGCTCAATGGCTCATTGACAACGGCTACAAGTCCACAGCCAACGACATCGTGTGGCCTGTGATCCACAATGACCTCGAGTACTCCGCTCAGTACTGGTTCGTAGCCGTCAACACGGAGCACGTATCGAGACTGACCATTCTTAGGACCCAGCCCGGCTTCGATCTCTGGGAAGAAGTGAACGGACAGTCTTTCTTTACTGTAGCGAGTCTGCACAGAGGTACGTACTCCCTGAAGGCACCCTTCCAGCAAAACAGCTTGTTGACAATGCCCTTTAGCACTTGTTGAAGGTGCCTCAGTCGCCAAGCAGCTGGGCAAGTCGGCAGACAAGTATTCCAACATCGCGCCGCAGGTTCTCTGCTACCTTCAGAATTTCTGGGTATCCAACGGCGGATACGTTGACTCGAACAGTGAGTATTCTGCTTCACACCGCCAGCCGCGCGTATATTCCAGCGCTAACCGCGACAGTCAATGTCAACGATGGCCGCACGGGCAAAGATGCCAACAGTGTCCTGGCATCGATCCATCTCTTTGACCCAACTCTCGGATGCAACTCGGCCACGTTCCAACCTTGCTCTGACCGCGCGCTCTCCAACCTCAAGGCATACGTCGACTCTTTCCGCTTCTACAGCATCAACAGCGGCATCCCTACCGGAAAGGCCATCGCTGTGGGACGGTACGCTGAGGATAGCTACTATCAGGGCAACCCGTGGTACCTCAACACACTGGCCGTAGCTGAGCAGCTGTACGATGCCCTGTATGTCTGGAAGCAGCAGGGCAGCGTCACCGTGTCGCAGACATCTCTTAGCTTCTTCCGTGACCTGGTTCCCAGCATCGCTACTGGAACGTACGCGAGCAACTCCGCTACCTACACAAGCATCATCAACGCCGTCTCAACCTACGCAGACGGCTTTATTGCCAAGGTCCAGCAATACACGCCCAGCGACGGCTCGCTCGCCGAGCAGTACTCCAAATCCGACGGGTCACCCCTTAGCGCCAGTGACCTGACCTGGTCGTACGCTGCCTTCCTGACGGCTACATCTCGTCGCGCCGGCATCGTGCCCCCAACCTGGGCGAACGGGGCGAACATGGACGTCCCAGGGACGTGCAGCGCGACCACGGCGGTCGGATCGTACACCTCTGCCACCAAGACCTCGTTCCCGGCCAGCCAGACGCCCACAGATGGCGTCCCCAGTCCTACTGATGGCAGCCCCACGACTACGGATGGCGGCCCAACGACTACCGAGTCTTCCGCGCCATGCGCGACAGCAACATCCGTGGATGTCACGTTCGAGGTGCGCGTCACCACGCAGTATGGTCAGACAATCAAGATCGTTGGTGATGCCAGTGAGCTGGGTCAGTGGAATACCGGCAACGCCGTGGCCCTCAGTGCTTCCTCGTACACAGCCGCGGACCCTGTCTGGAAGGGCACCGTGACTCTGCCGGCTGGCGCGCAGTTGGCCTATAAGTACATCAATGTGGCCACCGACGGCTCCGTCACGTGGGAGAGCGACCCGAACCGCCAGTACACTGTGCCCAAGACGTGCGAGACCACCGCGACGGAGTCGGACACGTGGAGGTAAGTCAGGGGGGGAAAGCCGAGAGGGCTGTTCATAGTACGTAGCAACCGCATTGCCAGTGGCAAAGGCTTCGGTTTCGGTACTCGGAGGAAGAAGAAGATCATGTATCATAAGTAAACTCAAGAACCGGCACATATTTACAGCTTTCTTACGCTTTACGCAAATTCATCATCCGAGTCCTCCTTCTTCTCGATTGTGTTCTTCACCCGCACCAGAAGTGTTGTCTTCCACTTGTCGAGCTTGCTGACTTGATCATACTGGAACAGCTTGTCGGTGAAGAGATCCTGGTCCTTGGCCTCGACCGCGGCCGTGAGGTCGGAGAGCAGTAGGTACTCGCGCTGGCTGGCAAACTGCGGGTCCATCTCGACGTAGCGCTCGAGCGCTCGTTGGGCGGCCACCAGGTCGCCGCTGGCCAGGTGGCAGATGCCCGCCTTGAGGAAGTACTCCTTGACACTGTACTTCATGAGGTTGTTGTTGATGGATTGCTGGGCGACCTTTTCGAATTGCTCAATGGCCTTGTAGTACTCGCCCTCCAACCCCGAGGCTTCGGCAACCTTGAGCCACAGTTTGTTGGCAAGTCTAGATTACGTGTCAGCACGCCTGTCCCCAAAGACAGATACCCCGGGCATCTTCTGCTTACGCTGTCGCGTTGTCGCCCTCGTACCATGTCGCTGCCGCCTCGTATGCCTCGAGGGCCCCTTTGGTGTCGCCATTTTCCTCGCACATCTGTCCCAAGGTCTCCTTGTGTCCGGCCGCTCGTCGAAAGTTGCCCTTGCTGCAGTATCGGTCGATCGCGACGTTCAGGCACCGGATCGCAGCCTGCGGGTCCGCCTGGCGGTACGCTTTGAAGGCATCGACGTTTGTATTCGCCGCGTCGTCGGGCTCTTTGAGGTTGTTGGTCTGGATTTTGGCGGCTTGCTCGAAAGCCTGGCCTGCCTCGACCACTGGTTCCCAAGCATCAGTTCCTGCGCTCGTGCTGTTTCAGTTTGGGGGGTTCGTATCGTACTCTGCTTCTGCATCTTGAAGGCGTTGCCGGCTTGCATGAACATGTCGGCGGCATTCTGGTATTTCTCCTCCCGGCCACCGAAGAAGCTGAAGCCGCTGCCGGCGCCATCGAGGGCCTTCTGGGCCTTTGGGTTGTGTCGTTAGCTGCGAAGCTCCCAAGAGCGGATGGCGGGGGAGGGGCATGCTGTACCTTTTGCAATAAGGCGCGAGGATCTTGTGCCATGGTCGCGTGATATGTAGGGTCGGGCCCAGGTTCAAATGTCCGAATCGGTGTTCGGGAATGTGCTTGGGTGTATACGGTCAAAGTGGCTTCTTGGTATTGATGCTGAGCTGCCTGGAGATGGAGCTTATCCGACGGCGTATCAGAAGTGTAACATATGACGCCAACAGGGTACGCAGTTGCTCAGCCACAAGTCAAGCCACATGCCTACCCGGCACCATCTCCAAAGGTTTAGCTTCAACTCTCGAGGCTCGCGAGCTGTGGGTGATGCTTCAATACTGCATCATCACAGCGCTTCGCAAGAATGAGGCTCTGTACAATTTGCCGACTCCCTGTTCGGAGGGCATTAACTCAAGCGCGCTATCTGTCCACCGAGACTCCTCCCCCAGCAGAAATCCTTGCGAAACCGACATGGTCCGTACGGTCGCTTCTATCGTCGCCCTCCAACGACACCGCGAAAGATGAGAAGATCACACCGAAACAACTACACCACCTCCTGAAGCTGTCGGCGCTCCCTCTCCCCAAGACTCCAGAAGAAGAACACTCCATGATTGCGACCCTTCAAAGTCAACTGCACTTTGTACGCGCAGTCCAGCGCGTCGACACGAAAGGCGTGGAACCCTTACACGCTATTCGCGACGAGACAGACCAGGGCACGCAAGAGGAGACTATCACATTGGACAAGATGAAAGGGCTGCTGGAGGAAGAGGTGCAAGTCGGGTACTACAAAAGACCAAAGAGGGTGAAAGCCAAGGTCGAAAGCGAAGCAGAAGACTGGGACGCGCTGGCCACCGCGTCCCGAAAGAAAGGTCGATTCTTCGTAGTCCAGGGGAAGGGGAAGAAAGCAGGCGAGGCTGCGTAGAAGTGTATAACCCAAATGATACCCCCACCCGCTCATAAATCAATCTACAGACGCTGCCGCATGTCGTTTCCCTCTCTCTAACTATGCCTTGGTCTCCTTCTCTTCCCGGGGCTTCACCTTGGGCACCTTTTCGTATGCATTCGGACTGGGCGCCCGATCCTTGCTCGGTCGCTTCTTCGCTTTGCGCCCGTGGCCGTGACCGCACGCACCCTTCCCCTTGTCGGGTTTGGACTCGGCTTCTGAATCTTCGTCGGAGCTGCTGCTGGATGTGTCTGATTCGTCGCTTGACTCGTCGGCCGCCTTGGGCTTGTGATATATGCAGCAGACTGTGTGAGAGTTAGTCGTTGTCCTGGGCGTCGCGCAGAATAGCACAGGCGAGCAAGCATACCTTTGGAGCTCTTGCGCCCCAGACCCTCGTTGTCCACCACGTCCTCCGCCCACTGTACTGATCGCCCATTTTTATTCCTCGCGCCTCGTAGACGAAGAACGCGCTGGGGTTGCTCCTGCGTAGATATAGGGATCGAGGGCGCCTCAGTGGTGGTCTGTGTTTGGGACGGTCCAGGCGCGGAGTGGCGCGATTGTGACCCCGACATGATGCGCGAGTTTGCTTGCTAGGTTGTATGTGTTGTCCAAAGAGGGAGGTGGTGGAAGCGATCAAGTCCAAAGCGAGTGGAAGAAATATGAAGTTGTAGGATGGAGGATGCAGAATTCAATCCCAGTGTCTGGAATTATGGAAGTCTGGGGTTTGTCAGTAGTAGCGACGTCAGAATTTGGAGGGGCATTTACGAGATCCTGTCACCCCACACTAATGTGCTGCTATTTACCTGAGGGATAGCATGTTATTCTGGCTAACGGAGTAGATACGAATAAACTGCTATTCTGTACAATGCGAAGCAGATTTTCCAAAGTACACCCGCTGTTCCCTCTCGATTTGGTACAGAGATCCGACCGATAATGGTCCGCCCACGATGCTAACGCCGGGTAATGCAGATCATGCTTGCTAGCTTTACATGTTGTACAAAGAAATGCGGTGCTAGGAACTTGCCTGCGCAGTCCTCATTTCATGCTTCTCCTTCTTCTTCTGACCGGTCATGCTTCTCCTAGGTCGTGCTCGCTTGTTCTCCGGTTTCACAAGCGGCTTGTTATGCAGCCATCCCTGAATCGGTCGTCGCGATCCGATGAAGCGTCCCTCGGGCGAGAATACATCAATCTCGGGCCAGGTGTATTCGGGCTCGGCGACTTTGACGGGTTTCTCTGGTTTGGCTGGTTTTGAAAACCGCGCCATCTCACGCAAGGTCTCTGTCGTTTCACGCCTCTCGCTCTTCATCGCGTCAAATGGGTCGCTGGGCGCTGGGGGTGTCTCCTCCTCCACAGGCTCGGGCGCCTTTTCCCTTTTGATCAGTTTCAAGTCCCGGGTTCGCATTTGTGCGACCACCTCGACGTAGCCAACGCCTTCAATCAAGAGATCGATCGAAAATACAAGGAATGGTAGGCGGTCTAGTGATAGTCCCACCGCGTTCTTCCGGGTCAACGGACCGGCTCTCAGCTTGGTCACGTCGTGTTTGAGCTTGAAGGTGCCCGCGTGCGCCATCCTGTCGCCGATCCCATCGATCGAGATATTCTTCACCCCAGGTGACATTCGTTGTTGACCCTGAAACTCAATGGCCTTGGTGGTGTTGGTAATGTGGTCGTCTAGAGGAGTGAAGTTGTACAACAGGAACGTGAGGTCGGGTGTCCGTGGGGTGATCCTGATGAGTCCGCCACCAAGAAGAAGAGACTCTGTAGATTTCGCAGAGATTTGCTCGGGAACGATTCGGCTCTTCATGATCATGCTTTGTCTGTGCTCAGGCTTCACGAACAGCTCGAGATCGCTCCTCTCGAGGCCTGGCAGATCAATGAGCTCCCCCTTTTTGTTGCCAAACGGAATTCGGATCGGCGAGGCCGTTGTGCCAGGCAACGACGATACGATTGGCATGTCGGGATACTGTGTAGCAGGTTGAGCAGGCGGGAGGAGCTCGCCAACATCCAGCTCCTCGTCGTTGGCGTGGTTGTCAATCGCAAGCTCGTTGCGGGGGTACACTGGAAGTGCCATGTCCTTGTCTCCGGCGATGCTCTTGGGAGCACCCGAGAGCCTGCCCTTGGGGTAGACCGCTTCGAATAGCTGACTCTTGCCAACATTCACTTTGCCGACCATCCATCCCGCACCGCCACGCTTCCAGATTTCCTCTCGAATATCAGAGGTCCACCATGCGCGCTTCGCACTGACACACCTCAGATTGCCAAGGCGAATCCGGGGCCCTATCCTGCCCAGCGCATCCCTCATCACATCCCGCAAGTAGGGCATCATGCCATCCACGATTTTCTTGGTCGGCCCAAGCAAGTCTCCTCGCGTGATGATGAAGCTCATCTCAATCTGACGGTCCCGCACGTATCTCGTGGCCTTGGATCGGCGGTTTCGCGACCGCAGCGGAATGTCGCCCAGGAGCACGTGGAGTCGCGGTATTAACGACATGGGAAAGTCGGCCGCGTCGATGATGTGGTAGATGTGGTTGTGTTTGTGCGGCGACTCCTCGATCGTCTCGCGCAGGGCCTCGACTGTGGGATGGTGCATCGATATTTGCGTCGAGCTATTGTTGAGGCCATGATGCATCAGTCCATGGCAGCGCTCGCAGACAGGCGGTTTCTCCTCCACCAGGTCGCGGACAGCGTTCATGTCCTGTTCACCGTTGCTCTCGCCCGTGATCAGGCTCGCAGCATCCAGACCGAGGGCCTCGAGCTCGGCTGCGTCGAGGTTCTTGAGCACCTCATCGACAAGTTGGTTCTCTTCCTCCTCCTTCGAGACCTCCAAGAGCGGTTCGTAACTTTTCTCCGAGTCGGGGTGCATCCATTTGCGCACCCTCTTGGATTTCACATCGTAGTAGCCGAAATGGTTTGGATCGTCGATCTGACTGAAAGCGCCGCAGCCAGCGCAATTCACAGGCAGACGTCGGCTCTCCGGCACATGAGGATCAGCAGCTGGCGTAGCTAGCGGTTGCGTAGCCGATTGTTCAGGGGTCGCCTCGGTGTGTAGATATCGTGGTCGGCGCAAAGTCTGGGGAGTCGGAGTCGGTCGGTTTAACGGACTAGTTGCGACAGACCGGACAACGGCAGGCCAAAACAGTACAGGGAGCGAGGACGTGCTCTGGCGAATTCTGGCCGCCCGAGGAAGCCATCGTGCCGATATTGCGCGATGCATGATCCTCTCACGACTCGACTTTGACTGTGGAAGACCCCCGAAATCTCGACTTTTGGCGGGAAGAAAAAAGTTGGAGTGACGTTGAAAGTCGCGTGTCAGCGCGTTAAGCAAACCCCACCGTCCCGCATAAGTACCTAGGTAGAATAGTCCGGTCGATTCCCGCCTCTACGTGCCAGATAATGAAGAGTTTATGTTTGAGCACGGATCGGGATCATTTCTGGATGCCAATTTTTGCCTTCTTGATGAGTTGGCAAGGCACTTTTGGCTCATGGCTCATCATCGCTTATAGGGATCGGGCTCTGTCGTGTCACAGATCACAACCTTAGAAGACCCCAGCAGTGAGCAACCCATATCAAGCCATATCAAATCGGACAGCGCAGGGCAGCCTGATAGGAAACACTGCGCGTCGTTCCACGTCGATCATTTCAGGATCCAGAGATTCTTCGAGCATCATCAAGGCCTTGTGCTCACCCCTTGAGGCCTCATTTACACCGAGGCTCTTTCACACGATGGCCCTAGTCTCTGTAATGCCGCAAGACCGCTGATCAGGAAGTAGCAGTTGCGCGGAGCATGAATGATGAATCCATGTCGCTTCATGTGTATCTATAAGCTAAGTAGAGGAAATAAATAAAAGTCGACAGATAATTAATAATATAAACGTGCCTTCCAATTGAATCAATGTCTTCGAGAAACCGCAAAGGACGCCTGGCGGCTTGTGCACAGACCACAGGGGCTCCACGTGATACGGGATTTGGAGAAGCAGAAACCGACGAAATCCAGGCGTCGCGAATCGCGAAGTCGAACATTTTGGACGATCTGACCTTTCCTGTCCACACGTCACATCACAACCGCCACAATGAGGACACTAGGAGTACGATGGAATAAGCTGAGACGTGTAAGCATCCCCCATACATCATGGATATTGATTTACTAACTCTCCTAGGCTGTAAGTTCACACCTGCGATATCGATACCTGCCAAGCCGCAAAGCTCACGAGACAATCCTAGCTCATCAACCTCCAAACAGGCCCCGGTGCCGCCATCATTCCTCCGAATGTCACACGCGTGCATATGGACTTTGCCGTCACATGTAAAGGCGGCCACATGGGACCCAAGTACGTCCCGATCCTAGGCGACACGGCCCAGACCAAGAGCAAGAGCTGACAGGAGATTTTCCAGGAAATTCTGGCGCGAGATCCTCCCCCGTCTCAAGTACCACAATCCCTCGATCCCCATGATCGTCAACCGCCACCGACAAAACGAGATCCCCCCCAAAATGACCATCTACGTCCGCAACCCGGACGTGCCAGAGCCCAGTGAGCCCCAGAGCCTCCAGCAACCGCCCTCGTCACATGCGGGCTTGTCGAAAGCGCAGCCGCCGCTGCCGACCGAGAAGACGATTGAGCTGGACATGAAGGACAAGCACTCGTCGTACATTCTCGAGTACTTTGTCGCCGAGACGAGAGCGCAGGTGCTCAAGCCCACGCCAGAGCAGGTGCAGGAGATCCAGAGTCTGCAGGATCTGGCCAAGCAAGGAGAGTACGACAGGGGCGTGCTGGACAAGCTCAGGGCAGAGAAGAAGCGGGAGAAGGATATGCTGGCACGGGCCAGGCAAGCGGGTGGTTTGAGCGAGGACTGAGTGTTGAACTCTGTTACTAAGCGTTGTATAGATGCTGTATCATTAGGCCATATAGAGGCCGTGTATAGGGAATTGAAAAGGCGCCGACCATTGGATCACCAGATTTTGCAGGGCGGGAATCTTGTCACTGGAACGAAATGAGCTTGAGTCCTGACAAAGACTGATCCATAAGAAACGTCGCCACGCTATGAAGCTCTAATACGATCTCTATTACTTTAACCCAAACCCCTCGCTTTCGTATACGGCTGTCCACAATTTAGTCCGTAGCTTCTCTTTGGTCGAATAACGCCAAATGGCCAGCATGTTGAAGCATGTCCGCGCAATGGGGAACCTCTCCGAGTCATCGCCCAGGCACGATAGTTTGAGAGGCATCATGGAGGCCCCAGCAGCTGGTAGCCGGTCACTGCCTGTAATAAACAACAACAGCTTCCGCTGGTCTTTGGGCGACGCCTCTTCAAAGACGTCCCAGAACCAGTTCACTTGATCCACAAGTGCATCTGGGTTCCTGTATTCCCAATTGTCGTATTCTGCTACACCCCGGAGTCGGGCTATGTCGAGAGCCTCGTCCGATCCTCTAACCAGCAGTTCGACCTCGTCTGGTCGGAAAAGGCCAAAGGCATTGCCGGAGCAGACATTGTAAAATCCCCTTTTGAAGGGCTCAAACTGGCGGTGGACGGATGTGTCCAGCAGGTAACGAACATACAGATCGACGAATTCACGTCTGTTCTTATTCGTGACAGCTTTGTTTTCGCCTCCCTCGCAAAGAGGGACTTGGATGACCGTGTCGTACCTTTGAACGTCAATGACAAAGCTCCAGCAATAGGTAGCCTCGACATCGCCCTCGTACTCAAGCAGCTGCCGGAGTCCACGGGCGAGACTGGGCCGGTATTGCGAAAGGTCCTCCAATGTACAGCGAGCTGCATGGCGTGTCGAGCTGGATGGGGCCGGTTGAGACGTGCCTGATGAAGAGCCAAGCAATTTTCGGAAAGTGAAAGGCGGCAGAGGCACGTCGAGAATGGTTGAGTTGTAGATAGCCAAGCCCATGATCGCTCCGACTAGGTAGAATTGGTCTAAGCTCTCGAACGAGAAGGGATTGAAATAGCAATATTGCGAATCCTCGTCGTAGATAAACAGGCCAAGGTCAGGGCTAAAGACTTCTCTCACCAGGAGGAGAAACCACTCCTTTCGCAAACCACCGCCATCAATCCCCTCTTCACCCTTGAAAGTGATCCGAAGCGCTTTCTTCGCGTCTTCGCTCGCACCTCCCAGCGTTTCGCCAATAGCCTTGAGGCTATCGTCCACCAGGCACTCGCGCCGGACGGTAATCTGCAAGAATTGGTTGATTGTGCGTCGTCGCATGATACTGTCAAAGAAAGCATCTCGGACGCTGTCCCGCATTTGTCTTTGCACATCGTGCTCGAGAATCTGTGTCTTGGCCCAGATACTCAACAAGAAGGGGTATTGGCAAAAGGCAAACTTGGCTCCTTTCTTCTCAAACTCGCGGAAATCGGCGACGAGGTCGATCGAGTCCGCCAAAGACACGTAAAAGTCGCTCAGAGGGAGAAATCGACCTCTCAACGCGCCTGGTTTGCTCAATGATGCCTCCCCGGCCAAACGCCCCGAGCTGGAGTTATTGGCCTCGAAGAATATGGCCAGTATCCGTGCTGCAGACTTTACCTGCCAATCGTCGATATAAGCCGCTCCTTGCGATCTCGCTTTGGAAGCCTTCTGGCTCAGCCGCAGCTCCTCGTGGAAGGCTGCGTTGGATTGCCCAGGACGGATTTGTGGCACAAGTTCTGAAATGTCGTTGACTCCTGGGGCGCTTTTCGTGTCACTATCCTTCCTTAACAATCGGTAGCCCAGGAAACCAGCAACGAGGTCCTTGATTCGTATGAAGCGGCGCGCATCGTATCTTCCAAACCAATGGACGAGCTGCACATGTAGCTCTGGTGCCAGATGAGAAATTATTCCGACGATGCGCTTGATGACCCGCGAGTGTCTTCCCGACAAAGGTCCAGACGCTGGGCTCCCCTTTTTCCTACCAAGGCCATTCTTTGAAACGCTTACGGCGCCAGTCTCATCTTCGCAGTCGAGCAAGGGGTTTTCTAGAAGAATGAGCAATGCTCGTAGCTCTTCCGCGTCCGTTATCTTTCCTCCCGGTCTTTTCAAAAACGATTCCACGGTCTTCATGAGGCTTTTCCTGAGGCCCACTTGTGCTGAAGCAACGTCTCGCTCAGCTTGCTCCAGCGCGTGTTGTTCGGGATCCTGCCAGTCAGGGCGCGAGCATACCTCGGCGCAAATAGACGGCCATCTTTCCATGGGGTTTACAATCAGCGAATACCACTCGTCCAAGTCCTCCCAATTCAGATGAGGTGACCTTTGAGGGGATGACCTTTGAGGAGGTGAAGAAATGGCATCCTTGCGATCTCTGTCAGCCCCTGTCTTTGATGGCACGTCGAGATCTTGTCCAAGCCACCATGTGCCATTCTTAGCGACATCACCCAGGAGCAAGAGTTTCGGATCGATGTTACAGACAGTTCTATTGCCTGGGTGGGCCTCGACGGGAGTCGGCTTTCTTGATGATGTAGGTTGCGCAGCTTTTTCGGGAACAATAGTGCGCTCCGTATGCGGAGTGCAGCGCGGTCTGGTCCTGAAGGAGTGGCTGACGTTCTCGAAGGAGCTGAAACATTCTTCGAGGTATTCTTGGACGATGTTGAAGATTGGCGAGGCTTTGGAGGTCCCAGATGTCGCACTGCTCTCAAGTATGCCGCCGGGGGAGGCTCTGGAGTGGCCTCGCGAGGGCGTCGGGGGCGTCGAGGAAGTACCGCTTGTAAAGACCTTGGGGACAGGCTTTGGGCACAGGGTAGGTGCCTCATTGAACACGTACTTGCGCACATATTCGATGTGCTCTTTGCCGGTAGTTGCTGCACTTGATCCAGCACATGTCTGTTGTGGTCGAGAATAACATTCGTCGTGTCGGGATGCGGCATCATCGAGTGCGCCCAACCGCTTGCTATCGTTGGCGCAGAATCTCTGAATCAAAAGACTACTCAGACAGTCATCCACTAGAAGTCTCGTACGGTCCAAAGAAATCGGCCTCACTGGAATCATAAGTATGAGAAAAGGGGAGCTAATAAGGTGTGGCAACCTACCCGGCACCTCTGGGGAAGTCTTCCTATCCTCCCTCTTCGTGGATGACTTTGCATGGCGGTTCTTCAAAGGGGAAAGATCATTGATTGTGGCGCATATTGTGCATCGAAACTCTTGGAGTCCTCGCGGCCAGCGCATGAGCAATCCGCAGGTCATGCAGTGCCCTGTCGAGTATTCATCTTTGCCCGAGACCTTGAGCTTAGGCCATTGAGGTTCGGTGGGCATCGTTCTGCATCGTGCGCCTTACGCAGCGAGGTGAGTACCCGAGCAGGCGCCTCCCCAGCTTGACGAAGTTGCGTATGTGTTGACTGTTGATGGGCGTGACTTGTGAGGCTGCGAGTCGTCACTGGCGTGGCAAAGTGTTTCGGTACGAGGTGAGCAGGTGCCGAATCTATAGGTGGGAGATCGGCAAGTGACTCGACACGTCTACCCTGCAGGCTTGAGACAGGACTGATGATAATCAAGAAGGTCGCGTCTTCTGTGTACCTTCGTGTATGGCTGAACTTGGCTTCGTTTCGATTTTGCGCTGGTCTGCAATCTCATACCGGTCTAGGACGTCCTTCTTAACCCAGCAATACTTTTGCGGCGCGCCGTTCATGTAGCCTTGAGATTTTGCGTGTGCGAGTGTGATGGGCTCACGTATCTCCCATAGGTGACAAATTTCGTACCCCCATTTTGAGGCCTTCTTACCAGCATTGAAGTCTGCGTTGCCGATGCCACCATTCTCTGGTACTTCTCCGGGCTCTTTCGCGCAGGAGACTTCTGCTATGTAGCAGACGGCGGATGTTGGTGCGGTTGTGTAGAACCAGATGCGGCGCACTTCATCGGGGAGTTTGTATTTTCGATACTCGTGGTTCTTGAGACCGGATGCGATATTTTCCATGTGGGCGGGCTTGATACTCATGAAGATATCGTGTTTGGTCGCCATGTTGAGAAGAATTTGTTGATGGTGAATTGTTTGGGTGCTAGACTGTGACTGTTTCCGGGATTTGATGGTCACCACGACCGCCTTCGTCGTCGACATTCGTCACGCACTGAAGGCGTCAAAAGTCTTGAACGCTTCATTGGACATGCACATTGAAAACCAACCACTAACAGTTGCATTGGCATTCAAAATGCTTGGCAGCTCTAGACAGTGAGATATTAGCTGTGCACACGCCTGCAGTACTAGGTACAGGTGAGTGAGCCTCCTTCATGTTTCTAGCATACATTCGTTGGAGTCGTTGAATTCATATTCATACACGAATCGACAGAACATGTTTCCCTCCTACGCCTTCTCATTATTGCCCACCTCCACCACGCTGGCGTCACTGCCTTGCACGTGTGCACTGTCGACGGCACCCTCACCCCTCTTTGGCTGTTCTCTCCACTTCCTCGCCGGGATACCATCTCGAAAGAACCCATTGATCTCTTCCATGCTCCTCCCCGTGACCTCGCCGACGCAAAAGTACACATACGCCCAGGTGATGAAACACAGCCCCGTGTAGACGAAGCCCGTCTTGGGGCCGAGGTTGGCCGAGTAGTAGAGGTAGGGCAGGGTGAAGACGGTGACCCAAACTGTGATCCAGAAGGCGGCGACGGCAATGGCGTAGATTTTGTTGCGGTTGCGGCCCACGGCCATCTCCGAGGCAATGGTCCACCCGAGGGGGCCCCATGCAAAGTTGAAGGCGACAATCTCGATGATGACAAAGCTGATGATGACTTTGCCAATGGTGTTGCTGGGCTGGCCGCCTGGAATACCCAAACACCCGACGACGAAGATGGACACCGTCATGATGCCAGTGGTGATCATGAGCAGGGGGCGACGAGGGAGTTTGTTGGCAAGCAAAACGGCTGCCAAGACGACGAAGACCTGAATGATGAAGACAATCAGGGTCATCAGGAACGGGTCGCTCAACCCAATCGCTTTTGAGAAGACGGTCCCAAAATAGTAAAACCACTGAATGCCGTTGATCTGCTGAGCGACCAAGGCGCCTGCGCTGTAGATCACTTTGCGCCGTTCAATGGGGTCTGTGAGCAGCTGCAACCAGCCACCTTCTTCTTCCATCTCCTTCTCGCGATCCAGGTCGTCCTGTATGACCTTGATCATGGGCTGAGGGTCATATGTCTTGTCCTCGCGATGAAGGAGCTGGAGAGCCTTGCGGGCCTTTTCGCTCTTCCCCTTGCGCAAGAGCCAGCGAGGAGACTCAGGCACCCACCATATCCCGAAAATGATGACCGCCGGGAACAGTAGTTGGAAGCCAATCGGGAAGCGGTACGCAAACGTGGTCTTGTTGTTGACCACGCCACGGTTGATGGCGGCAGCGATGATTTGTGAGACGGACAGGGTGAGCTGCCAGCACATGAGGAGCGGGCCGCGCATAGATTCGGGTGCAATTTCCTGCTTCTGTCAGTACACAATAACCAGGACGGGCAGGCTGTGTTGACTTACGCCCATGTAAAGGGGCGATGTGGCCGAGAAGTTGCCCACACCGTAGCCCAGGATCACACGGCCGGCTGTGATCATGACATTGCTCGAGCTAGTGACCAGTTGTAGAATCACGCCGACAACGATGGCGATTGTGCCCGTCAAGAAGACGCCTTTGCGCCCAAACCAGTCGTTGAGAGGCGCGGCCGTCAAAGAACCTACGAGCTCGCCGACGTTGATCATTGAGGTCATGATGGAGAGTTGCGAGGGCGAAATCTCATATTCGCCATCCGAGTTCAGTTCACCAAAATGGCGAACAAAGACGTCTGGTATTCCAGCGTCAGATATGTTGGCCTACGCATCAGGGATGTTGAAAGGACTTACCTAGAGTCGACACGCCGTTGAAGTAGACGCCATCATAGCCGTATAGGCAGGCCCCCAGAGCAGCAAAGCCACAGAACAGCCAAATGTAGGGATACTTGATTCCAGCCATGGTGATCAAATGATACGGGCGTTTGAGGTGATCCTCGGATCTGGACACTCGACTGACTGGCGGCTCAGCGATTTATTTATGCACAAGTGCGCCTGACGCCATGGGGAGAGATGTTCCCCAGCCTGGAGCTCCGTTCCCCAGATTTCTTCTGGCTCATGCGTGCCACGAGGCTCAACGAAAGTTGAATTCGCCTTTCAATAGGCTTGGTGAACCATGGCTGTCAAATGCGGTATCCACAATTACTTCTTTTGGGATGCCGCGGCGAGTGAGACGCCAAGAAGTGCCGTTTTGGGATCGATGCCGCGGGCGAATGCTCAAAGAAGCCTGCCGCGGCCGGCTTGGTTCACCAAGCTCCCACCGTCGGCCGGCGAGGCCTCGAAAGAGACCGCCGAGTGCTTGGTATGCGCCGGCGTGTGCCAGAGTCACGACTGTTTAAAGTCAGTCTGGAGGGACTGGAGGAAGAAGGGCAAGGCTTACATCCAAACAATATTGTCGAAGTTCTGCCGTCACACTGGCTTTCGTTGAGTGTTGACAAAATGGGCTCGTTACCAACACCATCCCATGAGGGCACCGCATACTCTCGCCCATCGCCAGCGCAGGCAGCAGCTGATGCCATCCCCATCTTGGTGGATGATACATATCATGTCTTTCATCTCACAACTCCTCCTTTCACGCAGCATCATCCGCCGCGACTGCGATCCTGCTGGTCGAGAATCAGGTCCCAGAATCTGGTGGATTGGACTCGAGACTCACAGCCTGTGCTGAAACCGGGAGCAAGACCTTCGGATCCCGACGCTGATGGAGTATGGACCGGCGCTGCTGTACATGGCCCTGACGGCAACATGAACATCTTCTACACCGGCTACAACCTCTCTCAGAATGGTAAACAGGTCATATTGCGCACCAAGTCCAAGGACCGGCATGGCGCCCAGTTCGAAAGTCAGGGAACAGTCATCGCCATCCAAGGAGACATGTCGCAATTCGAGGACATTGACTTTCGCGACCCGTATGTATTCTTCAATGATGCCGAATCGCGGTACTGGATGCTGGTCGCGACCAGATTGAGAAACGGCCCTCATTGGAGCCGTGGGTGCATCGCTCTCCTGACCTCGTCTAACCTCGACGACTGGACGCTAGATGCAGAACCGCTGTACTCTCCAAACGACATGTTCTGCCCCGAGTGTCCAGAGCTCTTCACCCTCCCAAGCAGCGGCAAGTGGTATCTGGTGTATTCGCGCTTCCACGCTCCCAACGCGGGCACCGTATATCGCGTCGCCGACAGCCCAAGAGGGCCCTTTAGGGTGCCGCGTGATGGGTCGAACGGCCGCCTGGATGGCCGTCGATGGTACGCAGCCAAGTCGTGTCCCAGGGCTGGGAACCCTGATCAAAGGCTGTACTTTGGCTGGCTTGGTGACTTTGTCGATGAGCAAGGAAAGTGGCTCTGGGGAGGGGACTTGGGCGTGCCACGGCAGGTGTCCGCTGATTCGCAAGGATGGCTGCGCGTGGACATGGCGCCCGAGTACCGCCATGCCCTAAGAGAGGCAGCTGAGCCTCTCGAGAAGGTGTCAGGGCGAGGAACCCTACTTCTCGAGTCTAGCGGGTCGACCAGGACCAGCTTCCCCAAACTCACTGCCGACATGGAACAGGATGATCTGCTGATCACCTTCAACGTGCAGACCAAGGAAGCGCATTCCTTTGGCCTACTTCTGCAGGCCGACGAGAGCGACAAGGCGTTTAGACTCAGCATCGCGGCAAATGCGCACGACAGTTTGTGCAGTGTCGCGTTGATGACGGACTTCCCTCCTCTGGATGACTTTTGGGCGGATCAGTACCAGCTTCATCTGCCGCGCCCCATTGACGGCCCGGAGCTCGTCAGGCATGACGGCCTCGATCTTGAGGGTGGCATCAGTGTGTTGTTGCGCGCGCGCTTGGTCGAGGTGTTTGGTGGTGGAAGATCGCTCAGCTTCAGGCTACCTGCGCCACGCGCGGACGGGGGAAAGACGAGGAGATTTGGTTGGTTTGTAGAGGATGGCGCGGTGGCCTTTGAAGAAATCGCCGTGCATAGGATCAGGCCGGGGCAGCTGTAAAAATTGCACGAAGACGAGACATGGCGGAGGACATGTGAGAAGTGGAAGTCGACAGTGTGAGATGTTCACCACAGTGCAAATCGCCAGTTTCGACGCGTGATTCACTGTAAGGGAGTGGGAGTGGCCTACGTTCAGGATGGCTAGTGATCACGGTACATTGATGAATCGGAAGAATTTAAACCGGGGAATTAATACAATCAGGTCTATCTTAGCTTGAACAAGACAATTATGTACTCATCAAACTGTTTCCGAGCAAGGACTATCGAGTCACGCAGGAGTTGAGTTGAAAGCACAGTGCGAAGTTCAGATCGCACCATCCGCGTGAACCCCAAGGTAATTCGACTTTGAACGTGCCTGAGCACCTCGATAACGTCAATCTTGCGCACCACATCCAGAAAATTCCATATGGAAATCATAACGCCAAATGATTTCGATGGCAGCGCCCGCAAACGAAAGCGACGTACGGACCGTCCATGCGATGCTTGCCGCCGGCGCAAGTCACGATGTGTGACAAAAGAGGATGAGAGCGATTGCATGCATTGTCAATTGCGGTGTACGGCATGCACATATGATGAGGGCACTCGTCCTCGAACGGCAGCAAAGGCCACTGCATCTGAGACTCGAAAGAAGACGCCCTCGAGAGCGACGGAGGGCTTCGCTGCTGCCTCACCTAGCCGAGCTTCGCAATACTTCAGGCCCATCAATGGACAACATCAGTCAGAGAAATCGCAATCGCCTTCAGGTTTTCAGATTACAGGGCCGCCCTCCAATTCTACCCTTCGATCCACGGACCCTGGGCAACTGGTGCCCGGATCATTGCCAGTTCTAGGCTTAGCTTCTGAGAGATTCGCTGAGCTGTACGGGCTAGGGAGTGACATGGAGCCCATACTTATGCGGCACAGGCCATACGACAAGACCACACATGAGTTCAGTCTGGAGACACACTCTATACGCAGAGTTGCGGAGAAAGACAACGGTCAGGAGTATCCTCTAACGTTCCACATGGCAGCCGACAACAAAGCCATCGAGGGAGACCCTACCTACACACAGGTGGACGCGGTCGAGGCATGTGTTAGCCCTCATGGCCCAAGTCTTTTAGATCTCTTCTGGCGCCAAGTACAACCTTGCTATCCAATATTATCCAAAGACACTTTTGCGCACGCCTATTCTAGGAGTTATCGTCACATCCCTGCCGCGTTACTGGGGGCGATATATCTATGCGCTATGCGATGGTGGACCTATGATCCAGAGTTGTCAATCCGAAGCCCACCAGACGGTACTCTACTCCGGAAACTGCTGAAAGAGTCGCTCCCCTCATCATACCACCGCCCGAAACTATCTTCGATACAAGCGGCATTACTCCTGCTCCAGTGTCAACCCGAGGATCCCCTGAACCCGGATCACACCTATCAATGGGGCATAACATGCCAAGCTTTGGCTGTTGGACAATGCTTAGGTCTGCATCTCGACGCTACGAACTGGAGTATACCACCATGGGAGCGGAACCTGAGGAAAAGGTTAAGCTGGGCACTCTATATGCAGGATCGCTGGACAGCCTTGGCATATGGCCGGCCCGTCCACATCCACGAAGACGACTGGACCGTGCCAGACCTGACTCACGCTGACTTTACAGATGATGACACGATTGCGGCCAGCGCCGACGAGGAGCGGAAATCCATAGGCGCGACTGGCAGAATACAGTTCATGCAAATGGTCAGCCTGGCCAAGATCTTATCTTCAGTCCTGTCAACGTTCTACACGGCCAAAGCGAGCCGCGAACAAGACACGGTTATCCTCCATGAGAAGGCATACCCCTTGCTCCAAGCTCTCAACAATTGGTACTCGGCGGTTCCAGCCTCGCTGCAGATGGAAGTCACGTATCAGCGCAAGCTTTGCTTCCATGGCCACCTGCACTTCTCATATTACGGCGTCGTCATGGCCATCCTTCGCCGCCTGGTCCGCTCGACGGCTCTCCCTCCTCGCTGCCTTGACCATGCTGTGCTGGGCGAGATTCGCCAGATCTCCCTGGAGACGGCGCAGTGCGCCATCGCATTTGTGACCAGTCTTCGACCTGACCACATTGAGGCCTTTTGGTACTTCACTTCCCCGTACCTGTACTCGTTGCTCGGGTCGTTCACCACTCTGCTTCTTGTTACTTCACTCTCTACCCAGGAACGCGGTTTCTGGCAGGAATCCCTCAACTCATATCTGTGGACCCTGCGTATGATGAGCAAAAGTTGCGAGCCGATGCAGTATGCTGTCAACAGACTGGAAGGTGCCATATTGCGGGGATTGGAGCATGCACTCGCGGTGAATCTGAACGAACCGGTCGACGACGAAGATGTGAGTCCCATGATGGCGAACTACGGGGGCGACGTGTTTGATTTTACAGATTTCGGGGACTGGGACTTGGCGGCCACTGGCAATGAGGGCGCATTCGACTTACTCAGTGCCATGGCGTTGCAGCCAGGAGCTATGCCTGGGAATGGCAACGGCCATGTGTAGTAATCCGGTCAATAAGCCGTGGGGACTGTATCACTGTCTGAGTATAGGCCAGTTTATCCATTGACCCGAGGCAGCGAATAAACTCATTCGCATCGGAGTGTGTTGGCGACATTCTGGCCAGTGTCATCATCTCTTGGTTCTACCACGTAGTACCGGTATACCTGGACACTGGCGAGTGCAATGCAGGCACGTAGATTTTGGCGTGGTTCATGAAGTACCAAAGCAAGTCATTCCTGTAGCTCAGGGGTATAGGCACTGTGGATAAGTTTGGGCACTACATCTCTGTATCTTTGTCACTGATATGAAAGGACAGCTGGACTCTGGAACCAATTAAAGTTACACCCTGCTGTTGTTCCGGCGAGGCCAGATGTCTCAGCAAAGAGCTGTCGGCGTGAAGCCTTGAGCCGCTCGAGTTTCTGACCTGTCTTGCATACCATCGAGGTACGTGCAAGTGCGCTCCCCTTACGAGGGTCAGAGATTCGTTCAAGCATCAGCTCGAAACATGGAACAGGGTAGGGCCAGGGTAATCCGAACTACTTAGCAATTCACCTGAATTACCCATAAACATCACATAATCACGCAGACTCAGGTATTTCATAAAGTGTTGAGAGCAAACGTGAACCCTAATGCAAACCATGTCCGAGGGCTCTGTGACCTCCTTAACTCCCACGGTGAAACCCCACGTAACCGATCATCCACATGCGAGCCCAGGCTCGATCATTGTGCTTTTATTTTCCCTCCATGTTTAGAGTACATGTCGCCATAATCCTTGCGCCATGTATCGTGAGAGTGATGAGTGGGTATGCGTAATTCCGATCGGCTTACGAAGGGGGAGCGCCGCCGCGGCCACCACCACGTCCGAAACCACCACGGCTGTGTGAAGATTAGCATCCAAGTCCACAAGAGTCAGCTGCCAACTGGGCTGAGACTTACAACTCAGGGGCGTAACCGCCAGGAGCACCAGCACCCTCCTTGCCCTCACCAGCATCCCGGCGACGGTAGCCACCCTCGCGGTCGCCACGGTCACCACCACGTCCACGGCCGAAAGGCCTCCTCTCACGCTCACCCTCGCCGAGCATGCCGCGGGGAGGAGCGTGGGTGCGCTGCGACTTGATGTGCGTAGCGGGAACAATCTCGGCGGGCAGGTGCAGCCACTCGCGGAGGTAGTCGAGACCCTCGGGGGTCAGGGTGTAGTAGTACCATTGCCAGGAGAACTGGGTCTTGACATAGCCGCGGGAGGTGAGCGACTGGCACGCCTTGATGACGAACAGGTTCTTGGTGTCGATCTCGGGGTGCTTGGGCAGGTTGAACTCCTTGGGAGCGACGAGCACGCCCTCACGGAAGAGGTACTGTTGGAAAAAAGTTAATTAGCCAATTTTTCGTCGTCGTCGGAATCGATGCGAATGTACCTCGTGGATCTTCTTGCGGTCGGCCTTGGGAATCAACATCGTGGCGGTTGGGGTGGAATTCGTTCGGTCGACGTTGGGAGAGCTGGTTTCAGTCGGACTGCGATGAAGATGCCTGCGCTCAAATTGAATTTCTTGTGGGCGGAAACCCTACAATCGAGAGTGGGGTGGCTTGGGAGGCAGTGGGGGCTGTGGCTGAGATCACGTGCTAGTCTGTCAACCGGTGGAGCATTGGTGTGGCGCACATGAGGCGGGTCTTGGCGTTGAGTCGCAGCCTCCACCTCGACTTCGCGATCCGCAACTTGTGTTAAGCACGTAGTGCATCTCTCATCAGCTGCATCTCGACAACTACTTCCAAGATGGCGAACAAGCGCGTGAACACCCTCATCACGACATTCGGTGGTCTTGGACTGCCTCCCACACTTTCCCTGCCCACAGAGGCCTCGGCAACCACAGCGGAAATGGAAGGCAGCATTCTCGATCGGTTACCCTCTCAAGACACCAAATTCATCATCACTACGCTGGGCAACAAGCAAATAGTACCTCGATCCGACAAATTTGTATCCGACTACCTTGCGCATGCCGACGATGACTTTCTGTCTCTACGACTCAGTGTTCCCCTATGTGGTGGCAAGGGTGGCTTCGGCTCACAGCTTCGCGCCGCAGGCGGGCGCATGTCGTCGAAGAAGAAGCGCAACCAGGAAGATCACGGCTCAAGTCGCAATCTGGATGGGCGACGATTGCGTACGGTGAATGAAGCCAAGGCACTGGCGGAATACCTGGCCATCAAACCCGAGATGGATAAGAAGGAGAAGGACAAGCGCCGTGAACGCTGGGAGCAAGTTGTCGAGGCCGCTGAGCGTAAGCAAGCCGAGATCAAGAATGGAGGGGAAGGTCGTCTTGACGGCAAATGGGTTGACGACAAGGAGGAGAGCAATGAGAGGACACGGGATGCGGTCTTGGCAGCCATGAAGGCCGGCAACTACACCGACAACCTGCTTGCGACCTCGGCCGGTTCCAGCTCTTCGGGAACCAGCCAAAAGCATTCTGAATCGGAGGAGGGCGAAAGCCCAAGCTCACAAGAGTCAACGCCGCATACGAAGCCAGCGGAGACAGAGAAGACAGTCAAGGGAAAGGGCAAAGCCCCTGCTTTCTTTGGGTTCGACGACGATGACGACGAGTTCATGAGCTCGGACGACGATGACGAGACGGAAAAGAAGTGAATCTGTGCGGGACATCACTGTCATCTTTGACCACCACTTACCCCTGACCTCTCATTTCTGTCCTGGACCATCGAATTCAGTCCGTCATTAAACTTGGTTGAGGGACGCCACCGCGTGCTAAAATTGAGGCACCAACAATCCGGTCATGATGGGAAAGATATTCATGACCAAATGGGATCGGTGACTTCTTGTCAGTCCCCCCTCACACAGCCCTCTCGGATGTGGGATGATCTCCCAGCGCAGCTCTTTCAGCTCAGCAGTTGTCTACGACCACGGCTCGTTAGGTGCTAAGACGATACGGCAGCTAGCGTTAGAGAGCAGAATCTAGCTGCCACCGCTCAGTGTCATGGTTCAATAGCTGTGCAGCGCTCAGGCCTTACAATACCATTGCTGCTAAATGTTGACACCAGCGCGAGCAACTTGGTGGAGCGGATACTGTATCGGAGCAGACCAAATCTGTGAGTTGTTTCTGTCGCCCGCACAACCCTCAACTCTGGTACGATGACCCATCCCCATTAATTGGTCTACTCAACCGTCGAAGACCTGATCAACTTGGCATATGTCTTTCAACAGGACAAGCTTGGTGGGCTTGGCAAGCAGATTTACGCAGATGACGTCGCATGCGGACTTGTCAATATAGCACGTAGCACATGCGTGCAGCTAGTAATAGTATGTAGCAATAGCACAAATGAAAGCGTTGTTTTTCTAGCCTGTATTCAGATGGGCAGACTATTCCCAAACCTGCAATCGCTGTCACCACTGGCAGTAGCCTAGCTTCATTTGACTATCGGAATGCATCAATGTTACAGAACTCCATCACCCAGTGTCATTTGTTGTCCTGAAGAGCGCTTAAGCGTCAAGCTTGACAGGGAACTGGCCGGCCTCTGTAGCGATATTAGCATCCATTCTCAGCGGCGTGTATCGGGCATCTCATACCTCGTTGCTCGTCCCAGCGCTGGTACCATCCCGAGGGGCAGAGCGAGCGGTAAGCGAGCCAAAACTTTTGCCATGGGTCAGTCTCAAGACACAAGCAAATCCTTGAACTTAGAAGTTCGTACCTGGCGGCAAGGAGCAAAGTCCTCTCCCTTGGCGATAATGCACTTGTGGTAGTCCACATAGTTTTGCCAGCAGTGCTTGGTCTGGTTGACGTTGGGGAAACGAGCGTCGGTGCCTATTCGGATGTTCGCGTCAGCCATCCGCCGCTTCCATCGAGCCCAATTGATCCCGTATGAAAGGTCTGAATCGTAGCCGTCGTCGAGAGTCGGGTTTCTTACCAGCTGCGCGAGAATGTTAGCCTCGGATTACGAACTCGATTAAATTTCGCGACAGAGGGATTGTACGTACCAGTCACAAACTTGAAGGGCTTGGTGACAAGCTCCTGACCATCTTCCTCAGCCATTGTGATTGTTGCGAGATCGTGCTTGTTGGGGGAAAATGTTCGGTTTGTCGATGACGGCAAGATTGGGTGAGGTTGTTCGCAGGACGAGGTTGAACGCACCGACGCAGTCGGGATCGAATCAGGTGGCCTGACCTTTGGAGACAGCCGGCTAGCTTTCAATGTGTGCCTGATTTTTGGGGATTGCCGGGTGCAATTGGCGTCAGGCATGCAATTGCTTGTGCGTTCATTGGCTTTCCGGCCGTTCCAGCAACCAATGCGGGTCCAGCCTCTGTGCCTTCGCCGGAGACTCAGATGTCTACTTCGGGTCTTTGCTCCAAATAACCACGCCTTGACGAGCATCAGCCCACCAGCAACGACCACCGACGACGTGAACAACTCCCTCTGAACCTCTCCACTCCTTCAACATGCGCTCTACCGCCGCTCTCAGGATGTTCCGTGCCACGCCGCGCATGATGCGTGCGCCTCCTGTAAGCTTTTGTTGGATACACTGGTCTGCAATTGGCTCGGCCTTGCTAACAAACTTGCGTCATACAGAAGGAGGACCAGGCCGGTATGTGACGATATCCGACCAATTGGGACGGAAACGACTCGGGCAAGGTCGTGATAGGGACGCAAGGAACAGCACGACTGACGGCGGTTGCTTTACAGGTCACACCATCTCTCAGCGTCTCAGGAAGCTCAAGTCCATCCCTCTCGAGCTCTACCCCCTTGGTACGACACCACGGAGATACTACGAAGAAAAGCGCAAGACTAATATTGGCCAGCTGTCGTCGTTGGTTTCGCCGTGTTCGCTGCCGGCTACTCGAGCATTCGCAAATTCGTTGTCGACAAGAACCTTCGTCTTGCCCGACAGGGCCCGGGTGCTCGCGCCGAGAGCCACGGCAGCTCCGACCACTAGGGAAGCAAAAGTTTGTCAGGACAGACATCACAAGTATATTCCATTTGTCAGAGGTTGGAGCATTGTACATGTGTTAGCAAGAAGGGAGGAATTGGATTTCTTGATAACCATTGTGTTGAAACCACAAACGCCAACGCTATGCACATCCTTGGGGCTCCCGTGAATTGTCGTGATTACAAGGTCCAGTAATTACGCCTGTTTCGGCCCTGCCACGTCTAGGCCTTCTAAGCCTTGCATCGGATCAGGGCCGGTCATGTCCGTGGGCGGTGGCTCTTCGCCAGAAATGCCATTGCTGTCCTCCGCAGTATTCTTCGCCAACCAGCCTTCCTACGATATGTTAATCATTGCAACTTTGAACGCGAATGGGGGATTGCCTACCTGTTCCCAAACAGCGGTTTTGCTCCCAAGACCCTCGTCCGCACTTTTGGGTGCCTTGGCTTGTGAACATCTCAGTATCTTTCCAAAGAATTCTGCCTGGTCCATGTTGTCTATGGCTTCCTTGGCATCGGCAACATCCTCGTACTCAACGTACGCGAAGCCGCGGTGTGGTTCTGTTGAGTTTGGCGCATCGTTCTTCGGCACTTGAACTTCTACTATCTCCCCAAACGGGATGAAGGCGTCCAGGACGTGTCTGCTGGTGGCCATATGAGAGAGTCCACCGACGTGAACAGTCGCTTTCCACCGAGCAGCGTCTGTCATCTTGATTTCTGGGATTCGCACGAAGAAATTGTGAGCACTTCAGTTGATAAGGGTCCTTGATCTGTAAGTGAATGTAGCTTTCCTACCTGAATCTTCACCTGGACCGATTCACGTATCACGTGCATCGAGGCCTATCGATGATGGTGGGGCAGGAGCCAGGACGGACAATTGGAGTGGGCAGAATCCCCAGGCCAGGCTGGCAAGGGGCACTCAGGCTGGGCGGCAGGTGGGCCTGCGATCTGGCATCATACTTGGCCTTCTGGACCTTGTCCCTTTCCTCTTGCTTCGAGACTGTACATCTAAGACCAGCTTAATGCCCGTCAGTAGCTGGCAGGCGTCTGGATTCTTGTAGCTCCTTTTCCTACAATCTTCTCATGATCAAAGTGCGGACCCATTGAGCTCGAGTAACGCCACCTCTCGCCAACCTCCTCGATCGTCGAAACCGCCATGGTGCGCCTCCGCGAGCTTCCCAGAACGGCCACATTTGCCTGGTCCTCCGGCTCTGGCAAGCCGCTCCTGGTCACTGGTACTCGAGCTGGAGCTGTCGATGCCGACTTTTCGGACGAGTCCAAGCTGGAGCTATGGGATCTGGCACTGGATGATCAGCAGCAAGGACTGGAGCTGCAGCCGGTGGCGAGCATAGCAACGGAGTCAAAGTACGTGGGCGCGGTAGAGTGCTTCGTTACCAGACATTAATGCTCTTCAGGTTCTATGACATTGCCTGGGGACCTCCCGATGAACAACACCCGCTAGGTATCATTGCTGGCGCCCTCGAGAGCGGCTCCCTCGACCTGTGGGACGCCGAAAAGCTGCTTGCTGGTGCTTCGGACGCACTGATTTCGCAGACGTCGAAGCACACCGGTGCAGTCAAGACACTCCAATTCAACCCTCTCAAGCCCCAGATCCTCGCTACGGGTGGTGCCAAGGGCGAGCTCTTCATCTACGACATCAACGATATTGAGAACCCTTTTCGGTTAGGAAGCGCAGGCCGATCCGACGATGTTGATTGTCTGGCATGGAACCGCAAGGTGTCACATATCTTGGCTACTGGAGGCTCTGGAGGATTTGTGCAAGTTTGGGACTTAAAGACCAAGAAGGCCACCCTTACTCTGAACAACAGCCGCAAGCCTGTCAGTGCCATCGCCTGGGACCCCAACAACTCGACGAAGCTCATCACAGCTACGCCCGACGACAACCAACCTGTGATTCTGCTCTGGGATCTGCGAAACTCCAATGCGCCGGAACGAACGCTACAAGGTCACGAGCAGGGTGTTCTCTCTCTCTCTTGGTGTTCCCAGGATGCCGACCTACTCATGTCCTCTGGTAAGGACAACCGCACCCTCGTTTGGAATCCTCAGACCGGCGAGCAGCTTGGCGAGCTACCTGAAGTGACCAACTGGACCTTCCAGACGCGCTTCAACCCACACAACCCCAATCTCTCCGCAACTGCCAGCTTCGATGGCAAGATCACTGTTCAGACACTCCAGAACACCAACCCCGACACTTCGCAGTCTACTGCAGAGAAGAATCTGGATGACGAGGAGTTTTTCCGCGCCGCTCAGACACAGCCGCAAGGAGCGTCGTGGACTTTGAATAAGGCGCCTAAATGGCTTGAACGACCTGTGGGTGCTTCTTTTGGGTTTGGCGGCAAGGTGGTCGTCTTCAAGGCCAACGCTACGCAGCCTGGTCAGAAACGATCATCCAAGATCGTCATCTCCAACTTCTCGGTCGACAGTGATGTGTCATCTGCCACCGAGAAGTTCCAAGCTGCCATTGCCAAGGGTGATGTCACAGCCATTTGCGAGGACAAGATCGAGCAGGCCCAAACGGAAGAGGAGAAGGCAGACTGGAAGGTCATGGAGACCTTGGCTAGCGGCAACACACGCTCCAAAATCGTTGAATATCTCGGCTTCAAGGAAGATGAGCTGTCTAACGGGCAGACTGACGCTGAAGGGAAGCAGGATGCCGACGATGCACTGAAGGCCAGCTCCGAGACTGAGGAGAAGAAGAACAACCGCCTGTCCACCATGTTCGACGGTGGTGATGCCGAGGGCGAAGAGGACTTCCTCTCGAACCTCGCAGCCACCAAGGGAGCCAAAACCGACAATCCGTTCGAGCTCTTCAGCGACGCGGACACATCGGTGGAAAAGGATGTCACCCAGGCTCTGATGCTTGGCAATTTTGCAAAGGCCACGGACATCTGTCTCAAAGAGGAGCGCATGGCGGACGCTTTCCTTATTGCCAACTGCGGTGGTCAGGAGCTGCTTGACAAGGTGCAATCGGCTTACCTGTCTCGCAAGAGTGGTATGCCGAGCTACATGCGCCTACTTGGCTCGGTTATCGCCAAGAACCTCTGGGACGTAGCGTACAACGCCGATCTTGCGGGCTGGAAAGAGACTATGGCCATTCTGTGCACATTTTCCGACCCTGCCGAATTCCCCGATCTCTGCGAGGCTCTGGGTGACCGCCTTCATGAGAATGGGTCGCGAAAGGATGCTGCTTTCTGCTACTTGGTTGGCTCCAAGCTAGAGAAGGTTGTGACAATCTGGGCCGCCGAGCTTGAGGAGGCTGAGCAAGCTGGGATCAGCAACGCTTCTGACTCGACATTTTCAGTCCACGCCAGATCTCTGCAGAACTTTATCGAGAAGGTCACCGTCTTCCGTGAGGTCAGCAAGTTCTCGGACAGTGAGCAAGGACTTGAGTCTGGATGGAAGTTGTCCACACTCTACGACAAGTATACTCAGTACGCGGACATTCTGGCAGGACATGGCCAGCTCGAAGCTGCTCAAAAGTATCTCAACCTCCTTCCTGGCAAATACCCAGCAGCCGAGCTTGCCAGAGAGCGTGTCAGACTGGCCACCCAGAAGCCAGCCGCCCAGGCCACTGTACGACAGCCTACTTCAGCTAGTCGCACCACATCTCGTGTGCAGCCGCAGATGGGATACCAGCCTCCTCAACCCAGTAACCCAATGGTACCTACACCTAATCCCTACGGCGGTTACTCACAGTCCCCAGCTCCAACACCACAGCAACAGCAGCCTTATGGAGCTCCTCAGCAGCAGTTCACTCCTCAACCGAACCCGTACGCGCCTCAGGGAGCTTACCAGCCTCAACAGCCGGCATATGGTCAGCCCATGGCTCCTCTCCCTGGCCCGCCCAGGGGGTTGACGCCATCGGCACCGCCACCACCCAAGGCCAAGAGCAATGAGAACTGGAACGACGTGCCTCTCGTGTCTAAGGCGCCGCCGCCACGACGTTCGACTCCGAGCATGGCCCCAATGACCTCGCCGTTCCCGGGCAGCCAGCAAGGGCCATCGGCACCTCCACCCCCCGGCGCGTACGGTCATCGCGCCGTGGCCAGCCCACCACCGCCTCCACCCAAGGGGCCTGCTCCTCCTCGCATGCAGTCTCCTTTCACAGGTCCCCCACAAGCCGGACAGGGTCCTCCTCGCCCGCCCTCCACGGCTGCCAGTGCATACGCGCCACCGCCGCCTCAAGCCGGCTCAACTGTTCAGTCGCCGCCTGTTCCTCCGCCCAGCGGGTCCCCGTATAATGCGCCCCCATCTGCGGCGCCTCCTTCGAACCGGTACGCTCCCGCGCCTTCTGCTCAGCAGCCACCGTCGCAGCAGCAGCAGCCAACTTCGTTCCCGCCTCCTCCTCAAGGGGCTCGGCCTCCACCAACTGGTGCTTACGGAGCGCCGCCTCAAACAGGCACTCCCAGTAACCCGTATGCACCGTCGCCTTATGCGCCTCCGGTCGGCCAGCAGCCCGGACCTCCTCAGGGCCCTCCCCAAGGTCCGCCGATGGGAGGTCGCCCCGGTCCACCCCCGAGCGCGCCTCCGCGGGCAACGCCGCCCCCTGCTCAGCCGACGCCCCCGCCAGCCGCGGCCAAGCATCCTCCCGGCGATCGCTCCCACATCCCGGCGCACGCGCAAGAGCTGGTTGATATCCTCAGCAAGGATATGCAACGTGTGGCTGCCGCGGCGCCATCAACGTACGCGACCCATGTCAAAGATACTCAAAAGCGCTTGAACATCTTGTTTGACCATTTGAACAATGAGGAGCTCGTGAAACCTGAGACTATTCAGGACCTGACGCAGTTGGCGCGTGCTCTTCAAGGCAAGGATTATGCCACTGCCCTGAGAATGCAGGTCGACATCAACCGCGACCGCACAGACGAATGTGGCAACTGGATGGTCAGTCATGAATCTCCCCGTGCGTTTGATTTTGAAATGAGACTGACACGACTCTAGCCTGGAGTGAAGAGACTCATCAGCATGAGCAAGGCTACTCCTTGAGCTTTGCTACCGCGGGCTAGCTGATCATTACGAAGTATGAGACGAGGGATGTTGCTTAGATGAAAACATGCACAATGCGCTTCTACCGGTGTATCCAATAATGTTGTTCAACTTCCAATTTGCGCTCGCGACTACTGTATAATTACTCGCTCGAGAATGCCCGAGGCCCTCCAGATCCATCACTCTCTGTGGCTTCAGACGACGGCGCCCTAGGACCCAATCTGTGCCAGGGACTCCAATCGGGCAGCCGAATTCCTAGATGCCTCAAGGTGACTTCCGTCTCTATTCCATCAAAGCGCATGACAGCTACTCGATGGATGCAGAAGGCTGCCAACCCTCTCGGTAGACGTAGGCCTAGTACGGGGTAGGCTCGGTAGCCACATTCCTGAGGTTGCGCGAGATCCCCGGCGGCTGTGCCGGATAGCATCGCAGATTTGCCAGATTATTATATTCCAGGGGCGCCAAATCCGCCCATCGATCGAATCAGGGAATCAACATGCGAGGGTATCTAACATCCGGATGCCGGCTTTAACGCGTTTTTTGGTACTTACTTCTTTAAGGGCTGGCTGACGTGTTTCGCGAAGCTTCACACAACCCGAGCGTGACGTGGTGCGTGTGCGAGCATACGTACGTGCTCCCACCGTCAGGTATGCCCTTGGAATTGACTTGGGATGGTGGGCAGGGCAGAGCACGGCGGCGTCGTCATCACTCTAGAGTCTCGCACGTCTTGAGTCTCTCACATCAATGTATGACACGCTTCCGCAGAGATGCCGAGCGTAGCGATGTACAAAAGAGTGGACGTTGGCCTGCTTGCGCCCGGCAGTAGCTGGCTTCTGAAAGAAAGGAAAACTCACTGATTAAGCCTGGATTGAGCATATCAAATCATCATGCTGGCCAATATGGTTGCTCCATACTACCTCATCACAGCCTCGCTGGTTGGCATCGCCTGTGCCGGCTTGGTTCCGCGTGCCAATGTCCCCAGCGCCAACGGCTTCCCACAGCCGGACAAGCATGAAAGCCTCACCATTGCCCAGCAAGCCGGGGGCCTTCTTCCCAATGCGCCTCCTCCTAAGACTCTGGGCAACGGGAGCATCGCGGCCTTGCAGCTCATAGCTTTCAACGAGCTCTTTGAGACCGCCCTCTTCAACTCGCTGATCAACAACATCACGAGCAATGCCACTGGCTATAATGACACTCCTGATGGCGCACTTGAGGCCCTCGAGGCTGTACGTGCTGTAAGTTCCTTCCGAATGTGTTGTACAGTATACGGGCGAAACAGACGTTGACACTTTGGCGTCGTAGCAAGAGGAGCAGCATGCTCTCGCCGCCATAGGAACCTTGAAGAACACCGGTGCTTTCGCACCTGTGCCTTGTCGGTACCAGTTCCCAACGGCGCAGAACTTCACCAGTGCGATTGCTCTGGCCGAGACAGTCACTGCGGTCGTGCTAGGCGTGCTTCAGGAGGCCAATGTATTCTTCTCCCAGGATCGTGCGCCTGACCTTGTGCGCCTTACTTCGTCGATCATCGGTCAGGAGGGCGAGCAGACAGGCTACTATCGCCGTCTGCTGGGCCTTGTCCCGTCCGAGTCGCCCTTTTTGACCTATGTCCCCGCATCCTATGCCTTCTCTGCGCTGCAATTATTCGTCGTCAACGGTTCATGCAACTACACGCTGAGCAAGGTGGGCAACTTGACCATCTTCCCACCCATCGCGACCAACGGTGGCCCCGTTGCCTTGATCCCGCCCAAGAATCAGACACTCTCTTTCCAGACCAACCTCACCGACTCGAAGGCTGCGCAGCAGTACGTCGGTAAGAACACGAGCAGTCTGTACTTCACATACACGACCGGGCAACAGCTGCCCTTCAGCGTGCCCCTCCAGAACGCATCATGGAGCGGTTCGGTACTGAGCTTCCGCGCCGACTTCCCCTATGAGAAGCATGTCATGCACGGCTTCAGCCACGGCGCGTTGACAGTTGGCGGGAACTTTACGAATGCCACCACGCAGGCGAATGCGACACTGGCTGCGCCTGCGGTCATTCAAGTGAATAACTCGATTCCAACGAACAGCACGATGGGTATGTAAGGGTTGATTGTTGGAAATAAATGTACATGTATGACAACATTATTCCTTGCTTGTTGGAAACGGATGGCACAGTACTACCTGGTGATTGTTGGGTTTGGGTGAGATCAAACAATGCTTTTTACACCAGCAAACAGCCGATTCGTCCCTAAAATAAACAGATAGCTGCCTGTAACTAGAGTGTGCTTCTATAAACATGTAAACACCATTTCAGCAGGTTGTTATAAAACTACACCTTTGCGGTGCAATTGTTGATGAATGTGCCGGGTTAGCTAAACGACATGGGCTCCAGTGACGTTGCAGACAAGAAGTGGATCGACTGCCTGGCAGCTTCACTTTCCAGTTTCCACCCCTCCACCCCCCTTGTGAAGACGTTGTCACCACGCACCCTCCCATTATACACTCTCGAAACGATGTCAGAGACAACTGGTGCTTCTCTGGAGGCTGACAGGGCAGCCGAGCAAGCCCGCCAGCGCAAGGCCAAACGCGAGGCGAAGCTCAAGGCGGGTGGCTCTACTCGACTGGACAAGATCACTGGCATGAGTGGCCGACCCAAAGCTGGTTAGTTTCTGGGATAACAGAACCACACGTTGGCGTGACAAGCTGACTGACACACGTTAGACTTTGACCCCCCGCCACCCGATGAGGCACCCAAGACAGCAGCCGCCGCAGCTACGGCCTCAGCTATCCCTGCCCCCGACGCTGACCCCGAAGAGGTGGACATTTCGCAACATTTCTACGCACCACAGGCCACTGCTCGATCGAAGAACACAACGCCACCCGGCCCTCAACCTGAAATCTCGGAAGACGCTCTGCGTCAGATGATGCTCGGGTTCGATCCCGCACAAAATCCACGAGCTGGCGCGGCTGGCGCCCAGGGCCCGCCACCATTTCCAGTTGCACCCGGTGCGGAGGACGATCCCATCATGAAGATGATGTCCCAGATGATGGGCGGCGCTGATGGTGCTGGAGGACCGAACCCCTTTGCTGGCATGCCAAACCTGGGAGGCTTTCAGCAGCAGGCGTCCGGACCCCAGCCCATCGATTCCTCCTATACCGCTCTGTGGCGCGTGCTCCACGCCATTGTCGCCCTTGGCCTTGGTCTTTATATCACTATCCTGACACCTTTTACCGGTACGAAGATTGAACGCGAGACTGCTTCTCTGGGGGAGAATGAGCACCAGAAGCGAATGTTCTTCTGGGTGTTTGCCACAGCTGAAGCTTGTCTTCTGACGACGCGCTTCTTTCTAGACAAGGGACGGGCACCGCCGCCCGGCATCGCTTGGACGTTGACTGGGTACCTGCCTGAGCCATGGAAAGGATACGTGCAGGCTGTCATGCGGTACGGACAGATTTTCACAACGGTACGAGCGGATATACTGGGCTGCATGTTTGTACTGGGTGCTTGTCACTGGTGGAGAACGTCAAATGTAGTGTATTAGACTGCGCCATGCGCATGCAAATGCTGCATGGACGGTGTGAATCAAATCAAGTCTTCATAATCATGTTCAGTAGTCCCCCCAAGACACCTCTTACCCTCTTGGGGTTTTCCAGTACGCATGTCATAACGACGGCCGCACTGGCTGCGAAGATCATGGATTCACGCCATTGCTTCTCGATGGGATATTTCCGAGGTACCACAGTCGCCAGCGCGCGAGGCGCCACGAAGAGAGCCATATCCTTGCGCCGGCTTGCCGTTTCAATGAGCACACTCCATCCGCACAAGAAACAACCTGTGCCGACGCAGACTCCACCGTCAATCTTTTGACGGCTCGATACGTCTTTGCCAATGATGTGCGGGCCGACTCTTGTTCGGCCTAGACACACGCCGTAGTAGAAGAGCATGATGAAGGTACCCAGAAACGCCGAGGACCTAGCCGCGGAAAGGAAGGCGAAGACAATATTCTTCTGTGTCGGCTTCCGCAGCTTAAAGGCCAGAGCGAGAGGTAGATATGTATACATGGACCACTTCCAGGACCTGACAAGGCGGCTGAGGGCGTGATATTCGCAGCTGGATCCGCAGCCCATATGGACGATTTCGCACGGGAATGGGATCGCTTTCTCTGGATCACCCCACTCGTAGGGCATGTTGTGGTCGACGCACATTGACCCAAGCAATGGAGCCGCGCCAGTGTCTTCTCCGTAACGAAGCTCGTTGAACTTGCAGCGTCTGAGGGCCTCGATGAGGCGGAGATCGACAGAAGCGGCGGAAGTGATCCATTTGTTGTAGCTGGGTGGCAGGTTGTTGGGGTAGTAGAACCAGGACCACATGATGAAGGCACAAGAGACAGAGAAGACAGCCGGATCAATCATGCCGGTGACGAATTGTTCAGTCTGCACGCGTCAGTGACCCGTGTTGTCTTTCACCTCGCAGGTCTTACCCGAGTCCATCTGTGCGCTGCCTTCCGACGTGCACGATGCTGCGACCAAAGCTCACCGACGATCACGTCCACTGCTCGCGTGGCAGTGAACAAGGTGAGGTCCAGAGTTCTACCACCAAGCTGAACCAGGCGCGGTTCACCCTCTTGTCCATCGTCCTTCTTTGTCGTCCACCTTGAGTAGGCTGGACTTGAGGCCGAGTGAAGGAGCTTCAGGGCGACCCATGATGAGATGAATGTTGACAACCATCTGGCGAATCTGGTCACGGAGTAAGTCTTGTGTGTATTCAAATTTAGATATTTGTGTTACCTTTTTCGGGCGTCTTGGCTGAGGCTGGCCGCGAATTTGTTGATGACAGCTTTTAGAGGCCCCTGTTGTTTATCATCAGATCTGATTGCGCGTGCCAAAGTGGTGCATACCTGTAAGAGCGTGCTCCCGCCCGCCAGAACAGCACAGAATGTGGGAAAGCGTTTGACATCGAAGCCAGTCTTGAGGATGTACAGGGCCGATTGGCGAAACGTGGATGTGTCCGTGTCGTGCCCCTGAGAGAGGCGCCTCCTTTTCCGCCGGGTGAGACGCTGCAGGACGAGGGTCAAGATTCGGGGACCCACGGCCGACACATAGCCGAATAGATACGCTCGAACTACGGGACGCAGCACTGGAGGTATGGAAGAGAGCTCCAGAAAACCCCTTTGCAGTGCGACAGGGCTGGCTTTAGATATGTTGCTGGCCGGGCCCAGCGCGGGCTGCAGCTCCTTGGGCATCGTAATGTGGCATCCGATACATTGGTGTTGGCGCCGTTGGATGGCCTAGCCAAGGAGCTTAGAAACAGCCCCTTATGGATGAACTCCGAGTCAATGAGAACTCAATGGACTGAGCTTGAAAGTTCGTGACGTGATTGATACAGTTGGAGATTGCCGTCGGCACGCAGCTGATGTTTTGTGCTGAGTCATCACATGTCACCTCGGCCCAGAAAGGCAGCAAGTAATTGAGGAAGCAATTGCTTGTGAAGATGGGCTACATCAAGTTATCGAGCTTGTCAAAGCCAAACCTGGAAAAGTGAATCATTCAGTTGATGAAATGCCGGACATCATAAGAGGCGCAAGGCCTTCGCAGTTTGGGCGAGGTCAGACCAGTGCATCTCTCGCTGGTTTGCCGTATTAGTCGCTGTAAACCATGACCTCGAATGGAATATCACGATCAAGGTCCACCGTCTTGCAGCACGCCGAAACCTTGAGCCTTTCCCCAGATTTTGTGCTTTCATAAGAAGGACTACGGCGAGAGCCTCACGGAGACATGACCATCAACCGAATCAACGATGTGATCGCGCTCGTCGGTATCTTGAATGCAAATGGAGCTCGGAGCTTCTGAACCATGTGTTGAGGGTTCCTGCCCTCAAAAGCCCCCACCTCCACAAAGTGCCGTTGCTAATTGGTCACAAAGCTCGCGTAGCTTTGAGCATCCGGCGTGGTGAGTCAAGCCCGGGTGTCCGCAGCAACCTTCAGCAGCCTGGAAGGAAAGGTGCGACGGCGGGGTCCTAAATTTTTAGCAGGAAGGTGGGGCAATCGGTCCCTCTGGGCCACTCCTGCCCCTCCGAGATGCACCAGTCTTGGGATTTTCGCACAGGACAGTCAGGCTCGCCGATGAGTGAGAGGGCCATGGGCGCTTGTTGCCGCCGTGAGTCCGTTGTTGTGTCTGAGGCGTGACATGGCTGGAGCTAGCTAGCCTGCTTTAACCTCCAGCTCTGCTCGCCGAGACCTGAATTATAGTGAGGCAAAGACATGGACCTCGTAGTATATAGCCACGTAGCAAGCTTTCGACTAGACTCTGGAATGTCCTCATGTTAACCACAACTTGTATTTAAACCTCTTGTCCCCTTGGAACTCAAGGCAAAGATCCAACAACCGATCCTTCAGAATACACTCGCCTCCTAGGACCGCCTAAAGTGGGCTTCAAGATCAGTGGTTTTCTGCAGAGACGTCAGTCGACGCGGGGCCATAAAACTTCAACCCCGCTTCTCTTCTCCCATTCTGCCTCACGACCGATTTTTTCCTCACACACCACACGGCACTTGAGCCAGGTAACCAGAACAATACCGCCAAGATGGTCAAGTAAGTCCTCTGCCAGCCCTCAAAGCACCCTTCATCGACTCGACACGAATTTGCGCTTTTCCCGACACCAATCGACCTCAACAACAGTGTCTGCGCATCTGGCCTTTTCCCTTTGAACCATTCTCCCTCACTCTCCGGAGTTAAGCTCCACCTGCATCTAGAGACTAGAGAAACACGTTGCTGACCTTTGGCTCTTCACCATGATAGTTTCACGGTCGACGAGGTCCGGGCGTTGATGGACAAGCCCACCAATGTCCGTAACATGTCGGTCATTGCTCACGTCGACCACGGCAAGTCGACGTTGACTGATTCCCTGCTGTCCAAGGCCGGTATCATCTCCACCGCAAAGGCTGGTGATGCCCGTGCCACCGACACCAGAGCCGACGAGCAGGAGCGTGGTATCACTATCAAGTCGACTGCCATCTCCCTGTACCACAACCTCGAGGATGAGGAAGATATCAAGGATATCGTTGGCCAGAAGACTGACGGCCGCGAGTTCTTGATCAACCTTATCGACTCGCCCGGTCACGTTGATTTCTCTTCTGAGGTTACCGCCGCTCTCCGTGTCACCGATGGTGCTCTCGTCGTCGTCGACACCGTCGAGGGTGTCTGCGTCCAGACCGAGACTGTGCTCCGCCAGGCCCTTGGTGAGCGTATCAAGCCCGTTGTTGTCATCAACAAGGTCGACCGTGCTCTTCTCGAGCTCCAGGTCTCCAAGGAGGACCTTTACCAGTCCTTCTCCCGTACCATTGAGTCCGTCAACGTCGTCATCTCCACCTACTTCGACAAGTCTCTCGGTGACGTCCAGGTTTACCCCGACAGGGGTACCATTGCCTTCGGTTCCGGTCTCCACGGCTGGGCCTTCACCATCCGCCAGTTCGCTGTCAAGTACGCCAAGAAGTTTGGTGTCGACAAGAACAAGATGATGGAGCGTCTCTGGGGCGACAACTACTTCAACCCCCACACCAAGAAGTGGACCAAGAACGGTACCCACGAGGGCAAGCAGCTTGAGCGCGCCTTCTGCCAGTTCATCCTGGACCCCATCTTCAAGATCTTCGCCGCCGTCATGAACTTCAAGAACGACGAGATCAACACCCTGCTCGAGAAGCTCCAGCTTAAGCTCTCTACCGAGGACCGCCAGAAGGAGGGCAAGCAGCTGCTCAAGGTTGTTCTCCGCACCTTCATCCCCGCCGCTGATGCCCTGCTGGAGATGATGATCCTCCACTTGCCCTCGCCCGTCACTGCCCAGAAGTACCGTGCCGAGACTCTCTACGAGGGTCCCATGGACGACGAGGCCGCCATTGGTATCCGTGACTGCGACCCCAAGGCTCCTCTCATGTTGTACGTCTCCAAGATGGTTCCCACCTCCGACAAGGGCCGCTTCTACGCCTTCGGTCGTGTCTTCTCCGGTACCGTCAAGTCCGGTATCAAGGTCCGCATTCAGGGCCCCAACTACACCCCCGGCAAGAAGGACGATCTCTTCATCAAGGCTATCCAGCGTACCGTCCTCATGATGGGTGGCAAGGTCGACCCCATTGACGACATGCCTGCCGGTAACATTGTCGGTCTGGTCGGTATCGATCAGTTCCTGCTCAAGTCTGGTACCCTCACCACCTCCGAGACCGCCCACAACCTGAAGGTCATGAAGTTCTCCGTCTCCCCCGTCGTCCAGCGCTCCGTGCAGGTCAAGAACGCCCAGGATCTGCCCAAGCTTGTCGAGGGTCTCAAGCGTCTGTCCAAGTCTGACCCTTGCGTCCTGACCTACACCTCCGACTCTGGTGAGCACGTTGTTGCCGGTGCCGGTGAGCTCCACCTTGAGATCTGCTTGAACGATCTCCAGAACGACCACGCCGCCGTTCCCCTGATCATCTCCGACCCTGTCGTCCAGTACCGTGAGACTGTCGCCGGCAAGTCGAGCATGACTGCCCTCTCCAAGTCGCCCAACAAGCACAACCGTCTCTACATGGTTGCCGAGCCCATGGACGAGGAGCTGTCGTTGGCTATTGAGGCCGGCAAGGTTAGTGCCCGTGACGACTTCAAGGCCCGTGCCCGTGTCCTCGCCGACGACTACGGTTGGGATGTCACCGACGCCCGCAAGATCTGGTGCTTCGGTCCCGATGGCCAGGGCGCCAACTTGCTGGTTGACCAGACCAAGGCCGTCCAGTACCTCAACGAAATCAAGGACTCTGTCGTCTCCGGTTTCCAATGGGCTTCCCGCGAGGGTCCCGTTGCTGAGGAGCCCATGCGCTCCGTCCGCTTCAACATCCTCGATGTCACCCTGCACGCCGATGCCATCCACCGTGGTGGTGGCCAGATCATCCCCACCGCTCGTCGCGTCCTGTACGCCTCGATGCTCATGGCTGACCCTGCTCTCCTCGAGCCCGTCTACCTGGTCGAGATTCAGGTGCCCGAGAACGCCATGGGTGGTGTCTACGGTGTCCTGACCCGCCGTCGTGGTCACGTCTTCAACGAGGAGCAGCGCCCTGGAACTCCTCTGTTCAACATCAAGGCCTACCTGCCCGTCCTGGAGTCTTTCGGCTTCAACGCCGATCTGCGTGCTGCCACCTCTGGCCAGGCCTTCCCCCAGTCCGTCTTCGACCACTGGCAGGTTCTGCCCGGTGGCTCTCCTCTGGACCCCACCACCAAGACTGGTGCCATTGTTACCGAGATGCGCAAGCGCAAGGGTATTAAGGAGAACGTCCCCGGTGTCGACAACGTGAGTGATTCTGAACATGTCAAATTGAGGCCATCGCTAATCCTGCGCAGTACTACGACAAGTTGTAAGCAGCTCGATCACGAACCAAGTCGATCAAGCCAAGGTGTCATATTGGACACGAAATATCCGCGGGTTTCTCGCAGCAACGATGCGTTCTTGTCTAGGAGCTACTGCGCACACTACACAGATACTGTAGGTGTGTTCGTCTCCTGGGCCAGGAAGACACGAAGGGACGCCACCAAAGACAAAAGGGATACACTGGTGGTACACATGACGGAGATCATGATAACGAATGTAGTTCCGTTGATTAGTGGATTCACAATCAAAGATGATGTTCAAAATTCTGAGGTTCCAAGTGCAGGAATGATCAAGTGATGTAAGTTTTGTGCGATAAGCGATAAGGCTGTGTAATTCGGGACCCGGATCGTCGCAAATAATAAATGAAGACGCGAATATGTTGAAATTTCCATGCACCGAGTCACTGGCTACCTGATAAGTTCATGAGTCGCCATGTCGCATGCCAGCATTTCCTAGCTACTCCGTACAGCTTCTCCAATTCCATCGCACTCCACAAGTATCGATCTGCCCCTGCTCGGTTTACCTGATATCCTCAGATCTTGCGGTCCCCAAAATCTGCAAACCGCACGCTCCTCGCAACGCTTCCATCGAAACTCTCGTCTCCCAAGCGTCTAATCGGCTGGTCGAATGTCGCCCGAACGCCGCTTATGGTCCCGACTACTATTTTCCCGTCACCTGTCCGCCTTGTTTCGAGCAACCCTCCCGCGCCCCGGCGCAGCCGCGCGACGCGATGATGCTGTTCCCCGAAGAAGATGCGCCTCTGCTGAAGAAATGGGTCGTCAAACGTCTAGAGAACACGTCTGATGCGGACGCCGACGTACTGGCCGACTACATCATGGCCCTCCTCAAGCATGAGGGTACTAAAGAGGATGTGCGTGCCTTATGCGAACAAGAGCTCCCAGTCTTCTTGAACGAGGACATCAAAGTGTTCTTGGACGATGTCTTCCAAGCAATCGCCTGGAAATTATACGTCCCTGGCATGTCGAAACCGCCGCCCTCGAGACAGACGGGCAACGAGTCACCGGTGCCGCCGCAAGAACATAGTGGACCCCGACGACCGCAAGGAAAAGGGCGAAAGAGAGGATACAGGGATCTTGATGCGCCGACTGAGGAAGGCGAGGTGCAAGAAAGTCGACCCTTCAAGAACGCGAGGATCAATGGTCAAGGAGGCGACATGGAGTCGCAGCAAGAAAATGGTACTTTCCATCCCATGCCGCTAGCCACAACAGGGGGGCCTTATGATCCGCAAGACCCCATGGGAATGGGAATGCTGGCGATGGGAATGCCATTTTCTGGGATGCCAGGCCAATGGCCCAATACGGGTAGGAACAGTCACCGCAGGCGGAAACGATGTCGAGAATTCGACACAAAAGGATTTTGCGCAAGAGGCAACAACTGCAAGTTTGAGCATATTCTGGACCCCAACTATTGGCCTCAAATGCTGCCACAAGTCCCCGGTCTGACTGGAGGTGCGTTTGATGAATATTTGCGGACGGTACAGTTTGCTAAAAATGCCGAAGAGTATGATCCAAATAGCAACGCGATGCCGGGGTCTTCATACCATCATAACCAATCGATGCCCGCCTTGCCTTTGCCACAAAACGGCAGACATAAGCAGGACGGCCGAGGAGGTCAGAGGAAGAAGAAGGGCAGGGCGGCTTTTTCTGCCGAAGGGCCTGAATCCGACAAGACGAAGAGCACGCTGGTGGTTGAGTCGATACCCGAGGATCACCTGAACGAGGAAGACATTCGAGCATTCTTTGGGGAGTTTGGCACCATCGAGGAGTTGACGCTGCAGCCGACACAGAAACTAGCAATCATCAAGTACGACAACTGGGAATCCGCTAATGCGGCATACAAGTCACCCAAGGCAATATTCGACAATCGTTTCGTCAAGGTCTTTTGGTATAAAGACGAGATCAACCCCCCACACGGAGCCAAGTCGAATGGTGCCGCAGAAACAGGGGAGGAGGCACAGGAAGAGTTCCAGATGGATCCTGAAGAATTCGAACGGAGGCAGCAGGAGGCTCAAGCGAAGTGGCAAGAGCGCGAGGCGAAGCGTGCCGAACTCGAACAACAACGGCAAGATTTGGAACGCCGCCAGCAGGAACACCTAGAGAAATACCGCGAAGCGACCGAGAAGCTCACTAGTAAGATGGTAGAAAAGAACGGCGGCAGTGAAACCGAGGTCTCGGGTACGGAAAAGCTGCGCGCTCAGCTGGCAAGATTAGAGCAAGAAGCGAAGATCCTGGGCATCGACACTGATGGGGCGGCCGACGATGCATCCGTGTCATCATTTGGGCCGCCTCATCCCTCGCGTGGTGGCTGGCGAGGGCGCGGCCGAGGCAGGGGCAGGGGGACATGGCGAGGAAGAGGCGGCGGCACTGGCGTCGAGGGGAGGCATGCAGCATACGCACAGTACTCGTTGGATCTTCGACCCAAGACGGTTGCCATTGCTGGAGTCGATTTCACGGCCCCTGAGAAGGACGAGGCACTACGACACTATCTCCTGGTATGTATACCCCCTGATTCCACCGCTACCACATTGTCCAAGCCTAACCGCGCACTAGAACCTGGGCGAGTTTGACACCATCGAGACAAGCCCCGACGTAACCCAGGTCTCTTTCCGTGACCGCAAGACTGCGGAGACGTTCTTCTCCTCGCTTCACGGCCGGTCACTGCCTGATGTAGAGGGGACGCTGCAGCTTAGCTGGTCTGCGAAAAGACCGAATCCCGTGACGGCAGGCCGACCCCTAGATCGAGGTGGGGGCGTAGGTGGTGGTGAAGGAGGAGGGCTGTTGATTTCGTCCATTGCGCCGGAGGAGAAAGGTTCAGGGGGCCAGAGAGAAGAAGAAAGAGAGGAAGGCGAGGTCACGATTGGGGATATGGATGACGATTATGCCGATGATCAGAAGGTCGAGGAGGATGAGGAGGTTGACTATGTCTATTGAGCTTCAAGTGCTCAAAGAGGACTGCGAGCGTATTTAATGACCATGGCGAATATTGTTGTGAGTCAAGATATGGACCGTATTTGCTTGATTCAGTGACGGCACGGCATGATCCCTAGAGGCCAGGACGCGAGATCAAGTTACAAAGTCGCAAAGCCGTGTGGCAACGCGGATATCTGGTTTTGTGACAACCTGAAAAGCGTTACAGCTTATCATGCTAGCACAACAGTGGCAACCATTTCACAGGTGTTTGCCTACGTCAAGTGAGTGCATACCTTTTTAGGCCTCGGTTGGTCAAGGTCGTCGTGATGCCTCCAAGGCGTTATGCTAAACCATCATACTTGCGGTCCATCAATGGAAAAGGGGTATAAAAGAACTTGCTTTGCGAATCTGAATTGAATTCATGGTCTTTTTTGAACTCTATTTCTCGCATTTCACGATGGTTCTTGTCCTTCTCCTCGCTCAGTTTCATCATTCTGAGCAACCGGCCGGTAGGAACCGCCTATCTTTCAGCCATGACACTCCCGGCCGCCGTGTATCTTTCTTCAACACTACAAATTAGCGAGTTTGATATCGGTCTACGATTGTGTTGCCGAGCACGTTACGATACTTGAGTCAACAGGAGCGGGAGCCTCCCTCACTAACAGCGCACTGTGCTCATACCTGCTTGCACTGTATACAGCTGACTCGCTGCACTATTATGTGATAGAGGCTACTCGAAGATCGGCTGTAATTTGCCGTCAGTCAAAGTATCTGATATCCGTTATGGTTGTACAGTGCGAGACGGCTACACTCGTCCATGCCGTTATGCTCGTTCTATGACTTCTGCAACACCGAAATCCTGAGCAGTCTACAAACTTTCAGACCATTTAAACGACAAACAACCCAAGTTGAATCACAGACTCAGTCTGAAACAGCGGCTAAATAGCTTGAGTAACAGCACACGAAGTTTGGTGGTACGATATGCCTGGCACAGCTTCACGACCATCAGGGTCGACAGGACAGCCCCGGACTCGACAACGAAGACATAAATCACCGCCCGTTCTTGATGTCCCTGACATTGAGAAAGACGCTGCTGAGAGAAAACGGGTCCTCAATGTTTTGGCGCAACGACGGTACCGTGAGTCATCGTGCTTCATGAATGGAGACAGCCTGGATACTAACGACGGCAATAGGCGAGAAAAAGCGTCTCAACAAAAAGTCTGGCTCGCATCATGGTGCTACAGCGCAATCCTCTGAATCACAGGATGTTCCTAAAGTTGCTTCAGCGCAGGCTAGTGAGCCAACGTCTTTGGATTCTACACAGCATCTCTCAACCACACCACCATCCATAGACCAAGGCGTGGGACAGTTGGGTCTGGACTTTGATTTGCTCCATGATCCAATTGGCGTATCTGAAGCTGAACTAGGTCTCTCTCCAGAAGATTTGTTGGGGCTTCTAGGAAATGAGAAGGATGCAGACCAGTCACTTCCCGTACGGGGAGCCCTCCCATCGTCGCTACCGGAGGCATTGCCTTTCGCTACAAATCTTGATACAGCCTTCGCCGCGCAGTTCCCATCCTTTGGTGCTTTGGATCAACCGACGACTCTATCGGCGAGCACCGTGTCTTCCTCGTCGACATTGTCGTTCACGCCATCACCAGCAGGGGAGTTCGACTTTCCGGACTCCTATATGCTCCCTGTTCACGAGCTCACCCTCCTCCGTGGACTGATGCGCGTATCGACAAGAATAGGATGCGACACGTCCGAGATCTGGTCGCCGACATGCCTCTCCCCGTTCAACACCAACACAGGCACACCGGCTGCTCTGCTCCCTCCCAACTGGCGGCCGACATCAGCGCAGATCACGGTGCCACACCACCCGCTCCTTGATCTCCTCCCCTGGCCCTCGGTGCGGGACCGTATCATTATGATTCTCAACTTGCCCGACGAGGCGCGGCCGACGCATGCGCGGGGCGCCATGGCTCTCTTCAACTTTGCGTATGACTTTGAAGACAGCGCCGAGGGCGCCAGAATCTACGGCGACGATCCTTGCGATGGGAACAGCTGGGAGGTTGGTCAGGTGCTTTTCGAGAGATGGTGGTTCTTGTTTGATAGGACGATTGTGGAAGGGAGTAATCGATGGAGAGCACTCAGGGGGGCTCCGCCGTTGATGGTCAAGGATGTGACGGAGTCATAGGCGTAGCCGCGTACGATATGCCTGAAAAACAAAGAAGAAATACTCAATACTGGAAAGGGGGCATGTAATTCAAGACGTCTACAAGTATACGTGTATGTTCTCACAACAGCTCCCACACATAGGACTCGCATATGAGCCTGGCAAGAGCTCACCTTTGGTCCAGTGCTCGGCCGATGCTACTATTCCCTATGCCTGCTACCTGAGTTTCAAGACTGTTTGAGTTTTGAACTTGCGAGTCGCGATGGCGTGAAGCTTGGGGTGATTGGATCATTAGATCGTCCGGGTTACAGGGGCACTTTGTTAGTCCAAAACGCCATTGCACTGCTGTCAGGGGAAACACTTGAGTCGATGAACACTCCCATATGGCTCGCCTTCGTCATTACTAGTAGTAGAATATCCCAGCACCGGTTTGTCGCGACGTACTGTGGCCGAAGAGGGAACACGGGGCCTAATTCACTGGTTTGATGCACTCCAACAGCGCCAGTGAGCAAGCAAGAACCGTGAAGAACATACCTACATGCACATGCTGCTTGAGAGTGCATGCAAAGCAACAGAAGCAGGATTCCTGCATAGCACCATAGTTCGATGAAGTGATCTGGCTGCGACTGAGCCATTTATTAGGAGGTTCGCGGCGGATGTATGCGTCATGGCCAATTGAAGGCCATTGCAAGGTGCGAGAGGTGTGCCGCGTGGGGGAGAGCAGCATAAGCAGAGAGTTCTGTGGTGTTGAGACCTATTAAATCCCAAGAGTAAAGACTTTGTATAATTACAAGAAGATCGATGTGACGAGTCAAAGCCTTCGATGAATCAACGTGTCCGTGGCCTCCTGGATCATTCTCCTGACGACATGATTCAGGGCCTCGAGGGGAGAGGTCCCCCACCTAAAATGCTCCCTGTACAAGTAGATACAGGCAGTAATTAATAGCGGCAACCCCACCCAGTTCGTTGAGTCCAATTTCGACGCCGGCAACGGCGCTCTCCAGTCGTCACTGCAGCCTGCAGGTCGGGAAGTGCTAAGCGGTACTTTCTACCCCCAGTATGGACCAATGGGAAGATACTTGGCACCCATGAGCCCATGGCGGGGCAGGTACCCTCCATCTCCCCACGCGCGACCCAACCCACCAACACCAAGGCACGGAGGGTCCCTCGATCCATCTTGTTCGTCTTGTCGTCGCTGCCCCTACGCCTCCTCTTTGCCTCAAACTCCCTCACCTTTCTCCCCTCAATTCCTCCTTACGATTGCTCCAAGGGACTGCCCATATCCTTTTCTTCTCGCGCCGAAGTTCCTGTGTTTCAATCCGCCCAGGAACGCGTTGCACTTCACGTCCTTAGCTGTGAGTCAAAAAATGATCTACCACCGAAACCCCACCATCCGAAGCCGCACCTCCAGTCGCTCAAACGGACAGCGGACAGCACCTGCGCCCTCACCGTCTCGGTGAAATTTACCTACTCTTTTTTTCTTCTTGCCCAAGAGACGGACTGTAGACTATACTCTCGTGCTGACTATTTTCGACAGTGTCTGTTCTTTGTTCGGTGTATTCGTAATTCCGGATTTATCGAGACGATCATCGTAGACTGCGAACATCCGATCTCCTCTTCACCACCAGCCGTTTCCCGCCCACGAAATATTCCTCGATATCCTTCACCATGCATATCAAGGACCTCCTTCCCGGAAAGGACGAACATGACCAGCCGTCGTTCTCCTTCGAGTACTTCCCGCCCAAGACGGCCCAGGGTGTCCAGAATCTGTACGAGCGCATGGATCGCATGTACAACTTCGGACCCAAGTTCATCGACATCACCTGGGGCGCTGGCGGCCGCAGCGCTGAGCTAACCTGCGAGATGGTCCTCCAGGCCCAGGCAGTATACGGTCTCGAGACTTGCATGCATCTCACCTGCACGGACATGGGTCGCGAAATGGTGGATGACGCGCTGGAGAAGGCGTACAAGGCTGGCTGCACCAACATCCTCGCCTTGCGAGGCGACCCCCCGCGAGAGCAGGAGAAGTGGACAGCTGCCACCGATGGCTACACCTACGCCCGGGACCTTGTTAAGCATATTCGGAAAGCGTACGGTGACCACTTCGACATTGGTGTCGCCGGGTACCCTGAGGGGTGTGACGACAACAAGGACGAGGAGCAGCTTCTGGATCACTTGAAGGAGAAGGTCGACGAGGGTGCATCATTCATCGTCACTCAGATGTTCTACGATGGCGACAACTTCATCCGTTGGGTCCGCAAGGTGCGCGAGCGTGGCATCACCATCCCCATCCTGCCGGGTATCATGCCCATCGCTACGTACAACAGCTTCCTGCGCCGCGCAAAGCACATGCAGTGCAAGGTACCTCAGGAGTGGATGGACAAGCTCGAGCCCGTCAAGAATGACGACGTTGCTGTCCGAGAGATTGGAAAGACTCTGGTCGCCGACATGTGCCGCAAGCTGCTCGCCAACGGCATCAACCATCTTCACTTCTACACAATGAACCTCGCCCAGGCTACCCGCATGGTGCTAGAGGAGCTGAACTGGGCACCATCCGCAGAGCGCCCCTTCACCCAGGCTCTGCCCTGGAAGCCTTCCAAGGGTCTCGGCCGCCGCGATGAGGATGTCCGACCCATCTTCTGGCGCAACCGCCAGAAGGCTTACATTATGCGCACGCAGGACTGGGACGAATTCCCCAACGGTCGATGGGGTGATTCCCGCTCCCCTGCTTTTGGCGAGCTCGATGCCTACGGTATCGGCTTGACCGGCACGAACGAGGCCAACAGGAAGAAGTGGGGAGAGCCGCAGTCCTACCGCGATGTTGCCGACCTGTTCTGCCGGTACCTAAACAAGGAGGTGGATTCGTTGCCCTGGAGCGAGTCACCATTGACGGTTGAATCCGACGCTATCAAGGACGACCTCTACACCCTCAACAAGCACGGTATCCTGACCATCAACTCGCAGCCTGCCGTGAATGGCGTCAAGTCGACCCACCCAGTCTTTGGTTGGGGACCTACTCACGGATATGTGTACCAAAAGTCATACCTCGAGGTCTTGGTGCACCCTAGCATTTACGAGAAGCTGGTCGACCGCGTGCGCAAGCTGCCGGACCTCACCTATTACGCTGTCACCCGCACCGGTGAACTCGAATCCAACGTGCCCTCCGAGGGCCCCAACGCCGTGACCTGGGGCGTGTTCCCTGGGAAGGAAATTGTGCAGCCAACAATCGTTGAGAGTGTGTCCTTCCTCGCGTGGAGGGACGAGGCCTTCCAGTTGGGCATGGACTGGGCCAAGTGCTTTGATGCATCATCACCTAGCCGCAAGGTCGTTGAGAGTATTATGACTGACTGGCACTTGATCAACATCGGTTCGTAGATCCCCTTTTGGTGCTCAGATGTGCTACCACTAACACACGCTTCCAGTGAACAACGACTTCCAAGACCAGACCGGTATTTTCAAGGTGTTTGAAGGCCTAGAGCTCGACTGGGACGCCGTGGGTCAGCCCATTGCCAGCGGAGAGACGCAGAGCAATGGCAACCACGCTGCGGCTGCTGCGGTCTGATCCACGCTGGCAGCTGTCTGATTATTCTTTTCCTTTGTTTGAGCATCGATTGGCGTTACTTAAAGGGATGAGCGTGTCTTTTTCAACAAAAAGGCACTGGGCCAACGCGCGTACAGGCGGGAGCACGACTGACGAAGCGACCATTTGGATTTTCTTCTTTTTGACATGACACAAAAGTTACACTACGACATGAGCGACGAATCAACACCGCAGGCCGTCTTCAATAATTTAACATGACGGCACAACGGCGACGGGGTTTTCAGAAAAACCCCGCCACCTCTCTTCTTCTACCCTTTTGCATTAACATATATCTCAACGATACCCCGAGTCGAGGAGGCGGAGGAGGAGGTGCACAGGTAGCTTGGAGTCCAGTGACAGGGGCTGGCTACGGTGCCAACATGGCCGAGAAGGATTGTATTGAGTAGATTGCAAGCGGCGAAGTTAGATCTTCACGTAGCTTTCTTGGATCTATTACAACTTGATACTTTCCTTGATGAGTTTCTTCCTTTCGCATGTTGTGACTTTGGGGGTCGCTTGCCCAATACCCCCCTGAGATATCAGCTCTCTCGAGCTCGCTGCGTACTCAAACGGCACGCATGGTCGAAACGACGATACATCTATCGGTCATTGATGGGTTTATCTCGGGATTTGGGGAATAGGTGGAAATAAAGTGCCAAATCGCCACTGGAATTGAGTTTCATAGCCTGACACTTGCGCAACAGCCAGTCTCCTTAGCGTGGTCGTTCCGTTCGCGCTCGCCCCTCAAACTTGGTTTGTGTGGCTTGATGGGCAACGTACGCACTTACGAGTCGAGGATGCGCTCCAAGCCAAGAGAAACAGTAGTGATATGGTCCTTCGTCATGCCGCTGGATCGCCACCAAGTGGCGGGACGGAGGCATCAAATGGCTCTTGCCTGCCTGCCTGCGATGAGTTGAGCTTTTGAAACGAACACATTAGGAGTGCCTGCCTCTTTACCATCCCACATACTACTTGCGGCATGATGCTTTGGCCGCACCCAGTTGACAATCACGTTTGCTGAGAGAGCCTTTCATCCATCCAACTCCTTAGCAGCATTGTCTTTCTCGTCTTTTCCAACATAAGATACCCATCCCGGAAGGCAGCGTCTTCTTGTTGGTCTTCTTGATCCCTCGACGCGTTCTTGATAAGACGGACTCTCCTCAACATCTTCTTAAAAACTCATATTTTTGGTGAACATGGCTGCCGAATCGAGCCAATCCCTACGACCAACGCGCAGGCCATCAATCTCCTTTGGTCCTCCACGCTTCGGATCCAGCACCGAAACGCTTGAGCTGCCTTCGCCCACTTCAGTCGAAGAAGGCACACCTGTCAGCCGGTCATTCAGTCGCGTCTCCAACCGTCTTCGTCGAAGTCTCTCCAGTCGTCTGCCCAGCCTTCGCGAGCGCAGCCATGAGACAGACCGGGAGAACTGCTCGAGCCCTGTGGAGTCCATCAACCCTATCACACCCGAGTACCTTGCCTACCTGGCTCATTGCTCCAAGAGCGACCCCGTCGACACCGTTGAGGAGTGCCCTCTCGAGGTGCAACGGCGCTGTGGGAGGCAGCTGAGATACCAGGAGAATGGCAACCTGACCATGGACATGGTCACGCCTTCTGGCTCGTCAGCTCACAGCTATCTTGAAAGACAAGATGCTTCAACACAAGAGGCGTGCACAGTCGATCAAGCACATGGGCCAGTTGAAGGTGACAATGCGAGCTTCACGTCCTCTGTCTACGATCAAGACGACTCGTCACAAGAAGGCATCGACGCGCCGGTAACGCCCCCCATCGGGACTGTCTTTGAAAGCGAAGATCTCAGCAAATACAGTCGTGGAAACGACAATCTGGACAACCTCATGTCCGACTATGCATCGCGCAATGAGAGCGTCGACGAGGTCGTTCACCCGGCGGCCGCTGATGCGGAGCTTGCCGATCAGGGTTGGCACAGCTTTGTTGTCCCCATGACAGCCATGCCGACAACACCTAACAAGGTGCCAACACCTTCACCAGAATCGATCGAAGTTTGGAAACGCAGTGTGCGGCAGGGAAGCTAGGAGACGCCCACCGTGCCTCACACTTCTCCGCTCCTGTCAGCGCTGAATGGGACGTTCACGGTGCAACCTTGCAGTAGCTTCGCCATCACAGCTCAATTGGATGGCATCAGTGAGAGGCGCTTCTTGCGTTCGACAGACACGTCAGAGGATGTGCTACTTGAGGGAAACAGAAATGGTAAACGGAAGGCCTCGACGTTCTCGTTGCGCAGCCTGTCCGCCTCTCTGGCAACTTCCAAGGGGAGCGGCAAGCGTCAGCGACTCAGCCTACGCCACTTTGCGAGCAATGTCGCCAGCAGCCTGAACGAGGTCAGCCGCCGCATCAAAGAACGACACAGAAAGGATCGACACAGCTTTGGGGCCTAGAGAGCTCGTCGACGCAAGGAAAAGTCCGGCAATACTGCCACTCCGAAATCCAGCCCCCCTGGTGTCCGTAACGATGGAGACATAAACACCAGTGAGGAATGGTGGCAGGAAGGTGCGAGCAAGTATGGGGCGCCGAGCTGGATGAAGTTTGGAGGTGCTGCGGGGGGTGATGCTCTTGTGTCGAAAATGTCACAGCTTCGATTCAAGGGCTCGTCTTGAAGTTGTATCCTTTCTGGTAAATCCTGTCTGGTAATAGCGAGGCGCATGGCGTTCGCACAATACTTTGCCTGGTGATTGCCCCAAACGGCCTTTAGAAATAGAGGTAGGCGCAGCAGGATAATGCATAACATTGAATGGCTCGCAAATGGTGCTACTGACATATCGCTGGGATTGAATGCTTCCTCTCGACCACCTCTGTACATTCGTCCTAGAGCATGTATCGGAATGGCTGGCCTGTCGTCTTCTTCCGCCCCGAACCAACCAGACCCTCCTCTTCTACCAAGCTGCCGTGTTCGCCCATCGCTTGCTCTTCCCTGTCCAGCTTGCGATTGCGATACTGGAGGAAGAGCCATAGGGCGATGGCAAGCAGCGTGACAAGAAGCATAGCACCAGCACAAGTCCGCATGCCGGGGCCATAGTACGGCGCATCCTTGTCGGGGTACAGTCGCGTGCCGACCAGAGGTCCGCACTGGCCGACAAGCTGCATCAGGGCGAAGCCTGACCCCTGACGAGACGATGAGGGCTGATTGTTGATGGTCCACGTAATCAGCAGCGTGACCACGTTGAAGAAGCCAATGGCCGCTGGGTAAACGGCTAGATAGCGGAGAGTGGCCGACAGAGCTAGCGGTTCGGCGAGGGCGAGTGCGGCATAGCCTGCGCACGAGGCTGCTGCGTGGAAGACGATGAGGGGTGTCCTCGCGCGCAGGCGATCGGAGAGTCGCGCCGTAAGCAGCACAACGATGAAAGAGAGGAGGTAGGGCGGGGCGGAGAGGGCCTGGGCCGAGAGCGCGTCGTGACCCATGTCAGTGAGGATCTTGGGGAGGAAGACGGGCAGGGAGGAGTAGGCCATGTTCGTGAGGAAAAACATGCATGCGGGGAGCCAGGCGAGGGGATCCTTGAGCACGGCGAGGGCTTCGGGAAGCTTCAGACCCGACGTTGGCTTAGTCGAAGACGATGAGGGCTGTTCGGCGCGTAGGCGGAGACGGGCGACCTTCTTCTCGCGCTTGGTGAGGTAGGACGCCGTCTGGGGGGAGTCCGGGATCACGGACCAGGCAATGGCCGAGACGATGACGGACGGAAAACCCTCGATGAGAAAGAGCAGCCGCCACGGCGCAATGGGGCTGTGCTCGCCGACCCTGACAATGGCCCACGCGAGGACACTCGCGAAGCTCGTCGCGAGGGGCGCCGCAGAGATGAAGAGGGCGGTGCGGAAGGCGAGCTCGTGGCGCTTGAAGAAGAAGCTCAGATAAAAGGGGATGCCCGTGAAGCCGGCCTCGCCGATGCCCAGGAGCGTCCGCAGCGCAATGAGGACGGGATACGAGGTCGCCACGGCCTGCAGCGAGGCGAGCAGGCCCCAGGACAGGACGAGCATGGAGACGTAGATGTGTGCCGGAATGACCTTCCAGAGGAGGGACATCCATTCAAAGGCAATGTAGGAGATGTAGAAGGATGTGAGGGCCCATTCGTACCAGTCTGCGCGCGCCGGTGTGGATTGGAGATCGGTGTCCATGCCTGCGATGCGCGCGTTGCCAATATCTGCCGCCGTCAGTTGTGCTCTGGTCTGTGAAGAGACGCGGGAACATACTCGATCGATCCAGGAAGCTGAGCATGTACAGCAGTGCGACGAACAAGACGAGTCGCCTGTCGAATTTCCGCCGGACGGCTATCTCCTCGTCGGGCGTGTACAACTGGAAGCTATCCACGGACGAGTCCGTTGCCAACTTGTCTTCGTCCCCAGCGTCCCAGTGCTCCGCTCTTCTCGGGGCGCGCATCTCGTATGCATCGTCGTCTCGGCCGTCGCGCGCTTGGCTCTGGAGGTCAAAGTCGTCCACGTCGCTGTCGTCGAGGCTGAACTCGGCGCCTGTCTGGGCAAACGAAGGGGAGAGCTCGCCAGGGGCGCTGCCGCCGCCGGGGCTCGCGGTCATGAGGTGGTGGTGGTGGTGGCTCGAGGCCATTGTCGTCACGGGGAGATTGTGCGTATTCGATTGGCAGCTGGCTCAATCATCCAGCGCCATGGACGTTACGCTGCGACGCGCATGGTCGTGGATGAAGTGAAGCGTAGGTACGGAAGCTGTGGATCGTCGTCACCTAGGAAATCCGGGGTCCGTCGCGCCAAGACTTGTCGTTGATTGCGATGTTCATCACTCACTTTTACTGACCAAACACTCAACAATGTACACAAGAGAATGCTCGTGTACAATTTCAGTAGCAGTATACAGCCAGCCTGGACCGTGAAGACTTCTTAAACCCATGTTGAATTCAGCGCAACGCCTTTTCTTCTGCTCGAGTGATATACACTCTGGCGTCATCTATAATAACAATACGTACTCCATACCACCTCAGTCCAGCGGAACGGCTCAAGCCGCCTCTCCCTCTCCCTCGCCGTTATTGTTTTGTTCGTCCGTCGCATTGCGCCCGGCTTCCTCGGAGGCTGGTTGTGTCGGGGGCCCGCTGCTCGCGCTGCCAGGCTTGCGACGCCACGTCAGGAACCTCTTCTTCTGTTCGCCCAGAAACCGCTTGGGCTTGGACTCTGACCTCGCTTGCTGTCCCTGGGCCACTTCAACCGGCCTCCGAGTTGGAGCAACCTTCTTGACTTCTACCTGCGTACCAGCAGCGGCGCCTCCCTATGTGGCGCGCCCCGGGTCGGCACAGTGGACCACGTACCAAGCCAAAGGCTCGTCTGGTGCGAGCGCTCCCTGGAGCGTTTTCAGATACCCATGCTCTGTTTCGTGTTTCTCAGTAAGCAGAGCCTTGTAGGCCGACTCCATGCTCAGATTGCAGTCCTGGTCCACGCGGACGACGTAGTTAGCCACAAAGGCATAGGGTCGCGAAGTCTCTCTGTTGGTTCCATCGTGAGATTCCAAGAGCTTGATGGCAGACCAGTCTAGGCGGAGGACAAGGTCGTCCTCGGGGTTGTAGTTGGCAGGCAAGTGGGCGTACTCGGGTTTGACTTCCTGTCCAAGAGCATCCCGGCCTTGCAAATCGACGGGCTCATCTGGCTTCCCGATGGAGGGATAGAGCTTGTGCAGCTGTCGGAGGATCACCCTTGATGACATCTTATTGATGACCCAGTCGGGCGTGGCGTCCTCGAGGTCGTGGTTTGCGACAAAGATGCGGATGGCTCGGCGATCCCAACGGAACCCGTAGCATAGGTAGGTGGGCATGGCGAAGGTGCTCACTACCTGTGATAACGATGTGACGTTGTATCTTGATGTTTCTGAGACGATGATCAGGCCCTGACAAGCAAAGTGATGGAGTAAGCGGATATGGCTCAAGTGGTGTTGTCAAGTTGGACAGGAGCGTGAAGGTGAACCATGGTCGCCTTGATGTACGTAGAGCGACTGCCCAAATGCCCGATACTCATCGTACATGCAGCAACTGCGGCCAGTCGAAGCCCGCAGTGGATTGGGTTGTGATTGCCTGCTGTCGTGTGTGCCTGCTGTCGGAAGCCACTCGTCAGCAAGGATGAGGTAAGGCTGGCCCTGATAGCAGAAGACAGAATAGCCCAGTAGCTGCAGTGGCAAGAAGGGCAATAATCTGTCCGGCTTAATTTATCGCACAGTAGAATAGCAGTGTGCGATGCAGCTCACGCACTGTCCTCTGCCCCACGGATACAGAGTGCAGCCAACATCGCACCTTCTTCCCCAGATCCTCGATTCCGCATCACTTCTCTTTCACCTAAGATGCTCTTCCCCCTTCCAAAGACTGCGGTAGTACCCTTTCATGTGGGCCTTTAGCTGCCTTGGTTCACTGCGATAAGCGCAGGAACTGTGGTGTGTCGCACAAAGATTGGTCTGGAATGAGAGCACATGAACAGAGACCAGCGACCGAAACCGCCGCCCAAAGTCGACTTGACGATGTAGGATTCAGGCCATCTCGGATTTGTACAGCCCATAACACTTGGAATCTGGCCATGTCGCCTGGCTTATGAGGTCGCGCCTTGTAGTCACGGTCCGTCCAGTCTGTCCAACAAGCAAGCGTTTGAAGATACAAACAGGAGCGCGGATGACCAGGCGTCGAAGCGAGCTCCCAATAGCACCGATAAGTGCGAAGACTCGGCCATGACTATGGTAGCTAAGTCCAGACACATCTCGCCTCCCATTTTCCACGAGTCGGATGAAATCCTGGACTTTCACATGATGAAGACACTGAGATCGACTGGAAAAGTATGTCAGCTCGCGCCCAGTCCAGTCTCACTCCTCCCACGCGAGATGAGACGCCAGCATTCCAATGATGTGAGCATCGCACACCCGTTTACCACGCTATTGAAATAAGGTTCATTATCATCCGCAAGTCTATCTCATTCATTGTCGTGAATCTCACTTGCTACAGCGCTCTTTCATGGGCAAGTTGGGCGTACAACCTCTCCTCACAATATGGTCCGAGATTGCTCACAAGGCTATCGCTGTATCTCGACTACTGGGTCATCTTATACATCGCATGGATATGCAGGACTTCTAGACGAAGCATAAAGATACAGAGCTTTGGTCGGAGTTGTTCGTCCTTACTGTCGTGTGTAGGGACAACGGTTGAGCTGACAACCCACGCAGCAATGCCAACATACTCAGCCATACATGTGGACTTGAACGGTCTCCCGATTTTCGGATTGTCGTGAATTGTCAGTTGAAGACTATGAGGCTATCAGGCATGCTCCTGGCCATGCTGGCCTCCCCATCTGCCGCTCTCAAGATACCACCACACGTTCAACACTTCTACAACGAGCTCAGAAGCAAGTCCGACTGTCACAGGAAGCTCTCGACCGGATTTCACAACTCGCAATTCGAGCCAGGAAGTCAATTTCCCAAGCCCCTTTCCGATACTAAACCTCTGGAGCTGACAGCATAGTAGACATGTCCTACTGCGGCGACCACCTAGAATCCCACGGAATCATCTATCTCCTCGGTCCTCATGGGAAGCTCTCCAATCTAGACATCAACTGCGACGGCCACTCTTACCCTGCCCTCTCCGACCGCTGCCGATCCCACGCCGCCAACAGAACCTTTCTCCCCTCCACGAGCATCCGGTATCTCATCGAAGACTACGACGTAGGTATCCCCGACCTCAACTCGCACATCCACTCTTTTGTCGTCTTTGGAAACACGGGCCCCCCTGGCTGGGACACCTTTGACCCGCGCGAGTACGGCGTGGAGAGAGCCAGTCTCATGATTGTCGTGTGTGGAGGGCACATGTTCTACGGTGTATGGGGGGACACGAACGGCGCCCATGGTCCGAGGGCGTCTGTCGGGGAGACAAGCTTGAGTCTGGCGACGGCGTGCTTTGGGGAGGGGATGGGCGGTGGTGATGAGGCTCACTCTTCGCATGATGAGCCTGATGTGCTCTATGTCGCCTTTACGGGACGTGATGCTGTGCCCGGCAGGGCCGGGGCCAAGTGGGAGAGCGATTCCTTTGAGGAGTTTCACGCAAGCATCGAGCCGTTGGGGGACAGACTGATGGAGAGGATCGGCGAGAGTGCGTGCTCATGGCCTGGACATTGTGAAGGTGCCATGTGTAGGGTTGCGCAGGATTGTGCGGATAATCTGGTGTGCCTCCAAGGGGAATGCGGCTGCTCGTGGCCTGGACATTGCTTTGGTACGTCATACATCCTTTCTGGAGTGTTTGCGTGCTGATGAGGACAGGGGCACATTGTGAAAAGGCACAAGATTGTGCTGACGCCATGACATGCGTCCGAGGCCAATGTGCCTAGTATATGTAAACCGATATTCGTAATTTGCTTGAGAACTATGAATGGTATAGTGCCAAATACATCAACGCCCCTGAAATGTCCTTCTTTGCTACTTTTGTACACACCATGCATCACGATGCCCCTTATTCAACACCCCCTCGACAACCACAACATAGTCCTATCCGCGCGACAAGCGCACGCCACCATCATGCTCCTGCTGGCCTGACATGGTAAAGTCCATGCCCTGCACAATATTCCCCATCTCCTCGTCCGAAATGTGTTCATTGATGAACACCGTCGCATCTTCTGCTTCTCGGAGCGGGCACTCGTTCTTCGAGCCCAGCGGCAGCGGACCAGCTTCGGCCAGTAGGGGCCCGCCGTCCTGCAGTATGCCAGTGGCACGCTTGAACCGGGTCAGCCACTCTTCGCTGTCGGCATGGGTGTAGTTCCACGGGTCATCCTCGTCGTAGAGGATCCAGCGCGCTTGGTGCTGTATCTCGGCGTCGGTAGGGACGTGCCGGGCAGGATTGTTGGGGGACATGGTCGCGGCCACCCAGCGGGCAAGGTCGCGCGAGAGACGGCGGTAGCAGTTGGCTTCGTTGAGATAGAAGAGGTTCAACTTGGACATGTTGCCGTCTGCATCCAGGATCGACGGACCACTCATGGCAGTCGCAGGTGAAACTGTGGTGGCGGTGCCGCTGGCGAAGGGCGTGGTGCCGGTTAGAGATGCAGTTGTCTGGGGTAGCGAAAACGCAGGCGAGCTGTCCGTCGGCTTTGGCTTTGGCTCGGCAGAGTGGCGAGACTTGAACGCCTCGAGCCATGTCACATTGTCGGCGGCGGTCTGGTTCCAGCCATCGTCGAATTCGTAGATGATGATACGCGCCTGACGCTGCAGTGCCTCGTCCGAGAGCTCGATACCAGCCGCGCGCTGTGTTCGCATGTAGTCCGATAGCTCTCTTTCTAACCTCGTATAGTTGTGGATGGTCGAGTCGATCACCGTGGGGTCCGTAGACCGGATGAGCATATCCTTGATATCGTCTGACCGTGGCAGGTGCGCACGCCGTCTGAACGGAGCGAGCCAGTTTGTCGAGGACACGATCATTCTCAGCACCCAGTTGGCCACAATGTCGGATGGATGAGTCGATACTTCTTCCACACGTCCGACAATGCGGCAGGCCTCCTCCTGCAGCTCGTCGTCCATGGCGGTTAACCCCAGTAACCTCTTGGCCCTGACAAACTCGTGCAGCTGGAACTCCATCGGGCACTGCTCGAATAAATTGTCCTTGCCGTTAATCTTGAGTGTCTCCAGCCTGTTCTCAGTCGCACCACGCAGGGGACCGAAACGAGCCTTTTTCATCAGGCTGTCGTCCTTGAAGATGAGATCACGCAGCCAAGAGACCTGTGTTGCGATGCCCTGCAAAGACAAGATTTCGCTGGCGAAAATAATACGCATGCCTTCGACCGCCATCTCCTCGTCTGTCGGGGACCGTCCGTGCTGCTCGCGATGGTTGCTGTCGAAGAAAGCAAGCTCGAGCTTGATAAGCTCGTAGGCGTTTCGCGGTGTCTCGGGCGCGGAGCCAGTGGCCATGTACGGGAATGGAGATGTGCGCTCATGATGAATAAGATCTGTATTGCTCAAAAGTTAGATGGCTGCACCTGATCTACGGGATACTGTAGAGGTCTCATACATGGAGGGATCGAGTTCTCGACATGCTCGAGCACCGGGTTCTCGAAACCCCAGTCACCCTTCCAGTCCGCCATGGATAAACCCGTCTTGAAGTGCTCTGCCAGGTGGTCCACCCGGTACGACCACGTGTCCATGATCTCGCCGCAGAAACCACAGCGCGACCTGATCTCCGGCGTCGCCACCTTCCATGACTTCATCGCCCAATCCATGAACTTGACGTTGTGCACGAGGCGCAGATGCTGGTTGAGATGGTCTTTCCGGTAAAAGGTCCGCTCCTCGAGCGTCCGTTCTTGACAGGTCGAGTGGTTATGACTCTCCAGGTGCTCATCGTCAGGGTTCGGCTGGCCACAGTAGACGCAGGAAAGCTGGTTTGTGTCGGGGCACACGGCGCGTGAGCCGTGAGGCGCGCACACCCACCGCTCGAGCGACAAGTGCAGTGATTTCTCATGCCGCTGCCAATCGTGCTTCGTCCGGAATGTCTCTGTACAGAAAGTACACTGGAAGGTCTTGAGAGGAGCGCCCAGCTCCGTCTGGTTGTTCAGTCCTTTGCTAGGGGTGGCCCTCCTGCGACGTCGGCGGCGTCCGCGGTTGTTGAAAGGTGCCGAGCCAAAAGAGCCAAAGGAATTGCGAGACCCATGGGAGTACGCAGATGATCCATTGCTGGAGTGCGAGGTGCCGAAACTGCTGGCCGAAGATTGATTGCAGAGTGACCGACTGGAGCCATCGTCGGTGTAAGGGTGCGAGAACGGGCTGTTCAGCCCGGAAGATACAGCAGAGGACGACGCTGTCACAGCGCGGGCAATGGCGCTGACCGATGCAGGTTCGTGCTCAGGAGGCGAGTGTGCCCAACGCTGCAGGGGGTTCATACTTTCGAGAGCGGGCGTGCCACGGCGTTGGGGGATGTCAATGCCACGAGATAGGTTGCTGGGGTGAGGTGAGGTCGCCCGCGGTCCCTGCACTTTGCCTCTGCGACGAGCGTTGGCCAGCCAGTTCGTGATTTGTGTCTTGCTGAGGCCCGTCTTTCGTTGCAGCATCTCCTTTTCCTCATCGCTGGGATAAGGGTGCCTGTTGTGGGTAGTCAACCATGTCTTGAGGATCCTCACAGACTCCCGGGAGAATCGAGCGCCAATCTTGGGTGGAGCACCGTCGGGCTTGGGTGCGAAGAAGTTGGTCTCTTCGGCAGTGCTCAGATTGGCCAAGTCGGTGGATGAAGACTGAGTGCTCAGTGACCGATGTAGCGGATGCTCCTTGGGGTCGTTCATGGTATGCTCGGCCCCAATGGTAGGCCACGGGTTGATGGGGAAGCCTTCCTGAACGGAGCCTGGCTGTGGACCAGACATCATGCTGACGAAGCTGCACTCGATGCTGAGCGCAATGCAGCTTGTGCAGTAGCCTTTGTAACGGCCCTCTCGGATCTTTTTGCAGACGTGACCGCCCATGATGCAGTGACCACACGGATACTCTGGTGTTTCCCAAAAGTCCGTGGGGAAATCCGTGCCAGTGGGCATCTCGGAGTTGGCAATGGCGTTGCCTGTCAGCGCGGGAAGATCAATGCCCCCGGCGTTTGTCGCGCCAAAGTGCTCGATGGCGCTGAAGCTGAAGTCATCTTCATCGACGTTACCAAGCATGAGATCAATGTTCTCAGGGGTTGGGCCAGGTCCCATGCTCATGCCAGCGAGGGCAGGATCAATCTCAAAGGGCGGGAAGAATGCGTCGTTATTGGTGTCGGCTGTGCTGTTGACATTGTCCAAGGCGTCGTTGGCATTGACGTTCACACTGTCGCCCCAGTTGACGAATTCGTCCAACTCGTCGAGTGCTGGGCGTGTAGACATGGTTTCAGTCAAGCAGACGACCTTATTTCTGGGGTGAAAGGGCGCGCGATGACAGGTGACCACGTCTGATATAAAGAGTAGGGCGCGCCTTTGCACCGGCTCTCAAAGCCTCCGATGCTGGTTGTCTGACTGTGCTTCCTCTCTGGGTGAAGCAGTCGACGATGGTGGAGCCTCGTGACAGGCGCCTTTGCTGCAACACGGATCACAGTGTTCTTAAATTGGAGGAACGAACATTGAAGTATGTCAAGAAGAGGAGAAGAAGAGAGAGTCTGTTCAGCCGTTCGAGTGTTGAATGCGCCGCTCTTGTCAGCACTCTGATCGTGTCCGGTGGTGCTGAGTGGCTGGCCCGCTCGCTAACTGCACCGCTGTACGGGGTAGAAGGCTGTGGTCGCTCTGCTGCTGGTCGTGCGCCCTTGAATTGACAGGCTGCGTCTAGGACAGTCCAATCCACACTGTGCCACGCGGCGAAGTCAGGCCTGACTAGTACAGTGTCAATTCATCCTGTCAGCATCGCTGTCCATCCGGCCCACACAGCCTACCCTGCCTGCCCCACACTTCTTGTCGTCCGGAAGGCGTGCATCTTGGTCGGACTCTCCACTGATTAGCGCCTCTGCTTCGAGTCTTTTTTTCCGCATGACCCCATTGTAGGCTGTATCATCCATGATCCGACACCGGCAATATTGAGTCGCATCATACCTGGACGCTACGTCCAAGCACTCGAATACTCCTACGTACATGGATTATCCGAGAAGTCATCTACCTTAGCAAGTCAATTTCTCCTCACCGCTGTTTGGCTGGTAGCTACGGATCACTTCATGACGTTTCTCGAATCTTCCTCATACGGTACCACGACCAAGTGCGCCAACGCCATTGACAGCCGTTCCTTGGCAGTCGTACTCGTGTCAAGAACGCAGGCCGAGATTCGAGAAGAGTCTCACTGTCCATACCAATGGGCGTGCATCGGCTTGTCCATACTTCACGTTGAAGCAGATTTCAAGACTCGTTGCAATTCGTCTGCCGTGTGATATCGCTAAGTTATAGGGTTAGAGGCTATTTGACCTGGTGGAGGCGTCAAAACGAGACTGCAACAAGCCGATGGTAGACAAGCATCCCGATAATTCGGCCATCAACGCCATCCAATGCTCGTGCCCCTTGAAATACAATTCCAGCCATGGAAGGCCTTTCCCAATACGCCTCGCTCTGCCCCCTTGGGGACTTGTCATCGCGTATACTCCGCCAAATAGTCGCGGTCACTCCTCACTTTGTCCTATTACTCGCCCATCTCCATGAGCTCCCTCTCCTTGGCAGCCAGCATCTCGCGCATGGCATCCCTTTCCCGCTGCAGCGCAGCCCTGCGTTCAGCCTTGACCTGCTCGCTCTCCGCATCGGACCGCGCAGGCGTGTGATCTCTCGTCGAATGTGTGCCAGGACTGTCTGGAGGAGGTGCCGTAGGGCCAGGTGATCGGAGTGGCGGCAGGGCAAAGTCGGATCGTTCGTCGTGGCGTCCGCCCTGCTGGGAGGAGGGGTTGAGAATCGACTTGATGGACGACAGCCTCTTGGAGTTCTCGCCGCCGCTCTCTTCTTGTTGACTTCGCGGATCGTGTTCGGCTGACGAGAATGAACGTTTACGCGTCAAAGACCCAAAGGACGCCGGCGACATGGAAGACTGGCGGTCGACCGCACCGCCAGGCGCATGTAGACCAGCTATTGGCGGGAGGCGGTTGTCGTCGCTCAGGGGTTGGTGCATGTTGCGCGGGCGCAACGACTGCTGGTGGTAGGCTGCGAGGTCCGACGCGCCGGAGATTGGCGAAGGCTGTCTGTGACCTTGGCTGCTAGGGCGGGCCGACATGTAATCCATGCCAGATGGCTGAGCCTGTTGTCTCCGAAAGCCAAGGTTCACGGATCCATCTTCGTTCATAGATCCTTTCACTGCCGGAAGAGGTGTTTGCGCGGCTTGCGACGCGTCCTCCATTTCCGCATCCTCGCCCGCTGGGATAACTCGTTTCCGCCTCTTGATTGTCGCCTTCTTCATTGTCGTCGGCCTGTGCACGTTGTGGAGCTTGTAGTAGAGACCTGCTGGCATTAGCTAGAGCTTCTGGTTTGGGCAAACGACTTTGACCTACCGCAAGCGTTGCAGATGGTGTGGCCACTCTCATCCCTCCTCCACAGAGGCGTGACCGTTGTTCCACAATTTTGGCATGCTATGACCACTGTGGTATCGTCTTGCTGATTCGGTGTCGTCGGCTGAACGGTGGTGAGATCGGTAGCATGATCGTTGATGCTGGTGAACTGAGACGAGCCTTCTGTAGGTGCATCCGCCGGGCGGCAACTTGCCGATTTTTGGCCCTTGACATTCAGGTTGGCGCTCTTGGACAGTCTGTTGTTGAAAGCAGGGCAGCCATAACACCCCTCCGCACCACCGGTCCCGTTGCAACGCCCACCACCAGGACATGATCCAGTAGGCGTCTGCTCAGCAGAGACGTACGTTGCACCGGGCACATTCGCGTTCGGCTTCGGTGCAATGGATATGGGCTGCCCATTTGACTTCTCTTGAACGACCTGCGGTGGCTTTTTCAGGCCGATGGGCCGTGACGTGTTCCTTGCCTTGTAGTAGAGGCCACAAGCGTTACAGATAGTAGCGCCCTGGGGCGATCTTCTCCACAACGGCGTACGTGTTGTGCCACAGTTGCTACCCTCGTCAGCTTCAAGAGAAGAGATATCAGACCACGACAAACGTACCTGCAAATCTGACCGCCTGGTGTATGGCTGCCGGGTGGCGGACTAGGCTTTGCTGCCGACATTGCCGTCGACGAGACGGGACTCGCTGCTGAGGGCGAGGGCGATGCATCACGCAGTGCGCTGTCCTCTGAGTTTGGTGAGATGCTTCTTGACATGCGATGGCTTGTGGGCGCTTCTGGGCGCAGGGACATTTCCCCAATCTGTGGTTTCGATAGCACGGGCCGCGACGGCAGAGCAGTGCGCGCCGCCGCATCGCGCAACGACGCAGAGAGCCTGTCCTGAGACGGTTGCTCGCTCATCTTGATGGTAAGGTGCAGTTATCTCCAAGGTAGCCGTGAGGTTCTCAAGGCGGGATGTGGGAGTCAGAACAGCCTCAAGCCTCGTGTCATAAAATGACTTGCCCAGGCATTGATTCCGGTCACACCGGATCTTTGGACTGTGAGAGGATAGTGACGATGAGTGCCCGTTGTGTCTGAGGAGACGAGTGTCCTCGGGCAGCGAAATGGCCGGCAGGCCAGGTGCGAATCGAACAAAAACCCCGAGAATCTTGAGCGAAGAACGGGAGGAGGCGACCAATGAGTCGTCAGCTGACCTAGGTGAAGACGTGACTGGGCTGAATAATACACCAGCCAGCGCCCAAGGTGAATATCAAGTAGATCCTGGGGACGATGTTGGATGGGGAATACTGATCGTGGGCACGATGAGATGGTTCCAAGCCTCAGCCTCAGCTTTCTTTGCCGCACTGACCAGAGGCCAGGTCCAGGAATCGTCCGTGCCTTGAAAAGGGTTGAAAGGATGAGGTGACACTTTGCTTTTGGTCAGTGAGCGCTGAGGCGTCTGTAGTCAGTCAGCAGAGCAAGAACTCGCGATGCCGCTGTGTCACTAGATGCTCCTGCGATGGGTTGACGTTGTTTGACATGGGTTAATTATGGATCGGGGATTTGGATCCTGAGATTGTGAGATCCAGACGACTCTCAACGGATCTCACCGAATCCAAGGAGTGTCAACCAAATCGTCACTTTCAAATGTTGATGCTGGAAGGAGCCAATTAGCGGCCGTGACCAGGCCCCTCAGGTAACAATGATTACATTCCCTCAGTTTTCATTGGCCGAACAGATCAGTCGATGCCCATAAGTGGGTCTTGATACATCTCCAGAACCGCTAGTCTGGGCTAGGCCACAGTGAAGACCGAATTTTGTACAGTGCCATTACTTGATTCGAGCCTCCAGTCGATCTTGTAGGTCAACCACAGGCTAAAATTGAACGAGGGCGACTTACCCATGCGAACGTTACGTGCTGCGATGCGCCAGCTCAGCTTTGATATGGCGGTACTTCTCTACTCGTACGTACAATGATGATACTGATAACTGAACTGCCCGCCCCCTGCTTGTCTGCCTCGTTATCGGGGAAGTGCCGTAGCGTCGAGTCGGGTGAAGTTCTTTTCTTGGCTCCTAGTCTCCTAGATAAGACCCGTCGTTGAGTCGTTGACAACACTACCAGGTAACCTAGACCCTCGACGTTCAAGCAAAGACGGCAGATACATGATTATGGAAAAATAAATTTGATTGCAAAATCCATTCAAATCTGTGTGCGTGATGATTTGAGTAATTAAAACGCAAAGTTGATGGCAAAGTTCGTGTAATGTCGTCGCTGGGCCTTCTACTGATCCCTTTCTGCCCTATTCGCAGACCTGGGCACTTTGGTCGCGTCAAGACGCGCCTGTCTACCACCACGGCCGAACACCTAATTACCTCGACGTCATTTCTTTTTTCCCCCAGTGACTTGCCCTCTCTCCATCCACCACAATGGCCACAGAAAGCGACACACCCAAACATGAGCCGACACCTGCGCCACTTGGGTCAATTCCGCAGAAGCGCGCTCTTGATGACGACCATAGTCCCGCCGTGTCTTCGCCCTTGAATCCTGACAACAGGGCCGCCGAGCAACTCCCGACTGACGAAGCACCCCATCGCACAAAGTCAGCGCGCGCCAAGAAGGATACATTCAAGAAACGCGAGGCAAAGGGCACTGACAGCGCGCGCGCAACGCCTGACCCAAAGCCGCGCAGTGTTGGGTTCAAGAGCCTCAAGGAATCGCACGATGCCGAGCTGAGCCCCCTTCGATTCGTCGCGCCTCCGAAGCAAACCGACTTTGAGCTCTCGAGAGGGCCCATCTTGGTCCCACACCACAAGGCTACGACCCAAGATGGCGAGGAGATTGAGTTCTTTGAGCCGACAGAGGGGTGAGTGCCGTTGGCCAGATGGCTCCGCTGCCAGCTTTGACTAACGATGCCAGCGTTGCGAATAAGCGCAACTTTCGTTATTCACATTACATAGGCGACCCCCTTTTCCCTTCCATGCTGTACTACCGACAGACCGAGCTCGAGCCGTACGGGCCCAAATTGACCTACGAAGACGCTGCGTCACACATCTTCTTCGATTCGACGTGCCGACAGGTAACCACCGACAAGGGATTCCGCATGGCCAGGGCCAATGTCGGCGTACGAGAGGGCAGGTGGTATTGGGAATGCAAAGTCAAGCAAGGCATCCGGAAAGCCAAGGATGGCGACTCGAAATCGCAGACAAGCAACCACGTCCGAATGGGCTGGGCGCGACGGGAGGCTTCCCTCGAGGCGCCTGTGGGATACGATGCATACAGCTACGGTATACGCGATGTGACGGGGGAGAAGGTGTGGATGTCAAGGCCAAAAGACTTCTTCCCACCGGGCGAGACCATCCATGAGGGGGATGTCATAGGTCTCGAGATCCAATTACCCTCTGAGCGGCTACATCGCAGAGTTATGGCCGGCACATACAACCCTGCGGTCGACCCGCACGAAGAGCTGCAGCCCAAACGGACGGCCAGTGCTGCCAACATTGTCCGCGAACGACCCGCGATCCGACACAAAGCCAACAATTACTTTGAGAATATCGATTATAGCTCGACAAAGGAGCTGGAAGATCTCATGAACCCATCACCTCTGGGTCCAAGTGGTGCTATGGAGGCACCAAACCCGTTGCATGCGTCCCCGAGTCTGCGCACCTTGCCGAAATCGTCCATCCGACTATACAAGAACGGGAAGCTCATGGGCACCGCTTTCGAAGACCTACTTGGGTTCCTGCCACCAGCTTCGAAGCAACAGCAAGGAGCCAGGGATGGGTTAGATGATGGCTCGTTGGGATACTACCCCGCCGTCAGTGTATTTCGAGGCGGCGCCGCAGAGGTAAACTTTGGACCTGACTTTTGGTACCCGCCTCCTGGATACAAGTCAACCAATGGCAATATGGAGATGGTGAGCAACGGAGAAACTGGCGGTGTTGCTCGTCCCCTTTCAGAACGATTCGAGGAGCAGATTGCCGAGGATGTAGTATGGGACATTGTCGACGAGGTCGACTTCTGGATGCAGGACGGCCAAGGACCTCCAGGTAGCGGAGGTATGGCGAGTGGTTCGGCCAAGGCTGGTCTCACGCACGGAAGGGGAATTGCACAAGACGACTAAGTCAACCATGAGATACTCAGATACCCAGCTGAAAAAGAAACGACACGTCAAGGTTGTCATCACTTCAGGGGAGGCCATTCATCATGTCTACATTCATTAAACCGTAGAAACTAGTCCAAAAGATCATAAGGGTATCATCATATCATTCCGATGGTTCATTCATCCCGGCGCTGACGCGAGCTTGATGCCTCCTCGTGCTGAGTACGGCGGCGGACAGGCTCAGCGACGACCGGCTCTCTGTCCGTAACCAGAGGCATAGTCTCCGACCGCGGGGCAGGCAATTGGGGGTCGTCAGGGAGTTCTTCGATCCTGCTGCTGCCGTCGACGGGAGCCTCGCCTTCGGCTTTCTCCTTCAGGAGGCGCTCCTCGCGTCCTCGCTTGTAGCAATACCAGAGTACGAACATGAGCACTATAGAGGAGTTAGCATCACGGGCCTGCCAGTCAAGTCAGGGGCTGTTGGCCACTTACACATGAGCGCCACGCTCCAAAGCACATTGACTCCAATGAAGGCAGGCCATCTTGTCTTGAGCGCTGTGACAATGGCCCTCAGCATACCGACGAGTGCGCCGGGCTTTGTCGCCAGTTCGAGGATGTTCTGCGGCACGAGCATCTTCTTCGTCGCCTCCTTGAGGCCACCCTCGGCGTTGAACTGGACGCCTTGGCTCTTGGCAGCCGCGGCGAGGATCTCGGGGGCGAGGCTGTTGGTGAGCTTCTCAGGCAGCTGCGTGACCAGCTTCTGCAGTGATGAGGGCAGCTTCTCGAAGCCCTTGTTGATGGTGCCGTCGCGGTCACTGATGAGCTTCACAAGGTCGTCGTATGCCGTAGGTACGCCGTTCGCCAGGTCCTTGAAGATCTGCGTGAACCTGGCCAGCAGGTCGGCGTTATCGCCGGCGAGGACCTTGTTGTTCTTCGCCTTGAGATTGAGACGTTCGAGGACGCGGCCGAGGTCGTTGGCTTCCCTCTGCTCTTCTTCCTCGGAGAGGGAGGTGTCCCCAGGTGTGACAGCGGGTGAGGCGGCTGGGCTGGTCTTGTCATCGCCTGTCTTTGACTTGGCTTTGGAGAAGAGAACGGAGAGGCGGCCTGGCTTGAGTTCCTGGTGCTCCTTGTCTTTGTTGTTCTCTCTGTCTTTGGCCCTCTGCTCTTTCTCCTTCCGCTTCTGCTCCTCTCTCTCCTTCTTCTGGCGACTCTTGTTGATCTTGCGTGGGTCTAGCGACTTGGCATCGTCAGACTGCCATTCGAGATCAGGCACAGCGAGAGGCCGCTCCGGCAGCGCAGGTGGATCGCCATCCTCAGACAAGATCTCTTGGAGGAACCGTTCGTCTGAGCGGTCGAGGATAGGCGTAGCAGGGTCATGGGTGGGCCTCGAGCTGGAGCCGTTGTTGTTGAGGTCCACGGGGGTGGTCACATTGCTGTTGCGCTCCTCGAGGGCCCTTGTGGCTTCGTTCTCGCGTGCCTTCTTGGCATCCCTGTTCTTCTTGACTTTCTTGTAGGTGAAGTACTCGAGCATTGCGTTGACTTGTACGTTTGGCTCAGGATGAATAACAGTGAGAGGATGAGGAGAGCTGGCCAGGGGATGCAAGCGACTTTTTAGTTAAACGTTTAGCGCCCACTCCGTCGCCTTGTCTTGAGCTCTGGACGAATCACCAAGTTTCGCATGTGCTCATGAATGATCATTGCCCTGCTTTGTTGGCCGCGTGTGCACCGCCACACTTGGACCCTTGGTGATGTCATCAGCCACACCTTCTCCAACCTCGCAAATCTAGATGCACCTTCAAAGTTCTTTGGCGCCCAACTCTTCTTAGAGAATCTTGGCACAGCCACGCAGGAGGTCCATCCATCCATTCATTCATTGTGAAGCGCTGGTCTTTACGAATTATCGTCACTGTCGACCCCTTGGTCGTCCGAGTCGCCCTCGTTGGGCTGTGCGTGGCGCGTAGTCTCTTCGGCCGCATTGCTTCTCCTCGCGCCGCCCGCCGTCCGCCGTCTCTCGTGCGCGTCTGTCTTCGTAACCGCCCTCTCACCGACATAATTCTTGCCAGTCCACGCGCGCGCGCATTTGGGACAGTTATTGTTGCCTCTTGACCTCCAGAATGCGTCTTCGCAAATGTCGTGCAGCCGGAGGTTGCAAAGCGGCTCTGCGCATCGCAGCCCGTACGTGATGATCTCCTTGCAAGCCGCGCAGGTCTTGATAGGCTGCCATTCGTCCGGTTCGGCGTCTGGGCTGTTGAACTCCTCAATGAGCCAAGGACGCAGCTCCAAGAGCGCCCTTGGCGACAGGCTGTAGAAGCCCTCTCGACTCTTCTCCAGCCAGCCGCCGGCTGTCATGTTCGCCAGCACATCCTCCACCTCACTGTGCTTTAGTCCACGGTCTGTCGGCACCTGCGTGCTCTCCTCATCGTGTGCCTGACTTGGCCTCGACCGTGGCCTCGCCAACTTGATTGCTTGCATCTGTGTGATCGCCATGACCTCCATGCGTGGGCTGTTGTGGGACTCGAAGATGGCTACCAGCAGCCGCTTGATGAACGCGAGCTCATCGGCAGTGAAAGTTGTTGCCAGCTGTGTCTGTGGATCTGATGTGGTGTTGATGAGGGCATACAAATGTTCTTTTGTTTTTTGGTGCGTTGCTCTGCGGACCTCATAATCGAACAGTGAGACAGCTTGACGGGCCAAGTTGATGTATTCCTCAAAGATTTCCTCGGTGATTTCCTCCTCGTCGTGCTCTTGCGAGCCATCGTCGGCATTCCATATGGCGGCTAGAATGGGGCGAGCCTCGTCGTATGTCAGGGTCCCCCGAGCCATCAGTGCTTGGAGGAAAGCCTGGTTGCCAACTTTGTAGTTTGGACCTATGAGTCCTTCCATGATTCTCCCTAAAGTGAATCTCGTCCAATTGACTATAGTGAATAGTTGGGCGGAGTCTTCGAATCATACGCGTTTGCGAACTTGTCAAAATTGAAGTGACGATGGATGGATGAATGAATTGATACGCGTCGACCGCGTTGAGTGCCTGCAGTGTGCAGGAGTAACGGTTGACCAATCATTGAATTCTTGGTGGGTCCCGCATCGACCTCCAAACATCGAACAAAGTGCTTTGCTCTTGTTCATGGTTCATCTGTTTGCGCGCCTCGTCAGTTGAGTGGTAGTCAAGCAGGATTGGTTGAGATCATTTCTTGTCCCAACCCTCATTTTGAGCTGCGGTCACTGTTTGCCAAATCAGCCCTCAGAAAACGCGTCAAGGGATCCCAGGGCTAGCTTGACAGCTCAAGACCACGCTCAGCTTTTTACGATTGTAGCCCCTACATCAGCCACTTTATCAGCAACGCGAGGCGAAAGTACCCTCTACCGGCGGATCGGAGTTGACTGCAGGTGGCGGGTGCTTGGACGGCCGCCATGGCGGACCAAAAAGAGTTCAACGTTATCCAGTTTGGTCGTAGCGATGGCGCGGATACAGGACCTGGGTACTGGCCTGCAACGCCCGCGCCGCCCAAGAAGGTCTCAGGGGCAGCAACAGACGCTGGACGACGGACAAAGCCATCAATGGCCAGACTGGCAGAGGATGACCCACGATTTGTCGAATGGAAAGTAAAGCTGGGGATTCTCCTGAAGCAGGAGTTATCGCCTAGCCCTCATGGTGAGATTTGGCCAGCGCACATTGCTCACCGCCCATATACTAATGCTCACAGAGGGGAATGCGTGGCTCGTCAACTTCCCTAGAGGATACTGGCTGTATGAGAAATCTAACAAGACTTGGGTCTCGGGCTATCCGATCAAGTCAAAGCTGTTCAGGACACCACAGGAATTCGCTTTCCATCTCATATGGCTTTCATCTACATCAAATGACTACAAAGACTGCTGTTGCCCGCATTGCAACTTCCAGAGCGCGCCCAAGCCTGTGGTCGTGGACTTGGACATGCCGAATCTGCCTCACGTGGAATCGCTGGCCAAGCCAGACAAGGTGCAGCCCAAGGCGACACATGTGCCGATACCCATCTCCGGGCAGACACAACAAGAAGCCACCGTTGCAAGGCCAGTTGCCGCCAAGCAAAGCGCCCTCGCGAGTCAAGCGCCCGCTCCGGTCCAGGTCCAGCCTCAAGTTCAGCACCAGCAGCAACTACACCTGCGGCCGCAGACACAATCTCCTATGCAAAGACAATCCCCGGCCCAAACACAATCGCAACATCAGGCTCCAGCCCAAAGCAATCCCCAACCACAAGCGCAACCACAAGCACAAGCTCAACAAGCAAACATTGTATGGAGCCTCAGGTCGCCACTTGTCTTCCGTGCCGGTGAGCTTGTGTGGTTCAACAACGGAGCGTCTTGGCGGTTGGGCATCATCGCGGCGTCAAGCCAGACGGCGCATGAGCTCTTGCCCATAGGACATGGCATGGTTCACCGCCCCAATGTGGTCAAGCCTCCCGAGGATATGCGGCCTTTCTATGCGTTCAGCGTGCCGTTTGTCACCATACCCGATCTCAAAGACAAGGTCTTTGACGACATCCCATGGGAGTCGACCTTCCATGCCCTCGGCAACGACACGGGCAAACGCGATGTCTTCGCGCTGGATGCGTCCAAGATGGCGGCGACCAAGATCGACTACTCGTATTCGACCTGGTCTCCCGTGTCACAAGACCAAAAGACCATCTTCTACTACGGCTGCTTCCTGGGAGCGGAGCGCATCGAGATTGGCGATGCCCTGCGCCTTCGGAAGCTGCCAGCCTCGCTTATGGCCGGCGAGACCGCGGTCATGGGGCTGCGGAACATCTTCGTGTCGGAAGAGCAGGGCGGCCTGCTGTTCCGCGGCCATCTCTACGTGCTCTGCAAGGATGCGTCCAAGAACATTGTCCCGCCAGAGCAGCTTCCCATCGCGCTGCGCGACGAACTGAAATGGAGGCAGTCGACCGCTTCGAAAAACAACACCTATCAGTACTCTCTGATCAAGGAGAATGTCATCCTGAACGAGAGGTCGATCAAGGGCCGCTTCTACCCGACGCATCGCCTGATGCCCATTCTGGACCCGGGGAGCTTCAACCAGATCGTGGCGTCGGGCCATGTGAACGAGCAGGTTATACCGCAACTGAACAACCGCATGGAGGCAGGCATGGGAAGATATATTGGCCGTAAGAGGAATCGCATCGATACACTGGGCCCCTGTGTGGCCCACGGGTCACGACTGGCGTTGGAAGGACATGTCAAGGAAGATATGTGAGGAAGGACTTAGTTTTATTGGATGTCACGGAGACATGGGCGCAATTATTATTCTCGCTACTGAACCTTGTAGTTAGCGGATCGAAGCTTTTGCACCAAGTAGGTAGTTCCCGTATGACTCCCTCCGAGGCGGCGTGAGCAAGGCTGAATGAAATATCTCGTCACGCTTATTCACTTGTTACGCGACGAACTATGCAACTCTATTTCAAATCAAGAATAAAAGGCCAGGACTCGCTCGCTTCATACCCCTAATCCTACTTCACGCATTGCCGTCCCCTTTGACAACGTGTATCGGCAACTCATCTAGCGCAATGAAACCTCATCAAAGAGTATCGCATTCTTCCGGCTCCAGAGCCCCAGCCCAGGATGAGTTCATCTCCTTCTATCTTCCCAACGCACCATATGGGGAGTTCTGCCAATGGTATCCCAGTCCCTTCAGCGTCTTCCCGGCCGAGATCGCCTCCTTGATAGGCCAGCCATGTGAACCCTCGGTTGTACATGATAGTATCACGTTCAACTGCGCCGAGCAGTTCATGATGTACTGCAAAGCAGGGCGGTTCCGTGACTTTGCACGCCAAGTTTGGTCAAAACGAAGGACTAAAGGCGAAGCTCCTCGCGACCGGGGACCGCGTGCTGGTCGAGGCATCAAGCAAGGATCGAGTGTGGGGGATCGGGTTCAAGGAGAAGCATGCCATGGGTCACCGTGCAGAATGGGGCGAAAACAGGCTTGGTGAGGCGCTCATGGTTGTTCGAGAACGTTTGAGATGGGAGGAGGAGGCGCAGATTCGGGAGAGGGCTGAGAGGGAGCCGTGGACAATCTACAACAATGCCTAAATACATGTCTACAACAATGCCCCAATACATGAAAATACATGAAATGGAACACTGAGCTTGCGGAGGCGGGAATTTGGTCCTGCTGAAATAGACGGCTGAGAGAACTTGCGGATACAGTGATCTTATATGATACATATGATACGTGGTGATGTATGTCAAAGTATATGAAGAAGGAGTAGTTGCTTGAAATGCGGTTCATCAAATAGGCGGCCGTCAGGTGCGTTGAGTCGTGAGCCCGGCCAAAAGATCAGGCACCTGTGCTCACATTGAGTGTAGCCAGGCGCGCCGCCAGCCTCTTCACAACTTCAGGATCAGGCTCGGGCTCAACCTTGCGCGGCTGTGCCCGTGGGCTTGCGTCCGACTTCTCCAGGCCACAGACCTTACACTTGGTCCCATCCTGAACATTTTCAGGATGCAAAGTCGTGCACTTGGCGCACTCGAAGCGCGGAATACTGTTGGGACCAAAGACATCGCCTGGGTACCCAAAGGGATACTTGTCTTTCTTGGGCCTGTTGTCATGGTTAGCTTCAGCTCGTGGCGGGGGGGTTCGTGGCCAACATACGGGTCGCGCGGACAGTCCGTGCAACGGACGTGGTCACAGCTTGCACACAACTTGCTTCCGGCGGCAAAGAGCGTCTGGCACTCGTGACATGTGCGCCGCACACGCTGGCGGGGTTTCTTGTAGACGAGATCGTACCCACCCTTCCTGGCTGGACGCGTGAGAAGCACTTCCCCCTCCTTCTCATCAATGTCCCAGTCAGGGGTGATGGGTGCGTTCTCCTTGTTGGCCTTGAGGATGGCCGCCTTCTTCTCGCGACTGGCGATGATCTCGGCCTCGGTGCGCTTCGGGGGGTAGCGCGCGCACTTTGTGCAACGGACGTGCTGACAGTTGGGGCATTCCTTGGCCGCCGAGAAGGAGGCGTTGCACTTGTGGCAGGTTCGACGAACGCGCATGCGGATGGGCTTGTCTGTCCGCAGCACGGTGTCGTTGGCCATGGACTTTTGCCATTCGGCCGGCTTGAGCTCGATACCGAAGCGCTCGCCCAGTTTCTTGGCTCGCTCCTCGAAGATCTCGGACTTGGACAGGCGTGAGACGCCCTGCATGGCCTCGTACCTGGCACGAGCCTCCTGCGCCTTGGTCAGAGCCGGAGCTGGCCTGCTCAAAGTGTTAGCAGAGCCGGTAGCAGCGCAAGTTCGGGAGGGTTTTGGTACGAACATTTTCTCAGGCAGCTCAGAGGCACCGCCCGTCTCGGAGGCTGGATCACGCTGCTCCCTCTGCTTTGTAGAGCTTTCACTGCGCCGGAGCACTGTTCGAGCCCTGGAGAATATATTGGTCAAACTCTTTCGTTGCGGTCTCTCGCCCTGGGGCGTACCACCCGGCGCATCTGGCTGAGAGCTCATGGTCGGGAAGCGTTTCCAGCACTAGGCTTGTCGTCAAAACGTCCGTCGTGTCGTCCAATTGGAGCAGCTGTTGAGCGCGCAGCGAGGTCTTTCGTCGGTCTCGGGGTGTCTCAGAGGGTCTCCCCAATGCTCAACTCGATCGTGGTTCGCGGCAATTCGAGGGGATGATAAGTTGAGGTCGATCGCGAAACACTGGGGTGTAGAGTGGTTTGCGCGAGAGGTTGAGCCCAAGGTCGGATGGTTTCGAGGGGTTCTTCTACCAGTTCACGAGAATCGAGGCCAAATAGATGTAAGTGGGAGGTGGGTGCGGAGAGATATAGGTACTTAGGTACGTACGTAGGTGAAGGGTTCTAGGCTCCGTGTCCGTGCCGCGTGGGCATCTTCAAGTCGCAGCGTCAGTACCCGCACCCGTGGACCTGTACTTGTACTGTACAGTGGGACAACGTCGGACCAGGTTCCCGGTTGCAACTTGCATATGCACGTACGTAGCTGGATTCCATGTACGCTTGTTTTTGCACGGACAGCACTGTGCTATCGGGACAGCATGTGCGTGCTCTGGCGGCGCACATGAAGGATGGATTGGACTCATTGGAGACTGAGTAGTACCTTGCTTGTACGTAGCCAAGACATCGGGTCCAGTCTATCGCGCCCGTAGTTTAGGCGGGCTCCAGTGCGGCGGACCCTCCAGTCACCTGCCAGTGCCACAGTGCCACTCCAGTCAGCTCAGCCTGTGCCAGCGGTGGGCTAAGGTACGTGGGGTCCAGCGCCTGGCGGCTTCTGATGTGGGTTACGGAGGGCGGTCGGTCCCGTCTTCTCGCCCCGTACTAGACTAGTCCAGTCATTTCTCTATCAACTTCACAAATCAGTCTTCACCAACAAGTCGCAGCGCTACAAGTGTGGGCACCGGAATCGAATCGTCCAAGGAGCCCAGAATGCACTCTGTACTGCAGGCAGCAGAAGGACTGGACCGGCCGCCACAAACTCCCGTCCGCAAACTCCGACTGTCTGGTCTGCTGGCCTGGCCGGACAGGATCCAGACAGCCAGACACCGCATGCAGCTGCTTGCCGCATGATGTATCACAAAGCCGGTCTCACAGACTCACAGTACGTACGTATGCGTGTTGACTCAGGCCAATGGTCGCAGTAGCTACCCAATCTGTTCACCAGGCTGCCTGGTTGCTGGCGGTTGCTGCTCACGGTAGCCAGTGAGACTTGCTCTGTCCTACCAAGCGAGTCTTCACGTCAATTATCCTAGAGACAAGGCTGGCAGCGGACAACGATGGCTATTTTCCCATCCAATGGACAGCTGCGTTGCAACTTACAATTGGGCTTTGACACTGGGCCTCGAATGTGGCCTCACCAACGTCACCCTACCGCGACTGGAAGTACCGGTACCGGTACAACGGGACGGCTGGGAAACAAAAAAAGGGGGGCGCTGCGGTTCCAACACATCGGGCTGGACCTGTGGGTGGCTTACGACCGACATCGTCGCACGGTACGTACTGTCGCAATGCCTCGCAAGAAAGGGCCTGAAAGTGTTCAAGCAGTCCGAGATTGTGACGGCATTTCGTTGCTTTGCATCACGGCTCAGACACGCGACACCCGTCTAGGCCAAGTGACAACTGAAGATGCATATCAGCAAGTCTAATAATAAGGTAACTATTGCAAAGCTGAGCTACGATTCTTGTGCAGAAGGACACAGCATTGCCAGGCAGATGTGGACATTTCGAGCTCCTGATCTTCGGGCAACAAACTTGCTGTTGAATTCATGTTGGCATCGATAGTGGCAGGCGTTACAGAGCAGAAGGAGACGCAAGAAGAGGGGGGGTCCCAGCAAACGACTTTCAAAAGATCCTCGCCATAGTTCGATCTTCATTCGCAGGAAATTCCTCTACGAGACGGTATCAGGGCAAGGATCAGTCATGCTGGCTGCCGGCTGCAGTCCAGTGCATCCACGGCGTCCGCCGTCCTGCAAGAGATATCCAATATTCGTGACACACTTGGGATCTTGCCGCATCATTTCTCTTCTTGCCTCATCGCTTTGCGAACCCCGCATCTGCCGTGCTTGGCTGCTCCGAGCCAGTGGGCTGGTTTCACGGCGTAAAGGGGTCTCCAGCAGATGTCACACGGAGCTCGTCAGATACATGTACTTTTCTTTCTGCCTTCAGCTCGGTTCTGGGTAGACATTCCACGGCTGAAGTTGACAGTGCCAATGAGATCTCTGTAGGGGCAGCATTTGCTCGCTCATTATTCTCATGGTACAGGCAGTCACAAATTGGTTCATACAGTGAACCGCTTTCGATCAGGAAGGGGGTATTGACTGCTGTTTATTTAGGTCTCGATCCAAACAGCATCTGCGTAGATCTCACTCAATGCGGAAAAATTACCTCATGCTACACATTCATACAAGCCATATGTCACAGCCTGTCAACAGAATAAGAACACTAATTACACAGCTTTATAATCTGGAGAGTTCTGACAGCGTAGAGCATCACGATACAGGGTAGCTAGCTCACAAACCAGGGCCGCGGGTCACTATCGATAAGTCAAGGTGGTTCCTGCCGCCACTGCGGCTAGCGTCCCGAGTCAACCAAGTCGTGACGACAGAACAGCGACGCGCATTTGCTTCTTGGAGAAAAGCTCTCAACTCCAGTCAACACCACATACATATCACAGCTCACAGCTCACGCAAACGCCCTGCAACCTCATCACTCGAACGAGCTGTCCTTTCCGACGAATCTCACTCCTACCCGCGACGCAACTATACCAGACTGTGCAAAGACCACGCGCACAGTCATCTTGACCTGAACCGCTCCTCCACTCTCGGCTACATGCAATACGAGCCCCTCGCCATATCAGAACAGCACCCAGAACCCGGAAAAACACTCGACTCCCCTATTTCCTCCCAACATGGCTCCCTTCAGCAATGCGACTTATCTCATCGAGACCGTCTCGACGGTCACAGCGGAAGTGCCTCGCCACACTCCGTGCGACGCGATCACCACGACGACCTCCCCGCGGGGTTTGACGCCGGACACCTCGACGAGCGATTGCGTGGCCTAAGCCTTGGTCATCCGCTTGCAGAAAGCGCTGTACTCCCGGGAAAACGCATTGCTGACTATGAAAACGCGGTTACCCCCCCTACACCCAAGCAGGGCCTCGGTTTCAAAGTCATCAAGCGCCGGAGTGACTCACATATCGAAGACATTCATATTGAGGACTTTCCCAACGGTATGTACGAGCGGATTCACAATAGTGGTGATGGTAGTTGACACGTGAAACAGAGGTCCTGACGCACATCCTGTCGCATCTCCATCCCGATTCCCATGCTGCCGTGTCACTCGTGTCCAAACGCTTCTATGCGCTCATAACAACACCACATGCGTGGCGCATGGCCTTCTTGCGATATTTCCCTGCGCACACCTTACTCAACACGAAAAGTGGCAAGGCAAACAGCGTCTGGTCAGAGTCGGTGACAGATGTCATCCGGTCCGAGACCCGCCACTTTACGCGCCTCACCCCCCTCGCTACCTGGAGGAGTGAATACCTGTTCAGGACTAGATTGATACGGAGTCTTGAGCGAGGTAAACCAGGGCATGGCATCGGATCATCAGGTCGCACGAGCCAGTCAGGCAAGAAGAACAGTGCTGTCTTGACCTACAACTCGAAGCTACCTTGGCTCATCACCAACATCCACGCTGTTTTCAACAATGGCAAGAAACCTCCTCGAGCTATCCAGGGCGCAGCCGCTCTGGGTGTTGGCACCATGAGTGACCCGACCAGCGGGAAAATTGAGAAATGGGGCCTCGAGGATCCTTTCTCCATCCTCCAGCTAGATGAGATTGCGCCCAACACCATCCCCTACGGCTTAGGAGATGGTCCAGCTGCGGTGCCCAATGTGATGGATGTCAGCCAGCCTTACGGCCTTTTGGCTGGAGAAGGGTTCCCAGGCGGGCGGGCCTACTTCCGGGCTGTGAACGAGAATCGAGGTCGCTACTTGGGCGCCGAGTCGGCCGTCGCGGACACATACCCCGATATCCCCAAGGTTCCCGAAATGTCGGATGCTGTCTCTGCCGTGTGGCTGGCCAAATCGTCTGCTGTCCCAGCGGCTACCTCTGCCATGGTTGGCATGTTGGTTGGCTCTACACTTGGCGTTATCACCGCATTTGCGCTTGGCTGGGACTCATCAGGTCCCAGGTTCGCCAGTGGAGACATGACTGCCACATGGGTGCTGAGCCCTGGTGTGCCAATCATCTCCATCAAGGTCGACGATCAGTACAATGCCAAGCGCAAGTCGAGTAACAGGGCGTGGGCAGTTGCACTCAACGCCCTGGGCGAAGTCTTCTATCTGACGGAGACACCCGCCCACAACCTAAGCAACGCCAAGGGGGAGGACGCGCGCAAAAACGCCTGGTACGCTGGTCGCACAGCATACTGGCATTTGCTCGAAGCAACCCGGCGCGTGGCTCGACCGGACGAACTGGACCAAAATGCCATCCGCGGCACCTACTCCCCTCGATCACCTGCTGATTTCATGAAGCTGAGTCAGGAGCAGATGGCCGCAGAAGCCCGCGAGGTCGAGAAATACTTGCATTACAAACCTTCCCATTTCGTCAATGTCTGCGAAGGCTGGGACATGCGGCGCAAGTTAGAAGTGGACTTCGCCAACGATGACGGAAAAGGCGCAGGCGAAGGCATCTTTGTGTTCGACTGCGGCTTGGCAGAAGGTCGCCCTGCCTGCGTGCACCGGTATCAGCGCACTTCTGCCCAGGGCCAGCAGGCAACGCCTGGTGCGTCTTCAAGTCCAACGCCGCCCTCTCTGTTTGGCCGTGTCGATGGGGAGGCAGCGGATTCCACATCGACCCCCGACGCCCAGAATCCCAAACCTCCTCCATCGACTCCCCTCAGCCCCGGCGTGGCTTCTCCAACAAGACAACACGAGTGGTGGTGCCATGCGCTCAAGTTCAAGACATCTCCTTCCACCGTCATCACGGCCACTGCGTTGGACTGCTCCACCCATGCCGTCACCAGGCTGACAGAGGATCCCCTTCATATGGCCGCCGAAGGCACTAGCAACGACGTTGAGATCCCCGGCCGGCGTGCGCGCTTCCTCGTGCTGGGCACCAAGTCTGGTACTGTCGTGGCCTGGAATGCGAGAGAGAGGCCCAGCAGCTCTGATATACTTCCTGTTCGCACCATTCAGACCGAATCGCCGCAAGTCTCCAGCGTCGCGGCCTCCTCTCTGTACATTGTTCATGGCGGAAGCGATGGCCTTGTCCAGGCATGGGACCCCCTGGCTTCCAACACGGAGGTGGTCAGAACACTGAATGCCAGATCGAATGGCCGCGTACCCCGTCACATGGTCACTATGAATCCAGCATTGACGGCGGAGCATTACTGTGCTGCCAGTGCCATCTACCTCGACCCGGACCCGACTGTCTTGCGCGGAATCGTGTCGTTTGGCGCATTCATGCGCTACTGGTCCTACAGCTCGACCCCTCATCATCCCGGTCGCAAGCGCCGTCTCCGGCACTCTGATATCCACGGCCGAATCGCTAGTCGTCGCCACGCAGGGACGAGCTCGAGGTACATTGCTGCAGAAGAGGCCGAGCTTCGTCGTGAGAATGAAGACCGAGAACGCGAAAAGGCACGACTGCGCAGTCGCTTTGGCGTTGGCGCGTTGGGCGATCTGACCGAGGAGGAGCAGCTGCTGTACGCGCAGATGGTGTCTGAAGAGGCGTTCGCTGTGGAGGAGCAACGGCGCACGAGCGACTCTGCCGAAGCCAGTATCGACTCTGCCTCGTCCTGGAGCGAGACGACGGCTGAGGTCGTCACCCCTGAAGCCAGCGTTGCGGGGCCTTCCGCCTCAGCGCCCATCGTTGAGGAAGATTCGGACTACGAGCAACAGATCCAGCAAGCGCTACGTCTGTCGCTGATGGAGGGCGTGAACGACGTGGCGGCACAGTCACCGCGTAGCCAGGGGCCAGGGGACTTTGAGTTTGCCGTCAAGTTACGACCTATGGGTGGCAAGAATCGCAAGACGTCACGCTCTGGTTCCAATGAGTCGCCTTCAGCGAGCCACACGCCTAGTATGCCATCTCTGGACAACCTGGCTCGGCCATCGACGCAGGAAGAGGAGGACCTTGCCCTGGCTCTCAGTTTGAGCATGGCTGGTCAGGATCCGTCTTCCTCGGCAGCAGTTGAGAACGGCCATGTTGAAGTTGAGGAATTTCCGACGTTAATGACCGAAGGGGTCGGCAAGGGCAAAGGTGTGAGCAGATGGTGATTGTCCCTTGAGTGCGCGACGTGTGTCTTTGCTTCTGGATTGCTTGATAATACCTTTTGTTCACTTCCCCGTGGGTACACGTATCCTACTAGACCTCTTTTGAGCTCCCTTGAAATATATTTGGTATTATTCTTTTATTAAGTCATGCATATTTTGACCTCTATCTGGTCTCTCGAATATTTGTCCTGCCACGAACGCCGAATGCCCGTTTATCCTGATGTGTGCGTGCGCGTATATCTGTCGTAACCCTTATCATAACGTCGTTAAATAATGACCCCTTATATCAGGAGCTCCAGAATGGCCAGTACTGTTATACCAGCTGAGATTCTGTGCGGTGACAAAGCACCCGCGCCATCGTCCTCATCGTCATCATCATCCTTGCTGCCTCCCGTCTTCTTCGGCCTGCTCTCGCCCTCAAAAGTGGCGACGACCTTGTCCGTCTCATCGCTGCTTGTGGACCGTTTGCCGCCTAGTGTCACGCTGGACATCCTCACGCCGTCTCGTCCCACCGTGAGCACCTCGCCCCCCATGGTGGTCGTGACATCCGCATCGTCCACGCTAAACGTCTTGCCGTTGATAAAGATGACATCGTCAGACCGCGAGACCGTCACGCCGCCGACGAAGGCATACAGTGTCTCACCCGATGTTGGCGCGAGCATAGTCGACTCCAGAGTCACGCCATCTGGGCCAATGGTCAGGGTGTCATCGTCAACCTGCGTCGTCATCTGCTCCGTGTCCGTTCCGTAGGTGATGGTGGTCGAGTGGATGACAAAGACAGTCGGCCCGATCGCTGTGACCCTCTCGCCGCCTGCGACTGCGATGCCGTCCTTGCTGTCCTTGATAGGCCAGGAGATGGCATCGTTGCCAAAGATGGCCACGCCCGGCGATATTGATACAGCTTCGTGGTTGATAACTGTACTCAGACCCTCCTCGGGGGCGGTCATTGTCGTCCCGTCGACCACAACCACACTCCCTGAGGCTGAAAAGGGTAATCCGTGCATCGTTGTACGTAGCTGAGGCGGAGGCGGGGGCTTGATGAGAGTCTGGCCCCCACCGACGACCGCCGTGGGCCCGATGGTGAAAGTCGCACCACCAACATGGACGGTTGTCGTCTGGCCTGGTCGTAGATTGGTGACTGTCTTTGTGCCTATCTGGACCTTGTCCGGCTCCGCTGTGACGATGACTTGTGACGGGCTCGTCGTCACTTGCGCCGGGGGGGCAAAGGGGTTGGGCTTGTGAGGATCGGACGGTGATGCTGTGATATGATGACCGATAGGGTCGAGGCCTGCACCATCGTTCCTGTGGGAGCGGCTGTAGCCTGGTTTGGGCCCCGGCGAGTACACCACCTGTGGATTCTTGTCGGTTGTGATAAACGTCACATACGGTATCGAGGGTGTTGGGAATTCCGGGTAGACAGGCTGTCCCGACTTGATGGAGGCGTGAATGCTGCTCACTTTGCCTTTGGTCGGGATAGAGCCAGTGATGCCCAGGTTATCGCAGTATGTCGGTAGGTCAGTGGTGGGGTAGGGAGGTGTGTAGTCCTGGGGCTGCCCGTAGTACGTCGTGGTCGTCGTGTAGAGGGTGGAGTAGATGGTCCAGTACTCGCCGAATGTGTAGTGTCTGCAGCTTGAGGATTCATCGCTAGGATCGGACCCGGCAGTCCTGGTTCTGGAGGAGATCTCGGTGTGGTTTAGTGAGCTTGGTGAGCTTGGTGGGCTTGGTGGGCTTGGTGGGCTTGGTGGACTGGGCGGTCTTGCGATATCTGTTGGAGCATGCCATGTCGTGACTAGTGGCGCATGGCTGGGATTCGATGTGGTGGCCACTATCAGCGTGGTCGTGGTCGCGGTCGCGACAGAGCTCTCAGAGTTAGAGAGAGCGGACTCGAATGTATTCGGACTCAAAGGATGGTTGTCGTCAGAGGGGGCGATCGAAGATGCATTGCTAAAACGAAACTCGGACCGTGGTCCAAGGCGTTGTTCCCGGATATCTACAGACGTGATGGTCAGCATTGCAAGCGAGAGACGAGTTCGGAGGCATCATATGCTCTATAGAGGGCTGGACGTACCAGATCGCACGGCTGCCAAAGCTGGAGCAGAAGACAGAAGAAGCAATGATGCGAGCGCGTAGCAGGCGCACTGTCCTGCGGTGAACCTCATCGCAGGGGTTAGTTAGGAAGACGGAAGCGACAGACTGTGGGTGAGTGAGCGAGGAGTAGAGAACGAGGAGGCTACGTTGCCAACGTCAAGCGACGGTTTGACTGCAACTGATTGACGCCTCGAGGGCGACACATGGACGGTGGAGAGAGAAAAGATTGGGTCATGACTGCCGGCCGAGATGATTTCAAGCGCAGATTAAATGTTCCGCACAGAACCTGGGGTTCAGAATCAAGATCAACAAAAGACATGCATGCCATTCGTGCGCTATGCTTCTTTGAGGAGGAGCCGGGCTGGGGTCCCTGGTTATCTTCAATTGAATTCTTGATGGAGTCGCTTTCTTTTGTCACTCTGTGACTTGACTGTTGCTCGTCGAGGCATGGCTGGCGAGAAGCATATCTTCAACTTGCAACAGCCACGTGCGAACACAGCGATGGGGTTCAACTTTGCAAGTCTCTCGGGACCCCTGATCTCACTGGAATGTATTTGTCAGTCCGAGACATGTCTCCAGGCCAGGCCCCAGGGTCTCTCGCTGGTCTCAGGAAAGGAAGAGGGTGTCGTCGATGCACGTGATCCCCGTTTTCGAACGTCGTTCAGGCCATTCACTTCAATTTTTTGATGGACGAAACAGCTACACGATCAGACATCGTCCTTGGCGACGAGAACGAAATGTCACAGAGGCACTCCATTATCTCGCCCTCGGCTCCATGGGCCGCAAACCCCAGCGGCCAAACAGGACACTGTCCTCGTCCCAGCCATTGCAGTCCGTCGTCAGCATCTTTTCGCCTGTGAACACGGCGTTGGCGCCAGCCATGAAGCAGAGGGCCTGCTGTTCTTCGGACATGTTCTTGCGCCCGGCCGCGATGCGGATCACGGTCGCCGGCATGAGGATGCGCGCCGTCGCAATCGTCCGCAGCATGCTCGCAAAGTCAATCGGAGGGCGGTCACCCAGGGGCGTGCCCTTGATGGGCACCAGCGCGTTCACGGGGAAGCTCTCTGGGTGCGAGGGCAGCGTCGCCACCGTAAACAGCAGCCCGACACGATCTTGCGCTGACTCCCCGAGGCCCAGGATGCCACCCGAGCAGACGTTGATGCCCGCGTCGCGCACATGAGCCAGCGTCTTGAGGCGCTCATCGTAGCTCCGCGTCGAGATGATGGACGGATAGAACTCGCGACTCGTGTCGACATTGTGGTTGTACGCGGTCAGGCCGGCCTCCTTGAGCTCGCGCGCCTGCGCCCCGTCGATCATGCCCAGCGTGACGCACGACTCCATGCCCAGTGCGCGTACGCCCTGAACCATGGCGCGGATGTTGCGTAGGGCGTTTTTGCGGCCGCGCATGTCCCGCCACGCGGCGCCCATGCAGAAGCGCGTGCTGCCCCTGGCGCGCGCCACGCGCGCCGCCTCGAGCACCGACTCGACCGTCTCGACCTTCTTCGCCTCGAGACCGGTGCCCTTCTGGTACCGCGTTGACTGGGCGCAGTACGAGCAGTCCTCGGTGCAACCGCCCGTCTTGATGTTCATCAGGGTGCAAAGCTGGACCTCTGCTGGATCGTGGAATCGACGGTGCACAGAGCCCTGCCAGCATGCCAAGTCAGCTCAGGAACGCATCACGAGGCCCTCGCCTATCCGGGGTCTTAGCTGTGTCGAACGCACGGATTCAAAGGCCAGCTTCATTAGAGGCTGGTGGTAAATGGCCGAAATCTCCTCCTTTGTCCAGTTGTTCCGGACTTGCGTGGCGGCCACAGCTTGGCGGAAGATCTCCTCCGCCTGTTGTGTCTGCTTCACGTCTGGTTGTTTATGGTCGTTTTCAAATGGGCTGCGTGTAGGCAGCGGCTGCTGGTCCACGACGGTTGAAAAAGGTCGGTTCAGTACTTGGCATGGACGAAGGCTGTAAGCGTGTCGTGAGGCAGCCGCTCGCCATGAAGTGCTCATCATGTTGACAGGCATGGTTCAACTGTGGCACGTCTGGATGGCCTCCCGCTGCGAAGGCAGGGGAGAGTCATATATAGAGGCGTGAGTCACAAAGAGTATCTGTTGATCACCTCCCCTACTACTACAAGGGTGTGATGTTGCCGGGCACCACTTAATGAGATGGGGACGGACGGCTCAACAAAGTGCGGGTGGGCGGGAAGCACATGCCGCTATGCATGCAACTGTTGACTACGTACCGTTGTTAATTGGCGACGAGTGATTGGACTCGCAATGTTTGCGGTATTAATATCACCTGGTGAGAGAAGCTGTCGGTTGTCGCCTTGGGCAGGCCCAAGAATGCAACGGACATGCATAGCTAGCCTAGTACATGTAGCTAGCCACGTCAGGTCAGATCCGTCCGGTCCGTGCGAGACCAGACAGCTACCGAGGTCAACAACGGGCCCATAATCGCGAAACAAGCTGCGCATCAATTTTCGGTGCTTGAGGAGGATACAAAGCGTGTCTATTTACCTGCATCAGCGATGCGGAGGCCGATACTAAGCGGCTCGAGGTCGTCCTTGGCCACCCAGCTAGCCCGCCAATGTTGATACATGTATCAACGCCCTGGAGGAATTGGTCAATGCCAGAACCGAATGCTAGGTCGGCAATACTAAAAGCTCTTGATCCCTTAATTGCTGCATGAGGACTCAATTGGTCGTGGAGTCACTTGACTGTATGTGATGAGGTCAATTGAGTCGTTGGATTCAAAGGGGTTTTTCTGGTACGTATGACTGGGTGACTAAGCCTAAAAGGGGCCTGACCAGGGGCCCCACGCTTGTGCAAAGTCCCCGAGTTATGCACCTTGTGCTGGTCGAGTGCAATGTTTGATGAAGCGACATCATTCATGCAGGGCGACAGCGTTCGTCTCTCCAGGTTCACCACGACGAGTACATGTAGGCGACTATCATTTCGTCTGTGACGTTTTTGCAGCCGCTCAGCCTCGCGCCGCTTCTTTCCTTCTTTACAGATGGACGGGGCCAATGCGGATCTCATTCGCAGCATTGTTGCGACGGTCTGTTGGCCAGACGCCCATCTGGCTCATGTGAGCCCGCCATGAACATGTTGGCATGGCTACTCATGGCGACTGTCATGAGGACCGCGCAAGCTGCCAAGCCCTCGGCTTATTCGCTTCCCAACGGCAGATGGGCTGGCATCGATGGCAACTGGTCGACGACTGAAGTCTTGCTCGGCTCTCAGCAGCAGAAGGTGAATGTTCTTATCGGCACAGCGCTATCTGAACTCTGGGCTGTAGGCACTGGAGGATGCTATCCCAGTACGTAATGACAGCCCTTTGGATAGGACACAGCTGACTGATGTAGATGAACCGCACTGCTCCTCTGCGCGAGGCGGTCTGTACGACCCCATGCAGTCGAAAGACTGGCATGATATGGGAACGTGGCAGCTCGGGCTGGATCATCTGAATCACAGTGCGAATGGCCGGTACGGTCTCGACGCGTTGCAGATCGAGCCCACCGACAGTGAGAAAGGGCTGTCCATGAAACAGGCTTTGACATCTGCCTATAATTCGACGGACTACTATTTGGGCATCTTCGGTCTCGGTATCACGCAGGGAAATTTCGGGGACGTGGTGGCCAAGTCACCATTGACGGCTGCCGTCGAGGATTATGGACTCTTCCCTAGCTACAGCTATGGCTACACTGCTGGAGCCCACTATCGTAAGTAGCCACGGTCACCGTATACCTCTGAGCTTTGCTGATGTGTGCCAGATAACACGCCCGCTTCAATCACCATGGGTGGTTTCGACTCTAGTCGCTTCATCAATCATGACATTGACTTTACAGTCACAAAGCAGGACACTCTACTACGGACCCTCGTCCGGGGTATTGAGGTTGAGACCGATGGGAATGAGACCCCTAGCAACTGGAACTCATCCGTAGAGGCTCTCTCCGGCTGGGATGCTCCTTTTGTTGCGCTCATCGATACGGCGACGCCCTTCCTGTGGTTTCCAGATCAAGTGTGTGACGCATTTGCACAAGCCTTGAATCTAACATACGATGTTACTCTGGGCTTGTACACCATTGACAACGACCAGTACCAGCAACACCACAACTCAGACGCCCTTGGCTTCCGCTTCACACTGTCAAGCACGGACAACACAGACGACCTGGGAGACCCCATGAACACCCCTGGCGTAGTCAACATCACCGTGCCTATCAAGGCCCTCATCAGCACCGTCCAGTATCCCTTCGACAACGAGGCTATCAAATATGGCGATCCAGCAGTTCCCTATTTCTCCCTCAGAAGGTCGGGGGACAATTCGACCTACGTGATAGGACGGTCGTTCTTCCAAGAGGCTTACCTCCTGACCGAATATGATCGCGAAACCTTCTCCATACACCAGGCGTTGTTCCCTGACAGCCCGAATGAGAGCGCTGTCCTCGAAACAATTGAGCAGCCAGATGGCAGCCCATATCCACCACCCAAGTCACGCAATGATGGCATGAGCACAGCCGCCATTGTTGGAATTGCCGTGGGCGTCACAATCGCAGTGGTCCTTACCCTGGCACTAATTGGCTGGTGGTTCTGGCATAAGCGTTCCAAGGCCAAGAACGCTGCCGAAGATGAGAAGAGATCCGAGAACTCGACGCCTTCTACGACCTGCGATACGCACAGCCCCTCCTTCTGGTCCAGACTCCTACACCGGAAGAACCCCCACCAGGATCCCACCGTACAGCAGGACGTCAAACCCTCTGAAGCGCCGGACACGCAGATATACGAACTCTTTGCGCCCGTGCCGCCCGTCGAGCTCAATGCTGATGATGGAGAGACTGACGATGACAGCAGAATGATCGGTCAGCACATTAACTCCTACGAGCAAGCTCGTCTCAAGCTCGACAGGCAGCTTGCTGGGCCGGTGCCAGAGTATACACCAGCAGCTGACGGTTGGGCACCGCCCCCTGAGAAGGCCCCGTACGAATATAGCCAACCGCGACTGCACGCTGATGCGCCGAGCAACGGCTCCGTATCGCCACAAGCATTTGACTCGACCGACTCACATAACTCGAACCGCATGCCTGCATCGACCGGCTCCCTGGTGTCGCCTCTCACACCCAGGGATGGCTGGGCAGAAGGTTCTACCAATGCATCAAACTTGTCATCCCCATCAGCGGTTCCGAGGCCGGAAACAAGAGATCAATCGACATTGTCAGATGCTCACACCGGGCATCGTCTCCCCGCTGGCTCCGAGTCACCAGCCAGCGTCCAGCTGCCACCATCCTCTGCCGTACAGCGCACGCCGATTGACCCGTCCAGAATTGTGTTTTTGGGACCGCTGCCCGACAGCGTGCGTCGTCGACATGGACGTCCCGAAGCTTCTGGCGGTACAGTGCAGAACGACTCGGTCGATGGAACACTGGGAAGCAACTACTTTGAAGAGGGGGAGAGGATGCTACCCTTGCGGGGCCAGGTGAACCACAGGGCGGAGGCTCCTCCTGTATCGCGGGGGGCAGAAGGGCCCGGGGATGGTGCTCCTGGTGATGGCGGGATGGAGTTTGTACATGTGCCGCAGATGGCCGCGAGGAGATATAGCTGGGAAGAAGGGACGACAAATTAGGCTGTTCTAATGACTGGCGAGAATGATTTACAGACATGTTCATGGACAGTTTTGTTTATAATTTGCGAAAGGTATATAGAAGGGCGCATCAAGGATTATGGGTACTTTGCCCCTGTATCATGACTTTATGTGCAAGTCGTATGTTTGTTTATTCAGCTCCAGATATAGGTATCACCAAATCTCTTGCCACCATGTTAGAGCGTTCAACTCTTGTTCCCTCTTTTCTGTCTCGCCTGCACTCTTGTACGGCTCGAACACGGCCTCTTTGCATGCGTCCGCCATCTTGCTTGAGCCACCGCACACAGCAAATATGGCGCCCTGCTGTATCAGCGATGCGATTTTGTCCGCTTGCTGCCTGACGAGATGTTGTATGTAGAGCTTCTTCTCCTGGTCTCTCGAAAACGCCGTAAAGACTTCCAACTGGCCCCCACTATGCAGCGCCTCCCATTCCTTCTCAAAGAAATAGTCTGCCTCGCGATTACGGTTGCCGAAGAAGAGTAGCATGGGCCCAGGATTCGGATGGCTGAGGCGCTCGTGGACGAGACATCGAACAGGTGCAACGCCCGTTCCTGTTGCCATCGCGACAAGGGGCCGTTGCGCATTGGCGGATCCGTGGATGGGGCTGAGGACGGGTTTGCGAGAGACAACAAGAGTCGACGAGAGGGGCATAGATGCGAGGTAGCGAGAGCATAGACCTTGTCGCGGCTTGCGCAGAATAGTGCGGTACCGCACCAACGCCACGAGAAGGTCGACTCGTGTCCCCAGGCCGGAGGTTGATGAGCCTCCCCCGTTGGCGATGCTGAAGTCTCGGCCACGGATCAGAGGGAAGATGTCGAAAAGTCGCTCCGCTGGTAGCTTGACGGAGGTAAACTCCTCCAGTACCTCGAGGATGCTGCGCCGCGACCGTGTGGCATAGTCGAAATACTCGTCAATGTACAGGTTCTGGGTGAACTCCAGCAGACGGGTCTTGTGGTACTCGTCCGTGGAGAAGTAGGACATGCTCTTGAGAAAGGACCTTTTGGGAATGGCCGTAATATCGACGTTCTCGAGGAGGAGGTTGCGTAGTGTGCATGGTCGAGGGGCGAATAGATTGCGAGGCAGTGACGGGCAGAGGGAGAGGTCGAGGGGGATGTCCGCGATGGATGTCCAGTCCATGAGTACGATGAGCCGGTGGACGTCCTCGGGGAAGTTCTTGGGATAGATTGCGAGACAGTCACCTGGGTTCGTCTGGAGAACCTCGCCGGTAGGCCGCTGCTGAATGTCAAAGGATACTTGACGAACGTCTTGCCAGTGCGAATCAGGGGTGAGTCGACTGTTCTCGACAATGGTGGCTGTCCACCCATCTGGGATAGGGAGTGGTCGTTCAGGAGGTGGGCCGGTCAGGATGGGTTCTGCGTCTTGTGTGTGATGCCCGTTCGAGGAGGCTTTGATCTTGTCCAATGCTGGGGCTAGAGACCACCGAGCAGGCAGTACTGTGTCGTCAGGTATGGGCGACTGGCCTGCCTCAAGAGGGTATGCCTCCAGCAGGTGATTATGCAGCCGCTCCCCCCAGTTTGAAAAAGCACCTTCGATGCTACGATGTGTCAGTTGTCGCACGTATAGAGTGAGGAAGTCCACTGTCCTACCCATCTTCGAACTGCTCGTCTGCCTCACCGTCGTCAAAGAACCGGTTCGCCCCCAGTTGCTCGAGCCGCCTCACGAGTTTCCGAGCCGCCCAGTTGAATTTGACATATGTGCTGTCACCAAGCCCAAAGCAGGTGAAATTCACTTGGGACAGACAGCCTGGTGGCAGCTTCTTCCGCAGTAGTTTCTTCCAGAAGAAGAGTGAATTATGTGGCATGTCACCCTGCCCCGTTGTCGATATGACAAATATGACGATTTGATGCTTGAGAAGACTATTCTGTGCGTTTCAGTACGAAGCCATCCTCCTTCTTGGGGGGAGAGTGCTCACGAGGTCGACCGCGTTGAGCTCGTCGACGTCTGTGCTGAAGTGCAGGCGTGCGCATAGTCGCCCCAGCTCCTCGGCCATGTCCTGCGCATTCCCCGTCTCCGATCCATAGAGGACGAGGGCGGATCTCTGGCTGCCAGCCATCTTGTTGACTCTTCAGTGAGAATGTGATGCGCAAGTCATGAGTTTACGTGGTTCTGTCATTGATGGAGAGCGCGCGCTTGGTTCATGTTGTAGGGGACGAAATTGTTTAATGGAGACTCCGATGACGGCAACTGTTCGCTAGCCCACCACCACCACTACTACTAGACTAGACACTAGTAGACTAGACTAGTAGCTCTACGAAGGTCGTATATCTTATCAATCTACATCCAAATCACATCGCACAAGTTCACAACGTTTTGATGAAAAGACCCCCGCGATCATGGTTGCATTGAGCATCCGGCATCGATAGGACCCCGGCGCTTCTATGCTGGGCAAGCCAGGAAATCATATGTTCATGTGATTCTTGCTGTCTGAACGTACTGTGACTCCTGCTATACGAATGAGGCGAAACCTGATGGTGACCGGAATGTCGAATGTGCTTTGAAAAAACGTGGCAAGCAGCTGGCCTGCTCAATCCGAGCGACCGAGCTTGTCAGTAATGGAGGCGGTCAAGGCAGGGTTGAATCAACTCATATTAATAAAGCATGAACTCATTCTACCTTACCAGGTAAGGTATGATCTATCACTCCCGGAATGGCATCTTTCTCATGCACTCCTGCCATAAGCATAAGCTTTGAGGATTGCAAATTTCCTACTTTCTCTGGGTTCCCTGATGAGGCCCATCGTGAGGGCCCAGCATTTATCCTCAACACTGTTCACATCTGACCAACAAATGACAATCGTTCGCAGCATGGATGCATACAACGAACGTACTTCGTGTTGATCTTGTTATGCTTAAGAATGTCTTGTGATCATGGAAGACGTCAGAAAATGGCAAGGTACCCTCCCTTGCGAATAGGCATGGCTCTTGCCAAGCTCCAGTCCGGTCTGCTCACCTTCCCATCAACTTGGGAACTTCCAACAAATGATGGGAAGGGTCGTCTCGAACTCCACGTCGGAGACTTTGGGCGGCAAGACCTCCCCACAGACACAATGGATCCAGTCGCTCTCCTAGAGGAGTAGAGGCTAGGAGTCTAGGACGAGGTCTAGACGCTAGAGAGCCTAGGACCACCTGGAGACCCCTGTTTGTGTCTCGTCCGAGCCAGCAGTTTGGGGAAAGCTCTGCCAGAAGACAGAAAGCCAGTGTCCTGCATTGCTTCAATATTCCACTGGTCGTTAACTTCGAGAGCTACATTATAGCTATTAAAGACAAACTGTAAGCGACTTCGGGGTAAATACAGAGGCCTGCACAGCTGATATCAAGCGACCTCATGCACACATCATGGCACCTCCAGTCGTCTTGTCATCTCGATTGATGGGCGATAATTGAGTGCCCGTAGCTCCGGGCCTATTGGCGCCAACTTTAGGCATCCTATGAGCGCCACTGCCACTTTGCTGAAGCTTGTCGCAAGCTGGCAGGCGCGATTGCACGCTTGCTGGGGCTGCACGCCCGCTGCACCTGCGTTTCGATCTCACCGTCACAGGGGGCTGCTGCAGCGGCGGCAGGTGCTGGGAGGCAACGTGAAGGTGCGCTGACTGCAGCCTGCACCCTCGAAAATTATTTCAGAGCTTCACCGCGCCCAGCTCCTACGCTCCCTCCCCCTTTCTCTCTCCTCCAACACAACAATCAATCCAGTCAACTTTGTGTCTCCGCGCAACGCTCGACGTCTGTCAAACCACAACTGTTTCTAGGGCACCAAGCTACCCTGATTCAACTTCCTCCTCATTGCTCAAACGAGTTCGCCTCTTTCAAGCACACTTCTTCGAACCTTCAGGTGCCTCTCCACACCCACGAGTTCGAACGTCATCCCAACCTCTCACCGACCTCCACCCCATCACACGACCCGACACGACATCACAAGTTCATCACCATGTCTGCTGTTCCCGCCCCCGTGGAGAAGGCTGCCGAGACTGTCTCCAACACAGTCTCCAACGCCGTCAACGATGTTGCCGAAGCTTTGAGCAATACCAACCTCAACAGTAACAAGGCCGCCGCCAACGAGGCTGCCTCGGCCAGTGCTGCCGAAGGCCGTCGTCTGTACATTGGCAACCTGGCCTACGCGACAACCGAGGAGGAGTTGAAGGGCTTCTTCAAGAGCTACCTTGTGTAAGTCATTCCAGATGCTGATCCTTTTGGACCTTGACGCAATCTTCGGCCGAGCTCGATGCACCGTCCCCGCGCCGCAACGCTGCGCATTTGATGTCGACGTCACACCAAACGCGAGCGCCCGACTCGGTACGAGCCTACGCTAACTGTAGTGTAGCGAGTCCGTTTCCATCCCAAAGAACCCGCGTACCGACCGCCCTGTCGGCTACGCCTTCGTCGACCTCTCGACCCCTACCGAGGCCGAGCGCGCCATCGAAGAGCTGTCAGGAAAGGAGATCTTGGAACGCAAGGTCTCCGTCCAGCTGGCTCGCAAGCCCGAGGCCGCTGCCGAAAAGGCTGCTGAAGCTCCCGAGGCCGCTGGTGGCGAGGGCACTCGCCGCCGTGCCTCTGGTCGCGGACGTGGCCGTGGACGCAACGGCCGTGGCGGCCGCAGCGCCCGCGCTGTGAGCAACCCCCTTCTTTCTCCTTGCCGACAGCAGCTAACAAGACCAGGAGGGCGAAGAGAAGAAGGATGAGACCGCTGAAGGCGCCGCTGCCGCTGGTCCTACCGGTGTTGTAGCCACCGATGCTCCCCCCGCTGCTACCAACGAGGTTCCACAACCTTTGGCCGATATCACCAACGCAAAGAACAATGCTGACCCATCCTCCAAGGCGGCCGCAAACGCCCAGCAGCGCCAGCGCCGCGAGCGTGGCCCTCCTGCTGACGGTGTTCCCTCCAAGACCAAGGTCATGGTTGCCAACCTACCGTACGACCTGACCGAGGAGCAGGCAAGTTGACCACTACTGGACTGTCTAGAACCGTGCTGACTGTGATAGCTCATCAACCTGTTCAAGGACTACCAGCCCACTTCTGCCAAGATTGCCCTGCGCCCCATCCCTCGCTTCATGATCAAGAAGCTTCAGGCCCGTGGCGAAGCGCGCAAGGGACGTGGCTTCGGCTTCGTCACCCTGGCCTCTGAGGAGCTCCAGCAGAAGGCTGTCGCTGAAATGAACGCCAAGGACATTGAGGGTCGCGAGATCGCTGTCAAGGTGGCCATTGACTCCCCTGATAAGACTGACGAGGAGGCCAACGCCCCCGCGGACGAGGCTACCCAGCAAGAGAACACCAAGCCCGCCGAGCACAAGGATGCGGCTGCTGTCCCCGCCACCGTCGCCGCTCCTACCATTGTCTAGATGGGCTTGGGTGGCACTCACGACAATGACCTCCATATGCCCAATATCACATCATGAACCAAAAGGTCACAATGAGTTTTTTTTGGAATGAGTATTTAATATCTGGGAGAAATTGCAGAGTTACTCACCGAATAAATTCCGTTCCAGTTGGACTCAAAACCAAAATTGAGACTCTCAAACTCGGGTGACTGATGCGCTGGTGAATATGCCTTTGTAATTTGTCGTTCGCAGCCGTGACACATTCCATATTGCATCGTATGGGAAGTTTCAAAATGCTTCAGTACTACGTACAGAAAAAAAGCACGAGCGTTGTTGAATGTTGTCTAAAGGAGTACAGCTATAGAAGCTGATCACCATGCCAATGTCGATACATACCCGTGGTCCGTTCTGTGTGGGGATTTCCAGCTGCTTGCCAGGGGGAAGGGGGTCCAGTCTGGGTTCCATCACGATTCCAGCGGCGTTAAGTTAGTGGCCCTTCCCGCCCGTACCTTGGTGCATAGCGCCCCTGGCTGTCGAAACCACACCAAGCTACCGCACACTTATCCCAACAAAGTGCGTTATACCTGAAGACCAGTTTCTCGACAGATCTCCGAGTCGCCGCGCAAGGTTCGAAGACCTGTTCCCGATATAATCACCAACCAGAGCCGCCCGCGATGGCATCCAAAGCCATGTGGGAGGTTGACCCAGAAACGCGGTCCAAGGTGACGAGATAACCTCTGCCCGTGGATGCGAAGGACAACAGACTGACCAATGATTCTTACCCGTGCAGCTCGCCGCGTTGCAGAAAGAATCAAGCAACAACGTTTGCTGCGACTGCAATGCTCCGTCACCCCAATGGGCGTCGCCCAAGTTTGGCATCTTCATCTGCCTGACTTGCGCTGGCAAGCACCGCGGTCTGGGCGTCCACATTTCGTTTGTGCGCAGCGTGTCCATGGACGCCTTCAAAGCCATCGAGATTGAGCGCATGCGCCTAGGTGGGAATGCTGGCTGGCGGAAATTCTACGAAGAGCACGAGTCGACCGACAAGAGCAGCATCACCTGGGATGACGGCACCGATTCGGACAGATACACGAGCGAAATAGGGGAGGAATGGAAGGAGAGGCTGACGGCCAAGGTGGAGGGCAAAGAGTACGTGCCCAGCGAGAAGAAGCCTGCGCCCGCGCCCGTCAAGAAGCAGTCATCGTTTGCCACGTCTGGCTCCCGCTCAGGCACGCCGCTCAGCGGGTCGGCAAGTCGCAGCGAGAGTCCCTCGCAGCAGCAGCAACCTGGGGGCAAGGTGAAGGTGGACGACGAATACTTTGCGCGTCTGGGCAACGCAAACGCCACTAGGCCGGACCATGTTCCTCCCAGCCAAGGAGGCAAGTATGCAGGCTTCGGCAACACACCTGGTCCCGCCTCGGGCGCGCAGAATCCGCCCTCGTTTGAGGATATGCAGAAGGATACGGTGGCGGCGATTACAAAGGGCTTTGGGTGGTTCACGTCGACAGTGACCAAGACCGCCAAGAACGTCAACGATGGGTATCTACAGCCCGCGTCGAAACAGGTTGGTCGGTCTTCGTACTCGAGGACGACCTCGCTGACCATGACATAGTTTTCTCAGACTGACTTTGCGCGCCAGGCACAGACTACAGCGGCCAACTTGGCTAAGCAAGCACAAGCTGCCGGCAAGAATGCCTCTGAGGGCTTCAATCGCTTCGTAGAGGGAGATGAACAGGGGGCCAATGCGCGATCGCCGCGCGCCTCGAACATGGATGAGAACAGGAGGAGTTTCTGGGATGACTTCTCCAACCTGGCAGACCAGAGAAAGGAGGCAGGCAGCGCCGGTTCCAGCGCCATTGGAACCAGTGCAATGGGCAAGGGGCGAGCCGGTGGAGGCGCCACGCCGCCCGCAAAGAAGAAGAACGATGAGTGGGATGATTGGTAAAGCCACAGGTGAATGGCGATGCGCGGCAGGGAGGGAGTGCTTGCTTGTCGAAGATTAGACCTTCATGCTAGGAGCTAGGCGTTGGAATATATGCGGCGTTAGACTATGTGACGAATGCGGATACATGTACTTGATCCCGAGTCCAATCACTGTGAACCAGTACAGACAATAAAGGACAGGATTAACCTGTTGTTTGAGCCATAGTGATCAACTACGAGTTCCAAAGCTTCGGGTACGTACCTTAGGTACCTTGGTGCGCATGCCGAAGCCGGAGTTTTGTTAGACGACATAAAGTCACGTGCGTCCTGGCCCGAGGTTGGAGGCCGGGCCTAGCCGATCGATCATCGACCTGCCGAGCGACCTCACGATAGTGGACTTTGCGTCCTCCATTCCCATTTCGGCGTTCATTGTCTCTAGATCACAATGGCTTCCAAACTACGGATTCTTGTGCCCGTCAAGAGGGTCATTGACTATGCGGTAATTACCATGTCTGTCGCGCGAGCCTAGGAGTACTGACAAGCAACAGGTCAAGCCCCGCGTCAACAAAGCCATGACGGCCGTCGAAACCGCCGGCGTCAAGCACTCCATGAACCCCTTTGACGAGCTCTCCGTCGAAGAATCCGTCCGCATCCGCGAGAAGAAGCGCTTCCCCGGTGGTGTCGAGGACATCTGCGCCATCTCGGCGGGACCACCCAAGGCCGCCGATGTCCTGCGCACAGCCATGGCCATGGGCGCTGACCGTGCGATCCACGTGGAGCTCAAGGATGGCGAGGAGATGGAGCCCCTGACTGTCGCCAAGATGCTCAAGGCGGCGGCCGAGCGCGAGAAGAGCAACCTGGTGATCCTGGGCAAGCAGAGCATCGATGATGACGCTGCGCAGACCGGCCAGATGCTGGCGGGGCTCCTTGGCTGGCCCCAGGCCACGCAGGCGAGCAAGGTCGAGTTTGGAGAGAACAACTCCATCACGGTGACCAAGGAGGTCGATGGTGGCGTGGAGACGGTGAAAGCGAAGCTGCCCATGGTCGTGACCACCGATCTGCGATTGAACGAGCCCCGCTACGCGAGCTTACCGAACATTATGAAGGCCAAGAAGAAGAAGCTGGACAAGGTCGGGCTGGGAGACTTTGGGTTGACGAACGAGCCTAGGCTCAAGGTGCTCAAGGTCACTGAGCCAGCGCCCAGGCAAGGCGGTGGTAAGGTGGAAGATGTTGACGGGCTGGTGGCCAAGCTCAAGGAGCTGGGGGCACTGTAAATCATCCAGACATTCACACAATACAACCTGCACATGTAGCAATATCTTGGGGTTGATTCAGCAGGACAGTGAGCGTTAGCAACGTCATCTTCGTCTAGTGATTTAGTATGGTATGAATGGCTCAAAGTCTGCAAGTTGGCAGGCTACAGCAGTGGTATTTCGAAATAGCAGTTTGTGGACTTGGTTGAAGTGAACAATTATTATACAATTCTATTTAAAGCGGCTTTCGTATGCCGAGGTGCAGAGATTGTTTCTATCGACAAAGAGAACCTGCTAATAATTGACGGGTCTTTGTTACAAGCCTAAACAAACACGCTTGATTGGCTGCATTTTTCACTTCCGCAACCTCACTCAGCTGCCGCCCAAACTCCTCTTGCCTGTCGCGCAATTCTTCGACCTTGAGATTTTATTCCCTCCTTCAGCAGCCAGCATTCTGTGCAAGCGGCGCAAAACTACGAGCCTGTGGTGTTGCGAAAGATTCATGTTGTGTTGGCGGCACCAGCGGTAACCCCTCCAACACAAGCGAAAGGCGGTCTTATCGACGAGCAAGCCGTATGCGCTTAGGCTACTGAACTTTGCACCTCCGTCGCCCGCCACGCCCGTCCGCCTCAATACACGCGAGCACCATGGCCGACGAAACCAGCAAAACGAACAGTCCCAAAGCGAGTCCTGCCTCCAAGGAGGACGCCGAGACGCGAGCGGCCCGCAGGGAGCTTAAGCAGCACTCAATATCCGAACCAGCAACTACCGCTGCGACCGACGCGAACGAGCGTCCCGAGACCCCTGCTACTGAAGGAGAAGACGCTGCTCCGGCTGAGGATCACGTTCTGTCACCAAAAAAGAAACGGGCACATGACCAGCTAGACAGCGGAAAGGTCGCGCAAGATAAGGACGGACAAAGTGGTGCTTCGACAGACTCGGCCAAGGACCGGGCTTCGAGATCAGAGCCGGAGAAGAAGAGGCCGCGGGATGGGGAGAGCAAAGAAGTATGTCGTTTCTCCTCGCAGTATGCCTACCAACCAGGTACTAATGCCTTTTGCTAGTCCACCACCGAAGACGACAAGAAAACCGGCGGTACCGATGAGAAACCCGATGCGAAGAAATCACAGACATCCTCAAACGCCTTTGCAGCGTCAGGATTCGGCAAGCTTGCCGCGGGCGGCTCAGGTTTTGCTTCATTAGGCGGGGGGAGTGCCAGTCCCTTTGGAGCGCCAGCCGCTAAACCCATGGCTTCCTTCGCCTCGCCCACGAAGCCCAGCGAGGCACCGAAGCTGAGCTTTGGAGGCGGTTCAAGTGCCTCGCCGTTCGCCGGACTCTCTTCCGGATCCAATGGGTTCGGCAGCGCGCTAGGCGGCGGCAGCGCATTTGGGGCGTCCGCGGGTTCAAAGCTCGGGTCATTCGCTGCGCCAGGCACGAAGCCGGCTTTTGGGAACGACAAGCCCGCCAAAGCCTTTGGCGCGCCAGAGAGTGATGCCGAAGATGATGAAGACGACGAGAATGACGATGATGAGTCCAAGGACGACCAGGGTGATGAAGAGCGAGCAGCATCGCCTGAGAAAGAAGATGATAAAAAGAAGGCCAGACTTCAAAAAGGTGGGTGCATACTCAAACCAGCGTTACTTGTTTTACTAATGCGATTCTAGTCGAGGTCAACGATGGCGAGCAAGGCGAGGTCACTGTTGTCTCTGTGCGGGCCAAGGTCTTCCACTTGGACAAGGAGGTTGGGTGGAAAGAGCGTGGCAGCGGCATGCTCAAGATCAATGTGCCAGTCGAGTGCGTCGAGCTTGATCAGGATAACAGCCCGATCCCTGGATCATTCGACGCTTCAGGCTTTGAGCTGGAGGACGAGGAAGCTGGCGCGAAACCGAACAAGGTCGCCCGCCTTATTCTTCGACAAGATCAAACACACCGCGTCATTTTGAACACGGCCATCGCGCCTGCGATGGAGTTTCAGGAGAAGGCAACGCTGAAATCAGTCGGCATCGTCTTTACAGCATTCGAAGGGGACGGTGCGGGTGCTAAACCTGTGAACATTACTGCCAAGGTGCGCATCTGGAATCATGGGCTGCACGGCTCTGACTTGGAACTAACCCGATCACAGATGACGGCCGCGAACGCAAAGATCTTCATGAACGAGGTCAAGCTCATCCAGAGGGAGCTCCGAGGCATCTAGGGGCAGCCCTCGCCAATAACTTCTGATTCGGCGTCCACCGATGCGTGGCCTAGCCGTGACCTACACGTAGGGTACACCTGAGTTGTGTCTATACTCGGAGCGAAGCAGATCTGTAACGGCAGACCAGAGGGACGATGCAATCAGATGGAGACGAAAGAACATCGTAATGGGGGGTACGGGGATCTACAGTTGTCAAGGCTGAAGAGGCGACTGTGAATCGAGAATTGGGTTCCTCAACGTCAGGAATAGCTCACTCTCATGTGCCACTTGGAGGCGTGTTGTTACAAGCCGAACACGGCGGATTGATTGACACAATCTGGTTTGGAGGATTGACATTGTGGCTGATATACGGAAAATGGTGGTTATGTGCTCGGCAGTATGCACAAGGAGGCAAGGCGTCCGGGTAGACTAGGGGAACTCTTCAAGGGTCAAGTGTTTTGCACGTTAGAGGTCGGGGGAGAGTCTACACAACAACAGTGCGTACTACGATAGTCAGAAGACACATAGCTCACTCTACCACGTCGTATGTTTTATGCACCATGATCCGTTTTGACGGGTACTTAATGCAGGCCCTTGGTCTTGATGCGCTCCTCCTGGTGAGAAAAGGGGCGTTGGTGACGTAGAGGACACACGTGACTTGGCGCCAGTTCCGCGACAAAGATCTGAGGTCGACGCCGTCGCCACAACACCCTACACACAAGCGGACACTGAGCTGCCCCTTGGCGACTGCGCTGCTCAATTCAAGCATCATCTTCCTCACCATGACCTGAGAACGCATCACAGCCGCGACTATGCCTGCGATAGCCGCTCCAGCAGGGACTGAAGACACCCGTGCCAAGCGGCCCCCAGCGAAGCGCAAGAGAGCTGCCGATGAGGATGATACTCCTGCGCCGGAGGGCGAAACGGTAGACGATGGCGCTGAAAAGCCCAAAGCCAAGGGTCGGCGTGCCGGTGCCAAGGGCAAGAAGGCGACTTTGCAGAAGGAAAGCAGCACAGTGGTGGACTGCCTCATAGACTGGCCACAGAGCTTCAAGGCACTAGAGCAAACGCACCGAGCGCTGAATCTTGTGTATACATTTTGTTGTACGAGGCGACATCTGGCGACGACATTTGAGACCATCAGACCGACGGTGGAAACGCACATCAAGAAGACGTTGACGGTGGAGACGGTGGCGTCCATCGTCGCCCTCCGGCCAGAGGGAATCAAGTTTGCCTATGTCGATGAGCTCATGCTCGAGCTGGATGTCAAGGCCTCGGAGAGGGATAACACCTTCAAGACGGGAAAGTCTTTCCGATCCCAGGCTCCGGCTCTGGATGCGTCCGTGGGCGGCTGGACTGGCAAAGACACATTCAGACGGACGAGCCCTGATCCCGAAGATCCACCCAAGAGCCGGGAGGTCCTCTACTTTGAGTTTATAGATGGCGACCTCAAGCGTCAGGTGCAGGACCGTAAGAGCGGCGAGCCTACGAAGCCAAATCGCAAGTTGAGAGAGGAAGATCTCAAGATGCCTGTGTACAGCCAGAAGCAGATGACCCAGCTCATTGAGAGGCGCAACACAAGGTTCAAGAGCGCAGTCAACGCTTTCCTGAACAAGTGTGTCGAAGAGAAAGTTGACCCGGAGATGGTGCTGGCGCAGAAGACGAAAGCGCATATCCCTGAGCCTTCGCCGCCGGAGGAAGATGAGGATTTGCACGCACCCAGCACGTTGCCCGAGATTATTCCAAAGGAGCGCAAGAGCATTCCTGAGATTGTGCAGGAGCTGAAGGAGAGCTCGTGGTACACGGGGCAGATCGTGCCAGATGGACATCGAGTGTTCGAGGCCCAGGAGCCAGTCTACGGAGACTTGGACTTTCTCCTGAGTCAGGACCTTGTCAACGCGCTCTACAATGCCAAGGGTATCACCCGATTCTTCGCCCACCAAGCGGAGGCACTGAATGGGCTTCACGATGGTCAGAACGTGGTGGTCTCGACGTCAACGAGTTCGGGCAAATCGCTGATCTATCAGTTACCAATCATCTACGCTCTCGAGCGTGACTTTAGTTCACGAGCCATGTACATCTTTCCCACCAAGGCACTGGCGCAGGACCAGAAGAGGAGTCTGAAGGAGATGATGTCCTACATGCCCGGGATGGAGGAGGTCCTGGTGGAAACCTTTGACGGAGATACGCCCTTTACGATGCGGAACGAAATTCGCGAGAGTGCGAGGATCATATTCACAAATCCGGACATGCTGCACATTACGATTCTTCCACAAGAGGATAGATGGAGAACATTTCTCAAGAACTTGAAGTATGTTGTTGGTAAGTGTTCTTCGACTCCTCCCAGCATAAGGCGGGATTGTGCTGACCTGCCTGATAGTGGACGAGCTCCATTACTACAATGGGCAAATGGGCTCCCATATGGCCTTTATCATGCGACGGCTGAGACGGGTCTGTGCTGCCGTCGGTAATCGCAAGGTCAAGTTCATCTCGTGCTCTGCCACCGTTGCCAACCCGAAAGATCACTTCAAGACCATTTTCGGTATCGACAATGTCCGGCTCATCGACTTTGACGGGTCGCCCTCGGGACGCAAGGAGTTCTTGTGCTGGAACACGCCCTACAAAGACCCTGGCGATCCCGCAAGTGGCCGAGGCAGTGCCAAGTTTGAGTGTGCTCGGTTGTTCTGCTCGCTCATGTTGAGAGGCGTGCGCATCATCGCCTTTTGCCGGGTTCGTCACCAGTGCGAGAAGTTGGTCAACGCCATCAAGCAAGAGCTAGAGTCAATGGGCCGTCCAGAGACTATCAATCTAGTCATGGGCTACCGTGGCGGCTACACGCCGCATGACCGCCGACGCATTGAGAGCGAGATGTTTGAGGGCAAGCTGCTGGGAATCGTTGCAACCACAGCCCTGGAACTTGGTATCGACATTGGGTCGTTGGACTGCGTGATGACATGGGGTTTCCCCTACACCATTGCCAACTTGCGCCAACAAAGCGGACGTGCCGGGCGGAGGAACAAGGACTCCTTATCGATCCTGGTGGGCGATTCGTTCCCTACAGACCAGCATTACATGCAAAATCCTGATGAGCTGTTCACAAAAGCGAACTGCGCATTGCAGGTTGATCTGGACAATCTCCTGGTTCGAGAAGGCCACATTCAGTGCGCTGCGTACGAGATGCCCATTCGGCCTGAGGAGGATGCCAAGTACTTTGGGGAGGACTTGCCCCAAGTATGTGAAGATAGACTCCTCCTGGACGAGACCGGCTACTATCACTGTCACGACCGCTTTCGACCCATGCCGTCCAAGTTTGTTGCTATCCGCGACACGGAGGATGACCACTTTGCCATCATCGACATTACAAATGGACGCAACATTGTTCTCGAGGAGCTTGAGGCCTCGAGAGCTCACTTTACCATCTACGACGGTGCCATATTCCTCCATCAGGGTAACACGTACCTTGTCCGAGATTTCCAGCCTGAGAAACACATGGCCAAGGTGGAAAAGGTCAAGGTGGAATGGACAACGGTGCAGCGTGATTATACAGACATTGATCCCACCGAGACGGAGGCGCTCCGCAAGATTACCGATTCACGGTCGATGGCCTACTACGGCACAATCAAGATCCAGCAGAACGTGTTTGGGTTCTTCAAGGTGGACAAACAGAACCGCGTCCTGGACGCCGTGCACGTCGACAACCCACCCGTCATTCGGTTCAGCAAGGGGATGTGGGTGGACATACCAAAGGTCGCCTTGGAGATTCTACAGGAGCGACGACTGCACTCGGCTGCGGCGATTCATGCGGCCGAGCACGCCATCATGAGCTTGGTGCCCAACTTTGTCATCAGCATGCCGAGCGATGTGCGGACCGAGTGCAAGTTTGCGGCCAAGGAGTTTGCGCAAAAGGACAGCCAGCGCAAGCGACCGGCGCGACTGACGTTCTACGACGCCAAGGGGGGCGCGGGGGGCTCTGGTATCAACACAAAGGCGTTTGAGCACATTGATCAGCTCCTACGGGACGCGCTCAAGAGGGTCGAGGGCTGCCACTGCGAGAGAGGCTGCGTCGAGTGCGTGGCCTCGGAGCTGTGCAAGCACTCCAACGAGGTGATGAGCAAGGCGGGCAGCGCAGTGGTCCTCAAGGCTCTGCTGAACATGAAGATCAACGTGGAGGATCTGCCCATGGGGCCAGAGGACGAGAGCCCCCTGGGGTTCGAGACGGTTGTTGCAGCGCAGCCAGTGCCCTTTAGGGATGCGCGTCTGTCGGCGCAAGACGGTGGTGAGTCTGTGGTCAAGGCAGAGCCACAGGAGGAGGACGTGACCATGGGTGGTTTCGATAGATGGTCTGGTATTGGGGAGCCTCCCATGCGATGAGCAGACCTTGCGATGCCGTATTCTAGATTTTCGATCACGTCGACATGCAGCTAGCAGGCTTGAGTAGCTAGCTCATCAACAAGTTGCATCGCCTGCTTGTTCTCATCAATCGATCCAGACCGGGTCGTGGGATCGCCAGCCGGGAATGACGTCAGAGGCTCAGCGCCGGCATGTGGGAGCCGGACGCGCACCTGGAGCTGAGCGACATCCATCCCTTGGTCGTCACTCTTGAGCGCGATGTTTGCTGTCAGTTATCCACTGCTGTCGTTCCCTGGCCATCTGGGGAAATGCAAGTTCAAATCCCTGCTGTCACTATATCGCCGTGTCTGCCTGAGCTGCCCTCACTCGAAGCTCGTACTCACGATCAGTCGTGTTGTCGAACCAGATACTGGAGCTATTTAACGTTAACTACTTTATTAGCACTCGAGCCGCTCGTGGGCTCAATGCCGTTCAAGCTTGTTTGGATGAGACCCTTGCAACGGTCCGTGCAGGTCGCGTAACCAATCCTCTCCCACTCTCCAGCCTCCCTCGACCATTCCACCGGCAATACGGCACCGAATATGTCGAGCAAGCTGTCCGCGTTTGATTGTTTCACCAATGGCCACTAATAATTACGGTCTCAAACCTACGGTCAAGGGTCAAAACCGGCAAGGCCCTCCCGCAAGAAGAGTGACGATGATGCTGGCGCTCCATAGCTGGCGTATTGGAACCCCAACCCAATCGAGTATTATGCATCCTGCGATGCTGTTGATCCTAGTCTTGTCTCTTGATACTCATTCTTTAACATCATCCTCACTCTACCATCACATCTTCTTCAAGCTGGAACCTCTTCGTCTCTCTACGCCAAGTACGTCGCCAAGCACAACATCAGGGGAATAGTAGCAGCGCCGGCGGCCTCCAGGATATTGATCTCCTATTCTGCGCAAGCAGAGAAGAACAAAAGACAACATTCAATATTCGCGTAGAAGCGAATTGGAAGGCCAACCTAATCACTCTGGCATCATGACGCCCCCTTCTCCTCCTCAACAGACCAAGAGGCATTCCCGTCCACGCAGCCGCGACGAGCGTCGCTCTCATTACAGCGGCAGCATCATGGGTGATGATCAACATCGACAACAGCAGCAGCAGCAAGAGCTTCCCGCCCCAACGACCTACGATCGCTTCCTCAAACGGCACCAGAATACAAATGAAAAACAGTCCCGACTGGCCTTGAACCCGGAGGGCGAAAGCGGGCGACGAGGCTTCCATCCCGGCCACTTCTTCCGCATCAACTTTAGGTCGACCAGTCGAGCCAGCACTCTCTGCAATATTCTGTGGCCATTTGTGCCTGCGGCGCTGGCTGTGCGATGTGAGTTGTCTCACCTCTTTTTCTGTCCAATTTTGAGATAGCAAAGACAATTTCAGAAGTCTTGTACTGACGGGGGCGGGCAGATACCATGGAGGAGCGACACATTCTCATCTTCACGCTGGCGTATATCGCCATGGTTCCGTGCGCCAATCTCATTGGCTTTGCTGGGCAGGAACTGGCGCAGAAGCTGCCGCGTGTCATTGGCATGTTGACCGAGATTACGTGCGTATCAGACATATCCCGCTTGTACATTGGAGAGCGAAACTGACGCCCTGTCTAGCTTGGGCTCCGTGGTCGAGATTGTGCTGTTCATCGTCCTGCTGTCCAAGGATTACTTTAGCGTCATCAAGGCTGCTATCCTCGGTTCCATACTCGCCACGATGCTGCTGTGTCTCGGATTCTGCTTCTTTGTTGGTGGTGTCGGCCGTACTGAGCAGACGTTTGGCGGAACCATCAGCGAGAACGGTCATGGCCTTCTCTTCCTAGCGTAAGTTCTCCATCGTATTTCGCGTGACAGACATACATGTCCCGGCCAAAGACATTTACAAAAGCCCGGTTACTGACAAAGATACGTAGGGGCGTCTCACTCGCCGTGCCTACCGTCTTTGGCCAGGGCATCTTCGAGGCCAACCTCAGCAACGTCGAGCTCGATGATCGCACCCTCCAGATCTCCCGCATCATCTCCGTCCTCCTCATCATCGCCTATGCCGCCTACCTCTTCTTCACTGTGACCACCCACCACGGCCTCTACGACGCCCAATTCGCCTACGACGAGCACCGCGACGCCGACAAGCACGAGGACGCGCAAAAGGCCAAGCTCACCATGACCGAATGCATCATCTCTCTCCTCATCGCCATCCCGCTCGTCGCCATCATCGCCATCACCCTCGTGCTGCAGATCGAGCACGTCATCGAGGTCTCCAACGTGAGCGACGCCTTTATGGGCCTCATCCTCGTGCCCCTCGTCGAGAAGTTTGCCGAGCACCTGACCGCCATTGACGAGGCGTTCGACAACCAGATGAACCTCGCGCTGTCGCATGTCCTGGGGGCCACGATTCAGACCACGTTGTTCAATGCACCGCTGACGGTGGTCGTTGCCTGGGGCCTGGGCAAACAGATGGATCTCAACTTTGACATTTTCAACCTCGTCATGCTGATCTTGTCTATTCTTACTGTCGGGAGGTTCCTGCAGGACGGTAAGAGCAATTATCTCGAGGGGCTGTTGCTGGTCTTGCTGTACATTGCCGTTGCTGTGTCGGCTTGGTACTACCCCAATCCGACGGAAGGGCACTGAGCAGTTGATGTTCGGATTTGGTATGTACGAGTGGTGTCGGGGTGGTATGTTTGTAGCGATCTTTTGAACTGAACATTTGATTATCGGCTATCCAAGATGCGGTCGTAGTGTCCCTAGAAGAACAGCAAATTGTCCTCGCTCCAGCCCATTCCCAGAAACACCTCCTTGACCGTTTGCTCCATGGGTTTCGGCCCACAGACAAGGACCATCTCGTCTCCGATCCCAGATTTGTAGGGTGCGCCGACCTCTTCTGAGAAAAAGGCCTTGTCCATTCTGCCTCTCCTCCCGGCCCACGCGAGACTAGGCTTTGAAAGCGTGTGGATGAGCTGGTAGCGCGCCGGGTGCAGCTTGGCTAGTTCGTCCAATTCTACTTTGCACAGAATATCTGTCTCCTCCCGGTTGCCATTCAACAGGAGACACTTTGTCTCGTCCTTGGGATCCTTCAGGACTGCCGTCAGAACCTGGAAGATGGGGGTGATACCCGATCCACCGCAGACCATGATGAACCGACGAATATGCCTCGTCTGCCCGGAAACACTGACTCGGCCCTGACCGAGATACTCAAATTTCCCAACAGGGCCTTTAAAGTCCACAAAGTGCCCGGTGGGGATGGCATCGAGGGCCTGTGTCATCCTGCCACCCTGGCGGTCAGGCGTATCGTAGTATACTTTGATAAGTATCCTTAGGAGGCCCTTCTCGTCGGCTTCCGATAGCGGTGTGTACGCCCTTATAATGGCCTCGCGAGTCGCGGGATCACGTAGTCGCACCATGAGATGTTGGCCCGTCGGCAAACCAATTTTCTGTGCTTCGTGGTCTAGACGAAAGGTGAAGATGAATGAATCGGGGGACACTCTGTCCTTGGACTCGAGAATGGCTTTTGTCCAGCACTTGGGCTGGAGGAAGACGGCGCGGTTGGCGTCAGGCTGTTGTTCTTCTTCACCACCAGTGGTCAGGGCTTTGAGAGAAGCAGGGTCGAGCGTGCCAATGTGGTAGTCGGGCATCATGGCTTTGGCGTTCTCACTATCTGCAGATACATGTTAGCCATGTCTTCATCTATCGGTAAACACAGGGCAGCACGCACGGATAGTGACGAATTCTTCGGTGGCGTCCTGGGCAGCGGCAGCTGTGATGGACGTTGCGCCACCGGGGTGTCCCTCCAAAAAGGAGGTTCCATCGTACACCTCGCCATTGACAACGAACCACGGCTCCTTTTCGCTCGCATGAGCTTGCAGCTCTTCAAGGGTAATGGTACGCTTGACCTTGTCGTTTGTCATGCAGATGTCTTTCGCTGGCTCCGATTCGACCACAACGGTCTCGTCTTCACCAGTCATCCTTTCACCCCAGAAGCCATTGCTCAAATCGCCGCCGTTCTTCTTCACTCTCTCCATCCAGCCACCCGGCATGAGGGCCGGTTGTGTTGGATGCTCGAAGCGCAACGAGTGGTTCTCCTTTTGTATCACAACGCGAAACCAAGGATTGTTCATCATACCCAGCACAGACCAGTACATGTCCCTCGGCTGCACCATCATGCCCTCGTCCATTGCGCGAACCATGATGTCGTCAGCAGAACAAAGATCGTCCAGTGGAATGTCCAGGGACCAGAAACACCAACAGAAGCATGTTTCACGCCACCACATGTCCACGCGCCCGCCGTAGAGAGTGTCACCATCGGGCGCGGCGCGATAGTCGTCTTCTGGGTAGTATATGTTCGCGAGGCGCCATGATTTGCCCTTGTCGAGAGTGACCTCCATCCTGGTGATCCGCTTGCCGCCGCCGCCATATGCGTAGCCCCTGACGTTGTAGCTCGTATTCTCGCCCGTTGTTGGTATCTTCTCTCCATGTGCTGGGTAGCAGATTGCGCTGTTCGAGTTGAGGTCGTAAATGGCGTACTTTTCATCCTTCCAGACATCAGGCAGGTTGGCGCTGGCTTCCGGTGTGACCATGGTCGGTAGCACGCGGTTGTCGTAGATGTGATACCAGTTATCACTCGGTTCGGCTGTAACAATAATCTTCTTGAGCCACTTGACACTTCGACCGCCGATTTGCCCAGGCACAACGATGCGAATGGGCTTCCCGTGGTCCGGATGGAGCTTCTCGCCGTTCATCTTGTGCGCCACCAAAACCCCCTTATTCGGGTCCATACACCAGTTGAGCTTCAAAGAGGTGCCGTAGTATCCGTTGGGGAGTTTGTCCGCGCCCTCAAAGCAGACGTGCCTCGCTCCCCGTCGAGGTCTGGCGCGAGCGAGCAGGTCACCGATGGGCACGCCTGTCCACAACGCGGTGGACAAGCCCGCTGCTCCCCAGGAAAAGCCCTTGGACTTCCGAACCATATTCTGCTCCTTTCGCCGGTTGCCAGCGCAGACAAGTGTGATAGGATACGTGACTTGCTCATGATCGGCCAACAGGTCCCTTACGCTCATCGTGATGGGGTTATCAACCATGCCCTCAACGGTAAACTCCCAGTCCAGCATGTCCTCATCTGCACAACGAGGGACAGGCCCATGGTTGCGAACGTAATGGAGATCTTCATTGGTGAGAAAGCCTTGGTCGTAAAGGTCGCTCAGCGGTGGCTCGACATTAAAGGGATGGACACCCGTAAGGCGAATCAGCCGAGGATCTCGCTCAACATGACTGTCGGGCGTCTTCAGGTCCTCCTTCAGCACGCTTTTCTTGCTGGACGAAGGTGGTAGAGGATATACTTTCGCCAGCTCGGACGAAGACGAGTCAGCCGTGTCAACCAGGTGTTCTTCTCTCGCGGACGTGTCGGGACTGCCCGATCTCGAATGCTTTGCGGTAGAAGGTGGACTTGGGGGATACGTGACGTGGGTAGACATCTTTGGCGTTCCCATCGTGGGTCAAGTCTTTCTACAGCAACCGTGTTCAAAATGTATGTATGAACAGGCTGCTAGATCTTTGCTAGGTCTGGCCAGGTTCAAGAACACCAGGAGTGTGAATAAAACATTGAAAGCAGTGAACCCCAGGAGATCGATCGTGTGCTTCCGCTTACAACACATGTACGCCTCAAGCGACTTCCGTATGGCGCCCCCATCTCTCCCCATTTGGACGTCACATATCATACGATACCGCATCGCCTGTGTCCGAAGAGACTTGGATCCGCGAATCTGACAACGTCTTTCACCCGGGGAACTCCAGGTCTAATAGCGAGGAGATGCAACATCTGCCAGAGTGGATGTCGCATGGGCGTCTTATCGAGTTCATCGCATTGGAGCTGGTTGGGAGGATAGGTCGCGAGATAAGACACGGCGAATCAAGACGCGGTGCCCGCCCTGATAAGCTGGTTGCCGCGACACGGACGCCGGAGATGCACTTTTCTCATGGAACTCCCTACCTACTGCAGCCTCCTTCTGCCTGGTCCTTCCCCACGGATATGCGCGAAGAGCTGCATTTCTTGTTGTTGCTGAGGTTGTGGGTTTTGCGAAGAGCTCAATGGACGTTGATGTGTATTGGAGGTCTTGTGGTTGTGAAGGCTCGCTTGCTACAATCACGGATTTTGTCGTAGATGGGCGGCAGTTGTAATTTGATTGTTAACCCCCTCAATCAACACCTTGAGATCCTGCACAACATAACGAGATCTTCCACACAATCGTGAATTCCTGAAGAATCAAATCTCTTATTCACTGTTGACTTCTACTGACAGTTGCACGGCATGTTACACAATGTGGCATGTTTCCGCACTCTGATACAGGGTAGGTACATTCACGCCTGAGCCGCAGATCTGAGCTAAGACGGATCCGGCCACCCCGCGGTTTTGCCGCACTGAGGACTTCTTGGCCTTAACTTTGGCGGGACAGTGGGTGACAAAAAGAAGCCAGCTATCCCAGGCACAAGGTCGTATCCTATCTGTGCAACCTGCTATCTCACGCTGACCTCAATTGCACGATACCAAGAAGATTCACAAATCAGAAATACAAGGTACTGAGTTTGCGGACAGTGCAAACTCATAGCCCTCGCAAACACTGTCCCATGGTCGTTCTCAACATTGAGTCATGGTACGTACCGGTTGGGCGACATAAATCCACCGCAACGCACACCCCTGCAAGATCCAGTCGCACCTGCTAACTGAGCTTAGGGAACTTTCCATCGTCATTCTCGAAAACCGTCACCTTGTGCGGCATGAACCACCAAAAACCGAATTTCATCGACCATAGCTCACCATCACATTCCCCGAAAAGACAGCCTGTCAACAGCCCGTCTCGAGCCCGAGCCCAGCGCCAGTGAGACTCGATCTGAGCCAAGAGGCATGCGGCCCACCGTATCTAGCACGAATGATAACCAGACATCTGACGCCGTCAACATACGACCGACGCTGTGTCGCTTCCTGTTGCCCTGACGAAATCGCCGCAGCAACAGGGACTCCAGACCAGCATGGACCGCGCCAGGAAGCGTACATAACCCGATGATCTTGGGCGTTGCAGCAGGCTAACGAAAAGACAGGCGAACTGCGCAGCCTTAATGAACGCGCATGGAATGGCGAGCAGGGTGCGACCAACATGGCGATGCGTTTCGACCCTTGACTGACTTCAAACTTCAGATCTGTTCGCCGTCAACAAGGCTCTCGACTCGTCCCTCAAGAAGAACACCGCCTTCATCAAGCGACTCCGAACTGCCGTAACCCCCGCGACCCTCGCGACTTTTTTGCAAGAGATTCGAACACTCAGCCTGCACAAGTACCTATCCGAAATCATTTCGGCATGCTACGAGGGCCTCTGCAAGCTCAAGTCGCCTGGTGAGGTGGACGCTGGCGTGGAAATCGTCAGTGCCCTCCACCAGCGCTTTGGGCCTGGCGAGTTTACTGAGTACTTGGCATGGCTTCTTGGCAAGGGCATGGCCACGCCAGACAAGAGCTTCCTCAAGTCTCTGCCGCAGGAGACTCGCGAGAAGGAAGAGAAGGAGCGGATTGGCCGCCAACGCGCGCTTCTAAGGGTCGTCACTGAACTCTGGCTCGCAGGGGTTCTTCGGACCCTTGACGATGCCGCCAAGCCCGATGACGCCACGAAAGCTGTGGCCGGAAAGACAACCGAGATCAAGTCTCGTGGAGGAGCTAAGCAGAACGATGGAGCTGTCGAGCCGTTTCCTTTGGAAGTTCTCAAGGATCTACTTGGCCATGACCGCGAGCACGTCAACCTCCCGCTGCTGGTCATCTTTGTCAAGGCTTTCAGCTGGGATATTCTTGGGACCAAGCCTGCTGGCGCTGATGGAAGGAAGACGGTAGAGGAGGACGGTGTGGCAAACGCGGCCCAGGATGTCAGCGGGGACGCGTCCCCTGTCGATGCTGGGGACGAAGCTGATCAGCCCTTCACACCGCCCGAGCTTCGAGAGCGATTCAGGAACGTTCTGAAGAAGTACTTTGAAGACGTCAAGGCGCATGTCGTTCGTGATCAAAAGTCAGTGCACTCTCAGGCACGTCGCAATGCGGAAGCGTACGTCAAGTCAGGCGAGGTCTTTGAAGACCGCCAGTCCACCTACGAGAAGCAGGTCAAGAGTCAAGAGCGCCTCGTGGCCAATGCCCAGGCTGTTGCAGACGCGATTGGGGCAGAGATGCCGGACCTCAAAGTGTCTGACGACTCAATGGCCGCTACGAACAGCTCCATTGGCCTCGTCAAGACCGGCGATTATCTCTCCAGTGATGGCGCAGGAATTTGGGAAGATGAAGACGAGAGGCGCTTCTACGAGAATCTCGTGGATCTGAAGGGCAAGGTCCCTGCCATGCTCCTCGAAGACGGCAAAAAGAAGAAGCCCGACTCGGAAGAGCAGGTTGGAAAGAAGATTGAAGCAAGCGACACGGCCGAGGACCCAAAGCCAGATGCCTCTGAGGACCAGTCGACAGCCATTGCCAACAAGACGATCGGCGCACAGGTGGATGCCCTGCTGACACGCTTGCCAGAGCTTACCAACAAGGATACCATCGACGAATTGGCCATTGACTTCTGCTTCCTCAACTCCAAGGCTTCCAGAAACCGACTAGTCAAGGCTTTGACCGAGGTGCCCAAGGGACGTACTGATCTACTACCGAACTGGGGTCGTCTCGTTGCCACGCTCGGACGGTACATGCCGGACATTCCCAAAGGCCTCGTTGATTACCTCGACGCCGAATTCCGCAGCTTGCAGCGCCGAAAGGAGAAGGATTTCCTCGGTCAAGTCCGCCTCAGCAACATTCGCTATCTTGCCGAGCTGACCAAGTTCGGTATCGTGCCGGAGCACGTTGTCTTCCACTGTCTGAAAGTCAGCCTGGACGACTTCTCCCGCATGAACATTGAGATTCTGTGCAACCTTATCGAAAACTGCGGTCGCTACCTGCTTCGCAACCCGGAGACGTCGCCTCGGATGGCCAGCTTCCTGGAGACACTGCAGCGCAAGAAGTCAGCCCACCACCTGGGCCAGCCCGAGCGCATGCTCATCGAGAACGCCGTGTACTATGTTGATCCGCCAGAACGGCCGGCCGTGGTTCACAAGGAACGTACACCGATGGATACATTTATTCGCAAGTTGATCTACATGGATATGACGAAGCGCAACTATAGCAAGATTTTGAAGCAGATACGAAGGTTGCACTGGGAGGAGCCTGAGGTGGTGCATATCTTGGAGAAGGTCTTTTCCAAACCCGGCAAGATGAAGTATGGCAACATTCATCTGCTCAGCATCCTCCTCGGCGCGCTGTACCGATACCACCCAGACTTTGTCGTCAAGGTCATTGATAACGTTATTGAGTCCATCACCTTTGGGCTCGAGCAAAACGACTTCCGCTTCTCCCAGCGCCGAATTGCCGAGGTGAAGTATCTCGGCGAGCTGTACAATTACCGCATGCTGGAACATCCAGTCATCTTCGATGCCATGTACAAGATCTTGACATTTGGCCATGGTAAGGATTTCCATTATCGCACTTGTTGAAGCACGCTGACTAGTCGTAGGAGGAGCACCCATGCCAGGGCGTTTCAACTACCTCGACCCGCCTGATGATTTCTTCCGCATTCGTCTGATCACAACCATACTCGAGACTTGTGGCATGTTCTTCAACCGAGGTGCAGCAGGCAAGAAGCTCGACTATTTCCTGTCGTTCTTCCAGTACTATGTCTTCACCAAAGTCTCGATGCCACTGGACATTGAGTTCAGCGTCCAGGACGTGTTTGCTTTAACACGTCCGCAATGGAAGCTCGCTGCCAATTTGGAGGATGCCGCCCAGGCCTTCCAGCTGGCCGTTGCTCAAGACCAGAAGGCGTCTGGTGTCGAGAAGGCCGCTGAGCCTGAACCAGATGAAGCCAGCAGCGGCGAGTCATCCGACGACGGGATCGACGAGCTGGACCTGGAGGGCGAGGCTGATGACGATAGTGGCAGTGAAGAAGAGGAGATTGAGGATGCTGAAGAGGACTCTGGTAAGGAGAGCAGTGTCGAGGACGATGACGACATGCCCATGTCTCGTCAGCAACCGGAGGTGGACTCGGAGGACGAGGCCGAATTCGAGCGCGAGTATGCCAAGATGATGTCAGAAAGCCTCGAGTCCCGCAAGTTTGAGCGGAAGCAGCTCTTTGACGTGCCTCTACCCGTCCGGGCCAAGAGTCGCGAAACGTCTGGGCTTTCGGCACCTGGCGAGGCTGCACAAGAGCCTACCCCAGCACAAGCATCAGCCGCGGAGCACCCGCCGATCAACAAGATGGCTTTTGCCCTGCTCACGAAGAAGGGCAACCGACAACAGACCAAGACGATCGAGCTGCCTTCCGATTCTACCTTTGCGATTGCTATGAAGAATCAGCAGCAGGCGGAGAAGGAAGAGCAGCAGCGGATCAAGAGCTTGGTCTTGAACTATGATCTGAATCAAAGTGATGACCCTGACTGTAGGTATCATCCCACCTCGGGGAAGATGGCAGACTGACAAGAGGTGTAGCTCAAGACGACCGGGAAAGGCCGTCGACCTTCCACCATAATCGTGTGGAGCGTCCAAAGGACCGTGGACAGAGGGTTCGCAAGTTACAACTGAGCGACGTTGACTGGTAGAGTCTGTCAACACGTTGAGATGTCTTGTTCACGAGGCACTTCTGTTATCTCGGGCATCACAATCCTCAATAGAGGTAAGAGTGGTCACTATGACCGTTCTGACGCCCGATGCGCCACTCGCGATCCAGCTGTCGGAGCAGATTCCGCACCGAGGTCGCTTGAGGCGGACCACTGGGCGCCTCCGAGCATGACCTGTGCAGCAACAGATGGGACCAGCTACCTAGCCAGGGCTTGCATATCGTCGCGCCACCTGCGCTTATCAGCGAAAGGCCTGCTTTGAGTTGGGATTTCGACTGCAAATATCTGTGCTGGGCGTGACGGAGACATGGTCTACCACATCGAGGCAAGGGTCAGGTGGTTGAGGATAGTGGCTTAGTGAATCCTGACGCTTTGATAGTTTTCTCAGCATCGGAAGACTCGGTCGACAGGTTTTGAAGCTATTGGGCTTATGGATGCTTGTTCTGTGGCACCCATCCCAATGTGATGGCTTTGGGTGGTGTTCAATCGAAGTCGTCGATAGATAGCCAGCACCGCCGTCAAGGCGTAAGACTTCCATGGTGAATAGACGAAACACCCCTATAATCTTTCACGAGTCTTTGAAGCATGCACCTGCGCCGGGCCGGTGGGCGTTCTGTGTTACGTGAGTGACTGATCTGATGTTGTCTGGCTCTCACCATTCGTACGACTTTTCAACGCACACCTCTGCATTCTTCATTTTCAATTCATAATCACACAAAAATGGCACCCGAGGAACCATGGCCCATAGGACAGGCGAGTCGAAGCCAGCACCTGCCAGCGAGTCATGCTAACCTGCGAGTGACTACAGATCGTCTTCACTGCCATAATGGGCCTTGTCATGCTAGCCGCATGCTTGGAATGGTTTCTATGGCTGGCTGCCTTTGTGTACTGTCTAGTCAAGGTGTATCGAAAATCGGAACATTGGTCGATCAATGTCCTATGTGTCGTCGTCGGGACTGTGTTCACTCTCCTTAGGTGAGTACAACCTCAAGGCGATAAGGAAAGTCAACACTCACTGAGATATAGGGCCGTATTCCTGCCAATTATTGTCGTCACACTGCCGCTGCCCAATGCTATATCAAACTACTGGCCTGATTTGATGGTAGAGTTTCTGCAATGGTTTGCGTTCTGGTCGTTCGCCCTGCTCTTGATCGTCCCGTGGCTGTTTTGCGTGTACCAACTCGTCACTCATCAACTGGGCCGCACCAAACGGATGGAACAGACTCTTGACGACACCTCAGCGCCAAAGGTGGTGGTTGTCATGCCCTGCTACAGGGAGGAGCCCGAAGTCCTGATCAAGGCTGTTAACTCGGTCGTGGACTGCGATTACCCGCCAGCATGCATCCATGTCTTTCTCTCCTTTGACGGGGAAGAGGAGGATGAGCTCTATGTCCGCACAGTCGAGAGGCTCGGCGTGTCCTTGACGATGGAGACGTCCCCTCGAAGCATCGACGTTGTCTACAGGGGCTCTCGCGTAACCATATCCAGATTCGCGCACGGTGGAAAAAGGCAGTGCCAGAAGCTGACCTTCCAACTGATCGACAAGGTCTATGAGCAATACCTCGAGAGAAATGACAACCTCTTCATGCTCTTCATGGACTCTGATTGCATTCTTGACAAGGTGTGTCTGCAAAACTTTGTCTACGACATGGAGCTCAGTCCTGGCAATTCTAGAGACATGCTGGCCATGACTGGCGTCATCACTTCGACGACAAGGAAGCACAGCCTCATCACTCTCTTGCAGGACATAGAGTACGTTCACGGTCAGCTGTTTGAGCGAACGGTGGAATCCGGCTGCGGCGCCGTCACCTGCCTGCCAGGCGCGTTGACCATGCTGCGCTTCTCTGCGTTTCGTCGGATGGCCAAGTACTACTTTGCAGACAAGACCGAGCAGTGCGAAGATCTCTTTGACTTTGCAAAGTCTCACCTCGGGGAAGACCGGTGGCTGACCCATCTCTTCATGATTGGAGCCAAGAAAAGATATCAGATACAAATGTGCACATCGGCATTCTGCAAGACGGAGGCTGTCCAGACCGTCAGATCCCTGGTCAAGCAACGACGCCGGTGGTTTCTGGGTTTCGTCACCAACGAGGTCTGCATGCTGACAGATTGGCGGCTGTGGAAGCGGTATCCCATCCTGATCCTGGTGCGTTTCATGCAGAACACTATCCGCACGACGGCGCTACTGTTCTTCGTCATAATGGTGGCGCTCACGTCGACAGCGAAGCAGGTGGACGATCTACCGGTTGGCTTCATGGCCATAGCCCTGGGCTTGAACTGGATGCTCATGCTTTACTTTGGGATCAAGCTTCGCCGGTGGAAGATCCTGCTGTATCCACTCATGTTTGTGGTGAACCCCTTTTTCAACTGGTACTACATGGTGTATGGCATATTCACCGCAGGCCAGCGAACGTGGGGTGGCCCCCGTGCAGATGCCGCCGCCGCCAACGGCCACACGACAGCTCGTGAGGCTATCAAGCAAGCCGAGCTACAAGGGGACGATCTGAACATCATACCAGAGACTTTCAAACCCGCACGCGAGGCTCAGAGGGCGAGATCACAGCCTACACAGTCGCAGGTAGATGGCCTTGTCCGGGAAAAGAGCCAAGTGCGTCCCCCCAAGGCTGTCGAAGGCAAGTTCTCCGCGCGACGCAAGACAGCAGCTGGTATATATGCGCATCCGGACGAGACGGATAATTCAGTGGGAGCCATGGTCTCCTCGCTCGACTCGCTTAACAGAGTCGTCCACGTAACAACCGGCGACCACCTCGTTCACATACCCCAGGACATGGAAGAATGTATGGGCGAGGAGGACAGGCGCAAGTACGCCATCGCGCAACGCGCTCAGGAAGTGAGGCGTGGCGCGGGATCGGAGCGTCGAGAACCACCTCGCCAAGGTTCGCGTCCAGGATGAACGTGGCGGACGGGCGGAAACCTCAGAAGCTAGGAATCAGTCATGTGCCATTTGTGGCAGCGATGCCTCCACCGCCAACATGTTGTCTGACGGCTTGCGGTGAGCAGGTCAGGGATTGGGGCCCATGGGGAATCGTTGACTAAGAGTAGGACTTTTCGAGGCAGGACAGAGGTGGAACGAGAAAAACCGACCAGGTCAGGTGGAGCTTCTGGTTTTCTTGGACATGATGGTCGTCATGATGTTGGGCGGTCACTGCGTGATTCAGATTGACCTGTGTTGCTCTGGAAGTGAAGGTTGGTGGTGGTCAGTGCTTTCATTGACGCACGTCCGTTTATCGCGATAGACGATCTCTTATCTTATCTTAGAGAAAAGGTCCCTCGAATGTGGTCAAGGGGAACAAAAAGCGAGCGATTCAGCCATGATGAGTCTTACGAATCCGTGAGCTAATTGTTACCTCAGTAATTGCCCTGACAGCCATCCCCCGTTGTCTTGGCCTCTGCTACTCGCACCATAAGTGAAAAGCCGTGCCTGACGATGCATGCTTGCTTCATGTTTGCTGTCGCGTCGATCACGTCAAGCACCGTCCAGCAACTTCTGGAAGACTCCAACGCGCTTAAGGAGGGGCAAAGGAGTACCTGCTCCGCTGTGCTGACGTGGGCGCACGGGGAGGTACCTGGGCTGCCGTGCCCCGCAGTCCCGGGCCTTCCTGCCTGTGTGCCAGTGACTTCAGCTGCCCCGCGACACGACACGACCCACGCTACAGTGGGTGGGTGGACAATAAAAAAGGTGAAGCGCTCTGTAGGACCAGCGCCTGGTTGGAATTTTTTTCGCTACCCAATTGAACGCATCAGGTTCCACTTTGCGATTCCCTAGACTACCTTAATCACCTTATCCTGCGTCCTGCTCTCCGACTTGCAAATCTTCCAAGCAACATTATACCCCCCCAAAACCAAAAAGATTCGACCCTTTCGAACTCGCCCTTTTTTACGAGTCGTCAGACATTCTGTGTATATTGAGGAAACGAACATTTCGCAACCGCAATCATGAGTGTCGTGGGTAAGTAGTTGACGCACTCCCTCCCAGCCAGACCAGCCCAGTACACCGACCACTGGTGGTGGTGATCTTGGTGCCCCTCATCGCATACTTTTGCGCCAGCAACTCAAAACGAACACTTTGGCTGACAAACTGGCTGCGCACAGGTGTTGATTTCGGTACCCTCAAGACGACCATTGCCGTCGCGAGGAACCGTGGTGTCGATGTGGTACGTTACTGTTACCCCTTCGTCCATGCTTCCGCCTTCCTTGTTCTCGTTCGAGCACCGAAACCTGCGTCTGTCGACACCCCACCACGACAATTTGAGCCCAACGGTGTCCGACCAGTTTTTGGCAGCGACTTCGCGTGGCGTATACGTCTGAAGAACAAGGAGGACAAGGACGATGGGATCTTGGAATCTTGTTTGTTGCGGACATACGGCTGACTGGTTTCTCTCTTGCAGATCGCCAATGAAGTTTCTAACCGCTCCACCCCGTAAGTGTTCTCGCAGCCGCGACCACCTCGAGACAAGAAAAGTATGAGCACTGAGACTGACACTGGCTCAGGTCTATGGTTGGCTTCGGCCCCAAGTCCCGTTATCTCGGCGAGACGGCGAAGACCCAAGAAGTGACGAACCTTAAGAACACCGTCAACTCCATCAAGCGCCTCATCGGCCGCTCCTACAACGACCCCGACATTGCGGTCGAGCAGCAGTACATCACAGCCCAGCTTTGCGATGTCAACGGCCAGGTTGGTGCCGAGGTTAACTACATGGGCAAGAAGGAGAAGTTCTCCGCCACCCAGCTTGTTGCCATGTACTTCAGCAAGATCAAGCAGACCACAGCCGCCGAGCTCAAGCTGCCAGTCCAGGAGCTCTGCATCAGCGTGCCGCCCTGGTTCACCGATGTCCAGCGTCGCGCAATCCTCGATGCCGCCGAGATCGCCGGTCTTAGGGTTCTCCGCCTGATCAACGACAACACCGCTGCTGCTCTCGGCTGGGGCATCACCAAGCTCGACCTGCCCGCCCCCGAGGAGCAGGGCCGCCGCATCTGCATCATCGACATTGGCCACAGCGACTACACTGCCTCTATTGTCGAGTTCAAGAAGGGTGAGCTCGCCGTCAAGTCGACAGCCTGGGACCGCAACTTTGGTGGTCGCGACTTCGACAAGGCTCTCGTCGACCACCTGGCCAAGGAGTTCAAGGGCAAGTACAACATTGACATCACCACACACGGCCGTGCCATGGCTCGTGTCATTGCCGCCGCCGAGAAGACCAAGAAGGTTCTGTCTGCCAACCAGCAGGCTCCCGTCAACATCGAGTCCCTCATGAACGACGTCGATGTCAACACCATGATCACAAGGCAGGAGCTTGAGGCCTTCATCGAGCCTCTCCTGAACCGCGCCCACGTTCCCGTCGAGGCTGCTCTGGCCCAGGCCAAGCTCACCAAGGACGACATTGACACCATCGAGATTGTTGGTGGTGGTTCCCGTGTTCCCGCCCTCAAGGAGCGCATCCAGGCTTTCTTCGGCAAGCCCCTCTCCTTCACAATGAACGCCGACGAGGCTGTCGCCCGCGGTTGCGCCTTCAGCTGCGCCATCCTCTCCCCAGTCTTCCGCGTCCGTGACTTTGCTGTCCAGGACATTGTCAGCTACCCCATCGAGTTCGCCTGGGAGAAGGCCCCCGATATTCCCGACGAGGACACCAGCCTCACTGTCTTCAACAGGGGCAACGTCCTTCCCTCCACAAAGATCCTCACTTTCTACCGCAAACAGCCCTTTGATCTCGAGGCGAGGTACGCCAAGCCCGAGGAGCTGCCCGGCAAGACCAACCCCTGGATCGGCCGCTTCTCCGTCAAGGGCGTCAAGGCTGATGGCGCTGAGGACTTCATGATCTGCAAGCTCAAGGCCCGTGTCAACATCCACGGTGTCCTGAACGTGGAGACAGGTTACTATGTCGAGGACCAGGAAGTCGAGGAGGAGGTGAAGGAGGGTGCTGAGGGCGAGGAGAAGAGCCCTGACGTGAGTATATTGCAAACCAGCAGCATTGCCCCAGCTGACAAATTGCAGGCTATGGACACAGATGGCCCAAAGAAGACCCGCAAGGTCAAGAAGCAGGTCCGCAAGGGTGACCTGCCCATCTCGGCAGGCACTGCCTCGCTAGACGACGCCACCAAGTCCGGTCTTTCGGAGAAGGAGAACGCCATGGTCATGGAGGACAAGCTGGTCGCCGACACTGACGAGAAGAAGAACGAGCTTGAGGCGTACATCTACGACCTTCGCGCCAAGTTGGACGAGCAATACGCCGAGTTTGCCAGCGAGGAGGAGAAGTCGAAAATCAAGGAGAACCTCGAGAAGGCCGAGGTGAGCATTTCCACCCTTCGCATCACCTGAAGATAAGCTAACATGTGACAGGATTGGCTGTACGAGGATGGTGAGGATGCCTCCAAGGGCGTCTACATTGCCAAGATGGACGAGATCCGCGCCATGGCCGGTCCCATTGTGCAGCGCCACTTTGAGAAGGTCGAGGCTGACCGTCAGCGTATCGAAGCCGAGCAGGCCGCTAAGAAGGCCGCCGAGGAGGAGGCGCGCAAGGCCGCTGAGGCGGAGAAGGCTGCCGCGGCCGAGGCCGAGAAGGCTCAGGACGCTGAGATGAAGGACGCCGAGGCGCCCCAACCCGAGACCGAGGAGGCTGGTGACCCCAAATAGAGTGGTTCCAAGAGACGATCCAGCAACTTCTCTGGCCTCGATACGGTGCCCGAGGAAAAGAAATCAAGATTTTCTACGACGGTGACCGAGGTGACTAGCGATGACGAGTGAAAATGATGACAATCTCGTTGGTTCGGTTCATTTGGATCTAACGACGTTGATGACATGAAGGGAGTTGGCTCGGTAGGACAGGGAAACCGGAATAGAGGACGAGAGGCCTTTCCGGAAAAGTGCAATCATGATAATGGACATGCGCCTCACGTTAGAACGCCTTACACAAAATAGTTAGACGACATACAACTTGTGTTTTTCATATCTGTTGACTCCTCCATATCCACCCGACTAGCTGACTACTACGTACGTACGTCCACGGAAAGTGATGGTGAATATGAGTCGAATTATCAGACTAGAAAAGATGCAATGACCCCCTTTTTGTTTCTCATATCCTTCCTTATTTTTGGGCAGTCCTTTCTTCAACTTGAATTAAATGTCGAACAGAGGCTTGAGCTTGATGATCAGCTGCCACTCGTCGTTGCTCACGTCCTTGCGGTAGAACTCCTTCAGAGTATCAATACTCTTGCGCGAGATGAGACTGTACAGCTGGTCGGTCTCCTCCAGGTGGCGGCCGTACGTGGGCTGGTTGCTGCCCATTTCGATCTTGACGGCGACCGAGGGCTGACCCTTTTTGCAGACGGGGATCTGTTTGTGATCACGCTCGATGGAGGTACTGTTGTCTGTTGTTAGTCACGTCTTCGACACCAGCAGTGCGGAATTCAGGGAAACTTACACTCTGCCAATGCTCACAATCTCCTTGCCGTTCGCAGTGTGCTTGACGGCGGCAATGGGGGTGTTAATCTTCAGCTGGCCCTCGATGACGTCTACACCGACAACGATGGGGGTTGTCTTGTTGAAGACGGCAACAGTCCTCAACACGCAGGGGAACACAGCCAGCATCTTGGACTCCTCCTTCTTGCGAGCAAGCTGGTCGTCCATGTGCTTGGTGAAGGCGTCGAACAAGTGATAGATGATGTCGGCCTGGAAGACCTTGATGCCCTGGTCCTCAGCGTACGCCATGGCCTCCTTGTCGACCTTGACGTCGAAGCAGAGCATGACGGCGTAGTCGGGGCTCTTCTCCAGCATGACACCGGTCTGCATGATGTCACGCTTGTACACGGGGCCGATACCGACGTTGGCGACAGGAATTTTGCAGTCCTTCAAGAAGTCGAGCAAAGCCTCCAGGGAACCCAGCGTGGAAGCCTGGACGGAGACACCACGACCGGACTTCTCGACACGGCTGAGGAGCTGAGCAAGATCGGCCTCGACCTCTTCTTCAATGTCCTCCTCGTCATCGTCGGGGCCGACGACCATCAGCCTCGAACCGGCGATGGCACCCTCGAGGCCGGGGGCGCTGATCTTGACACCAAGAGCGGCCTTGACCTCCTTGTTGTGCACGTATTGTGACTTGAGACGCAGTTCCCTGAGAGGCTGCGGCGTGAGAAGCGCCCTGATGTTTGTCTTGATAGCGCCCTCGGTACCGCAGATGACGATGCGGTCGCCTTCGCGCAGGATACCGTTGGACAGGATGACATCAATGGTCATACCGAAACCTTCAATGGCCTTGACCTCGAGGACGGTGGCCTGGACCTCAGACAAGTACATGAGAGACGACGTCATGCGCTCCTGGGTCAGATGGAGGATGAGCTTGAGCATGTCGGGCACACCCTCACCCGTGTGGGCAGATGTGGGCACCAGGGAAACGTTGTTCTTCAGCGACGGGTTCTCGTAGAAGAGGAAAGAGTTGAAGCCCATCTCGGCAAACTCGAGCTTGGTCTTCTCGAGACGTGTCTGGAACTCGTTGTGGACAGCCTTGCTCTGCATGGCCAGCGACTCCTCGAAGCCGTTGTTATCAATCTTCTTCCATCCGTAGAGACGATCAATCTTGTTCAGCGCGACAATGAAAGGAGTCTTGCGGTCCTTGAGAAGCTGGATCGACTCCCTGGTCTGGGGCTCGAGACCGTGCATAATGTCGACAACCAGGATGGCAATGTTGCAAAGGGACGAACCACGGGAACGCAGGTTAGAGAAAGACTCGTGACCAGGTGTGTCGATGACCAGGAGACCGGGGACCTTGAACTCGAAGCTGTTGTCTCTGTTGACGACGGCCGTCTTTTGACGGATGGCGTCCACGGGGAAGTACGTAGCACCGATCTGCTGCGTGATACCACCGGCTTCGCCCTCCTGGACGTTGGTCTGGCGGACCTTGTCGAGGAGCTTGGTCTTTCCGGTATCGACGTGACCAAGAATACAGCAAATGGGTGAGCGCAGGTTGTCCTTTGACCGGGCAGCCAAGGCAGCCTGGTGAGCCTTCTCACGACGCTCTGCCGCCTCCTTCTTGCGCTGTGCCTCGGCAGCGCGCGCCGCTGAGATGCGCTCCTCATCTTCCGAATCCTCGCTGTCGTCTTCGCTATCGTCTTCGTCATCTTCATCCTCGCCATCCTTCTTGGCACCGCCGTTGGCCTTGGCAGCCTCGTCCCCTGACTCGGCGTCCCAGCTGTCCTTGACATCGTCGTCTGAAGCAGCTGCCGCTTCCCAGTCATCTTCGATATCGCTCTCTGCGGCCTTCTTCTCGGCGGCGGCCTTGGCCTCGGCCTCAGCCTTGGCGCGAGCGGCCCTCTCTTCAGCCTCCTTGAGCTCCTGCTCGGCCTTTGCGCGTGCACGCTCGGCAGCTTCGGCGAGGGCCTTCTCCTCATCGAGCTAGAGGTTGTTAGTCAAGTGTCAACAAGCCAAAGATCGAAAGCATTCGTACCTTTTGCTGGATTTTGCTCTTCTTGACCTTGGTCTCAGCGGCCTTCTTGGCCTTCTTGGCCTCCTTGTCGGCTTCGTCCGAGGGACCAATCTGGATACCCGCCTCGATCATCTGCTGCAGCTTCCTCTCGTTGCGCATCTTTTCTTCCTTCTGGGCCTTTGTCATGAACTTGCCCTCTTTCTTGAGCTGCTCAATCTTCTCCTTCTCCTTTTGCTTCTTCAGAGCCTTGGCCTCCTCTCTGCGCTTGATCTCCTCCTCCTCGAGGCGATCCAGCTCGGCGGCACGGGCTGCGGCTTCGGCCTTGCGCTTCTCCTCGGCCTCGCGCTTGAGACGCATCTCCTCTTGCTGCTTCTGGATCATAGCCAGATGAGCGGGGATCTTCTTCTTCTTGCCGCCAGTCTCCGCCGCGGGAGCTGCTTCAGGGGTAGGGGATGAGGCCTCCTCCTTTTCCACGGGCGCGGCAGCCTCGGGGGCCTTAGCAGGACCAGGCGTCTTCTTCTTGGCAGCCTGAGGAACTCGTTAGCCTGGGGGCGCATTCTACGGCACAACTTGCAAGGTCCGACATACCTGTTCCTTCTTACGCTGCTTCTCGCGCTCCTTCTTGAGCTTCTCCTTCTCAGCCTTGGTCAGGACACGGCCCGGCTCGCCGCCATTGTCGTCGCCGTCAGCCGCCTGGGCGCCACCCTTCTTCTGCTGGGCCTGTTTTCCCTTGCCGCCCTTGCCCTTCTTATCTGGCAGGGCAAACTCGTCGTCCGCGTTGGCCTCTTGAGCCGTTTGCACATGCGAGAGGTCTGGCTCCCCCGTGGTCTCGGCCTGCTCCTCCTCGGGAAGACCCTTCTGCTTGCGCCTCTCCTTGCGCTTGCGCAACATGGCCATCAGACCACCTCCGGCCTCGTCGTCTTCGCCCTCGGCACCGTCACCGTTGGCATCCGCCGCATCGGCAGGCTGCTCGGCGGCCGGGGCGATGGACTCGCCCAGCTCAGCCTCCCAGTCATCGTTGCCCTTCTTGTTACCCTTCTTCTTGGGAGCCATGATGGCGGTTTGTCTCGAGTTTTACGAAAGTGGGATGGCGTGTAGGTATCTTCAACCCTTTGATGCCAATGCGAGCACGGTCGTTTGTGCAGGGCGGACTTTTTTCGCGGGTTGACGTTCTGGTTCGGAAACGGGTCGCATGCAGTTCAGCACGGCTTGAAAATATCGGGTGGCAAATCCAGCGCGAGAGGTAGAGGTTGTTGGAGTAGAGGTGGAAAGCGAGACGACATGCTCTGGTCACGTCGACTGCTTCTGCTGGTCTTGCGGAGCTCGAATCCGACGGGGATGCTCCTCGGGAGGGCTTTCTGTAGAAGTGAAGCCAAAGTGGGTTGGCACCTTTTCGTGTCGACAGCGGTCGTCGATCCAGGCTAGAAATCGATTCGACGTCTCAAGGGTGGTGGTGGTGCCGTGGTGGGTGGAGGGATTCCAGTCACGTCAGTCCAAGACAGGACAGGCGGGGCCTATGGAGGGGCATTTTTAGTGACGCACCGCTATTAGTTAGTGCACAGGTGCAAACCCAGAGTGAATTATCCCCGTGCGATAACACCACCCACGTCTTGTGCCACGTACTGCTAACTACTTAATCACTGGTTAATCACCAAGAAATGACTGTACCTGTATTTTTGTCCTTCGAGTCACAAGCGGATTTTATTATGGTGGTGTTTCTCCTGTCCACAAATCCACGTTCAAGGGCTGCCTTCGAGACTGGACCAACTGAGTCACAGCTGCCCATTACGTCATTGGTCGCTTGGGCAAAACCCTATTGATGCAAAGGAAAGGAAGGACCAATCCAGCGGCAACCTAAACACCCCTGAGCCCCTTTTCCAAGCAACTGAGTTTGGCCTCAGCCACTTGATCAACACACTCTAGGTTCGAAATTGGGAGATGTTACGTACTCCCCATATGTTAAATTATTTTAATACGTTTGCCCGCACACCTAGATATATATATGTAAGAGTGTGCACTCGCTAATGACTCCCTGCCTGTCACACGGCTGGAGTCAGAACGAATGCCAGGACCTTGTATCCTAGCTTGTAGTATTCCTCCGCGCGAGTGTCTTCTGCAACAGAACTGAAGCTCTGGGTATACTTCCCTCCCTCAATGTCATCTAGGCAGCAACAGAATGGCAAGAAGCTGTCTTTCGTGACTTCTTCCAATCGCCTTGACCTCAGACAATCCTTCAGCAGGAAGCCGTTGACATGTAACGCAGGCGAGCCACCACCCGTAGAATGATGCTTCTGCGCGCTCCTGTTTCCCTGAGCTGGTCCGCTTCCTCGACACAATTGCTGCACCAACTGTAGGTATCGGCACAGTTCGATACTTAGCAATCGAAAGTGATGAAGGCACCCGTCGACGGACACCCCAAAGATGTCAGAGTAGCCGTCAACACTCGTGCGTAGGACACCGTACGTCTCGCCCTGGGACTGGCCTGACGTTCTCTGCCATATTGGCCGACAATCAGCTCGCACGAAGCGGCGTATTGAGTTATGCATAGTACCTTCGAACAAGGTGACAATGTCTTTTCTCCCCGACCCTTGTGACGTCCATAGGCCATAGACACATCCGTTGAGGTCCGAGACAAGAGTGATGGGCCATGATTCACTCTCTCTTGATGCTCCCACCTGAATCATATGGGCTCCTGGCCGGAGCATCTCTTCGCCGCGCAAGAGTTCCATGTCCTGCCTCTCTGGACGACTCTGATAATCGATCTCATGTAACGAATGGGATTGCGTCAAAGCCATGAGCTTGTTGTCGGTTATGGCCATGCTGACAGCTGGAGACTGCAACTGAAATGTCTTGACAGATCGGAGTTTCTTCGTTTGGGGGTCGAGCACCACGCGACAGAGTATCAGCCCAGCGCAATAGATGAAACCTTGGTCATCAGGCACGATGGAAGTCACCGGACCATCGAGGCCTTTCAGTCTGTGACGCACGGCATGCTCCAGTGTCCTTGGCGAGTCCCAAGATGCGTCCTTAATACGGATAGGGCTCACATGCACAATGGCGACGCGCGCATATGCCGTGCCCACTGCAATGTATGAGAATGTTTGCCCGTCTTTCTCATACACCCATTCGGTCAGTGCGAGGATCTTGTCTCCTGGCTGGTCAAATGAGGAGAGGGTCCCTTCTTCCTTGTCAAGCCCAATAGGCTTTGATATGGTAAGCCCCGTGTCGGGATCGACAAACGCCAAATCGATTCCTTCGCTTGTCTGCAAAGCAACGACGAGACAATTCCAACTATGCGAGTATATAATCCGAGTTGGCGTATGAGAAAGCGGGAGGACACGCGGCACAGGCGCCGCATGAGACTCCATGTCCGCTAGATATAGCTTCGTGCCCCCAGCGAGAAGAAACAACGGCGACGCAGGCGTCGTCGGGGGAAAAGCGACAGAGACAGAGTGCACCGGCGGAGCAGCCAGAGAAAGGTCTCCCGCATTCGTCGGCCACACAATGTCTTTGCAATGACCGATATCATCCTGCACGGAGGTTATGCTGAGTCGCACCAGCCTGTCCTCGCAGGCTATGAAGGAGATCCCCCGTCCCCCCTGGATATCAGAAGGCGGGAAGACTTGCACTGAGCTCAAGCCCACCCTTTCTGCAACACAACTCAAGCGCAAAGTCGGGTCAACTGACAATGTCAGTGTCAACAAATTTCCACAACGAGTACCTGCAACCAAGCGAGCATCCTCCCCTGTGGCATTGCTTAGTACTTCGATGCTCGTCAAGGACTCCAGACTTCCAGGTCCATTGTCGATTGTGTGCTCCTTTACAAGCTCCCCCTGGAGAGTGTATATTGACAGCGTTGGGCCGCTCTGTGGAGACGTTGCTACAACCACACAAGCCTGCTCGCCGATAGAGAGTAGCGCAATGCAGCTCACATCACCTCCAACGCACAACGAAGACTTGTGACCAACGTGCATTTGGTCAATTTGCAGAACGTGCAAAGCTGTCCCGTCTTCATCTTGTGCTGACACGGCCACAAGATCGTTCATAAAGCATCCATTCTCAGCCACCACTTGTGGGGCTTTGAGAATGTCCTTGAAAGCATGTTTGGAACTCTGAGAGCCAGTGACAAGTGTCACACAGCCTTCAGAGACTTGGACAATCATCCCAGACGGTAGCTGACCAGCGCACAGTGTGCGCGAGGAACAGCCAAAGGAAGCGCCGCTGGCGGTCTCGTCCAGAATCTCGTCGTACTGATCGGGAATATATAGCAGCTTCGTCGAGTCGGGGAGAGCCGCAAGCACCCAGACACCGTTGTCATCTTTGCGGCCATTGTCAGCAAATATCCAGGCTTGCCGGATCGGTTCCCCAATGTCGACCTCAATACCGATCCTCGCTCTGAGTCCGTAACGAGACTCGACAATCGCACCATCTTTGCCTCGCCCGGATGCAAAGAACAATCTGTCTTTGATCTGCTTCTGGGATGAGTGGGGTGTCGAAGTATTAGGTGCATCCCATTTCGTCACCAAAGTCGTGCTGGTCACGTCAACGATGGGCGTCCAGCTAGGAAGACGTGACTTCAGCTCGGGAGCTCCCCGCGGCTTGATCTCCCATATCCCGCCCTGACCTGACTCTCCTCCGATGAACAAGAGGTCGGAATTCCCATACACTACATCAGAGCACAGGCAACGCGCGCTCACGTCGAGGAATTCTTCAATGTGAAAGACGGGCAACATGGGCGACTCCCCAATGTCAACCTCCATCTGCAACAAAAGACCGTCCTCTCTCAGAAGGTGGAGGACATCTATCGAAGAGTTTTCCAGGTATTCTTTCCTGCGGAATGGCCGAGACCAGTCAGTCCACAAAGGGCGGCTCTTTCCGTGATGGCGATCAGACGGCGCATGTGGTGGGAAGTCGAGAAGCTCCATGGTGGCGCTGGGCGACGGCCCTTGCACTAGGACGAGGTAGTCCTGATACAAGGCGCAGAAGACATGGCCCCATAACAGTGGTATCACCATGAGAGGTATTTGACCTTGCGGCCCCCTGAGCATCTGCGCTCGTGGGATTAGGCTCTGTGGGTCGCTGAACACCCGAGCATATTCGGTCGCGCCATCCCAATCCCAGGTCATGAACTTTGGTCGGTGTTTCACATCTCGTCCTCGATGGCTCACGATAGCGAGTAGAATCGTCTGTGTGCTGTGTGGCTTCGGAGGGTGGAGGAACTGCAAATCCAATACAGTGTGGAGTGGCTGCATGACCACGCCATCCACAGCATGGGAGAGATGGCCGGTTTTGGAGTACTCGTCGCTCATCACTGACCACGACTTAACTTTGAGAACAATAAGGGGTCCCTGGAAGGATGATAAGGCGATGTACTCTGAGCGGGGGTCGACCGATAGGTAGTGGCCAAAGTAAGGATCGCCCGTGTGGTCGAGCGGAAGTTCGACCTCGCACACTGAGAGCTCCTCACGGCCGTGTTCTATCGTCGCCAGACAAACTTGACCGGTGGCAAGCGTAAGCACAAGCATTTGTGGTGGCAGACATTGGCTGGCGGCATCGCGGCCCAGAATCTCTTCAAGGCTGCTCGAAACCGCGGCACGTTCCTCGTCTGCTCTCTCATCGTAGGCACCTAGTACTGCCGCATTCCTGATCCGAGTATACGGGTTGCTGTATCTGCAGATCTCTCGAGTGAAGTTTGCATCTTGAAGCTCACAAACGATAATTTGGTGATCCTATAAACGTCAGCCAAGCCATCACATGGTCCAGCTTTTCGCAGATCATAACCGTCGGACTCACGCTAATGAACGCAATATCATTGTGCTTGTTTGATCTCAGGCGCACTGGGAGAATCTTGTTGACATTGGGGCTGTCGAATACCGTCGTGGACAGGAGACCGCATCGAGGTTGTGTTGAAGTTTTCATGGACTCTGGTTGGCCAGGCTCAGCTGATGTGTCGAGGGCATCACGGGAATCAACCATCTCAAAGACCCATTGTCCGTTTCTGAGGACATTCGTCCTGATGAGCGACATGGTGGCACGGTCGAAGGTACGCAGCGCTGAGAAAAGGCAAAGCTTGTCAGTATGCACATTGTACTTGTACTGGCGTGGCCTGATTAGCAAAGATACTGCTTTGCAGCACGCCCTTGCGTTGGCTCTGATATGAAGCTCAGTCGGCGTCTTCGCTGCAGTGCGCGATGCAGTGGCGTGTTGGGCGGGGCGGCATTGGGAGTTGCGTCCACGGGAGTTGGTTGGGGAAAGTCTTTGAGTTGCTTGCTGTGTCTTGAGATGGCGCGCGTAGACGTCTCAATGATAGGGACGAACGCTCGCGCGGATTGTCATCGCTCAACAGACTTTGATTTCAGCCTACCTGGTAAGCAAGCGCCGCCATCTGTTGAACCAGCAGACGAAGAATTGCTCTGACATTAGGCGACAAATAATAGTAGTTCTGTCACGTCGCGTGGAATGCAGGCAGATCCACGTTAGTGCCTGCTAGATTAGGCAATCAGCTTCGTTTGACGACACGACATGACGTTGCTTCCCAAAGACTATAAACATCGAGGCAGCAACAACGAACGAGCTGGCCTCAAACACCCGTAGCTTGCAATAACTTGCCGAGACGCAACTTTTCCATCCAACTTCGGTTACTGTTCTTTACACGCGGTACCAATGTCCGCGCGGCTATCGTAGCATCGCTTGAGCCGAATCCGCGCGACCGCGGTTCGATACGATCCATGGCGCAACATGACGAGAAAGTCGCCCTGCGCAGTGACTTGTCTTCAACGAGCGCGTCCCCCGAACCCTTCGATCCCGTACTCTTCGAGAAGGAAGAGCGAATTAGAGAAGCCTGTACATGGCGCGATGCCGACAAGCTAAGGTCATTGGCCCAGTCGCAGGGAGGGCTGCTCAAGGACGAACTGCGCCAGCAGGCTTGTGCGTGTTCCCTGCCCTCCGATACCACAATTCGACCGCGTGTTGTACTAACACAGACTGTAGGGCCGATACTCATGGGACTGTCTGGTCTAGGGGACGCAGACGAGAAGCATGATCATATCAGTAGCGAATGGGAAACCCTCCCACCTCACAGGGACGAGAGCCAGGTCGAACTTGACGTGAATCGCTCGTTCGTGTACTACCCACATGGTGAGGCTGTACAGTCCATTTTCACTTAAGTTCCGGCGTGCTAATGTATTTAGACCAGTCAGACCGCGAGCTCGATCGAAGGAAAGCCGAGCTATCAGCGCTGATCACTCAAGTCCTGCGAGAGAACCCCTACCTCTGCTACTTCCAGGGCTACCACGACATATGCCAAGTCATACTCCTCGTCCTCGCTCCAGAGCTTCGCGCGCCTGTTGTCGCACGCCTCTCGGTCCTGCGAATACGCGACTTCATGCTGCCCTCGCTCGCCCCGACTACAGCCCAGCTACGACTCCTGCCCGACATACTATCAGTCGCGGACCCGAAATTATGGCGGCACCTCCTCGGTGTTGAGCCTTTCTATGCGCTCTCAGGGACATTGACTATGTTTGCCCACAACATTGAGGCCTATTCAGACATTGCTCGGCTTTTCGATGTTTTCTTGGCCAGAGAACCCGTCTTTAGCATATACATGTTTGCCCAGATCGTATTAGACAGGCGAGACGAAATCTTCGAGATAGACGAACCAGATATGCTCCATGTCATCTTGGGCAAGGTGCCGCCTCGGATGGATTTAGATGCCCTCATTGTCGACTCGGCTTCGCTCCTTGAGCGACACCCGCCCGAGAAACTGCGCGCATGGCGTGGAATCTCTAGGTCTAGCTCTCTGAAAACTGTGCGCCATGTCGAAGATTGCGCAAAACAGACTTTGACAGACGGGCAGCACTTCTTTGAAGCGCAAGCGACAGAACTGCAGAGGGCAGAGATGAGGGACAGGGTCAAGGCGAAACTCTGGGCATATAGGAAGCCAGCCCGGACGGTCGGTGCAGCGTTCGCGTTTGGCATATTGGCCATGTATCTCCGGCGTAACCCAGGCATTGTGCATCAAATCGTAGGACTATTCATGCGATGAAAATCAATATCAATAATACGAGGAACGATAGATGGCCTGCTTCACAGTCGGAATGTGTCATTCAAACGACCTCAGATGCCAAGATCTTGGTCGAGCCCAAACGCCATATACATGCGGCCTCTATGAAGAACGCTCAGATGTCAAGATAAACCCGCTCACCTATGACTCTTCTTGATAAGGTTTTTTAAGGCCTTCGAAATACTGCTGCTGCTCCTCCGCCAGTTTCCCAAGAACATCGCTTATGATGGTGGAAATCAAGGAATAGTTGTTGTACAGAAAGCGACTGCTCTTGTACTTGTCGCTTGCAAACGCCTGGGCTTGCCGGGAAAGAAAAGTCTCTACCTCGCCTCGCAGACGCCGTATGCTTGAGACAACGGGCTCGTCGTCTCCGGCCTCGGTGCTGAGCGCAAGGAAGCCCTGGAGCAATTGGCCGAATCGCTGAGTAACCACATGAGGAGCTGCCGATAGCTTTGGATCGGCCACAGACTTGGTTGGCTTGAAAGGCATCGCGTTGGTCAGTTGACGCACAGACTCGCAATGCTTGTCCATGATGACCTGCAACCGCGGCCACAGCAGCATGTTGGTCCCGTTCACATACCCTTCTACGGCAGGCACCTTTCTGCGCTGAAGCTCGAAAGCAAACTGCTGGTTCAGGCGGATACACAACAAGAGACCCAGCGCATCATAAGTCTCGCCCACAAGCGTCTTTGACAATGTTTTGCCAAGCTCGAATGTCGGCTCAAAAATGTAGTTGAAGTTCTTGGCAATGTGCGAATAGGACAATGCAGGGGAGAAGAAGGTTGCGAGGAAGGTGTACTCTGCAGTGGCGTTATCGATCAGCGCCAGGTTGAAGTTGCGAAAGGGCACTTCGAGGTAATGTGTCGACTGATCCTCATCCACAAGATACGACGTCAGTGCATTCTGATTCCTTGTTCGGAGTATGTCTATTCGCCTTCCGAGGTTGAAGGCATCGTGTGGGGGCCCAGCTGCGCGAGAACCAGACAGGACGGTGGCTTTCCGTGTCGTATCTTCTTGTCCCAGCACATCGTTCTTATCGAGAACATGCAATCGGACTTTGGCGAGGGCCTTTTCGTATCGACCAAACTGGTTGGCATAGTACCATCGCATAGTATTCATGTATGCCAAAGCGATTTCTTCTGCCAGCTTATTATGGTGCTTGTGCAGGAAGGTGTAGAGATCTTTGAACTTCAGGAAATTCTGCTGTTGCACAATTTGGGCATTGATGCTCGGTGACCGCAGGGCCTTGATTTGGGCCACGAGGAAATCACGTATCCTCTCAATTGCCTGTGTTGTCAGCATAGAGCTCAATCGTCCACAGCAAATAATCTTACCTTGGCAGTGAGCTTCTCAAGGAGCGGGCCCAGATCGTCAGAAGCCTTCGTTTGCTGTGATGTCCTTTTCTGGTTGGCAGCCGAGCGGCGATCGATCTCATTGAGCATTCTTGCCCAGGTCTCGTCAATATGCCCTTCCGAAATCTTGGAGATGATGTCGGGCGATATACTGAGCTCCTCCACCAACGGTCCCAGCGCTTTCTCCACGGCTTTGCGATTGTCGAGTCGTCTAGTCAAGGCCGACGATCGTTTCTGCAATGATTCGATATCTGCAGAAACTGTCGCTAGATCATTGCGGAAACTTGTGAGATTGGCTTCAACAGAGCCGAGAACATCGTCGCATGCAACGATAGACCGATGCAGGTCGTCGAATTTGCCTTGCTGTTGCTCGTCTACGTATCATTAGCCACATTGTCTCGTACATCGTCGTTGTACACGCACATGACACTGTTTCTGGGGGTTTTCGCGACAACTCTAAAGTGGTTTCACGTGCTTCTGCCTCCGCCAATTGCTTCAAAGAGAGTCCATCAAAGTCTGGTTCCATTTGAAGATCGTCGTCCCTGATGAAAACACCAAGAGGAGCTCCAGACGGGACGACGTCTCCATCTGCATCTGGGCTCAGAAGCTTCTCAAGAACCTCCACCGGATTCGGTCCATCATATACGGTAGAGGCCTGTCTCAGGCCTGAGCCATTGTGTCGTTTGCCTGCGCCCAGGAGGGACGTCGTCGAATCGTTCGATGCGAGAGATAGAGAAGAGCTGCGAGGCGACTGCCCTGGGCGTTGTGATGTAACATAGGGACTCAAGGCGCTCGAGGTACGTCTAGGCAATGGTGAATAGGAGCGGTTCGCGGATTGCGGCGTCGATGTCCCCGACACGTTGGCCTGGCTGCCAGCGAGGCGATCGAGCCACATGGCGCAGTTGGGCTGCCTCAATGTCAATCGCAGACGACTATGTTAGTCCAGATTTGATTTGCATTGTCGAGCAATCCACCGTGTGCAAGATCCGTTCGCAATGGGGAATTCGTGTGAGCAGAGCTGTTGGGGTTCAAACTTAGAGGGACTGGAGCGAGCTGACCCCAGATTGTCTCTACACGCGCGCCAGGTGAGATGTGATGTGATTGGTCAAAGCTCTCGGTGAGACCGGTCAGCTACACCGAACCTTGCCTAACAACCTCCGATATTTTGTTCACTTCTTCAGCTCTTGCGCAAGAAATGGTCAAAGTGCTATTGTAGCCGATGACTTTCCACCTTGCTCAACATATTTCAGGCTCGTTCAGCAGAAGTGAAACGCCGCCAGAACGATTCAAAAGGCATGGTTACTAAGCACTTCATTGACTGCTTAGCAGTAATTACTACCTTACTAAGTAAGTACGTAGTAGTACTGTAAGTAGGTACTTACGTAGTGTGATGCGCTGTGGAGAAGGTTGTTCAAGTGCCTTGTATTATTACAAAAGAGATAGCCGTTGAGGCTCTATTTATGCGTTCTTGATCGCAT